CTCCTCCTCCTCCTCCTCCTCCTCCTCCTCATCATCATCATCATCATCATCAAACTCCCTCGATTATCAGCAGACAGGAATCAAAGACGCTAGTATTCTTCTGATTTGGCCCAAGATGGACACCCATGATGTCTCGCAGGTATCTGAATACATGCAAGCCCTGCAAAGACAAAAGCAGACTCTTCAGAATGCCCAGTCTCGCAAGGGTCAGAAACCCAAGCCGACCAAGTCTCGCGACCAGATCATAATGCAGTTCATGTTTCGCCAAATGATGGGCAGGAACGGAACCGTGGACGGGCATGCTCTTCGATCCTCTTTTGTGCCCCCCGCCTACTATCCCTCCGTTGCCCCTTTGAGTGAACTGAAGAAGGTCCTAATCAAAGACCTCACCCTTGAGACACATCACCGTGGTTCGTACATTCTGGTGAGAGCAGTCACCTCGACGGATAGAATGACTGCGATCATGACCGTGGTGGAGGATGAGAAAGGGAATGTTCTCATGTTGCAGCTGTACAACCAGGAAGAACAACTGGCTACTGACGGCCGGCTTGTTGAAAGAACCGTGATGCTTATAAAGGAGCCTTACTTGAAGATAATGGCTGATGGAGATTATGGTCTGCGAGTGGATCATCTCTCCGACATCAGGTTCATCCCAGATCATGATCCCTTGGTGCCGTCGGCGTGGAAAGGCCGGTCAAAAGGCCATGCCTCTGCCGGTTTTTGGAAGATAAAAGGAAATGATTTCTTTAATCAGGCTGCGTATTATCTCGCTATTGACTGGTACACGTTGAATGGATCTTGTGAGAGGACGAGCTGACCACGATGCAGTTACTCCGAGGCTCTTGATTCCTCCCCAACTGTCGAGGAAGGCCTTACGATCAGACTCAATCGTGCTCTGGCTTGCCTCAAAACTCACCAATTCGACGCGGCCCTTTGTGATGTCGAGCTGACCTTGTCAAACAACGGCTCCTCCGAGAAAGCCTTATTTCGTAAATCTCAGGCCCTTTACTACCTCCAAAGATTTCAGGAGTCATGTGAAGTCCACAAAGTGCTCAGCAATGCGTATCCAAATAATACCGCCGCTAAAAGCGAGTTTGAGCGGGCCATTGCACGACTCGCGGAGGAGCGGAGTGGCAAGTATCCGTTCAGAGGGCTGCAGCGAGTGGCAACGAAACGTCGCCCTCCTCTACTTGATCATGCAACATATACTGGCCCTGTCTCGGTAAGAGCTACAGAGTTCCGCGGACGTGGCTTATTTACGACCGAGGCAGTCCGGGCCGGTGATCTCCTGTTTTGCGAAAAGGCCTTTGCGCATGCCTTTCATGACGACACTAGCGAAACGACTAATCTTTCACTCTTGATGAACACCGAAACACAGACTATGACGATGGGCACCCAAGCAGAACTGATCAGCCTCATTGCTCAAAAACTGTACAAGAACCCGTCCTTGATGTCAACCTTCACTGATCTGTACCACGGCTCATATACCCCGGTAGACATCTCTGAAGTCGACGGTATACCCGTCGTCGATACGTAAGTACTACCATCGACTAAACAATATCCACCGACTAATGTCGCCAGGTTCCTGATCGAGCGAACAATGTCACTGAATTGTTTCGGCTGCCCGGTTTCCTCGCGTGCTTCCCACATAGCCACCATAAATGAAAACAAGGCGCAACTCGAAAAGATCAAAAAGCAATTTCATTCCTGCGGCATCTGGCCGCTGGCATCTTACATCAATCATTCCTGCTACTCCAACGCCCGTCGTTCCTTCATCGGAGATATGATGTTGGTTCGCGCCACACAGGATCTCCCTCCAAATGCGGAGCTCACGTTCTGGTATCAAACACCTTTGAAGCATGACACCCAGATAAAACCCCTAAAACTGCAGCACTGGGGGTTCCAGTGCAGCTGCCTCATCTGCCAGGATCTTCACGAAACCGGGGGTGTTGATCTGACGAAGCGAAGACGACTCTTTGCTGACTTGGTGAAGACCCACCAGTCCCTGCTTCGCACCCGGAAACAGAGTGCCGGAATCGCTAAAATGGAAGGTATCCTTGCTACACTTGAAAAGACATATCGCCGGCCATCTTCTGAAGTGCCTCGTCTCGAGATCTGGGAGGCATATTTGTCCTTGGCAGCGGTGCACGCCACGAGCAGTCAGCCGGGGAAAGCGATTGAATTTGCGTTCAAAACGCTGAAGTCGCTCGGCTACGTGATTGAGGGCGGGCAAATTCCGCATACACCTGGCAGAAAGTTACTTGTTAGGGAATGGGGCTTGATGATGGATGGTCTAGTTGGGTGTTGGATGATCCTTTGCCGTATGTATTGCGATGTAGCACCCGACCTGGCCGATCAAGCCGAAGACTATGCGAGAACAACCTACAGGATATGTGTTGGGGAGGATGAGACGTTTGGGGATACGTACAGTCGGTTCTCCAACCAGGTCAACGGGCTTATTGTGGCGTGAATAGGTCTGAAATTTGTTACATATCTATGATGACGATATGCGGGACCGAGGTCTCCCATCAACCACCGGAGTACTCCCCCAACTCACCCACTTCACTCTTACCAACATCCTAGCATCTACAATCTATACAACCTATACTCCATCACCATGCCCCGTTCCTCCCCCGACCTCCTAACCCACTTCCTCCACGCCCAAGAAACCCTCTACGGCCCCATCACCACCCTCCCCTCCTCCGCATCGACCTGGACCCCACCCCCGCACTCGGGCGGCCACCAAGGCCGCTACCTCTGGACCGACGCCATCGGCGTCCTCAACTTCCTCACCCTCCACCACATCCACCCCTCCCCTCCATCTCCAACCCACTACCTCACCCTCGCGACCCGCCTCATCCACACCGTCCACAACACCCTCGGCCGCACCCGCACCAACCCCCCAACTTACCTCCCCAATGCCTCCCCCGCACACCCACTCTCCGGCGGGCTCCGGATCGGAAAACCCTCATCCACGGGTCCCGACAGCGATGGCCAATACCATCATTACCTGACGCTGTGGATGTTCGCGCTGAACCGCACCAGCGTGGCGAGCGGGGAGGGGAAATGGAATGATCTGGCGGTGGAGTTGGGGAAGGCGATTCATCCGAGATTCTTCGTGGGACAGAAGCGGGATCGGATGGTGTGGAAGATGGATGTGGGCTTGGAGAAGGTGTTGGTGGGGAGTGAGGGGAATTTGGACCCGTTGGATGGGTTTGTAGTCTTTCGATTGGTGCAGGCGTATAAGCAGAGTACTATCCCCCAGGATGTGGGAGATGGAAAAGGGGTCCTAGAAGACGAGATCGAGGATTACGCCCGAATCCTGAAGCGAAAAGGAAGACAGCGAGTCGCAGCCGATATGTTAGATCTGGGCATGACGTTGTGGACGGCGCATTGGTTTACGGGACGGGAGGAATGGGCGGATGAGTTGGTGGGGAGGGGAGGGGAGGTGGTTTGTATGTTCTTCCTTTCTTCTACTCTATTCCATCAGCATCCCTGGGGCTGTATCTTGCTAACTACATCCAGACGACCTCTTCGAAGACGACCGCTGTCTCGACCGGGATATGCGGTTCCGATTAGCCTTCCGCGAATTCGGAGCGGCAATGGGCATTCGCTGCGTGGCGGAGCAAGAGGCTGAGAAAGACCGTGCCGTGGATCTGAAGGTCTATGCGGATCGCATTGTGGAGTGCTGGAAGCCGCATATGAATGATGCGGAGGAGGATGAGCTCACGCCTATTACGCAGGTGATGTATGCGTCGGCGTTGATTCCAGGCGGTGAGTTATATACCCTACACTGCACTACACTACACTACACTATACTTCAACTATCATGGGAGTAGAAAAGCTAACAGGGCAGCGTTTCAACGGGGCTTCTTTGGTCCGGAGCCCGTGGTGCCAGAGCGGACATTGTATGACTAGAGTGAAGACGTAGTATTCGTGTATAGTGTACTCTACCCATAAAATCTAATCATGATGCCGCCGTGGATACTTTATGTTATACACCCGGTAAACCCACCACATTCCTCCACTCGGGGACCCGTCGGGGCAGGATATAAATCGTGTACACGGTGCCGAGGGCAATCAACAAGCCAGTGACCTGCACATATTAGCTCCACCCATACCCACACATACAACGAAAATAAAAGAGAGGGGGGGGGGGGGGGGGGGGGGGGGGGGGGGGGGAAGATAGTGGTAAAGGGAGAGAACATACCTTCTCAAACCACGTATGAAACCAAATAGCAGTCATCAACAACATCCACCAGCCCAACCCCGCAACCATCCACGCCAACCGCCCGGACCAATCCCTCACCCCATCCATCTCTCCCTCCCCTTCCCCAACCTCATCCCTATCCCCCTTCTCATCCTCATCCTCACCCCCCTTCTTCCCCTCCCCAATACCCCCACGAAAATCTCTCCTCCCCGCCCCAACAACCTCAAAAACCACCACCGACACCATAACCACCAACAAAAACACATGTCCACTAACATCATGCCCACCTCTCCACGCCCCTCCCACAGACTTACACGCCACGGCCGTCACCACCGTTTTGAAATCCACCTCATCCCCTGCCCCCTCATTCCTAATTGCGCCCTCAACCAACGGAACAACCCTCTCACACCCACCCCCCGTCATCACGAACCCCCGATCCATAATCGGGGGTCCGAAGAACCATTGTGTGATTATGTACCATACGCTTGTGGCAATAGCCCACCTAATGCCAGCTTGAAGGGTCCGTCGAGCCCGGTGAATCGGAGCGCGGGTGTATGCAGGCTGGGAGAGGAGGAGGCAGAGGAGGGTGAGGGTTGTCCAGAACCAGCCAATTTTGACGAAGTAGAGGTTGAAGATGTTGTCTTTGCGGGCGAAGTAGTTGATTGGGATGGTCGGGGGCAGAGGGGTGGGTGTGTTGAGGTCGGTGGCGATGGAGGGGGCCAGGGGCGGTGTTGGTGGGAGCGGGAGAGGGATTGGTTTGGCGGTTGGGGAGAGGATGCTGAAGATGCAGCCTAGGAGGAGGGTTGCTGGGTAGATGAGGAGGAGGGTGCTGGGGGGGTGGTGGTGGTGGTGAGATCGGTTGTTTGTTGTTGGTGGTGGTGATGCTGGGGGTGGTGGTGTTGGGTCGGGGGATGGCATTGTTGGCTTTGCTTGGTAGAGGCTCGGATGTATTTATGTTGGGAGGTTTGGGGTTGGTGGCTGCGACTCACTTATAAAGGCGCAATTGGTGACCGAGGCTGGGGAGTGGTGGTGCAGGAGAAAAGAACTGCAGTCGCCGGATGACGTCGGTTTGGTGTGGCTTTTGCTTGGTTTCCGCCCCAACCAGCCGGCGCCACCGCGAATGGCTGCCGCTGAGGATCCATGAATCACGACTCTACATGCAGGCGAAGCCACGGGCTTTATATTTAACGTTATTTAACGGCATAGTGTCTTTGGATTCCTGAAATACTCCTAACGGCGGTATCAATCATCGATCGCCATTTTCCGCCATGCTAAAGTCTAATCACTCGGCATCTACCTGCTTCTTAGAATAGGTCGCATAATCATTAATCATCTCTACTACACTAAGTACTAGTAGCTATCTACTGGACAGTAGGCAAGGCCGCACGGAGCGGCAGCTTCCGCGATGAACTACCCACATACACCGTCTTGGGATACGACGTGATGGTCCAGTCCTGCGCCGCAACATCCCAGTTCGCCAGGTCGCGCCGCGTCAAGGTCGTGCTCCACTCAACCTCCTGCGACGGCTGGATCGTGATGCGGTCGAACTTGCGCAGCACGATCTTTGCATCATCAGGGCCGCCAAGCGAAACATACTACACTCGTTAGCATCAATCAATCACACATGATTCAACGCATCTTACCAGTTGAGGAACCTCGTCACCCGCAATCTTGCCAGTGTTCTTGATGGTCGCCGAGACGCGGATGAGCTCGTCATACAGCCGGGGATTGCCGCCAGGACCACCACCCGCAGCCAGGATCGGCTGGGCAGAGCCGTCGGTACCACCCTCGGGGATATACTCGGAGGCGTTCAGGCCGTAGCTGGCGTCACCCGAAGCCGCCTGGAGGTCCGTGGTGTTGAGCCAGGGGTAGATGAAGTCGGTAATCCGCTCCAGTCCGTCAGGGTAGAGGTAGTCCGAGGCGTTGCCCGCTTCTCCCAAAGTCGGGGCGGCCTCCGTCTTACCAGTAGCAGGGGTGTACGCCGAGGCATTCAAGGTCTGCACCTGCAGGTTCGAGTAGTTGAAGGTGGTGTAGCTCAGACCGTAGCCGAATTCGAAGATCGGGGTCTCGTTGCGCTTGTCAAAGCCGCGGTAGTCGATGAAGATGCCCTCGGTGAAGTCTTCCTGCGGCGCCCCGTCGCCATTGTTGGCCTCGGTGATCAGGTAGTTGCGGTACGACTCCCGGGTCTTACCCCAGGTAAAGGGCGACTTGGCACCCGGGTTGACACGGCCGTAGAGCACATCGGCGAGCGAGTTGCCAGACTCCTGGCCGGGCAGGCCAGCCCACAGAATACCGGTGACATTGGGGTGGTCGTACCACTCGGTGACCAGAACCGGTCCGACCGAGTGGATGATGACAATCGTGTTGTTGCAGTTGTTGGCAGCAGCCTTGACCACATTGTCGCCGTTACCCCACAGCGTAATGTTGTTGCGGTCACCCATGTTGCCATCCACATCGATGTAGCCTTCACCCGAGTCGGCGTTGACAAAGACAAGAGACACACTAGTGCATGGTCAGCGTGGCAATCAACAGCACCTCGGATTCTTACCTGGCTTGCTTGGCGAGCGCCTCAATCTGGTCAATGGCCCAGCTGTCGGTCACGGCAAAGACATTGCCCTTGTTCTTAATCACCTCGTTTTGGATCGCCTGCTCGGGGGTAATCAGGTAAGGGTAGTTGGAGGTACCACTTCCCCAGCCCATAGCCAGAGTGCCGTTGTTGCATCCACGGTCACTGCAGCCGTTGGCACCGTAAGCGTTGGAGCCGGCATCTTCCCCGATCAAAGCGACCAGGCGTTCCTTGCCAGTCAGGGGCAGAACGTTCTCGTTCTTGAGGAGCACCGTGCTGTCGGCGCCAATCCGGCGGATCAACTCGCTATGGTTGCGCTGCACGTTCACGAACTGATTGACCTTCTCATACGGTCCCTCAGACACGTAGTAGTACTTGTAGCCGTACTCATCACGGGTCCAGGAACTGAAGTTAGGAGGAGTCCACAGGCGGTCCCGACCGACCTTGTAATAGGCGGCCATGATGCGGACGGCCATGTCATCCACACGCCACTGGGGAACCGTGCCGTTGAGGACACTGATGGTCAGGTTGGCACCCCAGTAAGATGTGCCACTGTCGTAAGTAACGTCTCCAGGCATAGACATGTCCAGACCCGCCAGAGCAGCGCCGACACCGCTGTGGTGGGCCTCCCAATCGCTCATCACGAAGCCCTGGAACTCCAGTTCCGACTTGAGCAGCTTGTTCAGAGCGTAGCTGTTCTGGCAACCGTAGCTGTTGTTGATCTGGTTGTAGGAGCACATTACCGCACCAACACCGGCGCGGACAGCATCCGCAAAGGGCCAGAGGTACAGCTCGTGCATGGTCTTGTCGTCGATGTTGGCGCTACCACTCTCGGTGATGTTGTATCCGTATCCTTGAGCCTCGGGGGCCTGGCGGAAATGCTCCTGCTCATAGCCGATGAAGTGCTTGGCTGTCGCAACCACACCAGCATCCTGGATACCCTTGATGGTTTCTGCAAAGAGCACACCAGTCAGGGCGGGGTCGGGAGCGAAGCCCTCCCAGTTACGACCACCGTCGGGACTTCTGCCGAGGGGACCAGCAACCGGGCCCAATTGGATATCAGCACCCTTGTCGCTAAACTCCTGGCCCATAGCCTTGCCACGAAGGTACGCGAGGTCCTTGTTCCAGGATGCGGCAACGTTGATGCCAGCAGGGAAAGCCGAGTTGTAATCAGCTGCAGGGTGTCAGCAAGAGCATCCTAGTAGAATGGAGTTCACTCACAATCACGGACACCCAGGGGACTATCCTGGCCACACATGCCCGGTATTCCCAACCTATGACACTGTCAGCGCTGTTCGCATGCGAAGGCTTTGGAACATACCGAGGAACACCGCCGGTCTGACCAACACATTTCTCCAATTCCCATCTGAAGCTTGTTAGCAAAAGAACATTGATGCGCATGCGCCATGAGCATACCCAGTTCCCGTGGTCAGGTTGACCTTCTCCGCCAATGTCATCTGTGAAACAATGTCGACGGCACGCTTGTACGCGTCTGCCCATTCACCCTTGCCATTGGCCCAGGGGGAGGGGTAGAACGGGGGAGAGTAAGCCAATTCATCCTATGTCAACAATGGTCAGTGACAGTTCGAAACAATCGCTTCACACGACAGAAAGCACATACAGCGCTGACCACCGAGGCGGCTGTCAAAGCCGCCGCCTCGATCCAAGTGAACTTCATCTTGCAAAATCACCCAAGAGGAAGAAAAAGAAAGCTGAGCCAGCCGCACAGCACTGTCCAATGGGGAGATTGGGGTTGGGAGAGAGCAAACGAGGGAGAAAGAAAGGGGGGCTCGGCCATATTAAATAGTTTGCGCCACGAACCAGCTGGGCCACTCGCTCGGAGAAGTGAAGAAGGCCGACGATGATGTAGGCCAGTGCAGCTGTCTCCGCAAAGCTACCCACTTATGCAATTGGAGTCCCGCACGCCGTGTTAGAGAGAAAGACACGCTAAGCATGGGCGATGATCCGGCATGCTGATCGACGTGGGATGCCCCGATTGAGCGACCAGGTGGAACAGTGCCAGACCGGCCCTGGCAGCGTCGGACATCAGGCAAGCAAGGCGCTGTCGGGGACTGCGAGAGCTCCAGCATGATGCATTCGGGCCGGCACCACCGCCAACACACAAGAAGTCAGAAGGTCAGGTGAGACCATTGACCAGGGTAAGGATTATTCCTAACCTATCGTCATCTTGGGACTTGGGAGGAGTGGTCAGAGCCCCGCTTCCCTGGAGTACTATCCGGTAGACTTGGAATACCGAAAGCTGGGGGAAGCCATTCAAGGGACGCCGCGCTAGTCCGGCTGAGGCCAAGTGTCGGGCCAGGGTCGCCCCGGTATTGGTATTGCCAGTACCGACACCGTTCAGTCCCTGCAGCAGTGGGTAAGCCGGGCCATACATAGTTACAGAGTATTCACGACTTACGTCAAGACACTCATCAGATCCTGATAATCCAGATCATCCTTCGCTGTATGTCTGATCTGTATCCCTATCAGATGGACTATCATTCTTCACTGAGACACCCCCATCAGTCTATCGTGATGCAAAGTCTGGCTCATTCCGACCACCTTCCGATAGGTCGTGTAACCTCCATACGGCCAGGCACCGACCGACAATACGAGGCAATAAGCTTCGAACTAGCTGTGTCTGGCAAATACCTCTGGCGCATGGCAATGGAATGCTCAGAGCCGACCAATCTTTTCGTCATTGGAGGAATTACTAGTCGCTTGAGTCCCATGGATTCATGCCGTCAAGCACATTGTTGGCGGCGTCCAGCCAGAAGAAGATCCCCGGTCCGGCTGGACGTCTTACCGCAGGGATCCTTCGTGTTTTCTCTAAAAGTGAAAAGGACCCCAGCATTCCCCGCATTTCCCTACAGCTTCCCGTTGGTCGGTCCGAGTGCACAAACACCAACCCTCCAACACAATGCCAGTTGCCTGCGCCATGTTAGACAGGCAGATACCGCCAAGGTCGGACTCTGAGCACAACAAATGTCATCGTACGCCATGGCCTGATTCCACCTTACGTCGACGTTCACTGGCCGCAAGGGTCAGCCCATAGACCACGCCGTACTCACCTTGGGTCTTGGTCCGGTCGGTGGACAGGAAATACTCACCCGGCAGATGATGGGTGAGGTAATCCTTCGCCTACAACCTGAATCGATTTCCGTCGTAAGGAGGGAACGAGAGTGGAACCTTCCTAGACTCCAGAGGTACTCGCCAGAATCCAGCAGTACTTCACCCCAATCCTTCATCGCCTAATCCCTCAAGTCCACTCCATTTATCCAGATTACCGGTTAGCTTGGAAAATTTTTCACTCCCGGCTAAGATGACTGCGATGGGGCCCAACGGCGAGATGGTGGCTTTGTACCGATTCCTCGGACAGGCCGCACAGAACAATCTGTTCAACTCGGTGCATGCTAATGATGTCCTATCAGAGTACTCGGTCTCGCTGCTCGCATTCGGTGAAGTCTCGGACAAAGTCCGGAGCATCCTACCGACGGCCACGCATCACCGGTAGGGCGGACATGACAGTCCACATGGCAGTCCGGTGACATCCAACCATGACTTTCGTCGGACAAAAAAGTCCGTCGGTATTGTAGGAAAACCTGGATTGGTGGCTGCTGCTCACGGTCGGTTGCCGCATGCACGCCTGTAGAGTGGCCAGTCGGGGTTGTTGGGGATGTGGGGAATCTCCGTGGGGTAATGGCCCTATCCCGTCATTACTCATTCACGACTAGCAGGTTCTACGGCTGATTATGTGTGGGGTTGAGTCATTTATTCCTTTCTCTACTAGTTACTAACTAGCCAACTTGCATTCTTCACGCGGTACGGAACATCTAGATAGATAGGATACACTGCCGTGGAGTACACGACATTGCATGACACTGCGGGTCCAGTGTCTTCGCTATGAATTCCAGTACTCCGATCACGGCCATCTGCTTCACAGGAACACTCGCTCATCGCTTTTTCGCCCGAGACTTCCGAACTCCAGGCTAATCGGCTCAAGCGACATCTGCCAAGTTCCTTGGCCTGCTCGACTCGAGCCTCCAACACCCCCACGCCATTTTCCCGTGTCTCTCACAGGTCACAGCACCACCAGACATACTGCCGAGAACGACATTTCTCCGTTTCTGGCCTTGTTTTCAGCTAGGCATCCCGATATTCCAAGACCATCCTGACTCCGAAACTCAACGGAGTCAACAGTCAGTCACGTCGCCGACTACTCCGAGCCAAGCATCCGATGTCTCTTCCGTACGGGAGGATCAAAGTGATGCACCTACGTCACAGCCATATAGTCGGGTCAAATACAAAGCCAGACGCTAAATGCTCACAAGCACGGCGTACCCCGAGCATGCATTGACAGTTAAGCCGAATTGGTACTACTGCATCATAATCACTGAGCCATACATGGTGCAATCACTAAGATAGTAGTAACCGGGCACCATCATACCCCGCCAAAGACCCGAAATGTCTTTTTCCGCTTCATCACTATCAAGTCCCCCCGGTGTGGGGTTCGTGCCGAGTCTGGAGTCTCCGCCTCCAGCCACAACCGCGACAGCCCATACTCCGTAAACAGACAAAGTTCCTCCACGGCCACGGCTGAACCCGAAGGGGACCCATACAAGCCTGTGTTCCTGCCGATGATTACCCGGCCAGCAGGCAGGTGGTTATGATGTCAATCCTACAGACAGAACAGCCCAGAAGGCAGAAACAAACATAGTGTAGCCTGGGAGGGAGTACAGAAATCCGTCCTCCGGACATTCGTCGGGCTTGAGCATTTAGCGGAGGGTCTGAGCGGTCCAGCATACTGTCATACTACGAACTAAAGCTAGACCAGGATGTTGTTCTTAGTGTATACACTAACTTGCATTGCCGGTCAGGGATGATTGATTTTTTCCTTTGTCTTTGTTTATGGCTGTGACGTTATCGTGCATGGGTTCTTTGACTCCCTCTATGCTATCTACTACCTAGCAGGGTTCAGTTACACCGAGAATACTACATAGTACTTTTATCCTCATGTAGCATTCCTTTTTTTCACTTCCTCTTTTCTTTACTTAGGAATCTGCGTCGCGTACCGTATCTACCAATCATATCAATTTCCTATTTCCTCCCTCACCACCTATGAAAACGAACATACCCTAAACCAATCCCCAGTCCCCAATCCCGCAAAACCAAAACAATTATCAAAAAAAGAGGAAACAGCCCCAACGAAATAGAAAGCCATACACATTATTTACTGCTGCTGCTACAAGTACCCCCGCCTAATCTATAATATCCCACCACGCAACTCTATCAAAGTACATCCATCCATCAATTTCGAAGACCACGCGAGAGAAAGAACATGTCCTCGGCCGGGTAATTTCACTAAAGAGGATTGCCTAGCGTCAAATAATATAAAATCTGAACCTGAATCTTATATTATTTATTACCTACTTTGATAAGTAGAATGCTTTGGATTCGGCTCTATGCTTCATTTGGGATAGTGTGCAACCGTGGACATGGTTTAAGGTGCTGTGTTTCTTTAGAAGACAGGGAAGAATGCGCTTCCGGTGTTTGGGTTAATGATATGCATTGTTGGATGGTGGTACACTATACTGGAGATTTACTCTGTGGCATAGTATCACGTGATATGCAGTATGTCACTGCTCGATGCTGATTGGTTGTAGACTGGGTGATCCGATATATGGCATCAAAACCCAGTAACCAGGGTAGGACTATGGCTGGTGTTCGTTCTTTCATCATGCTACATTCCTGTGATTTCTCAACACTTCATAAGTGGTTACAGGATGGTTCACGAAAAGCATCATCCGGATGATGTAGAAGCGTGCAGGGAAAGTCAACACCATGACAACGCTGAACAAGGCCCGACATCTGCTTTTCAGCAGTTGGCTATACTAGACCGCTTCCTTGCGGTCTGGATATTCCTTGCCATGGCAGTGGGTATTATTCTGGGGAATTTCGTCCCTAATACGAGCAAAGCGCTAGAGAGGGGAAAGTTTGTGGGCGTTTCGGTGCCTATTGGTAAGTTGTACATCTGGCTAGAAGAGCATACGCTGACAGTATCAGCAATCGGTCTGTTGGTCATGATGTATCCCATATTGTGCAAGGTGAGGTTTGAAACGCTGCACCGATCGTTTCGGGAAAAGGATCTCTGGATCCAGATCGGTTTCAGTATCGTCGTCAACTGGATCATAGCTCCTCTGTTTATGGTATGTCAGTTGTCGCCTCGGGCAACAGCAGCTAACATGGGTAGCTTGGTCTGGCCTGGGCATTCCTCCCTGATGAAAGAGGTCTCCGAGAAGGTCTCATCCTCGTCGGTATTGCTCGATGCATCGCCATGGTATGTTGATCACCGCATGGCAAGTGCAAGCTGACGATATAGGTCCTCGTCTGGACGGGACTCGCAGGAGGGGACGGTGAATACTGCGCAATTCTGGTGGCCATCAACTCGATCCTGCAGATGGTTTTGTTTGCACCAATTGCAATCCTCTTCATCCGTATCATTGGTGGTGCGAACCATGGCCTGACAATCGACTATTCACTGGCGGCAAAGAGCGTCGGCGTTTTCCTCGGTATCCCCTTAGGAGCTGCGATCGTCACTCGCTTCTCCCTCAGGTTCTTGATCAGCAAGGAATGGTACGATAAGCATTTTCTGAAGTGGATCAGCCCGCTATCCTTGATCGGCCTGCTTTTCACAATCTTGGTTCTATTTGCGTCGCAGGGGAGACATGTAGTCCACCAGATTGTGTCCGTTATCAGAGTAGCTGCCCCTCTGATCGTGTACTTTGCTGTCATTTTTGGTGTCACTCTCGCGGTGACGCGGCGCTTCGGTTTCGGGTATAGATTGTCCTGCACCCAAAGCTTCACGGCTGCGAGCAATAACTTTGAACTTGCCATCGCGGTAGCAATAGCTACATTCGGTGTGGACAGCGACCAGGCATTGGCTGCCACGGTTGGGCCCCTCATCGAAGTCCCGGTGCTGCTGGGGTTGGTGTATGTGGTAAAGTGGTTTGCAAAAAGACAAAAGTGGGCACCATAGCCGGTCTGCCACATAATTTTTGTTGAACAAATATCAACTGCGATTTCAGCTGTTGCTGATCTCGTCCAGAACTTGAAACAGTATATGATTCTGCACTCTGCACCCTTCCTCCGTAGTAAGCCCTTTGGAGAAACCAGCCCAAAGTTTCCGGCGAATCTCCGTCATTTCCACCCCACGTGTGTTGTATTGGTCAATTAATTCATCGGCAATCGCACATAGCGTGGTATTCAGGACGTCCTCGTTGCTGGGCCACGATTCCATAGCTTCGTTGGGTGGACAACCACAGACGGATGTATCGCGAGCAGGCCCTTGGAGTTCTGGTGCACTCTGTAGCAAAGTCTTCGACTTGGATTCTGTAGCAGAGTCAGACTCAAGCCCGTCCTGTAAAGGCCCCAAGTCTTGTGAGTGCGGCATCCTCGACGCAGCATCATTTGATGAACATGGTCGCGCGCAACCGGGTCGGCATTCTGCCTCCTGTCGGTGTAGCTTCGGAATAGCGAGTTTCTCGGTCAGGGCCGAATTATCGGCCTGCAGATATTTTTCGATCGAGTCCGCCGCCAGGCCTGAGTGAGTCAGGAGGTATTTCAGCTTCCTATTCTCCGCCTCAAGCCTCTGCACGACCAGTCTGTTCTCCACATCCCTGCGACGAGCTTGTTCTTGTAGCGCAGCCAACTTTTGCTCTAACTCTCGGGTATGCTGCTGCTTCCGGGCGCGACTATTCCGTTGGTTCTCTCGGATGCGAGCAAGTCTGTCTAGGTTCTAGATACAGATTAGCATGTGTGGTCCACAGCTTAGGCGGCTTAGATCCAACCTTTTGATTCTTATTGGGGTCCATCTCACTGGATGGGGATCTGACCATTGTTCAGCAAGCGGATCCTCCAGAATGACTGGCCAACCAAAACAGTATCATGCTGCCCGGAATAGGTGGTTTGTGGGGTGAGGAACGCTGCGGGGATCCTGGGTGGCTCTTTTGCGTCAAATGATTCTACGGCAAGCCGTAGATGTTTCGGAGTGACTTGCCGGATTGGGATATATTGGGCGAGGGGTAACAGGACAGCATGGCTGGTTAAAGAATTCCCAATCACGGAGTATGGTGGCAGCTACAATCTAGAGACCTGACTGGGCAAGCTCAGATACCACCTCAGTCACTTGTTACTTGTGATAGAGGATGGTAGCCCTGCCAAGCCTAGGCATAAGCATCTTATCTTGCAAGTCGGATAAGGAAACAAGCAACCCCCGCGATGACCCACCGGTTCGTGAAATGCAAAGGACCAGTCTCCGCAAAGTTGAAGATCATGGCCGAGGCATTGGTTCTAGATCTTACTGCGGAGCTGCCCGATCTCAGGGTCCAACGAGGATGCTTGAGATGCTTGGCTCGCTTGGCCTTCAATCCATAGCGTAAAGTTCCATGCTATTGCAAAGTCAGTGTATAGCCATTGTCTACCTAGACTCCTGGGGAAGGATAAATGATTGCAGATATCGCTTTCTATGTTATGGACAGCAAGACTACCTGTCGGATAAACGTAAGAGGCGGGCCAAACGCGGTGGTCAGCCGGCGGAGAGTATATCCCCGCTACGGCCACGAACTGCCAGGGAGATCTCAGATCTCAGATCTCCGGAAGAATCTTCAGCTCAGATTGATATCCCGTCGATCCCTGAGATTCAAGTCAGATTGGCCCATCGAGATCGTGGAGGAAGAACGAACCCACCCGTCATGCCACCAAACAGGTGGCGCTTAAGCAGACCTGACCGACGTCACTAGCCGTCACGCAGACGCGCCCATGTCACTTCCTTTCGCTCCATGTGCTCCGTCTACCTCAATTGTCCTTTGCACTTCATTATCAGCTGAATGTCAATTTCTTCACTCCATCAGTGATCTAATCGCCTTTATACGATTCACTGCTCAAGTCATACCGTCATGGTCTCCACGCGACACCATCCCACCGACTTTCCGTCCCCTGCGACTGCGAGAGCTTCGTCGCCCTCAAGACCTTCAACACCTTCTACGAGCTCCAATGGCTCCACCAAGCGATGGGTGCATGTTCCATCTGGTGCCATCACCCTCTGGCTGATCGTCTCCGTCCCGCTAGTTTTGTGGGATGCCGGCTACGTGTTGCTGCGCCCTCACTCGATGCCGGGTAACAAGCTACATTCCCCGATCTGGACCCCGTATGCGCTTTATGGAACCATCGATTATATGTACGGCTGGCCAGCATTCAACGCGCGAAACGGTTTTACCGCGGCGCAAACTGTCCTGAACCTTGTCGAAACCGCCGGCTACATCTACTACCTGGTGATTGTGTATACACACGGGGTGTCAGCGGGGAACACGGGTCGAGGGCAGCGCAAGACCAAGAAGGGGCTCTTGTGGATGCTGAAAGAGTCCAAGGTGGTTTCTGGACGGACTGGAGCGACTGCGCTTCTGGTGGCATACAGTGCTTGTATCATGACTCTTGGAAAGACGATTCTATACTGTGAGCCATTGTCCTGGTGGGCTTCGAACATGGTCTAACTGTCTTGCAGGGCTGAACGAGGCGTTCTCTGGCTTCGACAACATTGGTCACAACGACCCCTGGACTCTGTTCTTCCTTTGGATCATACCCAAGTAGGCTCGCATCTCTTTCTTATGAGCTCCACTGACGGTCGCATTAGTGCTCTCTGGATCGTGTTCCCCGGCTACGGCGTGTATATTCTGGGCTCAGAGATTTTGGCGTCACTTGAGAGTGCCGTTCCACGTCAGCGAACTGGACGACCCAAATTGACGTAGGATCGCCGGGCAGGAAGCTCGGGTTAATGATGGTTGCATCCGGCTAGGCGGCACACGAGAGGGGAAGTCGCGTGCACCGCATTAGCTCTCTTGATATATTCGGGGTGGTTGGATGATTGGATGATAATGATAATAGGCAGGCTGTGGGACATGTCAAAGACTCTCACACGGGGGTTTGACAGCCTACCAGAACATAGGACACTAAGAGCTTAGATAGTACTACGGAGTAAACGTCAATCTAGTAAGCACAAGTCAGCAAACAGTAACTACTCCGTAAAGTAACTGACTTCCCCGGAATCAATACGGAATTACAGGCCAGTGAGAACCCCACTCGAACGCCATGCGTCGACGGTATTTGCCAACACCGCTGCAGTCTTCCGATACGTTCCTGAGATGCACGAGTCCATCACCGCTCCTCCCCCCTCGATTCCCTCGACTTGGTTCTCCGACTGTAATTTGGTCATGGCTAGTGGCTCCGCAAGGGTCTGGTTGAGTCTGTGGTGGTTGTCCAATGACTGCAGCCCCATATATATTACCACCGATGACACTCCAGGTTGCACGTTCAGCTATTGAACCTTCTTCCCACCCCCATGTTCTGGAAACCGCGCTCTTTATCGGCCGGTTTCTCCTGGATCCTATCCTGCTCCCCGCAGCCTCTCACGGAATTTGAACCCGTTCAGTGTCTCTGGGACGGTGCCGTTCAGCAACCACGCACCCCAGGATGACGGCGAGTGGTGCCAAGCCAGCCGTCCGCGACCGTCCCAGCCAGCCTTCCCCATACCCACCAGTTTCGACCACCGCCTCATCCCGCGGTTTCGTCCCGTCTTTCTCCCCAGACCACCACCTCCTCCAGACTTTGTGGCCGACTCCCTCCGAATCTACCCCCCTCCTGCCGAACGATGATCCGGGTCTTGCTCTTGGGGTATCTGCACCCATCATGATCCCTCCCGAGTCCGACGAGTCCCCTTTGGCCTCTGGCCTGGCCTTAGGTCACGACGATATCGTCCTCCCCGAAGACCTCGACGTCCATAGCCGAGCCAGCTCGCGTGATCCGGGCAGCGTCCAGACCGGCGGCGATTCGGCTGCCCTTCATGATCTTGGACCCGATGGCCAGCGGGACGATGCCAATCGCGACCCCGCACACAATGAGCAGCAGGGAGGCGAAAAACCCGCGTGGAGTGAAATGAAGACCAAGGCTGGAAAGGAACGAAAGCGCCTCCCTCTGGCTTGCATTGCTTGTCGGCGGAAGAAGATTCGATGTTCGGGTGAAAAGCCCGCGTGCAAGCACTGCTCGCGCTCCCGAATTCCCTGTGTTTACAAGGTCACCACCCGAAAGGCAGCTCCCCGGACAGACTACATGGCGATGCTGGATAAGCGCCTGAAACGAATGGAGGATCGCGTCATCAAGACCATCCCCAAGGAAGAGGCGAGGGATATGGCCGCCATCGGTCGGTCGGTGGTCCGACCGCCACAACCGGGGCAGACCACCAAGGCCCAGAAGAAGCGGACAGCGGATGAAGCGTTTGCAGCCGAAATGGACGAGTGGACTCAGGAGAGCCGCAATGGTCCGCAGGATACTTTTCCGATGCGCCGCGAAAGTAAGCCCGGCGATGCATCGGGCCTGATGACTCCGGGAGCTGAGTTCTTACCGTCATTGGAGATTCAGGAGCATCTGGCAGAGGTCTTTTTCGATTGTGTCTACGGACAGTCCTACCTCCTCCTCCACAAACCCAGCTTTATGCGAAAACTCAAGGCAAGGACCGTCCCACCCGTCCTCATTCTCGCCGTCTGCGCTGTCTCCGCCCGGTTCTCAACCCATCCACAGATCAACTCTGAGCCTCCTTTCCTGCGTGGCGAAAACTGGGCCAACCCCGCCGCTGCTATAGCGCTGAGTCGCCACGACGAACCTAATATCACTATTTTGACCGTCTTCCTGCTCCTGGGGCTTCACGAATTCGGCACGTGCCATGGCGGGCGGAGTTGGTCATTCGGCGGCCAGGCACTGCGCATGGCTTATGCCCTGCAGCTACACCGAGAGCTTGACCATGACCCACTACTGATTCAGAACAATGGCAATGGATCCCAGCTCAGTTTTACAGACCGGGAGATTCGAAGGCGTACCATGTGGGCCTGCTTCCTGATGGATCGATACAATTCATCCGGGAGCCAGCGACCGCCAATCGGGAACGAGAAATTCCTGCAAATCCAGCTGCCTATCAAGGAATCTCATTTTCAGATGGAGATACCCGGGCCGACGGAAGACTTGGATGGCAACATCCTCAACCCGGTCCCGGAGGATGTTGGGCAGCTATCAAATGCAAAGGAGAACATGGGCGTATCAGCCTACATCATCCGGGCCGTCGTCATCTGGGGCCGCATCGTCGATTATCTCAATCTCGGAGGAAAGAGACGAGATACGCATCCGCTGTGGTCGCCAGAGTCGGGATACATGCGTCTCAAGCGACAGATCGAAGAGTTCTCCGCATCGCTCCCTAGCTACCTCTTGTTCACCTATGAGAACCTTCAGATCCACGCCGCTGATCGAATAGCCAACCAATTTCTCTTCCTGCATATTATCATTCACCAGAACATGCTCTTCCTGAACCAGTTCGCCATCCCGCTGTCCCCGGGAGGACGTCCGCCCCGCGACATGCCCAAGGCGTTTCTGAGCAATGCTGGACGAGCCGCAGTGGAAGCCGCCCATCACATTTCGGTTCTGATTGATCGGGCGTCCGCCTATCCCCTGACGGTCCCGTTTGCCGGGTATTGCGCGTATTCGGCGAGTACCGTCCATATTTGGGGCATATTCTCCAAGAACGCCCAGTTGGAAGCACGGTCCAAGGAGAACCTCCGTCATACATATCGCTACCTCAACAAGATGAAGAAATATTGGGGTATGTTTCATTACATGGTCGAAAGCGCCAAGGATCGATATCGGCAATTTGCAGATGCAGCCATTAAGGGTACGGTAGTCACGCAGAACGGCGGACATCTGGCACCCATGTTTCAATATGGCGACTGGTTCGACAAGTATCCCCATGGCATGTCGAGATCACACTGGGAGGAACCCGACCCCCAGCAAAAGGCAAAGGGCGATGAGGGTGTCATGAGCCAACGGCCTGATCTTCAGAGCGTCGAGGAATTCTTTGCCAGCCTTTCTCCCACACCGCAGCCAACCGCGCCTCGTAGGCATTCCAAGAAGAGCAGCAAGGCCGACAGCGTTACGGGATTCGATGGACCAACGCCTCCACAGTCCATGAACGAGATCAACATGGACGGCGCGCCGGGCATGCTGGGGACAACCGGGACGGGATTCCCTCAGCCCGCCATGTTCAACCAGAATCGCGCGGGACAGCAGACATTTGCACCTCCGGGATTCGACTTTTCCGTGCCCGCTGCGGACCAGCTCCCACAACTAGACCGACAATTCGTCTACGGCTCTTTTAGCGAATTCGACCCTTCTGCATCCCTGGTTCCGCCCGAGAATCCACCACCCGTGCCTGTGAATCGTCCTGAGGTTCCTCCGAACCAGGACCCGTCCGCCATTTTCACCGGCCAACTGGATCCGAATGCCCCGTCGGGCGCAGGAGAATACTACCAGCCCAGCGCCTGGTTCCTGCCATTCAACCTGGACCCTGTTGGAGCGGGCGACCTTGATCCGGGTTCCCAGCCCGGGAACAACCCAGAGCTCGGCTTCGGAGGTATACCCATGGGGGCATTCGATCTGGGCTTGACCGGTGTGAATCGAGGGTCCCAGGCATGATACCTTGTCCGCCAGCGCACTGGTAGGACATGTTTTGATTTAGTTAGTTTCTAGCGGGTACTCGGCGGCGGGACGGACTGGTTTGAGATACGGAGTTTAATGCATGCAGAGCTTGGGTCATGATGGATTGACGTGTATTATATCATGGCTATATACCTGTGGGAAGAATAAATACTATTTTTAAATCGCTGCGTATAGTCTGCGGTCTGTACATGATCCCGCTACCTGCCCCTGCTATGGAAGATTGAGACCACCCATCAGGAACACAAAAAAAAATCACAGCCCACGTGCCATATGATCACTATTTAAAAAGAAAGCAGCATACAATGGCAAGTATGAAGTGGTGAAAACCAAAAAATGCACTGTCGGGGAGTCGAACCCCGGCCACTCGCTTGGAAGGCGAGTATCATAACCGTTAGACTAACAGTGCTAGCTTGTTATGTTATCTCGATGCCTAATTCAATTCATGTGCATAACGCCAATAATGAGCGTTGAAACTGTTTACCTCCGGGAATAACAACTCGAAGTTGCTGGTGGGAAGAAACTATATTTACCTGAAGTACGGAACTTAGTTCAAGGAAGGAAGGAAGGCAGGCAAGGGGGGGTTATAGGGCCTAGAGGATGAAGATAGCTATGACTATCTGAATCATGTGTTCGGTTCGTAGTTTCGTGTAGGTTCTACGGAGCACTCTTCAAGTGATTAATTGCTTTTTGCGAATCATTATCGGGTGGTGGTATTATACTCTTATATACCTCTAGGAGATACTTCACTTGGGAATTGAGACTAGCAATTGTGTACGTTGGTTGGTTGTTAGGTTACTAAAGTGAAATTGAAAGTATAGTCTGGTACTAGATATATTAGCTTAACGACAGGAAAGAAAACGAAGAGAAAAAGAAAAGAAAAGGGAGGTGACAGGTCAATGAGGCTAATGAGCATAGATACTATCTATTCCTTCTACAAATATAAAATGGATACGTTCACACCTTCAACAAATTATATCGAACCTTACGCCCAATAGTCCATCATTATTCAAATCGAGTCCTACTACCTACCTATACTAGCCAACTAAAACGGTAGTTGATATATACTTTTGCACATTGGTACATAGGTTAATCCAAGACTGCCCTTCTCAAGGAAGCATCATTGGTCTAGTGGTAGAATTCATCGTTGCCATCGATGAGGCCCGTGTTCGATTCACGGATGATGCATTCTTTCCAGCACTGTTAGTCTAACGGTTATGATACTCGCCTTCCAAGCGAGTGGCCGGGGTTCGACTCCCCGACAGTGCATTTTGCTCCCCTTGCTGTCTTGCATGGGAGTTGCGTTTATGTTTTTGTTATTTTTTTTTGTTGTTGGCTGCCTGGTTGTATTCCTTCTACCCCGTAACGGTGGTTGGAAGGGGATTGGGTTAGGTACCCCACCCAGGTTCTATCAGGGTCCTCTCATGGATCCGAGCATCTCTTCTATACTCCGTACGACCACATAAATCGATGAGGGGGATAAAACATAACGTATATCATGCATTTCATATCACGCGCTTAATCAACATCTGTAACGTCCAGTAATTGTACAATACAATACATTTGCCCATCATACTGTTCTCAGAAACGCATCAGTCCTCCCACTCCTCATCTAACTGGTCTATGAGTCGATTCTCGGCGTCGACGTCGCGACGCCCAAAGCTCCCGCGTTGGTTGACGCTGCCCCCGCGGCTATGGCCCAGGGTTGGGGAGCGCTTCAGACGCAGCAGACGGCCTAGGGAGGAGAGGAGGATGACGACCATGTCCTGTTTGGTGGGCAAGTTAGCCTAGGTTCGAGATCATATTCTTGATACAAGATAGAAGACACTGTATATGTTCATAGACAAGCAAGGAACTCTATCTAGATCGTCCATATCCAGACAGGACTATTGACAGGAGATCCAGCTCTATGCACCTTGCTTGACCGTATAGCAAGACAGCCGTGGTCAACACAGACTGTTCGATCAAAGAGTGACGACAATGAAGCAAGGAAACAAGATGCAACCCAACACATCAATCCATCCTCGAAATGGGTAACTTTGCATTGCCAAACTCCGGGTATGAGGGCTCGCGGCGTCCAGCTCGGGATCGTCGGAACGGGATCAACGCCAGCATACTTACTTTGATAAAGTCGAGCATCCCCGCCCACAGACTGAAGTTTGGGCATTGTCTCCAACCGCGCTGGTGCATGACGGTCCGTTGGTAGGCGCAACCACCGACCAGGTACACCGTGATGGCGATCAAGGCACTACTGCTGTTAGTGGTTATCTTATCGCGAGCTAGACTACTTACATCACGCCAAACACGCCGCCAGGTGACAGGCCCGGGTTGTCGGGAGTGGGCGCCGTGGCTCCACACGCGGCGGAGCTTCGCACTTCAAAGAAATACGAGCACTGATCCATCGTGCCGACAAACGAGACGGTTGCCTGGGAGGCGGGGGTGTCACGTTCACACAGGAACGACATGATGGTGGATTTGGTGCGGGCAGCATTGCCGATGTAGTCGCCGGCACACGGCGAGCCATTGGTATAGTTCATGACCAGCTTGCGGCCGCGAAAGAAGGGGTCAGAGGATTGTTGCCTACGTTGTTAGCTTGACCTCCAATGGACCGGCGGAGTCATACCCAATGGAGTAGACTTTACCCTCCCTCTCGTAGTAGGCGCTAACATTCCTCCACCGTGAGCGGTCGACCCCCACCACGTCCTTGACATCTTCGATCACGGGCGCACAAATATTTATCGTAAAGTTGGCATTGTAGTCGTGGCCTTTGGCGTGCCAGCTCTCTTCGCGGGCGTTTTTGCGAGACTTTTCGCCGTCGGCTGGCGGCGGAGATAAGGAGATGGTGTTGAGATCGTAGAACAGGCCGGTGGTGGGCGAACGGACGACGCATGGTGAGAGGGTATCTTTGGAGGAGGAAGAGTCGGCAGCCTGAGCAGTCCAAGAAGCAGCCAGGAGGAAGAGATATTTCAGCAGCGTGGGTGGCTTCATGGTGGAGATGCCGGACCTCGGGTCGGCGATAACGATGCTGTAGCCTGAGGGCGAACGACTGACACTGGTTGGATAACAGCAAGCAGCGAGGCAAAGCGAGGCAAAGGAGGGACGTGGGAGAGAGATAGAGGAAAAGAGCACAAGAGCAGTAGAGAAGTAGAAAGGTAGAGAAGCAGAAAGTACAAAGAGAAGAGGGACTACAGACAGGCGTCGTAATGCGCGGAGATGAAACGTCGCATTCTTGCGGAGAACCGACGCTGGAGAAGCTCTCACCGCCCGGCCCACTTCGATACTGCTAACTTTCCAGCTCCAAGAGTTCGTTCCTGGTTCACTCTCCTGACCACACCATGGCTTCTAAGAAGAACTCCAGGACCAAGGGTCCCATCCAGCCTGTTCCAGAGAAACGGGGCTATGAATTCGGAGGCCCGTAAGTGTCAATTCCATGCAATGCGAATGATACTAAACCAGAGCAGGCTCGGTGCTTTTGGAATCGTGTTTGGCCTCCCCGTGCTGGTCTACAGCTTTACCTTTTTGTGTAACGATGTCTCCGGCTGTCCGGCACCTTCGTTGCTCCACCCGTCGACGCTGTCGCTCGATCAATTGAAGGTGGAGGTGGGTTGGCCAGAGGAAGGACTGGCCGCGTTTCACGATACGCGCGTGACGCTGTGGGTGCTGAGCTACTATCTGCTCAGCTTGGTGATGCAGGTGTTTCTGCCTGGTCAGGAGGCTGACGGGACTGAATTGGCTTGCGGGGGACGACTGCGCTACAAGTTCAATGGTAGGTACTTCACCCGACCCGCGTATCCATCTAACATATGACAGCCTTTCTTTCCGCTGTTCTGATCCTCGCCGGATGTGCTGTCGGTACCTACGTCCACGGCGCGGACTTTGTCGTCTGGACCTTCCTTTGGGACAACTACCTGCAGGTCATCACTGCCAACCTGCTGATCTGCACCGTGATCGCCATCTTCGTCTACGCAAAGAGCTTCACCGTTCCGGCCCCCGGCCAGCCCAACCCGGAGCTCCGACAGCTGGCACCCGGCGGCCACACCGGCAATGTGCTGTATGATTTCTTCATTGGCCGGGAGCTGAACCCGCGGATACGCCTGCCCATCCCGTTTGTCAGCGAGGCGTCGCGCACGATCGACATCAAGTCGTGGTGCGAGATGCGTCCGGGCCTGCTGGGATGGATCATTTTGAACCTGTCCAACATTGCCCGCCAGTACCGGACCTACGGTTACGTCACGGACTCGATTGTCATCTCCACTGCCTTCCAGGCGTTCTACGTGCTGGACGGGCTGTACATGGAGCCGGCGCTGCTGACGACAATGGACATCATCATGGACGGCTTTGGATTCATGCTGTCGTTTGGTGACATGGTGTGGGTGCCGTTCATCTACAACTTCCAGACGCGGTACCTTGCCGTGTTTCCGTATGAGCTGGGGGTGACGGGCATTTTGCTCGTGCTGGCCGTCACGGCTGTGGGCTACTCGATCTTCCGGGGGGCCAACAACCAGAAGAACCGGTTCCGCACCAACCCGAATGACCCGCGCGTCAAGCACCTGCAGTACATCCAGACGGCTAGTGGCTCGAAGCTGATCACGTCCGGCTGGTGGGGCTGTGCGCGACACATCAACTACCTTGGGGACTGGGTGATGTCGTGGTCGTACTGCTTGCCGACAGGAATTGCAGGCTATGCTATTGTCCAGAGCGTGAACTCGGCAGGCGAACTGCAGAGCCAGGCGGTGCAGACGGCCGAGAGCCGGGGATGGGGAATGGTGTTTACGTACTTTTTCCTGGTGTACTTTGGGACCTTGTTGATCCACCGGGAGCAGCGGGACGAGGAGAAGTGCAAGCGAAAGTATGGCAAGGACTGGGACCGGTATACGTCCAAGGTGCGCAGTCGGATTATTCCTGGAATTTACTAGTCCCTCTGCCTTCACTCAGACCCCATTAAAAACCTGTATTATACGCTCCAATATTTGGACATGTATCAACCATATATAGTTTAATATCTTCTATTCTTTAAGAATGTTACCTCTTCCTCTTCTGCCCATGACTCTTATTATCAATCATCAACACATCCAGTCCCCATGCATCATCCCCTTCATTCGGCACCCACGGCACCAGCACTTTCTTCGCCTCTTGTATCGCCCGTTGCCGCGCCCTTCCTGCTGGCGTAGCCAAGATGGCTCTCTTGAATTCAGCGTATGATGGTGCTGCAACCACCTCTCTCACGTTCCGAACCCAGCCCTCATTCCCTCCTGCACCCCCATCTTCTCTCACAGGAGATATTCCATCCCCAGCCCCCGAAACTGAGACAACCAGATCCTTCAACCCCCCCCACATCCTCGCCCTCGACAACGCCGACGCCCCCTTCCCCACCGGCCTGGAAGCCTTAAACCCCTGCTTCATGCCATTAATAATGGTCTCATACAAGCCCGTCCTCGAGCCAGCTAGTTTAGGCAGCTGCTTGGCTCCGTTCTGCGCCGCGTAGACATCACACTCCCCGTTTGCCGATGCCGATGACGATGATGACCAGGGGGATGGGGCGGCAGTCCACACAGCCGATATAATCCCCGGTTTACATTTCTCCTCCCGAGAGGATGGTTTCCCGTATTGCCATAGGGAGGATATGGTTGGGGTTTGGACGGGGTGGATGGTGAAGGGTGTATACGTGTACCCACTTCCACTTCCACTTCCATTTACCTCTCCCTCTCCACCTTGAGATAGGGACTGGGGTAAAGATAAGGAGGAATAGAGAGGTCTCATCCTCCCCATCCCCCCAAACGCCCTCTCCACGCCCTCTGCACTCACTTCCCCCGCTGGCATCACCACCCCCGCTAAATACGCACTCGGCGTCACTGCTACCAGTAGGCTCATCTCCGCTGAGATTAGGGAGGAGACTTGTCGGAGGGCGAGCTTGTCGGAGCAGGATTTGCTCAGGGTCGAGGGGGCGTCGGCGCGGGCGGGTTTGCGGCGGACGATGCCGAGACGGGAGAAGTGGCCTCTTCCTGTTAGATTCATCTCTTTGGAGGGTTCTGGTTCTGGTTCTGTGCTGGGGGAGAGCGTGGGGTGGGTGGTTGAGGGGGTAGGGGTAGGGGGGAGTTCCCACGGCGTGGGATCATCCTGTGCGGCCATGGTGAGTTCCATGCTGGCGTCGCCGCAGGGGGCAGTCGTGCAGTAGAGGTAGATTCTTAGGGTGGGGTGGAGTTCGAAGGGTGCTCCTCCTCCTCCTTCTTCTTCTTTTTCTTCTTCATTTGAAGTTTCGTTGGGATCTTTGGTGATGGTGGTGATACGCCGACAGATGAATTTCGATTCTGTAGACCCCGACCCAGAACTAGAATCCGATACAGCAGCAGAAGCCCCAAGGAGGCATCTCACCTCACTCAACAACCAATAATTGAACGCGCGCAGGGCCAGGATCTCCGCATGCCAATCGTGCAGCACGAGACCGTTGCACGAGGGGAGTTGCGTGCTGGGGAGACATTTTGCGCCGGATCTGTATCCTTATTAGCTTGATGCCAATTACCCATTTACATTTCCGAAGAATAGATAGAAGTAGGATAGAAGTAGATGATAAATACATACGTTACAGCCACACACGTCAATTCCTCTTCTTCTTCTTCACCGTTCACTATATCACCTTCTACACATCGTAAGCTACCACCCAACCCCACTATACAATACAACACAACATAACACAACATAAACAACATGGTGCTGGTATAAGAAGAAAACCCACCTCGAACAACCACAACCCCACACATCGGAATCCATTCCCTCGTCCCATCGTCCCGCAGAATCGGTTTACTGCGTGGGGGGAGTCGATCAAAGTGTGCGTGGACCAGTCGGGCAATTTTTTCCCCGAGGGGACTATTCTTTTTTAGATTGGTGGACATGTAGATACTGATATATACGAAGTATCGCCGGCTATTTGTAGTGTATGGAGTAGTATGCTTGGATGGGTGAGTTTGCTTTTATATCGGGAGAGAGAGAGTCACGTGATGGTATCTTATCCTGCTTCTATCTTTCCTATCCATCCTATCCTATCCAGGTTAATCTCATCTACACCACCACCACCTACCTACCTCCCAACCAACCTACTACACCACACCACACCTCCACCCCATCGAATCCAAAACAAAGCAAGACATCATGGCCGACAAACTCCGCACGCTCCAAAACCTCGAAGCCATGCAAGCGCGCTACATCGGGACGGGCCACGCCGACACGACCAAATACGAATGGGTGTCGAATATCGTGCGCGACAGCTACGCCTCATACATTGGACATCCGCCCATGTTGTCGTATATGGCGATGGGAATGGGCGAGAGTAAAGAGAAGGTGCGCGCGCAGATGATTGAAAAGATGGTGAGGGGGGCGGGGAATCCGCCGGAGGTATGTTCTCTTCTTCTTTCTTTGGGGGGGTTGTTTGGTGGGGGGATGGGCTGGGCTGATTTGGGTAGACGCAGGAATAATTCGATTTCGAGTGAGGTTGAGATGGGAGAGATAGAGATTGGGCTGGGGGATGGGGTAATGCGATGCTGTGGACAATACGAGGAATTTCTTTATGAAGTGAGTTGGCGAGACTGGTATGGTCTGCAGCTGCACTCTACGGCAGGCAGGAGTCAGGCGTTAGGTTTTGTACAATACCTATGGTCAATTGAAGCTATGAACAATGCTAGGTCTATGCCTTTTCCGCCGCCAACCGTGTATTCTCACTTTGCAACGACCCGATCAAATCCAGCCACTGCTTCCGCTCCGCGCGCAATCGGTCCACCTCTTTCTTGAGCACCTCGACTTCGCGTCGTAGGGCATCACTTTCGGCCCGCGAGCGCCATTTCTCCTGCTTGTCTGCGTGTTTCTGCTGGCGCGCCTCAATCTTCGAAGCCTCCTTGACTTGGTCTTTCTCGATCTTGCTGAGCTGTTTCATCAGCTTGGACTCCTCGTGAAACAGCCCCGACGCGGCCTTTTGCATCCGTGCCGTGTCCTGGTCGGCCGATTTGCCGGATTGCCCTTTGTGCACGCTGCTCGCTGGACTGCTGGTTGCCTCGCTGCTCGCCTGATCCGCTGCTGCCAGCGCCGCCGTGGATGCCTTGTCACGCTTGGAGCCATCGACAGGAGATGTCACGCGTAGGGCTTGGATGTCGGCCCGTACGCGGTCCAGCTGTGCCTCGACGTTGCGCTTTCGCTCCGCCAGCTTTGCCAGCTGCTTCTCATGCGATGTCAACTTTCCCTTCTTATTCTTCGTCATCAGTTCCAGCGCGGACACATCGGGGCCGGCCTCCACTGATGAGTCCAGGGCCGAGTTCGCCGAGGGTGATATGGACACTTTGCCTGATGCCGCATCATTCTCGACCCCCTTCTCAGTCTCTGCTCCTTTCTCATCATCATCATCATCCTTTTCATCCTCTGAAGTCTCCCCCGTCACATCCGGGACTGGAGCGGACGGCTGGCGGGAGTGAGGCAGATAGTCCAGCACCGTCTGCGGTGCATACCGCTCGAGACCAGCATTGACCAGGTAGGCGAAGCTGGCAATCAATCCGTGGTGTTCGACCTCGTCGTATTCGAAATCCTCCTCACTGTCCTCACTCTCTTCCTCTGCTTCCCCATCATACTGACTGCCCACCGACTTGTCCATGGACTTTCGTCCCTCCCCGTCCCGACACGCCCAGTTCAAGAACTTGATCGCATCCGTACAGATACTCTTCGGGGTGCCCTTCTCGACCATCCACCGCGGGATATTCCCCCCAGGATCACTTCTCGTCACCATCACCCACTCCACGGGATTCATACCCTCTCCTTCGACCGGAATCTCCCGAATAAACTCCACACTCTCGTACATCCCCCGAATATACCCCTGCACCGGGGGTGCCTCCTCATGCACACACGGCCGGGACACCATCATCCACTCTCTCCCTTTTCCCCCTCCACCTTGTCCCTGACCTGCCCCCTCCTCTGCATCCTCCCAACTCACAATCAAACTCACAAAGTCCCTCGCGGCCGTCGGTTTCGGAAACTGCGCCGAAACATGATACACCTGAACCCGTCCAATCACCTCCCCATTCCCATTCCCATTGCCATCCCCATCCCCCAAACCTGGGGCATTTACATCAACCCCCTCCACCAACCTCTCCGCCCCAATCCCTCTAACCGCCTGATCCGGCATCTTCCCCCTCCGCACCCGCTCCTCATTCCGCCGTAACGTCTCCCCCATCTCCCCCGACAACTTCTCCCTCCATCTCTCAAACGCCAATCCCTCATGCACGCTCCGTCGTCCAAACCAATGGCCCTTCCCGTCTGCCCCGGGAAGCTTATATATATTTATCTGGAGCGGGTTATCTTTTGGATTGGTGATTTTGATCGGCTTGCTCCATTCTTTGCGGAGTTTGTGAAGTAGCTCGGTTGCGTCGTTGGGGGGGGGTCCGTTTGTAGTACTAGTACTGGTACTAGGACTAGGAGATGTACTAGGGGATGGGGTATCTTTCCCCTCTGCGATGGGTACGGAGATTAATGGGTGACTAGGTAGCGCCCGCGACGGGCGGATCCTCCCCGCCGGTTGGTCCGCGTATCCGTTCTGCGGGACGTCATCCGATGAAGATGGTGATGGTGATGGGAGCGGAACGGAGTCAATAATGAGGTGGGCTTTCGTGCGGAGGTCGGAAAGGTAAGCGCGGAGAGCGGCGGGGTCGTTGGTCGGGAGGTCGGACCAGCTGGTTGGGGAGAGGGAGGTGAGGGCGTCTTGGAGGGCGAGGGAGTGGGAGGGGGGCATTTCTTTTGCTTTGGTGCGTAGGTTGGGTTGGGTTGGTTGTTTATGGAGGGGTCATGTAGATGATTTGATTTAGTGGTAGGAGTAGCAGTGGTAGTGGAAGCAGTGGTGGTGGTGACAATGCGGAGCGCGGTATGATTATTATGATGATTTCCGGTCCGGCATTTTCTTTGTAGATGGGAGGCAGCAGGTAAGCTGAAAGATGATGATGGTACCTCGAGCATGTCTGACGTCATGGCTCGGCCAGGCCGCGGGTGTCGACCCCTGACCACTGGACCAATACGAGTACGAGTACGGAGGACACTACCTCACTATAGTTACGATGTACGAAGTACTGCTCATTATGTCAGACTAATGCCAATGACAAGTATCAGTAATCCTAGATAAAGAACGAACACGGGCCCGGCCCTCCAGCATCCGATTCCCATTCCCCACGGAAGAACGGGCTATCCAGGATACCAGCCTGGATGATAGGAGATGACCCTACCGATACCACACGGACAGTAGTCTGTTATCGAAGATTTCCACAGTCACGGACTGTGTCAACCCGCCACAGGCGTAACAACCTACTGCACCGCGTCATGGTATCAACCTGCGCATACATCCTGATGTATACCAGCGTCGCAGACCAGTCCGATACCAGTACCGACCAGTAACATGCACAGCATACCGCGACAGAAACAAACAAAGCAATCAAAACATTCCTCATCCAAATCATATCCCAAGCCGCGAGGCTGACCAGGTCTTCATGACATATATGCGGGATTGAAAGTGTCAAACAAACAGCCGACCCGCCGCTCTTATGCATAGAAGGAAACAAACGCTAGCGCTGTCAAAGGCAAACGAAAGAAGTCACTGCTGTCGGTGTGTAATGCAAAGCAAAGGACGAAAAGAGTATCATGTGTCGCAAATCATCTGTAACGCCGTCATTGATGCCAATTAGTCTGTGGTGTATCCGTAGGGTGGCGTCTGTTCCGGCCCGGTGCCGTAGGGTCGGTATGCATCCTGGGATCTATTCCAAAGACACGCGAAGTCAGGATACCGTTAACATCAAGTGTCTGGTTCCATGGACCTGTTACATTGTTGTTCCGTACGGCAGTGTAAAGTCCTGGTACCGGTTCTCCCATCCAAACCCCGCCAGGCCCGCCGCCGTGCTGCACGGTTGCACCAACATGCTCGGCAGCGGGAGTGCCGCCAGGGCGGCCGACGTCGCCGCCGCGCTGTAGTATTGCGTCGCATTGTACGGGGAAGTCGTGTACGGTTGGCTGAACGTCGGCGACGTAAACTGTGTGTCCCCCATGACGTGCAGGTTGGTCCAGATCGGAGGATTCTCGCCGGTGCTGGTCGCGGGGCTGGAGGGCAGAACCTTCCACGATTCCAACGGCAGCGGTTGCGGCACCGTCTCCTGCCACCAGTTCGCCCCGGTCGAACTGGGCAGGAGAGGTGTCGACCGAAGAACATCGACCACCCGCGGCGGTGGGGGGAGCAAGGGCACGAACAGGCTGGTGATGGCTGCTTTGGCCTCGTCGCTGCGACCTCCGAGCAGCTCGCCGGCCCCATCCTCCTCGAGCCCTTCCAACGCGAGCGCATTGGTGCGATAGACGAACTTGTTGACCGCCTGCACGAATTCCTCCTGGAGCTTCTTCAGCTGGCTGTCCTTGTCGGGCCAGTCCCAGGTGCTGGCGGCCGTGTCGAGGGAATAGATGTCCTTGTGGTAGTCGACCAGAGCCTCGATGGTCTCTGGGGTCAACTTAAAGGCCACTTCGTTCTGGGACACCATGTCGACGTGCACGACGTACGCTTCGATGTGGATCATCTGATAATTAAAAACGGCCTCGACGAGCGGGTTGTCGTCCTTTCGCAGTTCCGCATCGGGGGCCTTGGGAAACATCATGGAGCACAGGGTCCAGATGGCGTTGGGGGAGGACAGCGTCTCCGTCAGACATCTGGTGTGCTGGGTGACATTGTTGAGAGGTCGTTTGACTCGGTTCACTCGCTTCAAGGTGGCCGTCAGCCACGGCTCGATCCGGGCATTCAGCACCACGTTCGGGGACGAGCGTGGTGCGAATGCGGCTGCCGACGAGGGCAGAAGAACGGTGGGCATCGTTAGACCGCGCGAGAACGGGCGAAGAGCGAGCGGGACTTGACGAGAAAAGAACGAAGGAATGAAGGGCGTATCAATAAAGAGAGAGATAAGATAGGGTGAAAAAAGACCATAGAGGCGACATTCGCCCACAGCGAGTGATTTTCCGATACAGTCCGAGCACTTCCAGTCACGAGGACCGAGGCGGAAGACGAAGGCTGCCTAGGTTGTATAGATTAATCCCCACCGGTAGGAATAGAAGTGGAGTGGTGGATTGTATAGGTCAAAATTACTGTGTGGGCGAACGCGCAAAGGAAGGTGAAGGAGGGTGAAGGAGAGAAAAGGAATGGCAACGGCGAGACGAAAGACAAAAGACGGTGGAGGAGGGGAGAAGAAAAGAAGAGCGCAGCGGAGACGGAGGGGGAAGAGAGTCGGAGACAAAGAAGAGACAGGCAGAGGGGCAACGAGCAGTCAACCACTGCAAGTTGATGGATGCACGCAGTATCGTACTGTATGAGGGGATAAACTCCAGCCTGTGGTATCGGGCGGATTTATACAACCGCAAATGAGGGGAGAATGGAAGACCCAACCGGTATGGAGTAAGTCGCATGGACTGGCAAAAGAAAAAAAGCAGCGACGAGAGACGAAGCGATCAATATAACGTTATCACGCCCCTTTGCTGAAACTCTGAAAGGACCAAAAGCGATCCGAATCCCAACTGGAAAAACCAGGAGCGTACACAATACCCATACCCATACCCAGACACACACACACTTTTTTACCCATCCAGCTTTGCCCGGGAGTTGGAAGTCTCCAATGGCGCAGGCCGGCGACTTTTTTTTTTTTTTTTTTTTCCTGCTACGTTTTTTTCCCATCCTTCCCCTCTTTTTTTCATTTTTGATTTTTCTTTTCTTTTTCTGTCCTTTTTTTCGCGCGCTCTCATGCAGACGCGGAATCCCGATCGTATGGTACAAAAGGTTTTTTGGCCACCGTCCGGATTGATCTCAGCAGTCCGTGAGAGACAAGACTCCAGAGAGGGCTGGGCTAGTAGGCTGCAGGTGTCCAGAAGTGTCGTCGGCAGTGGAGACCCCCGACGGTGGTTCAGTGGGCGATCCAAAGATGTCATTCCATTCTTTCCAGTCTTGTTCTGAGTCAAGAACGGGGCCAACCTAGACCAACCTACGATCGGAGCGGGTGTCCTCCGTATGGTACATCGGATGTATTAGATGCTACCGACTCCCTCTCGCTGGGTTCAACCGGCGCTTCCCAGTTCCCTAAACAATACCAACAAAGACCCAAGAAAGTTTGACCAAACCGCCCATCGTTCCCTGGCTTTGCGACTCATTTGCGCGGTTCCTTGATGGTCGAATCGCGTGGGAGAACCCGCTGGATTTGAATTCGACCCAGGTTCGGTATTCCCTCTGCATGTCCGATTTAATTCTGTTGGATCTGGTCTGGGCATACCACGGTGGGATAAGACGCCGGGCGACCAGACCTCGTCCGTGTCACAGGCACGACCCAGACTGACGGACGGACGGACCGTCAGTCTGTCTGACATGCCGTTCTCGCAGATGAAGTCTGCACAGATGGACGTTACACCGGAGAGAAAGTGAAGGGGGGGGATGGACATGAGCCGTCTGGGCACTGGCCGTAGCAGCAGTGCTGCAGCGCAGCAGCAGCAGCAGCAGCGCCAGCAGCTGGAGGCGCTGCAGAATGCAGTCAGTCCAGCGGGCAGGGCACGACGATGCAAAGAGGGCTGGCTAAGCCCCGATGGCTGATCCACTCCGGATGGATGGAGGGCTGGAGCCATGCATATTGCATGCACGGATGCATCTCGCTCGGCTCCTGGAAAACGGTCTTGGTCGGCAGACACCAGACTTGTCGGGTCGATTCATCGGTTATGAACACCACCCTGGCTGCTGCTCTTCTGTCCGGACTCCTGGAGAGGTGATGCTTGGGATGCCACGCGCAATATTCTTTGCTGACCCCCCTCCATCCTGTTGTGAAGATCACCCGATTGTCTGATATTCTAATGCCCAATCGAGTAATGCCCGCCACCAGTGGATCCGCCTTCAGCTGGCAAGAACATCGGCCTGAAAATTCGCGGCTTCTGGTAGGCTGGCGCCCCTCCATGCGGGTTGGATGCCGTTTAGTGCGATTCTTAAAATACCCAAACAGGGCATTTTCTATCTCGTCGCATATTAACGGACAAATGTAAGAGCCACAGAATAGTCATGATAATTTAAATTAAAGATCAAGCGCATCGAACTACACATCCACTGAAAGGTGTGAAATCTTGCGCGCACTGTTATACAGGTCGCGTATCGAGCTCATACTCGGCAGTATGACTCACAGCAGCAGCAGCAGCTGTTGTGTATACTGTACATAGTATAGTATTTTCAAGCTGAAGCACATCCTGTGGATGATGGAGGTTGGTCTGATAATCTACCGGGTCGAGGCAGAGGGTCCACAAAGCGCTGGCCAGTACGCCGTCGCACCGACTCGGTTCCAAACATCGTGACCCAGACTTCTGCCGCGCACTATGTATAAAATCAGATTGCTCGAGAGAAAGCCCTCCATAGGATATTGGCTATTCCCGATGTCATTATCTGGCACAGAGCAAACCAATTCTTAACAGATAGCACCACGTAAGATTGAAATAGGACACGATCAGGCAAGTGAAACGAACCCGGTCGTTCCAATCTCCAGCATTATTCGGATCCCCTAGTCCCACTTGGGAAGGGGAAAAAGACCTCAGACTCAGCTGATGAATCATGAGGGGTTGAGAGCATCGTGGGGCGAGCTAAATGACCTTGGAAGTTGGTGCAGTGTCACTTCTGGCCTCAGATTCGCTGGTGGCCACCGAGTCCGGCTCGTACGCCGCAGCTGAGATCCCTGCTACGATCTACCATTGGACTGGGCTCGTCGGCCGGTCATCTCCAGACTTTCTAGAATCGGAAGTCAGTCGGCCTGGTAAGAAATGATACTCCGTCATTACACGCAGCACCGCGTCGCGAAAAAGGACTTTCTCCCGTCGAACTCCCCCCCGATCTGCATGCATGCGCTTCTCGCGTTGCCCTGAACCACCCTAAAGAGTAGGACTCGTCGCTAGTCTGCACGCCCACCCGCGGCGCCATGGTTGGCTGACCGGGAGCCCTGGCTGGTGCTCGTATCTCCAGGACCCCAGGTAATCTGGAGATATTACCCTGACCGGGCACAATCTCCGACCCCATGGTTTGTGGCAAGCCAACGCGCAAGCATGGTATTTAGGGGTAGGGGATGCCCGGCGACCCCGGGACTGGCTGGAGGGCGAGGAAATCCAAACGATGCGGTCATGTCATCCCCTAGCCGACCTTGCACGACCCCCCTCGGACGACATCCCCCAGCCAGGGCCGGAAGCATCAAGCATTGTGGCAGTGACTGGGGTCAACCAGTGAGGCAACAATGCTACTTGGGTCTCAGCACGCGCCCAAAGCGGATTCGACGATGCGGAGGACACTTACTAGGTGGACAGATTGGGTGGATGGAAGCCGAAGGGATGATACCAGAGCGCGTCGCTGTCGGCTGGAGTCGGTTCCGGCAGATGGCAAGGTCAAGGATGCGGCATCAGCAACCAGCGTCGTCAGCTTAGCACTAGAGACGATGCGACCCATCAGATTGGATGCTGAATGCTGGAACGACCGTTGTGGCCCGCACAATGACATATCGTGGACCCTAGCCTATACATGCTTTACAAGGCTAAAGTCGGGATAGGGGCATGGGCCGCCTCACGGGGCAAAGTAGACCGGCAAAAGATAAAAAAAGAAAAGGGACAAGATGGAGCAAGCAAGAATCTGCAGGACGCAGACAGGCAGCAGGAAACCCGTTGGCAGGTGGTTTACTGACGGCGGTGTCGGCGATGGCCGACTGCTGCGCCTCACCGTCGCCGCTGTCATTTGAGCCACATCACCTGTGGCGAAGTTTCTGCAGGCGCCCATGACATAATGGGCGGAGAATTGTTAGTTAGGGGCTGACAGTCTTGACACCGCAGCAGAAATGCCTGTCTTGCATTCTATGTAGCAAAGTTCCGCCACTACGGAGTATCAGATGCAGCATTCAGACGGCCATCACCCGCGCGATGATATCAGCGGGTGGATGTGTAAACTTACACTACGGTTGACCCAGCGCCCGGATAGGTAACCTGCATTCATCCAGGACTATACGATGTACGCAGATCCAAGGCCCAGGAAGCAGAAAGCCCCTCCGGAGCAAAAACTTCTATTCACATGACTACGGCTTAGCGCTGCACCCCAGCGGCAGCCTGAATGACCTCCCACCCACCACCACCATCATCTGGGATGTAACGATGGCCCTGATCGTCGAAGATTCCATGCAAGATTCTGGATTCGACCCGACTCTTCCTAGGGGGCATGGCAGAGTAGCCTTGAAGAAACCATCCATCATGCCGTGTTGAAGCCGTTCCCTGGCAGGTCTGGGATAGCCCCATGGTACCGCTAGTGAGATGCAACCTGCAGCATTACCATGCATTACCTTACCTGGCCGCCTAAGCGCCGAGTCCTCCCCATTCTAACCACAGTCAGACTTTAGCCCTCCGACCAGCCCTGCAACTGGCCAATACGGGCTGCCTCGCTGAGGCTAATCCCTGTTCCGTGTTTCAGACGACTCCATTGCCATGCTTGAGCCGGGGCACACTGGGTCAGCCGTGGCCAAGGGAAGGGGGGGTGGAAAGGGGGGGTTACTACTGTAGGGATGCACCGGCCGGGGGGTATCTTGGGCTTTTAACCTCTTTCCCCCTCTCTGATCCCCTCTGATCCTGAGCGTGAAGGGGGGCTCGACCCACTTGGGCGTGCTGACCGTGCAGCTCTGTTCGGTCACCTGCTCTTCTAACCCCTTTGGGAGACCATGGACTGAGCCTGGAACTGCTCGAACGTCCCTCGAGATGAGATCATCCTGGCCGGATTGTTTCTCCAGAGACCTGGACTTTGGTGATGCTCCGAGCCTGTCGTCCCGGAAATCAGTCTGCGTACTTTGTGCGCGGATCAAGGGGTCATAGCTATGCCGAGTGGTCTGGACTCACGTACTTCCGCGAGATCAATTTATGCTTGGATCCCAAGTAGGAAGTCTCCCTCGTGTGGAAGGAGCGATTGGTAGACAACATGGGATTATTGTGAGACAAGATGCAATCCCTGACGTAACTGTTTACTGTTTCTTTCTTCGCCATGCAAACACCCCCTCAGCTGATAGATCCCCTCATCTCCACAACCTGGACCTGCGAGACCCATCACACCGGTTCATGTCACTCATCAACCGTGGTCTGCAATCGGGCAAAATAGCTGATGTCAGCACCTAATTGCAAAGGATGAACGTGGCATGTGGGCCATCTGTATTCAAATAGCAGGATGTTCCTGTGTGATTGTGATCTGAAGAGTGTCCACCCCCAGCAGGGACGGTATCACAAATCACCTCTTGAGTATCATCCAACAGAAGCCGCACGGATCCCAAGTCTAGCGTACCATTTGGCCTTTGCATTGACAGGGAATCAAGGCTGAAACCCGGTGTACCACCGCACATGCTTTTGGCTTCTACTGAAGGTGGAATTGGGATTGCGCGCAATCTTGTTGTTGGGAACGCTTGTGATGTCAGATTCATCAAACGAGAAGCGTTGGGCTTGTGCGACGTTGCGGCATTAATGCAGACGTTTGCATGCCTCTGGCTGATTTCGGGGATGTTGAGGCGTTTACTTGGCTGTACTGTCACGAACTTTCCAAGTGCGCTTCAAGATGATTCATGCTTGATGACCCTGGGTTATGAGAGAAGACTGGGATTTCAAGCCATTAGGCTTGGAAAGCATCCCTTGTATAGCTAGTTTGGTCGTTTTCACATGAATGTGGGAAATTACTCACCTGACTCTTTGTCTGTGTTGCTTCTTCCTGTACGATATCATCTGAATTTTCAGACACCTTACATTCCCCTTTAATTATCTGACGGCCTCCCAGTCGGTGGATCTGTATCAGGCAATGGAATATAGTGGGAATCGGAGAGGTGTCCTAGTAGACTGAATAACAAATAGGAAGGTTGCAGAGGCAATATCTTGCGATGACAAAAGCACGCGGTTCCCAGATCAGATGAAGGCCCATAGTCTTGCGAGATTGGGTCGTTTATGTGCATTATTTACCTCCCTGGAGCAACAGAGACAATATACAAGCAGGCTATTGATAAGGAGCAGCCAGGTCAAATCGATGAACAACAACAGCACTAACTACTACGTAATAGTCTGAAGAAGTTGCAATATCCTGATATCTTTATATATCTATATCCTTCCTAGAATTATTGAAGATGCCTGACTTGCTCATCAAGGATGTATCGTTCTCCTAGTCACGGGCCCATATATGCTTACTGATATATAGGCTGTGGTCGTAATGCCATCGCCATCACCATCATCCCCGTTTTGATATGTATTGAATAAGAGTTATCAATGTCGGTTTAACTCTTCTGAAAAACAAGAATCCTCTTAATCTATAAGCCTAATAGACTCCCAAGCAAACTATACCATACCACTGGCCATTCCCAGAACCAACAATCTGGGTCACGAATTAGTAGCTACTCTACCCGGGATTGAGCATTGAAGGTGAAAACGACATATAAACGCATATGCAAACTTACTGCACAACAATCCTGCAATACCATGCAGACCTCAGGACCCTTCTTAGTAACAATAAGTAAATACACCAAGCAAAAACACATGATCCAGTGATTATAGTAAGATAAAAAGGAGCTATGACTCCTAACAATAGCATCCACATCCATGATCCTCTATGACAAGTTTCCCGGACCGTCCGTGCAAGCAGCTTAACACAGCTCTCCGCAATCTATCTCTTCCTCCAGTATTCCATAGTTTACATAGTCCTCAGAGCCACTAGGATCTTATCTAGATATCAAATCCATGCGTAAAGAATCAACATACCCCCACCCCGGATACCATTTCATCGCCCTATTATCTCCAAAAATAACGACCATTACTCACTATCCCATAACCCCAATCAATCAAGATAAAAACATTCTTTCATTTCACCTATCTATCGCCTAGTCCGATCTCATCCGATAGATCCACAACACCTACTATCCTGTGAGATGTTTCACGTATCTCTCCCAAAGCTAGATAGCGGAGTACTGACAATATACCTTTTCGAGTTAATAAGTCCAAGCTCAAGATTGAGTTCTTTAGAGAATAGATCAGGGCGTTGTTGGGTTCGCATCCGACTGTGCGTTTCGGGTTGGTAGATCGGGGGGGCTAGATAGGTCTTTTTCTTTTCTTTCTCTTGTTTATTTTTTGGCTTCTTTTCTTTTTTCCTGTTTTTTTGCTGTGAGGAACGGTGGGAGGGTGGTATTGGGAGGTCGGGATGGGATTTTGATAGGGATGTGGGATGTGATAGGGGAGGGGGAAGGGAGAAGGGTGGTTGATGTAGACGTGCTAAGATGGTTCGTTCGAGGAACAAATTAATGGAAGTGGAAATGGGGTTTGGTAGTCAGCAAGACATAGTGTAGCGATTTAGCGACTTCAATGTCCTCGAGTTTATGTATGTAGAGGGATCTTGTTGGTCTTTCATACTAAGATTCTAGTTAGGTCTACTATGACTGTAGTCAATATCGTCATGATACGAAGGTTGGATATTATAGTTCTACTCCAGCAGGGGACAAACAGTCTGGCGAGAGGAAAAGCAATATATTCGAGCAATGAATTAGAGTATTAGTCTCATGCCTCGCAATATAGTATGGCAGCGTGTCTGGAAATAGTAAAGGGTCTGGACCCTTAAACAGAAAGCGATTCAAGCAATCGAGATGGTAATGGCCTGAGTGGAGACCTTTCCCATGAGTGATTTATCAGCGAGCAGAACAGGACAGACATGTGGTCAAAGCGAAAACTGATCTAGGTTGGTGGTTTACTCTGAAGCACATAGCTTCCCCTGATATCAAATGCCGCTCAGCGAGTAGTGTGTTTGAGGCCAGTTAGTGCATCGACCCTTCGAGCACGTCGGAGCTGGCACCGATGTCTGCCATCCTGCGACACCTGAAACTCCTAGCCACTGGCATTAACCAGTTCCAGGCAATAAACAAACCAAACGGCTTCTCACGGACCATTTCGATTCCCCAGGAATAAGAATCCGAAAAAAATGACCATTCGATCGAAGTTGAACCTAATCGTAGAGATGAGGAAAGGCCGGTTCTAGAACCAGCTCATCGGAAGATACTGAATCTTCGTCGACAACACGAAACAGATCGCATGAGATACTGACCCCTGTCGAAAAACTCACAGCAGAAAAAGAAAATGGAAGAGAAAAGCTAGTAGCAGATCATGTAACCGACAAAACTCCATATTTGGGTCATCCAGCCCGCCGTTGAAACGGAAGTAGATCCGGTCTGATTTTTGGTCCTCCCCCAACTAACAAACACCACATTTTAGCAAAGAATCAGGATAGAAGTAATTATAGTATCAATTTGACTTCTTGTACCTGACTGCTTCCATGGGATAAGGAAAGCGTCTATATTTATCACCGTGGTAGATTTTTCCACGAAGGAAGCAGCGCAGGAGAATGTGGTAGCACATCTTATGCGGGGAGATCGTCCTGGCTGCTGATCGAGAAAGTAGGGCCCGAGCCGTCAAGTGACTTGCCATTCACTGACTCTGTGTACTTACACAATTGAAGATGTAAGGTCTGCTGGGCTGTGTAGCACTGTAGTCCACAGGTGATCTGCCCGAGATATGATCCATCCCCACCCCGGCTGTCTCATGTTCACTCTCAGTATTCAGTCAGGGGCAGGTGTTCCGGCGGACCGCAATCTATGGATCTATGAGAGATGACAAGGGCTGTGCTCTCCGATCAGGTTGTCGACATTCCAGGATGAGACAGTGCCCGTATATGAAGGGTGAGGCGATATTTCCAGATGGAGATAGGGGATTCGGGGTCTACTGAAGGTTACCGGCAACGCGACCATGCGGGGATTCAATATGCAGGGAATAAGTTGCAATTGTCATCATGCAGGTCCATCGCGTTATACTTTGGCTGATTGGAGTGTTTCCAATGCAATGACGTCTAAGCGAACGATTGCGACCGGGAGATGGGGTGGCCCCTTCATAGTCTAACGACGGCCATTCTTCCCCGGCATAAGCAAGAAATCCTTCGTGCGGTCGAGGAACCATGGCGCCAACCCCGCTTGATGGTCGCGTCGATCATGAAGCTAAATTAGATCGAATCCGAGGCAAACTAAGTCGCCCACTTGGCCGCTTGCCGACTCCAGTTCCTTGAGGCATTGCTGCTTCACATGTCACCGAGCATGTCTCTCACCAAATCGCACAGCATGGCAACTTCTCCATGCACTGTTTCGCGAGTCCTAAGTGCAACTCTGGGCAGCGTGCAGGTTGGGGTCGATGGTGGTCATTGCAGTTAGGCTCCCCGGCGACTAGCGGGTGGTACTCCATCACCGGAGACTCGACTTCTTCCCGAAAGGCTCCATCAGCGTTCCACCGTCCCCGCAAGATAAGGTCGAAGAACATTTGCTATAGACGGCTTAGTAGATTGTCACGCAACTTATTCACCACAGTGACCAGTCAATGGCTGAGTCTGTTGAGTGGGCCATCCAAGCCACGCTTCCTATCCAGGAACCAAGTCTACTTCCACGGTACATCCAATCGCTGTCTTGGTTTCAGCACTGATTAACGAGTTAATTGCAACATGTCCTCTACCGCAAGGGCAGCAATTGTCAGATGCTCTGACTCAGAATGATAGGCGTTGTGTCGATCACCGAGGTACCAGAAAGTTTGAGCGGAAAAATAAGCCCATATCGGGAGCCAAACCCTGACCCAAAGCGCAACTCGCAATTTCCCTTCCCATTGTTTGTCCCCCACAAGGCGAAGACCCCTAACGCAGCATGAGGTGCACGGTTCACTCCGACAGGCATCGATTGCTCTAATTAAGCCGTTTTCTGTTAGTCCAGGGAAACGTCTCCCTGCGACGGCCACGGGTGGCCATTCAGGTAGTCCTCGGACGCTCCACTGCGGACGATCTTGTCGTGTTCGGCCACAACCCAAGAGGAATTGCCCCCGCCAGACCGTCTGGCCTCAGTAGTGTGGCCAGGACGAAACGCTCCAGCACGCCCTCGTCATTTCACATGTGGGGTTCAGGACAGCCCTCGGTCTTGCCTCGATATTTGGATCGAGGTGGAGAGAACGGGTAGCACCCGTGTATCGGCAGGCATATAAGGAGCCCAGCGGTCTGCATCGATCTGGAACCTGACCCTTCCGTCGTCAATAGCTGGCATTCCCTGGTGGAAAGCACAATTTCAGCATGCGTTTCTCGTCGGCACTTCTTTCCGCCCTCTTGCTTTCCGGCACCTCGCTGGCAACTCCAGCTCCGGCCTCCTCGTCAGCTGGTATCTCGACTCAGGCAAGACCCACGCCAGAGGAACATGTGGCTGCACAGACAGCCACCGCAGCGGGGGCAGCAGCAACAGCAGCAACGGGAGCATCCGGGCTGACGGCCAGTACCCAGCAAAACGTGAACGCCGCCACCCAGCAGTCGTATGGAAACGCCGCCAACCAGCCACCATCGGCCGGGGGAGCTGATCAGCAGACTACCCCCAGTATCGGTCAGCAAACTGCCACGGCTGCAGAAGCACCGAGCCAGAATACCGCTACCCAGTCGCATGGAGATCTTCTAGGAGGATTGGTCGGCGGCCTTCTGGGTGGTGGCTCCAGCCAGGACGCTGGAGCAAGCAGCAGCGCTGGCCCAACCATTTCACAACCAGGTTTTAATCGCGAAGCCACCTCTACGCAGGATGCTGGGTCTTCTGCCACGAGTTCTTCTGGAAATTTGCTGACGGATATTGGCGATGGCCTGGGCGGTCTCCTTGGTCTTGCATCCCCGACATTCTTGAAAAATGTCGAGTCTTTCTTCAACCACTTTGCATACCTCTTCGATGACAAGACCACTGACCAGACGAAGTCCCTGCTCGACACTGCTTACAACCTGCTCAACCACCAGCTGATCACCGAGTTGAACGGTCTTCTGAACAATGCAAACAGCCTGTTGACCCCGACCTTCGTGAACGAGACCCAGCAATTGATCGGCGCGGTTGGTCCGCTGGTCACGCCACAGTTGTTCAAGAAGGTCTCTACATTGCTTGACAATGGTAATAACCTGTTGACGGCCGAGTTCGTCAAGGAAACCAAGAGTCTTATTCAAACAATCTCTCCTATCTTGACACCAGACATGCTTGGACTCGTCGCGACACTCTTGAACAATGCCAATGACCTCCTGACTACAGACTTCGTTAAGGAGACGAAGTCGCTCATCAAGGCAGTTGGCCCTATCTTGACACCAGAGCTGGTCAAGGAGCTCAACACGTTGTTGACTAATGCTAATAGCCTGTTGACCGCCAACTTCGTCAAGGAGACAACATCCTTGATTGAGACTGTTGGGCCCGCTCTGACACCCCAGCTGTTCAAGGAGGTCAACTCGGTCCTTAGCAACGCCAACGGTCTCTTGACGCCGGGCTTTGTCAATGAGACTCAATCACTGATCGGAACTGTCGGTCCCGCACTCACTCCCGAGCTATTCAAGGAGGTCAACTCAGTCTTGGGCAACGCCAATAGCTTGTTGACTGCCAACTTCGTGAAGGAGACCCAGAGCTTGATCGGTGCAGTTGCCCCCGTTCTAACACCTGGCGTTCTTGCAGAGGTCGCTGGCTTATTGAGCAATGCCAACGCCCTCCTGACACCGACCTTTGTGAATGAGACTCAAGGCTTGATTGGCTCCGTGGCCCCGATTTTGACGCCTACTCTTCTCGGGGAAGTTGGCGGCCTCTTGAACAATGCCAACTCTTTGTTGACGACAGGATTCGTTAACGAAACCCAGTCATTAGTCGGAAATGCGAATAACCTCCTGACATCTGACTTCGTCAAGGAGACCCACGACTTGATCGGTGATCTTTCGCCGGTCATCACGCCTCATCTGCTCTCGGAAGTCGCAGGTCTGCTGGACAACGCAAACGCCCTCTTGACACCGAAGTTTGTCAATGAGACGCAAGGACTAATTGACGGCATTTCACCGGTCCTCACGCCCGAGATGCTGGGCGAAGTTGGTGAGCTTCTCGGCAATGCCAACAAGCTCTTGACCACCAAATTCGTTGAGGAAACCCAGAGCTTGATTGATAATGTGTCCCCTGCCATTACTCCTGCTCTGCTCAACAACGTGAAGGACCTCCTTGGCAATGCTGCGAACCTGCTGACGCCTAAATTCGTGAATGAAACGAGTAATCTCATCGACGAAGTCGCACCCCTTCTCAGTGAAGTCGCGCCCATTCTCACTCCCGAAATGCTTGGAGAAGTTGGCGGCCTTCTCGGAAATGCCAACAACTTGTTGACCTCGAAGTTTGTTAATGAAACACAAGTGCTTATTGAGGATGCTTCGGAGGTAAGTTTTGATCCAATGCCACCAAGTCAAGAATGACACTAACGGTTCATAGTTGCTTCCTGCGTTGGTCAAGGTCCTCGGATCATTGTGAAGTTGAGTCGCAAAATAATAAGGACATACGAGTCTACTTAATCTTATAAGTAATATGTGCTTCATGTTGGTTTCGCGATGTGTGCCACCCATACAATGTCAGGTACAGATGACGTCTTAATTATAGCTGGTCCATAGTCCAAAATATCAGAACGCCGTGCCGAGTCGTATAGGCTGGCTTGGTCCATAATCGCAAGAACATTTCATAATGATGTACATGGATAAGGTGTACTGAACGCCGAGAATCTTGTAGAGAGCCGTGAGCTCAACCCGTCTATAGGTTTTGCGAGCCGAGTAACATCACCGCCCAATTAGCAGCGGATAGACCTGTTATTGGAAATCCCGCAGGTATCCTGAGCGGGAAGCCAAATGGATGGTCAACTTGTGTTATTCACCGAACATCGGTTTCGTAGAGCGAAGCCAGGCGAATTTAGGGTGTCCAATCCCTTGAGTGCCATGTGGTATTTTGCTTGTTCTTCAGTCGCACAGCATTTCGCGTCATCGAATTCTTCTCCAGTGAGGAGAAAAACCGTGGCCTTTGGCAAGCCGCCTTGATTGGAAATCTTCGTGTAATTTGTAAAGCTTCGGGGTCGAAACGGACTTTAAGACGGTATTCCTGAAGGCTTGTCTTGAAACTTCGACAAGACCTTCATTTCGGTGTTACGTTCCTTGATCTTCTTATCCATGGCTTTCTGGACATCTTCGCGCTTCTTCTCGGCGTCTTGCAGCTTCTGTTTCACTTCTCTTGCGACTTGTTCTTGCGCCTTTAATGCCGCCTCTGGGGACGGGAATTCCTGGCGTAACCTTTCGATCTCAGCGCGTATATCCTCCTCGTCGATGGGAACACAAGTGACCGGGTGAAACTTATATGGCGGGAGAGCCTCTCCGGGAATACGGATTTCAGGCAGTAGTTCGTGGATTGCTGTGGTGCGGACGGGGGAGTCCAGCGGGACCGGCTTGGCTGTGGGAGTGGGCGTCGGCTCAGAAGGCGGGGAGAGAGGAAGTTGCTGATCCATGTTGATGTAGGCTTGCGGGAAGCGGGGGTTCTCCAGGCAGCTCGATGCGAAGATGAGTTCGACAGGTCAATTTAAGCAAGTAGGTAGTGACTTCTCACTGTTTGTTGAGGTGTTGACTGTAGTTCATGGGATTTTGTCAGTCGCGATTACTGCCATCTCGGTGGTTCACCGCCATGGCTAGTCACCTGATTAGAATGGTTCCCCGCGACTCCGCATGTCAATGAGTTCTCCTCACATGCTCAGCGACAAGTCGGATAATGGTGGACTAGCAAACTACGGTCTAATTTCAAAAACAAGCTGTTAGTTCGTCAGGAGTGGAGATTGGTGTCAGTCTCCTTTCACCTCGGCGAATACGAGGTTGATTTCCGAATGCGTAGGCGGTCATTTTATGCCATCAGGGGTAGCTCGCCGCCTACGCTCCGGATGTGGGGGGTCGGCGAGGGCCTCGACCGGCAGCGACTCGCAGGACAGCGTGAAGTTACCCGGACACTCGAATAGATGAAAGACAAGGTGTTCAGGACCGTTCTTGTTGGCTTCGAGCTTGCCAAACATGCAGGCCTTTGGTATGTCTCCCACCATGCGTGTTCTGTTAAGCAAATGGATCGTCGGATTGAATGACATGTCTTCTGGCATCGGCGCTAATGCTGCAACCCTTAGTCCCCAAGAACCGGAGAGTAAGTCGATCACGCTCAACTGATGAAGATATTGAAGGTGCCAATACCAGGTGTAGCCTAGGTTCGAGTTGGTTCTAAGAGTGAGATCCCATCTGTCTCATCGCAAGTAACGCACCGACTAACTGCTATGGTCATTCTAGATCATCGACCTCAACAATGTCCCCCTCGTGAGCGGTACCGCTTTTGTCAAATGGCGCTTGCCATCATCCAGTGCGACTGAACACCACGGCCATACGGATAAGGCAGTCATCGTAGACCACAGGGCATCCTGGAACTACGAGAAGGTCTTGCAGGTCAGGCTCACCATTGACCGGAACCAGACCCTCCATGAATGCGAGCTTTACTTCGAGATTATCCAGGAATTTGCGTCAGGGGGAAACAATGATAAGAACCTGTTGGGAAGGATCAGACTCAATCTGTCCGAATACGTGGACAAGAGCGATGATGACGAGGGCATCGTACGGAGATACTTGATGCAGGATAGCAAGATCAACAGCACGCTTAAAGTTGGCATTGCTACTCGCCAAGTCGAAGGGGATCGGAACTTTATTACGTATGCCATGCCATCGTGAAGGACAGTGCGAAGTACTGACGGAGCATGTTGCTGATGACGTCCAGGCCGCCCCTCAAATCAGCCATGGTGTTTGGTGGAATTGCGGGAGTTGTATCCTCGGAACAAGGCGAACATGACGATCTGGGCCGGCTACCGACAATTAACACTCAGAGCCGGGAAGTCACAGACATGCAGGACATGTACCGCCGCACGCTGGCTGCCTCTTGGAATTCTCGAGCGGACGATTTGCCGGCGGATAAGCTGATCGAAGAATTATTCTCTGGAGGTATTAGCTGGGCCGACAGCCTCGATGCTCGCGCCGAGAAATCCGTCGAACATCATGCCGACCGACTGTCACCACACGGACATCCAGGTGCAAGACAAGCTTTCTCAGACAATCGATTGTCTCCTCCTAGTTCTGAGAGACGGCCAAGAAGCTCTTCAAGCAATCATCTTCGGAATGATGCTAAGGGGACAGAGTTTGCCCCGGCCATTGACCATGCAAGGAAAGGCGGAAGCATTGAGCAGCAACTGTATGACAACCCCAAAGGGAAGGCTTGGAAGAATCGTAGTTCGGAACTCGAATTATCCGAGTTCGATGTGCGTGAGGACTTGCGGAGTTGGGAAGTAATGAACCAGGAGTGATTTAGTGTGGTGCTTATGGCGTTAGAAATTCCCATGTACAATACCCCCTTGCCTCTTTCTTATACATCTGCGCTCTGCTTGGGTTCTGACTGAAATCCCCGGTGCGTGGTTGCTGATAACTAGTACTCCGTACTCGGTACTCCGTATCTACTCCGTATCTGCAAGATGGATCCACATCCCGCCTAACCCGTTCTGGGACTAGCGGATTTCAGATTGCATCAATCCGAGCTTCGACTTTCCATCATGGACTTTTCTTAGACTTCGGACTGGTGCGCTTGGTTTCTTGTTCCATATGCTGTCTCGATCCTCAAACAGCGCAGCAGGTCTGTTGTCCTGCCGACTGCTTCCAGAATGCAGAGCGAGCTTCCTCCCTCCCTCACTGCGCCGGCGTAGTGTCGCTATCCGGTTCGAATCCACCGAAAGTGATGCGAAAGACACGCCGCCGCCGCCTCCGCCTCCGCATCGTCCTCCCCGACATCGACGCCCTCATAGAAGAAGCCGGGGTCAGAAGGTACCTATCTCCGTGAGCACCCTCGGGAATCCCGGTGAGGTCGTGGTCGTGCCGGAACGACAACGCCGCCAATTACGCAAAGCGAAAGAGGAGCCGAAGGAAGTCACCGACAAGACTGCTCTTCCTCTCTTCTTGAAGGAAATAGAGAATGATGATGATTACGTCGACAGCGAATTGTTGAAAACCCGTGTCGAAAGTTTTCGTGCCAGTCACCAACCCCAACATAAGTTGACCGTTGCCGATTGGAAGGCTCTCCGGAATGAGCTCCAATCATCCTTTACCTATCGGCAGTTATCAGACTACATAGCAGAAACGAAAGAAGACGGTTGGATTCAGGATGGGACAAAAGCTACAAAATGGTCACCCGGGGTTTCTGAGTTCGTTGAAACCGGCGAGCTTTCTTCTCGAAAAGGTGTCGCTGATAGAGTCGCCCCGTCGCAGGCTCTTCAGGGAAAATATCTACTTGCTGAAAGGATTCTCCGTGACTGCTGGCATCTCGGAGTTCTCGATGAAGTTGGTCAGCTAGATATTCATCTTCCGACGCAAGCACTATCTCTACTCCTCAACTCGCAACATTTTTCTTTCGAAGAATTAGCCAGCGTACATGACGCAAACATCGACGTCATGCATTCGCTTGGACTGGTGAGAATCACAGGACGGCAGCGTACCTGTGAATCGATTTCTGAAATTATACATGATACCACTACTAGGGTTCGACAGGAAGACATTGAATTGCCACCAGATGAAACCAGGACAAAAGTCAACAATCGCATCTTCACATCCGATTTTCTCTCATGGGTGACCAAGACATACAGAGTAGCGTTCGAACAAACCACCCCGCATACGCCGACTCAGATCTTCTATCTTGTTGAGAACAAGCAGGATGCAGACAATGCACGCAGGGCCCTCAACCTAGCATATTATGGCGCAACGGCTCCTCCTGTCCCTTTCAGCACTTACGTTCCCTCCACCGAACCGGCTAGTGTCCACAATGTCGACCCGGAGCACAACACAACATGGACCGACAGACAAAAGGCATGGTTCCGCTGGGCCACACCAGCAACTCAGTCTCCGGAGATAAGCCCGTTAGACACGCAATTCTTCGATAATCACCAAACTCGCCTGTCGGACGAGCTTTTCAAGCTACTCCGACAAAAACAAGTCACTTACAACGCAAAGCAAGAAACTAGCGCGGATGTTCATGAATCTGTGACAGCAGCAGTCGGCAAATGCCTTTTCTTGCGCAAGCCATTCTTCGAGGAGAGCTCAGTCAATGCCTCTCAGCTCGGCAAAATGTCACTCCCAAGGACATTCACCACTGATATCCCTCGTGCGGCCCAATTCCTCCGCATGCTGGCCCCGCAATCCGTAGACGAGCACCAGCAAGCTCATCGCATACGGCTGGTCCCATCCGCCCTCAACGCCAACGTCTTCCCACAGCTAGAGCTCGAAGTCACGGCCAAGACCAACCGCCGACCCGACGACCCAAACCCGGAACTCGCCATGCGCAGCGCAAAGCTAATCCTAGCCGAAAGCAACGTGGACTACCTCCTCCCAGAGAACGGGCTCGATCTCCGCTTCACCCGGAAACTCACCCGGGAGCTCCTCACCAGCCCCCCAGCTAGCTTCTCCCTCGAGGCTCTAGAAGACAGCCTCCGAAGCCTCTTCACCCGTTCCATCACCAGCGACGGAGAACACCCTCTCCCCGCATTCACCCAAGTCACCCTGCCCCGCGAGATCCTGGGCCAGGACACAACCACCACAGAATACATGTTCCTCCCCGTCAGCGATATCAGAGGCACCCGGGTCCACCGCTACGATTTCCGCGGCCAGCAGCTCAATTACTCTTTCTACGAGAGCGGCTCGTTCAACCCTTACCAGACCTCGGACTTGTTTCTGAACATGGACATGGACATGATGAACGGTGAAGCTGCATCGGGTGAATCCGTCTCCGAGACGGATGTTTCTCGCGACGCACTCAAGGACAATTTCCACACTTTCTATAAGACCGCTTGTGCGTTGGCCTTTGAGTTGGATAAAGCTCGACGTCTAGAGGCGAGTTGGGATAGTACCGGCGCTATATAAGTATCTACCTTGGAGTGAGGTCGGTTCGCGAACCGTGTATTTATAGATTTTTGATGATATATGTATACTACGAAAATATATTGGATAAAACTGTTTCTAGTGCTCGTGCTTGGTCACCAGTTGTGGTCCTGTAGTATGAAAACAATTTCGGGTAGGATTGTTCATTTCTAGAGATATATGGGAGTCAAACTTCTACTAAAAACTGCTAGCGCTTTGCCGTCCTATTAATTAATTAAATACCATAACATTACTGACTGACGAAGTTTCAAATTGCTGTTTCATATCCCCACAAAATCACTGAGGTCGTCAATTCCTTTCCGAAGACCCTCCTCCCACGCCGTAGGATCCTCGTCGAGTTGCTCCGGGTCTATGTCTCTTTTGCGCTGCCGAATCCATAACTCTAAAGCACTGATCTTGTCTGCGCCATCTCGGGGAGGCAGGACACCTTGGACGGCAGCGCCAAAGAATTGTAATGCATCGTTGTATCCCAAGTCCCAGCCGTGGGCGAAGCTTTGGCGTTTGTGCGAGCTCCAGGAGCTGGAAATTTGTGACAGGGCCTTTTCAAGAAATTGCGACTGATTGGCTTTGGCTTGTTGGGTCTTCTCTCGAACCTCTGCTTGGGGCATCGTCAGGCAGCTAGGAACCTGGACTGTGCCGTTCAAGAAGTCTGTCTTGAACTGAGGAATATCGCTTTTGCAGCCTGCGAAAACTTGTTTCTTGCTTTGTTCTTGGCCGTCATCGATGTATATAGGCAAGCATGGGTCAATGGCCCTGCCTATCTTTAGAACCTCGCCATAGCATTCACACATGTCTGAGGCATTTTCACATCCCGAGGATATGGAAAGTCCAACCACCCCCGACATTCCATGGAATGTTACCTCTTGAGCCAAGAAAGCGACACAGTCCCTAGCCACTGCTCGATCTTTTTCCGAGGCACAGAGATTTATACCACTGGAGCTAGTGTGAAAGTCTATGAGAACGCCGATACCGTGAAATCGACATTTTTCGATTAGATGCTTCACGATATTCCAACAACTGTGATACACCTTTGACGGTTCCCCTTCGAAGGGTGTCCCCAGGCAGAACAGAGGCCCAAGGGAGTAGAAACTTAGTGGTATGCGAAGAGTTCTGCATTGTGCTACATCTTTGAGCCACCTGAGGTCATCGTGGGATAGAGCCGAGAGCCAGTGGGTCTCCCAAGCTCGTCTTGTTTCATCGAGTCCGTTGGACGCTATCGACCTATCCGTGCCGGAGGATCATTCAGTATCTATTTGTAGGGAAACAAGACCCACCAAAGGATAGCCTGACTGCCTGAGGGTTTCTGGTACCCACTTTTTGAGTGACTGTAACTCACTTGACCCATCTGGATCTTCCCGCGGGGTGTGATTGTTCAGGCGGGGGCCAAGAACAAAGACCGAACCCAAGCTCGCACCATATTGACTTCGGAAGCGGAAGATGTCCTGATCCCTGGGAGGAAGGGGGCAATATAGTTCCGACATGTCCAGGTCGGTAAATTCAAAGTCTTGTCAGTTAGAAACGGGGGACACTGCTCGTTAGTTGACAAGGATGTTTATAAAGACGAGAGTTGAGGACGATCTGGGGTGTAATTCAAGATGAATGGTAAGTCACATATGAGGCGGTCAGATGGAAAGCCTGGAATCGCCAGCTGCACGGGATTGTCATTCAGTCTCTTGACCTCCACAATCAGATGAGTTGCCCAAAACGGAAGCTCCTCGCCAGCAATAGTAGGGCTCCTCGCTTGATGGCGTCGTGTTCGGCCAGCTTCGAATAGAATTGGCTGCCACGTACGGGGCCTAAAGGGGGCAAAACATAACTTCTCTTTGTCGAAACAAGGTAGCGTTGCAGGCGAACCCGAAGCATGGCGGAGGGAAAGCGCCAGGTTGCTGGGGAAAACCAAGTAAAACCGTCCACTGGGTTGACGTCGTTGCCGGTTCGAGTCCATCCACCGTTCGGGCTACTAGCGAGGGGCTCCGCATTTGGCCGGGCGTCCGTGCAGCTGAAAATGTCGCCTGTCATCCTTCATTCCCAAAGCCTCGCCCCCTCCCATCTATACGTGGTCGGCAGATTAGATTATATTTTTGTCTTTGATTTCTCATTTCTTTCAGTTCTGTCAATCTATAGCTCTAGCAGTCTCTGATTGTACTGCTATCCCGAGGACCAATCAAAGTGCACAGTCATGAAGTGATGCGGATACAGTACTAGTAACAGGCAAGGCATGGAGAGAACACGGGTCGCTAAGGTCAGTCTAGTAGATTGGTGCCTCAATCTGACGGCGTGGAGCACGACATTAGAACCCCGACTAACGGCTTTTCCCTGGGATTCAGGTTGAAGATGTGACCTTGGCGCGCCGAGGCGAACAGGTGGTCGGCACCCTCCACCTCACCCCTCACCACATTATTTTCTCCCACATCCCCTCCTCAACCGACACCACGCAGCCCCAGGCCCCTGCTGCCCGGCCCAAGGAGCTCTGGATAACATACCCCATCATCTCCTTCTGTACCTGCCGCCCCACCCCCGCCGCAGCCCGCCAGCCGTCCTCAATTCGCCTCCGTTGTCGGGATTTCACATTCGTCTGCTTCTATTTCACCACCGAGAGCAAGGCGCGTGATGTCTATGAGACCATAAAATGCTGGACATGCAAGGTCGGGCGGATCGATAAGCTGTACGCCTTTACATATCGACCTCCCCCTCCGGAGCAGAAATTCAATGGCTGGGAGCTGTATGACCCGAGAAAAGAATGGAATAGACAAGGTGTCGATCGGGATGGCTCTGGCTGGCGTATCTCTCAGCTGAACACAGACTACGGGGTAAATGTCTACAAACGCAACTGTCTGGATCGTGGTATTAATTTTCGTCCTCCAGTTTTCCGCGACATACCCTGCTCTTCTACCAGTGCCCTCGTCCATTTCAGACAACACACTCAATCATGCGGGAAAGTATCGGTCCCGGGCGAGAGTCCCTGTTCTGACATATCTCCATCCCGTGAACAATTGCTCCATCACAAGAAGCTCGCAGCCCCTTGTAGGTGTGCGTCAGAACCGAAGCATTCAGGATGAAACATTGCTAGCAGCTATATTCTCGACTTCTCGTTCAGAGAGACCGCTCGCAAGCTTTACCCCATCTGGGTTTGACCCCGAATCTTCCCAAGCAACACAAGGAAATGCCTCACGCAGTCACATGCTGGCTGATCTGACGCTTCCTGAGGACTTGGAGGATGAGATGCTGACATCTTTCCCTGGAGACACGGAAGAAAGGCCGCAAATCTATGGCGCTCAACAGCACAACTTGATTGTTGACGCCCGACCCACTGTCAATGCCTTTGCCATGCAGGCGGTTGGTCTTGGGTCGGAGAACATGGACAACTATAAGTTTGCTACTAAGGCTTACCTTGGGATTGACAACATCCACGTGATGAGAGACTCCCTGAGCAAGGTGATTGATGCATTGAAAGACTCCGATGTCACTCCACTAGGCCCAAGCAAAGACCAGCTTGCACGAAGTGGTTGGTTGAAGCACATCTCCGGCATCCTGGACGGTGCTCGGTTGATTGCTCGGCAGGTTGGGCTGCAGCATTCTCACGTCTTGATTCACTGTTCAGACGGGTGGGATCGTACGAGTCAGTTGAGCGCGCTGAGTCAGGTCTGTCTCGATCCTTACTATCGAACGATGGAAGGGTTCATGGTCCTGGTAGAGAAGGACTGGCTCTCTTTTGGACACATGTTTCGGCACAGATCGGGCCACCTGAACAGTGAAAAATGGTTCCAGATCGAGAACGAGCGCATCGGGGGAGATTCCAACCGTGGGTTTGGTGAAGGTGGTGGTGCCGGTAGAGCCATCGAAAATGCATTCCTGAGCGCCAAAGGCTTCTTCAACCGAGAAAACGCCAGTCGCGACTCACTTGGGGAATCGGACGGGGAAATGCAGAACTACGACTCGGAGAACATGAAGAAGGCCACCTCCATACCCAGGACAGCTGCGGCTGAAAAGGAAGTGACCAAGGTGAAGGAGACCAGCCCCGTCTTCCATCAATTCCTCGATGCGACATACCAATTGCTATACCAGTACCCGACAAGATTCGAGTTCAACGAACGTTTCCTGCGCCGACTGTTGTACCATCTTTACTCGTGTCAATTTGGCACGTTCCTCTTCAACAGCGAGAAGGAACGTGTGGACTGGAATGCAAAGGAACGAACTCGAAGCGTATGGGACTACTTCCTAGCGCGGAGGGAGCAGTTCTCCAACCCTCAGTACGACCCTCAGATCGACGACCACAAGCGTGGGAAGGAGCGGCTTATCTTTCCGCGGATTAACGAGGTGAGGTGGTGGAGCGAGGCCTTTGGTCGGACTGATGCAGAGATGAATGGCGTGCGGTCATCTGGTTCTAGACCACCTGCCGATCGCGATGCCAGTAGTGTCGAACCATCGCCAGTCTTAACCGGCATTGAGACTGCCCACCACGCGGTCGGCGCTGGATCACCTGGCAAAGACGCCTTCAATGCTGCTTCAACTGGAATGGCGGCAGTAACTGCGGGAATCTCAAGCCTCGCATTCCCTAGGAGCAAGGAAAACAGCCCGGAAGCTAAAAGCTTGAACCCAATGGAAGTTGAGATGCAATGACCCGCTTCGGAGAAATCTACTCTTGAGAGTCCGCATACAGATCAATGTATTTACGATGGCCTACTGGGGGACGGTCAGAATAGGCCCAGAGGGGACGTGAATGTCCGTGTCATCTATGCGTGTATGCCTGTTGTTCTATTGTTTGACGCTGCATTTTCCCCAGGGAGGGAAGTAGAGTACAGTTTACCGTCGAACTATGATTGCATGAATACAAGAACGAGGTCCAGCATTGCCAGTGCCGATGCTGGATTGGGAAATAGATGGGTTTGCATGGTCTCTCCCCCAATATGTGGTCGCGTTTGGGTTAGCCGGCGCCTCTGGCAACGGATAGATATCGCGCAGACTGTCCCATGGGGCACTAGAGAGATAGAGTGACGATCCAGCCTGGGAACCGTAAGACGGGAAGGGACCGTGCCTGGACGCCTGAAATCTCAGGCGGACAGCGACCGAGCTGGCGAGCTAGGGGGGGCTTGGCGGGCCCAAAGGAGGAAAGGTGCCCGCGGAGCAGCAAGCGAGGTTGAGCCCTAGCCCAGAACCGCCAGAGGAAGCCCTAATGGCAAAAACCCCCCACTAACGCCGGACTTCTCAAAACTGACTTGACCGCCGCCGCCCATTTCGCCCTCGAACGACATCCCCTAACCGCCGTTTCCTCGCCAGTTCAAAACCCCCAGCAGAAACGCAACAATGGCCGCTGTCCAGGGAGCTATTTCGAAGCGCCGCAAGTTCGTCGCCGACGGTGTCTTCTATGCTGAGTTGAACGAGTTCTTCCAGCGCGAGCTGGCTGAGGAGGGATACTCCGGCGTCGAAGTCCGTGTCACTCCCACCGTCACCGACATCAGTACGTCGCCCGATTTATTTTGCGTTTCATCCTAGACCCAGTGTGTTGTGGAAGCCGAAAGCCGAAAATTGGAAAAAAGAAGAGGAAGAGAATCGATGGAAATTTTTATATCCGCGGAGGAAAGCAAATTGCAGGGACCGGGCTGGCGATCAACAACGGGATTGGATTGAAAAGAAAAATATGAATATAAAAGATGGAAACTGTGTCAAGTTGCTAACGGATGCTTTTCTTTTTCTTGCAGTCATCCGTGCCACCCACACCCAGGAGGTTCTCGGTGAGCAGGGCCGCCGCATCCGCGAGCTCACCTCCCTCATCCAGAAGCGCTTCAAGTTCCCCGAGAACTCCGTCTCCCTCTATGCCGCCAAGGTCCAGAACCGCGGTCTGTCCGCCGTCGCTCAGTGCGAGTCCCTCCGCTACAAGCTCCTCAACGGTCTGGCCGTCCGCAGAGCCTGCTACGGTGTTCTCCGTTTCATCATGGAGAGCGGTGCCAAGGGTTGCGAGGTTGTCGTTTCCGGAAAGCTCCGTGCTGCCCGTGCCAAGTCCATGAAGTTCACTGTACGTTGATCATATCGGAACGAAACCCTTGCACAGAAATCTCTTCGAATGGTCGAATCGGTCCCGGATCAGTGGTGGATTTCAGCAAACAACATCTCCGAAAATGCGAACAACGAAGCGACTGCCGGACCGATTCAAACCATTCGAAAAGAATCAAACCACTACGTGCATGGAACAAATCCAGGACTAACATGATCTCCAACAGGACGGTTTCATGATCCACTCCGGTCAGCCCGCCAAGGACTTCATCGACAGCGCCACCCGCCACGTTCTCCTCCGCCAGGGTGTCCTCGGTATCAAGGTTAAGATCATGCGTGGTTCCGACCCCGAGGGCAAGGCCGGCCCCCAGAAGACTCTCCCCGATGCCGTCACCATCATCGAGCCCAAGGAGGAGCAGCCCATCCTCCAGCCCATGAGCCAGGACTACGGTGCCAAGGCCCTTGCCGCTCAGCAGGCCGCCGAGCAGCAGCGTCTCGCCGAGCAGCAGGCCGAGCAGACCCAGGAGGGTGCCCCCGCCGAGGCTTACGCCCAGGAGTAAAATGGTTTCCTTTTCTTAGGCCCTGCTTCTTCTTTTCTTCCTTCCTCCTGTCCGTCCTATCCTAAACACTATATCTCTTACCTGACGCTACCAAATAAACAACTCTTATGATCCTCTTCCAAACAAAAAGCTGTTTATTTTTTTCTTCTGTCTCCTCACCTCTCTCTTCTCCCTCTCTCACCCAATGCGGCGATTGGTTGGGCGATTACGTCCAGCTTTTCTCTCACCTCGCTTGCTTTCCTACCACTAGTGAAATATCTAGGTAGGAATGACTTAAGGGATAACAAGTGATGTCCGATACGATGATGACATTTGGGGAGCGGAAGACTGCGTCAGGTATACACGTCATACGGATGTGGAACGAGAAATCGCGGCAGGGTTGGAAGCAAATGGAGCGATAGGCGTACGAAGAAAAAAATCGTTTGGTCCAGCAAAAAAAAAAGGAATATGCATTCATGATCACCTAAAGATGTTGGAGTAGTCAGTATCAGTACGTTACGTAACTGCTGTCTCGTAGTCTGGGCTGGAAGGGTCGACACGTCGTAGATAGTGCTAGTATGAAGAGTAAATATTTTTAGAAACTGGCAAATGAATCTGCCTTCAGAGTCTCGAAATTCTTTTTGCTTTTGATTGTATCCTCTTGCTAACTTGGGTAATAATCGATCATGGCATCAGCTATTTTCTATAACATCTATCGTCTACGCATGTCCTTGCTTGATCTTCCGTCGTCGCTCAGAGGAAAGCTTCGATGTTGATCTCCAAAGTGCTGACAGGGTACTTCAACTCGTAGTTCTCCAGCACTGTGGGGTGCAGGATACCGAAGGCACCAATGACATGGTCTTTGCCGGCTATCCGGACGTGAACGGATGCGGCGTGGCCGGGGAAGTATGTAGGCTCTGGGTTTTCAGTTAGCAAGCTCAAAAGGGGCTCTTTCAGGTGTCGTTCTCGGTAGCTTACCATCGAGCTCTTCAATCCAGTACTGAGAATCGCTCATAGCCGAGTTCTCAAGACCCTCTTCGCCAGTCATGAAGGCGCTCTTGAGCATGGCCATGACGCGGTCCAGAAGACCGTGGACAACCTCGAATCCACTGGTCTTGCCGTACCAGGCGGCGGCAAAGTGCCTCTCGTTGCGGCTCTTACGCTCCAGAGACACGTCCTTGAAAGCAACGTCGCTGACCTCGAAGATCTTCATGGGCACTGCATGGTGCTTGTTCTCACGGATGGTCTTCAGCAGACCAGGCAGCAAGCTCGTGCGGACAACCTGGAACTCCGTGGTCTTGGGGTTGGCCAACTTGACGGCGGTGTTTCCGTCGTCCTTGCGGTTGAGCCAAGCAAAGTTCTCGTCGTGCGAGCACAAGATCAGCGGCAGCACCTCAGACCAGCCTGCCATAGCGGCCTCCGTGCGCACAATATCGGTGAGCTTGTTGATGGGAAGAGGCTGGGCGACAGTACCGGACTTGCTGGGGAAAGACCGGGGAAGAGAGTTGAAGCCGTAGGCAATGGCGACGTCCTCCATGATATCTGCCTGGTGGAGCACATCGGCTCTGGTCGGGGGAACGAAAACATCGATCAAGTCAGAAGACGTAGCAGAGGGCTTCGCATCGTAAGCCATCTTCTTCAGAAGAGTGCAGATCTCTTCGGGGGAGAGCTCCAATCCGCAGCACTGGTTGAGGTAAGAAACCTCGGCATGTGCCGTCCGGGGGGCAATGTCTGGCACGATTCTGGTCTCGTTGTTGTGCTCAGAGATCACCTTAACGGGCTCAATCCTATTTGTCCTGTAAGTATGACTTGTATCCCAGCGACCAGACGAGACGGGGACCTACGTGAAAGGCTCAGAGGTGTATTGGGAGAACATGGAAACCATGATCCGGTTCACGATCTCGAGCTTCGTCTTGTCAAGCGCAGTAATCTCGATGAAGATGTTCTTGGTGTCCAGGGTGATCTTCGAATGATCACCGTTGATGATAGGAGGGAGAGAGCACACGGTCCTCTTCGAGTCGTAGATCACCGGGTAGACGGGGGAGTCGCGAATGATATGCAGGTACTTGCCCAGATGCTTGTCTTTCTGTTACAGAGTAAGGGCCCGGTTTGTTCGTCAAATCAAGTACACAAGAATCATACCTCATAGAAAGCCATCAACTCCTCGCCATTCATTTCCTTGGTCTGGTTGAGAGGGACAAACTTGATGTCCTTGGGGGGAAGCGCCTCGTATGTGAAGGGTCCCTGGATGGTGTCCAAGTCGTGGGTACCGATCGACACGAGGGTTCTTTGCCGGGCGAGGTTCTGGTGGAGCTTATCTTGCAGAGCGATGAAGGATTCGTAACGCGCTTGGTCGAACTTCACATTGCGGAGAATGGCACCGGAGACGAGAGGACGGATCTTCATGGTCTATTCCAAAGCATTAGCTCCCGCTATGTCGAGCCGAACTCCCAACCATGACTCACATCCTCCTTAACGATAATCGTCTGAAGTTCTCCATTGGCAGGCTCGACCAGTTTGTAGTTGGGGATAGGCTGGCGGCCCAGGAAGATGTTGAGCATGAGGGAGATACCCTCGAAGCACAGCAGATCATAGCTGTAAGTCACTCAATATATGAACTCTACACCATCAAAGACATCGCGGGTGCGTACCGGTTGGCGGGGATCTCAATCTTGAGCTGCGGGGGTTCCTGCTTTCCGTTCACGATCGGTCTGTCGGAGTTTGTGGTCTAAATCTTGTCAACACTGCGACTCGCAAGGGGCGAGGAAGGTGAAGGGATGTTTTACGTCTTCATCAAGTTCAATGCCTGTTCACAGTAGCAGTCAGCGCATTGCCCCGCCAAACCCGGTTCAATATGTCCGACTTACCGAATTCGAAGCACAGCTCGTCAAACTCCTCGGTGGTGTAGCTAGAGCACCTGGTCAGCACAGAGGACAAAATATACAGTGGACAAAGTGCGCATACTCCCGGCCGAGCGCCTTGAAAAGCGCTTCCTTGTCGACGGAGATAGTAGGCATGGTGATAGCGGGGGATGAGTCAAGACAGAGTAACAAGAAAAGCCAGCAAACGAGAATTCAACAGACTTCCTGGGATTAGGAATTGTCTGGATAGGGTCCACCACGTCTGGGACGGCACGAGTTCAGCGGGGGAAAGGACGAACAACAAGAGCGCGGACTTCAGTCGGACTGGCTGCCACCGTTTGGGTAAGTAAGTAGTCGTAGTCTACTAAAGTCTTTTGTTCCCCGTTGGGGCTTGACCCTCTTCCCAGGCGGCGGCGGCACCCAAGCCACCCGAAAGGCACCGCCACAGGCAGTCACCCCTCCTTCTCCTTTCTACTGACCTCACCGGACTCGAACTCCGGTACGGGACAGTACACCGCCTGCTTGCGCTCTCCTCACCAGCCACAGAATGCTTCCAAGTCGAAAGTAACCTCCAGCAGCCCATCCCGTCACCTTCGTAATCTCCCCCCCCCTCAAGTGCCGCCCACAGAACAGCTTGATATCCCCATTTCCAAGATCTTTTGCATATCCCCCACACATTCCACCCGGGGGTATCTTGATTCTTACGATTGTCAAAGGTTGGACCATAACTATCTAGTCCCGGTCCAATTGTTCGAGGTATGATGCTCTCGCTGCTGTTGTTGCTCAAGTGTCCTGCGGCGGCCCAAACCCCACGAAACCTCGCTCCGGGGTTCTCACTGACCTCTATCTCTTCTTCTCCCACCACGCCCCTCCCGCTAACACGGACTATTCCGGTTTCGAATAGGTCCTCGGACATTACCGTTCCATCACACGATATCCCTTCCCTTACAGATCGCCTGCTCTCAGGAAATATTCGTCGTGTTCGCGTGCGAGCGGGTCGGATCGTAGCCTGAGCGAGGACTTGGACCGGTCATATCCTTGCCTCTCTGCTTGTTCCCTAATTCTCAAGCTCACATCTACATATCATTTTCGCAATGGAGGGTCAGGGTGAAAACGACGAGCTCTACCCTATCGCCGTCCTTATTGATGAGTTGAAGGTATAGTCGCCCTCGTGATCGTCCTATCCCTGACCCTCGAGCATCGGTGGTCCTAATTCTTGAATCCCTCAGCATGACGATGTACTTCTCCGCCTCAATGCCATCCACCGTCTGTCGACTATCGCCTTGGCTTTAGGGCCCGAAAGGACCCGAGAGGAACTGATTCCTTTCCTTGATGGTTAGTACCGGCAAAGCAAGAGGGATGGTCTGGCCAAAGCACACCCCTAACACCTGCGTCATAGATTCTGTCGAAGATGAAGATGAAGTCTTGACCGCACTAAGTGAGGAGCTGGGAAATTTCATAGAATATGTTGGTGGTCCGGAGTACGGGCATGTACTCCTCTCTCCGCTCGAGAACCTGGCCGCTATCGAAGAGCCTCTGGTCAGAGAGAAGGTAGGAATCTACAACCGGTCTCGTTCGTCACCGGACCCTCGTGGTAACCGTATTCTAGGCCGTGGAGTCTCTCAACAAGATCGGTGAACAGCTGTCCGAGAAACAAGTCGAAGAGAACTTCATCCCTATGGTTCTACGCCTGTCAAAAGCCGACTGGTTCACCTCCAAGGTTTCCGCGACCGGCCTCTACTGTGTCCCCTACAGGAAAGCTACCCAGGCATCACAGCAAACTCTCCGGCAATATTATGCAGGCCTCGTGCATGACGACACACCGATGGTGAGGAGACAGTCGGGGAATAACTTGGCGAAGTTTATCAAAGAATTGAATACCCAGATCGTTATCGACGAAATGATACCCCTGTTTCAACATCTCGCAACCGATGAGCAGGACAGTGTGCGCTTGCTTACGGTTGACGTTCTCATCTCGATCGCGGAGGAAATCCCCAAGGAACAGCAGCCCAGCCATGGTGTCCTTTTGACCTCCTTGCGAAACTTGTTCGAGGATAAGAGTTGGAGGGTGCGGTACATGGTTGCTGACAGATATGAGAAGGTACTATCGTCCTGGCAGTATTCGGTCGTACCTTGGATTATTCTGACCTCATTGATAGATCGCTAAAGCCGTGCATGAAGAAGTTGTGACTCGTGACATGGTTCCCTCTTTTGTCAAGCTTTTGAAGGACACCGAGGCCGAAGTCCGTACTGCCATTGCCGGCCAAATTCCAGGTATGAATTTTGCGCGCCCCAATCCTCCCAGCCCCCAAGGCGTTATCGTCGACTAAGTACGTCATAGGCTTCTGCAACCTGATTGACCGGGAGACCTTACTTAATGAGATCATGACTAGCGTGGAGGATCTGGTTTCGGATCCATCTCAGCATGTGCGCGCGGCGCTTGGTACTCAGATCAGTGGCCTTGCACCAATCCTTGGCAAGGATGAGTTAGTACCACTTATTCAAAGGTGTCATCGGGTTAGATTGCTTACATTCTGCTCAGGACCATCGCACACCTCCTTCCTATGTTCTTGCAAATGCTCAAAGATGAATTCCCGGATGTTCGCCTGCACATCATCTCGAAGCTGGAATTGGTTAACAAGGGTAGGCAGGAGATACGCATCCCTTAACGCAAAGTACTTATGCTAATCGCAACAGTCATCGGTATCGATCTCCTCAGCCAGTCGCTTCTCCCGGCTATTGTCCAGCTGGCTGAAGACAAGCAATGGCGAGTTCGTCTCGCAATCATCGAATACATCCCCTTGCTGGCAAGCCAATTGGGAGTTCAGTTCTTTGACGAGCAACTCAGTGATCTCTGCATGGGCTGGCTCGGTGATACCGTGTTTTCAATCCGGGAGGCTGCTACTCAGAACCTGAGGAAGCTGACGGAGGTATTCGGCGTGGACTGGGCAAAGGGCTCCATCATCCCTAAAGTGATGGCCATGGGCCAACATCCCAACTACCTGTACAGAATGACAACATGCTTCGCCATCTCCGTATGTGGATTAACCTTTTCGACAAAACGTTCACCTGCTAACTTGACCTTAGACTCTTGCCCCTGTCGTCTCGCTGGATATCATTGAAAACTCGATTCTTCCCATCTTGGATAGACTCGTCTCGGACGAGATCCCCAACATCCGCTTCAATGTGGCCAAGTCATATGCCGTATTGATCGATACCCTGCGACGCCTACCCGCAGAGGGAACCATCACAGATCTGGAGAAGGCCGGCAAAACCGCCACGCCAACTCCGCGGGGACAGGATCTCATCCAGCAAAGAATTCTCCCCAGTTTGGAGAAGCTGCAAGAAGACGAAGACGTCGACGTTCGGTACTTTGCAACGACTGCCGCAGGCGGCCACGAGGAAGTCATGCAGACTTCACCGTAGGCTACTTTCCCGACTCGGCGTAGGCCAGCAGCTGCATGTTATTGCAAAGCACCTTGGGTGTGAGTGGAATAATATCACGGCACTCGCACTAATTTGGGTGGAATTTCAGTTTTGTCAAACTTAGAAATGGTCAGAGCGTCTGACTGGTACGAAATGCTCATGGCGTTCTAAATGTAGAGTCTTTTGGTCCACGATCAACAATCCTGCAAAAATCAAACCATGTCTCCCCTGTATGTAATTGTAATTGCGTGGCGCCGATACTTACGCAGGCCTCGACTCCCCTTCGGCATCATGTGATCCCGACTCAGGATGCGCTATTTCCGGAAAGCCGTCGGCGAAAGCCAGGCATCCGTTTATTAATCCTCGGTCCACGTGTAGTTCCTGAGCTGGGAATAGTTACTGGATTTCCCAAACCCCCTAACATCGCCGGAGGCATTGCTTTGTTTCTTCTTTTCGTTCATCTTTTCTTCGCAGCCGTAGGCGCAATGTCGTTCTCATGGCCATGGCATTTCGTGGCCCTCTCAGACGTTGAGAAGCAGGAGCGCCGGGAGCTTCTGGATTTACGTGGAGTCTACGCTCAATGCTCTGTTTTGGTTGCTCTTGTTCTCGTGCGGGTATATAAAATGACTTTGGGGGCTGCGCCCGCCACCGAAAAGCCGACTGAGAGGCGCACACGGCGCAAGAACCTGCAAAGGTCCTGGCTAGACTCGCCGCCATTTGCTGGCTGGATGGAGACCAAAAGACAGTATATTATCTGCCTAATCTGGCTCGGCTGGCTTCTGGGTCTTTCTGTATGGAATTCTGGTGAAGGTGGGTTAATACTTTCCCCATTGAGATGGTAGTATCGGATATGGTCAAGCTTGGAGCCTAGACAATTAAAACACAGGGTGATTATGTTCATCTGGACTCCGATTTGCCAGAGTCCATTTGTCCATCCAAGCTCCCGCCAAGTCCCTTACTCTCATCCATATCTCATCCTGGAGACACAAGCTAAACTGTCATTGTTTCGAGCAGATTACCTCCACTTCACCAAAGCTCTGGCCCATGTCAGCCTTTCCCAACTTCCCTTGCAGGTGCTCATGTCACCAGCCTTGTACATGAGCCCATCGCCAGGATCGCCATCAGTCGTGTCGGTTCTAACCTCCGTTCCGCAACCCACCATCAATGCCTACCATCGTCTATTTGGTAGATTGGTCCTTGCGCCATTGCTTGTCGCCCATGCCCTTTTGTACGACTCATTCTTTCTACAGTCGAGCCACCCGGACTTCGGAACTCTCTTTGCGAAGCGCGTCCAGGATACTGACGTCCAGTGGGGAATTGCTGCAGTCACCATGGTCTTTGCGGCCGTTTGGTTCGCTCGTCCTGCAGCGATGCCTCGCTGGGTGCGCTGGTTGAAACCCTCGTCCGCCAAAACTAGACAACAGATCTTCTACATCGGGCATGTGTCGATTGTGGGAGTGTTGGAACTTGCGGCCTTCTCTCATGTTTCGGTGGCACGGGTCTATATCCTTGAGTCCTTGTTGAGCTCGGCGATTAATTTCGGATGTTGCTGGTTGATGCAGTAGATGGGGCTCGGTGCGGGTGCTAGTAATTCATTAGACAGGCCTGGTGACGACAGTAGATCGTGAAGCTCCTGAAAGTCTAACCTGCAGCTGTCTAGCGCGGCAATGGTCAAGAATTATTAGTCTAAGTAGACAATTCCAGCAATACTATGGCTCAAGTATGGGGTTGATGTGGAATTCAACGAACTGTGGTATAATATGAGTATCTTGTCAGAGCCTTTTCGGTCTAACACATAGTATATACTATCAAGGTTTCAATTGAAAACGACGTTATATATCTTAGCTTGTGACTTGTGGAGTTCCCCAGAGAGGACGACAAAATATAAACCCACGAAGTTTCTTAAAGAGAATAGTGCGGAAGATGAAACTTGACGTGATATATAAAAGGGCCTTTTCAAGCTCTTATCATGATAAATCGAAAACGAACCATGCCACCATACCAAGCAGGTCAACTACTTGGTTGCATATCTTGGTGGAACAGTATAGGCAGCACGGCTGTTTCCTCTCACAAGTCTCTTGACTAGCATGTTCATGCATGATGAAGCAGCAGTACAATATAATTCTAAGTGCTGGAGCTGAGAACTTGCCAAGCAAAGCTCACTTGGGAGCAATCGTAGCCCAGACTAATTTCTTTATGAAAAGTTTGTGAGGCTAACAACGCGGGTCTCTGGCGTGAGTGATCGATCAATCACGAACTGGAAGGAACTATACTCGCTGAGTCGTCGTGCACTTTCCCTTCCCATCAAGGATTCTTTAAAGACCTGAGTTATTCTTCATTGTATCACGCTTGGAAGAGAACAGGATCCCCTGACCAATTCCAATTTTTTCAAAGATCCACGTTCAGCCCAACTGTTTGTCTCTGGTGGATTTTGCCATCCTTCCTACTTTGCATTCATCGGCCTGTTGTATTTCCCTAGGCACAGTCATGCTCAAGTACGACATCCCCACTCTGCTGTCCCTCAGCCAAAACGCACGAGTCGACCTCACCAAATTCAGTGACCAAGCACTTGGCAGTAAGTATCTTCCAGCCTAGGTAGGAAGCTTGTGGCAGCAACAACTTTCTCGCTAACACTGCTTTTCTCTTTTGTCGGATTCGCAGACAATCTGCTTCGACAACGCAAAGCCAGCACAAGTGTTCTGTCCGAGCAGCCAGTCAACCGGTCGAGGAACGCATCAAATCTCTCACGCCAGAGCGAACGGACTCTTTCAATCCTTGAGCCTACCTTGCTCCATCCCTGTCGACAGCCAAGTGATCCACCGCAAGGGATTCGGGCACACGCTGATGCCGGGTTTGCTCGGTTTCTGAAGGAGCATACGTCCCCGAAGCACCAGCGTGTCACGGCAGGTGGTCGAATCGTCCCAATGGAGCCGCCTCAATCACCCACTCCCAAGACGAAACAGCCTGTGCACAGCATTAATGTAAAGACCGGCGATGAGAAGGTATCCAACGCTTCATCGAGAAATGATAATAGAAGCAAGCTTGAGAATAGACAGCTGCTGCCAAATGATACCACCGTAAGTGTTGACATCTCCAAGGCGGCATCGCAGCTGGGTGGAACTCATACTAACATACTTGCCATGACATCTCAGGCTGCGGGGACAATTGACCAGCAGTTTTCAGGCTGTGGACAAACACCAGACCTCTTGTCTGCGGCAGCCACCGCGGGTCTGTTTGCCCCACCTAGTTTTCCTTGGTCGATGGATGCCCAGCAAGTGCCTCAAGTTGGCCTACAAGCTCCTGATGTCAATTTATCAGCGGCCTCGGATCATGCTTTGTATGGCTTGGGGGCAGATCCACTTGCATGGCTTCCGACCATGTATCAAGCTTTGAGTACCCGAGGCCCTATGGCTTCTTCCATGCCAGCAGTCCAGCCATATCCACTTGTCACATCATCTTCCGACTTCTCTGCGGGGAGCAACACCAGCAGCGGAGGGACCGCCTCCGTCTTTAGTCAACTTCCGCCTGGATTCGACTCCCTGTATCCCTCCCTTGGGCTTCAGTGGAATCAATATACCGGTGGACAACTCTCGGTTCTCAATCAATCAATGATGCCCAACACTCTTCAGACACCATCCTATCAAAAGTCTCTGGAAGATGCTGCCAAAGAGCACCAGTCTCTCACCGGCCAGCTTTCACGTCTCGACAGGTATATGGCCATGCACAGTTGGGATCTAGATCCAAGTTCGAAAAAGCTCTTGGTTGAGCAGCGGATGTGTTTGGTGAGAGAGTTAGATGCCGTCAGAATATACAGAGAACATCTGGAGTGGGCTTCTGGAAGATTGAACTCAAGCATTTCAGCGAAACAGAATGTGACAAACGCTGCTCCAGTGTATGCCACCAGTAGTCTTCTGGGCAGTCAAACTCTGATGAGCCCCGGTCTATGTGCACCCAGCTCGAGTTGCGCGATTCCAGCGTTACCTATGCTGCCAATAGCAAACGCGCTTCAGCATCCGCTCTCTCTCAACGAGCCAGTCAACTCAGCCATTCCGTTCCACGCCGTGCCAGATACTCATCTATACAGCAACAATACTTGCCCAACAGACGTGCGAGCAAGCCGTAACTCATTCAGAGAGACGGACTTTTCGTACACCACACGCATCGAACCTATGAGATCAGACAAGCAGGCGCAGACATATGGCGAGGTTAAATCAAGAGATCCCGGCGGGACTGGATGGAAGACACCTACTAAGATAGCACCTTCAGATGTTCGCAAGGTGTATCATCATATTGAGGATGCCACTCGTCGAGGCGAATCCCTGGACGGACTACAATTGCTCAAAGAGCTCTCTGATGCTACCTCCAGGCTAGTCAAGCAAAGGAGAGATGAGCTTCAAGAGTCGCGCAGATCACTACCAACAGTGCCTGGCAAACAGAGCCACAAGGTTCATGCAGGCAATGAGACCTATGCAGTGAAGGGATTGTCGGATGGACATGAGACGTATGCACCACTGGAACGGCACTCAAGGAAGGCCTGGAAGTCTGGGAACGAGTTGCGAAGGCCTGTGACACACGGAAAAAAGGCCCCATTCGTGAGTGAGGCGGATGATGAAGATGATGGTGTATCCATTGCATCATACTTGTCAACGACGGACTCGTGGGCCACTATGCATGAAAAAGAGTGAGTGCCCTCGTGTTACACCACTTGGCAATGCTGTTGGGACCCCCTAACTCTTACTAGTAGTCGCCACCTTGACAGAAAGCTACTAGAGAGCAAAGGCAAGAGGGTGTATCGAGAAGTTCTGACCGAAAGGTAGGAAGCCTGAGGATGATATGGACAGGCAAGCTGATTGTATCCTGCAGCAGGCCACGCGGCCCATTCGAACATTCTGCCGTAGCTGCTGAAGCCCTTAGATTGACTATCCAGCGTGTTGAAGGCCAGAACCGCAGCATTGTAGGCGAGCATGCGACATACAAGCCACGCAGCCCTGCACCATTGGTTAACCCGACTGATCCGGCGAGACAGGCGAGCATGGAGGATATGAGACAGCCCTATCCCCAGCTTCTCACACAATATTTCAACAAGGATCGGGGGCTAGCCTTCCAGAAAACGGCTGCCTTGGCTGTCTCTCAGAATGTGAATGCACATGGGTTTCTGCCCCCTTTCGAAGGCCTGGGAAATGCACCTAATAAGCACAGGGCCGCGCCGATGGATATCTCTGAAAGTGGCAGATATCTGCTGAGTGGAAAGGCCTCAAGCTCCAACCAGCATGACGGACCACGGCCAAAAGAAAAGAATGCTCTATTCCTCGCAAAGCAAGTCTAACAGCCATGGCGGAGTGTGGTGGAGCAAGGTTCCCGTGGCGTTCACCTTTGCGTTCTCCTCTGAAACAGATGATCAGGAGAACCATCCACAAGCAAATCGGCGGTGTGTTCAGGAGCAGTAGGTTGCAATCGGCGTTGGAGAAGCAGTTGGAGATATGAGTGTATGGCATCATTGTATTACATGTATTAAGGGATCCTCTTGTCCTGGACGTTTGGGCCCCATCTGATTGGAGTGTATCTTAGCATGAGAGATTGTTTAGCCTATTCGATGTGTGGTGCTTAGGCATTATGGTCGGAGACTCTAGGTGGAAGGTCAGTTATCATGCTTTCCAGAGGAGAGCCAGATGAATCCGGCGTGGTCAGTCCAACTGGGGCTGTTGTTTGTGATTACCCGGGCGAATTTGCTCAACTACTATGTACGAATATAACTTCGTTACTGGAGAATCGGCCATGGACAGGAAGAGCAGATCGTTACTCTATAGTGAAGGAGGAGGGCCCTCCTTGCGTGGATGATGGATTCCCCCACATCCCACCTCCGTTGTCCTACTGGTCCGCCTCAGCCACACCCCGCAAAAGATGTGAGGTCGCATCTCGTATCCTTGATTCGACCCGAGCGAGCAGCGAGACCTACCATTCCGGTACGTGTATGGAATCTAGAGGACTCTCTTCGAGCCTCGACCGGCTTTTTCGGGGGTGGGGGGGAGAATGCAACAGAGTCAGCGATGGCTGTGTTTCTGAGGCGAACCCACAGCTTAGCGGCGCAGCGCACGGTGAGGGAGGTGGCCAATTCGGGAGGTGGAATGGAGTGCCTGGCGACCCTATCAAACGACCGGGAAGGCCCCATGGGATGGCCAGCACCCATGGGTGATCGAAAACGTCCAGAAGTGCAATGGGCATCCAGTGTGGCAAGGCACCAGCCAATCTGCACCGCTCTTGGAGGGGGACGATCGGATCTAAGATAGCCTACGGAGTACTCCGTACAGGACGCTGGAACGGGTACTGTACTGTGGATGTACTGACTGGAGGCAGGCATCCCGATGAGAATTACATACCCGAGCCGTATCAAGGGGGGGAGGAGGAGGGGAATGGTCTGGGCTGGAGAGAGATACCACGGCTCGATACGACGGTGATAAGTGACAGGCCCTGGTGGAAAGGGTGACTGGGTTATCGGGCTTTATCGGCGGCCCCTTGGCCTCCGGACGAGTGTTTTAGTGTCGGGTTAGTGGTTTAGTGACGGTGAGACTTTGGCCGCCGGATGGACTAGTGACGGTACTAACCCGGTATGGATGCGTATGATGTATCGTGCCGGGCGGCGTGACTAAGCCAAGGCACTTCCCATTCCAACTTTCCCTCCACGTCTCCACTTCGTCTCCGGCCCTTTCGCTTTCTCTTCTTTTGTTCTCTTCCCTTCGGTCCTGTCTCGATCTCTTCTCCTCGGTCAGGGGATCAATTCTTCATCCTCCAAACGTTCTTTCTTTGCTCCTTCCGGATCCTTTGTGAACGGTGTGCTTCCCGCCGAGGTCTAGCCGAGGTGCCCATCCCACGCCCCCATCGTTCCCGGGCTGCAAGTGCCTCTTAAATCCAAGTTTCTGGTGCGACTAGCACCACCGCCTACCTTTTCCCCCGCGGCTTCTGGCCCGTTGCTGGGGCCCCTTCCTCCCCGTCGCAATCTCTCATTGTTCTATCTACTTGCCCCGTCCGATATTATCACCACGACTTGACCACCTGGGCACGTCCCTGGGTTTAAATCCAGGCATTCACCGGCATGACACAACTTTTTGCCTCCAGTCCGTCCTCCGTGACGAACGAGAAACGCGGGAACTTCCCCAGTCTCTCGCTGGCCTCCAAGAAACATTCGAATTCGAACGAGTCGGGCCACCTTCCCACGAGAATTAAGAATTTCTTTCGCATCAACAGTTCGAGCAGTAATTCCTCCCATGCCAGCCATCACAGTAATGACCACCGGGACCGCGACGGCAATACGTCTCCGCCCGCAAAGCCGGATGCCAAATCCGGTTTTAGACAGTCCCGGTTCCTTCCCACCATCGGCCGCAATCGCTCCACCACCGTTGCCAGCGAAGGCAACCCGCTAGACGAAGGCGTGTCCCCGACCGCGACGGCCAACCCATATTTTGTTCACCAGGGCCAGCCTTCGCTGCAGCATCGCAACGATGGCTCCGTGCCGTCGTCCCCTCCCGATACCCCCGAGTTACAGGTGGATGGCGTCTCGGCGGCTGAGCAAGCGACTACGGCCAACAAGGAGGAGCTGGCACGGAAGCTTCGTCGGGTCGCTTCTGCCCCGAATGCGCAGGGTCTCTTTGCCCGCGGCCAGGGCGACGGACGGCCTCAGACAGCCGAATTAGGAAAGGAACCTCTGGAGCAAGTGGCTGGGCCTGATGACCCGCAGGTCACTACGGTAGAATTGACAGGTGAAAAAGAGATGAGCCTGGCCGTGCCGAAAATTGGCCCTCACAGCAAGCTTTCCCTTCCTGGTCACCTTCGAGATTCGGTCGCCTTCCGCAGGACATACAGCTCCAACTCGATCAAGGTGCGCAATGTGGAGGTCGGACCGGGCAGTTTCGACAAGATCAAGTTGATTGGCAAGGGTGATGTGGGTAAGGTGTACCTTGTCCGGGAGAAGAAGTCTAGCCGGCTCTATGCTATGAAGGGTAAGTTGCGCATCATGAGGTTGATTCTAACCTTTCTATGAACGCTTCTGACTTGACTAGTTTTGAGCAAGAAGGAAATGATTAAGCGGAACAAGATCAAGCGGGCTCTGGCGGAGCAGGAAATCCTCGCCACTAGCAACCATCCGTTCATTGTTACACTCTACCATTCCTTCCAGTCTGAAGACTATCTCTACCTGTGCATGGAATACTGCAGTGGTGGCGAATTTTTCAGAGGTGCGTTCAACGTCTGGTTGGTCTAACTGTCGCTGACTTTTCTAGCTCTTCAAACCCGACCTGGGAAATGCATTTCCGAGGATGCGGCACGATTCTATGCTGCGGAAGTTACTGCCGCTCTGGAGTACCTCCATCTCATGGGTTTCATCTACCGCGATTTGAAACCAGAAAGTATGTGCCATCATCTCTACGTGGGGTGACCAGTGCTGACTTCCTTGCTTAGATATCCTTCTCCACCAGTCAGGCCACATCATGTTGTCTGATTTCGATCTGTCGAAACAATCCGGACCCGGCGGTGCCCCGACGATGATCCCTGCACGGAGTGGCAACTCTACGACGTCGCTGCCCACGATTGACACCAAGTCGTGCATTGCTGATTTCCGGACGAACTCATTTGTCGGCACGGAAGAGTACATTGCACCCGAGGTCATCAAGGGCTGCGGACATACTAGCGCAGTCGACTGGTGGACGCTTGGCATTCTGATTTATGAGATGCTCTACGGCACGACGCCGTTCAAAGGCAAGAACCGGAATGCTACGTTCGGAAACATCCTGCGAGATGAGGTGCCATTCCCTGAGCATGCTGCGGCCCAACAGGTTTCAAAGTCAGTCTTCCCTAGTGCTTGACATAATCGGTCACTAACCTTGGCAGTCTGTGCAAATCATTAATTCGCAAGCTGTTGATCAAGGACGAGACCAAGCGCCTTGGAGCTCGAGCCGGCGCTTCTGACGTCAAGACCCATCCCTTCTTCCGGCAGACCCAATGGGCGCTCATCCGGCATATGAAGCCGCCGATGATCCCCCACCAGAGCCGTGGCACGGATACCCTCAACTTCCGCAATGTGAAGGAGAGCGCAAGTGTTGACATCGGTGGGCCCAGCACGAGCAAGATGAAGGGTGTGCCGATGGATTCGGGACTTGCGACGCCCAATGGCGAGGTGGCAGATCCGTTTGAAGAGTTCAACAGCGTCACCCTTCACCATGACGGGGACATGTGAATGGATGCCATCTGCAGCAGGCGCAGCATACATTGTATCGCCAGCGGCATTTTTACGACCTTGATGCATGAAAGATCTCTACAGGAGGATCTCTTACAGCTAAACCTGGAGTATCGGATGCTTTGATTGGGAGTTTGTTTATTTTTCCTTTCTATACACGGATGGTTATCGATATATGCTGATATCCAACGCGGTCTCTTGATCGTGACTGAAGCATGGGTTAATTTCGGATAATGTTTTTTTTTTCTATTGTTTATGCGGCAGCGATGTAACAGTTTGACTTTCAGTCATTGCAGCAGACGGCGTTAGCGATTTCGGTTGTACCTTAGCAAACAGATCCGAGCAAAACGCGGCGTGTGGGGTCATGCTGGGATGACCGACACGGGATGTTTTGGTCTGATTCTATTCTTTGTATTAGTGGCGAGACTTGCTTGTCCGGACAGGTGCCTATGGACATGATATGATATTGTTAGATTTCAGCTGATGTTAAAGTATGAAGTATGCGGAGTGCGTATCTGTACGGAGTAAACGAACGCATCGGATGACGGAATCATCCGCGACCCAAACAAGATCCTCACAATACCTACCACCTACCACCTACAACCTCACCTCACCACACCAGCATCCAAACGGACAGCCAAGCAGACAGACAGCCAAACAGAGAAACACAAAAATGTCCTCCCCACCCATCAAAACCAGCGCCTCCCCCTCCGAAACCACCCCAACCGCAACCCCCAACCCACTCCTCCGCACAAACCACCCCCTCGTCTCCCCTCTCGAACAAGAAGTCCTCGACGAATATGCCCGTTTACTCGGCAACGTGAATAAGGTACGTCCCTTTGCCTCCTCCTCCTCCTCCTCCCTCACCTCCCCCATACCCATTCCCTACCCAACCCTCTCAATTCCACAAGCACATACACACCCAACCAAGCTGATCATGTGCTAATATGAGGATAGTTATCCAACAAACTCTCCTACCTTGCGGGCAACCCTACATCCCTCACCCTCGACGGCCTGCGCCATCTCGAACGCAAGACCGCGACCGTGTGCACGTTACTCAAGGCGAGCGTGTATAGTATTGTTCTTCAGCAGCAGATTTTTAATGAGGAGGAGCAACATCATCAATCCCAACAAGAGCAGCAGGGGCAGGAGGGAGGGGAGGGGGTGCATGGGGATGAGGAGGGACAGGAGTATGGGGGTTACGGTGACGAGGGGGGGTATGGTGGGTATGGAGGGTATGGAGGGTATGGAGGGTATGGGGAGGGGGAGAGTTATGCGCGGTTTGGGTGATTTGTTTTGTGATTTGTTTTGTGATTTGTTTTGTGATTTGGTTTTGTGGGTTGGGTTTATGGTGTTTGGGTTGGTTGGGTGGGTGGGTGGTATGATAGACGTGGTTTCATATGATATATACCCTTGTTTTGTTCTTATGGTTGTTTGATTGTGGTGGTGGTAGTGGTAGTGGTGGGTGTAGCTGAAGTAGTAAAATACATGACTGAATACAGGATAGAATAATAGGAAATAGGAAAAACATTATATACACCGCCATGACGCAAACATGTCTAGTATCAGGTGGTGAAGCGACAGCCGCACTGGTAGAATTCCGTCTATTCGGCCTTCGCGCTTACGGCTTCCCCTGCGCAACTCCTGGCTTAGGGAGAGGAGGTACAATCTTCACTCCCGCATAGTACACGCCTCGCACATCAACCATCTTCTTGCCCCGGGCACGAGCAATTTCCTCGGGGTCCCGCTGGCTCATGAGCGCCTCGTAGGCGGCTTTGACGGTGTTCATCGGGTTTCTGGACCGGTTGACCCGGGCAGCCAGGTCCTGAATACCGGCCGCACGGCACATTTCGAAAATCAGGTGCTGACAGCGGAGACCGAATCCTAGAAAATCAAACCGTTAACATTTCGTTCCACCCGACCGAGGGAATTACCTACCTGGCGGACGGTGCATCAATTCCAGTTCCACCGCTCCGACCTTGCCCTTGACGTCGCCGAAAATGGTCCGGGCCTCGTAGCGCGGCACGGGGCGCATGTTCTTAATGGCGCGGGCGCGGGCCTGTTGGCAGGCATCGATAATTTCATCGGACTTGCCAATTCCAATTCCCATCAGGCCCCTCTGGTTGCCGGCGACCGCCAGGACGGACATGCTAGGGATCTTACCCAGTCGGGTCTGGTTGCTGACCCGGCGCACCACGAGGTCCTTGACGTACAGAGACTTGATGTAATCACGAGAGTAGCCCGTGACCTGGAAAAGCTTTTTCTCCTGCTCCGTGGGTTCATTGGGATTCAGATACGTGAGCTCTCCCGCAGGGGTCCGGTACCGGGGTCGTTCCTTGATATCGCTACCCATGTGTTCCAAGGTCTCGCCCTCGTTCAAGAGATTAGGCGCGATCGCGCTGTGTCCGTTGAGCTCATTCTCCTCTTTGCCGTGAGTGACCCGGTTGGTCTCCAAGAACCGCACGAGATCCGCCGGTTCTGGCTCCTCGGGGGCATTGACGAAGTATTCGACAATGTCTTCCATTAAATCATCGTCGGATTTGAAAGTCGCGTTGTAGTCGGAGTTGGTCTTGGGGGCACGAACATGCTTGTCCACGCCGGGTTCAATGGACGACAGATCATCCAAGTACCTCAGTCTCATCGGATCCCGACGGAGGCGGAACTGTTCATGCAGGTCCTTGGGGTCAATGGCGGCCTCACCGGCCTCGATGGCGGCAATCTGTTCGGGGGTGTATTCTTCCTTGAGGGCGGCTTTCTCCTCCTCGGTGTATGGTTTGAAGTCGTCGAGCTTGAGGTCCCGGTACACCTCTTCCAGCGTCTTTCCTTCGGGGGCATTAATCTCGGGGACTTTGGGTTTCCGGTCGGAGAGCTGTATCGACGAGAGGTGGAACTGGCGACTAGGCACGCGAGGGCCGGCGGAGGTCGCCCGCGAGAAGGTGCAGAAGAGGCATCGGGCAGGACGTGCGAGACTCATGATGGCGGAAGAGAAGCTCTCTGGCCAGCAGAGGCCACTAGAGCTATAGGATCCGGGGAGGGGGGGGGAAAGGAGGGAGAGCGGAGGGGTGGTGGAAGAGAGACGAGAATGGGGAAGACGGAAGGGCGACGAACGAGTGAAAGTTGAAGGTGAAAGTGAAGGTCGCCATTGAAATTCTCAGCGGGCCGCTCCAGCCAATCCCCGCCCGTCTTTTCCTGCTCACTCAACTTTTTCCCTTCCAAGTTCGCCTCGGTTTTCCCTCGACTTCTTCAATCCCTTCATTTTCTACTTTCATTGAGTGAGGGTTCATATATGTTCGCCTCTCGGTCCCTGCGGTCCTTTGCCTCCCCGTTTCACCGACTTGCAACCAGTCTGCCCCGGCCAGTCCAGCGTCTGGCTTCCTTCCATCTCTCTGGATCCCCGCGCAATGCGCAATTAGTCTCCCAGCCGACCATTACCATGCAGAACTCCCCCAAGAAGCCCGACACCGGGGCCAAGCGGCGCAAGAGAGTCAAGGCCCCCCGCGACAACAAGAGCAGTGGCTTTGACGAGGTCCTCCAGGCCGACATCGACCAGCTGCTCCGCAGACACAAGCCCGAAACCGAGCTCGAAGCCGACGACGCTGCCACGCCCCCGCCGCCTGCCCTGCCGGAGACTTTCACCGAGATTGAAGTCCAGGTCGCTGAGATCTCATCGACCGGCGATGGCCTCGCCCTGTCGGACACCCAGGATCACGTCTACGTCGTTCCCTTCACCGTCCCTGGCGACAAGGTTCTGGTCAAGGTCGTGCGGCACTTCCCTTCCCTGTCCTACAGCATGACGGACTTTATCAAGGTTGTCGAACCGGGCCCCCAGCGCAATGACGCCGGCATTGGTTGCCAGTATTTCGGACGGTGCTCCGGATGCCAGCTGCAGATGATGTCCTACGAAGACCAACTTGCCCACAAGAAGCGCATTGTGGAGAAAGCGTACGCCAACTTCTCCGGGCTGATCCCGGAGCTGATCCCCGCCATCGACGACACATTCCCATCCCCGCTGCAATACGGCTACCGGACGAAGCTGACGCCGCATTTCGCTGCTTCGGGCGGAAACAAGAGGCGCGGCAAAGGGCCCCGTGAGCCGCACAAGGAGGTGCCCCCCATCGGATTCACATTCAAGAACCGGCGCATGGATCTGGATATCGAAGACTGCCCGCTGGGCACCGACATTGTGCGCCAGGGCATGAAGAGTGAGCGGAAGCGGGTGGCCGAGACCATTGGCAAGTACACCAAAGGCGCCACGCTCCTGATGCGTGAATCCACCACCCGCGTGCCGAAAGACAGCGAGAACCCTCCCGCCCCGATCAACCAACCCGGCCAGGATTCGGGCGATGTCATCCGCACCGAGAAGGACACCTACATCGAAGAGAAGCGATGCGTGACCGACTCCAATGCGACCAGCGTGGAATACGTCGACAACTACGTCTTCACCAACAAAGCCGGCGCCTTCTTCCAGAACAACAACTCCATCCTCTCCGGGTTCACCGACTTCATCCGCCAACACGCCCTGCCCCCGAACAACGACCAAGACCCCACGCCCATCAAATACCTGCTGGATGCCTACTCCGGCTCCGGCCTCTTCACGATCACCCTCTCCCCGCTCTTCAAGTCCAGTCTGGGCGTCGACGTCGCTGGCGACTCCATTGTCTCGGCGCGGGAGAATGCTCGCGCCAATGCGCTGCCGAACACCGGCTTTGCGGCCGCCGATGCCGCCGTTCTGTTCAAGGACGTGCCCTACCCGCCCGATCAGACTCTGCTGGTGATCGACCCGCCCCGCAAGGGCTGCAGCGACGACTTCCTCCGACAGCTACTGGCGTTTGGACCACGCCGGGTGGTGTATGTCAGCTGCAACGTGCACACGCAGGCGCGGGACGTGGCGGTCATGGTGCAGGGAAACGCGGAGAAGAAGATCCGGTACGAGATTGAGAGCATCCGGGGATTTGATTTCTTCCCGCAGACGGGCCATGTGGAGGGGGTAGCCATTTTGAACAAGACGAGTATACCAGCTGTGTAGGATACCAATAATACCTTCAATTTCATTCTCACACTTGTCTATACATGTTGACTGTCCAGTATGCCCCATCATCCACTCTATACTTCACAAAGGTTCCGGATCCGCAATCTTCAGAATTGCCTTTCCTAGATTCTCCCCGCGCAACATGCCAACTAATGCCTCCGGGCCGTTCTCAATGCCAGTCGTGATATGCTCTTTCGCAACGATACTGCCCTCGCGCAGCCACTACCATTGTCAGCACATACACCCACTATAGAGCAGAAAGAGTACACTCACAGCAGACACCTTCTCATCCCTCTCCTTCTCATACTTCGGTCCAAACCCCGCATCCCCCACAATAAACCCCTGCATATGAATCCGTTTGGTGACCACCAACCCCAGATTCTTAATCCCGTACCGGTCCTCGGGCGCGAGATTATACTGCGAGATCATCCCGCACACCACTACCAGCCATTAGCCAATCCCACCCAACACCACCCCAAACACCAAACACCAAAACAAAGAGAAAGATAATACATACCAACCCTCCCCCCCACATTCATCCCCTCCAACACCCCCTCCAAGACCTCCCCCCCCACATTCTCAAAATACACATCCACGCCCTCCGGCGCCACCCTCCCTAACGCCTCCCTGACCCCCTCAACCCGATAATCAAAACACGCATCGAACCCCAACTCCTCCAACACATACTTTACTTTCTCACTCCCGCCACAAGATCCAATTACCCGCAGCCCTTCCCGTTTCGCAATCTGCCCGACTATGCTCCCCACTGCGCCCGCCGCAGAGGAAATGAAGATTGTTTCGCCGCGTTGGGGGCGGCCGATTTCGTAGAGTCCGGCATACGCGGTGAGGCCGGGCATGCCGAGGATACCCAGGTAGTGGGGGAGAGGGATTTCGTTTGAGTCGTTGGTGTTGGTGGTGGTATTGGTGTAAGGGATAACCTTAATACTCTCCCATTTGAGCTCCGAGTCGAGGATGCTGTACTCGGACACCGGAACACGACAGTATAGGATCTGCCCCCGGGAGTACAGTGGGTGATTGGAGCGGAGGACTTGGACGAGGCCGTAGGCGGTGATCGGGGCGTGGAGGGGGTAGGCGGGGCTGTAGGAGGGGATGTGGGCGGGACGCATGCGGCCGCGCATGTAGGGGTCCAGACTGGCGTAGAGGGTTTTGGCGAGGAGGGTGTTGGGGGAGAGGGGTTGGGTGAGGGAGATGGGGGAGGGGAGGGTGGTTAGGTCTTTGTTTGGGATGGGGAGGCCTGTCGGGATGTTGGTGAGGGTGAGGGAGAGGTTGGGGTGGAGGTCTGTGGTCATTTTGGTTGTGGTTGCGAGAAGTATTGGGCAATTGGGATTGGGGATGGGGATGGGATGTATGTTGGATGTGAGGATGGGATTGTAGATGTGAGAAGGATGATGGTTATATAGTATATCGAGCGGGGAAGCGGGTCCTGGTGCTTATGCTGATGCCATTGCTTAGAAATGCAGGACTGGCATCTACTACATGTTGTAATCGAGCATCACGATATATACAGCTCGAATGTCTCACTATTTACTATCACTGATACAACAAACTAAACTACGAACTGCCAGGCCCCCCAAGCAACGCAAAGCGCCGCACAATACTGGGACCAATCTCATCGTACTCCGCCTTCGTGTGGCAGTAGCTGCGGAACTCAGGCGTCTGACCCAGCAAGCTACCTCCAAACCACGGCCCATGGCGCTGTCTCTTGTGCGTCACCACCGCCACATCCAATCCACCACTCTTGGCGCCTCCGCTGCGTGCCTCCGACGCCCGAATGCGCGCATCCACCAGGTGTCGGATGTCCCGCTGCAGACGCCGGCCAAAGTCCTTGTACAGCGTAGAGCCACCGGACAACACAATGTTCTTGTACAGGCCTCTGCGGACATCGATCGGCGACGACTGGATCACCCCGTCGACCACGTTGGGCAAGGGAGTCAAAAAGTCCGACGAGTAGATCTCCGGGTTGAAGAAGATCTCCGGCGCCAGGAACCGCTCGTAGCCCACATCAATGCTCACGGTCCGGCCGTTGGGCGAGGTCACAGTGTGCTTGAGGAGACGGTCCGGTTCGCGGTCGTAGCGGGCAAATTCCTTCACAATGTCCGGGCACACGTAGCAGTACTCCTCCTTGACCTTCTCGGCGGTCTTCAGGCTGCTGTCCGGCTCACCGCGGTCCCGCAGCAAGCTCTGGACGAAATACGTGATGTCGCGACCCGCAATCGGTATACTCTTAATCGATGATCCAATGACGTAGCCTTCAGCGACGGGGATAACGTGCGTCACACCGTCACCGGAGTCGATGACCGTACCGGTGAGGGATCGGTCTGTCACTTTCGACGAGGTCCACGAGGCAGCCAGCGCCAGCACGGCCTGGACGGCAATGTAGAGACCGGCGCAGTTGAACGACTCGAACATGATCTCGGCGGTGTTCTCACGGTTCTCCGGGGGGTTCAAAGGCTATCCACCATACAGTCAGTCACATCCAATCGCAATCGTCAATAAAGGCAACCGCTTACCGGCTCGGTGAGAAGGAAGTAGTGGTCCTCCGGCTCCACGCGCAGGTACTTGAAGATGGAATTCGACCAGAACCGCTCCATGTGATCCCAGTTCTCGATCTGTCCATGGCGAATCGGGTAGTTGATCGCATATCCGGGACCGTTGGCCGCTGCCAGAGCTTCATCGCCAATGAAGAAGTCCAAGTCCTCGGTGCCACGCTTCGCGGACAGGTGGGAGCCGGCCCCACCACCGCCAGCCAGGAAGGACGGTTTGTTCGCAACGGGGGGTCTGCCAGGTCCGGAGGCGCCCGATCCGGCACCAGCCTTGGTCGCAATTGCCGTGGGGAAGACAAACGAGGGCGAGTCGTTACCGGCGAAACCTACAACTTGTCAGCCTGGAGCTTCACGGGAGCTCCACTGGGATGCGGTCAGGGACCTACCGAGCTTGGAATATCCAGTTCCGCTGCATCGAGGAAGCCCCGGTTAGTGACAGCTGCAGGGAGGGGATCTCGGCAGGAATGACATACTTGTCCATGACAACGGCCGGGGTTTGGGAGGCCATCACGGATGATGTGGAGCACACGCACACTCCCCCTGATTATGTGGTTGGGACAAAGAAGGGGATGAAATTGGGAATTGAAGATTGCTTAGATGGTGTTAGAGTCGAAAAACGATCAACCCGAAACTCCACCACGACGCACTGGGGAGGAAGTTAGAAAGGGGAATGGGGGGAGGATGAGGAGGGGAGACGGAGATGGAGGCGGGCAGAAGATGGCGGCCTGCCTGCCTGATACTGGAATTACGGGAAGACGTCACGTTCGGTATGTATGTATGTATGTATGGTACGGGCCGGCCTCACGTCCGCCCAAACGGGGTTTCCAGGAATTGGCCGAAGAGCTGCCAGTCAGCAGCCCTCACAGATAGGCGGTAGGCAATGTAGGCGAGCACCGCTTTTCACGAGAAATCTTCCAGGCGGATAGCTCCAGCAGGAAACCGCCTCCAATGGGGCATCCAGGGAAGGTGCTGGATCCGTGTATCCTATCCGCTGTCTTCGGCTTCACTCCCTCTCTTCTATATGCCGGGCTCAGCTACTATCCTTAGACCATCTCCTCCCTCCTCGTCAATTGCCTATTCTTCCTCCCTAAGTGACATTTATAACTGGCTATCCTTAGCTGTGATACCTCATTTGCTATTGTGTTTTCCCTCACGCTCCAATCGATGCAAACACCCTGTTGACCTGGAAAGCACCAATTATCTCGTCTGCTGGGAGACCCGCATCGTCGTGGGCTTCCCAATTCTCTGGTGTTAAGGACCTTCCCTCTCTTCTTCGCTTCATTCCTCGTCAACTCTTTCATCTCGTTTCCACCGTCCAGGTTGCCATGCCGGCTTCCCAGGGGCAGTGAACAATCTATAGGGTTACGCTGCAATCCTTCACCTTGGAGCACCCACGCACATCACGTCTTCTCCATTTCTTTCTTCCTCGGCACTTGAGGAGTTTGCGTCCCTTTAGAACACAGCAGTTGCCTGGAATGAGTCGTCTCAGTGGGGGTGGAGATATCTCCGCCATCTTCGTCCACGCTGGCGCCGGTTTTCACGCGCCACACAATGAGAAAGCGCATCTAGAGACCTGTGAGAAGTAAGATTTCCCAGTCCGTGGCTCAGCATGTAAGCCAGAGTTGTCCTAACAAGAGCAGTGCGGCAAGAGTGGCCATGGCTGTTCTGAGAAACGGCGGCTCCGCCGTCGACGCTGTCGAGATCGCTATCATGCTGCTGGAAGACTCGGAGATTACCAATGCTGGCTACGGCAGCAACTTGAACCTGGAAGGCATGGTCGAATGCGATGCTACCATGGTCAACCATCTCGGACGGAGCGGTGCAGTGGGCGCCACCTCCCGTAAGTATTACTCCACCCACCTCAAGTCAACAACTGCTGATATCCTGATAGAGGTCAAGAATCCCATTTCTCTTGCAAGGGTCATCCTTGACTCCTCGTCGAGGCCTTTGTCGCTGTCACGGGTGCCTCCGAACTTCCTGGTGGGACAGGGTGCAACGGACTATGCCTACGAGCATGGGCTGGTGGTGTTACCCCATGATGCCTTAATATCTACCCCCGCGCGAGAACGCTGGAATCATTGGCAACGGGAGCTGGACGCCGTTTCTCTTAGGGAGAAAAAGCACAGCGATCATGATCGTTTCAAAGCGTGTGTTCGCCGACCAGTCACGGTTAACCCAGCCCAGATCCTCGCATCGCTATCAAAACCAACCCCCGTGACTGGGATAAGCTCTCCGGTTGTAAAAGGGGTGACTGCAGATCCACGGCTCACCCGTCAGTCTCAGGGTATTACGCCCCCAGCAGATGTGGGTTCGCCGTCCGAGTCTCCCAGAGTCAAGGATGGCAAATACATTGATGGTATGCAGCATCCGTCCGCGACCTGGCCTGGGGATGGCAACGTGTCCGCGAGTGATGACGACTTGTCTTCTGATGCCGAAGCGTCCCAATCTTTTAACGACATGGAAATCGACCGCGTCAATGATACTGTCGGCGCGATAGCTATAGATAACCAGGGCAATATTGCCGCTGGCTCCTCTTCCGGCGGGATTGGGATGAAACATCGCGGCAGGATCGGACCGGCAGCGCTCGTGGGCATTGGGACTGCTGTTATCCCAGTGGACCCCAGTGACCCGGACGTCACCAGTGTGGCCACGATTACTTCCGGGACCGGCGAGCATATTGCGACGACCATGGCGGCCAGCACCTGCGCGTCGCGCATCTACTATAGCCACCGGCGATGCCAAGATGGCAGTTTCGAAGAGGTCACCGAAGAAGAAGCCATCCGGGCTGTGGTCGCTGACGACTTCATGGGTGCGTCTGATTTGATGGCAGAAGAGGAAATCAGCTAATAAGTCTAGATCATCCCGGGGTCAGAGGTAGCTTTTGCCACGGCGCTATCGGCATCGTTTCGGTCAAAAAATCCGTCGACGGGATCTTCCTCTACTTTGCTCATAACACTGACTCATTTGTAAGACACCCAAGGTTCGTAATTCGCATCGCTAATCTACCCAGGCCCTTGCATCGATGAGTAGCGCCGACAAGAAGCCGGTGTGCGTCATGTCTCGTAGCAATGGGAACGGCAGCATCGCCCAGGGTGGCCGCGCCTGTCGACCCAAAAGGTATGCCGAGAAGGCTCACGAGGAGTCGGACTAGCTGACAGCGTCAGACCTAGGGTCCCCAACTCGGTGTAGTCTGGCTGATAAGTAAGTAACTACCCGATGATCCTCTATTTTATGTACATGAAGCAACGCCAGACCGGTCTAGCTAACGTTTTGTCTCTTAGAGATCCCTATCCAGTCGACCGCCTACGCCATTGCCGTTGATGATTTCACCGCGAAGGATGCAGTGTGGCCACCGTCCCCGGTTGTTGATGATTGTCAGAGTACAACAGGATGAGCATGGCCGCACAGCTCGAGCATGGTGCCGGGACAAGCCGTTTCCTAAGTAATCCAAACCTAAAATGCCGAATAAACGTGTAACCATGGCAATACCGCGCTGGGCTAGCCCGCGTCGACCCTGTGCTGTTCGTAGGTAGTTCAGTCTTCACCTCATAAACGTACTGCCATATCGCTGAGAGCACGAATCCTTCGAATGAGTCCACCCTCACGGCCCCGGCGTCGGAGTACTCGTCGGCGTCCCCGTCGCAGACGGCCCATTGGCCTTGACTTTCTTCTTCTTTTTCTTCCTCGCCACGACCGCCGGCTTAGCCCCATAATCACTCATATCCAACCTCGACCCACAGGTCAAACACACGCCATCCCCCAACGGCTCACAAAAGATACTCAAACAGATCGAGCACACAAACCCAACATCCACCACCCGTCGATGACAAAAGCACGCAGCCCTAAAATCCACATCCACTCGCGTCGGCAACACCAAATGCCGTCTCGACCTCTGATCCGGCAAAAACCCCATCATCAAATACTGCAGTAGACCCCTCGGCTCCTCCAACGCCATATACACCCCCCTGGTGGCATCCGACGCCTGCTGCAAGAACACCGCGTCACCGGATAACTTGCACACGTCGATAGGGATATGCAATCTCTGACACGCGAAAATAGCGTTCATGATGGGGATATATTGATGCGCGGAACCCGTAGAGCTAGAGACGGAGAGGATGAGGATTCGAGATTGTAGGGTCGATTCCGGGGTTCCTCTGGCATTCGTGGCGGATGAGGAGGTAGAGGAGGAGGTTGGGTTATGGGGTTCGTTGGGATTGGCGACGTCTCCGCCGTGGGCTTCATTCCAGGCGATAGTGCGACGGTTGATGTGGCTGAGGGCGAGGGTGAGGGCGCCGGCCATCATTGTGGAGGTGGTGGCTGCGAGGGAGTCCGGGGTGGTGGATGACATTAGGGTGTGGAGGGTGGAGGAGACTTGTTCTTCGACGATGCGGAAGGGGCGGTATTTGTTGATGCTGGTTGAGGATGGGGGGTGGGGGGAGGGGGCTTGCGAGTGCATGGTGATGTCGCCGTCGGTGTCTTTGCTGTTATTGTTGTTGGTGCTGGTGGGTTCAACAGGGTACAGCCATGTTGCTTTGTGGGTGTGGGAGGCTACCACGGCGACTTCGTTGGCGTAGTTGCATGCTAGGTGGGCGTTGAGGAAGACGAGGATGTTGGCGATGGCGGTGGAGAGGGGGAGGGTGGGGTTGAGGAGGGCCCAGGCGTGTGGGTTGGTGTCGACGATGATGGTGAGGAGGGAGGGGGGCCGGTCTGGGATCTGTTAGATTTGGTGGGATGATGGATGGATGGGGTGGAGGTACCGTGGGCGCTGGTTTCGTAGTGTTCTGTTGCGTCGATGGTGTTCATTTTGGTATTAAGAGGGGTTTGGTGAGGTAGATTGAGAGGATTGAGTGGTGGGTTGGAGAAGAAGTTGATCTGTTGGGTGTCTCAAGGTGTATACATGCTGGGTCTGGGCTCGTATGCGGTGCGGCAGTTGGAGCTTGGTTGCTGCGCTGCTGATGGTTTGGTTGCGGCTTTAAGTTGAGAGAAGCTCCACGGAGATGCAGGTGAGGTGGTGAAGGGCAAAGGATCTGTGTTCGAGGACTTGTGGAGGGAAGAGACTGATTCGAGAAGTTTTGCGTGGAGAAGTTTTGCGGCTTGCGATGAGTCCGGAGGCGGAGCTGGAGAGCAGCTCCGAGCGAGGACGGGGACGGACACGGCACGTGATCTATACTACGAAGGACATTCCAATTGAGAAGGTAGAGAGTTCATAGTGAATTTACTCATTCTTGGTACAAAATGGACAAGCTCTACTGTTTAGCTTCTATACGAGGCAAATATCAACAAATGCTATTCAAAGTAGTAGACTTAGTAGATCACCGAGGGTTAGATGTAATGGCCTCGGGCTTCACATGAAGATGATCGTCTTTCTGCTCGGTCTGGTTTAACACCGGAATGTTGATCGACTCCTTGAGAGCACCGGATGCCGCTCTGGTCAGAGGACTGGGCTGCGGCGAAACGCCCGGCGTGTCCCCCTTGCTCTGATGCTCGGTGAGACCCTTCCGGATGGCGAGAACCGAGTCCACGATAACAGCGTCAATTCCCTCCGCCACTTGGAGCTGCACAGACTGTTAGCGAAGAAAGCATACGCGCGGTGACTGTTCTTACCTTAACGCTCTCTGGATCATTGTTAATGGCGCCATACGACACGCAAACCAGACCAGACTCCTTCACAACCCGCACCAAACGCGGGCAAAGCACCAAAGCTTCGGCCTGCGAGACAACGCCCAGTAGGTTCCACCGAGACGCGAAACGAATCGCCTCCTGCAGACTGCTGGCACGGATATCACCAACAGGCGAAGCACCAGAGTCCGTCAAGAAGAGGACCGGGATGGACGGCTGCTTGAAAGAGATCAACAAGCAAATATCCGGGTTGAAGCTGGAAAAAATCATGTTACGACCTTGGCCCATGTCATAGACCTGGGTGAGAATCGTGTCCACAAACGAGTTCAGCTCCACTGCATACGTGTCCATCTCCTCCTCCTCGCTCTCGTGGAGCATAGGATATTCTGCGATCCAGGTTAGATCGTCATGTAACTGTCCTTCACGGGGTGGTAGTACTCACTCAGTTCAATATTAAATCCCACCGACTTGGGCAGCTTCTGGAACAACTCCTCCAAGGTGGCAAATGGGGCTTGGATGTGGTTACCGCGACTGTTGCCCTTAAAACCCTTCTTTTTGAAATCCCGGGTATGCTTGATCTTCTCGTTCAGCTCCGAGGGGTCATACTCCGACCCACCGACAGACATCGACCGCTGACGGAAAGCAGTGCTGATGTTTTCTCCAAAACTGTCCGGTGCTCGAGACGGAGAACCCTGTCGGCGCGAGGGACCTTTATCACCCAGCTGCAGGAACTGCTCCAGGGTAAGGGTGTGGACGGGGGCATCAATGCCGGTCTCGCTAACGAGAAAATCGTGGTAAATGACGGGAACATGGTCCTTGGTGAGCTGGACATCGAACTCGACGTAGGAAGCCCCCAAGTTCGCGGCAGCGATGAACGATTGGATGGTGTTCTCGCCCAGCTGCAGCGAATTGCGGCTGGCCATGTTCTTGCCAAGACCGCGGTGTCCGATCACCATCGTCGAGCTCATACTCTTCCAGTACGTCTGGTCTCCCGTGATGGTCATGTTGGGGTGCTTGAAAGGCGTGATGATGAGGAAGTTGAAGGTCACCGAGCCAATGACCTCGAGGGTGTTGGCCGCTACGATGGGAACCGTGGAGTCGCCCTTGAGGTTGATGCGGTGCGATCCCACCGTAGGCTTGATGCTAGAAAGCAAGGCCACACCACGCCCGACGACCTTGTCTTTCGAGCCAGCGTACGTGGGAATGAGATCAAAGAGAAGCCTCACTTTGGTGGCATCGGCCGCATGGAAGACGATGGGTTCGGTGGAGATATTGTCCTGAACAGGAAGATCGATCACTTCCGGCTCTCCATGAGCCCCGCTGGCAGAAACAACCAGAGACAGGGCAGTGTCGAGTTGAGTGGAATGCGCATTTTCCATGGGAATACGGTCGAGATTGACAGCCTCCGTATGTGTCCGCATGTCCATAGTTCCCAAGCTGACCAAGATCATGGACTCATCGGTGAGATACCGGTGCCCAAAGGTCTTGATAGGCTCCGCATTCCGAAGAGAACTGGCTCCAGGGCCATTGGACCTCCTCTCGGCAAGTGACGAAGGAGGAGGAGAGGGAGGCTCGGAGGACAGAACAGGTACAGGTATCACAGGTTCCGCTTCGGCAATCTCAGGCGGGGGAGTGACCTTGGCGAGACACCGAGCGATATCAAGATGGCCTCTCAGAGATGCATGCTCCTTCGCGGTCCATCCAGAAGAGTCGCATCTTTCCAGATTAGCGCCGGCCTCGATGAGAAGCTCTGTCACGCCCAACGACCCATCGACACAAGCAATAAACAAAGGAGTCCAGGAATACGTGTTTTCGGCAAGTTCGGTATCCGCCTTTTGCTCGTCGTTACCATCGAGCAAGATCTTGGCGCATTGATCATGGCCGAAGCGGGCTGCGACATGCAACGCGGTTTCACCCTGTTCATCCTGATAGTTGATGTCTACACCGGCCTCGACCAAGAGCCGAACAATATCAACAAAGTTGGCTTTGGTGGCCAAGGCCAGCACCGCGCTGGACCGCGAGACCTGTTTGCGAATCTTCGCCTTGTCCTTGTTCGCACCGTGCCAGTTCTCCGACTCAAGAAGGGTCTGGGTCGTCAAAGGATGACCCCCGACAACACTCAAGTGCAACGGAGCCCACCCATCGTTGTCCTGCCAGCGCGGGCTATCAATGCCCTCGGTGACATCAAAGAGGTCCCAGGCCTGCAGATGTTCGATAATCACTTCGCAGACGACCTTGAATCCATACTGCGCAGCGTAGTGCAGCGGGGTACGTCCCGCGATGTCCTTCGCGATAAGGGCATCTCGCTGGTTGGGCTGGAGCTGGTCCAGGAGATGCTGCAGAAGCGTCACCGAAGGATCGGATCTGTCCAAATGACTGGGAAGATCCGCCTCCATCACCACCGACCGAGGAGGCTGCAGGGTTGGCAGGGCCGCAGGAGTGATATAGTTCGATGTTTCCAGAGGGAAGTCCAGGACCAGGGAGGCGGACGGCTCTGAGTCTGAGGTGGACTGGGCCCGACCAATCGAGATTACCAGCCGATGAATACAATTGCGCTTGTTAATGTCATCGTCTTCGTCCAGGGTGTCCATGCGACCCAAGAGCACCGAGATGCAGCTCTTCGAACGGTAGAAGATGGAGCGCTGAAGCAAGCTGTTGAGAACCTTAGGGTACACATCTTCTCCCGAGTCATCTGCCGCCGCTTTCAAAGTTTCAAGCAACTCCAGGAGTACATGAGTGTCATCCTTGCGCAGCGCCTCGTCGACGGTCAGAAGCATGCTCGCAGGTAGGTTCAAATTCGGGCGCGCTGGGCCCTTCTTCAACGACAGGGAGGACCGCGTGGAACTGGCATCATCGTTGATCTTCTGCTCACCCAAAATAGACAAACGGTCGTTGATCTTCTTCAGCGCCTCGGTAACCCGGGAATTCGAAGCGAACGGCGCGGGGTCCACCTTGGTCTCCAAGTACTTCTGCTGCGCCTGCGCACCAACTTTCTTGTCGAGTTTCTTAGTGATTTTGAGAAATCCACGACGGTTGACCTCGCCGTACCACTGCAATTTACGCAGCTGACCGCGCAGTTCCAGCAAGGCGGCCAGGAGGTCCTCGACGTCCTCAGAATCTAGTCGCTGACCACCATCCAAAGACTGTCCATATCGGTCCTCTAGCAACTTCAAACGGCGAGAGAAATCGGCGTATTTCTTGTTGTAAAAGTAATCGACATCCTCGAGATTTCGATCGAGGGAGTAGAAGAACCCTAGGGAATAGCGTTAGGATAACCGCACTGTGATCCAGACGACGCAATCATCACGGAAACTGCTCACCTGCAAGGTCTGCCTCCTGTCCCGCCTTCACATTCTCCGCTGCGGCCTTAATGAGCTTTTTCAGGGCCTTGTAGCGGATATAGGAAGAGCTCCACTCGGGGACCATGTTGCGGGGCAAATTGCGTCCGAACTTCATCTTGACGATTGGTTCGATGTTCTTTCCAACGGGTTTGTGAGAGAAAGTATTATCCACGGGGGAGGGCTCGTATGGAAGGTATAAATAAGATATACAGGCACCACAGCTCTTTCAATCCCGAAATATTCGAAACTCCACGGTAGCGAGGGCACGGAGATCAAATATAAGCGGACGGATGGATCAGAGCCAGACAAAAGGAAAATGACAAGTAGAGCTTTGGAGAGAACCGCGCCATGTGTCAGTTTAATGCGCAAACATGGGGGAATCAGAAAGGTCTGTTTCTGGGAGGTGGAAACCTGAGGGACTCCGTGACAACCGCGATGAGCTGTACTGAGGAGAGGGCGCCGACAGACGGAGAATGTCGGGGGAGAGGTGGAGGGTTGAAAGAAAGCGCAATGGTCAACGCGGACAATGGCTCATATACTTAGTAGTATGGAGTACTCCGTGGGAAACTCCCGTCCCGATAAAGGAGACCAACTTCTGGAACCTATCGGCACGTGCACAGGTCAGCCAAGAAGCGGTGGACGCTGGATTTTTGGGGCTTCGAGAAAGCAGCAATTCAGAGTCTCAGCCAGACGGAATGCAGGTGCAGCATGCACCCCGGGGGGGCAGGGCTGCCAAATACTAGTCCAGGGGGGCCACTAGTGAGTCTAGGAGGCCCCATCGTGACTAACAGAGGGCTCTCCACGGCGACGTAAGAGAGAGGTGCAAAACCAACCTGGACAGTGGACCCAGTAAGGAGAGGGCGAAGAGGGTCGCGAGGTCAAGCACAGGCTCCGGGCGGAGAGACCATTGAAGGCCCGGCGCTGGATCTCCTGCCCGGCGGACGCTCTCTGATTTGCTCGCGCCACTCGGCGGATGAGCGGTTCGAACCACCGCGCGACGATGGATCCCAAATTCTATTGCAATTTTCTGGCAAGGCACGCACGGGTCGGGTCACAGGGGGCTTTCACTGGATTGCTGGAGAGATCAAATGGCGGTGGGACCGTGGATGAAGTATTGGATTCACGATCGGGATTCCGATCAAGGTTGCCACAGGGGCCTGAAGATGGGACTCTGTAGTATCTAGCTATCCCATGTGAATACTATCAGCAAGAGAAGTCTGGACCCTAGCAGGCACCCTATATATAGCCGAGGGACCCGCCAACCAGTGCTAGGACCTGAAGGATTCACTTCTCCCACCGAAATAATATCATGGCCTATTAATCGCCCGCGCCAGTGGTGGGATGAGGAGGAGGCATGGGCTCATGATCACCCTCATCCTCCAACACCGTTGGGTTTGTCGAGGAATGCCGGGGAGTGGGAAGGGGGGCCGTGGGGGGGAACCTTGGGCTGGGCATCAGAAACTAGCAACCATTCAGGCCTCAGTAATGGCGATGGGGGGGAGACTTGGCTGCATAGAAGGCGATGGGGGAAGCTGGACGGAATGGACGGGCTGCACGTCACATGCCCGGCCCTGCCCCGGTCGGTGAGCGTCGAGGATTCGACTTGCGTTCCTGACTGCGGCCATCCTCCGACTGTAATATACCTAGGCAGATTATCATGCCGTGTTTAATTATTATTTAAATTACGATGATTGTGATTTCCACTGTCCCCGTCAAACATCGGGGGTTTGGCAGTCTCCCGAGAAAGCCACAGATTGCTCAGGTTGCTCCAAATAGTAGGACTATCGACCTATCATCTTCTTCACCCGGTTGATAGTCGATACCTGATACATTCATTGCTCGGTGATCCGTCACCACTCAGACCACCTCACAACGATCGACCGTCGGGAAAGCTTATCAGCTGTCAATTTAGTTCCCCCTCCATGAAGGTAAGCCCCCGGCTAGCATTGGGTAGACGGGATAGACAGGGGGGGTTGGCGTGATCCGTTACCTAGGGTAGCTGTCTGTGGACGGAATCGGAGATGAAGACCGCGACGTGTACTCCGTAGCCCTCTAGAATACTATCTGTGTCCGGTCCAAGACCTCGAGTTCACGACCCCAGACAGGGAGGATCTCAAGGGATGGTTGTGCAACCTGGAGAATCGTAGCTGGGACCAATTTACATCACGGGATATCGCCAGCCCCGCTCCAAGTGACGTCGATGGCCGGCCTGTCGCCGTGGCCAGTGCTATTCAGGCTGACCAGAGACATCCGAGGAATCCGAACGGGACTCGCGCCCCGAGGAAACTTCAACCGTGCATTTCATCGTGCATATCATTCAGCTAGTCACTGCGATAATTCCATCCCACCCAGGCCAAATTCATCCTGGTCTATGGCGCACTCGGAAGGGAAGCCCACCCGATATTCCCCGTATCGTTGAGAATCTTGTTGAGAATGACCCGGACACCGTTCCCCACGCTCATAAACCAGCCAGACTTGTAAGTAATTCAACATAAACCACATAGGAAGGCTAAAACAGAACAAGGAAAAAAAAAGAAAAAGGACACCGGCAACGCAACGACCAACGCCGTAAAGAGATCTCCGTAGGCAACTAAATATCACAGAACACCACATCACGAGCCCCGGCCCATGGATCATAAAGTGAAACGCTACATCAATCAACACAAATCACCGAAAAAAAAAAAGAAGAAACAGAAAATTATTCGCTAGTAGGTCGGCCAGCGAAGAATGCGGCCAGGATCTTGGCCGCCTATCCAACCAATGGCTTCAACGCTTCGACTCCGACTTGAAGCACCGCCGGGTTCTTCGTCTTCTTCAGCACATTAGTCAGTATGTCAACACCTCCGCTCGCCTTGACGGCCTCTTTGGCCCGCCGGCCAATGTCCCCAGTTGCCAGGCAGGTCAGATTCCGCACACAGGCCACGCCGCGGTGCACCAAACCTTCATCCTCTTCTTCACACATGGCCAGCAGCAACTGGACTCCGCGAGGCCGTTCTAGGATTCCTGCGATGGCTGCTTCAAATTCGGTCAGCATCGCAAGAGCCCCACCGGCAGCACTTCGCGTCGCCATATCGTCTGCATCGGTGAGGGCCAGTAGCACGTGCAGGCGCTGCGCCGCGCGCTTAGAACCGTCGGCATATTTGACGATGCCGGACTCGCAGGTCATCAGGTTACAGACCAACTCGCAGGCGGCCCGCTGGACCAAGGGGCTATTGGAAAGAAGGAGATCCTCCACCACGGACCAAGACTGACGAACGATGGCCTCAGGCGCAGCCTCATCGGGGTGGGAGGCCAAATTCGTCAAAGCAAGGAGGCTCTCAAAGACGGGCAACAGATCACGCGGCTGTTCTGCCGTCAGGGTGCTGCTCTCGGGGGTTGCCAGAAGCACGGTCAAAGGCCTGATGGCGGAAGTGATCTGGGGGAACCCAGAGGATGGAAAAACGTGTACGGGGTTGACGGAGATCAGGACTCGCGCAAGTGCATGTGATGCATTCTGTACAGCCTCATTCGAAGACCCTTGCTTTGCAGTTGCCATACCGAGCAAGAACTTCACAGCACCTTGTTGCGCCAAAGTTCCCCGGGACTTCCGGTCCCGAGACAGAGCTAGGACAATTTTGCCCATAAGGCCCTGCACTGAGGGCAGATTCGTCTTGCCACAATCAACCAGCAAAGGCATAATACCTGCCTTAATGAGCGCGTTGCACCGCGTGATGACATGTTGTTCGTCATCAAGAGGATCTGAGCCGGCTCGGGCTCCATTAGGGGATGCCTCAGCATAAGATTTTAGTTGAGACATCTTCTTTTGTTCTTCCGTCAGACTGGGAAGAAATTGAGTGAGATTCACGATGATCATGAGGCCACCATAGAGCACTGATGAATCGGCGCAGTTTTCCCGTAGGATCTTAATGAGATCTTGAAGGAATGCCGGGTCCTTGGCGAGTTGCTCTTTGACGGCGGGCTTGACGGACGCGTAGGCCAACCCCTCGATCACGTTCGACAAATTCTCAGTCTTACGCTTCGACATTAATTCCTTAAAGCGATCGACCAGCTCAATGACCCGGGTGTTTTCTTCCTCGGACTTGCCGTTGGATTCCGAGGGCCCGGCTTGTGCAGCAGTGCGGATCTTGGCCAAGATGACGGCCGCCAGCTCGGAGCTCTCGTCACTGCCATTTGTGAGGAGGTGGGAAAGCCAGGTCGAGAGATGCTTCGAGATGGCCTCCCGGCACGCCTTGTTCATGCAGGCGGCATTCAACAATTCCAGAAAATGGGGCTCCACCTTGCGGCTCTTCGCGTCTCTGGAAGTCAGAGGAGCCAGAGCGGCCATGAAGCTTTCCGATAGGAAGAGACCAGCCGCAACTTCCGGGATAACGGGGAAGACGGCAGCCGTGGCCGAAAATGCCTCGATCAAGTCATCGCTGCGAGCCTTAATGATCTTGGCAGACACAAGCCTAGAGAACCTCTCCTCGCCGACTTGCTTCGAGACTTCCAGATACTTGACTGTTGCCAGGGTCGCCTGGCTCCTCCACTCGAGAGGGAGCCGACTGTCCAAGGATGACATAATCACTTCCAGTCCTTCGTCATCGATCAATTCCTGCAACTTCTCTGCATCGACAGCGAGCAAACGTGCGATGCCTTTGAGGGAGCGACCGTCCATATCATGGCCCGATTCCATGAGCTTGGCGATGAAGAGCAAAAAGAGCTCGCGCTCACAGTGTAGACGGGCATCCTCGGACGGCCAGACGGCAGGATCCAAGACCACGGTATCAAGGCACACGGCAGCCGCGTCGCCTCTTTCATAGATCTCATCAAAGAACGTGGTCACAGAGACCTGCAGTTGCCCTGAAAAGTAGAGCCGCACGCTGGTATTCTGACGAACCAGTCCCGAGATAATGTCATCCTGCAGCGATGATAAGGCATGGGGCCTTTGCGCGAGCAACAGTTTGACACATTCCAATGCAACCTCCTCGGGGGGCTTGAGCCCGTCCGTACGGAGATAAAGGGCTACCTCCTTGCCGGCCGGCTCATCCTTCCCACCGGTGTAGCGTCGGCAGAGATCTAGGAGGTGGTGGCCATTTTCCTCCTCCTGCTGGATTTTAACGAAAGCTTCCTTGACCGCAGGATGCTCTGGGGCTAAGGCGAGAGCTTCTCGGAGGTTTCGTGAGGCGGCCTGCAGTTACATCACGGAAAGTTGTTAGTCACAAGGAATGTACGTTATCGGCGAACAAAGCAGACGCCACGCGCCGATAGCCACCCCGCGGGGACGATAGCAATAGGAAAATCAAGTCCTACCTCACGATGGCCAGCATCAATCAACTCAACAGCCTCCCGTGTCAGATGTACAGCGCGTTCCTCGCTCGTAGAGTGAACCATTTCAGGCCTGATACAAGAGCCGATAGGTGCAGGGGCGGGACACAAAAGGGTGATGTGATACCGGTTCTGGAGGAAATTAAGAAATCGGCGGGGGAGCAGGGACTGATAAGGGAAACAGTCCGGAAGCAAGACGGGAGGAATCCGAGGATCAGTCGAAGGTGGTGGCCGGGGGAGTGGAGATTAAGTAGTCGTAGTCAGAAAGAGAGGTTCAGGGAGCTGCGTCAACCCACGACCTCCGGAGCGATGGTCGAGCGACAAGACACACAGGCAATCATGGAGGACAAGGGAACGAGTAGAAGGGTCGCGTTTGCGGTCGCAAAGCCAGGGTGATGCTGACAGGATGCAGGAGGGACTATGAATGGGAAAAGGTGGTGGAGGGAGAGGTAGTGGTGGGAGTGGTGCTCTTTCCCTTTTTCTTTTTCCCTTTTTTTTTTTTTCGCCTCTGGGCGTGGATGGAGGGAAGTTAACTTCTGGGATTGTATGGGGACGGAGGGGAGGATTGGCGGGATGTGGGTTGGAGCCAGTTGGAGCCTTGGAGGAGTTACGGTACGGTAACCGGTAACCTACTCGGTGTGACAGGTCCTTGGAGCTCCGAATGCCCAGCAAACCGGGGATGTACTACGAACCAAAACGGTGAATTACGGGTACGAACAGGCGGCCTATTTCCACCACGGCGGAGGAGGATGGAGGGTAAGCAGCCGGCATGCAGATTGCCAATTCCCATCACAGACGGGGCCCCTTCCGCCCGACAGTCGGAGTCAACCCCCCCCCTGGTTCGGCCGCCCTTCGGCGTGCGCTTAACTCCGAATTTCTTATGCTATTCTGGAGACTGGAGAGGGGGTTATCATGTTCCTCTGAATCATCGATAATAGGTAACAGCATCAGCACCAATCTCAAGCTCATCCTGACCCCCCGTGGTGTCATCATTCAATGGGATTGAAGCTGGGAAAGGCAGCCAGAACTATAATCCCCTCCCCGTGACATGAAGCCGACGGAGCATCCGGTTGCCCAAGACGGAGTGGGATCCCCGGGTGGCTGGAAGCCTGGGAGCCTGGGGGCCTGGGAGGGGGGAAGGAGGACGGAGTTTCGTCTCAGATAAGATGGGCTAAGAATAACACCCGCTTGGAGTCGGCACCCTAGCCGATAGCGAGATAGACTATCCTGCCTACCGATTGGATTGTTGGTCCAGCTCCCTCCCCATGTACTCCGTACTCCGTCTACTTAGTGTAGTCCGTATACATAGAACCAGATAGTATACATATCTATCTGCATAATACCTTCCAGGGTTTCCCCTCCCCCTCCCCCCTACGCTTGGATCTCAATGACGCCTTCTCTGGCTTGAATGGGAAGTTAATAGTGGCTAGCCATGGCGGATGATAAGAACACGCAGTTTCATCTAATCGGAACCTTTCTTGTCTGATGCCGAGAACACCAACCACAGGGGTCCGTTGCATCACGTTGCCGCCGCTCCGTCCCCCTTTCCAAGGAGCAGGGCAGTCGGTATTGAGTATGGACTGGAAGGAAGCAAACTGATCCGCATCCCAACCTCCAAGAGTTCTTGGTCCGATAGTCCTGTCGCACTAGTGGTCGTCTGGTCGCTTGGCTACATCTCCGATCTACGTCTTTTTCCTCCTTCGAGCCGCCCTGTGCCAGTGTAACCGGCCTTGTATGGTCCAGCCAGCCCTGCGTAGCGACAGAGGTACATCAAATCTGCTGGGGGTGGCATATCTCCTCGGTGCTGAGCCCCCTCCCGATTCATGCTGGATCTACTCCGTACATACGGCGTATGCAGGATTTCTGAGGCAGGATCAGAGGCGAAGGTCCCAGGTTGTTCTCAACCGTTTCCGAATGGGACGAAGCCACGTCCCTGGAGGGGACGCACTGATAGTACACCTCCCGTCGACTCGACGCCCGTGGCCAATGACAGCCGCCCTCGGCGGTGAGGCCGAGGGCTTGGTCCATGCAATATTCAGCACACCCATCGACACAGCCCGGGTATACAAACATGTTGGGAAGGACAGGAGTGCTCCGACTCGGACAAGATGCTCATCACGCAGAGGACAAAAGTCCAGTCCGCCCACCAAGCATGGAACACTCGACGCGCCTAGCCCGAAGACCACATGCCATTCGCGGACCGGAGAACAAGGCCCCCGGCGATCAATGCTGCGATCGGAACAATTCAGAGGTACGCTTAACTACACACGAAGAAATGATCATCACTGAAGGATGAGTCTCGTTACATCTTAGTCAGAACAGGCGGAGGATCCCTTTCGTCAGCTTTCTAGTTCCTCGGGCGCATCACATGAGGCAGCCCTCTTTGATGCTGGAATGCAACTCGCTGGTGCCAACCCGGACACGTCGCCCGCCACGTGATCGCTGCTGTTGTTGGTGCAGACTGCCCGTCGCTGGAGACACGGCCTTGCCTCCGCTCATCACCACCTCTTCCTCGCTGCCTTCAACGGCAAACACCTCCACCATCCACTCATACCAGACCTTGCGGTCGTCCGTCTGTCGGTACATGGTCACCACCACCTCGCCATTGTCCGGCACGTTAAGAGGAGTCTAGCATGGCATCTCATTAGCATCCCGCGCTCCTCCATTGGCTGGGGCCGTACAAACCTTCAAGGGGAAGTAGATCGGAAACCAACTGATCATGTCAGCACTCTTGGTGTCCATCGTAACCGGATTGGTGGACAGTTCAATGTCGCGGTATAACACCGTCTCAAAGTATCCCGCGAGGCCGTGACACACTCCTCGGTTGTAGACGGGGAAAGACAGACGACTCCGGCGGACATTATGTGCGTTAGAAATCGTTGACGTGGACGGCGATTGAGGGGGTATGTGCCGATTAGGATGTTCAAAGGACCATGTTGTCTGCACAAACGGAATGGGGTTCTCTCCAGAACCTGGAAGCGTGGAGATTGAGTCTCGGGCACTATACCTAGCACCCCCATGACTAGAATTCATAAGTGCAGCAGCGGAGGGCTGGTTCGTCGACAGGAAGTCGATGGCGTGTAACATGACTACATACGGCGTCTCAGGAGCTGCTGGGTTGGAGACGGCTTGATTCATGACGTCGGCATGGAGTTTCGGCGCCGCGATGGGTGTGAGGTGAGCCGTGTAGGAAGCCGGGATAGAGATCCCGTGAACAGGGTTGAGCAAGTGCGTGACACCGTCAAGGCACTCCGGCGAGAGCTCATTGTCGCCGAATGAGCCCAGGAGCTCAGACACCAAAATGTCGATCGTAGTGGGAACAAGCTCAGTAACGGGGGGCGCGGCCGCCGATTGGGGTGCTTGCGCGGAACCCTGCTCCTCGTTGGTATTGTATAGCAATGAGTCTTCGATCCCAAGGGTTTGTCCTACCGGTCCTGTCTGCACTCCCGCGTCATCCTTCTTCTCAACCTGCGGGCCTTTCCAGCTCCGCATGTCCGACTGGACAAGCTTAACCTGCCCACCCCATTTTTGCTCGTTATGGCGCTGGAGAAGGACAAAAGCATTGGTGTTTTTCTCGACCGCCCAGAGGTCGATCTTGACACCAGTATCAATGCTGGCCTGGAGGGCTCGTGATACGAGCGGGCCCCGTCCAGCACCCACGACGGCCACAACCACGCGGCCATCTGGGTTCGAAGTAGGCTTCCCTTCACTTTCCCAATCACTAAGCGCCTTGGCAATCGCTCTCTCGTACCATTTGTATTTGATGGGGTCCTTCTCGAAGACCTCGTAAGTAATGCTTTCCAGGTTGACCGTCAACGGCTGCAATGGTGCCTGAAGATAGTCTTGGTATCCGACACCAAACCTTTCCATGGCACTTCGGGAAGGCTGGCGCTGTTGAAGGTTTCTTAGGTATGACAAATGAGGGGTTGGGTCATAATGCTTCTTGTTGGATACGGCGGCTTGCGTGAGGCTAGGATAATCGGAGCCCGACAAAGCAGGCAACTTAGTCCCTGGAGTCTCTTCCGTATCTACGCCGGGGAGGGAGCCAACATCACAGAGAAGAATCCATGGGGGTGTCCGAAGGCGCATGAACCGACCGATGAGCGCCTGGTGTGTTTTAGACAGCACGGGGTAGCCCTTTTGGTTCTTGATGAAAGCCTGACCGTCAATGGTAAGTAGATGAACTGGCTCGGAATACCACCGAGACTGGACGGACATAGGGGGAAGGTGTCTGGGCAGTGTGAGGGCTAGAAATGTCATCTTAGTAACAAGTATCGGCGCAGCACATTCAGGGTGCGGAATATCTCCTTACCTACGACAAGCCTCGAGTGATATCTACAAGTTCTCCGAATAATGTCCCAAGCATCCCAAGTACCAAATGGATCCAACTTCGATGACTGCCCTGCGAGAGGGTCTCCAAGGAATTCCGGGCGAGCGAGGCGAGACAGATCGGCTATTCCATCTACTTCAGAATCCGGGTTGTCAACCATGGTCGTCCAGATATGGAATTGTATGTAAGGGGCGAGATTGATAGCATCCTGTATCGCTCTTGCATAGTACATTACGCCCTCGGCATGAATATCTCCGTGGTGCAGTTTCGGGCCCGGAATCAAGAGATACCCTAGGCCACAAAACGCTGCATAGGCCACCTCCCGCATGAAAACTTGACGAGAGATGTCGGCTATCAGGGGATCCGGGGAGCATAGATCAATCCAACTGCTGGTGACTCCAACTAGCTGCGACATCGTCGCATCCGGGGTCAGATGGCTATCGGCGGGAGTCAGAGGTGGGATTTCAAGAGGTCTTATGTTATCCGTCGTCATCAGAGTTCCATTGACAGCAGGCGTCAGGGGTGCATTTGGTTTGGAACCTAGCAGGGTGAGGATCCGAGAATGAAACGCCTCCGTAGTGATTGGCGCCGTAAGCATATCATACTGCGGGATCTGAAGTTAGCACCTGGTGGGAGCCGGCATCTCAGAACAAAGAAACGCCTACATTGCTTTCATGCGCTGCCTGTACAATTGCAGCAGTAATTGGGCCCTTGCGAGTGCTCTCATGCTGTCCGATGCAAAAACTGGGAGCCATGTCTTCTGGATTGCTGAACGACTCCATGGTTGAGAATCGTAGATATTGGGGGACGAAGTTAGAACAACGGGGTGCTTCGATTGTGCGTGAGAACAATTTTCATGAGCAATGGTTAGGATATGAACGATCGCCTGGTGCAAAAGGTAGTCAATCGACGATATCTATATAGGAAAAGGGGATGTGGGCGTGGACGCTGGTCTCTATTTATGTGGAAGATGGTTAGTCCCGCATAGCAAACAGTAGATCAATTGGGGTTCCCGGCAATTTCCATCCAAGCCATGCTAGGTGACGACTAATATAGGGACGGGAGAAGACTGGGAGAACAAAGGATCCGGCCGTCGGCGCAGGGATGCTGACAGAGAAATTGGAACGCCCCTTCAGTGGAACGTCGCGCGACAATGGCCTCCTGGATAGCCCCGCGTACCTGAGCAAACATGCATCCCGTCGCGACTTGCCCTTGCCGGCGGTGGTGTTTTCTGTGGGGTTTGTGGCGGCAGAATGACGGGCGGTGAGGCGGGGGAAACGCAGCTGTGGCGAAGGGCGGCCGACCTGCCTATCCGGGCCGCCTTTTTTTTCTGAAGCCGTTTGGCGACAACCAACTCTTGTCCTGTTGGTCTGCAGCAAACCTCTTCCCCCGTCTCTCTTTGCTCTCTGCTAGACGTCATGGTTGATCGACGCTCGGATTCTGATAACGGCTCGCGTGCTAAGCGTCAGAAGATGGACAAGTCTGAGACCGATCCCAAGGACAACCCGTACCTCGCTCACATGTATGAGAACAACTCGAACTCATGGACCGATGGCGCCACAGATCTTCACCCGGCCTTCGGGAAGATAAAGAGACACCAGACGACTGCTGCGATTGCCCAAAAGGTGGAGGATGGTGATACCAACCCGTTCAACGGCCAGCCCTTCTCCAGCAAATATGTCTCCATCCTGAAGACTCGTCGCGATCTTCCAGTCCACGCTCAGAGGTGAGTTTTTTTTTTTACCCATGTCGGATCTTCATTCAACTCGGCGTCATTGTCGCGATCGGTTTCTGACTTGGCTTTTCCATAGAGATGAATTCTTGCAGCTCTACCAACAGTCGCAGATTCTGGTCTTCGTCGGTGAGACGGGTTCCGGAAAGACCACCCAGATCCCTCAGTTCGTCCTTTTCGATGACCTGCCGCAAACGCAGGGCAAGATGGTTGCTTGTACCCAGCCCCGTCGTGTCGCCGCCATGTCTGTTGCTCAACGTGTCGCCGCCGAGCTGGATGTCAAGCTGGGAGAGGAAGTGGGTTACAGCATCCGTTTCGAAGATATGACTAGTTCCAAGACCGTGCTCAAGTACATGACGGATGGTATGCTTCTGAGAGAGGCTATGCATGACCACAACCTGAGCCGCTACAGCACCATCATTCTGGACGAGGCTCACGAGAGAACGATGGCCACTGATGTTCTCATGGGTCTTCTCAAGGAAGTCGTGCTGCGTCGCCCTGACCTGAAGATCATTATCATGTCTGCAACTCTGGATGCGCAGAAGTTTCAGCGCTACTTCAACGATGCTCCCCTCCTTGCCGTTCCCGGTCGTACCCACCCCGTCGAGATCTTCTATACTCCGGAGCCCGAGCAGGATTATGTGGAAGCTGCCATTCGCACAGTCCTGCAGATTCATGCCACGGAAGACGAGGGTGATATCCTTCTGTTCTTGACGGGTGAAGAAGAAATTGAAGATGCCGCACGGAAGATCTCGCTAGAAGCTGATGAGATGGTAAGGGAGGCCGATGCTGGACCGATCAAGGTCTATCCTCTTTACGGTAGTCTGCCTCCGCACATGCAGCAGCGCATCTTCGAACCGGCACCCCCTCCGCTCCGTAAGGGAGGCCGTCCCGGCCGGAAGGTCATTGTGTCCACTAACATCGCCGAAACCTCGCTTACCATCGACGGTATCGTCTACGTCGTCGACCCTGGTTTCTCGAAACAGAAGATCTACAACCCCCGTATTCGTGTTGAGTCCCTCTTGGTGTCTCCCATTTCTAAGGCCTCCGCACAACAGAGAGCTGGTCGTGCTGGTCGTACACGCCCCGGAAAGTGCTTCCGTCTCTACACCGAGGCAGCCTTCAAGAAGGAACTTATCGACCAAACCTACCCGGAAATTCTGCGCTCCAACCTTTCTTCTACGGTGCTGGAGTTGAAGAAGCTCGGTATCGACGATCTCGTTCACTTCGACCTGATGGATCCTCCTGCCCCGGAGACCCTTATGCGAGCCTTGGAGGAACTCAACTACCTGGCCTGCTTGGATGATGATGGCAACCTGACCCAGCTGGGACGCCTTGCATCAGAATTCCCTCTTGATCCTGCTCTTGCCGTGATGCTTATCAGCTCTCCTGAGTTCTACTGCTCCAACGAAATTCTCTCCATTACGGCACTGCTTTCCGTCCCGCAAGTGTTTGTCAGACCTGCCTCTCAACGGAAGCGTGCGGATGAGATGAAGGATCTCTTTGCCCACCCCGATGGCGACCATCTTACTCTTCTTAACGTCTACCACGCCTTCAAGAGCCCCGAAGCACAGGAGAACCTGAAGCAGTGGTGCCACGACCACTTCCTTTCCCTGCGGTCCCTGCAATCGGCAGACAATGTGCGCATGCAGCTTTTGCGCATCATGGAGCGTGAAGAACTCGAGATGATCTCAACCCCCTTCGAGGACAAGAAGTACTACGAAAACATCCGCCGTGCGCTGTGCGCAGGGTTCTTCATGCAGGTCGCCAAGAAGGAAACCCAGGGCAAGAACATGTATTTGACCATCAAGGACAACCAGAACGTCCTCCTGCATCCCTCGACCGTCCTGGGCCACGAAGCCGAGTGGGTCCTCTACAACGAATTTGTGCTCACCACCAAGAACTACATTCGGACTATCACCGCCGTCAAGGCCGAATGGCTCATTGTAAGTCCCATCTCAACTCCCCAACTGCCACTCCCTAGCTAACGCCCTACCTACAGGACATCGCCCCCACCTACTACGACATCTCCGGCTTCCCCAAGGGCGATATCCGATCCTCCCTCCTCCGCGCCGCCGAGAGACTCTCGCGCAGGGAGAAGTTGCGCGTCGACTCCGGCAAAAGACGATAGACTAGTTAATCTTGTTGTCACGAAATCTATAGACCATGTTTTCTTCGTGCCATGATAATTTCGAAGCTCAATAAAAGGGAATATCCGGTTTTTTTCTTTCTTGTCATCATCATCAATTTGCCTCTTTACCTTCACAATACGGAGTATCCAGTTTGACTTTGCTATTTTTCTCGCCTCCAATATTCCCATTTGCAAGGGGTTTGCACGGTGGCTTTCATGGTATTTATTTCTTGTTTGATCTGCGGGATACCTACCTTCGGGCCTAGATCTAGGTACAAATTATTATTCTTTCGTGCTCTTATGTTTGCATTTTGTGATCTGTGATATGTAGCTGTAAATTTGAGATTGGGGTAGGTATTCTCGTAATATCCTCACGGAAGGTATCCATAACCTACTACTCCTGGCTATTACAGAAGAGTCTCTAAACACTCCCTACAGCATACCGAATCCCCCATAATCATACAAGAGGGGTGAAGGTCCGAACCCAAAACACCTAAAAAAGGGGAGCGAGGTCTAGCGCTCAATTCTAACCCTTGTTTGCTTGTCATCTGAGAAAGAAAGAGTTATAATATACTGTACAATTCATCCAGGTATCAACAATGTCGAAATCTAAAACCAACTGATCACCTGGATAATGCAACTCCGGCCACATAGGGAGACTATCAACATGGTGTTCGCCGTGCGCGGAGAGTAGCGGTAGAGGTATATAGTGTAAGGGACCCTATTCAACCAGAAAGGGAATGAAGAGAGGGAGGGAGAGATGCGCGCGGGACGGATGCGGTGGGTTGAAGTGAGACGCTACCTAAGAGGGAGGCGTCTACGACTTCATGTATCGGATTCTGAATTGGTTGGTAGGAGACCCTAGTTCGGAGATAGGAGGCATGCGTTCGCGCTTTTTGCGGAGGAGGTCTTGGTGGGTAGGTTGGGAGGGAGGAGGGGGTTGGACGGATTCGTTTTTTCGCGCCTGGTGGAGGTCGAAGACCATCTGTTTCAGTTGCGAGATTTCGGCCTTGAGCGATGTGATCTCTTGCTCTTGGGCAGCTGCCGCAGATGCGTTCTCCTGCTTGGTGATTTCGACTTGTTTGCTGATTTCTTGGAGGAGTTTCTGGCGGTCGGCATCTTCAAACACGGGCTGCGATGCATTGGTCACGTTGGACGAGCCCGGAGAGCCGGCAAGCATAGAGTTTAGGACCTGTTGGGAGTAGAGCTCGATCATGTCTTGCCATTTCTTGGAGGGGGATTTGCCCTCATAAGCGTTCACATGGTCGTTCATGACGTTCACAAAGGCATAGGACTTCTCCCATGCTCGCTTATCTTGCATGTCCTTCGGTGCGGCCTCGGCTGCCGATTTCCAACGTCTGTGGTGAGGGTCATAGGAAGATTTGATGTCCAATTGCTTACTGGCGGCCGCCCAGTCGAACCCGCTGTTCATTGCCGCAGCAATGATGGCCTCGGACATGTCGTACTTTTCACATGTATCGCACATATGTACCATGAGCACAATGAGTCGCTCAAGTCGGAACATCCGATGCTCTGTTGACGAGACCATGAACGCCAACGTCCTCTTGAGCGTCTGCATTCCCTTCTCCCAGTCGGTGCGGATGGCGCAGAATCTCAGGTAGGAGTTGAGGATAGCGAAATCGTCCATATGTCCGGCCGCCCTTGCAGCGAGGAGGTATGCATCAGCCCGATCAGGTTGGTCGAAGCGTAGACAGGACACGATTAGGGTGGCGTAGATAACGGGGTTCGCTGAATCTACCGGGGGGACAATGATCTCGACCCCATTGACCACTTGGCGCTGATAAAGACCCAAACCGTTCATGTCGACGGGATAGCCGTGGCCGTTCAACATCTCCAGAAAGATATCGAATCCCATCAGATTTTTGGATTTGCGGAAGAAGGTCAGGATCGTGAGGATGAGGGAGGCGCTGAGCGGGAACTTGTGAGGAAGAATGGTCTTTAAAATCAAGTCGCAGAGATCATTCTGGCGAGTTTTGGTAAATGCTAGGATCATCTTTTTCAGGACTTCTGGTCGGTCAGGATCCGTACATTGCATCAGATTGTTGGCTAGTCTGAGGAGATATTCCTGAAGGGTCATCTGGTCTCGCATATAGAGTTCGGAATCGCGCTGGATGTCGCGGTCCAGTCGGTTCCGCTCCTCCGTCATGTGTCGGACCGAGTGCACGCGGAGGTCTTTTGCCAAGTCATCGATATTAGAAGTATTCGAGCCTTTAACTTGCCGCATTCTACGTCGAAGGGTATTCAGCTCCGCTAGCAGCTCCGGCACTTTCAACTGGGGTACTGAGAAATCGGCACCGTAACTCATCTGGACACCCATATAGCTGTGTGCAATTGCCGGCCGGAGGAGCAGTCGAATGGCTAGCTGTTTGAGCGCCAATTTCCGAATGACTTTCTGGCGGACCACGTCACTGGAGAGCCAGGTAGGTGAATCATCACTATCAAGCGAAAGACCATAGTCCTCGTTAGCATCTTCCGCCAGCGGATCCTCGCTCTCCGCAACCAATTCATGGATTATTTGGCTGTCTCGCTCATTTTCGAATGCGGTTGTCGAGTGAAACGAGGCAAACGGCACGTTCCGTCTGGGCCATTGGTATCTCACATGTGCCGGTCGAGTCGTGGTGCCGAAGTGTCTAGTCTGTAGAGCTCCACGGAGGAATCCCTGCTTCCGGCGCGACAACAGGGCCTCTACCAAGCGCTGCTCCTCATCGACCAGCTCGATGACCTCTTCCTTCACTGCGGCGATCTTTTCCTCCCATTCGATACGGCGTTGACCCTTCGCCCGGGCGTCTGCCAACGCGGCGGCGGCGAAGATGCTCGTGTATAGTGCGGTGACCGAATTCCCGAGCCGGAGACGTCTCTTGCTTGCCGCCGATGTGGCTCTCGAGGCCACGCCATTGGAGACGGTACTCAAGCAAGAGACGCAACGGCAAGTAGATTGCGCCGGAGCGGCGCGGGACCAAAGACCTTGCATTCTCAAGTCATTTCTGCATGGAACCGACTCCAATGGTGAGCTGCCGAGTGGGAACACGTCCAATCGACTGAGCTGAAGAACCCGGCGGCCAATGGCGGCGTGTAGGGGGTCGGGGCAGATGAAGAGCCGGAGGGGGGAGGAGGTGGTGCGAGGTCGAGAATCTTTGGATGATGATCGGCTAAACGAAACTCGAACCCGCTCCGGCACATGCAAACCGTGCAAACGGGACCGCTGGACCGGCGGGCGACGACGACCACCACCAGCGCCGACCAAGGAATAAGCAATCTGCCCTCTTCCTTGTCCGGCGATCTGTCACATTGGCGAGCTCCCTTTTTGCAATTGCTCGACTCGTCGGATCTACGCTCGGCGCTCGTGGTGCTATAAATATCCCGCTGTCGCAACCCATTGCCTGACAATGCTCGTCGTCCTCGCTACTGCTCTGTTGGCCCTGAGCGGCAGCTTCGTGAGCGCTCACGGATCTCACGCCGACCAGCCGCCCTCGTCGGATTGGGCCACCCGGCATATGCAAGGTAAGGATGCTGGATGGTGTCTGGGACTGAGGGCCATGTTACTAACCGCCGGGCCCGGTAGAGGAGCACCACATTGATTCCTTCGACGCGGCTTCCTTCTTTTCCCTCCACGACTATGATGAGTCCGGGGTTTGGACTCCTCAAGAAGTGCGCAAGACATACGGGATGGACGATGAGACAAATGCCGGAGTCAGTGAGGATCGCAAGAGCCAAGCCTTGAGAGAAGTGTTTGCCCTGTTCGACCCAACGAACACCGGCTTTATCAATCGCGACAACTGGATGCGCATCAATGCCGAGGGAACACGGCTGCCGGATCTCGGGTTTGGTCCAGGCCACCACGGCGATATCGAGTATGAGTACGAAATCCACCATTTCGAAAAGTACCATGGCGAAGATGCCAAGGAGGAGGACCTCACCCATCCCGAGGACATCGAGCACTTCCGGAAGCACGACGAGGAGGACCTCGCAATGGAGCGTCTCGAGCAGCTCGAGAGCATGCAGATCGTCGAGGCGAACATACCGCTGAAGTTCCTCAAGCACTAGATGAGTGTACATTAGATTTCTTTTGTTGTTGCTGTACATATGTTTGATGATACGAGTCCAAGCGTCGGTTACACCACCTGGGAGATACCCTTTCGTGATTCTTTGGAAACCCAAGCGTGATATGGCGCAGGTCATACCTCGTCCAGCGATGGCACCTTGACATCAAAGACGCAATGCATCACCCCGGGAGCGTAAGTCTTGACCCGTTCAACATGTCGACAATTCGCCACCGCCGCCTCTACTCCCAAAACCTGCTCTCTCAACCTCCCAATCTCCGCCGTGATCTCATCCTTCATCTCCTCAATGCGCTGCACGTCAGCATTCTCATGCACATGCATCCAGCCTCCCTTCTGCGCATCCACCATGCGACACGCATTCTCCCACGCCGCCGCCGACGACGGCAGCAGGCCCAGATTAACATGTCTAACAGGGCACCACTCGCCCCTGGTCTCCATAACCTCTCTCACCCGCGCCAAAATGTCCGCCGCAAACCGATTGTCGCCATGGAAAACCACCACTCTATCCTCCTCCCTCAATGTATCTACCATCTCCCCCACCCGCAAACCACCTTCCAGCTCTCCATTTCCGCGGGTCCGGACAACCCTACAACCCCATCCATTGACCTCACAGCCCCTCCTCAACCCCTCCACGGACCACCCATTAATCTCCCACCCCCACACCCTCTTCACCCCACGCTTCAAGTACGAGAACACAAAATACCCAATCCCCGCATACATGTCCACCACACTCATCCCCGCCGTATCATCCAACCCCTCAAACCCACTCCCGGCCCCGAGTATCCTCGCCTTCTCCGTAACATTGCCTCTCGAGAACATCGTATACAGCGGCGCCCAGATTTGCACGATTCCATGATTCTGCATCGTGCGCACCCAGAACGCCCGCTTCAGATCCTCCTCCGTCGGCTGCTGCTCCTCCCCCAAACCATTATCCGACCCCATCGGCCCGAAATCCCCATAGAGCGGCACCAGCCCCGCCGGACTGCGCATCCGGTTCTCTTGTCCCTGGGCATCTGTTAATGCAATCGGGGCATTGATCGCGACATGCGTGACGCCGGACCGGCTGAACGCTTGCACAATACAGGCGAAGAGGGTTTCGCGTTGCGCGGGGGTGAGATCCGTGTAGAGGGCACTCCAGGAGGGCGGAGAGCTGAGCGCGTTGACAGGTAGTAAAAGGAGGGGTTCATAGACTGTGAAGCGCTTAGGGAGGGAGGCGAGGAGAGTATCATCGAGGTTGTATTTGGTGAGGGTGGCTGGTGGGAGGTGGTGCGTCAGGTAATCCTGGATACCTTTGTGGAGGGGGTTGAGGAGTTTGGGGGGACGATTGGTGGGTTTGGTGCCATTGTGGCTTCTGCTTCTGGGGTGTCGTTGGGGGTGGGTGGTCTCGTCGGACATGGTTGTGGTTTGGTGGGTGGGTTTATATACTGGTCAAAATGCGCCGCGGATAATCGTCCCCTGCGGACGTTTGGGTCCCCACCCGCTCCGCTACCACCGCTTTATGAGGGGCAGCGTAGGCAGCTCTATAGATGCTCGCTGCTCCCTCCTAGCTAGTTGCTATGTGTACCAGGTAGTCACTAGCTATCTACTCACTTTCAAACTCCTCGAATAGGAGAAGCTGGTCGTCCTAGAGTGGATTTCATTTGATTAAATCGTTATTATTCTTTATAGACTAGTGAGTGCTCTAGGCTGTGGACACAGAATGAGGCATTCAGGACACAACTCACCAATTCGATGAGTTCAATGTCTTGACGATGGAGATAGTCAAGGCTCTCATGAAGTATTGATTCTCTTTTTCATGATACCGATTACTCTCTGTATCATCTATCTCTTACCTTTCCTATCTTCGGACATTGTTCTGTGTTAATCTCAATTGCAGCATCTCCATCGCCAATCCATCCTGGGCTCTGGATAGCCACCCATTGTGGAAGGAGACGTTGTCACATCATTATCCATGTTTGGTATAGGCTTAGTGAGCCTGAGGAGAGGCTGAGGATTGTCCAGCCCAGCCATGGCCACCAAAGGAATTGAATGGTGGCTTGTCTTTCCAGGATCATTGCCCCGCTGCTATCTACTGGCACTAAACGTTCCTTCACGTCCTTCCCAATTATCGGCCTCACTTTACGCCAACGTCACCTGATTACTCTGTTCAAGTCATCTTCTCATACAGGATAAGCTTTCGTCTTGAAGGCTACCCAGATATCATGGTCTTGTGCCGCCTCACTGATTTTGTGGCTTTTCGCCTCTCTTGACAACTTTCACCACCCTGTCATCAAGCAATGGCTTCCTCCAAGCCCACTATTGTCCTTGTTCAAGGCTCATTCCAGACTCCACCGGTCTATGCAAAGCTGTTCACTGGCCTTCGCGACGCTGGATATCCAGTCATCCATCCGCCACTTCCAAGCTGTTCAGACGTGCATTCTGATGACTTGACATCTCGCACCCTAACCGATGATGCACTCGTCATCACCAAAGCCATCACGCAACTCGTCGAGGAAGAAAAGTACGTGGTTGTCGCCATGCACTCCTACGGCGGTATTGTAGGCAGCGAGGCTATTCCCGAGAGCCTGACTCGTACAGCCCGCCAAGCGCGAGGCCAAAAGGGCGGAGTGATCCATCTATTCTATTATGCCGCCATGGCTCTCAAGAAGGGTCAATCAATCCTTGGGGCCCTTGGACAGTCACCCAATAATGATATTCAGGTATAAACTCCAAGGCACCCATTAATAGCCCGTACTAATGAACGATATAGCCCGATGGCCGATCCTGGATCAAGAATGGTGCCAGAACGCTCTACAATGACCTCCCAGCCGAGGAGGCCGCATTATGGGAGTCCCGATTAATACCGCAGTCTCACTTGGTGCAAACGACCTGTGTTACTCGCGCCGCGTATGAGTATCTTCCATCGACTTATCTGGTGTGTGAGAATGATCAGGTGCTTGCACCACAGCATCAGGAGATGTTTGCTGCGTTGGTCCAGGCGGAGGTTGTTCGGTGCAGCGCTGGACATTCGCCCATGCTTAGCCAGCCGGCTATGTTGGTGGAGAGAATTGCAGCGGTGGCTGATCGGGTCAGTGCAGTGTGAGGTAAATGTGTCCTGGTTAGACATGTCGTGCTTGATTATAGCACTGTGTATATACCTTTAGACCAAACCTGACAATCAAACTACAAGATACCATCGACAGCATCCCATGCAACAACCATCCGTTCACCAAAGGAGATACATAGACCAGGCCTCACCAACAAACCCTTTTCTAGTATAGGTCCGTTAAACTGCCAATGAATCCTCCCTGACAGACACTCCAGAAAGAACGTACATTTGCAAAGAACGACTTATCTAATCGCTGTTAATGGCTACTTGAAAACATGGCTTATTCGACAAGATATAGATAGTTGCCTCTCCACAACAAAACAGAAGCATACCCTAACACACCATCACCTACCAACCAGTAACCAAGTCTCCCCCAAACCATCAACTACACCCTACTTATCTTACCCCCATACACCCAATATACCCAATACATCCAAACCCACAAAGCCACCAACCCCCACAAGCCAAACCAAACACCCTCCCTCGCTCCCCTCCCCTCCAACCTACCATCTACATAATATAAAATACAAAATACAACCAACCTCCATACCGTTACCCCACCCACGTAATAACATCGAATCCTTGCCCCCCACTCACTCACCTAAGCATGTTAGCTCAGGGGAAGAGCGCCGGGCTCATAACCCGGAGGTCCCTGGATCGAAACCAGGACATGCTATGTCTATTTTTTTTCCAATTTTTTGCACGTCTTCATAATAATCTAGCCATCCCACTCGGATCAACTCATCAGAGCCAATCTGAGCCGTCATGGTGTCGGAGTTGGTGAATATCAAGTCAAGGGATTCTACTGTTGTTGGAGGGGTAGATACATTCCATACACCAATCCTGTTTACAATTACTTTCAACAATCACTAACCTTATTCCAAATTCTGTTCTCATCTTTTCTACTAATCATCATTGCTTTCAGCACAGTCTCATTAACTTTCTCTTCAGTAATCTACCCGGTGACATCACACGCATTCCATGTTGTGCATACATACCACCACAGTGCATCCATACCCTGTACCACTTAGATCATACCTCTAGTACATACATCCATCTCCCCGCCATGACCGCGGACCATTAGCAAAACACAGTAAGTTAGATATACCACTCACAACAAGACAGTAGTACCAGCCCTACATTCATCTGATACAGTGACGTGACACATCCTACCCAGCCAAATCCAGATACCATATCTCCTCCCCTTCCACCTCTAAAAAGTCATTTTGAAAAGCTTTGAAAAGCAAAAAAAAAATAGACATAGCATGTCCTGGTTTCGATCCAGGGACCTCCGGGTTATGAGCCCGGCGCTCTTCCCCTGAGCTAACATGCTGATAGTTAAAAGTATCTTTCGAAGTAGTGCTACATGAGCCTAAGGTTAAGGGGGGGCTCATCACAACACATTCTTTGTTTGATTCACTTGACTGAATGTTACTTAGTCTGGACAACTTTACAGGAGGAGTGGTTCTTTGTTAAGTAGATAGTCTGGAGCTGCGCAGGGCAGATCGTATATGATCGGGAAAACCCATGGAGGGAAGCGAATAATGATTGCTTTCAAAACAGAAAATAGATACCAGGAGAGTAGCCATAGCCTAAAGCCTCATAAACCGTTCACCAGCAAAATGCTAATGAATGAAAGAAGTCCTCACCCACCCACCAACCCATCCAACACAGCCCTCAAAGCACCAGAAATCGGCACCCGCACGCCACTCACCCGCTCGCGATACCTCTCCATCAAAAAGACATACACCAGACCCGAGGTCGCATACCGCTTGGCAACCGGCGCACAAGCAACCCCATTCAACCGCTCAATGCACCTCACATACACCCAACGCAACTCACGCTTCAACCGTTCCCGTTCCCCGGCCACCGTCTCCGTCCCTTCCCCATTCAACACCCCCAGCGCCTCCTTCGCCATATCCATCGACAAACAGCACCCGGTACCCATCATCTCCACTACTGCATCCAGCACACCCCGGGACTGCGTCCCCATCGCCGCCAGAACAGCCACCGCCGTGCCGGCCGCATTGGCCGTGGCGATGCGGAACTGGGTCATGAGAGTCGTCTTGCCGAGGAGCATAGTCCGGAGAGAGGGGTCGCATTTCTCTAGATATTGCACGATGTATTGGCGCCAGAGACACATTTCGAGGAATTTGAGATCGTGGGGGTTGACGTGCTCGGATTGGAGACCGGCGAGGACGTCGGCGAGGGTGTGGCCCAGGAAGCGGAATGTGCCGTTGAGTACGTCGATGGGAGGGATCATGACGTCGTCTGCGATGGTCCCGAATGCGATGTAGAGGAGTTTCCAGCGGTCTTGGGTGCTGTTTAGGCTGCCTGCCCAGAAGGTCCACCATTGGAGGACGTCGCGGAGGGTGTAGAGACAGATTATGTCGATGGAGGTGTCGTTCTTCTCGGTGAAGATGGTGTAGTCGTTGGGGTGGGTACTGGGGGCTGTGTGGATGTAGTTGTCGATGTGTTGGCGGATGGCTGTGATGTCGTGGCAGGTACAGGGTGGGGGGCTGATGCCTCCGAGTGTTGAGAAGAGGGGCATCAGTTGCTGGCTGATTTCGATGCCGTAGTCATGGTTATGGTTATGGTTGTTGGTGGGTGGTGGTGTGAGGTCGCAGATGTGGACGTTGGAGCGGAATGGTGCCGATCCAGGGATGACGCCGTCGTTGAAGTAGTTCTTGCATTCGTTCCACATGAATTCCATCTTGAGAGGGTCAGTGAGGTCGGGACAAATGGATGAGTTGGGTTGAACGCTGCGGGGGAGAAGTGAGATAGAGGGCATTACGAGGTCGGTGTGACGTGAAGAAGAGGCTCATCTTGCGAGTGTTCTTGCGGAGTGTTCTTGAGTGTCATGCTCGATGTAAAGATGTAGCATAAGACTCTGCGGTGGAATCTGTATCATCGCAGACAAATTCCTTCAGCATCGAGCTATGGAGGGGATGGAGTAGAAGAATGTCATTCAGATCGCCACACCGGGTTGGAATACATAGAATACAATCATGTGTAACCCTCCTAGAAGAACATAACAGCATCCGCTGCTAAACTGCCAAAACCTCAAGAGGCTTGGCCATACGGCAGGGAAGTAAGGGACAGGAGCAATCAATTCATACACGTAGCAGTGTCAGGCACCGTGGGATTTTGAAATATGGGCTCGATACTTGCATCAATAGCACCGCGAGCGAAAGATGAGACTGGCCGTATTAGATGATATGTAAACGCTCAAAGTAGAGAATAAATGCAAATGGCGCTGTAACGATCGACTTGATAGCATGAGACGTCCATAACGAGTGGTATCATGGTGAGTTTAATAATCCATCACAGAGTAGCCCAACCGGTCATTGCTGTCAAGCACCCTGTTGCTGGTCAGTACGATTGTAATACTGCGCAGAAGCAGACTCACGAATATTGTTTGGTCAACGTCCCCTCGCCGCCCTTGGAGAGATCAATACTGAAGACATAGAAGTTGCCGTCACTCGTCACCACCATGACCTGGGGAGTGTTGGTACTCATGGCAACGACACTCCGCAGTGGTCCATTGTTCCCATTAGCCCCCGGTCCAGGGTTCGATTTCGGTAGCTTGATCCACGCAAAATCTCGAGCCGGCTCCCACATCTCACTGACCCCCTTCGGCAGATAACCTCCAACCTTGGCGGCAAATGTGCTGCCAACATTTTGCGAGGTCCGTCGGATCATTCCCATCAAGGTTCCGTTGTGTTTTCTGGAAGCAAGCTCCGATGAGCCCATGTCGCCACCCTCGTCCGCGTCGGGTGTTTGTCCAAATGAGCTTTGGCTAAACCTTCGGTCAGCGCTTGTGGGTGAAGAGGAAGATGGCGTAGCATCCGGCGAGTTATTTTGTTGGCTCAGTTTGAATAGGTGAATGGTTTCCGTGGACGAGGATACGCAAAGGAGGGTCGAAGTGGTGTTGAAGGACATGCTATAGATTCTGGAGGGTATCGATCCCCGCCGAAACTGATATAATTTATGCCCATCCGGAACTGAGAACACTCGGATGATTGTTCCTTTGTCGGATGCCGTCGCGATAAGTGTGCCGTCGCTATTGAGTGTGATACACGCCAGCGGTGACCGATGTGCTTCAATGACGTTGATGGCCTCCAGCTTCAGTGTATCGAATATCAGGACCTCGCCACTGGTAGGCGAGACATGCGTAGTCCCCGGCGGAGCATGAGCTGGGGGAGTGAAGGACGAAGGCGGTGCCTTTTGCGGCAGAGGGTATGCCAGATAGCAATTATCCGAGGAAGGGGATAGGGCACAGATTGCTGTTCTGAATTAGACCAGTTACTCCAACCACATCTGCAACAAGCTTACCGTTGGGATTCGGCGAAGTCTCAATGGTATACAAGAGCTTCATCGTCTGGATGTCATAAAGATAGATCTGATCCTCTAGCACGATCACAAGCCGTTTCCGGTTCAGCTTCACCGCGAGCACGGTGGTAGGAAAGGTCAACTCGCATATCGTGGATTGACGCTATATGTCCCAAAGGAAGAGAAAGAACGTTAACCATATGCGCCTGGCGAGAACGCAGCCGACAACACGGTCTCGATTATGGGCTAATAGAATATGCAGAATCTAACATCATGCGCGCAAGGATGTCCTACGAACCTTGGTATTAGTGATTTGAAGGCGACGCGGTGATAAGATTAGCGCAACCAGCGACGTCGAGAAGAGCATTTCAATTATAGCAATATTCCCTTCCTTCGTCTCATAGCTTTTCGCGAAAGGGTCCGTGGTGAAGATCCGAAACCCCTTGGAAGTCGCTGACAGGTGTCAAGAAATGTTCCATGAGAGTAGCAGGTAGGAATAATATGTAGAAGACCCTTACCCACAGCCAGATAGCTATAGTCCTGGTTGAACGTCACGAAGTTCATTGCCATCTTTCCTCCGCCGATCGCCAGGACCGACCACGCTTTACTTCTGTTGTTTTCGTCTAAACAATATACGGTGTTGTAAGATGCCGTCAGATGCCGTCAGATGCCGTCAAAGAAGCAAACAAGACGACCGAGATGGGTTCCTGTTGATCAAATCGCCCGGGTGGAAGGCACGCTCTAGTGTTGGTGGATGGAGGGGTTAAACTGATCCCATGTGAGGGCCGGTTCCGTCACAGTCGATGGCCCTCGCTTTGCATCTCTCGCTGGCGCAGCGGATTCTCGCGTGATAATGCGTCGTCCCTATACTCCGCGCGCCTCTGCGACCGCGAGTTGACGAAGACCGGAACGGTGGGTTGGCTGCTGGCTGGCTGGTTGCGGAGGGTCCGGGGAGAATCACTGAGAACAAGCAGTTCCTCCTTTGCCGCGGTCTGCGTCAGGCGCGGCGCGGCAAGCGAACCACTCCGACGCTTGGGCCACATCTTGATCGACATTCCCTTCCGCCTTCAATTTTCCCACTTTTTTTTCCTGGCTTCCCCTCCCCCACATCACCAGTCAACATGTCGGTGAATAAGAAAGCTGGCCCCGCGATGGGTGCTGCGAAAAAGCCTACCATGGCCGGCATTAGCTCTAAATCCGAGAAAGAGGCCGATTTGGTTATGGGGGTAAGTCGCAATTGCTACGGCCGAGTCCCACTATGCGCCAGGCGCAAGCAGACACAGACCACCAGTGCCGACTTCTCGGGATTACATCTAACAGTTCTAGACCAATAACAGTAGTATCGTATCCAAACGCAGCGTCGAGATGCTCTACTACCCCAAGCCTCATTTCTTCCGCTACTTTGTCAAAAAGCCGCAGCGACGCTCGCCGTTAATCAACCGCGGATATTGGCTTCGTATGCATGCGATGGCGGAATCAGTGCGGCAATTCATGAGAGAGCCTTCGGGAAAACCCAAGTTCGTCCTGAATCTGGGATGTGGATTGTGAGTCGTAGTCAACCGATTGCAACCGCCTGGTTGTGTGGACCGTATGCTAAGTTGGCCTGTCGTAGTGATCCTCTACCGTTCATCCTCCTCAGCGAGGACCCATCCCTGTGTAGCGATACGCGATTCATCGATATCGATTATGAGAAGCTCATGATCAACAAGAAGACAGCCATCAGGAGGACCGATGAGATTACACAAACCCTCAAGGATGTAGAGTTCTTGTCGGACGAGAGTGCCGTGCAAATCCGCAGCACGCACTATCTAGGGATTGGATGCGATTTGAAGAACCTAAAGAAATTGGACGATGTGCTGAGGACCGAGGTCCTCCCGGCTGAGTGCTCAGTCCTTTTTCTAGCTGAGGTTTCTCTGACGTACATGGATGTCAAATCTGCCAATGCGGTCCTGGACTGGGCATCGAAGTTGAATAACGGTAGGGCTCATCCGTGTAACTACCATCTATTGCAGCATATCACTAACGCGGACTCTAAAGATGCCAAGTTCTGCATCTTGGAGCAGTTCTTCCCTGATGGACCTGACCACCCTTTCGCTTCGACCATGATGAAACACTTCAAAAAGCTCGGCGCGCCGCTGTATTCGATCCACGAATACCCCTCACTGAGTGAGCAAGAACAGCGGTTCAAGAACGCCGGATGGAAGCACGCCCACGCCAGAAGTCTCTGGGACCTGTGGTCGGATGACGGCTACGTGAGCAGTTCGCTGCGCTCCTCCTTGGATGCGGTGGAGCCATTCGATGAATGGGAAGAATTTGCGCTTTTTGCATCACACTACTTCCTTCTTGTCGCCTCCACGTCGCAGGAGGATATGAATCGCAGCGCAGCAAAGGCAGAACAATCCGGGCAAGTAGCAGATGCGTCGAGTCAATTCGCGCTTCATGCAAGGTGCCCCGCGGGAGGTGGTCAGCGGAGATTCGGGGCCCTCATTCCTGATGGCGAAAACTCCTTTGGTTACCATGCTGGGCTGGGCCGGCAGACGCGGCTTGCAACGACGGATTTGTACTCGAATGCAAACGATATTACCGGTCCTAATTTGCCCTTTCCTTCCCGTGAGGTCTCGGCTCGGATGTGTCACACAGTAACCCATCTAGCTGGTGGCGATTGTTTGCTCGTTGGTGGCCGAGCTTCGCCCGCAGCAGGACTTCAAGATTGCTGGTTAAGACAAGGGACTCAATGGCGTCCGACACAAAACCTCCCAGTTCCACGGTTTAGACATAGTGCGACAAGGGTGACCTTGGACTTAGACCATGTCTTGGTGTATGGGGGAAAGACCAATGATGGCATGGTGCTCGATGCCTGGCTGTTATGGAGCAGCAATGGAAGCGGATGGAAACCAGTTGAGACCGTCGGAGCTACCCCTAGAGCCAGATTTGGAGCTTGCCTGGCGAGCATTGATAATGCTTCGGGCTTTCTGTTTGGAGGAATTAGCGCAGACGGCATTGTCCTTGAAGATTTTTGGACGTGGAACTTGCACCAGCGCAGCGATGGATCGTACTATCTGGAGTTGCACGACCGGACTGAGAGATTACGGGATTCGCCTCTCTTTGAATACCTCGGCCGTTTTGGCGCTACGGTCATTTGCTCTTCGTGGGGACTACTTATTGTTGGTGGAATTATTCCTCGACAGATTGTACCGTACGACAAGGAAATCATGCTCCTCAACCCGACAGCGGTGGCCCGTTGCCTTGCTGGCGAGACTTCACAACCTAGTGATGTGCTTTCTGCAGTAGGGTTAGGACTGAACTTTGGTGGACCAAGGCCTTTGCTGGTCGGCCATGCTTCTCATGCAGTTGATCCGAACCAGGTTCTGCTGCTAGGTGGCGGTGCAGTTTGTTTCTCCTTTGGAACCTTTTGGACAGAGGGCACCTGGCTGTTGAAACATGTTGATGCAACAGCCCCTGAGAACGAGTGGAATCTAGTGCCTGAAAGTGCGCCGATGTCGAAAGTCGAGGAGCCGTCGGTTGACCCATCCAGTGTGGGCAGCCAGACTACCAAAGACATCGAACCGATTCCTCGTGTGAAGGTCCAAACCGCTGCACAATTTGAACAGATATTGGCAGATGGAAAGCCGGTGATCATCGAAGGATCTGACCTTGGCCCTTGCACTGACCGTTGGACCAAAGAGTATCTCACGGATGCCGTTGGCAGAGACCGCAAGGTAGAAGCCATTGACCCTGCTTGCGCTGAAGAAAACCGGCTAAGAGCCTCTCAATAGGTTATTGTGCATGAGGCTCACTCAGAAAATATGAGCTTTCAAGCCAAGAATTTTTCCTATACAACCAAAGAATTCGGCTCCTTCCTAGATGAAGTGCACGCAGGTGGCCGTCATTATCTCCGTAGCATCTCCGCTGAAGAGCCTACCAAACTCCCAGCCAATCTAGCCGTGGATTTTCCCAACCTCAAAGAAGATTTTTGTCTACCGGAGCCCCTTTCGCTGGTTGCTGAGAATGCGCACAGTTCTCCACTTAGGATCTCAGGGCCAGTCACTTTGTGGCTGCACTACGATGTAAGTGTGCATGTTGAACGAAAAAAAAACCCCCGAGTGGACGCACTGACCAAGTGTAGGTGATGGCGAACGTTCTATGTCAAATCCGCGGCGAGAAAAGACTCATCCTCTTCCCCCCCAGTGATGTGCAATATCTCCAGGTCCCTGCCGGGGCGTCCAGTTCTACTATCAACATATTCCAGAACCATGCGGATGGTTCAATTGCTGCAGTCCCGCACACTTCGCCACAAGAAGCGGTTCTGCGTCGTGGCGACATTCTGTTCATCCCCCCATTGTGGTTACACACAGCGTCCCCGACTGGCCAGGTCAGTGTCGCCGTGAATGTTTTCTTTCGCAATTTATCGAAAGGATATGCAGCTGGGCGGGATGTCTACGGAAACCGGGATCTGCAGGCCTATGAAAAGGCGAGAAACGATCTTCAAAAGATCGCCAAGTCTTTCGATGGGCTCCCACCTGACATGGCCCGTTTCTACTTGTTGAGGCTCGCAAAGGAGCTGAGAGACAAAGCCGAAGCCTAGATGAACCAGGTGTCTAGCTTTGGCCCGAAAATGCTGTATTAGCCGGCTGTTGTCAATCACCAGTTGGCAATCGATCAGGCCGCGAGATGTCTGGAGTAAGGTGGCGCGACTCGGCTGACTATCCACGCCTGGGTCCGTGTTTAGAATTGCCTCTTTTCTCTAACCCCTCAATGACTGCCTCGCCATGCACAGAGTGCACGTGTAAAGATCGGGCCGCTTTTCAAGACCAGCAATGTGAGAGGCACGTGGTGAGAAAGTAGCAATACCGAGTGAACAGGTGGCGGAGAGGCGAGGCAGAGGGGGGTGTGAGTGATGAAGAGGGGTTGTTCTGCGGAGAGGAGACCCGGGTTAAGCTTGGCTTCTAGTGTAAAGCCGAAGTGGAGACAGCTTGGACACGCCCGTGCACTTGTTTGACACTTGGTCCAGGTTGGTTACAGCCAACGCAACACAACCGGAAGGACTAAATGTGAGTGACCGATGCCCGATCTGCAGCAAGTGCTACCTTTGAAACCACATCAATCTAAAACCACCTTGAAATGGTGATGTTGTAGTGGTGATGGTTGTTTACCGACCCATAGGGTTTAGGCGACACCATGGGAAGATCCTACTCTATCCATCCAATCTTTGACGGGTCTCGGATACTCAATGCCACGGCCAAGGTAGCCATGATTTTCCACTATGCATCTTGATGGCGTCGCGTGCCTAATCGTAAGCATCTCGACAGTCATAGACAGTGATCAAAGGTGCTCCGTAGGGAAAGGGTAAGCGGGACACATGTACAGCGCACAGGCGACATGCAGGTCCCGGAAGACTGAGGATAAGGTGGGATTTTGAAGGAAGGACTCCGCTCGGTGAGGAGCACAGGGAGTCCACAAAAGCAAAGGGGCAGAAAGGAAAACAAAGATAAGAGTCTCAGAAAAAGGCAAAAAAAAGAGGAACGCAATAATGGTCACGCATATACCCAGGGGCACACCTGCACTAAAGCACGAGAAATATCATGAGCAGGTAATCTAGATGTCATGTCGTTCAAATGATGCCGAGCCCGGGCTGTGGTTGGGTGGTGATTGGAGATGGGGGTTGAGAAGACGCATGACTTGATGGGAACCACGGATCCCTGTCATCAACCGTTGTCAAAGAGATAATGGAGAGGAGGGGACGGGAAATTGGCTAATGCCAATCATGGGGCCGGATCGCAGGGACTAAGTTTGGTGGGCCTCCTGCTGCTCGCAAACCACGGCCTCTCATTTGGCCGTCGAGCGGTGCTGCACCTTTCCTTGTGTCGCCCTGTCGCCGTGTCGTCGGTCCCAAGCCGGGAGGCCGCCTCCCTCAAGGCCCTATTGGGCGTTACACCAGAGGTGTTGGCGTCAAGACTCCCGGGAGGGGGTTGACTGTGTAGAAGGGGGTGTGGGGGTCGATTTTGAGACGACGCGAAGAGTATTTAAGCCGCCCAGCCTATTGTGTAGCAGTGCGCGGCATCTGGACTGGAAACAGTGGGATGGCGTGGGCGGGAGGATCATTGGCCGCAAACGGGAGGTCATAGTACTATAATCCGGGTGTGGAGACGTCTGCCCGAAATCAAGGATGGCTGGCCGATGGGTGACGATGAGGTCGGGCCAAGGTACCTACCTACCTATCTACCTATCGACCCAGCGGAGCCGGTCTGCATCACTTCATCGATGGCTGCATGAGATGAAGGAAGAACAAACAACTGAAACGAAATTGAATGAGGTGTCCGCAAGGACCCCGGGAACGTCGATTGGGATAGGTAGATGGAGAGGATCGGTGCACTGCAGGGAGGGAAACCGGAACGAGGCCAGAAAGATGGGTGAACGATGGAACTGGAATCCTGACCGGAAGCCTCGTCCCAGCAAAGCCGCGGCGCTACGGCGGACTAACTGGCCACTAGAGACGGAGGCCCACAGCCATTGACTGTTACCCCTCCCCACCCCCGTACTTGCTGCTTTCCAGTGTTTCCACACTTTCCAGGCCTCCAGTCCAGCGCCGTATCGGTATTATTGGGTATTCTTGTACAACTCCTCTTCCTCCCTCTTCCTCTTCTTCCCTCCTCGTCTTCCTCTCGCCCTCGTTCAGAAGTGAACTTCCTCCCTTTCCCTTCATAAATCATCCGTGCTGGGCTATTCTTTAGCAGTTTCACTTTTATCTCCTACCCTTATCTTTCGCTGTCTTCATCTCCTTCACTTTCTACCTTTCCCCCCCTCCCCCACATCCTGCTCGTTTCTGGATCGCCTTCGGGTGCTCGTGTTTCTGGTTCCTTTTATCATTGTGGGGTTGGGCGCATCTTAGCTTGCTATCTACTGTGGGTAACCTCTACTTCTTCTCAATTCCCAGTTAATTGACTTCACCTAATAAATGAAGCTGTTATCTATCATCTGTCTCCTTTCATGCCTGGCGAATTCCTCACCTCAACTATTCATGTCCCTTGGTTCCCGAACATACTTTCGCGTGATTAGATCATCTAAACTTTAGCGGTTGGAACTTGGAAGAGCGTGGTGTATGTCATCGGGTCCCCACACCGTCCCCTCTCTTCTCTACGCGGAAACACAATGCGCTTGTTGAGCCTCCTCGAAGATTCACATTTGCTGATGCAGGCTTTCTTGCAGTAACGGGCTGCTCTTTGATAATCGCGGACGCGATCGCATCCAGCAACGCCCTACAAAGAATGTGCTATTGATTGGCGTCGTTTCCGCAGTCACGATACTGGATAGAGTCCGTCTCAGGTGATACACATTACACGCGATACACGGCGAATAGAGGCGTCCTTGAGAATGGCGACAGTGGTGGTGCAGCAGCAGACGCTGCGGCACTCGACTCCTCCCCCGACCGGTTTAACCCCGGCATTGAGTCTGAACAGGACGTCATCCCCCATCCCGAACAAACATATACCTGTTTGCCCTACGGGTCCATCCCCGGTTTCTTCTCATACACCACCTTCAGCTACCAGGGACAAGACGGTTGATCAGACCTCTTCACTGCTGTATCCGCCCGACGGATTTCTACGGCTGACTCAATCGCCTCCTCTGTACTCCATTGATCTGAAAACCCTAACAGCTTCCTTGGAGTACTTGGCTTCTCAACCCCTACCTGATCCGTCTCTGGTGTTCCCGTGGCTGCACGGACTTCACCCAGAAAATCATCTGCAAGTGGGATTCTTCACCAACCGAAGGCGCTCTCTGCGACGGACTCCGAAATGTTGGCGTGGTATCACAATCGTCAAGGTTGGTGGCGATTTATCCACCGCAAGGATCAAGGGCGCAGTATCTCCTAATGAGATCCTGGTCCCTTCTGGCGTGGAATTCCTCCCAGCAGATCCCCGTGAAGGCTTCTCCGTGCGCAACTTCCAGATACAAACCGCGAAGTTGGCACCACTATCTGACATTGTCATTTATGGCGAGGATGGTGTGCAGAAAAGAGATATTCTCGATGTTGCAGGACGAGTAGCAACGGCGCAGCACAACTGGAGGGTCAAGAATGATCCAGATCACAGCTTTCCGATCTATAACACCTTTGTCCTTGCCTGTGAGTAACCTAAATTCATGGGGGCGGACAATTAAGCTAACTCATTAATAGGTCCCTTTTCTGAGATCGAAAGAAGGGCCCCGCAGCTGGTGGCTGTTAGTTCCAAGGGTCAGCTTACAGGCCAGGTTGTGGATTTTTGTAAGCTATAAGCCTCTAGTTCACTCGTGGATGTCTCCCACTCTAACCTGATACTAGTTCAATGGGAACGGCTGGAGATGTGCGAGATGTCGAAAGCCTCCGAGATCTCAACGAACGTTTGGCTAGGTCCTACGCCCGACTACCTATTGCGACCTGGGTCTTGCGGGCCTGCACCTACCGAGAACTTTGATCTACTGATTGAAGCTAGCGAGCTTGCGAGTATCCCGGGTCCTCGTTATCTTGCCAAGCTCAATAAGCAACTCGAAGAAGGTCCCCAGAAACTGGAATTTCCCTCATCAGGCTCCATCCTTTTGCCTTCCGGCGAGCACAGAGAGGTCGATGATCTAGTCAACACGGTCCGCTGGATCTACTACCTGGCGAACCCGGACGAACCAGATCATCAACCCGATGCGGATGGAGATATTCCGATGATTCCTATCACCAAGACAGCACGGAAGATTCTCATCCATTGTCCAGACGGTTATACTGAGAGCTCGTTGCTGGCAATCGCGTACTTGATGTTTGCGGAAGGGATTTCAGCTCCTAATGCTTGGCTCAGACTGCACAGTGAAAAGAAGCGGAATTTCTTCGCGTACCCGTCCGACATTACGTTCATGAGCAGCGTCCAGGGAAGACTGATGCAGGAGAGCCCAGCAACTCGATCACATAAAATCAAAAGCTTCCCTGATCCTCCCTGGTTCAGATACTGTGACGGCTCTCTTCCAAGCCGGATTCTGCCATATATGTACCTGGGTAATTTGTCACACGCCAACAACCCAGAGATGCTGTGCGCGCTGGGAATCAAACGCATCCTCAGCATAGGTGAAACCGTCTCGTGGAGCAGTTCCGAGGCTGCTAAGATAGATCCTAAAAACCTCCTGCATATTACTCAGGTTCAGGATAATGGGATCGACCCCTTGACGCAGGAATTTGACCGCTGCCTCGAATTCATCCGTAAGTTGACCGGCTATCTGCAACTGAGATCGATTTACTCACGTGGTTTGATTGTATAGGACAAGGGAAGTCCGATGGGATGGCCACATTAGTGCATTGTCGAGTGGGCGTCTCGCGCTCAGCGACAATCTGCATCGCTGAAGTTATGGCGTCATTGGGCCTGTCGTTCCCTAGGGCGTAGTGAGTTCAACCGCTGGATTTGCGATATCGTCGTTGCTAATATTTCACACTAGCTGCTTTGTCCGGGCAAGGAGGCTAAACGTCATCATACAACCCCATCTACGATTTGTGTAAGGCCTCATTCCTGTACTTCGTCTTCGTTATGACCAGTCACACTGACAATGCACGCCAGTTATGAGCTACTCAAATGGGAGGAGCTTCAACTACAGAAGCGGAACAAGCCTGCAAGGCGAGAGCTAGAATGGGCTACCGTGGCTCGCGAGATCGCATTGATGAACAAACCCTACTCTAGACAGTGAGAGCGACCTAAAAATGGTGCATGAAGCCTGCAGGAGCATGGTCTCTGACTAGTGCACTGCATGCTGACACCCCACATTATGCCAACTTTACTGCATATGGAGACCATTGAGGTCTTTCATGATGGACCGAAAGAAAAATGGAGATGATGATGACCGACACTGATGACATGAGGGCACGAACAACACATGAATGAACAACTGTCTTTTGCTTTTTTTTTCTTGAATTGGGCGTCTAAGGGATCTAATCTAGGGACGGTGCGATGTGATTCATGCATCCGAATATATGTTAGTGATGTGTATGTGCGTGGGGGGTCTCTTTTGGTCGGTGTTATGGCGGTTTGACTTGGGAATCGGCATCTCTATCGTTAATTGACTGATTTGCTGCTTTGTTGGGTTTGGTCCTGGCATACTTCCTGGGTTCGAACTTTGGTCTTCCTCACTGTAATTTTCTAACTGCTATCTCTGATACCATTGCACAATTTTCCGGATTCCCAGCCTGGATCAACTTGGTCGCCGTGTCCAATTCCCTCTTTTCTAAAGATTGGGCTTATTAAATCTAGACTTTCAATCCCATTTTCGAAAGCCGCAGTTCTATACTCATACAAGGGTACTACTACCCTATTCTAGACCTTTCATGACATGCTTCTACCAATTTGTTGGAAGCATCCAGTCAAAACGCATACAACGACATCCGAGCCTTAAGCACCTCAAGAATCAATCCTCTCATCCATGATTCAACCAAGCCACACGGCTCAGCACCGCTCGAAAACCCTATACAACCCCTTCAAATCCGCCACCTCCACCACACCCCGGAGAAGCCGCGTCGTAGCAACCAGTCGAGCCCGTAGAGCCGGAAAAACCACATGTTCTAGCATCCGCGCCATCTGCGCCCGTCTCTGCGTGATAAACTCATCTTCATCTGTCTTATCGGCGTTCTCGGGGGTTTGAGACGAAGGCGGAGGAGGGGGCAACTGTTCTGGGGTATAAAATGCCGCGAGCTCGCGCAGGAACGTCCGGAAACATTCCTCTTCGTTCGTCCAGTCAACGTACGGTCCGAGACGGAGGAGGAAGCGGGGGAGTTTGCCGAGGCTGGGGAGGTAGCCTTTTAGGAGGAGTGGGATGGATAGGAGTTCTCCTTCTGGGGAAATTTCCATGGAGAAGTACTCGTTTAGCATTTCTCGGCGATCGATGAGGGTTTTGGCGACTAGGTCGGGCGCGTTGGTGAAGATTTCGCTCGCTTCTTCTTGTTCATCTTGTTGTTGCTGTTCTTGGGATTTGGAGCCTTGGTGTTCGTCGCGTTCGGTGTCGGCTGCGATGCGGAGGAGGTCGATGAGTTTGGGGGCTGGGGAGAGCTTGATTACTCCGAAGTTTCCGAAATATGTGAGACCGACTTGGTAGAAGAACTCGGTGCAGAACATGCCGTAGTCGATGAGGTAGAGCTTTACGCCTGATTGGATGGCGGCGATGCGTCGGCGTTCGTCGACGAGACCGACGTAGGTGTGCGAGGCTATCGTTTCGGTCAGGGTGTTGTGCATTGCGTTGCGGACTGAGGCGCGGAGGTTCTTGATGGAGGTGAAGGCGATGCGGTGCGGCCCGCGTTTGGTGGTTTCGTATTGAAGACCTTCGTCGAGGGCAGTGGTGTCTGCTTGGGGAGTTGCCGGGGTGTGGGGTGTGGCCGGGGTGAGCATGGAGGTGATTTTACGGACTTTGGAATCGGTGCGGACAAGGTTATGTTCGTAGGGCTTTTTGGTCGTGGATGGTGTTTTGGGAACTGCACCAAAACTTTCGCTGTCGCGTGTCGGGGGCTCAATCGTCGTTATACCTGGGAGGAGGCTTTGGGTTAGGAAGGTCCGGCTCGAGTCGACCTGTGCGAGTTTAGATCTGATCTCGCTGCAGATGCATTCGATGATTTCGTCTTCGTTCAGGAAGTTCACTTCGCGCTTTGTGGGGTGTACGTTTACGTCGACACGCTGTGGTTCGATCTCCAGATCGATGTAGACGAAAGGATGGCCTCCTTTCGGGAGAAAGCTAGCGTACGTCTGTTCGACTGCTCGCTTGATGGCTGTAGATTCGACAGAGCGGTGGTTGATGAAGAGGAGTATGGTAGTTCGTTTGACATGGTAGTTCGCATTCGTGGCAAGTCCAGATGAGCGGAACCCTAACTTCTCGTCTTCGACTTTGAACTCAACGAGCTCGTTGGCAACTGCGCTGCCATGAATTTGGCGAATCCGGTCTGTTGTGTTTGCGGCAGCTGGCGTGGAGACACTGACGCCTGAGTCGCCATGTTTGCGACACGAGAACGCCACTCCAGAGCAATGGACGGAGTATCGACCGACAACATCCAGGATCTTGGCGTATTCTTCACTTGCTGATCGAAACGCTCGACGTCTTGTCGGGATGTTGTAGAACAAATCTTCTACCTGACAGGAGTACATGAGCGGTCGTTTATAGATGCGATATGTAGCGTTCCACTTACAGTTATCTGTGTGCCACCGCGTCCAGCAGTAGCTTTAGGCGCAGCACTCTGTCCAGGCTTAGGAGGGACAAGCTTCCCATCGCTATATTGTGCTCTCCATGCACAGCTGGAGCCTGCAGTCTTTGTGGTCACGGTGAGATGGGCAATATGGCTTATACTCGCCAAAGCCTCGCCGCGGAAGCCGTATGTCCCTATAGATGAAAGGTCTTCGAACTGCTTTAGCTTGGACGTTGTAAATCTCTCACACAGAATAGGAAGGTCATCTCTCTGTCTCTAGAGGTTAGCGTTCCATCACCAGGTATTCTATACCTCAGCGACTTACATCTATGCCATGGCCGTTGTCCGTAATCTGGAGAAGTTTTAGTCCCCCGTCTTTCACCAAGATTTCAATGGATGTCGATCCAGCATCCACGGCGTTCTCAATTAACTCCTTCAGCGCATGCATAGGAGCCACAATAATTTCTCCTGCTGCAATCTTGTTCACAACATCTGGGTCAAGTGCCTGTTCATTGCTATTAGTTGCGGATGTGAGGACATATGGTGAACAATGAAAACCAACCCTGATCCTCTTAGGCCTCTGTGGCTCCTCCGTGTCCTCGGCGGATCTTTTGGTGCCTCGAGGTTCTGCAGAGTCCAGCTCCATTTGTGAATCCATGGTGGTGCTTATTGGAGATAATCAAACAACAGCCCCCGTTCCTGTTATTTTGTTAAAAGTATAGCGAGGTTTTTCTGGGCGACGAAGTTGGGATGACGCAACTTCTCTGATCACCGTAAGCAGGGATTGACAACGTGGATCAGAGATTCCTCAGCTCATGGGATTCCAAAATTAGCTATACTCCAGCGAATTGCCCAACTTGACGGGCTTCTAGAAACAATGGATGGAGGCAGGAGGCGGTGGAGGAAGAAACAATGGCAGAAGGTCGGCGATAAGCTGCGGAGGCCAATTAAGAGCGCGACCATCCGGCAACCGTCGCGGAACCTCCGCGTGGCCCCTCAGGATTCCATACCATTTCATTCCTTGCCCTCCCACCCCTATTTCCCCATGCTTACTTCAACCGTTCGAGCTCCAACGGAGCGATCACTCTTATGCTCAAATAATGCTGCCATCCAGAAGGCCGTTTTTGGCGGATGAGGAGCTTGGGAAGAAGGATGACGACCACCGGGTGCGGCCAAGCCACACTCAGCAATGGCGTCCAAAGCAATGGAAGCCGCCTCGGCCACGCCGATTGTTGCTAGGCCTTGTGGCTTTATATCTCTTATATCTATTCTTCAAGAATATGCCAACCGACCTACCCCCTGCTCCGGAGCGGTTTAACCCGGCATTTGCTCAGGCGCGGCAAGCCGCATTGCAATTACAGCAGCAGCAGCAGCTCCCATCGCTTGCCGATACTCAGCAGGGCCCTCCCGATCGAGTCAAGAGCAATACAGAACTTAATAATGATCATTATTATGATGGGAAGATTAACTTTTACTCTTTGGCCAAGTCACTGCACCGATTCCAAGGTCAATCCTCGCGCTATGGAAAGCCTACAAATCACGTCGTTATCTTCGCTGCGGCAAGCTTGAAAAGCGTGTCAGATCTTCTTCCTCTCGCTTGCCAAATGGCTACCCGGAAAGTTAATGAGGTACATTTCGTGCTCATGGGAAGGGAGGATGTGTCAATTGAAGGGATCCAACGAGTAAATGGTCTAGATGACGCGAGTTGTCCGGTCAACTGGCATGGTACGTTTTAAATGTCGACTCTGTCTTCTAGATCATGATACTTATCACTATTTGCTGCAGATGCTCGGCCGGACTATGCGCAGTGGTCAACGGATGCTCGTATGGAGAGAGCGGTGGTGGCGGGTCTCGGCTATGTTCGCGCCTTCCTTCATCCTCGAGTAGTCCTCACGCAAGGCGAGTCGTGGGAGGATCCCTTTCTCTGGCGAGGAGTTCGAGGTGGAGCACATGAAATGGGCATTTCTCATGTTGCTCTCCCTAGCGCTGCGAGAGATATCATGTGGATGTCTACGCTGGACAGTAGCGCCCTCCAAGGTGAATCCATCTCCTGAGCGACCCGGCAGGGTTTATGTCCTTCTGGCCGAGTGGCTGCACACATATTCGGCCTATGCCTAGCTTTAGCTAATGATCTCTTGACAGCCTGGAATAACGTTCAAGTTGAAATCCTTATCCACGCTCCATCTGAATCCTCCGGATCTCTGATAAGATTGATCCGGACATTGCTAAACGCAGACTATCTTGGACGGACACCTAGTCTGACTATCGAATTACCCCCTCATGTAGACCCAGAGCTTCTTCGCTTTCTACAGTCGATGGAGTGGCCTTCTCACGCTTCTGGGAAGGTCACTCTCCGCCGACGGATCCAGCCACACGGTATGGATTCTACCGAGTCCTCTCTGAAGACCGTCGAGGCCTTCTATCCTAGGGACCCAACTCTGTCCCATGTGCTTGTGCTTTCCCCGCAGACTGAGCTAGCACCGTCGTTCTATCATTATCTTACGTATACAATGCTCAGATTCAAACATTCAGCTCGTGCAAAACAGCTATCTACGAAACTTATCGGAATCTCACTTGAGCTACCATCTACTCTTCTGACAGACAACGAACCACTGACTCCACCAGAGCTTGACAATGACCAAATGTCCAACTTGGGTGACGGCGAGTCATTGCCCCTATTCCTCTGGCAAGCTCCCAACAGTAACGCAGCGTTATATTTTGGCGATAAATGGGCCGAGTTTCATGAGTTCCTATCGAACCGCTTCACTATCCTGGGGGGTGCAGACCAGGCTCCTCTTCAGGAAAAGCTCATCTCGAAGAAATATCCAGCTGTCGTGGAATTTCTGTTGGAGTTTATCAGGGGCACGGGATACTACATGATTTACCCAGCATTTCCTGCCAAGGGAACTTTCACCCTTGCTACAGTGCACAATGAATTATATCAGATCCCAGAAGAGTTCGCCGAGGATGGCTCGCCAGACTTTCCTGAACCATCACCAGAAGTGATAGATGATCCATCTAAGCCTCTGACGCCGGATTCTGCTGAGGGGCTGGGGTTTGTTGAGAAGCCATTGAGTCGCGCCTCAACAGTGATGCCGCTTCTTGAACGATTTTCCTTGAATTTGCCTAGGATTGATTATCTGCCGCTATTGTCTTACGGTGGTGAAAAGCTCTCGGGCTCCATGTACGCACGTGGCCTTGAAGATTATAGGAATTGGTTCCGCGCTCGATATGGAGGATGCTCTGGTGAGAGCTCCGGCAGCCAAACGGTCGTGGGAGGCTTGTTTTGTCTGGACAACTAATTTTGGCTTTTACTGAATAGTATGGGTTTGGCTTGTCGGAGACTATGTTTTATACCCTATCTAAGTTCTACGAAGTATTCAATCTATTTCTATTTCAGTATACCATTGTTGTTCCTGGTTATGTCCGTGATTTAAGTGAAATCGGAGCCTGAGGCTTCCAGCCCAGCTAATCTCTTGGCGGGCATGGTCTTACATAAGCGATGGGAGCTCCACCAGAGCGCAACGCCCGAGCGGCGACGAAGAGCGAGCTCTCTCTGCTTCCCATCAACAAGCTTATAAACCAATCCTTACTTCATCGCCTAGAGTGTGGAGGCTTCTTGCATCAAAGCTTTCCACTCTTGCTATCCTCTCCTGCAACATCTATATATCCCGTCTACCCGCGTCTCCGAACACCCCCCGACTACTCGCCATATAACCGTCAGTGATGGCGCAGGACGGCGAGCGGTCAGCGCCCGCCGACAAGGGCAAGGGCAAGGTTGACGATATCAAGGAGCTGTCCGGTGGAAAGAAGGCGGCGGCCGATGAGAAGCCACAAGCTGATGGAAAGAAGAAGGATGATGAATCCAAAGAGGGTAGGTCAGCATGTTGAGTCTGGGCGGAGACGACCCGGCGCCGCGCCTCACGTCAGGTATCCTGTGTCTCAACAGAGGTACTAACATACCGGATCATACAGAAGAACTCAGTGAAGAAGACCAGCAGCTGAAGAATGAGCTGGAAATGCTCGTGGAAAGGTTAAAGGTACAGGGAAAGAAGCTGTTCCGTTGGGGTCCTGAGCGATGACGTTAACTCTCAGCCTGCTATCTAGGAGCCCGATACCTCGTTGTACACCCCTGCCTTGGACGCGATTAAAAACTTCATAAAGACCTCCACATCTTCCATGACTGCTGTTCCAAAGCCCTTGAAATTCCTAAGACCGCATTACGATGAGCTCACGGAGCTCTATGACAAGTGGCCGGCTGGCCCGGTTAAGGTTCGTTGCCTATCAACCCGACAATCATAACTGGCTAACCACATGATGCTGTATTTATAGGACTCACTGGCCGATATGCTCTCAGTCCTTGGCATGACCTACGGAGACGAGGAGAAGCTCGAGACCCTGAAGTACCGCCTTCTCACCAAGTCCGAAGACCTCGGTTCCTGGGGCCACGAGTACATTAGACACCTGGCGCTGGAAATCGGTCAAGAATACCAGAACAGACTGAATGCTGAGAAGGATGTACAGGATCTGATTGATTTGTCACTGTCCCTCGTCCCGTACTTCTTGAGCCACAATGCCGAAGCGGATGCGGTGGATCTTCTGAGCGAACTTGAGATTATCGAGGAGATCCCACGCTTCCTCGATGAAAACACTTACTCGAGGGTTTGTTTGTACATGGTCAGCATGGTCAACCTCCTCACATACCCCGAAGATCAGCAATTCCTTCGGACCGCTCATGAGATCTATGTCCGCTACAAGGAACTCACCAAGGCAGTTGTTCTTGCCATTCGCTTGAATGACACCGATCTCATTAAGAGCGATCTCAATGCCACTTCGGACAAGTCGCTCAAGAAGCAGATGGCGTTCCTCGTTTCCAGGCAGCAGATATGGCTTGACCTTCCCGAGGAAGAGGACGACCAGTCCTTTATGGACTGCTTGAACAACACCTCGATCCCCAAGCACTTCAAGTCTCTCGGCAAGGAGCTCAACATCCTCGACCCCCAGATGCCGGAAGATATCTACAAGACACACTTGGAGAGCAGCCGCGGTGCTGGCCTCACCAATGTCGACTCCGCAAGGCACAATCTCGCTAGTGCCTTTGTCAACTCCTTTGCCAACGCCGGATATGGCAATGATAAGATGATGCTTGTGGAGGGGGACAAGGGCCACTGGGTCTGGAAAACTAAGGATGATGGCATGTTGTCGACGACAGCTTCGATGGGTATGCTTCTGCACAGAGATGTTGAGATCGGTCTGGACAAGATCGACAAGTACACCTACGCTTCGGAGGATCAGATCAAGGCAGGTGCTTTGCTTTCCATCGGTATTCTTAACTCGGGTGTGCGGATAGACTCAGACCCTGCTCTGGCTCTCCTGAGCGACCCCGACAATCTGGAGGCCAAGAGTGTGCCGATGAGAGTTGCCTCCATTATGGGTCTAGGTCTTGCCTACGCCGGATCTAACAAGGAGGAACTGCTTGAGGTTCTGCTCCCCATTGTTGAAGATGTCTCCTTAGACATGCAGCTGTCTGCGATGGCGGCCGTTGCCCTGGGTCTGATCTTCGTCGGCTCTTCCAACCACCAGGTCAGCGAGGCGATCGCCACCACGTTGATGGACGAGGAGAGGCAGAAGCACCTCAAGGATAAGTGGACTCGCTTTATGGCCCTTGGTCTGGCACTTCTGTACTTCGGTCGCCAGGAAGAGGTCGACGTCATCCTTGATATCCTTAAGGCGGTTGATCACCCTATGGCCAAGCCGACCTCAGTTCTCGCCTCGGTCTGCGCTTGGGCAGGTACTGGCACCGTCCTGAAACTTCAGGAGCTCCTCCACATCTGCAATGATATCATTGAAGAGACCGACGAGAAGAAGGGCGACGAGTTGGTCCAATCATATGCTGTTCTTGGTCTATCGCTCATTGCTATGGGTGAGGAGGTTGGACAGGATATGATCTTGCGCCAGTTCGGCCACCTGATGCACTATGGTGCCAGCAACATCCGCAAGGCTGTTCCTCTTGCCATGGGTTTGATCACCCCCAGTAACCCTCAGATGAAGGTCTACGACACCCTGTCACGATACAGTCACGACACCGACAACGATGTCGCTATTAACGCCATTTTCGCCATGGGTCTTTGCGGTGCGGGTACCAAGAACGCCCGTCTGGCTCAACTGCTTCGGCAGCTGGCCAGCTATTACCACCGCGACCAGAACACGCTCTTCATGGTTCGTATCGCCCAAGGTCTTTTGCACATGGGCAAGGGTACGATGACCCTGAACCCCTTCCACACGGATCGCCAGGTCCTCTCGCGCGTAGCAGCTGCTGGCCTGCTCACCGTGCTCGTGTCTATGATTGACGCCAAGCAATTCATCCTCGCCGAACACCACTACCTCCTCTACTTCCTCATCACCGCCATGTACCCACGCTTCCTTGTCACGCTCGACGAAGATTTGCAGCCTCTCACCGTCAATGTCCGGGTTGGTCAGGCCGTAGACGTTGTCGGACAGGCGGGTCGCCCCAAGACCATCACCGGCTGGCAAACACAGAGCACGCCTGTGCTGTTGGCTTATGGTGAACGTGCCGAGCTCGAAGACGAGCAATACATTCCTCTCAGCAGCACCCTGGAGGGCTTGGTCATCTTGCGCAAGGTAATCCTCCCGTACCCTTCAGGTAACAGACTATGAAGCTAATGCTATTGATAGAACCCCAACTGGGAAAGTTCCGCCTAAGACGACCTTTCGACACGAAATCTTTGCAGAGGGTTCAGCGCAGGGAGGATCTAGCGCTCATGTACCTTGGTCTTAATGTATGGAGCACGAATTGGAAAATAGCATACACCGTTTGTCATTATGTTTGATTCATCACTAAACTGGTGGATGTGGCACGGGGGACCAATGCTAGGATGAGCTATAGGCTGCATACATCTAAGAGACTTTGAACCAGATTCTTTCATCATCACCAGATGTATGAGCGACTGCGGGGTCTATCCCATTATAAGAAGTGATAGCTGGGCCAGAGCGACTAAACAGTGATCCCTCTTTCACCTGAGGCAGATACCGACTACAGTAACTATACACCCGCCTCCGCTAGTAAACTACCGCCAGGATGAGTTGGAAGATACAAACCCACATTGACAAATTTTTCTCCTATGGTCACCTGATTCGCATACCCAACTACAAAGAATCCATTTGGCCTACCTCAAGTCAAAAGTTCTGATTGCTCCAGGTCTGGACTACCAAGGTTGTCCCAAAGCGGAAACTAGGGCATAGGGCAGCGGCGTCCTGACTTTTCCGCGGCCTGACGGACGGCCTTCGTTCAGCGCATCCTCACATTTGACTGCCTGGTCGCTTCTATAGCCTTTTTCTGGATAATTTCGGTCTCGAGTACAAAGCGACATGAAGCTTGATCCGAAAGCGATCCGCTACCTCACAGCTGAGGACTTCCGCGTGCTCTCCGCGGTATGCCCCTCCCCCGCCTTTGCCCGTTTGTCGCAGCGTGTTGTCTGACAGCTAACAGAACCGTGTTGCAGGTTGAGACCGGAAGTAGAAATCATGAAGTTGTTCCGACGCCTCTGATCGCGCAGATCGCCGGTCTGCGCGGTGGCAGCGGAGTGCACCGAGCTATCTCGAATTTGGCCAAGACCAACCTGATCGCCAAGGTCAAGAATGCGAAATGTACGCTGCAGTCCCAGATACCAAGACGAAACGCATACTGACGCATTTATCGCCCAGATGACGGTTATCGCCTCACCTACGGAGGTCTCGACTACCTCGCCCTTAACGCTCACCAGAAGCAGAAGTGCATCTACTCCGTCGGTAACCAGATTGGCGTCGGCAAGGAATCCGATATCATTGTGGTCGCCAACCACCAAGGAACACAGCGCATCTTGAAGATCCACCGTCTGGGTCGTATCTCCTTCCGAACCGTCAAGACGAACCGCGACTACCTCCGTCACCGTAGCACCGGCTCTTGGATGTACATGTCGCGCTTGGCCGCGATGAAGGAATATGCCTTCATGAAGGCGCTACGAGAGAACGGCTTCTCGGTCCCCGAACCCATTGCGCAAAACCGACACACCATTGTCATGAGCCTGATCGATGCGTTCCCACTACGACAGATTTCCAAGGTCGCCAACCCGGCGCTACTGTATTCCGAGCTGATGGATATGATTATGCAGCTGGCGCGATTCGGATTGATTCACGGTGATTTCAACGAGTTCAACATCCTCATTAAGGAGATCGAGGACCCAGAGGCCAAGGGGAAGGGGCGCGAGGACGACGAGAACGACGAGAATATCAAGCTGGTGCCCGTCATGATCGATTTCCCGCAGATGGTGTCTATTGACCACCCCAATGCGGAGATGTACTTTGACCGCGATGTCAACTGTATCAAGCGCTACTTTCAACGGAAGTTCCACTTTGTCAGCGACATCCCCGGTCCATTCTTCGCTGCTGCGAAGAAGCAGCTCATTCAGAACCCTGGCAAGCGGTTAGATGTGGAGGTTGAGGCGTCCGGCTTCTCGAGGAAGATGGCGCGGGAGCTGGAGAACTACATGCGGGATGTTGGCGCCAATGGTGACAACGAGGAGGGCGAGGGAAGTGATGAGGAGGAGGAAGAAGAGGGAGAAGAAGAGGAGGAAGAGGCAGAGAATGAGAGTGAGGAAGAGCAAGTTCCTCAACAGTCCGAGGATGTCGCTCGGCGACTGGGGAACCTGCAAGTGTCGGATGGGCAGTAGACGCACACCGAGTAAATGATAACGACCATGACGAATATAAAAATTTCCTCATTCACATATACATGAAGCCAATCATTTTCAACAAGCCAATTAGTCTCAAAATCTCTCGTATATCTACTCCGTACTCCGTAAGAGAACCCCAAATCCAAGACGCAAATCCACTACGGCGGGCGACGCGGCCAACCGCGCAATTAGTGTTTGCTTCAGACGAAAGTTCCGCCGATCCAACCCATCCATATTGCTCTTCCTCCGAATCACCACCACCACTCCTCCTCCCCCTCCCTCCCCCCTTCCGCCGGACAAGCAAATCCAAAATGGTCCGAAAATTCTCCAAGTTCGCCAAAAAGTCCGCCGACTGGGTCGGTCCAGGCGCGCCCCTCTCCCTGCGGAAGCAGGTATACCTGTACGTCAATTCCAATCCAACTCCAATCCCAATGCCAAATCCAATCCATACGACCCCAGACCACTCAATCCCACATATCCACATACACACAACCCCAAATACTAACTACTTCAAACTAATCTATAGTCCCGACATCACAATCGCCCTAATCCGCACCCCATTCCTCCCCCCCCGCTTCGCCTCCTTCTACGTGCCCTTAAATTTCAACAAGTTGGATATGCGCGACTACCTACAGCGATTGTACAACGTGGGGGTTTTGAGCGTGCGCTCGTACGTCGAGCAACAGAAAGTCACTCGTCTCAAGCCGTTGGGTCGCTACGGATATGGGAAATTGAGACGTCCTCAGTCCAAGAAGAAGATGACGGTTGAAATGAAGGACCCGTTTGTTTGGCCGGAGGCGCCGAAGGATATGGATCCGTATGTTTTTTTTTCTTTCCTCTTGGTGTTTGTTTTTGTTTGGTTTTGGGTTGGGGGTGGATTGGGATTGGGATTTTTTGGGTATTGGGTGTTGGCTAATGGTTTGCAGATGGGAGAAGGATCAGTTCTTCAAGGCGGCCAAGTATCAGGAGCAGGTCCAGGATGCGCAGAAGCCGGATGCGGGAATGAAGGCGGATGAGACGGCGAGGGAGGCGTACAAGGAGGATGCGCAGAAGTTGTTGAGTGGGGCTAAGCCGTGGAGGCCGACTTGGAGGGCTTTGGGGTTGGAGCATTATGAGAGGCCGTTGGCGAAGAGGTCGTGAGATGTATTACTACGGTCGGGTCTGATTTGGGTTTGATTTGGATGTTCCCTTTGGTTGCTTTCGATGGTTTGGACTACCTGTCATGTGTATTATACTACCTATTTCCTTGTCGTGTCAATACGATTCTGTCATCTGAGGATGGATTTGTTTCTTAGGGGGAATGGAAGTGGAAATGGCATTTATACTATGTCATGTTTATTTAGATCATGAATATCAACCGCTGGGAGAGGGAGGTGGTCGCTGCGCTTTGAAGGACAAACGGAACAAGAACACAAAATATCTACAGGCATTCTGTCGTGGTGGGGAGTATACCGGCGAGAGTTGAGGTTCGATTACAGCCGGCTCTCGATGAAGTTCGTGTGTTGGCTAGGCCAGTGCGCGTCGGGCCAGACCTGTCGGATGGCTTCCCAGATATGTCTGTGTACTGTTAGCCACAAGCTCATCACCAGTCCAATGACTACTCACTTGACATAAACAATCTCGAGCCCCTCGCTGACCTCCTGGGGCACGTCCTTGACGTCTTTCCGGTTGTGCTGGGGCAGAAGAACGGTCTTGACGCCGGCCCGCAGCGCTCCAATGAGCTTCTCCTTGATGCCGCCAACGGGCATCACCTTACCTCGGAGCGACACTTCCCCGGTCATGGCAACGCTGGGCGGGACCGCCTTGCCGGTGAACAGCGATATGAGACCCATTGTGTGCGCGAGACCGGCCGAGGGACCGTCCTTCGGGATGGCTCCGGATGGGCAGTGGACGTGTAGGCTGCGGTTCTTCATGATATCCTCGTTAGGATCCGCGGTCAGTCCAAGCTCGAACGCATGAGCCTTGACCCAGGTGAGAGCCACCTCCACACTCTCCTTTAGCACATCACCCAGCTTGCCGGTGAGCTGGACCCGGCCGTTGCCCGGCATGTCCGCAACCTCGATAAACAGGATACTACCTTGCCCTCCAGTGGAATACGCAACAAGCCCAGTCACAACGCCTGGACGACCATGCTTCTCGGCAATCTCTTCGTCAAAACGTTCAATGCCAAGTATCTCTTCCAAGTCATCCATAGTCACCACCGGGTTGTATGCATCAAGTCGCTCTGCATCGCCCGCGTCCGCATACTGGACAGCCTTGAACCGACAGATCGAGCCAAGCTCACGCTCCAGGTTACGGACACCGGACTCCCTGGTATATGAAGTGATAACCTTGTCAATGATATCGTCAGACAGATCCACCTGACCATCCGAAAGCCCGTTGGCCCTGACTTGCTTGGGGATAAGGTGTCTCTTAGCAATGTGTCTTTTCTCAACGGTAGTATATCCCGACAATGAGATGGTCTCCATGCGGTCAAGAAGTGGTGCGGGAATGGTGTCCAAAGAGTTAGCCGTGGCAATGAAAAGGACCTTGCTCAGGTCAATAGGAATGTTGATGTAGTGGTCCGAGAATGTATGGTTCTGCTCGGGATCCAAGACCTCAAGCATGGCTGCCGATGGGTCTCCTTGGAAGTTGGCACCTCCAACCTTGTCAATCTCGTCAAGCAAAAAGACGGGATTGGCAACGCCGACTTTCTTCAGTCCGCTGACAATCAATCCCGGCATCGCAGCAACATAGGTTCTCCGATGGCCTCGGATCTCTGCCTCGTCTCTCACACCACCCAGCGAGATTCTATGAAACTTACGACCGAGAGATGCGGCCACGGACCGTGCCAGACTGGTCTTGCCAACACCAGGCGGTCCCACAAGCAGTAGGATTGGTGACTTGTCACCCATGCGTCTGGATTTCAATAGATGCAGCCTCGTTTCAACGGCGACCCTGTCCGACTCGGACAAAGCAGGAACTTCTTTCTCAAGATCGCCGCCATCGGACGCCTCAAGCTCCTTTGACAGTGACTCGATTTGACGTTCAACGTCTCTGTTAGTAGACTGCTTGAGTCGCAGCACAGCCAGGTACTCGAGTAACCTCTTCTTGATCTTCTCCAAGCCGTAGTGATCATCGTCTAGTTGTTTCCTAGCTCTCTTCAGGGTTTCTGGTCCCAGCTGATCCTCAGTAACCTTAGTCCAAGGGATATCTGCAATGTTTTCGAGGTAGGTCCGGCAGACACCGTACTCCGCATTTGCCGGGTTCATCTTCCGAAGACGACGGAGCTCCTTGTCGGCAACTTTCCGAGCCTCGGGACTAAGCTGGGCCTCCTGTAGTCTCTGCTGGAGCTCATCAACTTCGTTTGATTCCTTGTCATCACCGTCATTGTTTCGGCTAGCTGAAATACCCGGGGGCGTCAGGCCGCTCAGGCCAGCCATGGCCCTTCGGGCCAAAAGCTCACGGTCCCGGGGATCTATCTGGCTGATGTCAAATCCAGAACTAGGGAAGCTGTTGGTGGTAATCGTAGTGACCTTCACGTTGCTCTTGATGTTCTGCAGTTGTCTGGTCAGAATTTCAACAACCCGCTCTAGTCTAATTTTAACGTCTAGCGACGCCAAAATTCGAAGCTTCTCTTCGAAGCCGGCTTCAGCGACATCCGCCATGAAATCAGCCAGTCTACCTGCGTGGGAGACGTCGGATTTAGTTATGAATAGCTCGAATTTCCGAGCAATTATGGGCGACAAGCGGGTCCCTGGCGAGGGCAGCAGCGAAGACAGTCGCAGCAGGGTAAGGAGCTCGCGAGAGAGTTGTCGCAATTGCTGAAACAAGTCAACAGTTTCCGTATCGCCGGAGACTGTTTCTAGAAATAACCAGGTCAGGACAATGTTCAAAGCAGAAGCAGCAACGACGGAAAGGAATGCGGGACGACCGACCTTTTTCATCATGAACAACAGCTTCAGCTTCAAAGAAGGGTCTCTCCTTCAGGACGCGCCTGACAGTGAAGCGCTGGACTCCCTGAACCACAAGAGCAGGCTCGGAATAGGCACGACGCTGGATGCCGATCACTTTGCCCACGGTACCATGCCGAAATAGATCTTCCTTTCTTGCCTGCCCAGCATCAATCATGTCATATTCCTCTCTCCTTTCTTCCTCCAAGCTTCCATCATCAATGAGTCGCTGGCCGTCTTTGCTCAGGAACGGCGAGCTGAGAGGAACGCATCCAAAGGTGATCACCGTCCCATCGCGCTTTGCCACGGATGATCGATCAACGATGGTCGAGAGAAGATTGGCGAGATCGGGGCGATTGGAAACGGGAATCCGTAGCGTGACCCCGGGGAGTAGGACCGATCCTTTGGGCAGCGGCACCAAGGCGAGCTTTGTTGTTCTGCCGCTGTTGGAACCCATCTCGGTATGCCAGTATACAAGGGCACACTCGGTGGCGAAAACGGAATGGAAGTGAGTGGTTGAGGTGATAGATGGAGTGTTGTTGTTGTCGTCGAGGACGGTGGCAGGTCAGGTAGACAGCGCGCAGGGCTGTTGTCGAGGCGGTCGGGTTATAAGGCAACTAATCGTACTAGTAGTTCAAAGGTTCCACTGTTCCAGAACCCCGTGGATGGATGAAGGCGTGACTCTGGGGAGGAGATCCAACCGATAAGCGCCCTTCCTCCGATGCCGAGGTTCGCACGGGGCAACGTCAACCCCCGATGCGGCAACCAGAGGCCAACACGTCTTCCATCCAACACAGGCGGTGGCGAATGGGCTCTCGAGCAGGGGCGATCCGTCTGGGTTCTTCTCGATAGTGCCCCTGGTGGAAAAGCAATTTCTCCATAGGCAGGTACTCCGTAAGCAGTGCGAGGTCGTACAAGAGAGCAGAAGAGCGGTGTCTCCTCGGTAATATTACCGGGCCCCATTACCGCGGGGGCTGGGCCGAGTCGTATGACAAACCCCCAATGATACAGGGTAAAATACCCAGCGTCAATTGCCCGAGCCGTGGAACATCTTCCTCACGCCTGCAAATCGCATAGTCAGGCTTCTGCATTGCTCGGCACTTTTCTCTTACCGTTTGCTCTGATCCAAGCAAAGTACTTTCAACTCAACTCAACCTCAAACACCGACCCCGGTCTCCCTTTCCCCGCCTACGCAAGATCGTCGCAATGGCTTCTGCCCCGCCTCACGACCCCTCACTGCGCAAAACATTCACCATTGGCACGCGCAAGTCGAAACTTGCTCTGCTCCAAACAGACCTGGTTCAGGCAGCGCTTAAACAAAGATGGCCGGATTATGAATTCAAGATTCATTCCCGGGAGACCGCAGGCGACCAGAACACAACCATCGCGCTCCGTGACTTCACGACCAAGAACCTATGGACCCAGGAACTCGAGGATCTTCTGATTGCCGGCCATGTGGACTTCATTGTCCACTCCCTTAAGGGTGAGTATATCTGCCTTTTTGCAGCAGCTGCTGCGAAATGCTGACGGTCCCTCCTATTATAGATGTCCCGACTCTCCTTCCTTCCTCCTGCACGCTGGGCCCGATGATGGACCGTGAAGATACAAGAGATGTTTTGGTCATGAAAAAAGGACTGCCAAGTATGAGTCTGGCCGATATGCCAGCAGGATCCATCGTCGGCACGTCCTCCATCCGCCGTACCGCTCAGATCGCTCGTCGTTACCCCCACCTCAAGGTTATGGATGTCCGTGGAAACATCGGTACTCGGTTGTCGAAGCTGGATGCAGAAAATAGCCCCTACACCTGCCTTATCCTTGCCGCCGCCGGTCTGCTTAGACTGGATTTGGCGGATCGGATCACCAGCTATCTGGACTCAAAGAACGGAGGAATGCTCTATGCCGTTGGTCAGGGTGCTCTTGGCATTGAGATCCGGAAGGATGACAAGGTTGTGCACGATATGCTGAAAAACATCGGCAACGACCAGACCACTTTTGCTTGCTTGGCGGAGCGTAGCCTCCTGCGTACTCTCGAGGGTGGCTGCAGTGCGCCATTGGGTGTTGAATCGGAGTGGGTTGAGGGCAAGTTGAGAATGCGTTCCATTGTTGTCAGCGTGGATGGCAAGGAAAGCGCCGAGGTTGAAGTTGATGGGGCTGTTGACTCGCCTGAATCTGCTGAAGCGTTTGGTGTTACTGTGGCAAAGGCATTGGTGGAGAAGGGCGCGGACAAGATCCTTGAAGAGATCCAGCGGAATAAGCAGGCTGCTTAGAGAGGTGTCTGATTAAACATGTTGTGGTGGAGATGCTGGTCTTCTCCTTCACGGGAAGATATGTATGGACGTAGTTAGATGGATACCCCACAAAAAACCTCTCTTACATTTAACTAGAGGCAATATCAATTCACTATCTGTCAAAAAGAATGCACTTCTGATTCACATACTGTTCATGCATGTGTCCACCTTCTAGGTACCGAAACATGATGAATTGGTCTTCTATGGGATTGTGATGAAAAACGGCAATAAAAGGAAGAACTATGGCATCGCATTTAAGTGGTATCTAGATTAGATATATGTCGGTTTAGTAGACACATCAGCCCCTATTCAGTGTATTTCCAGAGCCTCTTGGGTTGGCTTCTTTAAACTCATCCCATTCCCGGGCTTTCATTGTTTCTTCGTCGGCCCTGTCCAGGTCGTCTTCATCAACCTCCTCCTTTATACCTGACTTCTCTCCTCCGCCCTCAATAATGTTACCCCTTCTCCTCTCCTCTTCAAGATACTCATCAATCGTCATGGTGGGTAAATTATGCCCGGATCGGAAAACGCCTTGCTGCAGCTGCGTCCTGCGGTCGAGCAACGTGAAAGGCTGCATCGGCCTGCCCTCCTTGCTTAGGATGGGGCCGAACTTCCCGCCTCTGAGGAGCTGCGCAAGCGGGGGATCCAGCCGCTCGGAGTAATCTGAATTGCTTGTTCCGTTCCGCTGACGTGGGTCATCCTGCAGGGACCGAGAGGGATCCGGGGCCGCGTTGCGGAAGTTCGCTAACATGGTCAATTCTTGTGACAGGAGATCCACAGACTGGAATGACTGGTGAATGTAGAGGTCGATCTCCGCGAGATAGAGTTTCCGTACATCCTCGTCATCACTTTGCAGCCGGCTTTGATTGTTCGCGAAATACTTGAGGCTGTGTAAGTGAATTGCCAGGAGGGTTGTAGTTGGGTCTATCCCACCTCGAGTTTCTGCTTGAGCTCCTTTTCCTCCTTGAATCGGTTTATCTTCACCTCTCGTCGGGTCGCGGCATCGTTGGTCGTGGTCAGGGAGAAAGTAGCGGGATTAGCTGCATAGCGTTCGTAAAGCTTCTTGTCCTTTTCGTTAAGGACATCGTAATCGTCCAGTCGGGCGAGGAAGCGTTCGTACTGCCCAAGCGCACGGCGGAGGAGAGCTTCGCGGTCTGAGCTGTAGGATCTTTGGAGAAGGTCTGCAAGATGATACTCCACTGTAAGATACCTGGGCAGAAGAGAAAGGATGTCAGATTAGTCTAAATGTCGTGTGTTGAAGCTCTTATAATCATACTGTATGTCTGTCGTGGAAATATCCTCTAAAGGTTCATTCGAACTGAACAAGGACAGCAAGCCCACTAGCCGCTGGCATTCCTCAAGCTTGGCTATTGTTGCGTTGACATCACTGCGGTAGGCGTCCGTGTTGCTGTCGGGGCGGGCTTCCAATGCCGTTTTCTCGGCTTTCGCGTCGGCAAAGAGGGATCGTAGATTCTGCGGCGGTTCCATTGCGAGGATTTACGCAAATATGATGAGTTTGTGGTTAGATTAAAGCTTCGCTGGAGAATGACGGCCGATCGACCGGGCGGCAGAAATAATCCTGGGCCCGCCCCGCGGCACTATCTGTCTAGACCGTGCCCCGCGATCGTCTGAGCTTGGTGAGATGCGGAGAACAACTTTTGTATAGATCGTGTACAAATTGTGGTTATTCCTTCAACATTCTAGGCTAATATTTGCATGACGCATAGTCTCGTATAATGGAGATGGCTTTGATCAACTTGGAATTGTTACTAGGATATATTTTCTAAATCCCTTACTAAGAATTTCTATAATCGCGTGATTGCTTCAGTATATATTTTCTGGCTCAGATTCCGTCAAATCTTTCGACTCGATGTTTCGAGCGATTCATGCAAGAAAACAAATACAGAACCAAAGAACGACAGATGAGTACAATAGCTAATGGAGTAGGTTGTGATGCTAATGTCCTCTTGGATTTGAATCACCATGGTAGGTTCCTTCCCCATGCAGGGATCTCCCGCAGATGAAGTCCTTCAATATACAGGGGAATCTCCGATCCTCCTAGTCAAGTAAGCTGGGAATCGGACTACACAGAGGGAATCAGGTGTGTAGCTGGCCGGTAGCTGTCACACAGACTAGTCATTGATTAGCTGGCCAAGTCTTGGGTTGTCTCAAACTATATATCGGCGTTTGTCTCTCTGTTTGTTATGCTCGCTGGTGACTTCTTCCGGTGCATTAGTCACTTTTTCTTCGTTGTTTCACTCCCACGGTCATACCCATATCTTTGCCTTTCTCTCATTTACCATCCTCATAATCCGAAGATTTTTCTACGCAGTCATTGATCGAGATTCTGCGTCCCAAGTACTGCAAATAAGCACCAAAATGGGATCAACTGACCCCATCGATACATCCAATATACGCTTAACCCTCCAGGTTCAAGCCACAAAGCCCTCCATTGGGTACGCCGTAGCTTCTGCTATGGACACTTTCGATAAAGATGACAGCTCATCGGACGAATCTAACGATGACGAGCAGGAAGGCTCTAACCAGTCTGGCGTTAACCAACAACGAAGAATACAGAATGCAAAGTTTGAAGCTCTGTTAGTACCTGTAGCTATTAAATTCCTGGTCGACAATGCTAACTTCTATCCAGTCTCGCTCAGCGTGCCGATACAGGCCCCACCAATAATACCCGAATTGTTCCCAGTGACCTGCCTGATGCTCAGCTTTCTACTGCCCATCTAGTAGCAAAACAGGACCTCGGGAGTGGTACACTGGATCCGAGAGAATACCAGGTGGAGCTTTTTGAGAGAGCCAAAATGCAGAATACGATCGCAGTGCTCGATACCGGTATTTGTGTTTCCAAGGGTGGCCACTCAAAGGCATATGAGCTAATGTGTCCGTAGGATCTGGAAAGACTCTGATAGCGGTGCTTCTCCTCAAGCATATAATCCAGAAGGAGCTGAACGACCGTGCCGAGGGAAAGCCACACCGGATCTCATTCTTTCTCGTACGTTCTCAAATTTCTATTCAACGGGAAAATGTTAACTATGAGTAGGTGGACAGCGTTACACTCGCATATCAACAGGCCGCCGTCTTGCGCAATAACCTGGATCAGAATGTTGCACACTTCTTTGGGGCCATGGGAACCGACCTGTGGAATAAGCATGTATGGGATGAGCATTTCCAAAAGAACATGGTGATCGTCTGTACGGCGGAGATCTTGAATCAATGTCTGCTCAATTCCTACATCAAAATGAGCCAGATAAACCTTATGATCTTCGATGAAGCTCATCATACTAAGAAGGACCATCCATATGCACGGTTTGTAGTTTCAGCTATAAGAAGGTACAAGAAGCTAATTGTTTTCTAGCATCATTCGAGATTCCTATCTTGAAGTATCCCCTTCAAGCCGCCCAAGAATCTTTGGCATGACAGCATCACCGATCGACACAAAAGGGGACATCCTGGAGGAAGCTACGTATGTTGACAGAGTTCGGTCTTCACAAGAATTGCTAACATGTTCTAGGAGGCTTGAGGCGTTGCTCGATAGCACCATTGCTACAACGTCAAACTTGACATGTCTACGGCAGGTGGTCAGACGCCCTGTAGAGAAAACATGGACGTTCAACAGACTGGTTAAACCGTTCACGACCAAGCTGTACAAGATCCTTGAAGATCGGTTTGGAGACATGGCGTGCCTGGAGGCCATTTTCAGATTTGCCTGGCAAGCCAGTTCTGAGTTAGGCCCATGGTGCTCAGATCGAGCATGGGCTCGTGCCTTGGCAGACGATGTATTGCCAAAGCTCGAGGGAAATGTCAGCAAGGCCATGAATTCAGAGGCAGCAACCCAAGTACCCGAAGGGGCGTACAAAGAAATCTTGCGAATTAAAGAGGCAAGCGAGATCATCAAAGGTCACTCATTCACCAGCCCTGATTCTCCAGGACAACTGAGCTCTAAAGTACAACTTCTCCGCGAGGAGCTGGGTCGGTACTTCGGACGATCAACAGAGACAAAGTGTATTGTCTTTACGCAGAAGCGCTACACGGCTTTGATTCTATCCGAGCTTTTCGAGACTTTGAATATCCCTTTCCTTCGGCCTGGCGTGCTTATTGGTGTACGGTCTGGTGACCTTTCGGGGATGAACATAACGTTTCGTCAGCAATTTCTGGCTTTGGTAAAATTCAGGAACGGTGAAATAAATTGCCTGGTAAGTGCTCAGAGACCATTTGGAAGTACAGCTACTCACTAAGCTAAGTTTGCTACCTCTGTGGCTGAAGAGGGCCTTGATATACCAGACTGTAACCTGGTGATTAGGTATGTTGGTAGTGCTGCTGATGTCTGCAAGCATGCTTGAGCTGACAAAGAAGATTTGATCTATACAACACCCTGATTCAGTATGTCCAAAGTCGTGGGCGTGCGAGACATTTCAATTCGACGGTAAGTACGGAGCGCTATAGTGAAAAGGAAGATATTTATGTTGAGAATCTAGTATGCGAGTATGATTGAGAAGAACAACTCGGAGCATGACGAGAGGTTATGCGAAGTTCGAGATGCCGAAGTAAGTTCACCTTGGAGGCCAGATCATACTCAGTCTGACCAACTAGAAAATGATGCAACGCTTCTGCAGGACTCTCCCACAGGATAGGTTGCTGCACGGAAATGACCACGACTTGGAAGTAGTGTTGCAAAAAGAGGAAGGCAACAGATCTCTAATAATCAAAGCCACAGGAGCCAAGTTGACCTATCACTCGGCAACCGCCATACTTGCCCGCTATGCTAGCTCTTTGGTGTGTATAGATCTTGAATTATCGTGTGATACCATCTAACAAGCTGTCATCTCCAGCAATACGAAAAGGAATCTTCAGCGCAAGTCACCTACGTGGTACTTCCTTCCAACAATGCGTTTGTCTGCGAGGTTATCTTGCCCGAAAAATCGCCTATTCGAGGTCTTACTGGAGGCCCAGCAATGAGAAAGTCCATTGCAAAACGGTCTGCGGCATTTGATACATGTATTTTGCTTCGGAAGAACAAATTGCTTGATGATTATTTCAGCTCGGTCTATCATCGTCGCCTACCAGCTATGCGAAACGCGAAACTTGCAATAAACTCCAAGCGCACAAGTCAGTATGACATGATCTCAAAGCCGTCAATATGGAGCCAGAACCGAGGCTTGCCTCCAAAAGAGCTCTATGGAACCGTTATCAAATTTCTGCCTTCCAAAACGCTACTACATGATCCAAGGAGCTTGCTATTACTCACACGAGAGAGGCTACCAGAATTACCGAAATTCCCAATCTTCCTCGATGATGACATAGAGACTACAGTCCTTACTACACCTTTGGCGGAAATGCTTATACTATCGGCCGAAGAGGTGGATTGCTTGACAACATTTATTCTTCGGGTTTTCCGCGACGTATTTCACAAGACCTACGACAAAGAACCCGAGAAGATGGCATACTGGTTGGCACCAGCCAAGGCACAAAGCTCGTATAATCCCGCGAAAGACCCAAGGCAGCTAATAGACTGGAGGAGCCTTTTATTTGTACGAGATAACGACGGTATACCTTTCTCTAAGACTGCGACCCCCGAGAGCATGGTTGACCGCTTTGTATTCGATGCCTGGGATGGAAGATGTCGGTATTTCACGGTGGCAGTTGAGAATGCACTGCGTCCCTCAAGCCCGCCACCTTCTTTCGTGCCCCGGCGCAGGCATATGAACGATATCATGAATTATTGTCTCAGCCTCTCCAAGAACTCTAGGGCTAAGTTCTTGGCGGGTTGTACCTGGGATCAGCCTGTCTTTCGAGCTGAACTGGTACGCCTACGCAGAAACCTTCTCGACAAGATGTCAGACGCTGAAAGAGATGTTGAAACGAAATGCTTCATTTGTGTGGAGCCCTTGAAAGTATCTGCCGTAAGTTCTGGGTCTTCTACACGATGTAGCCCGGTTGCTAATAAACAGCGAAGATTCCTGCATCGACGGCCTTTTCTTGTCTTGCCTTTCCAGCAATTATCTCCAGAGTAGATGCCTACCTTATCTCTCTGCAAGCCTGTGAGGAGCTGCATCTAGCCGTCCACCCGGACCTTGCTCTAGAAGCATTCACAAAAGACTCTGACAATACAGAAGAACACCGGGCCCAACAAATTCACATCCAGCGAGGAATGGGGAAGAATTACGAGCGTCTGGAATTTCTGGGTGATTGCTTCCTAAAGATGGCTACATCAATTTCTTTGTTTACACAAAACCCAGACGATGACGAGTTCGACTATCATGTGAATCGGATGTGCCTCATCTGCAACAAGAACCTCTTCAACACAGCTGTGAAAAGAGAGCTTTACAAATTCATTCGCAGTCGAGGGTTTTCGAGGTATGGTCTTCCTACAGCTCTTTGCGAGAAACATACAGCTAATAGATACATTGCAAGACATACTTGGTATCCAGATGGTCTAAGCCTATTACAGGGCAAGGATCATAGCAAAAAGGTGTCTACGGAGGCCAAGCATGCTCTTGCGGAGAAAACAATTGCGGATGTTTGCGAAGCTTTGATAGGGGCATCTCTGCTTTCTGGTGGCCCTGACCATCGTTTCGACATGGCCGTCAAAGCAGTGACTGCTTTGGTAGACAGCTCGAGCCACAAGGCCTCATGCTGGAAAGAGTATATATCCCTGTATTCGATGCCAAAGTACCAGAGTCAGGCACCAGATGGATCTGAGCTTGACCTTTGTAGGAGGGTCGAAGAGAAGCTGAGTTACCACTTCAAATATCCGAGGCTCCTGGGATCGGCTTTCACTCATCCTTCATATCCGTCCGCATGGGCCAAAACGCCTTGCTACCAGCGCCTGGAATTCCTCGGAGACTCATTGCTCGACATGGTCTGTGTAGAAGATCTGTTCTATAGATTTCCGGACCGAGACCCGCAATGGCTCACGGAACACAAGGTAAGTCCCTGAACGGACTCAATTGGTATCGAGCATCCATTAATTGTGATGTTGTAGATGGCTATGGTTTCAAACAAATTCCTTGGTGCTTTGGCTGTGAAGCTAGGGCTCCACAGGCATCTGAAATACTTTAGCGGCCCATTGCAATCACAAATCACTCACTACGCCGAGGAGATTCAGACTGCGGAGGCTGAGGGTGAGGGCGCGGTAGACTATTGGACTGTGACAAAAGACCCCCCTAAGGTAGTGGGACCCCCTGATCTTGTAGAGTCTCGCTAATGTGAGCAACCAGTGCTTACCTGACATGGTTGAAGCGTATCTCGGAGCGATCTTTGTCGACTCGAACTTCAACTTCGAGGTGGTTGAGAAGTTCTTTAAGGACCACATCAAACCATTTTTCGAGGACATGGCGATCTATGACAGTTTCGCGAATAAACATCCAACGGTAAGGTTCACGCGATCATTAAGACCTCGAGTAAATTACTGAACCGAACTAGACTTTCCTGCACAACAGATTGACGAATGATTATGGCTGCATGAACTATTGTCTGAAAGCCGGTGAGATGCCTGCCATCGATGGGGCTCCAGCTGGAGTCTTAGCTGCTGTGATTGTGCATGATGCTGTCATTGCTGAAGGTACGGCATCATCTGGCCGCTATGCAAAAGTCAAGGCCAGTGAAAAAGCCTTGGTAGTACTGGAAGACATTACGCCAACGGAGTTTCGGAAGCAATACCACTGTGACTGTCGAGAGTCGAACGGTGCCGCCATCCCCGATATTGGAACAGCGATTTGAGGTGACCAAAGCTGGAGCTGGCTGGCATATGCGGTGAAGCAGCCCGTGCCATGGACCGACTATTGATGAATTAATGCAAGGTGCACGTGGACCTGGGGGTACTTTATCCTAGCATGTAGATAGAGCACCTCAAACCATCCGATGATACTCTGGAGACCTGCACTTATCCTGTGGTGTAATTAAGTCGTAGATCGATGCCCAAGTTGTTGTCTGGCTTCGGAGATAAGGCTGCGAGGGCTGCCAGGGCTGGCAGGATGCTGGCTTCGATCATCCCAGCCCCATGCTGGGGGATCGATCCATGGGCAGCGACCCGCCAGGCGCTGGGCCGGCCGCACTAGCCCCTTGCGGTCTAGCGGAAGTTCCCCTGAACTGTACCGGCTGGCCATCTGCAGCATCCGCAACTGAAAACACGCCCGCCGCGTCCCAACTGACAACTACTTATCTAACGGCACTGGTCGAACAGGCGACTACTGGAGTTTATTATGAACCCCTAACTGCCTTCATTTTATCTACCCCACACCTCTCTTCTCCCGTTCTCTTCGTTCCTTCTCCCGTCCGTTGGAGCCCCGTTTTACCCTCCCCGTCCGCCGCCGACACCGCGCCCGTTTCCCGTCAACATACTAACAAGCATTCTTCCCGCTACCCCCCCCTGATATCCTCCGGTCGGCCTCTATGAGTTTCGCGGGTCGTCTATCATAGAGTTACAACTATGGAGGTTGCCAACGCAGAGGTGTCAAACGGCGTCCCTGCGCCAGTGCAGACACCTTTGGTCGATTCACATGCAGTGATAGATTATCTGAGCGACGTGCTGCGGGTGACTTTGGGAGCTCTGAGAAGCGAGCTTGAAAGCACTGGCAGTCTACTTTCCCCAGCAAAGTACAACGAGACCGTGCAGCGGTGTACGCGATTCGCATCAGAGTCGCAAGTCGCTCTTTATGTGCAGCAGGATATTGTGGCCTCGGAGGAAGCAAATGGAACTGAGCCAACTGAAGGTACGCCGTGCACATCTGCTTCTGACTGCCGCGTGCTAAACAAGAGCTTTCCCTAGAACTATCCTCGCAATATGTCTATAACCTCTCCGCCGAAATTTCGTTTTCCTCAACCACCGTTGCGACGGTTGCTTTCATCAAACGTCCGGCCGCCATCGACCCGTCGCTCCCTCTGCTGTCGCAAATCACAGTCACGAACTTCCCTGGCCCGGCATCTCCCAGCAATGCTCAGTCCCAACAGGGTGCTTCCCACTTGCCGTACGAGGTCTTGCACTTGCTAGTACACCATGGACTGAACCCCTACTTCGAAGCCAACACCCGTAGCCAAGAAGCAGCAAGCGGCTCAAAGCCTAGGACGGACACGGAGGCAAAGACCGGCGTGTCTAGTACGAAGAAGAAATTCGCGGAACTGGAACTCGGTCTCCGGCACTTGCTGCAGAATGTCGAAATCCCGGCCTTGAACCTGCCACTTCACGAAGTGGTCCAGGCTGCCCTAGTCGATGCGGAAAAGCGAGGAATCAAACCTTCCGTGGAACTGATCGATCCCGCTATCCTGGAGAATAGCACGTTCGTCAACAGCATTCAGAATACCGTGAATGCCTGGATCCGCTCCATCCAAACCATTACCAAGATGTCTCGCGACGCCGACAGTGATTCGGCAGCCCAAGAAATCAACTTCTGGCTGTCAATGGAGACCGCCCTGGAGGGGATTGAGAATCAGTTGCGGGGTGACGGAGTTCAACTGACAATGGACATTCTCCGCCACGCGAAGCGTTATCAGGCCACCTTGAGTTTCGTAGCTGACACAGGATTGCGTGAGGCTACTGATCTAGTCCAAAAGTACAATCAGCTTATGCGGGACTTCCCCCTCGATGAACTCCTCTCGGCAACTACCCTACAGAAGGTGCAAGAGTCTCTCAACCTGATTTTCAATCATCTGAATAAGAAGTTGAAGATCTGTCCCTATCCGATCAAGCGTGCTCTTGCTCTTGTGGAGGCCATCTCTGGGGATCTTGACAAACGGATCCACTCCTTGCTCCACGGCCGGACAATATTGCATCTCGACTACCGTGAGTTTCGCTCTCTCATGAAAACTGCTGGCGCAATCTGGCGGACATGGGACGAAAATCTCAAGGAGTTCACCAACGTCGCTCGAGAGTCTACGAGACGTCGCAACGAGAAGTTTATCCCCATCAAGATCGCCGCGCGCCATGAAAAGACCCAGGAACGATTGAAATACATCAACACATTCCGCGTCAACCATGAGCAGCTTCAGAGAACAATTGTGAACGTCCTTGGCCCAAAGACTACGTCTGCGGGAGACACGGCTGCCGGAGCGGACGGTGCCGTTATTGTTGAGGAGATTGGGGATGTAGATGCCGTCGAGGAAGTCGCGCAGGCTTACGCTGCTCTGCGAAACGTGGATGTGCTTGATGTCTCTCCGGACGGAACTCAGCAGTGGATCAAGGAGGAAATCGCCTACAATGAACGTACTTCCCGCGTTGAGAATTCGATCATTGCTCGCCTCCGAGACCGTCTGGCTACGGCCAAAAATGCCAACGAGATGTTCCGTGTCTTTTCCAAGTTCAACGCTCTTCTCGTTCGCCCTAAGATCAGAGGTGCAATCGGCGAGTATCAAACTCAGCTTATTGAAAACGTTAAGCAGGATATTTCTTCGCTGCATGAGCGATTCAAGCAACAGTATGGCCACTCTGAGGCACATGCCATGGCGCAGTTGCGAGATCTACCCCCTGTATCAGGCGCCATCGTTTGGGCACGCCAGATTGAGCATCAGCTGGATGGGTACATGGGTAAGGTGGCAAATGTCCTCGGAGAGGACTGGGCTCTGCACTCCGAGGGCCAGAAGCTTCTGGCTGAAAGCAACTTGTTCCGCAAGAAGCTGGATACTCGACCGGTCTTCGAGTCATGGTTACACGACGTCCAAAGACGGCACATCACAATTTCTGGGCGACTCTTCAACATTGTTCGCAACAGAGCTGCGGGAAACACCCTCGAACTTACCGTCAACTTCGATGCGCAGATTATTGCTCTCTTCAAGGAAGTGAGGAACCTTATCTGGCTTAACTTCCAGGTCCCTCATGCAGTGAGTAATATCTCGAAAGAAGCGAAGCGCGTTTACCCCTACGCTATCAGTTTGATGGAGAGTGTCCGGACTCTGCTCCAAACTAATCGCTCCATTGCGACTATGACTGAGGTTGCGATTCTATTGAACGGATACATCAATGATGCTCAAAGTATGATCATCAAGGGTGTTCCCCTCCGGTGGGAATCGTTCGTCCACTCGTACGAGCTTCACGTCAAACAGTCAGCCTTGGCGAACGGAGCCATTGACGCGGCTATTCCAACTAGAGGTGAGAGCAAGCACGTTCAGTTCGTTCGTGAATTTGCTGGGTCAGCATCGGTACTCCAATCAAAAACGGCTGTTTTGGCTTCGATCAACGAGAGTATACAGAAGGCAACTCATGAACTTAAGACTTGTCCTTATGAGGCGGCCGCATTCAGGCAACGCCTTGATGCTATTCAAGTCGCTGTAGACAAGCTGAACCTGGAGAATTACGTCAACCTAGGTTATTGGGTGGCCAACTTGAACCAGAAGATTGAATCGATCTTGCGCGAACGGCTACATCGTGCTATTCGCGAATGGATCAACTCCTTCCAGGAAGCAAGCTACAGCCCACAAAGCCTTCAGACATCGAGTGGAGTGCAGACAGGTGAAACGGAGACTCTTTCGTACAACATTGAGTTCCCGGAGCTGGTCCACGAAATATCTATGCGCAACCAATTCCTCCATCTCGACCCACCCCTGCAGTATGCTCGCGCGAGCTGGTTCGCGCACTTCGATAACTGGCTTGGTGTTATTTGCAACCTTGAGAAGATTAAGTCGTCCCGTTATCAAATTTCGATTGATGTGCAGAAGGTCCAGCTGTCCGAAGCATGCTTTGCAACTCTCCCGCAGCATTGTACGAATGAGCTGGGTCAAGTTTACGACGCAGTGGAATCGAGATTGAACGAAGTATCCGCATACGTCGACAAATGGTTACAGTTCCAGTCCCTCTGGGATTTGCAGTCCGAACAAGTCTACGACATCCTGGGTGACGACCTGTCTCAGTGGCTTCAGCTACTCCAGGAGATTCGCAAGAGCCGTGCTACGTTCGACACATCAGAAGTGAGCAAATCTTTCGGTAATATCAAAATCGACTATGAGCAGGTTCAGACCCGAGTCAATGCCAAGTATGATCAGTGGCAACACGAAATCCTACTAAGATTCGGCTCTAAGCTCGGGGGTCGCATGAGAGAGGTTCACTCCGAGATCTCTGCCGCCCGACGTGACCTGGAAGGGCAGACCCTGGAGGCGGCCTCTACGGCGCACGCTGTTTCATTCATCACGATTGTTCAGCAATGTAAGCGCAAGGCGAAGGTTTGGGAACCGGAGGTCGACCTTTTCCGGCAAGGACAGGCTACACTCGCGCGCCAGCGCTATCAATTCCCCAGCGACTGGCTTCACGTAGAGAACGTCGATGGCGAATGGGCCGCGCTGAACGAATTGCTTGCACGGAAGAGCAAGATCGTTCAGGATCAAACAGAAGGTTTGCGTGCAAAGATCGCTGCGGAAGACAAAGTCATCAGCGACAAGATTACCGAAGTCATCAGCCAGTGGAACGAGGAAAAGCCTGTGTCCGGTACCATTCCGCCCGAAGAAGCATCTCGTACTTTGAGCTTGTTTCAGTCTCGCCTTGAATCTCTTCAGTCTGAGTACGAGATGGTCTCAAAGGCGAAAGAGGCCCTTGACCTCCCATCAGGTGTTGAATCTTCATTGCCGGCAATTCTGGAAGAGGTCCAAGATTTCATGTCTGTTTGGGCGGCCTTGTCGACAATTTGGAAGAGCCTTAACGACCTCAAGGACATGCTCTGGACAAGTGTGCAGCCGAGAAAGCTGCGTCAATCCATTGATGGCTTGATCAAGATGACCAAGGAAATGCCTAGTCGAATGCGCCAATATGCAGCGTTCGAGCACATTCAGAACGTTCTGCGACAGCTTCTTAAGGTCAACCCTTTGCTTTCTGATATGAAGTCCGAGGCCGTCCGTGAGAGGCATTGGCAAAAGATCTACAAGGCACTGAAGCCAGGCAAGCGATTCTCTCTCGTGTCGCTTACTCTCGGGGACGTGTGGGATCTCCAGCTTGCCGCAAGTGAGACTGTCATCCGAAACATCATCGCGCAAGCTCAAGGTGAGATGGCACTTGAAGAGTTCCTGAAGTCCGTTCGCGAGACATGGCAGAATTACTCCCTTGATCTTATCAACTACCAGAACAAATGCCGGCTCATTCGTGGCTTCGATGATTTGTTCGCTAAGTGCAGTGAGAACCTGAACTCCCTTCAGGCGATGAAGCATTCTCCGTACTACAAAGAGTTCGAGGAAGAAGCTTCCTCCTGGGAGGACAAGCTAAACCGAGTGCATGTTCTCTTCGATGTTTGGATTGACGTTCAGAGACAGTGGGTTTATCTTGAAGGTGTCTTCACTGGCAATGCGGACATCAAGCACCTTCTTCCCCTCGAATCCAGTCGCTTCCAGAACATCAACTCGGAGTTCTTTGCTGTGATGAAGAAAGTGTACAAGTCTCCATTTGTGCTGGACGTGCTAGCCATAAACGGCGTGCAGAAATCATTGGAGAGACTGGCCGAGCTGCTGAACAAGATCCAGAAGGCACTGGGCGAATATCTTGAGCGTGAACGTGTGTCTTTCCCTCGCTTCTACTTTGTTGGTGACGAGGACCTTCTTGAGATCATCGGTAACTCCAACGATATTGTTCGTGTGGCGAAGCATTTCAAGAAGATGTTTGCCGGTCTGTCAGGTGTTCTCATGGACGACGACAACAACATCGTTGGCTTCACTTCAAAGGAAGGCGAGGAAGTCCGCTTGAAGAAGGAAGTCAACCTAGTCAAAACTCCCAGGATCAATGATTGGCTCACGGCTATTGAGACCAACATGAAATTGACGCTGGCTGAGCTCCTTGCCGAAGCTGTGGAACAGTTCGAGCCGCTTTACAACGCTGCTGAAGTTGATCAAACTGCGTTCAACGATTTCCTTGCCAATTACCCCGCGCAAATCGTTGTACTTGCCAGTCAAGTGGTATGGACCAGTGCCGTCCAGAGAAGCTTGGAAGATGGTGGCGGCACTCTTTCGTCGTTGTTTGATGCCCAAGTCCGTATCTTGGAGCTGCTCGCTGCCACAGTCCTCGGTGAGTTGGACGCGATCAGTCGGAAGAAGTGTGAGCATATGATCACCGAATTTGTCCATCAGCGCGATGTGATTTCCAAACTTGTCGCGACGAACGCAACTACCCCCATGCATTACCTTTGGCTCCTCCAGATGCGCTATGTTTACCACGCCGAAGGGGATTTCCTCCAAAGGCTGTATGTCCATATGGCTAACGCGAAGTTGAACTACGGGTTCGAGTACCTGGGAGTTCCGGAACGTCTCGTCCGCACACCTCTGACCGATCGTTGCTTTTTGACACTTACTCAAGCTCTGTGCCAGAGATTGGGTGGTTCTCCTTACGGACCGGCTGGTACTGGTAAGACCGAATCGGTTAAAGCGCTCGGTCTTCAACTTGGACGTTTCACTCTCGTCTTCTGCTGTGATGACACCTTCGACTTCCAGGCTATGGGCCGAATCTTCCTTGGTATCTGCCAAGTCGGTGCATGGGGTTGTTTCGACGAGTTTAACCGTCTGGAGGAGAGAATCTTGTCTGCTGTTTCCCAGCAGATTCAGAATATTCAGATCGGTCTTAAGAACGGCGAGACTGATGAAAAGGCACAGATTGAATTGGTTGGCAGACGACTATCTGTGAACAAGAACACTGGAATTTTCATCACTATGAACCCTGGTTATGCCGGACGTTCCAATCTCCCAGACAACCTGAAGAAACTGTTCAGGAGCGTCGCCATGTCCAAGCCCGACAAGGAATTGATCACAGAGGTCATGCTCTTCTCGCAGGGTTTCAAGCAAGCTAAGCGCTTATCGAAACAAACTGTACCTTTCTTTGATCATTGTTCTACCCAGCTGTCGAAGCAGGCACATTACGATTTCGGACTTCGTGCTCTCAAGAGTGTCCTGGTCAGCTCAGGAGGACTCAAGCGTACTCGAATTGCCAATGCAGAGGAGGATCTAGGTCCCGATGAGATCATTGAGCCTCAGATCATTGTTCAGAGTCTTCGGGAAACAATTGCTCCTAAGTTGGTCCGAGAGGATGTTGACAAGATGCTGGAGATCCAGATGCAAGATTTCGCCGGCGTGGAGTACGTACCAGCAAACTACGAAAAGCTTACTGCAGCAATCCGGGAGATCGCCAAAGAGCAACATTTCGTCGACAGCGAGATGTGGATTACCAAGGCTTTGCAGCTTTACCAGATCCAGAGCATCCATCATGGTGTTATGATGGTAGGAAAATCCGGCTCCGGAAAATCCGCTGCATGGAAAATTCTCTTCCAGGCCCTTCAACGCACCGAGGGCGTCGAAAGCGTTTCCCACATCATTGATTCAAAGGTCATGTCCAAGGAAGCCCTCTATGGTAGTCTGGACCCGACTACCAGAGAATGGACCGACGGGCTGTTCACCGGTATTTTGAGAAAGATCGTGGACAACCTTCGAGGTGAAGATACCAAGCGGCACTGGATTGTGTTTGATGGCGATGTTGACCCAGAATGGGTTGAAAACTTGAACAGTGTTCTTGATGATAACAAGCTCTTGACGCTCCCCAATGGTGAACGTCTCAACCTGCCACCAAATGTTCGAATTATGTTCGAAGTCGAGACCCTGAAGTACGCCACTCTGGCGACGGTCAGTCGTTGCGGTATGGTCTGGTTCAACGATGATACCGTCACGCCTTCAATGATGATTTCCAACTACGTGGAGTCGCTCAGAACGCGGACATTTGAGGATCTGGATGACGACAGTGCACCTGCAGGCCAAGCTGCTATCAAGACCCAGGATGCCCAGGATATGCTGGCCACCATCCTCAAGCATCTGTTGCAGACAGAAGATCTTGTTTTGCAGTCACTCGAGGAAGCCCGGAAGTACAACCATATCATGGAGTACACCTTTATACGCGCCCTCAATACTTTGTTCAGTCTTCTGAACAAAGCCTGCCGCAACATCCTGGAGTACAACATTCAGCATGTCGACTTTCCCCTTGACTATGAGCAAATAGAGTCTTACATCTCCAAGAAGCTTCTTCTTGCGCTTGTCTGGTCCTTCACCGGTGATTGTCCCTTGGTAGATCGCCAATCTTTTGGACAATTTGTGTCTGCTTTAACGACAACCGATTTGCCACCGGATGGTGCAGCATCCATCATCGACTTCGATGTTGTTCTGCCCAAGTGCGAATGGACGAGCTGGCAGTCCCAAGTTCCCTCTATCGAGATCAACACGCACTCCATCACGCAGACCGATGTGGTTATCCCCACTGTGGACACTGTTCGCCATGAAGACGTTCTCTACTCCTGGCTCGCAGAACACAAGCCACTCCTGCTCTGTGGTCCTCCGGGTTCCGGTAAAACCATGACATTATTTGCTGCCCTCCGGAAGCTTCCCAACATGGAGGTTGTCGGTCTGAACTTCTCCAGTGCCACCACTCCTGACCTCTTGGTCAAGACTTTCGAGCAGTACTGTGAGTACAAGAAGACTCTGAATGGTGTTGTGATGTCCCCCAACCAAATCGGTCGCTGGCTGGTTATCTTCTGCGATGAAATCAACCTTCCGGCTCCTGACCGTTACGGAACTCAACGGGCGATTTCATTCCTGCGTCAGCTTGTTGAGCAGAACGGGTTCTGGAGAACATCGGACAAGACGTGGGTTACGTTGGACCGCATCCAGTTCGTCGGTGCTTGCAACCCTCCCACCGATGCTGGCCGTACGGCGATGGCAGAAAGATTCTTGCGCCATGCTCCTTTGATCATGGTCGACTATCCAGGAGAGGTTTCGCTCAACCAAATTTACGGAACGTTCAACTCTGCCATTCTCAAGATTCTTCCTTTGTTGCGCGGGTACTCCGAGTCTCTCACAAAGGCCATGGTTCAATTCTACCTGGAGTCTCAAGCTAGGTTCACGCCGAAGATCCAGCCTCATTATGTGTACTCACCCCGTGAGCTTACAAGATGGGTCCGTGGTGTGTATGAGGCTATCAAACCCCTCGAAACTCTATCGGTTGAGGGATTGGTTCGGATCTGGGCGCATGAAGCTCTGCGCCTCTTCCAGGATCGGCTTGTTACCGAAGAAGAGAGGAGCTGGACGGCAGATGCTGTTCGGCGCATTGCACTTGACAACTTCCCTACAATTGATGACGAGCAGGCTCTCAAGGGCCCGATCTTGTTCTCCAACTGGCTGTCCAAGAACTACGTGCCCGTTGAACAAGAGAGGCTGCGTGATTTCGTTAAAGCACGTCTCAAGACCTTCTGCGATGAAGAAGTCGATGTTCCCCTCGTTCTATTCAACGATGTCCTGGAACATGCCCTTCGCATCGATCGTGTCTTCCGCCAGCCTCAGGGTCATCTCATTCTCATTGGAGTCAGTGGAAGTGGTAAAACGACACTGTCACGATTTGTTGCTTGGATGAATGGTTTGAAGGTGTTCCAGATCAAGGTGCATGGGAAGTATTCGTCAGAAGACTTCGACGACGATCTGAGAACTGTCCTTCGTCGCGCAGGGTGCAGGGGTGAGAAGATCTGTTTCATCATGGACGAATCGAACGTACTCGACTCTGGTTTCCTCGAACGCATGAACACCCTGCTTGCGAATGCAGAGGTTCCTGGATTGTTCGAAGGAGACGAATTCTCATCTTTGATGACGGCCTGTAAGGAGGGAGCCCAGCGCCAAGGTCTTCTGCTCGATACTCAGGAGGAACTCTACAAGTGGTTCACGTCACAGATTGTCAAGAACTTACACGTCGTGTTCACGATGAATCCTCCTGAAGAAGGGCTTTCCTCGAAGGCCGCAACAAGTCCTGCCCTGTTCAACAGATGCGTGCTCAACTGGATGGGCGATTGGTCAGACCAGGCCCTCTTCCAAGTCGGCTCCGAACTCACGCAATCGGTCGACCTTGACAAGCCAAACTTTGTTGCTCCTGACAGTATTCCAGTCGCATACCGGGAATTGAGCCTGCCGGCCTCCCATAGGGACACCGTTATCAATGCCATGGTGTTTATCCATTACTCGCTGCAACGGTTCAACCAGCGTTTGCAGAAGCAGCAAGGCAGGACGACTTTCCTCACGCCACGCCACTACCTGGATTTCGTCGCCCAATACGTGAAGCTCTTCAATGAAAAGCGCGAAGACCTAGAGGAACAACAGAGACACTTGAACGTCGGTCTTGAAAAGCTCAGAGATACTGTCGATAAGGTCAGCGATCTCCGGGCCAGTCTGGCCCAAAAGAAGACGCAGCTGGAGAAGAAGGATACAGAAGCAAATGAGAAGTTGCAGCGAATGGTTGCAGATCAACGAGAGGCGGAACAACGTAAAGCAGTCTCCCTTGAAGTTCAGGCTGCCTTGGAAAAGCAGGAGAAGGAAGTGGCTCTCCGCAAGGAAGTTGTGCTTCACGACCTCGCTCGAGCTGAGCCTGCCGTTGTTGAGGCCCAGAAGAGTGTTAGCAACATCAAGCGTCAGCACCTTACTGAAGTCCGTTCCATGGGCAATCCTCCTGCTAGCGTTCGGCTGGCGCTGGAAGCCGTTTGTACTCTGCTTGGTCACAAGGTCGACAGCTGGAAGACCATTCAAGGTATTGTGCGAAGGGATGACTTCATTGCCAGCATTGTCAATTACGACAATGAGGGGCAGATGACCAGGAATCACAGGTTGAAGATGCGCAACGAATTCCTTTCCAAGGAAGACTTCACCTATGAGAGAGTGAACCGGGCTAGTAAGGCCTGTGGTCCGTTGGTGCAATGGGTGGAAGCTCAGGTCAACTACTCGGAGATTTTGGACCGCGTTGGTCCTCTGCGTGAGGAGGTTACTCAGCTCGAGGAACAAGCCCTGCAAACGAAGGCCGAGGCCCAGGCCATTGACAACACCATCAAGGATCTCGAAAGCAGTATCGCCACATACAAGGCCGAATACGCTGCGCTTATTAGCGAAACCCAGGCGATCAAGACGGAGATGTCCAGAGTACAGTTCAAGGTTGACAGGAGTGTACGCTTGCTCGATAGTCTGTCCTCGGAACGTACTCGTTGGGAAGAGGGAAGCAGGTCCTTCGAGACGCAAATCAGTACCCTTGTTGGTGACGTTCTCATAGCAGCAGCTTTCCTTGCCTATGCTGGTTTCTATGACCAACAGTTCCGAAAGGCCATGATTGATGAATGGGTCGTCCATCTAACGCAGGCGGGCATCAACTTCAAGCCGCACAACCCGATCACTGAGTATTTGTCCAACGCCGATGAACGCTTGACTTGGCAAGATCACTCACTCCCAGTTGACGACCTCTGCACTGAAAACGCCATCGTCCTGAAGCGCTACAACAGATACCCTCTGATCATCGACCCGTCGGGCCGTGTCACCGAGTTCTTGGAGAAGGAAAGCACCGACAGGAAGCTCACTGTTACTAGCTTCTTGGACGATTCGTTTGTGAAGCAGCTTGAGAGTGCTCTGCGTTTCGGAAACCCTATCCTTATCCAAGACGCTGAGCACCTGGATCCCATTCTTAACCACGTCCTTAACAAAGAGTACCAGAAGACTGGTGGTCGTGTCCTCATCCAGCTTGGAAAGCAGGAGATCGATTTCTCGCCATCTTTCAAACTCTTCCTCTCGACCAGAGATCCTTCTGCCACCTTCCCACCGGATGTGTGCAGTCGGACGACCTTTGTCAACTTCACTGTCACACAGAGCAGTTTGCAGACCCAGTCTCTCAATGAGGTCTTGAAGTTCGAGCGTCCTGATGTCGATGCACGCCGTACCGATCTAGTCAAGTTGCAGGGAGAGTTCAAGATCCACCTTCGTCAACTCGAGAAGCGACTTTTGCAGGCCCTGAACGAGTCGCGCGGTAATATTCTCGATGATGATAACGTCATCGAAACCCTCGAGACCCTGAAGAAGGAGGCAGCGGAAATTTCCAAGAAGATGGTCGAAACAGAGGGTGTCATGACGGAAGTGGAAAATATCACGCTCGAGTACAGCATCATTGCCCGCTCTTGCAGTGCAGTTTTTGCAGTCTTGGAGCAGCTTCACCACATCAACCACTTCTACCAGTTCTCTCTCCAGTTCTTTGTTGATATCTTCAACTCTGTTCTGTACCAGAACAAGCGCCTTGCTCAAGAAAAGGACCATGCTGCACGCGTTCAGATCATCCTTCGGGACCTGTTCGTGACTACTTACCAACGCACCTCGCTGGGACTGATCCAGAAGGACCGCATTACTCTGGCTATGCTCCTTGCTCAAGCTGCACCCTACCCCATGGACAAGAGAATCATCGATATGATTCTTGACGAGTCGATGGAGAGTGTGGACTTGTCAACCTCACCCGAGCTCAAGGAACAGGTGATGAACAAGATCTCGAATATGTCGCTCTTCAAATCAACTTTCCCAGCGGTAACTCCCGAACAATGGGAGCAATTCTTCAACGATGAGCTCGCAGAGAACTCTATTCCTGTCGTTTGGGAGGACACCACGGCGAGCATTGACAGGCTGTTGCGGTCATTGTTGCTTGTGAAGCTGTGCAGAATGGACAGATTCGTGCCAACTGCCGAGCGTTTCATCGAGGCCGTCTTTGGTAGAGAACTCTTCGAGGGAAGCACCGATTTGAATGACATCGTCAGTCAAGTCACAGCAACCACTCCGATCGCGCTCAGCTCCAGCCCTGGCTTCGATGCAAGCTACAAGGTCGACGCTCTTGTTGAGCGCATGAACGCAACCTGTGCAAACATCGCGATGGGTTCGAACGAAGGTCTCGAAAGTGCCGACAAAGCGATCAGCAATGCCGCCGCCGCCGGAACCTGGGTCCAGGTCAAGAACGTCCACCTGGCGCCATCATGGTTGCAAAGTCTGGAAAAGCGGCTGGAGTCTCTCAAACCCCACAAGGACTTCAGACTCTTCCTCTCGATGGAGTCTAGTCCCAAGATCCCAGTCAACCTCCTCCGTGCTTCTCGCGTCCTCATGTACGAGCAACCTGCCGGTGTGCGCGCTAACATGAAGGATTCCCTGTCCTCGCTGTCCACCAGGGCCTCCAAGGCACCGGTCGAGAAGGCTCGCGTCTATCTCCTACTCTGCTTCTTGCACGCGGTGGTGCAGGAACGACTGCGCTACGCCCCCAACCTCGGCTGGAAGGGATTCTGGGAGTTTAACGATAGTGATGTAAGTCCACATCCCGACCCAACCAACATCTCCACACCCCCACTAACATAACCCTCCAACAGTACGAATGCTCCGCCCACATCATCGACTACTGGGTCGATACCATCGCCCAAGGCCGATCCAACGTAGCCCCTCAAAAGCTACCCTGGGACATGATCCGCACCCTCGTGACCGAGACCTACGGCGGCAAAGTCGACGACAACGGCGACTTCCAGCAACTGGAAAGTCTCGTAACGAACCTCCTCACCCCCGCCGCTTTCGAAGACGAACACAAACTCGTGTCCGGCGTCGAAAACGACGACTGCCTCACTCTGCCTGGCGGAACCAACATCCGCGACTTCGTGGAATGGGTCAACAAGCTTCCTGAGCGTGAACCCCCGACCTACCTGGGTCTCCCTGCCAACGCGGAGAAACTTCTCCTGGTCGGTCACGGTAATAAGATGATCTCGGATCTGTCCAAGGTGACGACGTTGTTGGATGAGGGCGAGCAATTGATGATTGAAGCTTGATTTTGTTCCGTGTTGATGATTGATTGACTTGTATTATCTATTTATTCGTTCTTGCGTGTCTCAATAATATTGCGTTTGCTTTTAATGTTTTATCCCCTTCGATTGAAGATTGTTTTATTACTTGCTGGGTATTGTGATATAGACTACTACTACTGCTGCTGCTGCTGCTGCCACGATACATGTTAGATAGCCAGCCCCTGGCGAACGGACGGACGGATGGTTGCTGTGTTGTATTGTATTCTCTTGAGAACGTGTACTATTGTTGCTTTGCTTGTCGCTGTTTCTTCCATCCATTCATCCGTTGATCCATGCGGCGAAGTACATAGATTTACGTCTTCTAATACTTACCTTCGTTGTACCCTTTTCCTCTAGGATATTATCTTCGCGTCCAGTATCGGTAGATTAAGTAAAATAGATGTATTAGCGCCTCACTCCCACTGAAGACGCGCTCAGAGACAACGCTAAGATTCAACAAGAGAGAGGAAAATTACAAGGCGTAAAACAACATGATAGCCCGACCCAGGAAGTAAATAGTCCATCCGGCCATTCAATCCCCTGATTTCCATCCATAACTGTTGTAAACAAGACGAATAGGTGTGAACAAGAAACGAGTTCATTTCACTTCCAACTGGACAAAACACACCAGTGTGTGGACGGACAGATACTAGTACCAAGACTAATGCGCTAGCCGTGTGATATGGGGATGGTGGTCCTGGTCCTAAGTAGTGTCGAATCCGTAAATCGTTTGGCCCATCTGTTGGTCACATGTTAGTGTCTGACAGGTGGATGGCGCAGGATACAGGTACTAGGATGGACGAACTTACCCTGTTCAGCGCGAAGACCACCTTCATTAATGATAACATCAGCGTTGTGCCCTTGTTTCCCTGGAATGAGGATTTGATAAACCGAACTTACATCTCGAGTAGTGACCACCTAATAGGTAGCCAAAGATATTAGCTAATCCGCCTGCATGGAATAGCAACTCGAAGGACAGGATCCGAGTATCTGGTACATACCTTACGTTCATGGCGGGGAGTGGTAGAGGAATCCATAATATGGACGACCTGACGCAGGATCTGGTGCTTGTTAGTAGCAGGCGCTGATGTGGTGCTTGTCTCAGTGCTCACTTCAGTCAAGCGCGCTTTGATCGCCACGCGAACTTCGGCATAGACACCAGCGCTGATACGGATGACTCCACCGCGACGAGCAAGACGGCTGCATTTGACGATGAGGTGTTGGTTACTTCTGTTGAATCGGGCATGGAAGGATGCGCATACCGAATAGCCGGGCGAGCTGGGGGAAAGGGTGGTAAGTACAGAGACACGAGGGACGGGCTGGAAACTCACTGATTCCATCGATGTTGTTACGCAGGGCTTTGCTGTGGCGCGGGGCCGGTTAGTATTGTTGGAGGACGGGGAACGACCAGGGAGATTGTACCGGTATCGTTTTTTAGGCAGAAACCGGCGACCTCTCTTGTCAGTAACCAGTTTGGGATCCATTTCGGCGGAAACGGCGAGATCTTTTGACAGCCGGGAGATGAGCAGGATGCCAGAGAAGCCGGATATGAAAGGTATAGAAGCATCATGTCCCCACTGGCGCTTTTAGTGAATCGAAGGCCCAGGTGTTATCATGCCTGGCAGCAAGGCAAAGGCAATAGGTGGGGTTCAGCTTAGTGAAGTGAGGATAAAGACATGACTCAATAACATTAGATAGCCTCTAGGAGGTTTATGAACTATTAGGGATCAATATTTGCGTAGCATAGCGTGTAGATAACGTCAAGGAAAATATCGAGCAACACTCAAAACGCCTTCGATGAGGTCCGTAACCATGCCCTATGTACCTGGATCCGTCTATGAGATGAATGTGGCCTCGGAGAACATAGTTCCCTGCTCGGTGACCTCCGAGTCGCCAACCTTGATTTTCAGCGAGAGCTTCTCTTGAGGGCAGTACTACAAGCCAGTCAGTTTCATCCATCAAGACGAAATCAGGCGAACATACCTGGAAAATGTATGGTCGCGTGCCGGCCACACTGCCAGCAATGGCCTTGACGAAGCCGGGCACTTCCGCCATCACGTCAATCCGGTCCAAGCGGTTGCCAAGCGCCCCGTCAAGCTCCGCATGAACTTCCTGACCGTCCGCGGACTTGCCCTCCCAGACCCACTTGATGGACTTGGGCTCGGGCCAGTCACTTTCTTGATCTTGAGATGCCTCAGTGTGAGTCGCGGTGTTGTTGATACCCGCATAGATGATCTCTCCGTCTTTGACGATACCGCCGACGTTGACCTTGGTCGAACCGTACGAAGGTGGCGTGGTGTACTCCATCATGATGGCAGAGTAGGTGGGGGTCTGGAAGTTGACAAAGTTCCACCGCGCAGCTATTGAGGTGTCAGTGAGCAAACCTCGGAGGCATCGACATGCAGCCGAGACTTACCGGCGTGGTGAGGCTTCATGCCCTGAAGGGCATGGATGAACAACCCCCGGCCCTTGAGGTCATAAGTCTTCTCCTTGGTCGTGATAGTTCCCTCGACAGCGCATCGTGGCCAGAAGGCGTGGCTCATTGAACCCCATGGGTTCTCGGGATCCGTGCCGAAGTAAGAGGTGCCGTTCTTGCCGACCATGAAACCAGGGGAGGTGCGCTTGAAGGTCAGGTTCACCAAACTATCTTCGTTTACGGCGGACTTGATGGTGTAAGTGTCTCCATCTTGATTGAGTTGGACGGCCAGGTTGTCTGCACCAAACGAGTGCATGCTCTCATCGAACATGAAGTTGCTCAGGGGATCCGAGTGCCAGTTGTGGGGCGCGTCACCGTTGAGGTTAAAGATTTTCGACGTGAACTGGGCAGTGGTGTGTAGACCGCTGTAAGAGAGACAAGACAGTTAGAATGTAAATCGAGAGAAAGGTGACGTTGGACAAACAAGGACGAGGGGAAACTCACGCAATGTTGCTGTAGATCACCTGAGCCATGGCCAAGGTGCCATCATCGCCCATGATGTAGAAGACCTGAGTCTCGACATTGGTGTACTGGTAGGCGCGCCAACGCAGGTCGTCCCTCGTGAGTTCGGTATAAGGGGTCTCTTCGGCCTGGCGAGCGACAGATTGAATGGCTTCAGGGCCATAGATCGGTTCCTGCGTACCGGCAACGGAAGCGAGACTAGAAAGGCGGGGGAATCTGGTTAGCAAACAAAAACCGACAGTCCATCACAGGAGAGGGCAAGAAGGTCTAGCATACGTAGACTTGAGCCAGTTCATGATGGGCGAGAGATGAGGTGCAGTGATGAATAGCAAGCCTGGGGAGGTTGAGAAAATGAGAAGGTGAGGAAAGATGGAAATCAAATCGATAGCGCGCGGGGCCACAAGGGGGGGGTTCGGGCGATCGTTCTATAGTAGCTTCCGGTGGTCTGGACACACGCTGGCACAGCAGCACGTTGGACGGCACACGGCGGAAAGAGGGGAGCAACAGTGAGCTGGAGATACAATCCGGCACGAATCACAGGTCTAGGTGGTCTACTACTACTGAAGTTCGTATGGAGAGGATCAACGGGGGCATCCAGCCAGCAGCGGGCACACGAGTTGGGAGAGAAAGGGAAGCGCCGACCGCCAACCGGGCGAGGCATCCGGATGACGTCCAGCACTGCTTTCTTTCCGGGCGCTTTTTCGCTTGTGGTCCAAACGGCAAGTAACTCCGATCCCCGGGCGCCATCCCGAATCCAGAACCCCAAGAAAACCTCTCGCCGAGTTCCGATTGCTGTTGGTTGCTGTTGATTGCTCCGTCGAGACAGTAGATACGCCAGTCAATCCAATTCCCCTCGAACCGATTTTTTCGAAGCTTCCTGTCCATTCTCATCACCATGGCGAAGAAGGCCTTGCCCAAGGATCAGATCGTGAAGCTCATCGTGGGCGCCGGTCAGGCCAGTCCCAGTCCTCCCGTTGGTCCCGCCCTGGGTAGTAAGGGTGTGAAGAGTATGGACTTCTGTAAGGTAAGTTGCGAGTTCAACGGACGGTCTCTACCTGCTTGATCTTCTTCAGGACACCCCAGGGGAGGCATTGGCATTGGGGGCGCGCATTGCTCACAGGGTTTCTCATAGGAATTCAACGCCCGAACTGCACACATCAACACCGGCGTCCCGATTCCTGCGCGTGTCACTGTCCGTCCCGACCGCTCTTTCATGTTCGACCTCCGTACGCCCACTACGACTTACCTGTTGTTGCAAGCCGCCAACGTGGAACCTCGCAAGAACCGAATCCGTGGCGCCCAGAACCCCGGCCACGAAACCATCGGCAAGATATCCCTCAAGCATGTCTACGAAATCGCCAAGATCAAACACACCGAGACGCGACTGTCAGGTCTGAGCCTGCAGGGGCTGTGCAAGAGTGTCATTGCTCAAGCCAAGTCCATGGGCATCCAGGTTGAGCCGTGAAGCATCATGGAGCGGGCGATCGGAAATATCGGTGTACTCTATATTATGTCCTTACTGCTGTGAGGTCACTGCCATTGCTGTCTTGGATTTACGAAATTGGCGTTACGCGGAACTGGGTCTGTTACCATATGTATCATAGGCATTGCATGTTGTATAGAAAGCGTTGGCTGGTGCCTGAAGCGATCACATGAAGTGGATTTGACTTTCGGAAGTGAGGCCATTGGAAGGTGTCGGTGGCTGTAAGATTGTCGGAGTGTCCTGAAATCCGGGAGAGGTTTGAACGGCTACGGCCTGTCACGGCGTGTCTATACAAAGTACGCAATGGATTGGATGGAGGCTAGGCCAGCGCCACAGGCCCTTCTGCACAAATCGATCCCTACTATACCCCTGCAAATTCCCTTGCTGCTGGTTCGATCAAATCGAGATTGAAGAAAGGAAACGAAGGGTGATAGGGATATGTTTGTCATGCTGTCAGGATTGCCATTGATCCCTCGCCGAGTTGGAAAACGGAGCAAAAGATGGGAAACGAGCGAGACACAACAGGCCGCCGAGAAATACCGCCCAGCAAGCCAAGAGGAGGAGGACACGCAATTGTGTTCATTCACTGCCACTGGTGATCATCTCGATCGCCCGGGATACGGTGCTGTACGATTAGCTGCAACCCTTTCGAGTTGAAAATGAATCATTATTTCGTAATGAACGAACAAGTTTCAATTCCTTCTATCTCAGCTTGGCTTGGCAGGTATGAAGTCTGTCTCTCCACGCAACACCGCAATGGTGCTATGCTTGGCATCACACTGAAGGAAGCACATAGGGGGGCGGGGAGTGACAGCAGTGGCAGGCCCGGGACCGAGCCGGTATGTGATGGCTTGGGGGGATGATGCCATACCCCGGTAAGTTTGCTGGGGGTGACTCCCCACATTCTAGGCCCCGGTTCTGGAAGTGTTTGAGACCCTAGACAAGGTGCAGGAGACGGCTGTAGAGAACTTAGGCTGGTCGGATTGGGAAACAGGGACAGTCACGCACGGCTGAAACGGAGGTTTCCTGGAAACTGGAATGGAATACCAGCCCGCCTGATCATCACAATCTCCTTGTTTGGCGGACAATCGAGGCAAGGTCCCCAGATACGAGACTGCTCATGGGTGTTGAACCCCAGCCGGCAGCCGCACTACTCCATAAAAGATGGAGCCTTGGAGCCTGGGAGGAAGCGGAAACTTTCCAGATCGGGGTGGGTTTGGTCCTCCAGTCGATACCCAAAGCGGGATGGGGTGCCCCGCTGGCGCTAGACCTGAAGCAGCATGGCGATGCTGTCCGAAAGGGCGTGCCACCAGCTTAGGGAGCCTTGGAAAGAGCGTAGCTCTCGACTAGTACGTCGTAGTCCTGCAGGAAACGGTGGATAATTCGGCCAAGGAGGGGAGCGGACATTTCCAAGCGTATCCGATACCGAAGGCCCCGGCGATTGACAGGAGCCGTCCATGGACAGGCAGCTGACGGACGGACAGGTGATCGATTTGACCGATTCGACCGATTCATCACCTGAGTGGACCGTGGGTTCGCCCTCACTCCAGTCTGCATGCATTAAGCCCACGCCAGATGAGATCCAGAAGAATCTAGCGGGGTAGACGACCAGCCCATCCTTGACGGTGGGCAATGCGGATCGGGGAATCTGGAGGGTCGCCGTCCAATACTGTTCGCGGACGGTAGGCTGGCCGGCTAGACGGCACCGGCAGGCTTTCCCCAGCTGATAACTGTCTTTCCTAGTTCTTCCTCGGTGCGCCAACTGACCTCCGGAGCAGATAGGATGGAGAGATAGATGGATGAAAGGATAGATAACTGCCATCGCTAATCATCAGCTTCACGGCCTCTGGCGGGCGACCGCTCGGCCAGCTGGCGCAGACGTTACCGGTATTTACATACCTGCCTTACCTACCTAACCCGTACCGGCCAGGCCTTGATGTCATGGGCTCTTTTTCGTAGTATTGGATTTTCCCAGGCTATTGATGAACTACTCGATACCCTGTGAGGCACATGCAGCTTCTATACCGACTTACTATAACCCCGGTAACTGCCCAGACCCTTACAGTCACCAGCTCACTCCCATACACTCTCCGCGGAATCCCGATCGAGGATCAGTTAAGGTCCAATCTTCAGAGCACGGGGGGCACAACTTCCCTTCGGCCATTCGCCAAGTAAACACGGTACCGGGTGCATGTAACTTTGCGGGAGACATTCGTTTTTTCTGTTTAACTTTGCAATGCTTGGGAGAGATTTTTCTCTGCCAACCTTTCTGGTTTCTATTTTGGGACGAGACCTGAAGCAGATTCATCCCTTCTAGAACCCGACGCTGTGAGGGTTGGGAGGAGCCGACAGGGAGGAGAATATCTACCTAATTATCCATCAAGCCTTAAGAAGGTCCAGGCGTGGGTTGCAAATCATCCCAAGTGCAAACGCTCAAGGGCTCCGTCCGTCCCGCCGCTATTGCCGCCGCCGTCGGGTTGGCTGGCTCCAATTCCAAGGGCGCCGCCGCACCTGCTTTGCTTTCTCTTCCTTGCCCGGTGGAACCTCTCTAGCCTGGCTCTCCCCTCAAACCTACTAAGAGTAGGTCGCCGTCGTTCTTCTCCGATCTCCATCCTCGTCGCCCTTCTGGTTTCCCCAGAACTGTCCCCTCCGATCTCTCCTCTCGATTCCTCAACGCAGTAGTTCTTGGATGGGGCGAATTCCTTCCGCCCCTCAGCATACCGCCCGTCCAAGTTCCTGCTCTGCGTCGTCCTGAGCATCGCCCGCAACGCTTCTCCACGAAAGTTTTGCTCCGTCTCGCATACGAAATCCTCCGTGGCCTTCCTTTGGCCCTACGAGTGCCTTCGATCGACGCACTGACGGCACACGGCTCTTATACAGGACAGCTGGACTCCATATTAGTTCGCTTTCATCGCTATTACTGCTGTTCGGCTCGTTCATCCGTCATCAGCCGTGGAGGGGTATGCGTCCCACCCCCGTGGTCCTGACCGAGTATGACGTCTGAAGCGACCGATTTTGCCCAAGCCAAAGATAACATGAATCCCGGTAGGCATCGCCTCTCCACAACCACCACCCCAAGTCCTTTCCACTGACACTTTTTCCTCGTATTTAAGCTCCCGCTCAGATGGCCCCTGGACAGGCTCCCGAGCCTGCCGACAATGACCCCAGGTCGAGGTCGCAACCCGGCCAGGTCCGGTTTTCCACGATAACTGAGGAAATCGAGCCTTCGGACCGCTCGGTACCTCCCAAAGCCCCCGGCGATGAACCGATCAAGAATCAGAACCAAGAGGAGGATCTCCGGTCACTGGCTGCAAGCCTTCAAAAGTCCCAATTGCAGGAGACTCGGTTGCGACAGTTCTCGTATGACCCGATTTCACTTCCTTCCTCAAGGGTATGTAGTTTGTACTTTGACCACACTGAATCGATGCTGCCATCCAGAATATTCCGTGGCGTGGAGGATCATGTCGCCGTCTATGGGCTAGCCGGCTCCTCGCATGGCCCTGCATACCCTTCCAGATCTGAACAGAAGCTGACTACTGCACCTCCCTTACAGGTTGCGTCTCGAGAGTCGAGCGATCGTAGTGGACGCGAAGTCAATGGATCCGGTCTGCCGTCTCCCCGCGGTTCTCCAACGGTGTCCGCCATGCAGTCTCCCCCGCTTACTCCGGCGGCGACTCATTCACGTGAAGCCAAGTCTACTGATACGTCTTCGACGTCGAATGCAACCGACAGAGTGCCGGGACAGTCCGCCGCAATGACTCCAACCACTTCCCCGCCGACAAGTGCGACCCTGAAGAACAAAGCTTCCCAGAGTGCCCCCTCCTCGCGGCCTTCTTCGACCGATCAACTATCGAAACAGAATGATGTTGCTCAAACGTCATCTCATCCGCAAAATGGTGCCAGACACCGAGCGCAGTTCTTCATTGGCCCCACCGCCGATGCCAGCTCGCAGGACGAAAGTCCTCCGCTGACTCCGAGGGCCGATCCAGAGAGTTATACCCCTCCAGGTGCCATTACGCCGGTCGGAGAGCCAAACGATCCATATGCCCGCAGTAAGCGGCCTCCACAGCCAAAGAACCTTGCCCAGCTTGACCAACGATTCATCTTCGGCGGCCGGGACTCGAAACGTCGCACGAACACCTCATCTTCTTTCACACGCCCCATGTCTCCGCGGTCCGCCAGCGCAAGTGATCTCAGGTCGTCCGAAAAGCGTAGCGGCTTTTTCGGTAGCAAGAAAGAAGCACGGGCGCAGGAACCGGAAGGCAAGCCCCACGGTCATATGTCGGAGCTTAAGCGCTTTTTCAAAAGGAACCATAATAAACACAAACGTGGAGACTCACCCTCATCGATCCCCTTCAAGAAGTCGAGTCGATCATCTGGGAAAGGCGGGCCTTTTCACGCATCGGACAGTGTTCCATTCGCTGATGACCATGGACTCAATTCAAAGTACGGGAAGCTAGGGAAGGTCCTGGGTTCGGGAGCCGGCGGATCCGTGAGGCTGCTGAAGCGTAACAGCGACGGTGTCACTTTTGCCGTCAAACAGTTCCGGGATCGTCACTCATGGGAAACCCTGAAGGAATATTCCAAAAAGGTCACGGCCGAATTCTGCATCGGCTCAACCCTCCATCATGGCAATATTATCGAGACACTAGACATCATTCAAGAGGGCAGCCATTGGTATGAGGTCATGGAGTACGCCCCCTTTGATCTGTTTGCCATCGTCATGACCGGGAAGATGGTCAAGGATGAGATTGCCTGCGCATTCAAGCAGATTCTCAGCGGAGTGGCCTACTTGCATGGGATGGGCCTGGCACACCGGGACTTGAAGTTGGACAATGTGGTGGTCAATGAACATGGCATTATGAAGCTCATTGACTTTGGAAGTGCCGTTGTTTTCCGGTATCCTTTCGAAAATGACATTGTCCCTGCTTCCGGTAAGTCATTTCTCTCCGACGCACATATGTGAGTGCCTAACCCGTTGCAGGTATTGTCGGCTCTGATCCCTATCTGGCTCCGGAGGTCTACGATGAGAAAAAGTACGATCCACGCCCTACTGATGTCTGGTCATTGGCCATCATCTTCTGCTGTATGACACTGCGCCGATTCCCTTGGAAGCAACCCCGCGTCAGCGACAATTCTTACCGACTCTTCGTCTCCCCGCCGACTCCCGGTACTCCTGTCCCAGATGCAGACCCCAAACGTCACCGGATCAAGTCATCTCCCGATCTCCCTTCGGCTGTCCACGAGGAAAAGGCGCCGCAGCCGATAGATACAAGAAAGGGTCCGATCGAGCAGCCCGTGCAGGCCAATGGAGCTCCGTCAGGCACCACTGGTGGGGAGGAAAACCGTCCACCGGAGAGTCCCCAGGAACGAACGCCCACTAACAAGACCACCGCGGACGACAAGAATGCCCCCACCCACAAAGCGAGCCGCACCACAAGCAAGGAAGCCCCTCCGCTTCCAGCGTCAGCGCAGCCTTCGGGTCAACGCCAAGAAGTTATCAAGGGCCCCTGGAGGCTTTTGCGGCTTCTGCCGCGCGAGAGTCGATATATCATCGGACGCATGCTCAAGGTGAGCGTCAAGGAGCGGGCCACCCTTGATGACGTCCTGACCGATGAATGGGTCCGCAACATCAAGGCGTGCCAGCAGGAGCTTTCGGGCGAGGTTATCCGAGCTCCTGGCCACACGCATGTCCTCGAACCCCCGTCAGCCAGTGTGCCGGTGCCTAGCAAGGCCAAATGATCCTGCGCGTCCTTGCAATGTATACGCTTGTGTTTGATCTCCGCCGCTGTTTCTATGTCTATCGTGCGTTATAATTCCCGTGGCCCGATCCCAGCCACATTTCTCTTCACATTCTCATTTGGCTGTTTTCTACCTGATTCCCTACGGCTATGATGTGCGCCTGCGTGTGGCGGACCCCTCATCATGGTCTGGCTTGTTGCTTTCTCGACGGTGGGTTCCCCACGCGGTCAGATATACTTCTGGAACCCACCCACAGTAATCACCTACCGACTCGACTGTTTTGCTTATCATCTCGCTACCCTTGCGCTGTTGGAAAGAGGGGGTGGGTTGCGCTTTCTTCTGTTGCTTTCCTTTCGATCTAGGCGTTGAGGACCGTGTGTTGTGGAACGGAGCTGCTCAGGCAAATCACTCTTCCCCATAGAGGGTCGGCTGCTAGATTTTTACCTGTTAATTTCTGCCGCGTCTTCGTTGCTGCGATTTCTCTCGCTTGGTGCTCTTGGCTTCCGCATCAGCCTCGGGGAGGTTCTTGTTTGCCGGAGCCGAGTTTCGCACCCAAATTGTCCTTTCATTGTACTCATGGAGACCACCTAGCTTAGTAGATACTATAAATAAACGAATCGTTGTATACCATGACTCTTGGGGTCACTATGTAGTGTGTCCGGTGTCACCGCTGCTGTTTCCCCTGACGTAGGGATGGGGAAGCGGAGATTGCGGAGTTTAGGCGGCCGGGGGCGATCCTCGGCGCCATCAAAGGCTTCACACGCGACCGCTCAACCGACTTCCTCCAGCCCTGACCAGCCATCCCCCGTGACCATGACCTCAGCCGGCGAATCGGAGCCTTTGGTCTCCTCCCTTTGGACCCGATCTCTTGTGGTAAGCCATTCTTGTTTGGCGTTTGGCAGCGTTCCCAGCGCCCGCTAACCTCGTCCCCGCATGCAGTCCGGTGCCATTGCCGGCCTCACAGTTGATTGCTCCCTCTACCCCCTCGACACGATCAAAACCCGCCTCCAGAAAGCCCGCACCCAAGGCCCGTCGGTGGTCGCTCCGAGCCTCTCCCTCCGACAAACCATCCGCGGCATCTACGCCGGTCTTCCCTCCGTCCTCTTCGGCTCCGCCCCGTCCGCCGCCTCCTTCTTCATCGTCTACGATGGCGTGAAACGGACGCTTCTCCCTTCCACCCCCTCCGACACCCCATCTCGCTCCCACATCATCCTCACCCACTCCCTTGCCTCGTCCATGGGCGAGGTCGCCGCCTGCGCCGTCCGCGTGCCCACCGAGGTCGTCAAGCAGCGCGCCCAGGCCGGTCTTTTCGGCGGATCGAGCCTGCTCGCCCTCAAGGACATCCTCGCGCTGCGCCATCCCGACCCCGCCACCGGCGCGACGCGCGGCTATGGCCAGGTCCTCCGAGAACTCTACCGGGGTGCAGGCATCACCATTGCCCGGGAGATCCCGTTCACGGTCCTCCAGTTCACCATGTGGGAGTCCATGAAGGAGGCGTATGCCAAGCGCATGCAGGATGGCTATGCGGGGGTTATCCCCGCCTCGACCAGTGCTATGTTTGGTAGTGTGGCGGGTGCAATCTCGGCGGGGTTGACGACGCCGCTGGATGTGATTAAGACGCGGGTCATGCTGGCTCGGAGGGCGGATGGAGCTGGGGTGCGGATCCGCGATGTGGTGCAGGAGATCTCGAAGGAGGGCTTTGGGGCTTTCTGGCGGGGCATTGGCCCGCGTGTGGCTTGGATTGGGATCGGGGGTGCGGTGTTTTTGGGGAGTTATCAGTGGGCGTGGAATACCCTGGAGGGGAAGAGGGCGGCTGAAGAGAGTCTTTGAATAGACGTAAGTTGGTTGGAGAGGGATAGACCTGTACAGTATCGGTAATGGGTATAGACTTCTAGACGGCTCTCTAATAGTATAGAATGATCCACGCATCTCCTGTATCAATTTTCATTCCTCTCTCTCAGCATCCAGGCCATCTCCTCCACCGCCCCTCCCACCACAAACGACTCCACTACTCCCTTTCCCCTTCCCATCCCTCTCCCGGTCCGCATCCACATGAATCACCACATACCTCCCCCGTCCCCGAAGCAACGTATGCACGGTTCGACTCCTATTTCGATGAAACGCGCTGAGCGGTGATGCCGGCGTCAGGAGATAGTTGATGCTGCTGCTGCTGCTGGCGGAGCGGGGGCCGTAGGGGGTGGGGATTTGGGTTGGGGGGCGGTTCGTTTCGTGGTAGGAGCCGCCTTCGGGGTGCGGGTGGAGGGGTTGGGGGTGGGATGGGGACATGGTTGGGGACATGGTTGGGGTGCTGGATGTACTTGGGTTTGATTTGGATGAGCTGTGGTACGGTGAGGTGAGCTGTGGTGCTAGATGGGATGGATGGATGGGTTGTAGGGTAGGGTATACTGGGATGAGGATATATAGATTAGATGGGGTGGTGTTTCAGAGAGTGAATCAGGATGAGATCAGTGAGGTGGTTTTACTTCTTGGTAGTACTATGTAAGAGAGGATGTCATGCTGGGGTTGGATGAGTTACTATGTAGTATGATGAGGTACCTGTGCTCTGCTCCTGTGATATCACTGTGGAGCAGGCTGTCACGTACGGAGTACACAGTACTACTATGGAGTACTCGGGTCCCTTCTACATATTATCCATAGAAATAGTGTATAATAAAGAAGATAGTGTATGAAAATAAAGGAGAGAAATCCAAGAAGACATAGACTACATAGCAGTTAGCATAATGGAATAGATGTAGAGAAAGCAGACGATAGTATCGTGACTGGGGAAGCGACCCGAGGAGAACCGCGCTCGTGCCCACCTCCCAAGTCGTCCCATTCATCCATCCGTCCAGGCAACAAAACCCCCATTCTCTCCCCATTCTCTCGTCCTCACCCCCCTCCCCTCCTTTCCGGCTCGTTGACAGCGTCTATTCATTCCTTGTTGTCCTTTCTGTCCTTATTTAGGTCTGGCCTCCCGTCCCACCGCCTGGGAATGCTCCCCTCCACTGTGCCTCTGCGTGCCTGAGCGATCGTCGCTTCTGCCTCCGCATCGTCGCTTCACCTCCGCATTTCCTCTGCCCACTGCATCAATCCCCCTCCCGCTGCATGGCCCGAAAACTCAGCCACCAGAGGGTCACCTATGGTTAGTCTCCTTCGTCTGCGCGCGTCTGCGCGGTGTCATGGCCATCGACTCTCCGGTTTCACCACCGGGGTGTTGCGCGCTTATCTGATCCCCTCTCCCACTACGGCGCTAGAGCGGACCTATAACTAACTCGCCATTCTCTCGTGCTCTCTGCAGTGCTCCCTCTGCCAGATGCGCCTGGTGGACATAGGCTGGGCGTGAACGGTCTGACCGTCGACACGGACAATTCCATCCTGTGAGCCTCCCTCCCGTCGTTTGCGCCAGTTGGTCCTCCGCAACTCCCGACTGCGACCAACTCCGCTCGTCCCCCTGTCCCGTTACTCAGGTCCTAACTCCGCACGGTGGCAAGGTATTCGGCAGGTCGCGATGGTGTCGTCTGCTCCTGGGACCTCAACCTCCCCCTCTCGGGCGCATCGTCGTCCAAATCTAGTTCGACCACGTTTAGGAACCAAGTCCAGGCGCACAGTCATTGGATCAACGACATTGTCCTGACCAAGAACAATACGGCGCTCGTTTCCGCCTCTTCCGATACCACCGTACGCTTATGGCGACCGCACTCGGAATCCACCGAGGTTCCGAACCCCATCGGAAAACACGCGGACTACGTGAAGGCCTTGGCCACGCCCGGAAATCACTCCTCCTGGGTCGCGTCGGGCGGGTTGGATCACAAGCTCTATCTGTGGGACCTGAATGGCGGCGGGGAGATCCTGGGTATTGATGCCTGCGGGGAGGACCGCACGGCCAAGGGCTCGGTCTACGCCTTGGGGGCGGTATCCTCTGTCCTTGCCAGCGGTGGGCCGGAGAGTGTGGTCAGGGTGTGGGATCCAAAATCCGGAAAGCAGATTACCAAGTTCGTGGGTCACACCGACAACATTCGAGATATCCTCATCAACCAGGATGGCGATACCATCATGACCGCGTCGTCCGACCAGACGGTCAAGGTGTGGTCACTGACGGCAGGGCGATGCATGCATACCCTGACGATGCATAACGATAGTGTTTGGTCGCTTTATTCGAATCATCCACAGCTGTCCGTCTTCTACTCGAGCGATCGGTCCGGGGTGGTCGCCAAGACCGACACGAGACATTCTCCGGACATTGAGCAAGGCGTCTGCGTCGCCGCACTGCAGGAGCACGAGGGAGTAATCAACGTCGTGGCGGCGGGAGATTACATCTGGACGGCAACCCCGAAGTCCAGTATCAATCGTTGGCGGGATGTCGATACCACAGCCGAGATCGAGTCGCCATCTTCGGGAGAACGAAACGGCAAAAAGTCCAGTGCTGATTCCTCAGCGAAAGGGGCGCGGAAGAAGATCCCGTACGAATCGGTGCTGCTGCTCTCGAACACATCCACATTCCCGAAATCGAGAGTTCCTCCCGACGCCGCGCCGGGCTCAATATCACATGCACCAGGGCCGCCTTCGGGGTCCGATATGGAGGATGAACTGGGACTGACAGTGCCTGTTCAGTCCTTGCCCGAAGAGACAATAGAAGGCCAGCATGGGTTGATCAAGCACCTGATGCTGAATGACCGCAAACGTACTTTGACCCAGGATTCCGCGGGCGAGGTTGTCTTATGGGACCTCCTCAAGGTAGGCTATGTTCGTTCATGTGCACTATCTTAGACACGTACTGATCTTTGGCAGTGTAAACCTATCCAGTCCTATGGCAAGCGGCATATAGACGATGTCGCATCGGAGATTAATACGAATGAGACCATCGCTCACTGGTGTACGATTGATATTCGCACGGGAAGGCTATCAGTGATCTTGGAACCAGGCCGCTGTTTTGACGCTGAGATATACGCCGACGAAACCGAGCTAGACGACTATTCCCAGTTCCGCGACGACCAGAGAAGTATGGCACCTGCTCCGATCTTGTGCTTTGATCCGTAATGCTGACCATGAATCAGTCAACCTAGGAAAATGGATTTTGCGCTGGCTGTTTGCGCCGCTGGTGGAGGAACATGTCCAACGCGATGCCCAGTATCGCGCCCTGGCCATGGCAAAGGCGGAGGAACTTGCGAAGCTGACCACAACCGGCGCCTCTGCACCAATGGATATACCATCCAAAGATGGAGCCAGACGGCCGCTGGGCTTGCAGACGCATTTAGATGCCTCGTTCGCAACCTTCCGGTCAGGATACGACTCCCTGGGTAGCCCTGCGACGCCTGGATTTGGGATTGGCTACGCAACGAGCCCCGGCGGTCTAGGGTCACCGGGCATTCCTCATAGCTTCAACAACAACAGTTACTTTGGGACCTCCATCGGCGAGGCATCCGACATTCTGACGTCACAGCAAAACCCGGATGTCACTCGAACGTCGTTGTCGGACCGGTCGAGCGATTATTTCTCCTCGTCATCAAAGCCTCACGGTCTGGCTCCGATAGACACAGACAAGGCTCCACCGACGCCGGGAGAGCCGACTCCCACGGCCCTGCCTCAATCACCGGCCGAGCCCGACAAGGAAGAGCGGAAGAGGGGCGCCTCCATCTTTGGCAAGAAGTTCCGGATGGACTTTCCCAAGAAACTGGGCCGGTCGTCCTCGGAGGTCAAGCCCCAGATTCAGGAAGAGAAGGTGGAGGAATCGGACCTCTCCTCCGTCAAGGAAGAGAAAGTGTTTGAGACCAATCTCAGCGGCTTTATCGAGCGAACCCGGCATGAGTACGAGGAATGGCTGGCAGCCAACCCGGGCCAGGAGCTGCTATCGGCGTTCGCTCCCAGTCCCGATAGCGAAACGCCCGCGTTGCAGATACCGGCCCGCACTGGCGTTTTCATCCAAGAGGAGTCTGGCGACACTGCGGTGGCATCTGATCTGTACCGGGGTACGGTGGGTCAGATTAGCCAGGAGATCGATAAGCTGGAGAAGTCGATTCCGCTGTGGCTTGCTGATTTGCTGCTTAAGGTATATCTGTGTTGCCCAACTGATCCTTCGTTTTCCCTGCTAACGTTGGCGGCAGAACCAAATGCCTATCAAAGAACCCGTCAAGATCGCCTTTACGCTGAAACCCTACGACGATCTTCTCCCGCCTGTTGTCAAGCCCGAGTACGTACATGACTGCCCTGGGGGAGATGCGAGACTCATAGTGATCAGGCCGGCTACCAGTGCGAATACTACGAACAACAACCGGCTCAATGCCAACCGCATGCTTCGAGCCAAGAAGATCCTTGCCTACGTGGCGGAGCGGATTGATCCGCCTAATCCCGACGAGCCCGAAGAGAATGCGATGAAGCCGGAAGAGTACTTGGAGCTGTACTGTCACAAGATGGTGAGTGATATCGCGGTCATTTGGAACTGGAGCGTGGCTGATCTCGAGACAGTTGATACCACCGAACATGACCCTGGCGACGATCCGGACGCACATCTGGCGATCCTCGGGGGATATGCTTCTGCACTACAAGGCAAACGGCAAGAAGGAGATCCGAGTGGGACGAGACGGGGAGCGAGCCCCCCATGAGCTCGGGTCGAGTCGGTTTCTGGATCCCGGCAGCGCCGCCAACGGAGAGGGCGGAGTCGCAGCCCCGGGGAGCATCCATTCGTTGACCGCGTCGGGATCTGGTGCAGCCTCGATCAGCAATTCTTGAGGTCGGGGAGGCCCTTTCTGTGACATGATTCTTTGTTTATATTGGTTGGTTGGCATACCCACGAGGTATGGCAGGTACATACATACATGGGGAGTGGCGGCCTGCTGCTTCTCCACCGATAGCAAGCGTCTGTAGCGTCTTTTGACTCATTGACACTCCATAATTCTTTGCTCTGGGTGATGATATATTCTCTGTAGTACTCTGTAGGAGACTGGACGAGCCTCGGGCTTGCCGGGATGCCAAGACCCGGCCTCGTCGCGAGGGATTGATTCCATCGGACACCAACTACGCTTCTCTCCCGCGCCAACGACTGGATAGTCCCGTCCACCATGGCTGCATCTCATCTCCTGCGCCATACAGACCCCGGGCCCCTGACCATCAAGCACTTCCTCGACTCCTTCCAGCGCATATGGCTCGACTCGCGACCCGCCCGAACAGGGCGAAAGCCCGATGCTCGTCTGCCGCGCCGACTCGGTATGTCCGTCCTCATGCATTCATGCCTTCTCATCCGCCAACTAACCACCATCCAGGTCTCGCCATCAGTGGAGGCGCCGACTCCATGGCCCTCGCCTATCTATGCAAGCAATGGGAGAAGACCAGTCCCGCGGACACTGACGTGACCGTCACGGCATTTGTCGTCGACCATCAAGCCCGCGAGGAGAGTACGCGCGAGGCGAACATGGTCGCTGGATGGCTGGATAAGATGGGTGCGTTCATCTTCATCCATTCGTCTGCTGTGAAGCACGAGTGAGAGAAGAGCATGACTGACTGTATGCAGGCCTCCAGACCCAAATCCTCGAGCTCTCCTGGCCCGAAAGCAAAGTCTCTGCGTTTGAAACCCACGCGCGACGACTACGGTTCCAGGCTCTCGGGCAGGCGTGTCGAGCACACCGCATCGAGACTCTGCTTATGGGACATCATCAAGATGATAATGTCGAGACGACGCTCTGGAGACTCTGTACCGGGGCTAAAGGTGCTGGACTGGCAGGGATCCCGCCGGTGACGCGCATCCCGGAGTGTCATGGTCTGTTTGGAGTCGCGGAGAGCGGGTCGTCGGTCCCGTTGAAGTCGCCTAGAGATACCAGGGTCAGAATCACGCATGCCAATGAGATTCAGTGCCTACCACCTGAAACACCGGGGAGAGAAGAAGAAGAACCAGAATACCGGATCTCAACCGGGGGCATCTCCATCTGTCGGCCCCTCCTCGCCTTCCCCAAGACTAACCTCCTCGCAACCTGTCATGAGAATAACATCCCCTACGTCTCCGATCCCACCAACTTCGACCCAACTCTCACTCCCCGGAATGCTATTCGCGGTCTGCTCTCGGGGAAGAAACTTCCCCGTGCTCTGCAGCCACCGTCTATCCTCTCGTTGATTCAGAAAAGTAACGCCCTGCTGCAGTCTGCGACGGACGACTCCAATGATTTACTCCAACATTGCAGCCTTCTTGCCCTCGCTCCTTCGACAGGGACGGTGATCGTCAACTTCCCTCAACCCGGTCATAATGACCCCCAACCCACCACGAACATCAACCCCGACCCTCAAATCCAATCCCTCACCCTCCGCCGCATCACCGAACTCATCTCTCCCTTCCCAGACAACCACTTTCCCCTTCGCAGCTTCGAACCCTTTATATCTCGCGTCTTTCCCTCCTCTACATCCACCGAAACCCAACCCCGGCCCCAGAATCAACCCCAAAACCAGACCTCTCTCCCACTAAACCCAACACAAAAACAACAGCAGCAGCAGCAGCAGCAGCAGCAACCCTTCACCCTCGGCGGCATCATGTTCCAGCCTCTCCACTGGAATCAATCCACCACCACCACCAAGAATAATACATGGCTCCTCTCCCGCCAACCCTACATGCGCAACCGTCATCCCATCCTCCCCATCCCCATCGCCATCTCAACCCTAACCCCACCCACACCTACATGTCCCCAAAACGACACATGGCACCTCTGGGACAACAGATACTGGTTCCGCATCACAGCCACGCCAAAGCCTAGCCCCTTTCTCCAACACACTCACTCCTCATTTCCATCTATATCCCCGGAACACAACTCCGAATATGCATCCCCAAGCCCCATCTCGTTGGTCATTCGTCCCTTGCAGAAGTCGGATTTACGGGTTATTCGCACCGCGGAGCGAGCAGCGTCTGATCTGAGGAATGGGAAGAGTGCGCTGATGGAGCGATTGGGACGGGATGCGCCGGGTCTCGTGCGGTTTACGGTGCCGGTGTTGGTGATGCCGGGTGGGGTGTTGGGATCCGGGGTGGATGTGCCCTTGGCGTTGCCCACGATGGATCTGTGGTTGCCAGGGGCGGAATTGGCGCCCTGGGAGATCCGCTGGGAATGGAGGTACAAGATGATTGATCAGGAAGTGCTGGAACGGATGGGCTGGTTGGGATCTAGCTAACCAAGCTATGCTACAAAGAAAGCTCGAGACAAGGAATGTACGGGCAATATGACAACAGGAGAGAAGAGGGAAAGACCGACCACGCTGCGATCGCCTGCACGCGACCCAAATCAACCGCCAAACCCAAGCAAACCCCGTCGGATGCAGTGCAGATAGCCAAGGAGACACGCAGGCTATGCCACGACAAAGGAAAGAGAAGCCCTATGAACAATGTGGGACAGAAAGAGAAGGACGCTCCTGAGCATCACCCACGCCGGAAGCCACCGGAATAGATTCCAAGAAGAAAAAGAAGGAAGAAAAGGAAAGGACGTCTTCCAGTAATAGGCATCACTCATATCCAGTTCGAAGATATCCCAGGGAAAAAAAGAGAAATAAGAAATTAAAGTAAAGAAAAGCAGCCTACTCAACCAGCCCCAGGTAGATCGTTTATTCGCTTGCCTTTAACAAGGCCACCGCCGCTTGCTGAGCGCGTAAGCCTCCAACCTCTCGTTTCAGGCGGAAATTCTCCTTCTTCAGCCGTCCGATTTCTTCCAAGGCCGACGAGAGCTGGGATTTGAGGGATTCTTCAGCATTTCCAGCGCGCACATCTTTAGCAACTTTACTCAGCTCCGAATTGAAACGATCGTAGAGCGCCTCGTTTTCGGCACTGGCTTCGCGATAAAGTTCGTCGAGCTTTTTGGCTCGTTTTTCACTGACCACAAGCGACGATTCCAGGTCCTTTTCAATGGCGGCCGTCCGGCCACTGAACTCCCCGGATAGCATCTCAAACTTCAACTCCAAGTTGCGAACACGCGATGCAAGGACAGCATTGGAGGTTGGCGAGGCGAAGGGTTCGTCAAGTGCCTCGGGGCCTTGCCCATCCCCTTTATTGATCGATGGCGGAAGTCGCAGCGCCCGGAGTTCTTCCCCGATCAGGTCGAGCTCATCCTTGAGACTCTGCTGTGCCATGTTCTGCGCTCGCTTTTCACTATTGAGACGGTCCCGAAGCTGTGATCGCATGTTAGCAACGTTGCTTGTAATGAACAGCCGGACACCGGGGGAAGTAAAGTGTAGGGCATGTGCTCACCTTTTGAGGGCTCTGCAACCGCAATTTGGGGGTCTTCTGGGAAGATGTTGGTTGCAGCCGTCTCGCATCAGAGCCATTTACCTGGATAGGTCGCTCCTTTAAACCAGGAGCCCGAGATGAGGGGATGCTAGTCGCTCGAGACCTTCTCTTGGACTCTTGAGTAGGCGATACAGACGCATCTCCCTTCTTCCGGCTAGCGCGCTCCGTCTGCGGTAATTTGGGATCGATATTCTCTTTCCGGCTCGGAGTGACGGGACGTGTTGGTGACCGGCGAGTGGGAGAAGCCAACCGCGCAGGCGAGCCACTCTTGGCCGGTGATGTGCTGCGCACGGTGGAGCCGGAGCCATGGCTGGTCTGAGGTCGCGCCGGACCGGCAGGAGTTGCCAAGTCAGTTCGAGAGTGGTTGCACGTGGACAACGGAGTCCCCGGTCTCTGTGACTGACTGGAGACGACGGATACCTCAGAAGATGCGGTGCCTGGTCGAAGATCGGACAGGGAGCTCCTTCTCCTGCGACGCACTTTCACCACCCCATTTGTCGATATCCCGCGAACCGAGGATAGAGACGGGGGCTGCTCCTGGGAACTACCTGGCCGTCGCAGATGCTCCTGAGACGTGGAGGCGCCTGGGCGGTCGCGAGAACCCGGTCGCAAAAGAGAGCCTAATCCCGTGTCGATGTCTATCGACTTGGACCGTAGCAGCGAGCCCTTTGGCGTGCCGGGTTCCGAGTCGCCAGAGCCCTTGCCCTTGCTCAACGTCCTCAGAATTGACGAGACTTTGCTCTCCCCCTCGAGTTTCGAGTTTTCCCGGTGTAGACTAAAGCCGAAACGCTTCCTGAAGGAGGACGCGTTGGAGTTCATAGAGCCTGCAGTCTGGGAGACTGACTTGGTCTGGTCACAGTTCAGGGTGCCCTCCAACGAGGCACCGCCAGGAATATATTCATCAAATAGATTGTCAAAGTCGTCCACAAGTCTGTCCAACAGAGAGATATGCTGCATGGGGTCCCCTTCGACTGTCAGAACCTCTGCAAAGGCTGCAGTTAAAGCGCCACGATCTCCATCGCTTCCGGAGGCATCAAGCAGCTCTGCGAGCAGCCGGATCATGGAGGCAAGAGCCCGGCGATTCTGGGGGCTCATATCGGCTAAGAACCTTCGGAAATTTTCCTCAAAATCCCGCGGGAACATGTTATCGAACTGAGCTTGAAGGATCTTCAATGAGGAGAGGTCAATGACTGGACCCATGTGTTCACTCCACGCATTTGCCATGAAGGTTTCAAAGGCCACAAACAGCGTATCGACCGGTACTTCTGCTGCGGCTTGAATCTTTCCCGGGTCTTCCAGCAGAATGTTGTAAAGCTCATTGACCGAGGACCGATCGACACTGTCCCTCCCACGAAGGGATCTTCCGACAATGTTCCCGCTACGAGACTGCAAGGCGAGTGCATACGCGGCAAACGTTTGCTCCAATGCGCTGAACGGACTTTCCTGTCCCTTGGACGGTGCGGCGCCCACGACCGAGATCTTAATCGGGGTCTCCTCCTTCCCCGGAAACACCGAAGGCAGCGTGTTCGACCGCGACATATTGGCTCGGGGTGGTGGCATCTTTGGGAACTCGCCCAGAAGAGCCGCCGAACTGGGCGTCTTGGAGTTGGGCGTGTTGCTTTCTTTGGACTGGCTCCCACCCAGAAGACTGGAGAGCAGTTTCGAGGGAGACGGGGGCCGGAACCCACGCGGGACCTTGAACTGGGCCATCAGATGGCCGGTGAGGTATCGGAGGATCTCGAAATTGGAGTGCACAATCGACTCCGTCATGGACCGATTCCGGGGCCCATGCAGCGGCAGAAGCACATTTAACACTACACGAGTCAGCAATCAGACAGGGACTCCCCGAAGCATCGTGGAATACTTACGGCGCTTGGAGAGCACGGGAACGAAGCTATCCACGGTGACCATGTCAGAGGAGGCAGTGCCAACTACTGAGTCTACATCCACCCGGTACTGGTCTTCATTCGCCAAAGATACCGAAACAATCACCTCCAAATCGGAGTTGCTCAACGTCTGACTGCAAACCGCCCTCGAAGTATCGAACACAACCCTGATCCGCGATAAGCTGGCCCTCCGCGTGGCCTCATGCTGTTCTTCTTCGAACACACATGCCAGAATCCCGAGATTGCCGACAGTGCCGGTGGGACTCCGCAGCGACCATTTGCCATTCTCCCGTTCGCTGTCCGAAAACCTGCCCTCAATCTTTGCTTTTGCAATCTCCTCGATGATCCGACTCGCACGACCCTCGTACATGGAGATGGGCTCCAACGCCAGCAAGTCCACGGTGGTATTCTGGTCGGGCCTCGAGGTGGCGGATGTAGGAGCCAAAAACAGAATCCGGCCACACGTGGACTGCGTACACCGCACGGTGTGCAGGTCGTACACCTGTACCACACGAAGTTCCATCGAGACGGGGGAATTTGGAGCGGTGTTGGTCGCCGCTGCAGCATTATCCAAATCAGCCAGGAGACCACGCGCCGTCGCCCTACTTCCCAAAGTCTTCGATAGTAAGACCAGGCAGTTTTTATAGATCAACATAATGCCCGCGCTGGGCTCAACTGGTGGGATGTCGAGATGATAGGGAGGGGTCAGCTCGTTGAAATCCACGGCGGTGATCAAGCGACCGGTCGGCAGGATCGTGGATGGCCATCCGTCTACTAACTCCTTCAACCGCCGAAAGCTCTGGTCATGGTTGGTTGAGGAAGTATCATCCAACGAGCAGATGTCCTTGATGATATCGCGCGCTTTAAGCAGAGGTCGTACAGCAGCATGAACCAAAGGCAGGCTGCTGGTCATGGTGTCGATTAGGAGACTGTAACGAGGAAGACGTTGTACCGGCTCCATGAGAAGGGAACGCAGCTTTTGCTCTCCCGTCTCGTACACTCGCTTCGAAAAGCTAGAATTTTTGTCTCTCATGAATGAATTGAGTGTCTGCGTGAAGCCAGTATGGGCCCGCATATAGTCCGCGTAAGGCTGGGAGAAGCGGGGAAACCATTCCAGAAGCGCATTGGCGAACGCCACAGCACCAATCGCATCATTTTCCTCTTTAGAGAAGGATCGCTGTGACACGGACGAGGGGAGCTGTGTATCCTCTGTGATATCATCAATGGCATCCTTTTCGGTCTCTTCGAGGATCTGCCGGATCACTCCTAGAAATCCCATGTTGACCTCTAGGATCTCATTCAAGCATGGCGGGAAAAGCGTGGCCAGATCAGACTCGTCGGGGCTGGTACTAGATGCGCCTCTTGCTTGGGCCTTTAACCGGAACTCTTCCGCGACGTTACACACAAGGGTGTAGAGCTTGTTCACGTATCTCTCCTCCGTATCCACCACCTCGCACATGGTCAAGCGAAGGGCTTGCTTCTGGCTTTTGGAGAAGAGCCTGGACTTGCTCACGTTGGTCGGCTGTGAAGGGGCGCGCTTCAGTCGGGACGTAGGCAGAAACATCGGCGCTCCCAATGATCGAATAAGGGACGTGTAGCGTCCATATTGGAGATCAGGCGCATCATACAAGTCCGCATTACCATCATGAACATCATCATCATCATCATTATCAGGCTGGGCAGGCGGTTGAATCACTCCGGCGGGGAGAACGACATCGATATCGACCCATGGAACTTTGCGCTCTTGGAAAGCACCTCGGATGTCGCGCACAATGTCCGCTGTCTGGTCTATTTTCGTCATGCGATTGGCTATCTCCGCCGCATGCATTTCATCGAAAAGCTTGGGAAGCCGTAGGCCCGGTTTCTCGGCGCGGGAGATAGTCTGTAGGCACTCCTTGGCGGGGTCCGACAGCTCTGCGAAGTACTTCAGCATGCTAACGGCGAGACCACGGCTGACCTCATCGCCTTGCTTTTCCCGAGGCAAGTGGTTGACGGCGGCGTACAACGGGGCTGCGGGGGAGATGGTAATGCGCGGGTAACTTTGGAAGCCAGCGGGGGTGAGAATATGCGCCTGGATGCGCGAGCTGCTGACGGTGGCATTTGCAGTCGCAACGGGACCGTAGAAGATGAAGATGGCGGACAGGTAGGGATCGGAGGTATGGTAAAGGGAGAGCTGCTCGAGGGGCAGGTCCGACGGGGCGGTCGACACAGTCGCCATGATGGCGGGGGTGGCAGAAAGTTATCGCATGCAACGAAAGAGTGGGAAGGAGCGATGGAGGGAATCAACTAGGATTATGGTACTAGTAGCCAATAGGTGGGAACGATTAATAAGTAAAGGACAATATCAAACAGGAAAGAGAAACCGAAGTAATCAGGAATCGACCTCGGGGAAAGAACGAGGCCGTGAAATGGCCGGGTTGGCACGTCCAGAGTATTAGAGAAGGACTATGGCAAGCGAGTGGATGGGAGACATAATAATAGCGATGTCGCACGGTCCAGTTAGGTAACGAATGAGGGTCCTCATGCAGCGGAAGGGGGAAGAGAATGAAACCCCTCCATGGGAGGAAGAGGAAAGGTGAGATAAGAGGGTGAGGAAAGGTGGAGGTGGAGGAGGAGGAGAAGAAGAAGAAGAGAGGGAAGTGGAGGAACGACGCCGATAGAGATCGCAAGACGCGTTTCTCGGGTCAGGCACAAGCTTTCCCGGGGCTGAGGGGAAGCTGTGACAGCAGTGTTTATTTTTCCCGTGGATCAGAACAGTGTCGCTGTGGTGGTGGTGGGAGAGGAGGAGGAGTAGCAGCAGTAACGAGCGACTGACTGCAGGTGATTTGCGGTCCTGGACCGAGCGACTTGCAGCATTAGTTGGCGATGAGGGGAGGCCCTGAGGGTCACGGCAGTCCGGGAGACTAAAAGAGTACTTCCAACTCAGATCGGGCCCGGCCGGCGGGTTGATTGGCCGTTGCGCGGGGGAATCAAGCCAATCTGGTTTAGCCTCCCTCCTCGGCTTCAGATCCTCTTCGTCCTGACGACATTCCATCCATCGAACAATTCTAAGAATAGGAGGCACACTACGGCGGGGGATCGTCCTCTTTCACTTTCAAACATCTAGAGGAATCTCTTAAACTCAAACAGTAAGCCGGAATTTTCTCCTCTCTTGCCTGGAACTCCCTCTACGCAAATAGAAGAATCACACGGCGACACGTGTAGCTGGTCGCCAACTGTCAACAATTGCCCGAACAGAAAAAAGAAAGAAACAGGCAGAATGACAGAGCACGGCAGATAGAGAAGTACGGTGGACCTGGAGGGAGGACACGCGGCGAGGACAGTACGATGCCGGAAAACTAGGTTACGCTCGGACTTTTCATGAATGTAAGGGAGACGCTAAGAGAGCCCATTGCCTTGGAGGAAGCATGTGTTGACTGTTTTGACACTTGACCTACGGAGTACACTCGCAGATAGCAGCTACTGACTGGCTGGTGGGGAACTGAAGCTGCCGCTGCGGACTTGCCAGCCCGCCGGCCTACACCGCCCAGCCCATGTATCCCCAACCATGGATCCTCTCAAGCTTGATCAAATCCACTTGTGCTCCCTGATCCGAGTCCTGGGTTTTCTGGGTTGGTTCATCGGGAATATTCTCTGGATCTCTCTCGGATGTTAATCTGGGAAATCAATCCCCGGTTCCCCAGGCATTCAACCACCCATGTCCACCTTCTGACACTAGGCCAGGCATATAGATTACACCCCGCGATCAATTTCAGCAAATCGCAGTTGGGGATCAACCCTTGCAGATTGCGCCCCCAAGTGACGGGGTTACTGCAGTGACGGCTCTGGATGGGGGTGCGTACCGCGTAGTCATCATAAGCTCTAGTCTTTGTTCTTTTCTTCAGGGCAGTGCTTCGTCGACAGGATGTACTTGCATAGTACCTACGTTAACCTACACCCGTCAGGCAGGCCAGGGGTATCTACTATGTAGTATCGATGGAGTACTCCCTACATCGGTCACCAGCGGCGCTGCCCGTAACCGAAACGACTTTGACGGAGGCCGGGGACAGATTCTGCCCTAAACCGCATTGGGCGGCCAGGGAGGCCGCTCTCCGCCCGGAGCAAAAGAAGACCAGCTGTTGTGTTCCCGCTCCGACTCTCGCCTCCACTCTGTTCAACTTCCCTTTCCCCCCCACCTCCCTTCGTCATTCGAACAGGGCCATGATTTGAAAGTGCTCCTTTGCCGGGCAACCCTCATCCTGCCGCTCCTTCTCCTCCTCCTCGACCCTTCACCATGTCGTCTACGCCTTTACCCATCGCGGTCGATCCGGTCGCGCTGGTGATTACGGAATGCATCACCGTCACCTCGGCCATGCGCAAACATGCCCGCTGGGCTCATTCGTCTGTCTCTGCCATCCTGGGCGGAGGCGCTGTCTCCCGGGTCTATGACCGTGACACGTCCACCCCTCCAAGCCCCCGTAATGGGGCTACGCCTCCCCGTCCGAGGTCGAGAATGTCGTCCGCCGATGAGGACCATGCCCTGGCGAACCGATGGGGCCTGCGGGGAAAGAAGGGCAAGAGTATGCAAGATAACCCTCTAATTTCGGCTTTTGCCAGGTTGCGGAGCGACCTGAAGGGTTGCAGAGATATCCGAACCTTTGACGCTCCGGCGTTGCTTCACCCGTTTCTGCAAGTTATCCGCTCCTCTTCGACCTCCGCCGCCATTACCTCTCTTGCCCTGGTTGCCCTGACCAAGTTCTTCGCCTACGATATCATCAGCCGCGATTCTCTAAGGCTCCCCATGGCCATGCAACTTCTCTCCGCCGCCATCACCCATTGTCGATTCGAAGCCAGCGACTCCGCCGCCGACGAAATCGTTCTGTTGCGAATCCTGAAACTGATGGAAGGGATGCTGTCTCGCCCGGAGGGCGAGCTGCTTGGAGATGAAAGTGTTTGCGAGATGATGGAAACTGGTTTGAGCATGTGTTGCCAAGTTCGTCTTTCGGAGGTGTTGCGGCGGTCCGCCGAAATGGCCATGGTCAACATGTGCCAGGTCATTTTCATGCGTCTGTCGCACTTGGAGATCTCCGAGTCCGATGAACTAGCATCACAGCTTCCAATGCGTTCAGTGAGCGAGCAAACGAATCTGAAGATGGACCCTTCGGTGGACGGAGATACGGTGACCTCGCAACATCCGTCCGCCATGGGCTCGGACACAGCTGTGGCCGATCGAGAACGTGGCAGCCGGGATGGATCTCCTGAGCAAACGCTGAATGGAAATGCCGTCGCCGCCCCTCCGAACCCCCAGGACGATACCGGGGACGAAGTCAAGCCATACTCCTTGCCGTCCATTCGTGAACTCTTCCGGGTGCTCATCGACCTGCTGGATCCGCACAACAACCAACATACGGAGCCGATGAAGGTGATGGCATTGAGAATCATTGATGTTGCCCTTGAGGTCGCAGGGCCTTCTATCGCTAAGCATCCCAGTCTGGCTACGTTGGCGCAAGACGATCTCTGTCGGCACCTCTTTCAGCTGGTGCGGTCCGAGAATATTGCAATTCTGACTGGCTCTCTTCGGGTGGCCGGGACATTGTTGCTGACTTGTCGCCCTGTCCTCAAGTTGCAGCAGGAGCTCTACCTGTCGTACTTGGTCGCCTGTCTCCACCCGAAGGTAGAAATTCCGAGGGAACCAGGGATCAATCCGGCCCTTTACGACGGTGTACCGCAGGTGCCCAAGTTGGTGAAGCCTACTCCATCGCAAACCAACAGTGGAAGGTCCACACCGGTTCCAGTGAAAGACAGGCAAAAGCTAGGCTTAGAGGGAGGCTCAAGGAAGCCGGAGACCCGGGAAGCCATGGTGGAAAGCATTGGCGTGCTGGCGCGCATCCCAAGCTTCATGGTAGAGCTTTTCATCAACTATGACTGCGATATCGATCGAGCGGACTTGTGCGAGGACATGATAGGCTTGCTCTCACGCAGTGCTTTCCCAGATTCAGCTACGTGGAGCACGACCAACGTGCCACCACTATGCTTGGACGCTCTTCTTGGTTACGTCCAGTTCGTGTATGATCGTCTTGATGATGAGCCGGTGTCTGATGGCTTTCCTTCTATCGACCAGCTCAAGGGCCAGCGCAGGACGAAGAAGCTTATTATCCATGCCGCCCAGAAATTCAACGAAAACCCCAAAGCCGGGATCGCTTATCTTGCCTCGCATGGTATCATTAAGAACCCGGATGACCCTGCCCTTGTTGCTCGGTTCTTAAAGGGGACAACTCGGTTATCAAAGAAGATCTTGGGTGAATACCTGTCTAAGCGTTCTAATGAACAGCTTCTCGACGCATTCGTTGAACTTTTTGACTTCGCTGGCAAGACCATTGTCGACGCTCTCCGCGATCTCCTGGGTGCTTTTCGCCTGCCTGGCGAATCTCCCCTTATCGAACGAATTGTTACAACCTTCACCGAGAAATATATGCAGAAGGCCCAGCCTACTCAGGTTACGGACAAAGATGCTCTGTTTGTGCTGACATATGGCATTATCATGCTCAACACAGAGCTTTACAACCCGAATATCAAATCCCAAAACCGCATGTCATGTACCGATTTCGCCCGGAACCTGCGAGGTGTGAATTCGGGCCAGGATTTCGCCCCCGAGTTTCTGCAGGAGATCTACGATTCGATCAAACACAACGAAATTATCTTGCCGGACGAGCATGATAATCAACACGCATTTGACTTTGCCTGGCGAGAGTTGCTGCTGAAATCATCTTCTGCCGGAGAGCTGGTGGTTGGCGAAACCAACCTGTACGACGCGGAGATGTTCGCCGCTACCTGGAAACCCGTTGTTTCGACTCTATCATATGTCTTCATGTCTGCCTCTGACGACGCGGTGTATTCCCGAGTAGTCACGGGCTTCGACCAATGTGCCCAAATCGCTGCCCGTTACGGGTTGACGGAGGCATTTGACCGCATTGTCTTCTGTCTCTCTTCTATCAGTACCCTTGCTACGGACAAACCTCCCAGCACGACTCTCAACACGGAAGTGCAGGCCGGTCAGAAGACCGTGATGGTGAGCGAACTTGCTGTGAAATTTGGACGTGATTTTAGGGCCCAGCTGGCCGCGGTGGTCCTCTTCCGTGTTCTGGCTGGCAACGAAGCTGCAGTCCAGCAGAGCTGGACGCATGTCATTCGAATTCTCAGCAACTTGTTCATCAACTCTCTCATTCCCGCGCTTGATTCTAGCCTCAACGCCGAGCTGGAGATTTCCCCCATTCCGCTGCAGACCCCATCGCAGGTTGTGGATCGTGATGGACGAAGCACAGAAACCGGGCTATTGTCTGCGTTCACCTCGTACCTCTCCAGCTACGCTGCTGATGAGCCTCCAGAGCCGTCAGATGAGGAGCTGGAAAATACCCTGTGCACTGTAGACTGTATCACATCGTGCTCTACGGACGACATCCTGGCCAATATCAAGTGAGTATCGTGTATCCATGCCCATTTCTATTCAATTGGCGCTAATGCCGTGTTCAAGGTCCCTCCCATTGGAATCGGTGGCGATGGTTGTGGAGGCGCTATTGGCTCAGATGCCGGAGGAAAGTGCCCCGGCGGTCATTGTCGTGAAATCCGAAAGACCTCCGGCTGGCTCAAGGGCTTCCAACGGCAGGACCGACGGCAGTAAATCGAATTACGACCCGGGAATGATGTACCTATTGGAAATGGCGACCATTTTGACCCTTCGTGATTCGAAAACTCTAGAGGCTCTCGGGGAGAGACTCCTGACCACTCTGCAAGCCTTCATTCGGGATGCGAGAAACGTGCACTCTTTGGCATTGTCGCGGATCATCCATTATCTCCTGAGCTTGCTCCGGCTGAGCCATGTAAGTTCACTTCTTTCACTACATCTGACCGCACTGACCTTCTATCAGGATCAGCCTTACATGCGGGTCCCTGTGATCTTGCATGGCATTTCTGGTTTTGACCAGGACGTCCTGGAAAGTGTCGCCGTTACGATAGTGAACAGCTTGTCGCGGTGCATTTCAGGCCCCGGCCTTTTGCGGAATGAGATCACTGTCTCTCCTGACTTCTGGTCCACCCTGCAGAGACTGCTCCAGCACAAGGAAGCAGCACCGCTGGTGTTCGACTTGCTCCGCACGATTGTGGAGTCGAATCCTCCCATCATTACCGCTGATAACTATGAATCCGCGGTTGGTCTCGCAAACGAATTCATCAGCGCCGGTAGTGTGGGCTACATCGAAGAACGACAGAGAGATGCACACGGGCGGCGTGTCAAAGGTGCCAAACCGTCCAAATCCAGGTTGGTTTCTCCCTGCGTTCTCTATCATGCGCAAGGATATCCCCGACTGACCATGACTGGCAGTGAAAACGAGGTGGTTGCACGTGGCGTGAAGGCGATTGGTTTCGTGCTTCAGTTGACACGGCGTGTCCCCACTCTGATCAAGCAGTCGCATCTTGAAGAAAGTGAAGGTTTGTACATCCAACTTCTACGGGGCCTCGGGACGTGGACTGACCTGATTCCAGCTTGGTCTGCCTACTGGTCGCCTATCTTCCAGTCCTTGACCGCGCAATGCATCAATCCCTGCCGAGATATCCGCCACCATGCGGTCTCGGCCCTGCAGCGGACGCTCCTTTCACTCGAGATCGGCTCCACAGAGGACCAGGAGTGGACGGCCATCTTCGACCAGGTCCTCTTCCCCCTTATACAGCGGTTGCTGAAGCCCGAGGTCTACCACTCGGACCCCGTGGGGATGGGTGAGACCCGAGTGCAGGTCGCCATCTTGGTCTGCAAGATCTTCCTGCGCTATCTCGATCAACTTCCCAACCGGGACGGCATGCTCGATTTGTGGCTCAAGATCCTGGACATTCTCGACCGGATGATGAACAGTGGCCAAGGAGACAGCCTGGTACGTTGGCCTTATCCGAACCCTAACCGGAGCCAAGAACTAACCCCTCAACAGGAAGAGGCCATCCCGGAAAGTCTTAAGAACATCCTCCTTGTCATGGCGGATGGAGGCTACCTCGTTCCCCCCTCTCAAGATCCCAGCAAAGAACCGGTCTGGACGGAGACCAAAAAGCGCCTGGAAAGATTCCTGCCCGACCTGTTCAAGGAGATCTTCCCTAACGTGTCGGACGAGAAATCCGCCCCCGTCTCCGCCGCTCCATCCCCGGCGCCGTCCACTCCCGCCGAACCTAAAGAGCCGAACAGCGGGGAAGAGCCGACGGCGACGTCTACCGCTCCTGCAGAAGCCGGAGCTGACGGTGCCACCGAAGAGAATGGTCCCTGAGCGTGGCCGGGACGTTGTAATGAACGAAATCATTTGCTTTTGACGTACCTCGGGCATTTTCTAGCGTGGGTTGTCCGTTGTTTGCTTTGGGGCCCAAGGCCGTGTGTTAAATACCTGTACCTGTAAATATAATTCAAGAGCACGAGGAGAAAGAAAGATGCCCGTTCAGGGTCCAGCCACCAGCCACCAGCCCCCGGCCGCCCACGTAGTAGTCCACACTAAATTGCGGGGCTGCCGGTCCCTCGCCGATACGAGCCTCTCGGGCTGCTGCCCTCCATGCATTCATTCCACGTCCACGCCCCCTTCTGCCTTTTCACCTGCCATGGACCCCCTCTCCATCTCCACCGGCGTGGCAGGCCTCATTGGCCTCGCCCTCCAAGTCGCTCCCATCCTTAATGCCTACATCTCCGACGTCGCTTCCGCGCGCACAGACATCCAATCCTACATCCGCGAAGTAGACGCCCTCTCCCAGGTCTCGGAGCTGCTCCAGTCCTTTCTAGATTCCTCCGCCGCCGTGAACGGCCAGTTCCAGACCACCGAAGCTGTCTTATGCCAGACCATCAAATCATGCGAGACATGTCTGATGGATCTCGTCCGGATGCTGAGCAAACCGACGAGTTTAGCCCGAAGGCTGCTCTGGACGATGGAGAAGCAGAAGGTGGAGAGTATCATGGAGCGGGTGAGGCGGTATACTCAGCTGTTTCATTTTGCGTTGAGTGTTGAGGGGTGGTAAGTTCATTGCTGTGGTGATCCCGGTGGTTGAGCAGGAGGAGGGGACGTTCGTTGATGATGAGTGTGTAGGGCTGTGCTGTCGCAGACGCCGGCAGAAGTGACGGCTATTCTGGAAATGCAGATGCAGATGTCGAAGAAAATGCAGGAGATTGTTCACGTTACGGAGTCGGCTAAGGCTTATCGGGAGAAGACGGAGCAGGTGGCGGCTGTGTTGGAGCATATGCGGTTGTTGTTCGCGGATGAAGGGAGGCGGCTCGTGGAGATTCAGGAGAGGGTGGAGGATATTAGTCGAGGGTTGAAAGGTAAATACTCTCTAAGTTCCTCTGGTGTGAGGTAGGCTGATATCAGACTAGATGATCGGGAGATGGAGGTTCTCGAATGGTTGACCCGCGAGCAAGGACCGGGACGGCATCATGAGGTTCGGTCACGAAGAACTGCAGGGACTGGGAGATGGATGCTGAAACAGTCTACCTTCAAGGATTGGGTAGATCCTGCGTCCTCGACTCGTCTCCTGTGGTGTGTTGGAGGGCCGGGCTGCGGCAAGTCCACGTTGATGTAGGCACGCCGGAGGATGATGATATGGAGGTGTTCGCAGATCGGTCATGCTCAGTCATTTGCAGGTCCTTTGTGGTTGACGAGTTGAAGACTCTACACCCTGGTCATGAAGCAGCTGTCGCCTATTACTACTGTGATTATCGGGCTCGCACCACGCAACCGCTTTTGCCGGCATTGGGAAGTCTGGTTAGAGCCTTCTCTGAGGCGTCGCACGGTCTTCCAAGGAGTCTTCAAACGCTGTTCGATGCATGTCGTCGAGAACGTCGACCACCCCTGGTATCAGAGCTGGAAGGTATTCTGAGTGAGATCTGCGGTTCTTTCAAGTACCCCTTTGTTCTCATCGATGCCTTGGATGAGTTCAGTCCCAGCGACCCTGCGCAAACAACATATCTGACCTGCCTTTTGGACGCTCTCGCCCAGAATGGAGTACGAGTGTTTATGACCAGTCGAACTGGGCCTGAGCCTTCATTATTGACTTCTGGATATTCTGTTGTGAATTACACTGCTGACAATGCGGATATCAGAACTCATGTCGCACACGCTCTCCATACGGACGACTCGATGGTTGCTCTCCTGGACAGCCAACTGGAAGAGGATATCAGCAACACAATTGTATCACAAGCTAGTGGAATGTAGGACACAGCCACTTAATTCTGGCCATTTGAGACATTTATACTGATTGTCGATTACCAGGTTCCTTCTGGCAGTGCTGCACTTGCAAAACATACGGGGCCAGGTGAGCCGAGCGGGCATTCGCAGGAGCCTCTCCACCCTGAGCCGAGACTTGGGCGACGCATATGACAAGACTTTCGAGGCTATTACCCATCAATCTCAGTCTCAGCAGCAGCTCGCATTTGATGCATTACTATGGGTGGCCTCTTCGTACCGGCCATTGAGTGCGCTAGAGCTCCGCCACGCCTTGGCGACGCGAATTGGAGATGACGATTGGGATATTGATGATGTATCCCCGCTTGGTCTCATAATCAAAAGCTGCTGTGGGTTACTCTCTGTGGACAACATCAAGGACGGCCAGTCTGAAGTGCGGCTTGTCCATCATACGCTACAAGAATATCTTCAGTCCCGCCAGCCCACCTGGTTTGCAAGAGCGCACGAAGTCATTGCTCAGACCTCTCTGACATGCCTTCTATTCAAGTCCTCTGGATTACCAACTGCAACTGGAAGGAAAAGATCTAGCCCTTCTACCAAACGCCACGCTCTCGTTCCATTTGCGCGAAAGTCCTGGGGCTTTCATGCTGCAATGGTACCCCTCGAGTCATATCAGGAACTTGCGATGCGGCTTTTCAAAGACAAATCACAACTCAGTGCCTTATACCCAGAGAACCGATGCATCTCCGGGATTCACATCGCTGCAGGATTTGGATTGAACGGTCTCGTCTTGCAGATGGCGAAGGAAGGCTTGGACGTCGAGACATTCGATAGTAACCATCAATCTCCTCTGCAGTATGCCTGTGCCTATAATCATACAGAAACGGCGCTCCAGCTGCTCAAACTCGGGGCTAATCCAAACCACCTCAACATCAAGCGTGATACGTCTCTCTTTCTTGCTGTGGGGAACGGAAACATAAAGTTGGCCACAATCCTCCTCGACCACCGAGCATTACCTGGCCAACTCGGGCGAGACAACTGGGTGCCGCTACACAAAGCAGCTGATGCAGGGTACTATGATATAGTCGAACTTCTTGTGCGTCGGGGAAGTTGGATATCCAGCAGATCTGCCAAGGGCGTCACCGCACTGCACCGTGCCGCAGGCCGAGGCCATATAGATATCATGGCCTTTCTACTATCCAAAGAGGCCTCCGTCGAGGCAACGACCCACGACAGCTGGACGCCCCTCCACGGAGCATCATCCAGCGGACAGACCCCAGCCGTGACGCTGCTTCTCCAACACGGCGCGAACATCAACCACCGCAGTCTAGACCAGAAAACACCCCTCCACCGGGCCTGCCGCGGTGGCCATCTCGACACCGTCCAGACTCTTCTGAACCATAACGCAGACCTCATGGCCCAAGATGCAGACGGAAACCTGCCCCTCCACATCGCAGCCCGAGAAGGCCACTCAGCAGTAGTCAAGCACCTCCTCACTCGTAGCCCCCTACAACAACTGCAGCACAAGAACAAAACCGGACTCACCCCCCTCCTCGAATCCCAATGGAGCGGCTCCCGAGACACCGAACTCCTACTCCTCCAACAAGAACCCACCACCATCACATCCCCCACAACCACCCCCGCCTCCTCCACCCCCCTCCAAACCAACACCCCCGACCCCATCGGCCGCACCCCCCTCCACCGCGCCCTCCACGCCTCCTCCTACCCCACCGCCGAAGCCCTCCTCACCTCCGGCGCCGACATCCACGCCCAATCCGACCTCGACGGCTGGCACCCCATCCACTTCGCCGCTCTCTCCGGCCCCGCGGCCTGCGTATCCCTCTGCATTGCCCACGGGGCGGACATCAACGCCCGCACCACCCGCGGCCAAACGCCCCTTCACCACGCCTGCCGCAAAGGCGACGAAGAAACCGTCCGGCTACTCCTCACACAGGGTGCGGATATCCGCGCCGCGGATGATCGAGGCTGGCAGCCACTTCACACTTCCACAGACGCAGGCCATGAGAAGATTGTGCGGATGCTGCTCGAACATAAGGCATTGCGGGTCCGATGGGAATCGGAATCGTTTCAGGGGTTTGCGGCGGATAGAGGGCATTATCATTTAGTGGAGTTGTTTCGGGAGTTGAGGTATTCGTAGACCTTTTTATTTGCCGGCATTGTACAAGGGAGGTTTCTGGTATATGCGATGATACTTTTGCTCTCTCTCTCTCTCTCTCTCTCTCTCTGCCACTTTCTTGGAGTATATAGCTTATCTAAAGAATTAATCTAAACGTCCTACAACTTGACACCTAGACCAAACCTCATCTGCAGAGTACCAACTACTATCCATTCGGCATTCCTTATTTATCCCAAACTATATAAACCCCAATAACCAATGGCACGACCCCAACTAACCCTGTATAAAACATAATACTATATAGAAACCCAAGGAACTAGGAAAAGCCACCTAAAGACCGAGTGGGGAAATCAATTCCATTATCTATACAAAAAAAGCGAAGCGAAGAGAAGAGAAGCAGAAGGTAGGGGCACAGAAAGAAAACACAGGTTGGCAGGTTGATAGGTAAGTATCCCATGGATATCAATATAAATGGGGACAGATAGCACAGACATGCGCATGCGCACAAGAAAGGAAGGCGGGAAAACAAAGGAGAAGAAGTAGAAGTAGAGTGGTACAGTGGGGATGTTGAGAATGTTGTGTCTAGGCTTTGTTGCCGATCAGTCACCGATTTGTTTCATTTGTTTTGTTGGGCTGACTGGACAAGGAGATGGATGGGTATGAATGAGGAAATATGGTAAGGAGTGGTGGTAGAGGCTATGGTTGGTCCATCTCGATGGATGGATGTTGTCATTGAAATTGCAGGGCAGCTATTCAAAAGATAAGGATTGGTATACAGGTAAAAGAACTAGTCGGCATCCATGTCGTCATCGAGGTCAATAGCATCCGGGTTGACTGGAGCAGCCGAGGGCGGTTGCTCCTGGCCAGCTGGCGGTGGCCGATTGCCACCTTCTGGGCCGGTGCTGGCGGCGACAAAGCCCACGGGGGCACGAGCCTGTCGCTCCAAGGCCGCCATTGCGTCTGCGCGTTCCGCCGCGGCATCTCCATCTTGCTCGTTGTCTTGGCCGTCCTGGGCCCGTTGTTGACTGCGGGCGATGGCCTGCGAAGCGATGAAGTTGACGTCGGTGCTGGTGAAGGTTAGTCGTGAGCGGGTGGCTGTTAATGAAAGGGCTACATACTTGTACTGTGCTTGAACGCTGCGCTTGATACGGAGCATTTCCTTGAAGGTGTCCTCGTTGCCGTGCTGGACTTCGAAGGCCTCCCATTTCTGCCAGAATGGCGCGTTGGTTCGGGGATCGCAGAATTGAGACGCATGTCCGTAAATCGCACGAGCCCGGTCGATTTCTCCCAGTCTCCGCTCCATCTCCGCGAACTTGAGGCACATTTCTTTCGCTTCCTGGTCCGGCAAGGCGGCAATGGCCCGCTCGTAGATGGGTCGTGTGGAGGTCAAGCCGAAGTTCGACGCCGACTTCGTGATGTAGAATTCGAACATCTCGAACCGGTCCTCGTCGGAGACGGCGCGAGTAGCACGCTCGTAGATTCTCATGGCGTGTCGGGCCAGACCGCGCTCCTCTTCCAGGTTGCCATACATCAAGTAGAGTGGCTTGGCAAATTTGGGGGGGCATCCATCCAAGGCCTGTTCGAACAGGTCTCGTAGTCGTTCGATGCCGATCTTGCGGTCAACTGCCTTGGTCAAGTACAGGTTCCACAGCTCGAACGCAACTGGGTAACTGAAAAGATCCAGACCGCGTTCGTAGACCTTGAAGGAGTCCTCGAAGTACTTGTTCTCTTCCAGGAGGTTGGCGTAGTTGACAACAGTTTGAGGCGTCGCAATGCGCAGTTCGAAGATTCTTTCGTACACCTTCTTGGTCTCCTCGATCGACGACACACTTTCAACCAGGTCAACATAGAAACTCCATAGCTTCCAGCTCTTGTGCACACGTTGCTGAGGCGACAGGTTCTCGTCAAAGTAATCCACAGTCGATTTCTTGGGGGCTTGCGTGGCCTTGGCCATGATCTCCACGGCCTTGTCGAAATTCTCGCTTCGAAGTTCCATTTCCGCCCATTCACACCATGTTTCAGCAAGTTCAGCAACTGACTTGAAAGGAACCTTGACGGCCTTCTCGAAGATGACCCGTGCCGTGTCCAAATCACCACCGTTCTCGTAGAATTTGGCGTAGTTAACCCAGAGCTCGGAGAATTTGCCGTGGGCCTTCTTGGGGTTGATGGCCGCGATGGCGGCTGTGTAGGTTTGCACGACCTCGTGCTTGTTGTCACCCCAGAGGGCCACTCTCTTCTCCCACTCGATGACATTGTTAGGGTTCTGGCGGAGAAGCACATCATTCACCAGGAACGGTCGTCGATCCATAAGTTGCTCGAATCGCAGCATCCGCAAGTCAAGATCGAAGTCGGCTTCCTCGTCGCTTTGTCCGTTGTCAGTTCGGCCTGCCGCAGATTCCATCAAGTTGCCGATAATGGACTCCTCGAATTCGGCGTAAGCGTCGAAGACCAGGGTAAAGTCGCGAACTGTCATGACAGTCGTGATGCCCTCCTCGAAAACATCCCGTGCTTTCTCAAAGTTGCCCCTGGTGATCCAGTACGTTGCCAATCCAGCCCACAACTTGCCTCTCTGATCGGCAAACCGATCGATACCGCTGCGCAGGATGGCGTCAACATCAATGCCGACCTGAGGACCCGTCTCAATCTTCTTCGCCTTCGATACCAACAAGTCGACCATCTCCGTCCACAGCTGGAAGTTACTCTTTCCCTCTTTGGACTGGAACCTGGGGTTGTCGAGAATGTCCATATATTTCTTCACAGCTTCCGTATACTGGCCCATTTCGACAAGCAGTTGAATATACTCTTCGGCATTCTCAGGGTGAATCTGCATGTAGCGAGCCCAAATCTTCACGGCCGTCTGGCCCGACGCGGAACGCGCAAAGGTCTTATAGAGCTTCCAGATGCGGTTGTGTTGCGTGATGGGCAGAGCTCGCAGCGCACGATCGAACGTCCGTCGAGTCTGCGTGACGAGCGGCTGCTGAAGCATGAAGGAAAGATACAACTCCCATATCCGCGGCATTTTGTTGAGCAGTATGAGGGCACGCTCGAAGAGCGCATTGACTTTCTGGTACTCGGCCCGGTAAACAGTCGCGTTGCGGCCTCGTAGGTGGTTTGTTCGGAACTCGAGGTACTGCGGTGGTCAGCTGCATTCAAATCGGACCCGTGCGACATGGGGTGGGAAATGAGGGGTTCCCAGGAAGGAGAAACTGAAGATTCCATACCATCTTCCAAAGCTTGTATGATCGCGGGAGCTCTCTACAAGCACGCTCCATGACCTGTGAGGGGGTCGGTTAGCATACGTAGACCGAGACGTCCTGGCGATGAAAACGTACAAAGGCCTGCTCGTAGAGCGTTCCATGTTGTTGTTTATATTCGATGTAGGCGAGCCATGGCTTGACACTGCCGGGATTGCGAAGCAGATCCTGTTCGTAGACAGTATCCTGATCGGCCTGGGAGCACACCACACCGTTAGCCTGAGTGATCGTGCCGTTCAATGCCCTCCCCCACTTACAATCAGGTAGAGATCCGGCCCTGAGGCCGCCGTTCGGTCCATTTGAGCGTGTTGCCGGTGGGATCTCGGGGGCAGGATTGTCCCTGGCATTGCGCCACTCGATCGAGCGGGACCAACTCACACGGTCAACACTAAGTCCGCAGAAAAGGGGGTCGCATAAACGGGAGCAAGCTTGTCTGGTCGCGGTTTGGAGAAAAGCGCCGAAGGCTGCGGGCGATGAAGTCGGACGACGCGCACGTGACCGGGTGTCATGCGGCCGTACAGAAACCAGTCAAACCAAACCAAACCAGCCCAAAGACGCCGGCACGGGGTGGCCCGAGCGCCCCATTATCGCGTATCGTCATCACCTCCATCGCTGCGCTCTCGCTGCTGCTATCGTGGCCTTTGTTTGCTGCGGCCGTTTTTGGTTTTCTGTTTTTTTCTCCAGCTCGCCGTCATGTCGGGTGCCGTGGTATGATGTCCTCTGCTTCTCAGATTTAGCCCCAAATCCATGCGAGACCTGCTCACTGACGCCCCTCACTATACAGGGCCGTGAGGCCGTCTTCCCGACTCGCCAGTCGCTGGGGTTGATGAAGGGTAAACTTAAGGGTGCGGAAACCGGACACAGCTTGCTGAAGCGCAAGAGTGAAGCTCTGACCAAGTATGTCTGTTCTTCGAGCTTCAATTGAGCGGTTGTTACTGACCCCGCGATCTACAGGCGTTTCCGGGGTATGATAAGCCACCCTCCTGAATCTCCCCGCCATCTCGGACACTGACACCGGATTCAGAAATCACTCGCCGGATTGATGAAGCCAAGCAGAAGATGGGTCGGGTCATGCAGATCGCTGCGTTCTCGCTCGCAGAAGTCAGCTATGCTGTCGGAGGTGATATCGGTTACCAGATCCAGGAGTCCGCCAAGCAGGCTCGGTTCCGTGTGAGGGCTAAGCAGGAGAACGTCTCCGGTGTCTTGCTGCCCCATTTCGAGAGCTACACGGAGGACGGTATCAATGACTTTGGCTTGACGGGTCTTGGAAAGGGTGGTATGCAGGTTCAGCGCTGTCGGGAGACGTATGCCCGGGCAGTGGAAACTCTGGTGGAACTTGCGAGTCTACAGGTGGGACTACATCGTTAATGGACGAACACATGGCTGATACTGTTCAGACTGCATTCGTGATTCTAGACGAAGTCATCAAGGTGGTCAACCGGAGAGGTACGTGCGCCGTCGGAAACTAGTCCCCTGATTTAGCTAACTCTATTACAGTGAACGCCATGTAAGATATTCAGCACCTACGGTGAACTCAACACTAACCAGCCCAGCGAGCATGTCATCATTCCCCGTACAGAGAACACCATTAAATGTCAGTACGCCCTCTCCCGCTGCCTCCGTCCGACTAACGCAATCCAGACATCAACTCGGAGCTCGACGAGCTCGACAGAGAAGAGTTCTACCGCCTCAAGAAGGTCTCCGGCAAGAAGCAGCGCGACAACGCCGCCGCCGACGCAGAGATCCTGGCAGCGCGCCAGAAGAAAGAGGCAGCCATCAAGGAGGCGGGCGCTCCTGTGGAGGAGGAAGAAGAAGAAGAGGCACCTGAAGCCCCTGACGTGCTCGGAGAGCAAGAAGATGCCGACGTGATTTTCTAGGCGCTGATCTGTTTCGTTTCGTCCTGTAACTAGTACCTACACTTCTAGCCTGTAGCAGTTCTTCTCGTCATTCCATGCCCGATTTCTACACCGCAACTATTCCCCAGGCAGACCGACATCGAACAACAAGTTCTTCCAGATACCAACCATAAAGAACAAATCGTATAGTGTTGTAAAAAGATACATAGACACGAGACAGAAGTTAAGAAGAAATACCCACCCCCAACGCCAAACAACACACAATCATTGTCTCTGGTAGGTAACGCGAATCGGCTTTGCCGCCTCGCCCATCGGCATCCCCGACGTCGCCTCCTTCGCACTGATCGCCCCAGACTCGTTCTCGTACTCGACGAACGCAATCCCCTTCCGCCCCGGCACCAACCGCACCTCCTGAAATCCCTCGAACCGCCCAAACACCGCCGTCAGGCTCTCCTGATCCACCGTATCCGGCAAGTCGCGCAAGAACAGAATCTTGTTGGGCGGCAGATACTCGTCGGGAATAACCGCCGCCGCAGCTCCACTGGTGGGTTTGAGACCAGCACCCTTGGCTGTCTTCGCCGGACGACCGGGCTCCGTTGGCGCGCCGCCGGGTGGCCGCTTGAGCTTTTTCTGGGCTTCCAGGGCTTCGTGGGCTTGTTTGCGTTCTGTCATCATCACCACCATCATCATCAGCCAGGATTAGCATATACCACCAACAAGACATATACATATACATATAAGAAAAAGAAGGAAAGGATAGAAATACCCTTCTCAGCCCCTCTCCTCCTCTTATGCGCCTCCAACTCATCCTCCCCGCCCTCTCTTAGAACCGTCGCATCGCTTCTCGTCTTGGCATAATCCAACACCATGGGTTTATCGAACAGCTCGAAGCCATTGATTTCGTCAATCGCGCGGGTCGCGGAATCCACGGAATCAAAGACAATGAACGCCTGGCCTTTCGCTTTCAGGTTCGTCTTGGCGACGATTTCGATCACCGTGCCGTATTCGGAGAAGATCTCGTCCAGGGCTTCTTTCAGCTGGTCGACTTTGATGCGCTCTTCGAGGTTGCGGACCTTTTTGGGTGGAGTAAGTTAAATGGAATGGTTTGGAGAGAGGATTAGGGGGTGGGGGTGGTGTACGTAGACTCTGGAGAGGGAGGTGGTGGTTAGTTATGGATCAGAATGAATGTCGCGATGCGGATGGTGGAGAGGGGATGGGAGTAGAGGGGATGGAGGTATACGTACGTGCAGTTTGGGGGAATGGAAGTAGGCGCTGTTACAGCCGCCATGATTGCTGGTGTGCGGACGTGGTGCGCTGGGTGGGATTTGACTGGCTTGGATTGAAAGCTACCGGACCTATCTAGTAGTGCTGGAGATATGTCGGCGATGGGCCCGGTGGATGGGCGCCGCTTTAGCGGGTGAGCTTGGAATCAGGTGATTACGCTTGTGGAGCATTGTTAAGCCACATAAGGCTATTATAGTGAAACCACTATCACAAGAAAAGCATCATTGGTCTAGTGGTAGAATTCATCGTTGCCATCGATGAGGCCCGTGTTCGATTCACGGATGATGCACAAATTTCTTTTTGCTTTTCTTTAAGCATCTTTGCTTGATGCCTTCGTTTTATCTTCTGTTGGTTTGATTATTTTGGATTGGTGCCGGGAGAAGTCGGACGGGAAGATGGTATCGAGTTGTCTATAAAGCAAGCGAAGCTGCTATCTATCTGCATTTCAACGTCTCCCTCAACTTGTCCACCTGCTCTTTCAGTTGCTTGGTCGGTTTGCTCCAATCTTCAAGTTTGACTGCATCCAGTTCGGTCTCCATAAAAATATACTCGGCCACGGTGTTCCGCACCTGTGATTGTCAGCATAGCCCCTAGGGAGATCAGTCAGACTTACTCTAGGGAACGGGTGCAGAAGCATCGCCGTCATCTTCTTGAGCACATCCGTATGCAGCTGTTCCATTCTTGAGAGAGGTGCATAAGTGCGCACGGCAGCTTCGAGTCGTGCCATGTTTGACGACTTGAAGTGGGCTTTTTGAACGAGCACAAATAGCCTCCGGAGACTGTAGATGTTAGATACTTTGTAACTGCAAAGAAAATAAACATACCTCGGAACCGACTCGTCCGGAATAGAACAGACAAACCCGTCTAATAGGAAAGCCAACAGCTCCAGCACGGGGATCGCGTATCGGTCATCCTGTAGGTTCTCCCCTAATATCGTCGTCAAGTCCTTGATGATGACCATCGCCGCGTTCTGCTGCCCTGTCTCCTGAATACTCTGCACCAAGGCAGAGCGAGAAGACCGGATCAGTCCCTCGCTGCCGGCAACCGCAGAGGTTGCGAGACCTTGGAACAGCGGTTGTCGTAGCCAGTCAATGTTCTGCAAATCGAGCAGTTGGAGCAAATACTCCACCGAGGATACATGGCTGAAGTGCTCGTATTTCCTGAGATAATCAGTTGCCATGTCTCGATGGATTGATGGTTTCGCACCTTGTCAATGGCGGAAAGCCCTGGGTTGTCTCCCAATAGCCCTGAAGACAGATCCAAGCCTGCACCCGTACTTTGTCAAGCTTCTCCGCTGCAAGTCGGCAGAGGCACCCAACAAGTTCCTGCACCCTGGGTAATTGATCGGTAGCTGACCCTCGTTCTAGGACCGTCTGAGCGGCTTGGATTGCTTCAAGTCGGATCAACGACCCAATATCTCCCCGCCTGTCAGTTGTATAGTCGTTCAAGAATCGGACGAGATGCTCTACAATATCGTCGGTCACATCTGCGAAGATCAGCGATGGCCGGACTGTCAGTGTACAGCAAACATACCTATATACGGCAGAACGCCGGTAGCCAGACTCTTAACAGCGGCTACTCTTTTCTCAATTAGTTCCTCCTTCTCTGCACACTGTATGATGCTCTCTATAATGGACTTTCGAAGAAGGCTCTCTGGTTCAATCCGTCTAAAGACGGTTCCCAGGGCTGTGATCTGGCCACGACCCGTTGGAAGGTTCCAAGTAGTGTGGATGTGTGAAAACCACCCCTGGATCATCTTCTCCTGTTCTGCAGGGGACAATAGAGGTAGCAGCTCTGATACTGCATTAGAGGAGCTCTCAATGGAGATATCTTCGCCCCGTGAAATGCAGAGCAGGAGTGTTTCACGAGCTTTATCAAGCAGATCTGTCGATGGGGGAGGAATCCGCGGTTCAAGTGCCAAAGTAACCGACTGAGCAAGAGAGTAGATTAGGCGTGAAGAAGCTTCAGCTGTCAATTCTGGGCGGAATGTCTGAAGCGTAAGGTCGTCTTTGGTAGGTCCAACTGGAGAGCCAAATATCTCCCAGACCTTGGCAATTTGACCCACCACACTCATCGCGTCCGATATGTCGTCAGCATGCATCTCACGTTGGCGGTTGAACGCATCAATGGTGGCAGAAATAGCCAAGATACAGCCATGCCTCGTCTCTACATCACTGCGTGGAATGCTAGACAATCTGCCCAACAGTCGTTGGAAAACTTGTTGGATAGTCTTGTAGGACTGATGCGTGCTCAAGACTCCGATCGCCTTCGCCGCATGTCTGCGAGATTCTGCATCAGGGGAGCCAATACCGCGCCAGTGCATCAATGACTCAACAAGGGGGCTCCAGTAATGATGGCTGAGATCGGCTGTTGCTTTGGCGACGTCGATCATTGCTCTTGAGCGCCGAGCAACCGCGTGGTAGTCCACCACCTGTACAAGCGATATACCCTCGGCGATGGTATTGGGGTGACGTCCGATTAGCTCTTGCAGTGCTGCCGAAGCACCTCTCCGAATATTTCCAGACGGATCAACGCACGCGGCACACACCAGCTCGATGGCGAGCATTTGTAGTGTATTTTCTTCTTCGCCTTGCGCTGTGGCCGTGCTGATCGTCTGGGGTTTCAGAGCAAGCAGTTCCTGGGTGGTGTACTTGCGGGACAGGGACCAGATGCCGAAACACGAGGCATCACGCACACCAGTTCCGACAGAGCTTCCAGTTGATGACCGTTGTTCGAAGTCGAGACCCGAAACAAGCGGTTGGAGAACATCACCAAGTTGGTGCGTAGGGGGAGCACGGCGAAACAGGAGATGGCCGAGCGTCAGGATCAGTCCCTGCCATCGTTGAGCGTCAACCGCGCTCAAATTTCGTTTCAACGTGTTGATCCCGATTCTTCGTGCCTCCAGCGGTGTCACAATCGTCCCGTCCCGCTTTTCGTAGAGAATGTTCTCCTCCAAAGAGCCGGTGACAGCCTCAATGACCTCCGTGGCCATGTCCGGATGCAGCTTCAGAGTGATGATACTCAGGGCCTTGCTTGCTGCGAAGCGTACGGGAGTATCCTTATCAGCAAGAGCTACGAGGAAATGATCTATCGCATCCTCCAAGATAGTGGAAACCTGATCATCCGAGATTGCATTACTGCCCCTCTCGCTGAGCGACAAGGCCATAACAGTTACCGCGCGCAGAATCTTGATGATAGTCTTCCGTGCCAAGGCAGACGAGTTGATCACATCAGAGACCCTGGAATTGCCTTGGACGACCTTCAAGGTCTGCTCGAAAACAGGGGTCACCAGCGGCGCAAAGTCCTCCACCTGACCCGAAGCCCCTAAGCGAGCGACGAAGGACAGGACACCAATACATGTGTAGACAGAGGGGGGTTCCGCATCACCGGCAGGCTGAACAGTCGAGAATGCCCAGTCCGTCAAATTAGTCAAAAGCCCAAGTGCTTGCATATCACGCCGAAGCACAAGTCGTGCCAGGACGACGGTGGCAGCTTCACGCTCTTTTCCAGAGACGTTTACATAGTTCAATGCCACAGAGAGAAGTGACTTTGTCACCGTGGGTGTCTGAGCGGGGACTTCTTGGAGTTGCCCTAGGTTGTCATATGGAATCGGGATATCGTCTGATGACATCGAAGCCAGATCAAAGGGGGCAAGCAACAAGTGTGAGATCCAGATCAGCATCACATAACGCTCTTCCCACACCAATCGCAGTGGAATGTCCCCAATACCTAGTTCGGGTTCGCCTTGGGCAACAGCATCCCATTCGATGAACGCCCGGAGTAGCGGGTCAAGGTACTTCGGTTCATTGTTCAAGAACCTGCTAATGACTTTGACGCCGCGGACCTTGCAAAAGGTGTAGAGCAGACGGCAGATGGCTCTCGGAAGTGGATAGGCTGTCTTCTGTCGCTGTGAGTCTGCAGCTTTGGCCGCGTACTGATCGCGATGCTTCAGCAGGTACGCCAGAAATGCATCAACTAAAGGGGGAAGAAGTGTTGACAAGTGGGGGTCCAGCAGCTGCGGCCACTCCTGAAAGGGCTCCAACTGTTGACATGGTTAGCAGTCAATGCATCTTCTCGTGCAGACTGGAGAAACCAGTGGGAAGTGTTTGAGAAGCTTTGCTTACCAGGCCTACGAGCCTCTCCGTTTTTGCGGCCGGGGTCCATCTCCGTGGAATACGAGTGTTGCCTTGCTCGGGCTGGGATTTCCAGAGGAGCGACGGGAGTTTGGCGGAGAACTCTTGAAGAAGGTCGCCAGAGACGCGCTGCAGCTTGACCTCTCTATCCTCGGCCGCGTCCATGACTGATGTAATCAAACACCCTGAAGCATCGATCACATCGAGGTTTGAAGTTGATGGATCCGAGGCCGCGGGGATCTAAGGTGGCTTAGTCAGCGTATACACTCCAACAACCACCACACCCACCAACCACTATCATATACATGTTGGATACATAGAGATCCTTCTAAGTGCCGAAAAGGATTACCATTGTATAGTAGATACGTGGCTATCAGCAATATCATAGTAGCAGTTTCGGTTGTTCTACACTTCTACACTTCTGTAAGATAGCAATTGGCTGTACCAGAACTATATATAGTTATTTCCACTGGAGTTCCTTAAGTAGACCGGAGTCATAGCCGTCAACCATAGCGTTCATCAGCTTATTCACCTAGTCATACAATACCCCTTAAGAGAGAAATACTTTCATTCACCCCAACCAAGCAGCCAATATTGTCCCAGTTAATGTCTAATCCAGTGAAACACCAACTAGCCTTATATGCTGCCCTAGCCCTCCCAATCCTGAAGCCTCACGACGACAATAGGACCTACGATCTGACAACCTCTACAATAACCCCTATCTCGGTATTTCAGCTCAGGTCTTCCTCCTTCGCTATTTGTCTCGCTATATAAATCCCACAAAGCACATCATTGTCTTGGTCGCAGTAACTCTATCTCCGCTGGGCAAATGGCTGACCGAAGGGTCCGGGAAATGCATTTTATTAGACTTGGCAGATTTAATGCTTATAGAGGGGATCTAACGAGCAACTGATCTGCTCAAGTGAGCTAGTACCAATATAAGATTCAAAACTAGAAATTCCTCAAGAGTATGCAACCAAGCCTGCTATCTTTGCTTGCATACTGCGAGAGACAGCATCTACTTGAAGCAATTATAGAGAGAGCACAAAACAATTAAAGCACCTGCACCTTAGCCACAATCTCTTGCGATATCAATTCCTTGAAAAGACATTATGACCAGTACACAAGATATACAAAGATACATATCAGCATTAGCAATATACATCCAATCGGAACGAAAACCGGCACTTTGCTCATTACCGTCATCATCACCAAATTATATATTGAGAATCCTGCGGACTTCACTGTTTCAACCAGGTTATTTGATACCCTAACACCACAAGGGCAGAGCACCACTAGGTTCAACTCTAGACGCACTTCAATACCTACAGTCTAACATAGCAATATTCCTCCTAACCGAACTACCTAACCAGATCCGCACTAATAAATTATGTGCTTCGGGTTTAGATATAACTGATCCGTACGTGCACCACTCCAATAAACCTTAACGGATAGCCCAATCAATTCCAATCTCCAGAAAGCAATACTTTCCTCAATACTAACCAGAAACCAATCTCCATCCTGCATCATCTGTCGCCAACCAACCAACCAACTTCCAACAGGAGAAGCCATCATCAAGGGCACGGAGACATATATACCATGACCTATCTCAACAATTCAAACAATGTGAAGAGCGCGAAGGATCCAACACTAAACACTACACCCGAAAAGCAGAAATGGGGGTTGATGTCCCGGTCTGTCCTGTCATATCTGGCTCGGCTTAACGACCTACGATATAATCGATGAGTGTATCTACAATGTGTTGGTTCTGGGTAGAGATTTCCTTTTTGGGTTTGTTCGGTAAGGGATGGATCTTCATTAATGGCAGGTCTGAGGAGGTATATATTGAAGTGTGAGACACTGGGGGCTGGAGTAGGGTTATAGGCGATTATTGTTGTTGAGCTTTCTGGTTTGAATTATTGCCCTTTCAGGAATGTAGTATTTGCTCAGGTGCAAAGGGCATATATTGAGTGAAGTGGTATAAATCAAGCAAGCAAGTACCATATTAAACACCAAAGCACCCTTAACCTAAATCATGAATCATAAGTCATCTCGCGTAATATACAAAACAGTAACGATGCAAAGCCAATGATAAAGCTCAATAGTCAAAGCAATGATCTATCAAAGATCGATATCAAAAACCGACGGACTACGCTCATGATCGTACCCCCGGTTGCCCTCCTCCGCGAGTGAAAGCATCGTCCGGCGGACAGACATCACCGTAATCGCAATTGCAAGTGAGTTCCACACATCTTGCCCCCGTTCAGACAAGTCGAACTGGCCCATGAATCGGCCCTGCAATTCACCGTCTCCGATTTCCTCGGGATCAGTGCTATGGGTTAAGATGGCGACGATGGGCCCGCAGATGATGAACCCAACAAGAAGGGGGAACTTGGTGGCAGTAGACTTCTGATTCTGTTCGTCCGACTCTAGTGAGTCGGCATTGCTTGTTACACCTAGAGCTTCGTGGTGCCGACGGACAAGCTTGCGGAGCTTTTCGTTCATCTTCTGGACGGCTTTTAAGGTGCTCTCGCCTTTTTTTTGTGCATATATCACATGCACAGGGACGGCATCTTTAGCGGTGTGTAGATTAGCGTCGAATAAGGCCCACCGGATATAGTTTGTGATCGCTTGCTTAATCAAAGGCTCGGGCTTTTTACGGTGAATCTCGCAGTCGCGGACTCGACCACCGACGGCGAACAGGCTCGATAAGGCTTTGGTTGCTTCATACTTTATTAGTGACCATATGACTCAGGCAAAATATTTAAACTCACCATACAGATTGGAGCTTCGAGTGACGTCGATAATCGGCGCGCTACTCGGCTCAGCACCTCGAGGATACAAAGATTCAGGCAGTGTCGGAAAGTCATGTCGCCAGATTGTTGGGATAACAGGCTCGAAACCGCGCATGGCAAGTCGGTAAAACAGATCTTTCTCTTCCTCATTGTATAGGCCCTCCGGGACGTTGATCGCACTAGCCCAGCGTTTGGCCCTTTCAACCGAAAAATCAAAGACAATACCAGTCGTTTCTTTGTGGCGAATGGGGCGGTCCTGATACTCCTCGTTGTGGTTATCTTTCAAATGGGATGGCTTGCTATCCCTCGGCTTCTCCCAAGTTTCCTGCGGCTTAGCCGAATCAGCTCGTTCGGGAACATATTCCGCATCATCGTCTGGCTTGTGTTTGACCGGGGCACGACGACGAGTAGGCGACGATAAATCCCGAGCTTTGTTTGCAGTTTTTGAGAGAAGAGAATCGGGCGTCGGATATGATGCAACGGGCGCTGTCGTCACGCCCACCTGCTGCGAAGTAGGCTCCCCTTTGACAAAATCGGTTTCTATCGACGGGGTGATGGGTAGTATCGATTCCTTTGTCTTCTCGGGTGTCTGCTGACGAGCACCTCGTGCTGCAGGATTCGTAGTCATCTTTCTTTTCTTATGACTCCTGGCTTTGGGTGCAGTCGCGATGTCACTCTGGCTATCATCATCCTTGTCTCCACCCGGACTGTAGGTAGCATCAACCTCCCTCTTCCTCTTTGCATGCCTCCTAGCAGCAGCATCAATGAGCTCACCAGGGTCGACATTATTCGCATCTGGCGCAGAATCCTCATCTTCTTCATCCCCAGGGACATAAGTATCATCCAGCTCCTCCCTCCTCTTCTTCGCCCTCTTAGCAGCACTTCCCTCCAACTCACTAGTATCAACCTTCTCACCCGGCGCAAAATCCCCATCCTCATCACTCCCAGGAACATACGTAACATCCAACCCCCTCTTCCTCTCCCTCTTCCTCCCCTTCACATTATCAATCTTCAGCTCCCTAGGATCAACTCGATCCTCATCCTCATCATCCTCCTCCTCCTCCTCATCATCATCATCATATTCCTGCTTAACATCTCCCTGTAAAACATATTCCATATCCTGCGCGGACGCGCTACTCGCACGAGAACTTCCCGAGGACCCAGATCCAACACTCATCTGTGAATCACTTTTTGAAGAAAATAGAGAAGTGAGTCGATAGCGGAAGTTCTGGCGGGTCGGTTTTTTGAAGATGGATGATACTTTCTTGATGAATTTGTTTTGAGAAGAATGGCGAGAAGGGGTTGGTGGTGATGGGGTTGAGTTGCTGGAAAGAGTGTCGAGGTCTGAGGAAGGAGTCGATTGATTATCCGTATTTGGTGTTGGAGGTGCTGGTGCTGGTGCTGGTGCTGGTGCTGGTGCTGGTGCTGGTGCTGGTGCTGGTGCTGGTGCTGGTGCTGGTGACGGTGCTGGGTGGGGGGAATGGCGTTGAGGCAAGGGTGAGAGAGGTGAGTCGGAGACGCTTTGAGAAGACATGTTGTCTTTGTGTGAAGTTATCAGTGCATTTATAGCAATGTGGTCCTTGAAAGATGCGTGGTTGGGACGCAGAAAGTAGGACAAAGAGGAATCAGAGGGAGGTGCAACCAGGGCAGACAATGGCGCCGACGGGGCTGAACCCACATGGTCGGTCTGTGAATAAAGACTCTGGCTGTGGGGAATGACTAGTAACACCGTCACTGGTGGAAGAACAAAGGAAGTGGCTTTGTGCAGCACGGAAATAGGGTCTAATATATGGATTGTGCCGTCTACATTCTATTCTATTCTTGATGCAGTCATCCAGTCGTCAGTTCCGCGTCTTCCATTCAGTCATACAGCATTAAACAGTGAGTCGAGAGAAACGCTGAAGCAGGATTACATTCCAGGCACGGGAACTCGCCCGCAAAGAAAAGGAATTAAAAACAGCCTAAGATGCTGAAGACATATAAGAGAAAAATACTCCCCGTTCAAGCCGCTCTCCAGCTGCATGCACAAAGCCATCGTAGCGCTTACACCAGCTCTCAAAACTCTCATGGGTATGTGGGAATCTTTCCAGCGCAAAAGTGCCGAGCAACCGGCAACATCAAGAAGTTCGAGAAACAGTGCCAAGCTTGACATAAGGTAAACGAGCAATCAACGCAAAGACTAGACAACGTTCGAGATGGCGCGTTTATGCAAAGTCGGCCGTGTACGAGAAGCCGCGGAACTCTTCCTGCATCGCCTGGGAGAGAACTGAAAGATGGGTTAGCAGGTGATCGTTCGATCGCAAGGACTGGTACTTACCGGATTGCACGGGCGTCAGCACCGGAGTCACGCTAGTGAACTCCTGGTCGAAGTTGCTGGTATCGGTAGGGCTGCTGATGCTCGGCATGAAAGGCGGGGGAACCCGCTTGTGGTAGATATCATCCCAGTTGATGTTCCGGAAGAACGCATGGGACATGACTTCTTGAGCATCGGTAGGACCCGAGCCAAGACGCAGTTCCGGCTCACGCGTCAGGAGCTTCTGGAGGATGGAGACCGAATCGCGGGGCATGTGGATGGGGTACAGCGGCTCATCTGCAAGAATGGCATCGTAAATTTCATCCTCATCTTCACCGCGGAAAGGAGACTGCTGAAGAAGCATCTGATAGATGAGGACACCAAAGGCCCACCAATCGACGGCCCGGCCGTATCTCTTATCCAGTAGAATCTTTGGCACATATTAGCAATGCACTAGGTCAAGTCATGCAATACTTGACACTCACCTCTGGTGCCATGAATTCCGGGGTACCACAGAATGTGCTTGTCGTAGCGCCATACCACATGTTCTCCTTGCAAAGACCGTAATCGGCAACCTTGATGTGGCCGTCCAGGGTCAGCATGATGTTGTCGAGCTTCAAATCACGGTAAATGACTCCGTTCTCGTGGAAGTACTTGAGGGCCAGGAGAACCTCCGCAGCGTAGAACCTATAAGAATCAGCATTTGTCCTCTTTAATGGACACACCTTCAACTTACTGTGCCCGCTTGAGACCAAACTGGCCACGCTGGATGTGCAACATCAGATCACCACCGCTGATGTATTCCATGACAAAGTAAACACGGGTTTCGGTCTGGAAACAGGCGTGAAGGTTCAGCAGGAAGGGGTGGCGCTCCTTGTTCGCGATCATGAAGACTCGCTTCTCGGACTTGGTACTTTCGACTTCATCATTCTCAATGATGAACTCCTTCTTCAACACCTTGATGGCGTACAATTTCTTGGTGCTCTTGGTTTCCGCCAGCATGACCTTTCCAAAGTTACCCTTACCCAGAACCGCCAGGAAATTGAAGTGATCCAATCCAATCCGGACCTTCGGCTGCTGAGGGGCCTCAGGCTGCTTCTGTGGGACCATCTGCATAGGCTGTTGCGGAGGAGGCATGCCATATGCGGCTGGAGCCGCCGGCTGCATTGCCTGAGGCGGAATACCCTGCGGGGCATTGGAGTATGGCTCGTAAGCTTTCGGGTCGTAGATAGGCAGCTGCGGTTGCCCCGGGCGATTCTGCTCGACTGTACAATATTTAGGTTAACCCTCTGCCCACTGTATAACCATATCGCATGTGAACAACAGTGGAACTTACCTGGCATCTGCTGGGGCGAGGGCACCCCTGTCGCCGCAGCCGCAGCGGCGACCGCAGTCGACGACGACGACGTTCTCGGGGGCAATTGTTGCCTGGCAGCCGATGTTGGGGACTGCGGAGGCGGGTATGAGTTGTTTGCGGCGCTCACTGCTTCAGCGGAAGGCTGTCGCGGGGGTGCTCCGTAGGGGCTCTCGACAGGCTTTTGTGGGTAGGCCATGGCGGCGGGGTCCTGGGAGCCCTGAGGAGGGCCGCTGGGTCGAAGCGTGCGGCCACTGAGACCAGAACTAACGGATGCGGTCTTGTTGTGGTTCTTGGTGCGAATCAAGGTTTCCAAGATCTGGTTGGCTGCCTCCATGGACATACCACAGAAATCAGGCACCAGATGAGTACAATGCGCGTGGCAAGTGAGACCACATTCTGCAGTAGGTCAGTATACGCCACCGCCATACATTTATGAGGTCTTGAAGGGCACCTACCGGAGCATCGCTTTGCGTTCTTGCGCCCAAAGGGAAGCAAATAACCACAGTGACAACACCAGTTGGCAGAGATGTTGGAGAAACCTTCGAAACGATGCGGGATGCGGTGGTTGATCTTTTCCTCGTCCGGATCGGTCTCGTAGTTTGCCTTGCTGATACACTTGGTCACGACCTTGGGGTAGCACTTCTTGTGGCAAGTGTATTTGCAGTCGGCGCACTGCATCCCGGCAGCGTACTTGAGGAAATCGCCGCAGAGGGCACAGCGCATGATGTTGTAGAACTGCTGAGTGACAAACTTGTGGCCCTGCTTCTCGTGAACCTCCTCCTTCTTCTGTCGAACCGCACCCTGACGGTTGAGACCGATGTCGAACGGCCGTCGGTCCTTCAATTGCTTGGCTAGAGATGGTGTCAGTCCAACGGGGTGCACCTCTTCGAACAATGACCTGGTACCTACCGAAGCTCATTGACAGGTAGATTCGGCCCACTGGTTCCAGCGCGAACCACGAATCGATCATCACCTGCCCTCCGGAAGGCGCGCCAGCAGTAGCATCACCGTAGCCTTGGCCCGGCGCCGCACCAGCGCCCCCAGGTCCTGGCGGGTGAGACGAACCCGGCGCCCCAGCGGTATCCGGCCGTCCAGATGCGCCTCCATGCTCCATCTTGTCTGCAGACACCCAGCCCGATGCGTTGAACTCACTCTCGATCTTTTTCCGACGCATCTCTTCGGCGATATCGGAGATGCGCACCCAGAGCATACCAATGGGAGTTGGCCGGTCTCCAGCTTTGTCGTACACCGTAAGCTCAATCTCGTTCGCTTTGTCGATGTCGATGGTAAAGGTTTCGTCCTGCCACCTGTCGATCCGCGTCGCTTTCGTCCTAGCTTTGATGCTATCCTCCACCTTGAGCACTATGAACGTTTCGGGGCCTCGGGAAAACCTCGAGCTAGCAGCGTGATCTACGTCCTTGACGGCGTGGATCCGGAATGTTAAGAGACCGGTCAAGGGCTTTCGCAAGTTGGGTGTACTTAGACTCTCATCTACGCGGAGGAGACATTAGCACTCGGAGGGGATGGGAGACGCGAAGAAGCGGGGGGCGACCTCAATGCCAGTGATACATACCATCAGGGCTATCCGTTGACTCAATGTCGACATGCAGATCTTCATATCTCTTGAGGGCCTGCTTCAGCAACTGAATCTTCTGGTTACTCTCAATGCGGCGACCCTCGGCGTCTGTCCGGCTCCTCCTATCCCCCTCATCCTGATATAAGCGAACCATCTTCTCGATACCAGCCTTGTACTGCTTCTCCACGCTCAGCTTGAATTCGAGCTGTGACAGCATGAGCTGGATCTTGGGTCCGAGATAGGGAGTATCATATTTAATCAAGTCTAATGAGAACAGGGTCAGGGTCAGTCTGGGAGATCCACCGCTACCGAGACGCGATTTCACCAAGCGGCAGGGATGAAGAACCTACCCAGCTTTGTATAATTGGGCCGGGCCTTGGGCACGGGAGCGAACGGCCGGGGGTCTGCGTATGGGGCCCCTGACGGCATGGAACCAGCGCCTCCGTGCGGGTAGGGCCCGGAGGCATCGCCATACTCCTCGTTACCAGCATAACCCTGGGGGTAGTCCTTCTGAGGGGTCATGGGACCAGCCTCAGGGTTGGGCGGGAGTCGCTTATCGGTGGGGGAGCCACCTCCATCGCGACGGAGCTGCAGCTCCCGCATCTTCTCCTCCAGGTAAGCAATGTTTTTCCGGCCATCGCGGATGTTCGCATCGGCTTGCTGCTGCACCTGGCGATTATCCGTCGACTGTCGGATGTTCGACGCGGCGGTGATGAGGGCCTTTTCCCGCTCGATCTTGCGGTAGACCGTGGCGATGACATCGTCCCCGTCCATGGTGAGGTGTCCCCGGACGATGGAAACCGAGGGGAAATTGAACGGAATCGAGCAATGCGACCGAGGGGGGAAGAGGGGGGTGTGGGGGTGAGAAGAAGGGAAAAAAGGAGGGAAGAAGAAGAGGAGGGGAGGGGGGGATGGCCGACGATCGGGGGAGGGGGGGGGGCAGAGGATGTTGTGGTGGAGGTCGAGGTGCAGAAGGAAGAAGAAGCAGCAGCAACAGCAGCAGGCGTCGCGGGGCTCTTGTTGACAGTTGCAGGGGACAGGGAGGGGGATCCGATCGATCGCAACGGGATGTCAGGTCAGTCAGTCAATAATGCTTAAGCCACTCGGAAAACGTGAGACAAATGGCCCGTGGCGATGACGGCTGAGGCCCCTCGTGTCAGTTGCTGGCAACCCAACTGTGGCTCAGGCAGTGCAAGTTTCCCCCCGGATGACTGGAGATTCGGGCAACCGACACAGAGCGAAGACGGGAAAGAAAGTTGAGGAGCGTGAAGGCCGGCCTGCCTCTGCGTTGCTTATTCTTCCTGCTTCGTTCCTTACCGCCCGCAATTCGTGCCCTTTCTCTCCTTCAGGCAAGCAGTCGCGGGCCGGAATGCAATGGCCGCATCAGCCACACTTTGCACTTTACTACTGTGTACTTCACGGTCGGAAATGATGCAATGATCACTCGGACTGGATCCGGGCAGGGTCTGCTACCACTGGCTCTGGTGGGAATCTGTTTCACCTTTCACGGAAGACTGTCCAAAGTGACAAGCCCAGGGGCTCAACCAGGGTTGGCCCACGCACTTTTTCACCACCTCGGATATCTACTATGCACGTCTCTCCCCGACCGTGGGACCCTGGCTGCCCCCGATCAACAAACAAACAAGCCTGCTGGGAAGATCCAAGAACAGACCCTGAAGTTTATTTCAGGGCTGCTGAGATTCCCCATCTTCGCGTGCCATTCCTCTGTTGCCCACAGCCACAGCCACAGCCACAGCCACCCTTGACATGACGTCGCTGGGAGGAGGGGTTTGCTGGAAGATGCCACACCCCTTGCTTGAATGTACTTCTCGAGGCTTCATCGGTGGATGCGATGGTCATGTGCCCCGATCTACCCGTCAATGGCTGCTTTGCAGGCCCCTCAATCATACGATTGGGTGAGCGATTCCCCGGAAGAGGAACAAAGGCCCGTGCAAAGCGGAAAGACAAAGAGCAAACAGCACCCTAATGGAGGAAAACGAACGCCAGGCCCGGAATGAAAGAGACAGGATGAAATGAATCGAAACTAAGGAGGAAAAAGAAGCTAACTACGATGGGCTCTTAACATCAAGGGCTGCACCATATGACAAATGCCAGTACACCTTGCAGCCCGGCAGACCGATCTACTCGGATCTCTTCGAAATACGAGGAAGAGATAGCCACCCGACAAGCATCACACCGTACAATCCGATGCATATCGGATGTAAGACGTACGTCCCCACACTTTGAGCCAGCAACCCAGTGAAGAATGGCGATACGGCTCCCCCACTGCTTCCCATTGCACTGATAATGCTCAGACTGGACATCTGCATCGAGCGCGGCAGGAGCTTACTGAACACGGCGGTGGCGCAAGGATACACCGGTCCCAGCAGCAAACCCACTACAGCGACAGCGACGGCGTCCCCGATGATGTTGGGAATGAGCCAGGTCATGAGCTGAAAGGCGACTGATCCGAGCACCAGTAAAGTGACAGCAAGTTTCTCGCCGACAAGATGGGCGGGATGGGAAAGTAGGAACCGTCCAACAGTAATGCCGGCCCAAAACCCTGCACTGACATACCCAACATGCGAGGGGTCTCCGTGCCGATAAGTGGTCAGAAACGATACAACCCAGCCGGAGATTGACACTTCCGCTCCTTGGTATGCGAAGATGAATAGAGCACCAAGTAGGGTGGACCGACTCTTCAATGATTGCTTAAGGATGTGTGTTCTGCCTGGTTGATGCGTCTGATGGGAAGCGGTGCGGTGAAGAGCCGTCAGCAACTGTACCGGATGATCCTTCTCATATTTCTGGAATGACCAAGCGGCAAACGCCATGTTTATTAGCGCCATGGCCAGGTTGATGCTGTAGTAGTAGGACCATCGAACACCATGGGATGCCAAAGCAGTTGCGACAAGCGGTCCTATGATCCCACCGATTCCATAAGCACCAGCAAGGCCGCCTAAAGCTGTAGTACTGTTCACAAGATTCGCACAAAAGACATTGTTTAAGGCCAGGTTGATAGCCATGCCCAGGCCTAAGAGAAAGAAACTGGCCACCACTGCAGGGAACGGCGGCTTGCAGATGATGATCACATATACAGCCGCCAACAGGCCCATAGAAACAGAATAAGTCCTCGAACGGCCGAGTCTCATTTCCAGAGCATGAGTCAACGGTGCAGCAAGAATAAACCCCAGCGCATTTGTCACGAAAATCAGCGACACGACAGCATAGCCAATCTTGTAGTCTGTTTCCATGTAAGGGATTAGGGCTCCCGGGGCGCTATCGTTCAGCCCATTGGCAAAGTTCATGAAGCAAGCACTCAACAGCCGCCATTTAGTGCGCGGTGCACTATGGATAGCGGGAACTGAGTCCACGGGTTCTTCCCCAGGCGAAGTGGGATGTCTCTCTAACTTGCCGGGCGTCACCGGTGTCTGCACATCAGTGGCTGATTGAGGGGAGGCGTCGGCAGTCGACTGGCTGCGTCCTTGCTGGAGGTCGCCGAGCTCATGGCCTGGAGGGGCATGGACAATCCCTTGCTTATCCTTGCGCAGCACCGCAGCAGGGCTTGTGATCGGCGGCGGACTCTGAACGTCGAATAGAGCCCCTAGGGTTGAGAACAACATTTTTGAAGAAAACTGTTCAATGAAGGGCCATGCTTGGGGGGTTGTACGCCATATATCTGAGGCTCTGGGGAACAACCCATCCGGCCCAGGGATACCAGGGACAATTCCCAGGGAACAGGGACAGGGATTTTAACCGTAGCGGTCTGGCTTCAGCCGGATATCTCCCCGCGTGCCCCGCAAATTGGTGAAAATACATGGGGTTTGGATTCCGAAAGCCAATCAGGCACACGCAGGTTTGACGATATGACAAATCCACTGACAGTGCCGGAAGAACGGTCCAGAACACGAGGCCAAGGCGTCATTAATATGCTCTGACGGGAAATGTCGGTGCGCAGACCTGGTTTGCAGCTGGAATCCTGATTCATGATACGAGGGAGAGCGCAGTCAACTCCCAGCTTGTCCGAAAGTGAATCACCGCCCTTCTATCTCTTCACCTGACCTGGATCATGGGCTCTTTGTCCGAGTGGGGTCTCACCAACCTGTTGAGAGAGGTCGGGAATGAGACGCCAGTGGCCTCTGGCGAAATCCGGACTTGAATCATCACGACCATGATTGTTTGGGGAGAAGCGCGGATGGTATCTAGTCCAATTGACCACTACTTGATGGAAGCGGGGAGAGCGAAGCAACGGGAGGAAGTTGGAACTTGGAAGACAAACCGCAAGTGGGCCCCACCGGTCTCTCCACCCGGGGATTTTCTGCCGCCCGAATTTCTTCTCGATTTCTTGTGGATTCCAGGCTTCGCGCAACTCTCCGACTTCTGCATCCCCGTTAAAGCTACGCAGGATACCAAAACCTTCCTCGTGTGCACATAATAATGGGTCCTCCTCGGCGCAAGGTCCTCGCTACGGCGGAAGAGACTATGATCCCGCCTGATGAGCTGCCTCAGGGCCACCTGATCGTGCGGGCCATCAAGGCTACCGGGAACAACATCTACTCGGTCGAACTGCCCTCGAAAGAAACCGTTCTGGTGGAGCTCCCGTCCCGTTTTCGTTCGACTATCTGGATCAAGCGGGGTTCCTACGTGGTCGTCGACACCAACGCCCTCGAGGGCCGCGACAACAAGCTCAAGGGCGAGATCGTCAATATCGTGCGGGATGAGAAGGCGTGGCGCAAAGCCCCATTCTGGTGAGGGACCTCAATGTGGGTGCTGGGACGACTACTAATCCTATTGCAGGCCGAAGGAATTCGCTAAGCAAGCCGTTGTCGTCGCGGACGACTCGGACGAGGAGGATGAGTCCAATGTGGGCAAGATGCCTTCGTCGGACGAGTCAGACGCATGATCGGGTCTTCGCGATTATCGAAGACCATCAGCGCATGGGTGTCAGTCGATCGCAGTCTGATGGTGTCGTCCTACATCTCGGCTTCTCATTGTGTCCCATGGATACGAGACCAGTCGTGACTATAAATGCACCTGCAACAGCCTGGTATCAAGAGGCTGGCCACTTCTATTGAGTATGCTCTTTACCGCTATCTTTCAAACGCACGGTATCAAAAGCGCTGGCACCATTCGCAAGGACGCCGAAAGTCTGGGCGGCCAGTGAGATGACAACAACCATGGAACTGAGGTTGGTGCTGGGAAAGACGTTCCAAGCCCACTCTTGCAATGCCCATATGAGGTACAGTAGAACAGGGTGGAATCCCGCGCGCCAGAGGAGGAACGGAGTGGCCCAGGACAGATAGGCGAAGAATTGATAATGAAGGGACCTTGCGCACAACAAGCCGACTGCAAGCGATGATAACATCACGGTCATGATGTAGGGTTTGGAGAGGGATACCGTGCGATCTTGGCCCACCAGCAGATTCTTGATGAACACGGGCAGGCTAGATCCGGAGGGTCTCAGCCAACCACCAGTGACAGCAAAAGCGGCCAGCAGGACAAGGTGTATCGCCAGCAGTGCCAAGGAGAACTTCTTGGATAGAAATACTTCTTCACCAACAAATCTCCAATTGACCGTCCATTTGAACATGAACTGTCTGGTTAGCTCGAACGCCCGCGAGAGATATCCTGCAGGGTTGTTTTGTAAGAATGGCATCGCGAGTAGCACCTGCATTCACATTAGTCTAATCCCTAGGCATTTCCCATTGAAGCGCCAGCAGGAGATATGTAAACCCACCTGGATAAGCACCGCCCGAACAGCAAGCCGAATGCTGGGCAAAAGAGACAGGCTAAGCACCGTGACCACAGCAATAGCCGGGCCAAGAAGCAACAGAGTCATCTTAACCGCAACACCCAACGACCAAACAGCGACACCAGCACTCCATTGCCGGTTCTGAAAGAGCAGAATCGCAACCCACATAGCCAGCGCCGCCAGACCATCGTTGAACAGCCGCAAGACATAAACGCTATGCAGTCTCTTGGAAAGGACCAGCAGGGGAAGCAGATACGGCGGAGCCCCTGACTGTCTATAACAAGCCAGCACCACCACAAGCGTGATCAAGTAGAGTACAGCGAAGAGGATCTGTCCGAGAAGAATATCGCGCCCCTCATCGGTGAGATGGTAGAGAAACGTATAGCTGTACACATGGCCAGCTGGATAGACGAGCGGTCCCGTGGATCCTTTGATCTGAGTGTAGTCGCGCTCTCCTGATAGATATAGTGAGATTTGTTGCATATATGTAGTCCAGTCAATCTCGGTGTCTGTGAGCAACGTCCAACGGGGTTAGTTCGTGGTGTCGCAAAGTGTAGGAGCTAGCCTTACACGGCACTTTCCAGATGATCAGCGCGCAAAGAAAGGCGTCGCCGAGGACCAGGAGTGGCGCGATCCATTTTGTGTGTGTGGAATTTACGCACAGATCGCGAATTTGGTGCTTCCAATCCATCGTGAAGGTGGTGGTTGTCTACTACTACAATGTACATTGTGTCGGGTGGCCTCTTTCTGCCGGAGAGCCAATGAGAGCTGCCCCGTTTGGGATTAGCGCTCGCACACCGCGCGGCCCAGTCTTCGAATCTGCAGAACGCGTGGGTTCACCATGAGAGGAGGGGGATTGTACATCAATCGGGACTTGTATTCACTCGCATATGCGTAACTGTATAGTAACTCCTTCCGGCAGTAGTCGTAGGTACACTATCGATACAAAGAGGGGTATATTTGCTGCCGTGGGTTGATTTTCTGCCCGGCCGACAAGATCCGAAGCCAACCTCAGTCGAAGCCACCGTGCTTCAATGGCTTGCTTCATGGTATAATTCACATTCATTCAGTATTTCCTTGTCTCCAGTACTTTGCTTGAGACTTTCCGTATGCCACAATGTCGATTACCGACTCTCCCCCACCGGTTGGGACTGTGTCGTGGTGGGTGTCGGGGCTTCCCCACGATTCACAAAGCCCAACAGCTCACCAAGAACCCCTCGGGGCTTGGGAACAGGGCACTCGTGGCCTACCTTGGCCAGTCTTTGTGCCTCCTCTTCTAATTGTAGGAACGTAGACACCTCTTCATCGGCAGTGGGCTGGGCTCGGACAAGCGCATGGCCGTCTGGACTAAGCGTTTCGTCCTCCTTCCGACGCCGTCTCCGAATTCTCTGGATGGGCTGTCCATCTGCCGACATGGTCATCTCGGAATCGGCGAATGTGCGACGCGGGGCAGGACAGGGAAAGACGTGCGGAAGACCGACAACGACCAACGACGCAAGGAGTGTCCCAGCGAAGAGGGAGGATGTGGAACGGGACCGGGGGTGTAGATGTGGCGGCATGATGGATGGAAATGTGAACAATTGGAGGGATTGGTCAGGAGCGGGAGGTGACGGTGACGATAAGACGTTCACTAGGCGGGGACCACGGTCAGTCAGAGCGAGGGAACCAGGGTCCAGAAAGAATCAACCTACCAAAGCAATTAACCCAGGTGCGAGAGAGTCGGCCCAAAGGACGGCATGGCCTCACCAATGGATAGCGGGGACCAGAGAGCGACCGCTGGGGGAGCCAGGGAGGGGAGAAGAGATGGGGTAGCAGGCGAGGGACCTGGAGAGACAGGCAGGCAGGCATCCAGGCATTTCATTTCCCGGACTGGATGGATTCGGCCTAGTCTTGGCGATCAGATCTAATCTAATCTTTGAGGACGGTGATTGGCCAGCGCGGGAGCACGGCGAGTTGCAAAAGCCTCTCCAGCAGCCCAGCTTGCCATCACCGCCGCTCGCCTCTGCCTCTCTCCCTCCACCCTCCCCACCTGGCCCGGTCCTGCTCGGGTTTGATCGAGCACTCCATCTGATGAGAAAATGAGCGTTCTGTTTCTGCGCACTTAGCGGTCTCTCTTTGTCATCCTTCCGGCGCCACTCCCGCCTGCACTGACTCGATTGCCTCCTCCATTCTTCTGCCGTCAGGACCCACCTCTCCCTCCTCCTCGTTGCTCCAGCCTCCCACCCAGCTGTTCATTCCGATCACCTCCTTTGCGCTCGAGCATCATGAGCGACCTTGACAGGTACCCTTACATGCGACCTCCCTCTTCTCTCCAGCCGCCCCCACCCCCCATATTCCAGATAACTGACCTTCCTTTCTTTGTCGCGTAGGGCGATCGCGCAATTACGCGCCTGCCGCTTGATACCCGAAGCCCAGGTCCGCGAACTCTGCTACAAGGCGCGCGAGCTCCTGATTGAAGAAGGCAATGTGGTCAACGTCGACGCCCCCGTCACCATCTGCGGCGACATCCATGGCCAGTTTCACGACCTGATGGAACTGTTCCGCGTGGGTGGCGACGTCCCCGACACCAACTACCTCTTCATGGGCGATTTCGTCGACCGCGGATTCTACTCCCTCGAATCCTTCCTCCTCCTTCTGTGTTTGAAAGTCCGATACCCCGATCGCATCACTCTGATCCGTGGCAACCACGAGTCGCGTCAGATCACCACCGTCTACGGCTTCTACGATGAGTGCATCCGCAAGTACGGCAGCGCCAACGTGTGGCGATACTGCTGCGAGGTGTTCGATTACCTCGCGCTCGGGGCTCTGGTCTTGGGAGCCAGCTCAGAGCTGGAGCCCTCCGGCCCCGTGGATACCACACAATCTTCTATGCCGATCGATGACGCACTCGAGATAGAGATCCTCAACTCCAAAGGCGAGGTCACGATGAACTCCTACCGTTCCCGACCGCAATCATCCAGCGCATCCACAGACACCCGAGCCATCTCCCCGCCACGCGACATTTCCACCACCCCCAATCAGGCACCCATCAGGCCCGGAGCAGCAGGGACGGGCGCGTCCGGCGACTCGGGCGGCAGTCTCTCCAGCCGCACCGGAGCCGTGCTCTGCGTCCACGGTGGACTCTCCCCGGTCATCGATACGGTGGACAAGATCCGGCTCATCGACCGAAAACAGGAAGTGCCGCACGAGGGCGCGATGTGCGATCTACTGTGGTCGGACCCGGACGAGATCGACGGCTGGGGTCTCAGCCCCCGCGGCGCGGGGTTCCTCTTTGGCGGGGACATCGTCAAACGATTCAACTACCGCAACGACCTATCCTTGGTCGCGCGCGCGCATCAGCTCGTCATGGAGGGGTACAAGGAAATGTTCGACGGGGGGATCGTCACGGTCTGGTCCGCGCCGAACTACTGCTACCGATGCGGGAACGTCGCCGCCATCCTGGAATTAGGCGAAGACACCAGCAACGGAGGCACCGTCGCCAGAAGCAACGGCGACTACGGACGAAGTAACGGCCTCCTGGGACCCAATAGGCCGGCCGTGCGGAGTCCCGGAAGACGCTACCGGGTGTTTGAGGCCGCTGCGCAGGATACCAGAGGCATGCCCGCGAAGAAGCCTGTTGCTGATTATTTCCTGGTGCGTATTTCCATTGACACTTACCGACGACGCACGTACTAACATACCACCCAGTGATACCATATGAGCCACGACGATGCATAGCACTCCTCATTTCCTGTCTACTATTTTGTCTGTCCACGGCTGCATCTATGTCTGTATCTGCGTCTCCTATTTTATCCGATCCGATCTGATCCCATCTCAGCCCATCTCATCCTGTCCCGCATCCGCATTTGCTAGTTATATAGGCCGGCCTGTGCATGAACATGACTTGCGTCTTCTCATCACTTCTTCGCTTTTCTTTCGATTTTCTTCTTCCTTTTCTTCTTTCTCTTTCTAGATCTGTGTAGTTCTGTCGTCCAATTCTACTTCATCTCTTTTTTTTTTTTTCTTTGTTTTGTTTCTTTCTTTGTTCTTTTGTTTCAGGGACTTCGCCTCGACTCGGTTGATGATCATACAACGCAACGTGACAAATCCTATTTTTATCCTTTTCCTTTTTTTTTCGCCCTCTTTCTTATTTTCTTTTTTCGTTGTTTTCTTTCTTTCCTCTCAAGCAAGTGAAATGACGTACGTTGTGTGTGGACTTGGGGTTTGTTTTCTTACACTTTGTATCAATCATGACATGTTTGTTTACCATTTACATTATATGATTAAATATATTTGGTATGTTTCAGGTTCGATTTGGCTGATGTTGGGCATCGAAGTTGGCTGTCTTACTTCGTCTGGTAGGTTGAGTTGGTGGTAACTCGGGCTTTAGCACATGAGAGATGGAGTCGACGATCTACACTTGATGGCTATGCCTTCTGAAAATGATTTTGCAGGGGTCACCTAACCCCATATATGCATGGTATAGAAATCTAGTGAATAGCCCGAAAAGAGATCACCTTAGTCTATAGCAGAGGCGGGAGGAACCCTGAATGAGAACCGCAGGCCAGCATTACAGTTGTCATCCGGGACAGATCCCAATGCCCACAGGCGAGAAAAGAGTACAAGGCTAAACATTAGCCCAGGCAGTCGTGCCATCTTATCGTAGCATCATGATTGGGGTCAAAAGCGCGACGTGGTGCGAGTTGGGGCAGCCAGCAGTGCTGCCGATCATCCGTTGAATTCTCCCGGAAATCGCACGGCGCTGTAGGCAGGGTTATTCGGATGGGGCTCGGGTTTAGCGGTGCTGGGAGGGGCCCCAGCACCAAACCTCATTGCTTGGGCCGGTCGAGCACTGTTCTCCGCTCCCGATGTCTGCCCAACATTGGCGTAAGTGCTTCCAAAACGCACGTCGGGTTCTCTCCCCGGCATAGCAGGGTTCCATCCTGGCACCCAGTTATCTATCCCGAAGGTCAAGGCGCTCGATTCACGAGACCACCAGTCTTGGCTCTCTTCTACGAGGTTCTCAGAGCCATCGAAGGGCGTCATGGGAGACGAAGTTGTCGTCGTGGCAGGAATGGTCTGCCCCGTGGTGAACGCGCGGATCTGCTCCTCATCCGGACTATACCAGACATCTTGCTGAGCAACCGCAACCGGCTGGTATTGACTAAAGGCATTGGTTACGGGCCTCAGATACGTTGGCTCAGGAAGCCGGGCGCCACCTTGCGCCAGCTGGGCGTTCAAAGACCGCTGCGCTGCACGCATGGCTGATATCGAAGCGGGTATTGGGGCTCCTGTGGTATGCGAGAGACCCATCGACCCAATCGATGCGGGTGGCACAGGTCCGCCATGTTCACTTGGAGCAACCCGTCGCTCTGCTGGTGCAAAAGGGCCACTGGTCGGATCGGCAACCGGATATTGAAGGGTTGGAGCCGGTGGTGACCCTTCAGAGGGTGGTGGCGATATCGCTTGATCCCACGAGCCCCATGATCCCCATTTGGCGTGGGTTTGTTCGAAGGTGGCTGTGGCTTCCCCAGGCAATTCGACATGCCACTTGTTGGCCGAGATTTCCAGAATCCTGAGCGTACGCCGTGCGCAGAGCCAGCTCTCTCCCATTTCCTCGAGATGCCGGAGACCATGAATGACATCCCTCTGAGCGTTCTTCTCCGGCAGGTTGAGGAGATGGACAGTCAGTGCAGTGTGAGCCATGTAGACCGCAACGTTACAGATCTGTTTGAAGCCATAGGTGCGTTTGTACATCCTGAGCAACTTGGAAATTGCAGAGGCAGCCTGTGTGCACAGCTTACGGGGAGAAACATGCTGAGGAAGTGGCGAGTTAGACTTGGTGTATTTCAGGAACGGTCGATAGAGGTGGATGAGGAGAAGCTGGTAGAACATGCTTCAAAGCCGTTAGTCATATTCTTCTCCGGATTAGGGCCATAGTCTAACTTACTGCATTAGAAGTGCCTGAGGAAGCTGTCCCTCTTGTGGTCTGAGCTCCCTTGGCAGATCCTTCTTCCAAGCTTCAAGTCTGGTGTGAATCTCACTGAGTTTCTTGAGTTCCGCCTGTTTGCTCGGGGGCTTGTCCTTGGGGGTGGGATCGTAGAAGAACACAAGCAGATCGCCGTTTATTTCGCACAGCCGGAAGATCTGGGAAGCAATTGCTCGGATCCGCGAAGGCTGCGTATGTTCCCGGCCGACTCCAGTGTCCATGTACGGAGACCACAATTCAGCTTCCTCGTTGGGCAAGATATCCACCTTTGGTACGCTAACGCTAGATGTTGTCAGCTGGGGCTGGCGACCCAGATAGTTCGACCAGCACCTGCATTGGTTAGCTCTATACCATTCTTGATGGAAAGTCATCACACATACTTGTCGAACAGAAAACAGCCCCAGAAAGTAATCCGGCGTGCATCCACCTCCTCTTCTCCGAGATTGCGGGCCCCAAGGCTGGTGGAGTCGAAGTTCAAGCCCAAGTCGAAAGCCATTCGAAAGCTCATTCCACTATAAACCCAGCCCTTGCTTTCGCGACCGCAACCCGCCTCGCGAACAGAGAGCAGAGCCAGAGCCTGTACAGTACACAGCTTGGCGTTTGCATGTTCATCGTTCTCGAAGAACAATCTCTTGGCTTCTTTGAAGAAGTGGTCACCAGCTGTTGCAGAGTTCCGCGGGTCCTCCCGAGCTCCTTCCCAACTGCTGAAGTGACATCCCAACGCCAGCATCGCATTGACCAGCAAGGTCGAGCAGTATTGGCTGGGTACGCCGCGGATATAGTCTCGGTAGAACAGGTCTTTAGAAAGAGTCGTGAAAAAAGGGTAGTGCCATGTGAAATACATGGTCATCAGATGGCTGATCAGCCTTTCGTCGCTGGTGACTCTCGTCCACTCAGTGACGGAGTAATCATGTCCCTGATCCAACGGATGTGTTGAATTGAACTCGTTCAGTTCTGCCCCGGGCGGCAAGAAAATGAGGTTCGATGTGCCACCGATGAACTTTCGGGAACCGTCCAACAAAAGCTCGCTCATTTTTCCTGCCAGCTCCGACTCGAACTGGTCAGCCTGCATCAGCGCCTCATCCCCGCTAGCTGCTGTGTCCTCGGGAGCCGTTGTGGAACCTCTCCCTTGGTCGAGAATCGATTGTGCGACATCTTCAAGATTATCACAGGACCGGATCTGGCGCACCAAATCGAAGGCGTCCTCCTCTTCATAGTTCAACAGGGCCTGGATCAGCGTCAACAAAGTTGTATTTTTGGTCCTTAGCGTGTCGGTATCCTTTTTATAGACGCCCTTTCTGCGATGGTCGGAATTTGGGTCGTAGACACCTGAGGTACGGTGAGCCTTTTTGTTGGCCAATGCGGGGGACACAACCACATACAAGCGGTATGGTAGACAGATGAACAAGCTGCGCAACTCGGTAGATTCCCATCGCACTGGACCAGCACATCAGCTACAGTGAGCATGTACGGCATCCAACACCGGTCGTACCTTGGACTTCCTTCGGCGGCAGGCGATACAGGCGGTGCTGACACAGCGCCTTTTAGAGACCTGACCGTTGTCTGTGCTCGCTCCTTGAGATCTAGCCGAAGCTTTCCCTCGTGGTCTTGGTGGTGCTGGCGTGGCGTCCATCTGTTGCGACTTCTCCGCGGAAATGTCGTCCATCGCTGTCAGGACCACCCAGGAGTGTTCGGAAGAAACGTCAGGACAGGGCGGAGCATGCTTCTCAAGGGTGGGAAGATCGGAACGAATTGCTGGAAAGGAAACCCTGGAGGCCCCTGCACAAGAGAGGTGGAGGGGGGGCACGGATGGGATGTGCCGGCATAAGCTCGACAGGGAACGGACGAATCTGAAGGCGTGGCAGAGGCATTAGTTAGGCAAGTGCGCAGAGCTAGGACGGGACTATTGGCGATATCGCAGGAGGAGCTAGTCGGGTTTATAGATGGGAGGTGCGCCATCGGGGATGACGGGGATGACGAGGGAGGGGAGACCCCATGCCAAGCGACTCACAGATCAAGCAGATCGAACCAAAAGGATCAGACTACCCCGCGACGTGCAGATATGGATTGCTGAGATGACCCGCAAGTGGAGGCGACAACCACCCTGGTGGGAAAGGCAGAGAGCTCGTATGGGCACGAGGGAGGGAAGTGGCATGGAAAGCCGATGATAAGGTCGTCAGCTATGGGTGGGGTGATTGGACAATCGAGATAGCCTGTGGTGCAAATTGAACGGCATCGCGACGATCGCCCGACTCTGATTTGAAGTCGTCAGCCCGATGATAAGGTCGGAGCTGACTAATGCTTCACCGGAACGGAACTTACTACGTCTAGGACCATCTACAGAGCACATACGGTGTCGATAGTACTCCGTAATTGTATGGCATACAGCTCCAACTGGGTCAGAAAACCTTCACGTCCCTTCAGACCGGAGCTGGCAAATCAACTCGACCAGTATCAGAGATTTTCTGAAACCGGCGGAGTCAATCACATGAGCTGAGACTCGATGGATTCGCACGTGATCAATTGCCCGTGATCCCTAACCATTTACGGAGTCAAGAAAATAAAAGATAATTCTCTAAAAGTTCCCGATACCATAACCACTTTCAAATTTAAAATAGCATACACAATACTAAGAAATTGGAAGAATTTGGTAGCTTGGAAGTTCAGTATGAGAGCAGATCTAGTGTCAGGGATTCTCGGGCCTGACCCGTCGAAACTGAGAACCTCTACTTGCACTTGATACGAGAATCTAGATGAATGTTGTCTGTCTACAAAGTAGACAGATTTGATTCATTCCGATGGTTGCTACTGACGTACTTTGTACTCCGTACTCAAGGCTGAAATAGCCAGGCACCGTGGCCACCATATCATTCAGGGAGGTTCATGCATACTTGGCCGATGACAGAGAATCTGGATTCCTCGAGGTTCATTGCATGGCATCAGTTTCGACTCTTCACAAGGTGTGCTGGCCCTCAAAATCTCAAGCAACATAATTGTAAATATTTTCATTACTCCGTATATTGATATGAAACAGGAGCAAACACCATCAACAACAGAATACGCATTAGTCATCTCACTCCTCGAATTACCACTCAACGAGTAACCAAATCGGTTGTATTATCATTGGTTGGCTCTATACCATCAACACAACCTCACTCCCTGCCCCCTTTACCGCTTCTTCGCAGGGGGCTCTTGGCCCAACGGTGGTCCCCAAAAGAGAGAAGCCCTGGCCTTCCACTTCCGGGCTGTGTGCGTGCATCTGAGGCACGGCCTCCGCAAGCATCCAGAATCCCATATTTATGAATTTCTCGGCGCCAAGTCTCGCCGATCGACTGGACGATCCTGGATTATTAATTGCCGGCGGGTAAAATCTGCAGGCACAGGGTGGCCTGTACTCTGTCCTCTCCAGCACAATGAGATTACTCCGTCGTCACACGTACTTTGGTCATATCCGGCGGATTCAACGACGGGAGGTAAACCATCTCGAGCACGGGATGAGTACTCCGTAGGAAGGGTCTTCTTCCGAAGCCCACCAGTAGACGATGAACACCACGAAGATTAACAGGGTGGTTGGTGTTGTGGTTGGGCAGACAAAGTCCGACCCATCCCCTCCCCCCCAATATACTGTGCAGTCCACCTATACAGTCTTCCGTAGATAGCCTTCCGGATGCTAATCGGTCATTATAATTGCAACGACGCAAGTTACGGTGTGACCGTGAGTAGTACGTAACATTCGGTAAGATGGAACATTCTTTAGTGGGGACGGGGGCATTCTGGGCTCCCCTGGGGGACAGCATTGGGGACGCTGGCAGTTCCAGAAGTTACCGTGGTACAGGGTCATTACGGCGCTAGGACGGTTCAGGTGACACGACGGGCGTTGGGCAGGCTGCTGCGGTGTACGGGAGTGTTCCGGGAGTCGGCACCCGCCCTTACCGCCTGAAACCAACCGCATTGGGGGCAGCCGACGGGCGGCCGCCTCACTGAAGCCCAGCGAGGGGCTAAACCGTTTGGGGGGACTGCAGACGACGAGGGCGCTAATGCTGTCCGATGCGGTCAGGCGCCGGCACCTTTCTGTTATGCGATCAATATTACCTTTTCGGTCTAGGGGGCTCCGCTGGGACCCGATGTTACGGACAAACCGTCATCCACCTTTACCAGTACATACACAACAGTACTCCGCCGTATGTTTCCCCGTTATCTGCCTTGTCTGGATTCCTGGTTGAGATCATTTCTTTGCCGCTTGGCTGACCACCCTTCGTACTCTCTTGTCTCTCTCTTATCCCTCCTCCTCTGCTCCTCCTTGGAAACTCTCTTCTTCCCCTTCCTTTGTCGTCGACCTCATCGATCCCGCTTCCGGTTGACTGTGCCATCCCCTCTCCACCTTCATCACCATCTTCATCTCCATCTTGCGTCCCTGCGAGTCGCGTGCCTGCATACGGACCCGGCCGTATTCCGCATTTGGCGTCCTTCCGCTCGGCTGGGTCTCAGCCAGTGCCAACACAGCAAGTGTGAAGTGTGTGGACTGTGGTGCTTAGCCGATCTACTACTCGGATTTACAAGACTATATCTATCAGAAACACCTCCACCGGGGAATCGCCCACGAGACGTTTCCCTCCCTCTACTCTCGTCCTCCTGTCCTTCCCCCCATCCATGTATCTCGCTCAGACACTCGATTCCAGTGCCTCGTCGGGCTTAGAACGCCTTACTGAATTTAAACAAAAACAATCGTGCTGTGAGCTTCAGCTGTGAAAATGATGGTCCCAAGAGCCTTCCTTTTCAGTTCCGTGCCTTCTGCGCCGAAATCCTCCCTCCGCCAGCATGGGGAGAAGATCCCCGTCACTAAATCCTCCCTGGATCTTCTCAACAGCCAGGACCTCTCGGGCCTCGAACTCCCCTCCGAGACTTCTCCGCCGTCCATGCACACCAGTCCGGTGATTATCCCTCCGAAGCGGGCTCCCCGGGTGACATCCGTGCTTTCTCAGACGGCGATTAAGGGTCCAAACACGCCGAAGAAGTCCAGAACGGTGTCTCACAGGTCGTCGTCGGCCACGTTGGCTGACCGGCCCGTGCCCAGTTCCATTGCGTCCATTCTGGAGGCCACTGCGATCCCCGTGCCGCGCCGTAACTGGAGTGTCCGAGAGTCTCGCAACCGGAAGAAACTGCCGCGCGGAAACCATGTGCAGGATTTCAGCAAACTGTTGATGGACGGAGTGGGCGATAATCTGGTGGATAGCACTGGCAACACTACCCTCGACCTACTCTTGAGTCCTCCGGAGGAGCTGGACCGGTCTACGGTTGGCAGTGACTGTGACAGCGAGGCCCCGTCGTTCTCTGCTTGCTCCTTGTCGGTTGCGTCGACCCCGTCATTGGACCGCGACTTCGATTCTCCGTGTAGTCTTCCTGCCCCGTCTACGCCGTCCAGCCACCGGAGTCCGTTGGAGAGAAAGTTCCAGCGCCAATCTCCGTGCGAGAACTGCATCTTTGATCACCCCTTACTCGACACAGAAACGTCGGACACGGAGGAGGAATCCGTCGGCCAAGCCACCTTGTCCGGTTTCAGCCCGAAGACCCCGACTCCATCTCGAACGCTCCCACGCCTTGGATCCACCTTCAAGTCTAACTTAACGGCTTCGTTGCGAGCCATCAAATCGGCTGCGCAGAGTGTCTCAGCCTTTGCGACGCCTTCCGTCCAGCCGGACGATTTTTTGACCCGCTCCCTTTTCACGATTACACCGGAGATGACGGACGACCGACGGCCTCCGCCGATGAACGAACCACCCTCGCCCGCACTCCGGCGGTACCTGAACCCCATTACGGTTTCGCCGGCGGAGATGTACGCTTATCAGGAATACCCACACGAGCCGCTGGACACCCACAACTGCCCGGTCTCCGTGCAAATGCAAACGTACCATCGCTCGGGTAGGCGCGGCAGTCGCAGGAGCGGGTTCCACCTGGCACGCTCCGAAGGCCGAGACAAACAGCTGCTGCCGTTCGACCCCGAGATCCCGCCGATGTCACGCCAGCGCGAGCCTCGGGAGAACAGCGATTTCCTGCGGATGGTGGTGCTGGAGATGAACATGCGCCGTAGCGGCAAGCTGCGGGACGACATTCCGACGCGGGCGCGGATCTGGCTGCCTCCACGGAAAGGAAGTCAAGGGCGATACATGCGGTACGAATATTATGAAGATGAGGATGAGAATGCGGTTCCCTCCCGATGGGTGGGGGTGTCTGTGAGCAGTCTGTAGATATCGACCGTGCGTCGGCTCACATTCGTTTCATTGTTTCAACACTCGTTGCAGCGCTTATCATTTTCTGTACATACAAGCATAGGTAGCGGGCGCGATCCCTACAGGTAGGGACATAGCGAGGCGTTGGGGTCATCATCAATTGGATTATTACTACACTATACCTTAAGCCTCACTTGCGTAGAATATACCCCATAACAACCCATCGCTGACGCGTGGATAGTAGATAACCAGTATCATCATACCCTAGCCAACTGCCTCCCGGGAGACTAACTCGGCCACCTCACGGAAGTTACCGTCCTAGATCCATCCATAGTATCTACACTAGTCCATGGCAGCCTACAGGGCTACCCTACCCGCAGACTGCAGACTGCAGACATCTCCATCTAACCGAATCCAACTAGTGCTGATACTAGAGTCTATCCAGTCATAGTAAGGGTAGTAGTTCCTTATCAACCTACCCGTTCCAGTTAGATAGGAACGACCTTCCCAACAGGGTAAGTCTTGTACTCGATTCCATTACCTATGTATTTACTTAGTATCTCGGAATTGTTCCGTTAGTGCACTCATGATGGAGTTAATTGTGTGTATACTGTAGAGAATGAGGAATTTAGTGTCGTTATTGTGAATATGTTGTTTCGATGGATAATGGGAATTAACAATTGTTTGATGTTATTGGTTGGTTTATTGGTCGGGGGGATGAAGTGTTAGATGACTTAATTATTCATTTTTGATTCCGAGGAAATAGATACTTGCGTTGGATGGATGGATGGGAGTAGGAGTACTATGTATGTATGACGACCAACCCGACTTACTACCTCAGGCTGCCAACCTGCCTGCTGTGTGCTGTGTTTGTCTCACGCGAGCATCCAACCCCTACCCTACAGCCTGCCTAGTGTCTACAGCTTACAGCCAACAGCCTAATCTAGGCAGCCTACACCCCTGACCCGATGCCAGCCGCACTGGATTCATTTATCATGACATGCATGTCCTGTTGCATTGCCTATACCCTATCCTTCTATACCCTTTATTCAATTATCATATTATCTAGACCAACACAGCGTCATACTACCCCAAATCCCCCCCTTCCCCCCACCACCCAACAACAACAACCAAGTATACAACCAAACCAGATCCGATTTCAAACCCAAACAACAATAAAACAATCCCATCTATTGGCATCACCCCACGGAACCCCAAACCTACGCAGCGAATCATTCCCGAATTTCCCCAGTGATGACGCACAAGACGCGGGTAGGGGAATTCTAAATAAGTAGGATAGAGTTTAAGTGTCTGTCATGTTAGAGTATAGTACGGGGTATAGTATAGTATAAGGTGTTACGGGTATGGTATGTATGTATGTATGTATGAATGGTATTGAGTTTAATTCATAGTATATTAAGTATCCGTATGAGGATTGGTATATCCAATCCATATCTAGAACAAGGTAGGTTTGAAGGGAGGGAGGGAGGTAATACACCTCAGCTGGTTGGTTGGTCGTGATCATCACCTCGTTTCTTGGTTTCATCCATCCATGATGGCTGGCTGGCTGCTGGAGGATGAAGGATGACACCGTGCAGGAATTCTTATCTCTGTCCAATTGGATGCATCGCTCAAAGGGTTCAGGTCTCAGCCACGGTGACATGTGCAGTGTGTATGTATCTACCTAAGTAGGGGGTCTGACGGACAGCTGGTAGGAGACTGGGTGGGATGGTGATGCGTTGGGTGTTTGTAGTATCTATTCTTGGGTGTATGTTTAGATCAATATCTATCACTAGTACTCCGTATGGATACTATGTATTATCAGAGACTGATAGAGTTATCTCTGATCGATAACTGATAGACGATGAATGATGCGCAGATGATGTCAGTATCTATCATCTTGCCGCCGCTATATCCATCTACCCCCTACTCCAGCAAAAAGGACCAAAAAGTCTTGACAAGGACGGGACTCGAACCCGCGCTCTTTCGAATTGGTGTATTGGTAATACCTAAAACCAACGCCATAACCACTCGGCCACCTTGCCATTTGCACATTCAAGGTGATTGTTTTTATTTGTCATGATGTAAGAAACTGCAAATGAGTGCCAATTCGACCGCCGATTGTGGTTGTTTGGGGAAATCTAATGTTTTAATTTCTTGTTCGTTATGGATTTGCTACTAATTTCTTGTAAATAAAGTCGTGGTGTGGCTGAATCTATCATCTACGAATCTAGAAACAGATTCTACTTCCTAATTCTAGTGCAGGTATCAAGCAGGAGTCTACCAGGTTGTATGTTTAGGGTTCCAAGCATGCTGGCATGCTGCAATCGTGGTACGTATCGTACCGGTAAATTACGGCCGCCGACCACGAGACGTCATCCAGCCTGAACCCGGACTGGCTGGAGATAAGACCTATTCGGATTCCCTGAGCTGCCTATTGGTCGCACGATATGTACAGACCCGTGGGGGTAGCATACAGACTGGGTTCGGGCTACAGGTGGTTTCTCCGGTGGTCGTGAGTCAGAGATAAGCGCTGTTCGTGCTACACTGCAGATATCCTCTTTCAGAATTCAAAGGGTCAACTTCGTTGATCGTCTGATGTGTGGGGTATACGAGTATAAACAGGAGACACATCAGGACGAATGATCAGAGCATGTGCGCCAGCATCAGGGTATCACAACGGACGGAGAAGAAATGTCCGCCATGCTAATCACTCAAGGTTGCACCGTCGATGCGTGTATACCCGATGCCCCGTCAAGCAGGATGAAACCCTAGAGTCCAATTAGCCCCGGCATCAGACAATCCCGTCTGCTCACTTACTCTCTTCGTCCAGGAGCGTCCGTTGCTTCCAGCTCTCCTCGATCCACTCAACCGTGACGATATGAGGGATCTTCTGGCTCGCCTGGGCAGACCAGGTTTTCCGTAATGAGCGGATTGCTGAAGATGGGGGGTCCGAATCCACCACCACATGGGTGATGGACGAGTCCGTCGCGGTATCGACAACGCTAGCGCCTGCGAATCGGGCCTTGTTGCGGGCCAAAGGAAGCCGATAGCCTTGGCCAGCGGGCTCGGGCTCCTCGGAATCCACGCCTTGCTCAGTCCGCGTGGGAAAGAAGAGCGTTAGGTTTTGGAACAGCCACCCGCATGGAAGCTCCCATCCCGCATCCACTTTCTCTTGGACAACGTCCCTAAGTCTGGCTTCGGGGGCCCGGGACGAATCGACCTTGTTGTCTTTGCACATCTTCTCCAGTAACTAGTAGCGGTTAGTTGCACGGCTGAAACAGAACTTGGGGGACATACAGCACTCAGCTCCTCCTTGGTGACATCGCGGGCATAGCTGTCATCGAACTGATCAATGCTGGTCGCTACCTCCGCTTCCTTCTCAGGTGTGGTGAAAAACATATGCCTGGATGGTTAGCAGTTAATCTAGCTCCAGGATAAGGCATCTCACCTAGGCTCTAGAGGTAGAAGCATGTCTGGAAGACCCGCGTCGATCTCATTCTGCCGCACACAGTCGAGAATCCAAATTGGTCGGACGATGCTCATGTCGCCCTTCTTTTGCAGCGAGGCTGCTTTCACAGTCCCTGTAGCATGTTAGTGGCTACATCTGGCTGCAAATGGCGTGCATACTTCTGTCCGCAATGCAGATTGTGTTGGGAGCTGCATTGTTGGTCTGGTATAACTTGCCCCCATTGGATTTCACCAGCTGCTCCAATTCCGCCTTTGACTTTTTGAACGGGGCGCCAGAGTCGGTCATTATAACTATACCAGTCAGATCACGCATTCGAAAAGGCATGGGAACTTACAGAAGTTGAGGCCGTCGAAAACATGTCCAGACGGTCCGTCATACTTGACTTCCGCATCAGCACTGTACCCTGCAATCGTCAATGGCTTCTTGGTTGCTCTCTTCACCCGTTTCTTCCGGAAATTCTCGACATTGAACTCCTTCTGCTTCTTTTCCTGCTCCACGTTCTTCTGCATATCCACAAACTCCTGTACGGAGAGCGCACTCTTCCAGTCCTTATCCATGCGTAGCCTCCGGAACCGGGGAAAGCGCAATGTCAGCGGGACTCTAAACTGGTCACTGGGAGAGATGGAAGAGGCCTTGACGCAGAGTACTACCGAATCCTCCGGCTTGATCCATTGATCGGGACGCTCGTGTTGGGCATCTCCGCCTGCCAGCTCGATGTAAGCCGTTGGCGGTTTCTTCGGGTTCCAGTCCATCCATTTGCCATCGGTGTGATGGCGAATGTTCGCATAGTCAGCCGCTGTAAAGCCACCTCCGACCTTACAGAAAGAGTAGCATTTGGAAGCCTTTGCCTCTGGTGAAGAGGCGGCATCGTCGACCCTTAGGCCACATAGGAAGCTGGCAAGGGCACCTCCACGATGGCCACTGCCATAGTAGCCCCCAATTACGATCACGTCCAAGGACTCCCCAAACTCAGTCATATACTCAGGTTTCACCTTCATCCAGTCGTCGTGTCGTTCATTCAGGCGATAGGGGGATCTGGGGTTCTTGAGCACTAATCCCTCCGAGGCCTCTTCAACGACTTTTCGAAGCGATGCTTCTACTTGTTCCTTGTCCGTTGCTTCCTCGTAAGGATGGATCTCGAACCAACGGTATACTGGGTGTATACTCTTCTGCAGGGCATTTCGACGATCCCGAAGCGTGTATCTCGTCAAGTCATGCCCATTCAGGTATAGTATATCAAAAATCCGAAACAACGGCTGGCGTTTGCTCACAAAATAGTTGCTCTGTGCCTCAATCGCAGCCCCCTTCAACGTACCAAATGGTTCAAACGCTTCCTGCTCCGAATTCCAGACGATCATTTCACCGTCCAGGATCAAGCTCTTGACCCCATCCGCAAAGGCATCTTTGAGGTGCCTAGTCAAGGCACCATTCGGGTCCTCTAACCCATTTCCATAGAGATAAGTGTAATCCTTTGCCTTCCTCGACCAGAAGCAAAACTTTTTTCCTCCCGGAACCGAGTCATCGGACTCCATGTGAAGTTGCATACGCTCGCCATCGAGCTTTTCCTCAATCCAAAACACAGGGTCTTGCTCCGTCACCCCCATTCGGGAAATCATCCGATCCATGGAGTCCCTCTGAAACTGAGCTAGCTGCGGCTGGAAGCACTGCATCAACGAGATCCCCTTGTTCTCAGCCTCCAGTCGAATATTCGGATCATGCAGCTCCCAGCAAACCCGCCTCAGACTACTCGATATGCTGTAGAGAGTTTCCGCATCCGGATGCCACACATCAAAGAGCGTCCGCTCCGTAGCACCGACTTTCATCTGCCGCAGAATAATCCGGATGAGCCACAACAACTCCTCGGGATTCATCTTCCGATAAAACTCCGTCAGGATCGACAGCTGCTGCTCCTCCTTGGATGCATTCGAAAGCTGATCCAGTTTCTCATTCACATCCTCAATCAACATACCCCCCACCTCTGTCCTCATAGGCCGTTTGGAGAGGATATCGTAGCACCGTCTCGCAAAGTCCCCCCCGCTAAATCGGGACGAATCCGTCTGTCCCGGAAGCTTCCAATTCAAAAGATTAAACCCGTCTTCCGAGTTCTTATCAATCTTCATCACCTTCACAAGCATCTTCCCAATGGTCTTCTCTTTAATGCCATACATTGCCCGATCACGATCTTTGTCCGGAAGAATCAACCGAAAGGCAGGATAAATATCGTCCCCCACTTCTTTCCTCCATCGTGCGATAAACTGCTCAATCACGACGCGTCGTCGTTCAAATGAGCTGAGGTTCGCGTTGGATTGGCCCTGAGGTCCGACTTTTCGCCGCGAGGCGGCGGATACCGTCGGCTTGGTTTTTGCATCGCTCAATGGGTTGAACAGGGTCTCGAAGAGCACGTGGAAGGGTAAGGTTTTGGAATGGTTATGAGGGCGGTTGGGATATCTATGCAGTCGGATAATATGGTCAGTATAGTGAAGTGATTTGCGAAGCGTGCTAGCGCTGTGCAACACTAATAGAATTGAAGTCGCGTAGGACAATGCAAAAGAGGGGAGAATGGCACGGCTTACTTTTCGTCCAGGTTGGACTCGTTTTGGGAGGCTTGATTGTAGGATTTTCCATGACTACGGGTCCCTGCGTCCATGGCTCGTCCGCATACTCTGCATTCGGAATTGCAGTCGTGGAAGGAAGAGAGCCACGAGTTGACTGTTATATTGGTTGTCGTAGTGATGGTAGGCTTCAGTCCGCGTTTAGGCGGCAGCTCCGATAAGATAGCGGAGCATGTGACATGACATCACAGCTTCCGATGCAGTCGAAATGATTAAGTATATGTAAGGATCACTTGCTTGCTCTAGCTTGGGAATGTAGGCTTCACGTCATAACTATATAAGCACTAATATACATAGCTCATAATCACTTGTATTCCAGTAGCAGCACTTTTTATGGTTCGGAAACCAACTCAGCAAGTTTTGCCAGGATCGCGATGAACCGCCGGGATATACCCCACGAGGAAAGGCGGGTAAGTGCCATGCAGCCAGCATTGAGGGTCTTCTCTGGTCCATGCGGGGCACATACGTCGCCTACGCCACTCAGAACCGCTTTCATTCCGTGGCCTTCACGGACAAAAAGTTGAGCCAGCTCATCATCACAGGGTCTGTCCAGGTGGATACGCATCGGGTTTTCTGGCATGTCATGTCTGGTTTCAAGGCCAGTGTTCATGTCAGATACGGGGGCGTAGCATGAGCCATACGCCCAGAGAGTTAGTGTTGCTAGGAAGACGGCAACTGACTCATGGAATGCATGGCTCGAATACTCGCGAGCGTGCCACAGCGTTGCACCTGCGTGTATAACCGCCAAGCGGGCCTTGTACTGGTCGTGCTTGACCCAGCGTAAAATGTAGTGCCATTCAAGGGTCTGCTGGCGCCCACTCCAACGGGTCTCTTCCTTTGCTAATGAGGTTGCCAGCGATCGAATTTCACGAAACGGGGCCAGGAGGACTATGCGTGCCGAATGGAGATGCAAGATGGTAGGATGCTCAAGGCCAGCGGCCCTGGCTACGGCGCTGCTAGCCGCCCAGTGAAGTATATCCAAGCAATCACACGCACTGTTGCGCCACTTTGAATATGAGGGGACCCCGGGAAGCCATACAGAACCCGGGGGAATTGCGGAATGCCGGGACTGTTTCTTTGACGTTGGGTTCCAAAAAGACAAAGGGCGACGGAAGTAGTCGCCTACTTCCCACATGCGATGATATAGTGCATGGACGAGCAGAACCTGGCTGAATTCTCCTATATCCGGTACAAGCTTCTTTTCGATGTACATAACAAGAACCGCATCGTAGAGCGAAACTTCTTCCTGACCTACAAGACAACCCATTAGATCTATACGTCAAGTGACAGACAATAGGCGAGATACCTGAAACTCTTTCCCGAAGTTCCTGCCAAGCCCCGGAGGATTGTGCTTTCCAGAGAATCTCGTGAGAAGGCAACTTCGCTTGCCCATCGTCAAGAGAGAGCAAAGGGCGCTTGTCAAAGTGGTATGCTATTGTGCAGTCCAGAAGCTATTCTAGTGTTAGGCGGGTAGTTATCGGATGTATGAGGCGAGCACGTACCCATATAAAATAGCCGGTCCGTCTGCGGATCTCGTCTTCAATCCACGACTCCCATGTCTGCTCGTGCATTTGCCCGCCTGTGAGCGGCATCGATTTGTCTGAGTGACCAAGGAGATTTTCATGGGTCACAAAACCGATCAAATCGCCGAAACTATTCAGCGCAGAAACCCTAGCTCGTTCGTCATAACTGTAAAGTAGCCCAACGCAGTTCAGTGTTATCGCCTGAAGAAGCCAGATGGGTGCTCGGTCCTCATAGCACTTCTCTTTCTAGAGAAATTGGATGATTAATGACGGTACCCCGTAGAAGGAAGAATTAACTCTCACCTCGACAGTTATAGCACGCCTGAGAAATTCGTGAAATGCCGGTGCACACTCGCTCTGTTCTTGAAGACCGGCAAAATGACAGCCAATTGCTGACAGTGTCAGCACCACCAGCCAGTGGCATTTATTCAGGTCGAACGTTGGAAGGTGGAATATCGGATAGACAGGTTGGAAATTGTCGAAATAGAGGTAGATGAAGCTTGACAGTATCTTCGCATCGGGGAAGTAGTTTGATTCAAATTTTGGATATAGAAAATTGTCTGTGCTGCACATCTGTACGAACGCGTTATGTATCATGTGGTATGTTGATGGCTCGAGTGGATATTGACGGTCATTTTGGTCCTCGTTTGCGGCATGAACTCTTGCCTCGGGGAGAATCGGGAACAAGAACTGAGGTTGCCCATTTGTTCTCTGCAGCTGTATGGAAGCGTCGGCAGAAACCGTGGACAATCCTGACCAGGCGTCCCGTTCCCGCCTGAAGTTCGAGAATCCCGGAACAGCTCCATCCATGAAGTGATCTCCTGCGCGCTGGGTGGCATTGTTATACTTCGATTGGGATATTTGACTTGGACTTTCGGTATTACCACCCAGGGAGGTGTTCCCGGATGGTGTCCGAGACACATTCTCTGACGCCATTGGACTACTATCAGTAATTGATGGAAACCAGGCCGTTTGATTCAGAGAAACATCTGGAGGCTTTGATCCAATTGCTTTTGGGTAGGAGGAGTTCAATGGATGACTGTGGTCGTTGGAATCAAGTGGATTCTGGGGAAGCCAGTTGATTGTAGAGAGCGTGGACTGGCTCAGAGGTCGCATTAGCTCCATCCGTACCTGCTGGTTCTCTACTGTTCGTACTGTCGCGATGCCATTAGGGTCTTCTCCGGCTGTATGGAAGCTCTTGGATTGATGGGCTGATTCGGCCATCTTTTCGGTCGATGTAGCAACGTGTGAGTACGTGTCCTGTAGTCCCACACCAGCATATTGGTGGAAAGAGCCACGCGCCTTTTGGATCTCTCTATCCGAACTTGATGAGAAGACGGATCTCGAGGTTTCTTCCATAGCAGAAGCTTGTCCGTTGCCCCTGAGTTCGTCCGAAGATCTCTTTCCAAGCTCGAAGCCATCAGCAGTTGCTGGAACATTGGACGCCACCGTGCCAGAAACACTTGACACAGGCATTTGGAGTTGAAATTGAGTCACCTGGTATTGGAAAGGCGGTGGCATTGATCGTTCTCCATTCCGCGACGGGCGCAGATCAGAGCCATTTGCCAATGTAGATTGAATAGGATGGGGAGACTGCCCGTACGATGCGTCATCATTGGCAAGAGAGGCCTGGGCCTCCTTTCGGGCCTTCGCTTTCGAACGTCTCTCGGTTGGATACTGGCACTCAAGGGACCGGTTCTCGCAACGTGTACATGGCGAGCCTCCACTGCATCGTACCCTTGCGATGGCGCACTTATAGCAAGCGCGGAACGTCTTGACGGTTATTCGGTGCGTGCGATCCTTCCCCCCTTCCATTCCAGCATTATGGTGACTGAGTTCGTGGCGGTGAAGAGTATCCCTAACGCTCCTGTCAGTCTGCATGGTAGAGGAAGAGTGGGAGGATGCTAGATATATGGGCGGTGCCAAGAAACCCGCCAGCGTTCGGGCATCAGTTTTAAGGACTAAGCAGGTAACCTACGTTCTCGAAAAGTGCCGGCCACACTGCGCACACTCAAATGGCTTCTCCTTGGTATGGCTTCGGAAATGACGCTTCAAGTGTTCTGGTCGCCTGAAGGTGCTCTGGCAGATCGAGCACTTTGTCTGGCCGGTTGCTGTCGAGCTATGCGGTGTGTCACGGTTATGGCTGCTGCTGTCATTGTTCGTTGGCCCTTCGGCCTCAAGGCGGGTCACGGTTTCTATGTAACAGTTAATCTGCCTGCCTGCAAGCGAGACGCTAGGATGGCGCATCCCCTCCTTTGCCCCGGGAATGAAACCAGGGTCTGATCTCACCTTGCCCAGCATCGCTCTTCTCCGGAGACATGGCGTCTCATGGGCGAATGTTCGTCGACAGACAAGCTGGAGAAGTCTCGCATGGCACCTAAGATACGCCCGAGTTACTGGTTCGAGGACTGAGCAGTACTATCTCGGGAGACTCTGCAGACAATCGCCATCGTATCACTCGAGGACTCCTATCGTGTGGTCCAGGGGGGGGAGAAAGTCACTCGGAAGAGAAAATCGGCGGAGTGTGGTCAGACAGCTGTCCGCCCTGGTTAGCATCTAGCGGAGGGAGGAACCATGCTGGCTGTAGTTAGACGGGGGCACTGGAAGCGGGGAAGTCGACCGGAGTGACTAGAGGGACTCACGGTGACTGGCTTAGTCGCACTTTTAGCCTCGGGGGGGCCCACGAACCCATCGCCCTCCGCGTGGGCGCCAATCGCCATGATTGGAGGGGATCCCGAAGGTTTAGATTAATGTTGCATGTCCCTTCCCAAATTCGCGTCTGATCCTGGGCTCTTTTTTCCGAGGTCGGTTAAATACCCGTTTGTGTATAAGCTCCATGGGAAGAGGAAGGGTATTTTACGACAATCATTCAAAGGATATGCATGTGAGGGACATGAGGATTGGATGGTATAAATTGAATGTATGAAGAGTGGTGTGCCAATCCCAGCAGACAGGAACCTTAAGGTACTAGAACTCACCATCAGCCCTGGTAGGTATCCTTCTGCTTCCAAATTACAGAAAAGGGAAGGAGGAAGAAGAAGAAAAACAGACGTAAAGTCATTGAGCTTAGCATACTCCGTACCTGATGTGGTATTAAAAAAGCATTGAAATCGTCAGCGACAGGATTCGAACCTGTGCACGCGAACGTATCAGATTTCGAGTCTGACGCCTTAACCACTCGGCCACACTGACTTCGATTGTTATCGATTTGAGATTTAGATTATAATTGGCATCCGTCTGCTCCGAGCTTAATGAGTAGGTATAAAAAAGTATTGATATCCGTCAGCGACAGGATTCGAACCTGTGCACGCGAACGTATCAGATTTCGAGTCTGACGCCTTAACCACTCGGCCACACTGACTAATCGCTTTGTTATCCGCAGAAATAATGTGCCAGTACAGTCATAGAGGCGCTCTATCTTTTGTACGGAGTATTGATTGTAAAAATGACCTTCTGTCAATCCTTCCCATTGCCGGCGGCGTGGCATAGTATTGCTAGTACTTACTGCACACTTCCTCGAAAACTTGGAGGACTGTTGAGAGATATAGACAGTAGTCGAAATGAAGTACAGAGTGCAAGGCCTTGTACATATATGGGCCCGGGCCATAGGTCTAAAATAAGTATAAAGTAGACCTTTTTCATCTCTTCCACGAGATAACGAGTAAAGCATGTACCTTTTGTCCATAGCCGATATATATGTCTACTAGAAGACCTCACTGACCCGGAAATTTGAGAGTGGTCGATCTTCCGAAAAGGTATTAGAATCAGACAGTCACAGAAGCTTGTTCAACCGTCATCCAGGCACCGGTTGAGTCTAGCTGATCTCTATACAGCATTTTGAGACGCTATAGGGATAAGTACTGGGCCAGAGGGACTCTTGCTGCGACCGGAAGACGTCCCATGGGGAATACAAGAAGGATATCTCACCAATGTCAGCTCTTCGGTTGACTCGATATAATATTGAACCAGAGCAAACCTAGCCCCAACCAACCTTGAATTCGGAAATGCTAAAGCACCACGGGGTATTATGCTGGATTATGCACCATCTCATGTGTATGAGGATGGCAGAGCCAACCTTCTGTGGGGTCTGCAAGAGAGCGGCTTCACAAGTCAAATCGTTTGACCAGATATATTCAACCTCCAGGAACCCGCACATGTCACCGGAACATTTCAGACTGCTCGATCTTGCGTTTTTAATTAAGAGATACTTTCTAAGAACACCCGTCAGCTCATTGTTGGAGTCATATGCGGGTGTCTTGCTCTGTGCCATAACGCAACAACAGTAGCGATGCCGTAATCCTAAACTCCCGAGAGATTAGTTCAAGTCTATATGAGTTTGAGCATCAAGCATGGCTTTCATCAGGAATTCCGAAGCCCACATAAATGATAGTTCCCGAATGTTCATTCGCTCACCTGCTCCTTTGTCGGATTCAGGGACATTGGTGGCCGGGATATTGATATACTTGCAATTGATCCGATACTGAAGGACTTTCTTGGTGGTGCAAATACTGACAACCATAGAAAGACCAACCCTGTGTCTCAAACAGGCCTAGGAGTGAAAGGCTTCATGGCGTAGTTCGGCCGAACAGCAACGAAGAAAGGGAAGCGCAAGAAGTACTAACCTTCTGTCCTAATTAATGTTGATAAATATCTATTCCAATCAGAATATCACTCACCTCGATATGTAGAGAGAGCAGTTGCTATACCAAATAATATTGTAAGAAAGTTATTAAGTATATTATGATGTTTTGGGAGCAGACCCAGTATCTATTTCTTATATACAGTTCAACTCTTGAAACAGAGACAAAACCCCCCCACTAGGTGTATCGGCATCGGTCGCGGCAAGGTAAATTACATCAAAGACAAGGCAAGAAAGATGCCAGGTCTAAGTAGCGCATTCGTAGTCATCAAGATAGTCTTTCACCACCTACTTCCCTTTTCGGTACCACCCATAGTCTATAGGCAGATCTTGCATGAGACCACCAGAAAGGATAGATCGATCAGCAATATTGTGACGTTGTCTGATAGATCTCAGATGCATGCTAGTGCCACCAATCGATAGCGCAACCCAATCCTGATGATATACTAGTTTTATGGTTCGAGATATGCAGTATTTTTCTGGTTGCTTACTTGCATACACATCACGACGAACAAGCCGATATGAGAGTCCCATAGTAGGTTGCCCTGTGTCTCGCAATGAACTGCCGCAAGGGATCGGATCAATACTATGTCGGTGGTTCTAGATGCCCTTGGAACGTCACCCGTGACATTGGAACCGTGAGTTACCCGCAACTTGTCAAGTTGGCCTCCTTCGGCCGGCGCACAGACCCATTAGCTCAGCAGACCTGCAGACGGGGGCCCCCGTTGCCGTTCCATCATTCCCACGCCTCCCACTGCGCGATTGCCTTTTACCGTTGGAACTGGAGGCCATTGTTGTCGGACTATTTGTCCTCATTTCCACAGGAGGTGAACCTGCTCTTGGCCTGTCACTGTTAGCCTTGGTCCAGACTTGACGACCGCTGTGAACCTTGGATCGGGGCTCCCATGAATGGCCAGCCCGACTTTCGCTCTGGACCGCCGGTTGCCTCGCCGTGCGTCCTCGAGTCATGTTAGCAGCACCGTGACAGCCCTCCAAGGAGCCACTGCCGCATTCAATGCAAGCCCTTCCAGACCGCATTCGCCTATTGTCAGCCATAGATCTGGTGCAACCGTGGGATCCAAAAGTGTCAGCCACCATAGTCCCCATCTAGTCCCGCTTCGCAACATGCAGTCCCCAGAGCTGCCCGAAAGTGGCTCGGTCAGGGACATGATCGGGAGATTTAGTGATTATCCGTCACCTCACAGTCTAAAGAATGCATCCGGGAATGTCCCTGAGAGCGTAGGGGCGATCAGATCACGCACTCCACAGCAGATCGCTGCCCAGCTTGCCGCGGGGAGATCGACGCCTGGCGAGAAATCAGCCACGAACATGGGTGTCAGCAGGATGCAAGGATCGATGACGGCGCTCTCGAAGCGCAGTGATGGCAATGAGAGACCACCCTTGCTAGCGCCGAAGCCGGTATGGGCTACAGCTGCAAGCACTGCCTCGTTTGACAACATCCCACAAAGCGAATCCGAATTACCGCTGAGAGATAAGTCGACTCAACGGAAGCCAGTAGTGCAGATATCTTCTATAGACGCGGCAAGACTGGCTGCGAAGACGAAGCCTCGCCCTCCACCAGTGCCTCGGAAACCACCTGCGTTTGCCAGCGGTCCAACCTCTTCCCCTGACAACATACATCCTAAGGGGCCAGAGAACCACGAGCAAATTCTAAGCTCTCACTCCTCACTTCATCTTAAAGATACTCCCCTCTCTGAGACACCGCCACTGCTTCCACCGAGGACGGGTGGCTCATCCGTGCCTCGGAAGAACCCAACAAATCATCGAACTCTCCTAGAAACCAACTATGTGTCCCGGACGCGACCATCAACGCCCGGCACGGCATCCCTGTATACTGCTTCGGTGAGCAATAGTACTACGAGCTTGCTTGACAGCTCCTCGGGGCTGGATGAAGGGGCGCTCTCGGATGCGATTGTCGCCTCATCATTGGCATCTGTCCGGGCCTCACAGGAGAGGAAAGTCCCACCGCCCCCACCACCGCAGCGCCGAGCAAGGTCTCGTTCTTTGAAACATTTTTCGCATACGACCAAGCAAGAGCATTCGAATTCCCCTAGTCCATCCACCCACCTACGACAGACACTCCGGGACCCAACCAAGATCGTCGATGGTGAGGGGTACCAGAGACATAAGCATTTAATTCGGAAGCACCCGCATAAGCATCATGAAGGCGAGCGAAAAAGATGGCGGAGTGAGGTTACAGAGAAAGAGCGAAAGCGATACGAGGGCGTCTGGGCTGCGAACAAGGGATTGTTGCTTCCCCCCGAGCACCAGAGGTCCCCCGAAGCGTATCCCCCGGGAGCCTCGGAGATGGTGGTCAACCTGGTGGCCGCGGACATTTGGTCGCGTAGTCGCCTACCGCGGCATGTCCTAGCGCAGGTTTGGGAATTAGTGGATGGGCAGCGGATTGGTCTTCTCACCCGGGAGGAATTCGTGGTCGGGATGTGGTTGATTGACCAGCAGCTGAAAGGCCACAAACTCCCGCAGAGGATTCCCAATAGTGTCTGGGCGAGCGTCAAGCGGATATCGGGGGTGCATATCCATGGGCTCCCTCCTGCTGCATACTAGATTGCGATCTCTCATCGATGATTGTGGAGACATGCAGTGGATCGGTATGGAGTCGTCGTCGTCGGAGCTTTGTGTGCACTGCCTAGGTGATCACCCGATTCAATTATATACGGTAGCCCCAATGCTAGCCGCGACCAATGCTAGCATAGATGAGGACCATCTATATCGGACGTGGGCTATCCTATCTATGGCGAACCGGCCGATCGTACGGGAGTACGGAGTAAGCCCCCATGATATTGGCTCCTCTGGGGTCTAGATATCGGCCATCCTGACAAGTGACTAGCCCTGAAGCCTACTATGGATCTAAGCATGCAGATAGATTAAGGAGGTCCCGTCGTTGTTCCGTGAGTAACCTAGCAAAAGAAATTCCAGAGCCCAGCCGCACTTACATTAGAGTGCATATTACGTGAAGTAGTAGGTCATCCCCGTTCGGGATTCTTTGCGGAGACCATTGATGGATCCAAACTTTGCCATTGCTGCTGTCTGCGATGGTGCAACCTCCATAAATGTGAAGGTGCCTCTTGTTTCCATGACTGGTAACAAGCCCCGGCCCCTCGCTTCCTCTGGGTCAAGCCTACGTCACTAGAACCCCCCCCCCCCGGAGTGCATGGACCGTACCTTCTACTGCGGCGGCGATTTCCGCGGGACGGATGCCCCTCACGTGATATCTGGCATCGGGGTCCAGTTTGCTTGATTCGGGTAGGAGCCAGTGGCGTTCACTGCCTGGGGCCGCGCCACTCGGCTGGTGCTGGTGCTGATGGTCCCCGAGAGGCAAAGGCTGAAGCATGCCCGAAGGGCTGGACCCTGCGGAGAACACATCGTAAAGAGGGGGGAGGGAGGGCCAAAGGAAAAGAAAACAAAAAAAAAAAAAAATAGGAAAAAAAAAAAAGCCAAGACCACATAAAACCAGGAACGAGTCAAGCAATAGCAATATGCAGAGCTGCATGCCTCGAAACGACGTTTGAAGAGCGATCTGCCACTTTCTTAGATCCGTGCCCCATCAAAAAAAAAAGCAGAAAAGAAAGGCATTGCGGGAGACTAAAAAAGAAACGACAGGAGATCTCCGATTGTTATTCGACGACCGCCGTCGACCCGGCGTGCCTTTTGACTAATCAGGGCCCATCGCCCGCCACATTACGCTTTTTTGGGGGCAGAAGCAAATCCCGAACGCTCGACGGTCGGGATTTGCCTCGTTGGGTCTGGAGGATGAATAAGCGGTACTCGCTCCAGCACTGGCTCCCCCCCCCCCAGCCCGGGCCAACTGCGGTATATCAGACCACGCCGGGGGCTTAACATTTTAAGGCCCTTCAGATTGGCTCTTCCTGAGGACGGTGTTTGATGGGTCTGTGTGGGAGTCGGTGTTGCTGTCGCTGTCGTTGTTGTTGTTGTCGTCGTCGTCGTCGTGGGTTTTGCCGGTCGAGGTATGCGCCTCACTGGACAGTCTCCGTTCGCTGCTGCATCGGTCTACGGTGATGGTCGTCCGCTCTTTTCCAGGCGCCTGTTCCCTTCCCCATTGTTTGCTCAGCATACGCCGCCATGGTGTTAGAGGATTCCGAGCTGTCTGGTGAAAAGAATGGGGTCCCCAAGGTGGCAGTTACACAGTCCAAGACCGCCCGACCCACGGTGGTCCGCAAGAAGTTTGCGAAACCCCCGGTCAAAGTAGCTTGTTTGGCCTGGTGAGTTCCTTCCCTGGACTGTCCTTGTTTTCGGCCGCAAGCCACCGTGGTCTTGTCCACCGGGACTAATCCTGATTCCCTTGTCTCCCAGTCGTGCCTCCAGGACACGTTGTGATGGCCAAGATCCGTGCACGAATGTAGGTCGTCTTCCTCTCTGGATCGCGATTGCCGAGTCTATAGTATCTCTTGCTATTGTTTTCCTCCCCTCCCTCTTTGCCCCTTCCGCCCCTTCTCTCCATCTAATCCTTCCCTGGCTCTCCCATTGTTCTGCCTTCTGGTTTTGAAGCTTCATATATCCCGTCACCCGCGCTCCCATCTTTCCGACGTATGTGAAGAGGACGTGTGCTGATAATTCTCCGTGTGGCAAAGTGTGCCAGCAAGAGTAAAAGTTGCTCTTATTTGCCCAGTAAGCGAGGTGGTCCAAGAAAGAAGAAGAAGACGTCGACAGCCGCGGAAATCCTCGCCCAACTGGATGACGTCCAGAATGGAACGGTCCCCCCGGCCTGTTCGGGGTTTGACGATTGTATGCTCAGGCCCTAAGTGAAGCGCAGGCTCACCCACTAATGGAAATCTAGCAGCCGGCATGTTTGGCCAGATTGACGTCCTCTCAATCCCAGGGGCAGGGCTGAGAAGCCTAGACTTCTCCTCCGATGTCCACGCCATGTTTGCCGATCTCTTCGTCCCCAGCAGCGAGAACAATGCCCATTGCCAAATGGAGCCGACTCCTTCTCCATCAAACTTACCTTGCCGGGCCTTTGTCAGGACATATGGCAGTGAGGATGCTATGTGGGTGATATCATAATCCATTCGGCCTTGCGGCATTCTAACCCAAGAGACAGTCTCAACGCCTACTACGACTTTATTCATAACTATTTCCCCATACTTCCACCGAGAGTCGACCCCCAAGCTCCAGATCGGCCTCTGGATTGCGTCGGTTCCTTTACGGAGACACCGTCAGAAGACCCATTGCTCGTATATAGGCCACGGTCCCCTCTGAGCCTTGCAATATCGGCGATCATGGCCCTCGTTCCACACCCAAACGACATAGAACCGTCGAGTCCTACGTCTGTTATCCGCCGCCGGACATTCGCACATACGTTTGCGCAAATGGCCAATGCTGCCATAGAGACCGATTGCGAGCTTCATGCTTCGTCCACCGACCCCTCGGAGGCATTATCAAGCGAGAGGCCTCTCATTGATCGAGAGCCGTTCCATCGCCAGACGCCAGTGGAGCTCGAAAGTGTCCTCGCGCTTCTGGTGCTTTCAATCTACGAGTATAACCAACGAGGCAATCTCCTGAAAATGAGATATCGTGCTGGCCAAGCTCTGGCCATAGCGTTGGATATGTCTCTACATTCTCTAGGGGAAGAATGTGACGAGTTTGCGGAAGCTCGGCGGAGAGCTTGGTGGATGACTGTATGCACCCTCATCTGAAACGGCACCGCGGCTGCTAATGCCTATTTCTCCGCAGTATTATTGTGTCCTCCAGGGCTCAATCGTCAGCACAACGGTAGGTCTCGCTTTATCTAACCCACCACTCCCCTCAAATCCCTGTTGTTAGATTCCAAAGCTAATGTCAATCTCGCAGCCCTTAGCTATTGTCGCGAATGATCCCCAGTTCATCACACCATATCCGCGTTTCTCGGCCGACCCTGATGTACGCCCCTTCCCTTCACCGAAGTCAAGGTGATAATTGAATGAAAGTGGCTTCTAACGCACGTTATAGGGCTGGTCTGTCTTGATCCAAGCGCAACAAGTCCTTGTCTCCGCAACCCAATTCATCATCGATCTCAACAAATGTCTCTCCACACGGACCAACATGCCTTACATCTACGAACGCATGCAGCAACTTGACGCGTGGGCGAGCTCTGCCTTGGCGCAGTCAAACCTACTTCCCATCGTGCCTCAGTCCATGGCCTGTGGCGGCGAGATCGAATCAATAACGGCCCAGAGTATACGTGCAATATCGCGGATCAAATTATCCAGGTATGTGTTCTTCGGGTGCTACGGTCTTACTGTTGCTAATGTCCTTAAGCGCCCAAATCAAGGTGCATCGCTTCCGGGCGTTCTCGGATATTCCCATTTTCCTCAAGAAGCACTGTGATCTTACCTCCGCCAGCCCCAACAACCCGATGTCGAATTCTGCCGCCAAAGATTCCAGGTCCCAAAGCGGGATTGCAAACATTGGATGCTCGTGTAGCCTCGGCCCATTTGAGCAGACTCCAAGTGACTATGCCTCTTCGACGTCTTCGGTGTCGTCAGATATGCAACCCATGTCGCAGTATCCCTTCGCAAATGGATTCCCCTATAGCATTCAACATTCCGCGAAGATGTGTCTCAGAGCATCCCTTTTGATTTCACGCATGTTCTACGGTTTACCCCTGCCACAACCGCTTCTTGATAATTGCTCGACCCAGCAGGGGCTGCCTATGCTACCGAATCAACTGCCACGAACCATGCCGTCGTTCGCGTGCTGCCTGATGCAGGGTAGCTATGCAATGTTGATGATATACTACAAGGCACGCGTGGAGAAACAAATGTCCCCCGACTATGGGACTGACGGTACCCCGAATCCCTCGGACCGGCTCATTGAAGAAATTCGGAAGGGACTGGAGCGCATAATTGCTACTGTTACCAACTATGCGACTGCATTTGAGGCGTTGGACGGAATGAGGGGTAAGTCATGTCCTGCTCAGCGAATCTCTTGCGTTACCGGCCTATCTAACATGACATGCAGATGAAATCGCGGGCGCATATCATACGGCGTTTTCTCCGGCATAGAAATCTTCGTTGCAGATTTATCTCAACCATTTTTCTCAATTTTCAGATCTTCCTCGATGGAATTGACTGCTTCCTACATATAGTTCCCGCTAATATAGGGAACAGAAGGTTAATGATTCATCTGGTTCATTCTTTCTCCGTCTTTCAGCCAAGACGGTTCCTACATGGGTGTCATGTGGTGTTTTGCTGATATCGCTTCTCATGGTTATACCATTTGATTTTATTTCTATGAGCCTGATGTGGATCTTGAAAGCAAATAACCCCACAATAAAGCTTTTACTATCCACTTATGTATCATTTTATGTATATAATTCTACCCAGTCATATAAAACTAATCCTCCCTTTTTCCTCTTCCCTTTCCCCTTATGCCTGTTGAATGTTGGGTCCCTTGAAGTATACGTGGTCGCTCGATCCAACCTGAGGTCTCCGTGACCCTCTCTGTGCGCAAAGGGAAAACAATGCAAGGAAGCCAAAGGAAACAGCAACTTAAAGTACCCCGAACCAAGTACCCAATATCTAGGTTGGTGAGGTAGAATAAGATAGAATGAGAGAATAGAATTACATCGGAAGCGAAGCGAAATTGAACCAAACCAAACCAACCAAGCAGCCGCGCAAGCAATCGACCTCTCTATCCCGGTAGACAAACTATCTAAGGAACTTGAATTAGATTTTCGGAGAAGGAAAGAAGATTTAAAGTTTCGACCGAATCCCCTCCAACCGAAACTTAACGTCCTTGAGCACCTTGCTGGTTGGTTTCCAGTCGTCGAATTGTCGGAGGAGTTCCATGGTTTCGTCGAAGAGTTCGCGGCGGACGTATTCCTCTTCGAGAATGCCGCGCATTGCGAAGGGGAGGATGTAGGGGTTTGCTGGGGCTGGTTGGGTGCGTTTGATGTGGAGGGAGGCGTTGTGGATGGTGGAGGTTTCGAGGGCGAAGTCGATGGCTAGGCTGGGGGTTGTTATTAGGGGAGGTTGGGGAGATGGGGATGGGAAGTGGGGTAGGGGGTATTGAAGTTGAACGTACCGGTATACGGCTGGGTCGTCGTAGAGGCGAGAGTGGCCTTCTCCGCTGTATAGGCTGCCTGCTAGTGGGGAGCTGAGTTCACGGATGAGACCGTGGTCTGGGATTCCGAGGTTGCGGAGCTTTAGAACGAAGCCGACGAGGTGGGACAGGCTGGTTCGGTGTTAGATGGGTGGGTTTGGTGCTGAGGGGGGTTTGGCATGGCTTACAAGCTTGGGGCGTGTACTCTGCCGTCGACGAAGGCTGCGCGGTAGATATATGGATGGGTTACTGGGGCGAATAGTGAGGACTGAGAGGGAGGTGGTTAGCAGATCTGGAGAACGGATGTTAGTGGTGTAGGGTTCTTCACCTCTAGAGAAACGAGTTGGTCGTCGATGCTTCCGATGTATGATATGCGAATCCCAAAGTCGAGGCAGGTCCTCAGTGCCGATTCGTAATCCTTGGAGACTTGGCTGTAAGGTAGGGCAAATTCGAAAAGCTCGCCCGCAGAGCCGCTGATCCATCGGGACCTGTAATCCGCGAAGGGGCCCAGATTGACCCCTGCCATGGCACAAACGCCGACCCGGGCTGCATTGAGACAGCCAAAGGATATTAACTTCGCGACCAGCATAATCGCAACAGGGACACCCTGACTGTGGCATGCCACCAGAATGAAGTCGGCTTTTCTTATCTCCTCCATCCAGTTGAGTAGAAGCTTCCACAACAGGTCGACACGCTCGGCGATACGACCCTCGCCTTCCAATGCGATTTTCTCAACGGCGCATTTGTAACCATGGTCGTCGACCCAGGTTTGTATGGCCTCCGCCGCCATATTCGAGAACCGGATCGAGGTGCCTGTCGGCTGACCGAGAACACTTCGAATTAATGGAGCAGGAAAGTACCCGTGTATCCCAATGGCCAATGCCCTTTTGACAGGGGGCGTGTCCTTGACCATTTGGACATGCTTATTGTTTGAATCCTTGCTATACTGGAAGTACCGTCCTATTGTTTGCAACAAGCTGGGTTTTTCTTGCAAGGCAAACGTGTCCTGAAACCGGGGTAGGACCTGGTTAGGCAATACCTTTCGCAGTTGCTTGGAAGCGGCAGCTTCGGAAGGCCCTGGAACCAAATCATTGAGACCGGCTTCTGGACGCAGTGTGGACTTGTCAGGTGGTGCAGAGCTGTTCTTGGGGTTCTTGAGCTTCACGCTTCCCTTCTTTGCAATCTCAGCCCTTGCTTCTAGTTCCGATTCAGCCTCACCTGGCGGCCTTTTCACGATAGAATCTGGCGCTGCAGAAGTCTCAGCCACCTGGGCCTCTTGTGCATTCTCCTGATTACGTTCTTTCGACGAGTCTCTAAACCAGAAGGACCACCCCGAAGGTTTTACATCCTTCGCGGGTAATATAGCCGAACTGTCTGTTGCCCCTTGCATCTCATGGTCTTGGTTTGGTGCAGATACCGCCTGCTCGCTCTGCGTAGTTGTCTTGTCTACTTCGCTTGAAGGCTCACTCACAGGCTCACTCACAGGCTCTTCTGGCCCTTTGGTTGAGGAGCCGTACCACATTTGAAGCCAAGAACGTTTGTGAGAATTCGGCGAGCTTTTAGGCACTTCAGACGTTTCAAGAGGCTTATCAAGCTTCGAACTATATGGTTCCGACCTTTCCGGCTCAGCCTGGCTCCGATCTTCTGACGTGGTCTGTTCTTCGTCTTTCAAAGGTTGGGAGTCCGTGGACGGTTCTTCACTGGCCTCTGTCACTGGCTCTTTTGGAGCAGGAGTCTCGGCTGCCGATGGGGGATAAAACCATGAAAACCATCCACCGGATTGGGCATTCGATGCGGGGGCTGGGTCAGCACCCTTGGGGTTCTCAGTTGTAGTAGTCTCAGGGGCAAGATTTAACGGTCCCTTAACGGCGTCATCCGTAGCTACTGGTTCTTGCTCGTTTGGCGCTTCCTCCTCAGTTGATTGCGTCGTAATCCCAGCCGGGCACGACCGAGCGTCCTCCTCAGGGGTGAAGGTGCTACCATCTGAAGCAATGTTGATCCTTGTTGTCGCGGCGTCCGCTGGAAGAGACCTGGTGGACGCACCCACTTTGCGAGTGAGCTGGAGAGTAGGATTTCGAGGCTGTTTAGGGGAATCAAGCTGGGAGGTTGAGCGGGAAGTGAGTTTTGGTGCTAGGTTTTGAGCAGCGGAAATACTCTCACGGGCAACCTCGGTAACAGGAGCCGCTTTCGATGCTCTGGAGACCGCCGGCCAGACTGCAGGATACCAACTCTGTGCAGGGAACGATACATTAGAGACACAGAACGGATGCAGATGAGGATACAGGGCTAGTGGAAGCCTGAACTCACCGCAGTGCTTCCTCTGTTCCTTGACTCCGCACGGTCTCCGCCTGAGGAAAGCGATGTAGCACCATTGCTGGACGCCGAAGAGGACTTGGAGTCCGCGCCTTGGGGGCTGGGCTTTACTCTCTTTCGAGATCCCATGGGCGGCATAAACGTCTAAGCACTAACATCACCAAATGCAAGCTGGAGGGCCGATCGAAGCTTTGACAGATTTAGGGAGATGCTCTGCCTAGCCACCAGCGATGGTTAGGTTATCGGGCCAGCACCACGCGGATATCACGTCACATGCCGCTCCCTGACCGTCTTTGTCCGCCTCAGGCGGCGAGGCGGTCATCTGTGGCGGTGCGGCAGGCTACCCGCCACACCCGGGCTGGAAGGGGAAATTTTTATTTTCGGGACCATGTGGAGAAGGCCAGGCAGGATCCATCCAGGCCGCCGATAACTTTTTTTTCTGGATACAACTCTTGTACCGCAACCACCCCTTCCCAGCCATTTGCATCCGCACTTTTTGTCGTTGCGGTTTCGGGATCTTGTCGAGTGTGTCTCGACCACTTGCCTTACAAGATGGCGATCCAAAAGAAGGTAATGCGGCATTGGTCTATCCCGCGGTCATGAGCATCTCAGTACTGACAATGACTTAGCATGGTAAAGGTCGTTTGGATAAGTGGTACCGCCTTGCGAAGGAGAAGGGATACCGCGCCAGAGCTGCTTTCAAGCTTATCCAGCTGAACAAGAAGTATGGTTTTCTGGAGAAGAGCAAAGTCGTCCTGGATCTTTGCGCGGCACCCGGTGTGAGTACAGTCGGAATGCTTTTAACAATCGATATGGTTACTGATTGCGGGGAAACAGTCGTGGTGTCAAGTGGCTGCAGAATGCATGCCTGCGCAGAGTATCATCATCGGTGTCGATCTTGCACCTATCAAACCGATCCCCCGAGTCATCACCTTCCAGAGCGATATCACGACTGAGAAATGTCGCACAACGATTAGACAACACTTGAAGCACTGGAAAGCGGATACCGTCCTCCATGATGGAGCCCCTAACGTCGGTGCCGCATGGGTTCAGGATGCGTTCACTCAGGCAGAACTGGTCTTACAATCTATGAAGTTGGCTACGGAATTCCTTGTGGAAGGCGGTACCTTTGTCACCAAGGTCTTCAGATCCAAGGACTACAACCCCCTGCTGTGGGTTTTCAAGCAACTGTTCCAGTCGGTGGAGGCAACAAAACCCCCGTCTTCTCGAAACGTCTCTGCCGAAATCTTCGTTGTCTGCCGTGGATTCAAGGCACCGAAGCACCTGGACCCGAAGTTCCTCGACCCGAAGCATGTGTTCGCCGAACTTGCGGCCCCGACTCCTAACAACGAGGCCAAGGTGTTCAATCCGGAGAAGAAAAAGCGCAAGAGAGAGGGTTACGAAGAGGGAGATTATACACAGTTCAAGGAGATTCCAGTAACTGAGTTTATTAACACCACCGATCCGATTGCCATCCTCGGTACATACAATAAACTCAGCTTCCAGCAATCACCGACGGGAGACCTTGCTCTGGCCACCCTAGAAAGACTTGAAGAGACGACCGACGAGATCCGATCATGCTGTGAGGATTTGAAGGTTCTAGGTAAAAAGGAGTTCCGGAATTTACTTAGGTGGCGACTGAAGGTCCGGGAGCAGTTCGGTCTCGTCGTGAAGAAGGGCAGCCAAGCAAAGGACGATGAGACCGAGGAAGTGGCCGAGATCGCCCCTATGGACGAAGAATTGGCTATTCAAGAGCAGCTGCTTCGACTTCGTGAAAAGGAAACCACTAAGCAGAAGAAGGAGCGCCGCAAGGAAAATGAGAAGAAGCGTAAGGAAATTGTTCGATTGCAGATGCACATGACAACCCCCATGGATATCGGAAAAGAGCAACTGGGACCTAACGGCGAGGATGCCACGTTTTCACTCAAGCGTGCCGAGAGAGCCGGCGTCAGGGACGCCATTGCAGCCGGCAAAGAAGCGACGATTGAGAGCGACAGCGAGGACAGTGAGTCCGAGTCCTACACCGAGGAGAGCGATGACGAAGAAGATCGACTGGAGCGGGAGCTGGACAACCTGTACGAGCAATACACGGACCGCAAGGAGGACAAGGACACGAAACTACGGGCGAAGAAGGCCAGGAAGGGCTACGAGGCTGACGAGTGGGACGGGTTCTCTGATACTGACAAGGAAGGAAGTGATGAGGAATCCGATGAGGAGGGTGTTAGCTCTGCTTTTGGAGGCGACAAAGCTCAAACCGGCTCTCTTTCCAACAATGCGTCGCTATTCTTTGACCAGGATATCTTCCAGGGCTTGGAAGATATTGACGATGTGGAGGATGAGGAGGATGAGGATAGCGCCATTGAAGTCAAGGAGGATCGGCCCAAGAGCAAGAAATCTGAAAAGCAGACCGCCAAGGATTCGAAGAAGGCTGCGCAGATGGCAGAAGACTCGGATGATGAGCCCGTCGAGTTCGAAGAGCCACGGAAGAAGAATGGCCAACTCGGTGAGTGCACAAAGATCGGAGCTTACTCTCGACATATATACTGACTTTACGACCTAGACATTGATATCATCACTGCCGAGGCTATGGCTCTCGCTCAGCAGATGGCTACCGGCGAGAAGAAGTCTTCTGATGTGGTTGATGATGGTTTCAACCGCTACGCTTTCCGCGATGTTGATGGTCTCCCCGAGTGGTTCCTCGACGATGAGACGAGACACAGTGCCCCGAACCGGCCTATCACCAAGGCGGCTGCGGCTGCGATCCAAGAGAAGATGCGCGCCATCAACGCCCGCCCGATCAAGAAGGTGATGGAGGCCAAGGGCCGTAAGAAGATGAAGGCTGCGCAGAGACTCGAGAAGTTGCGCAAGAAGTCGGCGCTGTTGGCGGACGACGAAGCGCTCAGCGAACGCGACAAGTCGCAGGCCATTGCGCGGTTGATGAGTCGGGCCACCAAGAAGAAGCCCAAGCAACAGGTGAAGCTGGTGGTTGCCAAGGGAAACAACAGGGGTATTTCTGGACGTCCCAAGGGTGTGAAGGGCAAGTACAAGATTGTGGATTCTCGTATGAAGAAGGATATCCGGGCCCAGAAGCGTCTGGCCAAGAAGAAGAAGCAGTAGTGGAGGAGCGGAGTTGTGGAACTCGAAGCGATTGCATTCATCATCGTCCATGTAAATACCCGGTTACCATAGATAGCTGTCTGTATAATGCCCATGCTATAGGGTACGTATCTGTTGCATAGTGATGTGTTGTGGTTTGTGATACATTCCGATGTACTCCGTAGGGTGGTTCCAGTCAACCGTAAATAAACTCGTGGGTGTTCCTCGTTCTTACATCCCTTTCGCATCCACTGCAATTACTGTGTACATAGCCTGTGCCCGCTCACTTTTACTAGGTACTCTTCTTTGTGCAGCCTGTGACAGCACCTATTACTGGACACCAGTCTATGATACAATGCAAAATTAAATTTCAATAAATCAGCCCAGAATCAAGCGGGCTGGAAATGTCTATAGCGGTCGTTGCATAGTCTTCTCATGAGAACTGAGAGGCAGCGTTCATGGCTTCTGCCTCCCTGCCCATCCTAGCCATCCAGCGATCAACGAGCTCTTGGTTTTCCCGTTGGAGTCGGGAAGACCGCTCTTCAGCCATGTTCAGTTGAAGATTTAACGAGGCTAGCTCGTCTTGGAAATCCTACGGCATTGGTATTAGTAACGCTGAAGATGCTGACAGAAGGAGTAAAAAAAAAAAAAAAAAAAAAAAAAAACATACTTCCAATAATTTTGCCTTCCCTCGCAACTCTTCGTCGCGATCTTTCAAGCGCAGTTGAAGATGCGCTACCTCACTCCCATATGCATGGATCCGCCTGCCATCTTGGGTGTTTCGTTTCTGCAGCTTTTCCAGCTCAGTGGTCACACGAGCGAGCCGCTCTTGCAGTTCGGAACGTGACCGTTGCGCTTCAGCAAGGTCTGCACGTGTTGCAAGAAGAGACTCTTGTAGAGATGGGTCTTGCGACCCTGACGTTTGTCTGCCGGAACGGGATCCTGAAATGTCGGTCGGCACCTGCTGACCACCTTCAGCGGGAACCGGGCTCTGCGGATTGCTAGCTGCTGCTCCTATGCGGCCAGTGCGATCGGCCAGTTGAGTATCTAGTAGTCCAGGGCATTGGATTAGACAATGATCATGGCACTTCGGAAAATTTCACTACCCCAGAAAAGGGAGGAGGATCGGCATACACGCATCGTAGATAGCTATGTTGGCTTTCTCTCGTCGATCACGAGCCGCCAGCGCAGCGGAGTACTCCTCCTTCCAGTGGGCCATTTGATAGCGATGATAAGGCGAGTCTATCGGACGGACGACCCCTCAGATCACGGCATCATGGTGATGCTCAAGCACACCGAGAAATACACGTAGATGGCAAAACACGGAGGTCCGACGCTTTCAAAATAGAGTGAAACGACGACTGCACGCTCTTTTAGAGAGCGTGAGGGGAAATGGGATGGATTCTAATGCCCGACTGAGGTGTCGCTGGCCGATGGATGGGCTGACCGCCATCTCCACCGCCCGGGCCCTCGTGCATCATCGAAAGCCGCCGTCGCCGTTAGCTCGGCTCAGTTCACCGTCCAGGCCCAACTATCCCTCTTCCTGTGGTGACTTGACAACAACAACTACCCGACTCGTTCGGTGTGTCTGCCAACTGACTCCATCCCTCGTGGCGCTGACGGGATTGTACCGACTCCCACTTTGCTTTTACACCCCATCGACATTGCTCAACTTCCCGTCTTCCTTACAGCCCCCCATATCTCCACCATGTCGTCACGGAAGAAGGTCTTGTTGAAGGTACCGCATCCCGACCCATGCAGGCCGTTGACAACACTTCAATTACTCACAGCGCTTCTTGCATCCTTTAGGTGATCATTTTGGGTGACAGTGGCGTCGGTAAGACGAGTTTGATGAACCAATATGTCGGTCGCCTTATCTCCCAGCGAACCCTCGCATCCCACTGACCCATCTCGGTCGGCAGGTCAACAAAAAGTTCAGCGCAAGCTACAAGGCAACGATCGGGGCCGACTTTCTCACAAAAGAAGTCCTGGTGGATGATCGGCTAGTGACAATGCAGGCATGTGGTCCTCTGCTTTCCAAGATGAACGGAGTTTAGGGGATGGGAGTTAACCGGTCGCCACAGATCTGGGATACTGCGGGCCAGGAGCGTTTCCAATCATTGGGCGTTGCATTCTACCGAGGTGCCGACTGCTGTGTTCTGGTATACGATGTCAACAACTCGAAGAGTTTCGAGGCCCTGGACAGCTGGCGCGATGAGTTCCTCATCCAGGCTAGCCCTCGGGATCCTGAGAGCTTCCCTTTCGTAAGCGCTCTTTCGCATGATTTTTGTGACACTGAAATTCTTGTCACAAAGCTGACTCAAGTCTAGGTTGTCATTGGTAACAAGATTGATGTGGAGGAGAGCAAGCGCATGATTTCTTCGAAACGGGCTATGACGTTCTGCCAGTCGAAGGGCAACATTCCCTACTTCGAGACAAGTGCCAAGGAAGCCGTCAATGTTGAGCAGGCCTTTGAAGGTCGGTTACTTGTCCTGCTTACCCCTAATGCTAAAGCATGGCTAACACTAAATTCAGTCATTGCCCGGAGTGCCCTGGCACAAGAAGAGGCAGAGGAGTTCAGTGGGGAGTTCAGCGACCCGATCAACATCCACCTTGATGGTGAGCGTGACGGGTGTGCTTGTTAATTTCCTCATGCTAGACATGCCTTGCGAACCATTTACATCCCAGCCTTAAGAACGCTCCATTCTTGCTGTATGCGTCTCCGATCCCTCCCGTTTCTTGCGTGTTAGAGAACAACAGTCTCTCGTATGAACCCCGAGCTTGGAAGAGTGCAGGTGCTCCCAAGAGACACCTACACTATACAGTTATGGAGCCCTCATGTGTCACGCTCCTGTCTTGTGTTTGTCTGCCGCTTCGCATGCGATATCCGTTGATGGTCTTGCTCTTTCTGCTTAATGCTTCTTTTCCTGTACGAAGGCACTATCATGTTTTGTAGGAGTCTGGAATATCATCGCTTATCTGCCACCAGCTTGTACAGTATTGTGAATCATTTATGTAAGAGAGACTATGGCGAATTTGCTCGTAAAATGAGGGCATTCTACACCGATGCCAAGCAAATAAGCCTCGCAGCGGGTAGCTGGTCGGCCATCCAATCAAGGGGGGCTGTCGCGTGCTTATCTCGGCATCGCAGGCGGGCATCTCGTGATGCTCGGCGTTATCAACTCGGGTTACACCGCAGAGTCCCTCCGGCTCCGGTCTCCATCCATCCCCGGTGAATCCTTCCGACGTTGCTTCTTCCATCCCCCCATCGGTGTCGCCTGCTGGAACAGGTGCTCCCCCAAGTTGTACAGGCGTCCTCTGCGCCCATGACCCACGGTTGATAACTCGCGACCCGGGGGGAAAGTATACCTCGTATCGCGCCGGCGGGGAGATCTATACCACTCGAGCCCCAGCGAGTCATTCTCTTATCAACGCCCCTGACAGCCACATCCAGCGCGCAAAATCGACTCAAAAGCCATGGAATTGCCCCAAACTACAGAAGGCTCGATGTTGGTCGGTGCCGCCCGACGAACCTTGGGCATTTGTCTGCTTCTGGTCGTGGTATTCCTCTGGACGGCCTCCAATTTTCTTGCCAGTGTATGGCTCCCACCCTACAATCTATCCGATGCGGGGCTAACGTGGTCTCTGCTCATGTGCTGTAGACTATATTCGCGGATGATACATACTCGAAGCCGTTCTTTGTGACATACGTCAATACTTCGTTATTTATCCTCCCGCTCTTCACGATCCTCCTCGGTCGGCTCTTGAAATTATGGCGCGCAGGGAAGCTCTACCGGATTCGCTCATTCCAGAGCTTATTGGAGCACCTTGATTCTCATGATACGAACGGAGAGGCCCAGAGGATACTCAGCCATGATGCAGTCGCAGAACGGTGGCGTAGTGATGAAGACCCTGAAACATGGGCTGCTGTGAGGTTCGACTCTACGTCCAGAGATCAGCCGTCGAAACTAGGCTTGAAGGCGACTGCTAAATTGAGCCTCGAGTTCTGTCTATTATGGGTATGCATTTTGCTCCATTGAGTTCCTCCATTGGCCCCAATCAAACCCAGAAGCTAACAGGCACCAGTTCTCTGTAAGTACCAGCGAGAAGCGCATGCATACCTTCAAATGGAGCATTCAGAGCTAAGAATAAACCAGGCGAACTACTTCGCAATGGCCTGTCTCCAATACACAACCGTAGGAAGCACCACCATCCTCACCTCAACAAGCGGTACGGCACCTCACCACCACTTACTCCAACCCAATCTAACATCTCAAACCCAGGCGTCTGGACCCTCGTCTTCGGCGCCCTAATCGGGGTCGAGAAATTCACCATCCGCAAGCTCATCGGCGTAGTTGCCTCCCTGATCGGGATAATCCTCATATCCCGCGTCGACATGTCCAACCCCGACACCCCACCCATCGACAGCAGCACCATCATCACCACCAGAGAAAGCACCTTCCCGACCAAAACGCCCGGCGAAATCGCCCTCGGCGACGCCATGGCCGGCTTCAGCGCCGTCCTCTATGGCGTATACACCATCGTGCTGAAGAAGCAAGTAGGCGACGAATCCCGCGTCAACATGCAGCTCTTCTTCGGTCTGGTCGGACTATTCAACACAGTTCTTCTCTGGCCTGGTTTCATCATACTCCATGTCTTGGGTATCGAGACTGTAGGAATGCCTGATACTGGGAGAGTGTGGACGATTATTCTGGTATTACTCCCTCCTTCTTTACCCCCATTATCCCCCAAATCCACTTGATCAACACTCCCTAGACCATCGCCATATCTAAGACTAATATGAATGCAGGTTAACGCCCTCGCCTCCCTCGCCTCCGACATCGCCTGGGCCTACGCAATGCTCCTAACCACTCCTCTCGTGGTAACAGTAGGATTGAGTCTCACGATCCCGCTATCACTAGTGGGCCAGATAGTCCTGCAGGGACAATATGCGAGCGCGTTGTATTGGGTTGGGGCGACGGTGGTGTTTTTGTCGTTTTTGGTGGTTAATCAGGAGAGTCGGGAGGTGGATGAGGAGGTTGTTAGTAGGAGTGTTGGTGGTGGGGGAGGGGTTTATGATGCTATTCCTGAGGATGATAGAGATAGGTGATTTGTCTTTATCATTCATAGGGAGGGGGGGGAAGAGAAGGGAGAATCGCGGATGGAATTTGGGTGGGTATATTTGATTGGTTCTGATGGAGTATAGTCAAGTGAAGCATATAGAATGATGTTATGAGTGACTTTTTTAGATTGGATGAATTTAAGTACTTCATGCACAGTGAAATATGAAATCAGAGTATTTGTAGCATGGAGTATTCTCCGTATAGGTAATAAATTACATGATACCAAAGGCCATGGGTGAAGAAGAGAAGCAAGAATACAGATAAGCGGGTCTGGAACCTCTGCACCAGGGCCTTTAAGCAATACGCGAGACTAGCCCAACTCGTCAACGTCACCCAGTTCCGGGTCTCAAGGTCTCGTACAGCCAGGTAAACAACACAGACATTAAGAAGACAATATCATGAAGAACATTGGGTATGTATATCATCAAACACGAGCAAAGTGTTATGCTGCAGACAGGAAAACAACAAAGGGAAATGATTGAGTAAGAAGTGAAATAGACTAGCCAGAATCCGATGGGAGATTGAGAAGAACAGAAAAATGTGAATAAAAGCGGTATTCAAAAGATACGGCAATCTGTTGTACAGTGGGTTCCTCTCAACGGAGGCCTGCTGCTCCTGGCGCAGGCTCCATTTTCTTGCGGGCGACGAGAATGCTCTTCAGAGAGCCTAGCCATTTCGCGAGAGATTCTTCGTCGGTAGTGCACAGTCGATACGACTTTTCCTCTGCGATTATTTGAAGGCAGTAGTGTTTCGAACGTGACATGGGATCGACTTCGGCGGCGTCGATCACCTGAGCCATGGGGATGACCTTGACAGCGGAGTATTCCTGGAAGATCACATGGTTAGCCGCGCAAGCTTACACAAGATGTCTCGGACATAGTGCCGAAACGATAACAAAGGAACAGAAGGCATACCTGCTCGTCTTTGTAAAAGCCAAGGCTTTTCGGGCGCAGCACAACCCACAGCCGCTTCCACTGGCGCATGGACCCCTTAATCCTGAGGCATTGAAGATATCCATTGCAGACAACCCTCTCCGGGTCACGTAGAACGCCAGACTCGTTGCGCGGGACTGACGAATGTCCATCACTGTGAACAGATGCGGGCTGATTCGGGATAGGGGCCGATTTCAGTCGAACCCCGTTGTTGCTCACCGGCCCGTCGGACCATTCCGAATAGGATGTGATATCATTTCCCGAGTGGTCGTGAGGTGAGGCAAATCGCTTAGATTGGTATGTGGGTGACAAGGAATCTGGGATTTCAGGAGAGCTTGGCCTTCCGCGATGATCAAAATCAGAATAGTCGGTGGTGTCATAAATGCGGCGTTTAGTATTGTTTCCCGCAGTGTCATCATTCTTCGACAATGCTAGAAACGCCTCCTCATCTTCGTCCATACGAGTTTCCCCTCGGATCTGTTTGATCCAGTCTTCGGTATCTTTGTCTGAAGAGGCTTGGAAGCGATGGTTCTTGGATGGAGAGAAGACGCCAAATACGTGCTGTCGGTTTGATCGAGGGGACCTAACAGGTGCAACTGCGGTGACCTCGGATAACGTGATGGAGGCCCGGAGCCTTGTAGTTTCTTCATCCTTGTATACTGACAGGAGGTTTGGTCGGAGAACGAGATATGCGGGTTTCCAGGAGGCCCTGAATGCCTGTAGCGAAATAGTCAGCTTTGAGGCAATAATTTATCCAAAAACGAAGGCAACTGACATGTTTGTGCTTCACGCGACGGAACACCTTCCCAGTCTTCAGAACCCGATCAAACTCGAAACTCCCATTTTCGTTGACGGGTGAAAAAGTATCCAAGTTGACATGGCCATTTCGATAAGGAGTGCACTGGGAATTTGGAGATAAGAGTGTAGACTTTTGCACGGTGCCATCGGGGAGCTGGATCACCGGCGCCTTGGGATTCCCTTCTGCAACCGGTGCATACGAAGTGGAAATAGTCGGACTCATGATTATAGAAAGCCCGTTGTGAGCTGAGAGTAAATGTCTGATGTCGAGAGAAAGGTAACGTTCCAGTGCAGTTGCACTGCGCGACGGAGAGAAGGAGCGGAGCGTTGTCTAGTATACGGAGTCGGGGGGCGCACTTGTACTGCGGACACGTCGAGGACAACGGCGGAGAGAGATCGATATATAGCGAGTTATAGTCGCGGGAATTAGAAGATAGTAGGCAGAAATATTCGAGAGGTGTCGAGCTGCTGACAATGCGTCGTCGGAGTCGACAGGGTCATGGAGGCTGTGCCGAAAGGAGGGTGAGCCGGTAGGAAGCGACGACGGGAGGAAACGAGAGAATGCGATGAAGAAGCGAGGCGCTTTTGGTGACGACAACCGATGCTAAGTGACGCAGAAGGGAAAAAAGAGCATGACTCTTAGGCGTATGCCTCACCAAGTGGATTGGGGCATCCCAAGGGTGGGAGAAAAGGGGATCCTTGGGGAGAGGGGGCCGCGAGAGGGGGCGGTGGTTCTTTTTCTAATTTTCCCAGTCCAACGGGACGCATGGACGTTTTTTTTGTTTTGGAGATCATCTGGGTTTAGTCCGTTTGGACCTGGAACTGGAACTGGAACTCCCTGCCGTTTCACTTTGGCGCCTTCCTCCATCCTTCGTTCATGTCAGTGAGTGGGAGTCATCCCTCGGGGGAGTCATAGGAGTCATGTCCGACTACTATACTACTCCCTAATACTTCCTCCTCGCAGGCAGGTAGGTATCATCTGCCGTTGGGATGACAACACCAGCACTTTTGAGTTCCAGGGCATCTCGCACCTCCGACGACATTCTTCGGAGTCAGAGTTCGATCAATGGGCATACTCTCTACAAATATACATAGCCGATCCATGGATCTCGCCATCTCTGCCCACACGGGGCTCTAATAATAGCCGTCTGGAGCGTGGAGGGAGATACGTAAGTCAGTTGGCCGAGTCAGGCAGGCTCTTGACGGCACTGCCGATCATGACGACCACCACGGCATCAATGCCTGAGGGTGGCCGTGCGTGGCATGATCTATCGTCCCTGTATGCAGGATGCGTGTACCTACATATAAGTAGTAGGTCTCTTGGGGACCACCCAGATATCTACCGGCCGGCCTACATGCTTTCACCGACGCATTCGATGTGACAGCTCAGCCGCGAAGCTCCAGGCCCCAATCCCGATCATGCGCTGCACGATGGCCCTCGTCATGAGGAGCACTGCAGCACCTCGGCGGTGATGTCATCGGGGGAGATCCCGCGATGGACGAGATGCTCTCCATCGCCAGCAAGTCGCATTCTGTACGGGTGAAAATTGAGGAGGTCCCTGCCAGAACTCGGGTGAGTCCGTTCGAGGCAGGACTCGGGACAGGACTCCGTGTCAAGCCTTTAAAGGCCACCTTGACAGATCCCCCTAGGGCCGGGGTCACGTGTGGGTCCCGGTGGGATTTCAGGGTTCTGGATGCATAAAATACCGGCTTGTAATACCACCAGGTACGGCTGGCCCGCCCTGACCGTACCATACCTACATTGTCATTCCCAGCTGTTGTCGGGCCGAATCCGCAGGCTAGAACTATCACGCCCCTCAAATTGGAAATATCCACTCGAGAGTATTCACGCCATGAGGATGGCTATCATGGCTAACGACGTGGCATCTTCATTCTCTTCCAGCCATGTCCGTAGGAGATTGCAGGGTTGAAAGTCATCCAGCCAATCGAAATCAGCAGGAGTTGCACCTAAAACCGAGTCAGATCTCTAACCCGATTTGTGATACAATGAAAGAGATTCAGACAGCCAACCAAATGGTTGCCATGTCCTCTTCATCGTCTCATCATAGCTACAATCTAGTGAGCCAGCGAGGCTGCTCCTGTATATACGTGTTGATGGAAGAAACCAACCCGCTTTGGGCGGCTAGCTCCCCCTTTCCAGGAGGCTGTCCTGCCTATCAATGCACATGCGTGGACAAGGGAGAGCCTGGAGTCATGGAGGGTTGCATCCGCGGTTACGAAGCGCAGCCACCAGAGATCTAACCCGATGGTCTCTAACGACGGTTGCGCCAAGCTAGAGAACGAGAGGAACTGGTTCTGGAAAAGACTAAACATAAATAGAAAATCCAATGTGGCCTCTCAGCTTCCATCACCCTTCGAGGTGATTAGCATGCTGATCGCGAACTCAAAGCCCAGCATGGCAGCAAATGCCTTTGACACTTGCTGACGACTGCCAGATTCCGCCCGGCCTAAACTAAGAATGATTCCAGGAGGACGTGTTTTGCAGCCTGATTAAGCTTCAGGGTCTTGTGCATGCACAAAGGCCGAGCCTGTAAGGCCTGTATTTCCTCTTACCGCCAACAGGGAAAGAATTTTCAGTTTCTCTCATTTAATGATGTACTTTGAACTCCTGTCTCCTCTCTCCTGCTTTCATCTCCCTAAGTCCTAGGGCCTAAGTCCGAAAAATATTCACTAATCAGGACGGGGGTGCGCGGATTCCATAGTGGCTGCTTAGAGGTAATTTTGCCGTAGATTGCTGCCAATCTAACCAACGAAGTCAGCGATAATTTACCGCCAGCGATTTGCTTGAAGGTTGGCTGCTTGAAACTTGGGCCTTTGGGGGAGGGAGAACGAAAGGCACGAAAGGGAAAGGCCGAGCAGGCTAGCGTAACCCGGAGCATTAGTCCAGATATAACATACGGTACCGAGATACCGGGCTGGAAAGGAGAGCCGCGACTCCCGAGCTGGAGGGTAATGTGTAAGTTACCGTCTGTGACCACGACCGCTTGCGCCTCCTTGGGCTTGGCGGAACTTCCACCCATCCCCATCCCCAAATAATCCTCTCAAGCCTTCATCTCATCGGTTGCCCTCCCGTAGCTCTCGGCTTCCACCCAGCCTCAGCCTGCAGCCCGCCCCCCTCATCGTGATTAATGACCTCGTCGACCACCATCGTGTCCTCGGCCTCATTGCTCTGGACATCGGTCCTTCGCGTTGCTATCGACCCTTTCCCCACCCATCTCTGCCTGGCCGACTGAGCGGGAAAAGTTGGAGAGAAAGGAGGCTTTCCTCCGGCCGCTCGTTTTTTTCTCTTCGCTTCGCTTAAATCGGGGACCTGCGTCCGTTCTCGATTATAATCTTTCTAATCGCTTCTTTGCATCCTTTTCTCGCTCGGCTCTGGGGTGACAAATAAGCAGAGTCTCGCCTCGTCGGCGCTCGCGTGCGGACATACATCTCTTGTCATCCAGGTCTCCCTTGGGACAGTGACAAGAGATAGCTTTGGCTTGGGGAAGCCATCTTGCTTTGATTGCTGATACTTGAGAACCGTGCTCTGTGTCCTTGCTTGAGGACCAGCAGTGTGGCCATCTTTGCACCCATGGGCCTCGTTCAACGGGTTACGAAATGGTTGCCCTCTACGCCGAGTCTGCCCCTAGATGACTCTTCGCGCGAGAAAGGCCGCAATCTTTCCAGATTCGCTTTCTTCAAACGGAGGATACGGTTAAAGGGCAACTCCTCGATCTCAATACCCCTGGGTTTTGTTTTACTATTTCCATGCCTTGTAATTGTCCTTATCCTACTACTTTTTGTTCGACATCCTTCTTCCCCTGGGGGGATTCTGATTCCTGCCGGTACCCCGCCGTCCATTAGGTTGGTCTTTACCCTGAATACGAGCATTGGAGCTGTCTCCCGTTCTCTAGCTAACTTTGCGATTTTGACAGAAAAATAAGCGAAAAGTACGACAGGGTCTTCGCCACTGGCTGCCTCCCCGTCGAGAAAACCGACGCACCGCGCGCAAATGCCGCTTTCGTCGTTCTCGCAAGAAACAAGGAAATCGATGGAGTGGTTCAGTCGCTCAAGTCGATTGAAAGACACTTCAACCGCTGGTTCCACTATCCTTATGTGTTCTTGAACGACGGCGACTTCGACGATGTCTTCAAGGAGACGGTCAAGAATTACACAAGCGCCCCTGTGGAGTTTGGCAAGATCGACGATTCTATGTGGGGTTACCCCGACTGGGTTGACCATGAAGTTGCCAAGGAAGGCGTCCGCAAACAGGGAGATGCTGCCATCATGTACGGAGGAATGGAGAGTTACCACCATATGTGCAGGTTCTATTCCGGGTGAGTATCCTAGCTATATCCATCTCTGGAACACTAGCACTAATACTCAGGTAGTCATTTCTATAAGCACCCTCTGCTCATGAAGTATGAGTGGTACTGGCGTCTTGAGCCCGAGATCAAGTACTTCTGTGACATCACCTAGTAAGTCTTCTTACCTTCCCTGTAAAGCATTGAGTTACTGACACCTGGAACAGCGATCCATTTATCAAGATGGCGGAAGCGAACAAGACCTACGGCTTCACGATCGCCGTTAAGGAGCTTCGGGAGACCGTCCCCAACATCTTCCGCTACGCCTCTGCCTACAAGCGGAAACACAACCTGGCCTCGAAGGGATTGTGGGAAATGTTCCTCGAGAAACCTGAAGAGGAGGAGCCTAAGCCGGAGGAAGAAAAGCAAGAGAAACTCCCCGAGGAGATCCTCCAGAACGAACCTGGCGAAAACACTGTCCCCGACGTTGATCCGGAAGCCATGGAAGGCGAGAAATACAACATGTGCCATTTCTGGAGTAACTTCGAGATCGCGCGGTTGGACTTCTTCCGCAGCAAGGAATACGAAGAGTTCTTCGACATGATGGATAAGAGTGGAGGTTTCTGGATGGAGAGGGTATGTGCTTTTACATTGGAGTCCCCTGAATCTTGCTAACTGACTGCACTAGTGGGGTGATGCGCCTATCCATTCCCTGGCGGCTGGTGTTCTCTTGTCCCCCGCCGACATCCACTACTTCCGTGACTTCGGCTACCGGCACACCACTATCCAACACTGCCCTGCTAACGCCCCCGCACGGCAATTGCCCCGGATCCCCTGGCTGGAGATGACGACCGAGGACGAAAAGGAGCGTATCGAGGAAGATGAGTACTGGGCGAACCCTGATCCCGTCAAGGAGAACGGCGTGGGCTGCAGATGCAGGTGCGACACCGATATTGTGGATGTTGAAGGCAAGCAGGGCAGCTGTCTCGCCGAATGGGTCGAAGTTGCTGGAGGATGGGCATCTCCATAGACTCGGATTGTTGCCTTTTAATGTTCGCTGTATAATCTTCGCCTCCTGGTTTCCGTACCTATTTGTTCGACTATGAGCATCACTCGGTTCGCCCTTGGAGTTATTTGCTTGAGCCTGCATGTTACGTTGGCTGTGGGTTTCTGGACGGCGTTATACGGATCTGACGGCTTCTTACGTGGAAGACGGTGTGACCATTCTCATCAATATTGACAAATTCATCTAGCGTGCTTCGTATATTCTACTTGGCTTGCCGCAATCACTCTAAAGGAAAAGTCTATGGTCAACGGCCTTGCTGTTGGAAAATGAAGTCGGCTGCCAAAACTTCGTCGCGCGGAAACTCGACCCACGTTGCTGCTCGGCGGACAGAGGCAACACCGTCACTCAAACCGAGCAGGGAATGTCTCGCCGGGTTTGTGCGGTTTGATGCATCCTCCCCGGCTGCCTGGTGTCTAGTGGTGGACATACTTGGGTGGCATCTCCCTGGTTCGCCCCCGTGGCGCTCCTGGACGCTATATCAACATGGTTTGAGAGGCATTGTGTGAAGAAGCGAAGAACAGCCTGCTTACAAGGACCGGACATTTGCTGGGGTGCCTAGATAGTATTCTCTGTCATATGTCTTCTTCCCTTTCCATAATCGCCCCAAATTTTCTGGTGCCCTTGTTTTATTTTATTTTTCCTTTTTTTTTTTTTTCTGGCTTTGCTTTGCTGCTCCATTCCCCCCTTAACTTCTTTCGTTCAATGCCCCCTCATCATGTCATGAAATGTACATATCTACCATCTATGCTTTTCTTGTTTCTCTTGTGCTTCGAAGCACTGGAGACACGCAAGCCCCCACATACTCAGGGTCCCAGCTTTGCAGTTACTGTTTGTTCATAGTCGCCTGGGATGATTTAGTTGATGTGAAGGAGCCGACTGAAATAATACCTGAGATGCAGTTTCCTGGTTTCTGTGGTGATATTTGCCCATGTCCGTGCCATCCCCGTCAGCTTCAGTTCCCTAGCAATGTAGCATTATTCAGTATTGACGCAGCCTGAGACTGAGAGCCTCGGAGGAGACTGGACCCTCTGGCCCGTGGGTGGAGTCGTCTAGTCTAGATTAGGTGTAGTGGCCTGATAGCCTGATAGCCTGATAACAGATGCCTTATCGGCAAGTTGCTGTGACGGCTGCTGTTCCTGCTCTCGACCTTCCTTTCGCCGGAAACAATGCTGGACAGACAACACATGATGAGGTAACCAACTTACCGCTAAAGTCTGCGAGAAAAACACACTCTCTCAGTTTCCCCGCCTGATCATCCATAGAGAAAGGCTGATCCGTAACACTCGGTCCCCCCGGGAAAAAGAGTCAGACTGCCGCAGCATCCTTGTCATGTGCCCCGCGCCAGATAGATAGTCAGTCACTATCTTCCCGGCCAGTCAGTCCCTCAGTCATCTCCCTCGAAATCCCCATCCTCCCCCGTTCTCCCTCCTTGATCCGTCCTCGATCAACTCCTGCTTGCCAAAGTCCACGACCATCATCTCCCACTTACCGCTAGTTTCCGAAACACGTTGAGCCCGTGAGGCACCTGACTGCTCTTCCGCCCGGGCCCCGGGACAGCATCAAGCGCCCCCCACACGCATCATCGTCCGCCTAGGCTGTCATCGGGCATCTGCCTATTGGGCTGGGTTGATCCAAGGATATCCACACAGACAGACCGTACCTGTATCCAGTAGACAGCCAGACTGTCTTCCGTGAAGTTAACGTATACTTCCGCTGACTCTTGTTCTATTTATTTCTGGGCTTATCCGTCGCCCACTGTTCTCGATTCGAAGCTTCGCCCTGGAGCTCTTCACTTGCTCTTTCCCTCAAGCTTTACTTATGACATTCACACTCAAACAACATGGCTGACTCTTCAGACCCTCACCCCAGACCTCCTCATTACACCTCTACCGATCCGCACCTCCGATATCCCACTCTTCCTCCTCTAAGTGCCTCTGTAGAGGAGTGGTTATCTCGCTCGCGACCTATCAGCATGACGTCAACTCCGATGGAACACACTACCAGATCACTGAGTGAGAGCTGGGCGACCATGAGTGCATCGGATGTCCACTCAGAAGACGGCACTCGCTCTGAGCAGACAGATCTTGGGTCTTTGATCGACCAAACCGGGCCCGATGATGTAGCAAGTCTCGACGGGCGGTCTAGTAACAGCGACATAGACACAAACGATGAGGAAGGGTTCGATGGCGACAGTTACGACTCCAGGAGCAACATTTCGGTATCCCAGGAATTGTCGTCCGCTTTTCCTCACATTAGAAACTCTATCGATGACAGTAGCCTAACCACCAAGACTGCGTTCCGTCAGTCAGTCGAGTCCATCGAATTTGCTGAACCCGAGAGCTGGCCCGAAATTGATCGGGTAGAATTGAAGCATACCATCTGTGTGTTTGAAGGACCTGATGCAGCAGAGCTAAAATATAAGCTTCCTGAGGGGTCGGAAGACTCGACGCTCACAGCTACAGTCCAGCAGACCATGACGAGGAAAAGCCTTGATACCGACAAACCATTCCATGTGCTATACCTTGGCAGCCCGGATTTTCGGAACATTGTTCTCGATAAAATCGGAGACGTTCTGGTTTCGAGCTCCTGTAGCAGTTTCGAGAGCGGTTCAGCCGAGTCATCGAGATATCATGTTGTCCCAACGTCCTTTGGCGCAGGCGCAGTTCCCAACTTTGCTGAGCTTCTTCCCATTCATGTTCAGCTCATTGTGGACGAATGCCCCGAGGCTTCCGCGGACCCTCAGACTGACAAACCTAGCATCATCAGTTTGAGTTTCAAAAACCGGCCACCGTGCACGTCGATGTGGTCAGGAACTGAATACTGTATCTCGTCTTCCGTTGAATGGATACTGCCCGATGTAGCGATATTTTTCATATCCAGTACTGATACTACCAAAGATATGGAGACCCAGAGACTGGCTCGCATCTTCATGGAAAGACATGGTGTTCCGACAATGGTCATCTCCGAGAAGCCGCTTTGGACGATGTCTAGGGACCCTATTCCTGTCAACCACCACAGTCTCCACATGTGCCTGGAATCTCGCAGTTCGCTAGATGGGACTTCCATGATTCTCAGAAGGTATCCCATCGACCTGAAGACTTTTGAGAGCATCACACCCGGGCAGCTCAACAGGAACCTGGCGTCATTGGCAACTATTTACCCTAGGAGACCTTGCCAAATGGCGTTGGAGACCCCGGAATTTCCTCATACTAAAACGTCTTTCAACGTTGACGATCACGCGCGTAACATCTTCTCTGTTCCCTACATCAGCGGCAACCACGATCTGGCATCCGTATTTCGTCTCATCACATTCATTATTCTTTCTCTTGTAGCCATCTCCTTCGGGCATTCGGCCCTAAGGGCCGCGGTCTTATTCCTTTCTCAATATTTCGCTAGTTCTGCAGTCTCCAGCGCAGTCTCTTCTGTCTCGAGCAGCGTTCCAGCTACCAGTCTCCTTTACACAGGAGCATCACTTCCAGTCTTGTCTACGTCTCTTAGCGACGTCCAGCTGATGAGGAACCAGATGGACAGCCACTCTCGGTTACAAGACCTGATAGAAGGGGTGTCTGTCTCTGAGAGGCGGGACTCGACCGATTCGTTTGAAATCCAGGTAGTCGGCGATTGCCATCTTGTTATCAAGCCGCCTAATAAGTCCCCTACTGGCAAGAAACAACCGAAGTTCAACGTGCAAGTCAGTCGAGGAGGCAAACCTCTCGAGTATGAGCTCTCAATGTTGTTCGACGGGGTGTATACCTTGAAACTGGACCGGGGCGATGCATATGGCCAGTTAGATGTGACATTAACCACGACTTCCAAGAACCCTTACATACAGACGACATCCGTGGACTTAGGGACGCCATGGTTGAAGATCCAGAACTGGAAGCGGGCAGCTCATGCCATCACTTCACAGCTGATGAGAGACTTTGCCACCGCGCAAACCGGGCTTTCAGAAGTCTACGGCCGGTTCTGCACTGACTTGCAAGTGCTTATGGGAGATGTTGTAAAAAGGGCACATTTCCTACGGGAGGAGGTGTCTTCTTTGCGGCATGAGTCGGTGCAGCTTCCCCCTGGAACGAGGGACATGGTTCTCTCGCGATCAGAGCAACTTACCGAAGCCGTGAAACGGACTGCTGTGCAGCCACTTCTCGCCGTCTCGTCTGCGCTGCAAGCCCAGACCAACAAGGTCCATACGGGAGCTAGAGAAATGATGAGTGACACCTGGGACAAAATCAGCTCTCATGCTCCAGGGCTTGATCTTGGCGCCATGAAGGAACGCCTTCGGGATGCGCGGAAATGCAGGGCTTTGGATATAGCGCAAAAGAGAGCCCGGAGTCTTGTGGGACGGAAGACGTGTCAAGATTCTGAGTGCTCCTGATAAAGCTACTGTCCGTGGTCCACCAGTCGGGCCATAACGTCTGACAGTAGTGGTATTCTGATGAATGCCGTTCGCTCCTTTACTTTCCTAGCTTGTGTGCTTCTTGGGATGTTTCATTTGGTTTGCGCTTAGGCGAAAGGATGGGTCGGATATCAGGTACGGATTGAATCATGGGATGTCTTCCAGGGATACATGCTGGATTATGTACTAGCAGCTTATGTTGACATTGCGACAAACTTTTTCTTTGTCCTATCCTATGGATTGCTTGTCTGCTAGTATCTATATCTAGTTCTGCGTAATGCGGGTATCTTAAGCAGCGCCCGACTTGCAGGCGGGCGGTGGCGCTAGTGCGGCCTTAGGCGCTTAGGCAATGAACCTACCCACCTCTGGCGACCAAAAACAACCCCGTTCATATTTTCCCACCCCTCCTCAGTCACTACCACCCCAAGACAGTTCTTTCTTTCTCCATTTCCATCAGGTACATCCCCAGAAGCATCCATCTCTATCGGCCGTGTCCGCTTATAAATTTCGACAGAAACCCGCATTCACTCACCATGTCTGACGTCGCTGAGACCAAGCCCGACCCCGCCATCGCTCCTGAGGGCGCTGAGAAGCCCGAGGAGACCACCACCGCCGCCACCACTGAGACCAAGGCGGAGGAGAAGCCTGAGGAGTCCCAGTCGGTGACCGAAACCGCTACCGAGGCCGTCAAGGACGCTGCCACCAAGACTACCGACAGCGTCTTCTCGATGTTCGGCGGCGGCCCCAAGAAGGAGAAGCAGGAGGAGCCCGAGGATGCCAAGGATGAGCCTTCTGGCTCCTCCAAGGCCCAGAAGGGTGAAGATGAGGTGAGTATTCGATTTGGACGGTACTGGTGTTGATTCCCCCCTGAGCCAGCTTAGCCGTTACCCCGCTTTCCCCTCTACAGGTATACTGTTTTTTTGGGAGGGGTTCTGTCTCCGGGTTGGAATCAACCGGCCGACGACTCATGATACATATGCCCTACAAGCTAGCAGTGGCTGACCGCACGTTTGTATCAACAGGATGAAGCCCCCGAGTCCCCTGATGTTCACTTCGAGCCTGTCATCCGCCTGACCGAGAAGGTGGAGACCAAGACCAACGAGGAGCTGGAGGAGCAGACCTTCAAGATGCGTGCCAAGCTGTTCAAGTTCGACCGTGATAGCAAGGAGTGGAAGGAGCGTGGTACTGGTGACGTGCGCTTGCTCAAGCACAAGGAGAACCAGAAGACTCGCCTGGTGATGCGCCGTGACAAGACCCTCAAGGTCTGCGCTAACCACTACAGTAAGTGATGCCATGTGTCATGTGGAATTCTTCGGGTTGCTGATCGATGTTTCAGTTGTCCCCGACATGAAGTTGAGCCCCAACGTTGGCAGTGACCGCAGCTGGGTCTGGAACGCCGCCGCCGATGTCTCTGAGGGTGAGCCCGAGGCTCAGACCCTGGCCATCCGTTTTGCCAACAGTGAGAGTAAGTGGATTGTGGATGTGAAGACCGATGACGATTGCTAACGTTAATTTCCAGACGCCAACCTGTTCAAGGAAGCTTTCGAGAAGGCTCAGCAAGAGAACGAGAAGCTGCTCAGCCAGCAGTAAGCGGGTTTCCGACCTCGGATCTTCTCGGTCATCAGTGATAGAGGGCTATTCTTAATGAACATTTTGATCCCATACAAGCATAACGAGTCTGATGTGGACTGCTTATGAAAGACACTTTTCTTCCACCTTTATCCCACCTTATCTATGTTTTCCTTTCATTACCCTTATCATCGACCCTGCATTCATGTGAGAAACCAGAATTAATGACGCCGGTCATGACACGACCATGAGTCGACGCATGCATGGGGGCGACCTGGGTTGGCCATGTGGTCCCTTGCGTGCGGGTGGACGAGTTGGTCGCTACTAGTAGATAGACATTCTATGCTGTAAAAATCAACGTATGAAATTCACGACGCGCGTGGCTGCATCTTAGTAACCAATGGATGAATCGAAGTGTTTGCGTAGCTTGCCTCAAGTAGTGGCGATGGTGGTGGTGGTTGCTGGCGGTGACTCTGGGGGCCGTCGAGCGGCCGCGTCGAAGGCCGGGCAGGCTGTCCAAGTGCCAGGCCCAGCAGGCCATCCACTCCAATCCCCCACCCGGCTTCAGTCCGCGGAAAGCTTCACTTCGCTCGTTCTTCCTCCCTCGCTGGTTCCTGCGTCCTCCCATCCCTCGCTGGCTTGTCCTCCGTCCCAACGGGCCCGTTTCCCTGCTAGCCCCATTCACTGCAACCCGAATCTGCGGGATTCCCGACAGGATCTCCCGACAAACATCCGACCTGCTTCTCACCTGAGCTCGCGCGACCTGTACATCCGATAGCTACGGTCCTTCCCTCCCCTCCGTTCAGTTCTCCGCCGCAAGGAATTCGGAGAAGACAGCCTCTTGGCCATCCCTTTCACCTCTACGGGCGATTGATCTACCTCCCACTGGCAAGATGCCTGACGTGAGTTCCGTCCCTCCTCGGATTGAGCAATGGCACCGGCCACTGGCGCTTGACGCGGACAAACCCAGTCGCCCACTAGATCGCATCGCGCTGACGTGACCCTTTTTTTGCTCTCCTCCTACAGGTCAAGAGAAATGTCAGACTGGTGACGGAACAACACATCGTGTACGTTGTAGCCCACTAACGTTTTCCCGTCTCGAAACATTCTCGAATCACCGCCGTTTCTCCTCTCCGCCATCGCTGCCATCCATCCCCTTCCACCCTCCTCGCATCTGTTCTTTGTTGTCGCGTAATGACGGAACCATGTGCGCTTGGGCTCTTCAGCGACCACCACCACAGACATTGGTCTATTGACAAAACAGCACAAGAAGGACTCGTTTGCTGACCTAGTGCGCGTCTGCGCGTCCGCGCGTCCACAGGAATAAGGATTCTGGCGTTGAAGGATTCCCCCTCCGTTCATGGTCAATCGAGATCTACGTTGTCAACGAGCACGGCGAGCAGGTGCCTGCAAATGTCTTCGACAAGGTGACATACACACTGCATCCTAGTTTCGGCGAAAGGGCCGTTCAGGGTACGTCACCCTCTGCACTTAGCATTCCCTCAATCCGTGTCGGTTGGTGAGAATGAGACGAAGACAATGGGGAGGCGGTCGATGTCTACGAGAATAGGATGGGACTGGAGCCTAACAGCTGACGTGGAAGTGAACAGTCTTCAAGAACCCCCCGTTTAGAATTTCAGAAGAGGGATGGGGTGAGTTCGACATGCAGATTGGTCTCACTGCCGCCGACAAGGAGCATTTTGTTACGCACGATCTCAACTTTGCCCAGCCTCGTTATGAATCGAAGCATGTTATTGTGAGTCATAGTCTGTGGTGCTATCAAGCACTCCCGGGTTCGGTTGCTCATTCCAATCTCTCCACACAGACGTTCAAGAACCCCAAACCTGCCCTTTTAGCTGCCCTTCGCGAATCCGGGCCTGTCCCTGGAGATGAGAACGGCGTGAAGTCGAAACGCTCCGCAGCCGGAGAGGAGGGATCCAAGAAGAAGAAGCGGACGGAGAAGAGCGTAAGCCACCACCTAGTATCCCAGAAAAGCAAAGAAGCAACCATCATCTAACGAGACCACCAATCCAGGTTGATATGGACAAACTGGCCGATGGTCTGCAGCGACTCGGCGAAGATGACCTCCTCCAGGTCGTACAGATGGTGCACGACAACAAAGCCCCAGACTCGTATACCAAGAACGATGTTGAGCGTAAGCCGTCTTTCTTTTTCTATTCCCCCCCTCCCTCTCCCCCTTCTTCCCCTTTGTACCTCTCACTAACCAACCAACCACTACGCAAAACCACAGAGGGCGAATTCCACGTCGATCTCTACACCCTGCCAGATACCTTAATCAAGATGCTGTGGGATTTCACACAGGAGAAAGGCGCTCTGTGAAAACAGTTTCTTTCTTTCTTTTTTTTGGGCGATTGCTACTACTACGTATTGTATTCTGTTTTCCCAAGTTGTCTTACCTTACCTCCCTACCTATCTATCCATCTACCACCCTCACCACTTATTGCATCTATGATCCTGATTCATCCTACTATTACCTTCCTTCTTTGCTTTACCTTGATGTATTGTGTATCTTTGGGCTTTTGACAGGAAATGAATGGAATGGAATGGCCGTACAGTAAGTAAACGAATAAGCAAACAAGCGAACGAGAGAGCAAGAAAGAAAGAGAGAGACAGAGAGAAAGTCTTGGTAAAGTAGGGTGGTATCCGACCAAAAAAATCAAAAGGAAAAAGGCCAGTCCAACGGTCAAAAGAGAAGTTTTCATCGACGGCTCGGAAACACGAAACAATCTTACTATCTGCGGTGTCATCTATTCGCTACTTGCTTCAGTCTGAGCTTGATATGTGCTGATATAAGAAACATATACGAGATGATATATTGGACCAGGTGGAGAAAAGACAGAGGCTATAAGCCAACGTAAGATAATACGAGAGGAGAAAAAGGAAAGAATATGTGAATGAATGAGAGAAAGAAGGAGGTAGGGAGAGTGTGTGAAGGATATGCCAGTGACAGAAAAGATAGTAACAAGACAGAACCAAGAACCATGTTGGATATCTCAAGCTCAAGGTCAACCAATCAATCAAACAATGAATAAACAATCAAACAAGGCCCAGCCCAGCCTGCCCGCAGCCCCGAACACCTGTACTGTACTAGTATCGATGTACTGTAGATCCGTCTATATGCATGCATGTACCCGAACAAATAAAACACCTTGCCGGCCAGATAAGGACACACGCAATGAAACCCAAAGGAAAGAAAAAAGATGGAGGTGACCTGAACGCCCGCTTTACTGCGTTTTGGATGGTGTTCGTGCAGAAAACATGATTGTTGTCATATGAACGTGAATGAGTGTAAGAGATTTTTTTGTTCGTTTCTGCTTTGCCTTGTTCACAGGACGCGATATCTGTTTCAATGGTTAGTGTTTGGCGTTTGTGAGGCGTAAGGAATGAAGTGGAACATACGATTTGAGCAAGTCCTCAAGACTATCTGCACTGCAGCTCCGACCCTTGGGAATTTGTCTCATGATTTCGACAATCGTTGCGAAGACGTCCCCGTTTTTGTAGGCCAGCAAGGCGGGCGCTTCAATGTGGTCCATCTCAGCGATCTCATGGTGAAGCTTGACGAAGTGGACAGTGGGCTGGCGACGGGCAATGGTGTTCAGACAGTCTTCGATAATGCCGCTGGGTGTGGACTACAGGTGGGTTCTGTTAGCGACAATTGTCCGTGCTGTCCTGCGACGGGAATTACCATACCTCTGGGTCAAAGACGCAGACTACCACCACCGTACCGGAGGTCACCTTCTCAATGGCATCAAGGTATCCCACTGCATCGACAATATCCACGGAGCCGTATAGTCTGCGTCGGGGGCTGGGCTTTCTCAGGCTCCGGGCCTGCATTTCCTGCATCCGTGACGTGCGCCATTGGTGAAGGAACCGTTCCTCATCGTCGGAGGAGCCATCTGGCGGGGAGGAGTTCTGCAGGAGTGTGGCATCGTCGGTGACGGACTTGGAGGAGAAGTGGGATCGGTCGAGGCCAGCCACGCCGAGTAGTGTTCTGCGGAAGGAGCTCTTGCGAGCACGCTCGAAGGCCTGGGCATCGGCGATGACACCCTTGGGGCCGGTGTTGGCGTCGTAGACGGTGTTGGGGACGCGGTAGCTGCTGGTGTTGCGGGAGTGCATGGCAGACGGGTGGTCTTCGGTATCGGAGAATTGGGGTTCGTCGTGATCCGAGGATTCGTCGGAGGAGTGGTCCGAGTTCTCGCGGTCCTCTGGATGGACAGAGAATTTCTCCCGGTTGTTGTTGATGAGTTGGTTGAATTCGTCTTGAGCAGATGACATCTTGAAGGTAGGAGCGGGGGGGTTCCGGGATTTTAAACAGATGATGAAAGCAAGATATTCTTAGAGCTTGACTGCGCCTTGATCTGCGTCAACAATGGGGTACAGTAGGTGCCTGTTTTGTTTTTTATTTTAAATTTTTCTCTTTCGTGGCAGGAGAGATTGGCTGGGAGCGAATGAGACTGGAGAAAGGGACTGAACCCCGTTAAGAGGAGTCGTATCCAACACGAAAAGGGAGAAAAGGGCGTCCCAGAGGGTATTAGTGCACGTTTCAGATAATTCTGGCTTTTCTCCTGAGGGTGAGGGAACGCGAGAGGGTGGGAGGGACGAAGGAGGGGAGAATAGACTCGGAGGGAGGCTGAGAGTGGCGGACGATGAAACAATTGACGACGACGATCGGAGCAGGCGTTTGGGCGACCGAGAGGCGGGACGGGCTGCCCGAGGCGACGATCGGCCACGTCCAATCCTCGTCATCCGCGCCCGGAAAAGGGGCGGTGTTTCAGAAATCGGAGATCAGCCCCCGCGCTCGAAGCCCCTAAGAACCTTCCATCGGATTGGACCCCCTGTTGCCATGGTGCCATGGTGCCATGGTTGATACTAATAGCTGAGGCCATGGTGCGGCGGGGAGATGAGATGATGAGAAAAGCACCGATGAATAGAAAGAGTCTTTCTTGGACAGTATGATACGGGACACTGACGGAAAGGGACACACCCACGTGGGATCTCGTGACATGGCTTCCCATTCAATCGTCATCTTGCATCCTTCATTTCGTCCGCGATGCCAATGCCAATGCCAATGCCAATGTCGAATGGACCACCATCATATGAAAAATGGACTTACTACAACCGATGACGCTCCGTGGAGGGTCCAAAGGAAGAAAGGGCGGTTCCTTGGATCATTGGAATCCCTCCAAGACAACTGGCAGCTCCCCAGTGGATCTAGAGCATCAGGGTTGTTTCAGCTGCATCGCACTCTCCTTCCTTCCAATTCCTTCCCCAACACCGTTAATGGCCATGGCATCGACCCGTTCGACGTGTCTCTCAGGATCCCCTCCGGTTGTTCATCGCCCGCGCTGGCCGCTTGGTGGATACAACGAGTGACACATCTCTTGGGTAGCCCCCCAGATTCCTTGGGTCCGCCGTCGGGCGACATCCGCGCAAGTGGCCTCGAGCCTTCCAGCCCTTTCACATGATGCCGGTGTTCTTCCTTCGGGGTGGAGTACGGAGTCGTTGCCTTGCTCGATCCACTTGCCCGGGCAGAGACGCATCGGGCCATTCATCGGAGGTCTACGTAGGTGCTGGCCATGGATAGATCAGCTAACCCCCACGCAGGAATAGCTACTATAAATATCCGTGGTTTCGGGCTTTCTACGCAATCTTTCCGGTCACGGCATGACATCCCATGCCTTACATATATCTCTATGGCAGATCGTCCCACCCCCAGACCCTGCCAGTGCGCCCAGTCGGGGTTCACCAGGATGATCCGGGGCTAAGCGTCCATTCACCAGCTGGAAGGAAAGATCCGGGTTTCCAGAAGTATTGCCTCTGTCATTCGTACTAGTGGCTGCCTAAGAAACTCTGCCACACCTCAGCTGACGGCCTGGCCGGGTCATCACCAGTCCCGCGGAACGAGATAAAGGAAAGATTTGCTGGAAATATGGTCGAATTGAACACCAGATCAAGAAAAGCCCGCTTGAAAAAAAAAAAAAAAAAAAATCAAATGACACAATCAACACACTTTCAAGACGTAGGCTGATGATTAGTAACAGAAGGAAATCGCAATGGAATCAAAGAAAACGTCATGGCCAATCCGGAAACATTCCCTCCCTTTCCACCCATCACCCGCAAAAAGTACACAAGGAGACAAGGAGTAAGAGAGGTCAGAAAAGAAAGAAGAAGAAGAAGAAAGGCAAGAATGGTAGTCAGCGAGGAAAGAGAAAAGGACAGGGAAGATGTCGAAGCGGAGTGGGGGTAATAAGGGTAGGTGTAAATAGCGGTAAAAAAAGAAAAGAAAAGAAATAAGAAAGGTAGAAAGTCAAACCCGCGAATAAATGAGAACAGGTGCCTGCAAATCTTCGAAGCCCAAAGATGACATGTCGTTGCTTCTGACCCAGCAACGCTCTTGTATCCGTGCAACGATCCCCGAGGTCTCAAACATCAATAGCATTATTACAATCCACCGCACCAGTAGTCGAGCATTGTCGTTTCTTGTTGTTCGCATTCCGATTTCTCTTTTTCTTATTTTTCCTCAGCACACCCAGCCGTGAAGGGCGGCGACATTTCAACCCAATATGCTCAGCCACCCTGACTGCCCCTTGGTTTTCGCTTCTTGGTGACTTCGCCCGGACTCCGAGATAGTGCATTAGAGAGCAAGGGCGACAAAATTGCTCTTCGGTGAAAAATATTATCGTACAATGGCGGACAATTAACCTAGTGGCGCAGAAAAGAACAGAGAAACTTCGAATGAGGACGTCGCAAAAGACTGAGACAGGGTATCTTTGCTGTTTTTGTTCGTTTTGCTTTTTTACCAAGCCCAGATCTTGAGCTGTAAGACGGGAGGCTTTTAGTACGCTGCACAGCCGAGTGGGGGAAGACATGGACTCGAGGCTTACCAGAGAATCCCAGGATCCAGTGCACAAGCTGATGCCATCGTTGCTGACTCCCAAGCAGCTTACACGGTTCTCGTGACCGCTCAGGGATCCAACCTTGTCACCCCGCAGAACATCCCAGACCTGCAACAAAGAGATCAATTAGCTGTCCAGTACTACGGCACTCGGGATAATAAAGATGTTACCTTGCACTCGAAATCATCGTAACCCGCAAAAAGCAATCTACCGGAAACGGAGAAGGCAACAGAGGTGATACCGCACAATATTTGGTCGCTCTGCAAACACAAATCATTAGCCACGGGGGTTCACGCGATCCAGATGACAGCATTACCTGGTAGGTGTTGAGCTCCCGATCCGCACGGATATCGAACAGACGGCAGGAGGTGTCGTCGGAACCCGTTCCGAAAGCGTTTCCGTCGGGGAAAAACTGGATTGCGTTGATATCGGATTCGTGGCCGGCGAAAGTTTGCACTGCCTTTCCGGTACGGATATCCCACAGCTTGGCGAAAGCATCACAGGCGCCCGAGACGAAGATGTTTTGGTTCGTAGGGTTGATGCTGATCGACATAACGTCGCCGAGGTGATCCGCGAATTCCGTCACTTTCGAGCCCGATTCAATATCCCACAGCATGCAAGTCATATCGCCGGAAGAAGTGATGATTCGGCGATCATTGATGAACCGACAGCAGGAGAGGTAGCCGGAATGTCCAGAGAGCTCGCGCGCGACACGGGTTGGACCCTCGCGAGAGGAGAGGTTATAGATCGAGCAAATGTTGTCGAGTCCACCGCAGGCGACGTAGTTTCCACTCGGGGCGTAGGCGCAGGTCATGACCCACGATGACCTCAGCGGGATCGCATGAACTTTGTTCGTGGTGTAGGCGTCCCAGATGATGAGCTTTCCGTCCTGAGAGGCTGAGACAAGATGGCGGCGGTCGGTCGACCAATGCATGGCGTAGATCTTGGCCAGATGGCCCTTGAGCGTCCGCCGGGGCTTCATGCCAATACGAGGCAGAGCTTCGGTGTGGTTCTGCGCAACTTGACGGACTGTTGGGACCAAAGTCAGCAACTCGAAACACACGGCCAATCAAGCGAACGGCAGCGGCTGGTCCCCAATGCGAGAAAACCATGGCGTGCGAAAAGGGAGACAGGAAAATGCGTACGAGTCGTGTCGGCCAGCTCATCTTTTCTGCGCTTGATCTTGTCCTTGAGGCCTTCAGCTTCGCGCCTGGCCGCGGTGATCTTGGCCTGCATCTGTTCGCCGGTCATGTCGGCCATCTTGACGGAACGAGCCCCTGGGGAGGGAGGATGTCAATTGTGAAACGGAGACGGGCCTGTGGGAAGAAATTGAGTTGACGGCGGCGGCGGCGGCGTCGTGAGATCCAGGGGACTGCAAGAACCGCGAGAGGAGGGGGGAAGGCGGGAAGAGGGCGGTAGGGGGGGGGGATGGGTGAGAGGAGCAAAGAAAGGGAAGGAGAGGGAGGGAGAGAGAGAGAGAGAACGAGGAGGGGGGTTGATTGGGTGTGGAGCGAGTGCACGGCGGAAGCGACCGAGCGACAGAAAGAAAGTTTCGACCCGGGGCAATGGTGAGGTGGTTCGGGCGTTTAAGTCAGCAGGGGTGAGCAATCAGCAAACTGCTGAAGAGAGCACGAGGAGAAGTCGAGAGATGAAGAGGGGAAAGGGGGGAAGGGAAGGAAGAGAGGAGACGGACGGAAGGGCCAGAGAAAGACAGAAAAGACAAGGAAAAATCCAGATGATGACAGGCAGGAGTCGTCGCCGGTAGGGAAGATGGGAGGTGGACGTAGTAACTCCGTCGTAGCGCCAATAATAATGATGTATGGCCTCACCAGACTAAGACGTACCTTTACCTATCGGGGCTCTGATGGCTGCTGCTAAGCGCGGCGGTACGTCCGGACTACGAACGACTACAGATGTAGATAACTACGGTAGATATGAGTGAGGGATGCGATGAGATGAGATGAGATGAGATTGGAATACATGAATAGACGCTGCTGAAACAGATTCCAATTATTCTTCCAGAACACTGCCCATCAAATGGATTCAACAATTGGAAGCAGAAAACAGAAATCATGGGTTAGTGAGTTAGGGGAAGCTTCTCACCAGGAGGATCGGAGACTGAGCCCATCCATCCATTCATTCGAACTTCTAAAGAGAGCCTTAGCCGGAGGAGCCTCCTGATGGATGCCCACCCGGTGACCGTACGAAACAATACCCCAAGGGAACGTGCCCGCCCTGATTGGTCTGTTGGAGGGGAAGGCCCGGCTGGCTCAATCTCAGCCGATCCATCTCGTTCCCTCGATTACATTAGGGGTAAATTATGCCCCCTCAAAGGCTCGTAGGTTTTTTAAGGGGAGCAGGAGACGGAGACACTACCACCATCTAGCTCCAAGTACTAAGTGCCCAGGTAGGTAGGTACTCCGCCAAATGGTCCCAGGGGGTGGTCGACACCCTGGTCAGGCCGGTGGAGAGTTTCCGCGTTCATCCCCTCTGGTTGGCCCGCTCGGTGCGAGTGGAGGAGCTCGGGACGCGAAAAACCACAGGGGAATACCTGAAAGGGACAAATCGTCGAATTAGTTGGGATTATTCTTCCGAGTCTCCCTCCCATCAGAATAGGAGACATGGTGAATGTCAATGATGAGCGGTTGGAGAAACCTGGATCGAAGGTTCACGTAGTACAAGGTTCCCCAAATCGGTACCTACAGCGTACATACGTTTGACATTTGACATCTGACTTCCATCCCCATATCTACGGGGCAGAGTCCGTTACTCTGCATAAATTTGCTGCATACCCACAGAGGATGGGTACCAAAAATACGCGAGATACTATGTAGTCAGACTGGTTGGCCGTCTAAGCCTTGCACGAGTCAAAACCCCTTCCCGAAGCCAACCCGGCAGGAAAGAGGAGAAGGCTTTGGTTGCAGATCATGGTCATAGCTAGATAACGTCGACCTTGACTGTCTCTGCAGAACCAGTTCACGCATCCGGATTGGGGTGAGACTCCGGGCTTTAGGTGCATTCTTTTCTATCCAGGGGTACTTGAACTGCTGCATCTGGGGCTATCATACTCCGTAAAGCCTTCTGGAAAGGTGCACTGGAACACAGAAACCTCTAACACGAACTAGGTTAGATAGGGGCAGAATTTCCCCCGGTGTAATTTCGAGATTAGGTCGGATGAGGATGGCCTCTTGAGGCTATCCGAACCATAAGATCATCGTGTTGGCCTTGAAGATTGCATTTCAAGGTATCAGCTCCGCTCCATACTTATATCTACCAACCGGTTGTGTATCCTTGTGCAGAATAGATGATAGGCGTTGAGCCGACAGGACAGGTACTCCGTAAGCGGGGATGAATTATTGCGATGGCTGGGGCAAATGCAAGTCAGAGGCTGTCTCCATTCCGGGTGTTCAGGTCAGTGGCTGTCGGAATTTATCGAAAGCTAGTATGGAGTCCCCTGTCACCGCTTGGTCATCATTAATGATTATTGATTATTGTCTCCGGCCAACAATCCTATTTTTCTTTTCTTTTGGCCTCTGTTTGACCTGCCGGAACGGGAAAAATCTTGCCCATCAAATGTCCTGGGCTCGGTGTGTGGCCGCCAGCCAACTTTTGTCCTGGAGCAGGCACGCCTAGTGGTCATTTAATCTATAGTAGTGTTGGAGATAGTAATATCCACATACGTCAAGTCCCAGAGTCTTACTCCAGCCTGCAGCTGAAGACGCTTCCTTCCGCACGGCACAAGTTCGGTTTAACCCTCGGTGACACTGGGCTAGGTGTTAGTCTAGGCCACGGCAATCACCATCGGGTGATGATGGCGGGTTCTCGACGGATGGAAGACCAAGCACTACACAGTAATCAACAATAATATTATGCTACTGTTGGGATTTGCAGATAACGATGGTCAGTGTGCGTTGTAGCGGGTCTGGGTCCGGAAGGGAAATTGGCCACCCCGAGTGTCTAATTAGATCCGAAGGTGCCTGTCGAATACCAGCGTCGGTATGGGGCGGGTATTGCTGCGTATTGCCTGCCCACCTGGAGAAAGACGCTCCACTGGTGGGAGGTTCGCTTGAAACTGTGCCTGACTAGCCCGTCGATGCCCCTCTCTACGGAAGTCTTCATTAATTCATCTATCGGGATTAATAATGGTTATCGAGCTAGTCTCGCTGGGGTGGCCGGACTGCCCCATAGCTTATTATTAATAATGCCGTCCCCTGATGCTGCTGCCACCAAGTGCACCACCAACCCGCCTACAACCTGTCTGCCTGCCTGCACAGCCTGTTCCAGTCTGGGTGTAGGGAGTCCTTCGTAAATAATAGAGTTTTATCTTGTTTTGGTGGTGGCGTGAGATGAACGATTCAAATCTACTGAGTCGTTCAGAGGCAGCAACTTTCTCTCTCCTGCCCAATACTGGCTAAACCGCATCTATATATATCCACGGGAGATGGCCTTACTGCAGTATGATGCTGCATGAATGCCGGCTTCCAATTTACATATTGGCTCCCATTGGTTGGTAAAGCCGTTCTTCAATCTCCAGGCATACTGAGTAAATAAGCCCATGCGTGCCGCTTACCACAGCGCTTTACTATTGGCTACACGTATTCAGGCAGCCCATCCCCTCGCAGACATATCAGTTTGCCAAGTGCAGTGCCTCGTCTCGAGTTTGAGGCTCTGTGGAGGCTAAGCACATCATGCAATACCACCACCCTCCGGCGAGGCGGTTCTTGATCATGGTCACTCGTGTGGCGTGTATGGCGTGCAGAACACCCCTGGTACTACTGCAGGGCACCACTTCCATGCTACGAAGTTAGTATGATCGAGAAGCGCCAGGTACGGATCAAGCAATCTATACAAGGCTAGCTATGATCTTAAATATAGAATAGTAGGGTTGACTGGGTCCGCCACCACAGTGCTAGTTTATAGTTCTTGGGCTACCAAGGGTTCGTCTCTGACACCACCTAAAGGCAAAGGCCAGTAGCCAATTACTTAGCCGCCTGAGTCAACAGGCTCAGCTGGCAAAGAGGACTTGAGTCAGCTCGCTGTTGACGTTGGCATTAGGACATCAAATGAAACGACTGACATGCGAACGACTCCTTCCAGAAGCACCTGCGCTTAAGCCCATTCTATATATAGCTGGTCACGACAGGCTCCAGCAATCATGGAGTTGAAGGGTGATGAACCTGAACCCTGCACCGTCCGGGGGTTAAGCCGGTTAGGGTGCAGCATCTTCAGCCCGCACGATGCAGGTGGGTGTATCTGGAAGCCTGATGATCCGATGTGATTCGTCGAAACGGCCATTGGCTTCATCGAGGGCGGTTAACGCTGATGTGCTTGTCGGCAGCGGTTCGCGCCTAGATATGTCTGTGTTTCTAATCATAGAATGTGACGGGCTGTCTGTGCGCGGTGATGAGGGGTGAGGGGGACTGGTCGTCCACTGCTGGCCAGGATCAAGCACAATCATAGTAGACCTGCAGCATCGGTGGAACGGCCGTGATTGAGCCAGCCGTGATGGTATTTTAGCAGGGATGCCAGCCTATGATGACCTACGATGGCTATTCTATGAGTCTAAATATACCACCACGGGAGCAATGGTACGAATCCGAGCAGTATCAGATGGCGGGTTTGCTGCTGAATTTTTCAAGTCTCCATATCTGGAATCCTGTCTCGTTATCTGTCCCCACTCGGAGGATGAGATCTGAGGTGGACAGTGGAGGCAACACGAAGAGGGGTAGAGACCGCAGAAAATGGCGAGATCGGAGATTGTCCAAGCATGAAATGGGCCAAATCTTAGAATTACACACGCATATCAAAGGGATAGCGATCCGGTCGCACGGTTTGATACATCAAGCCCCTGTGCTGCGAGGCCACTAGATGAAGGTCGGTGCCTCAGGGACTTATTATCGTCGTACCACCGTCTGGAGGACCCGTGACCGAGGCCGAGGGCGACTATTAGATAGGCATTTCAATGTTCTTAACCGCTTCAGTCTTATGTAGGACCACCGGTGGGTTCTCGGGCAGGTCATTGCTCCTGGATCTACGCAGGACTCCGCTCATTCAGGTAAATGGGGACCGTTCGAGCAGAGGGGCATGCGCGCGACCTTGGGGGGTTGCCTGGAGGTGAAAAGACACTGTGGGATGAGGTGGTTGACTAAGGGATGAGTTGTGACTGGGAAAATTGGAGAGTCACCAGGCAGATCTTCAGTTCGAAGGGGTCATGTTGTCGGATGCTGAATTCGGTGGCGAACCCCGAGAGAGAAGAACCCGACAGTCAGGACGAGTCACCGTCCACCGGACGGAGTAGATAGTTGTCGGTGAAATATCGACGGCCAAGTTTCTCGATACTGAATATAATTTCCGAGAGAAAGTTGTCTGGGAAGATCCCTTTTTTAGCCCAAGGGAAAGGAGAGGCAAAGAAGGGTGGCGGCCAAAAGAAAAGGCCTGGAGGACGAAAGGACGAAAGCGCCCGCGCCTGACACGCCCAGCGTCGCTCTCCGCTTTCGCTTTTCCACGCCGACCTTCTCTCTCCTCGACTCCTCCTCATCTCCTCCTCCTCCTTTCGATCTCAACTTCCCCCCCCCGGTCGCCATTCCCATTCATCCTTCGCCTCCACCTGCAACCCCCTTTCGCGCCATCCTGTGATTTAATCTGGCATACCCCCGCAGTCTTTCCTTCATCCACGTCCCCGTGCCTATTGCAGCCCCGACGGCTCCTCCTTCGTGATTCATCGTGGCCGCCAGGCTCTGACGGTCCGGTCTTGGCCTGAACAATCCTCTCCCCTTATACGCCTCGTCCATCGTTTCTGCTCTCGTCCGACCCATCGCCCATCCACCGATACACATAAATACCTCTCGTTGTTTCTGCCTTATCCCTGCATATAACTGGATGACGAGGATATAATCGACCCGTCTCGCCTCGCTTCTCCTTTACTCATTTCTTCGCTCGGTCACATTCCTATCGTCCGAATTATCTCACCAGGGGTTGGACACCACCCTTGATCGAGACATTGTCAGATCCTTCGTGATCTGACGAGGCCGATATATTTTGTATAGTGGCTACCAACATCACCTTGTCAGCCCGAACAAACATCACGAAATAGATCCTTCACCTCGCCCACCATGCGGGAGGTAAACTTCAGCATCCCCAATGTCAATAAGGCCTCTGTTAATATCACAACCACGCTGTACGACCGGCGTGCCCTCGACTGTACATCCACGCTACCACTGATAAATTCCCTCAATCATTTGGCCTATCTCACCACATCATCGGCCCGTATCCGCGATATCCTGACCGTCGATGGCGGCATCGAACGGCTGGTATGTATTCTCAAGGAGGGGCGGAGTCGGGATTTGATGGAAATGTGGAAGTGGAGCCTTGCCTTCCAATGTGTTGTCAATATTGGTGTGCGGGGCTCGGAGAGTGTTCGGACGCGAGTAGTCGAAGCCGACATGGTGCCGGTGATTGCGACTATTCTTGATAACTATATCAAAGTAGTCGAGAAGGCCCGCGCGCGGGCGGATACAGAACCCCAGCGACATTCATCTCGACACCACCCCAAGGGGGCTATCACCAGCGACGCCCCAAGTCGTCCGGTCTATGTGGATCAATCTACCAACACGGAACAGCGTCCCTCTCGCCGCCAGGCGCCGCCGCCTCACATTGAAATCCCTCCTTTCTACCAAGACAGCCATGCCTCAGACACAAACGCCATGGACGTTACCTCGTCTCCTCGGGTGCCTGTGACGTCCCCTCCGGAACGGAGCACTTTGTTTCCACCGGAGTCCTCCACCCATAGACCTGATCTCCGGTACACCCCTGTTGCAATTGCCCGCCTCCGGGCGATGCAGCAGACTCTGGGCACCGCCGTTGCTGCCATGGATGCTGCCGATGGCTTTGGTCTGCGCCCAGTGCGCGACACCGAGCGACTCCCCAGCATGCTTCCGGGTTTTCACAACGGCCTTGCATCCCAGCCCGACTCTCCTACCACTCCTAGCGGACCTGCGCAGCTCCGCAGTAACACGCAATCGACGCTCTCCCGGGCCCGGCCCACCCTGAGGCAACAGCAATCGGCCTCTGGGGAGTCCGATGATGGGAACGGGGAGGGCTCGACGATTGGCGACGACACGGTCTCTGGCGAGGTGGCCGAGCCTATCGTTGGCATTCAGAACCGGATGGAGATTGATGACGTTGGCGACCGGCAAACGGTGCTGGAAGGCGTGTCCAACACGCACGACCTCACTGTCAATGACACTTCGGAAGGTCAGGAAGCTGAGACATTCAATATCACCCACCGGTCGACCGTGGATGGTAGCATGATCACCAACGACACAGCGCGAACGGATGGGGCCTTGGGGTTGTCGCCCACGCAGGCCCCCAACACTGCCACTTCGCCTGCTGTTGTCCCCAGCCCATATACTCTGTACGTGCGCGACCGATCGACGACGGCCGCTCAAGGGGTCTTGACGACGATGCCCCGGGATGAAGATGTTCTGATGTCCCTCCAACTTCTGGCCTATGTGTCGAAATACTGCAACCTCCGATCCTACTTCCAGCATTCGCACCTCGTCCCGAAGCTCAAGGTTGACCGTGAACTCCAGATGCTGGAGGAGGGCGTGTCCCCCATTGAACCTCCGGAAGAGGAAGATGAATACTTGCTTCCCGATGATGTCAACATCTTCCCGCTGGTGGAAAAGTTCACAGTGCGACACCACTCCAAGGACATGCAATACTGGGCGTGCGTGGTGATGCGCAATCTCTGCCGCAAGGACGAGTCGCGCGGGGGCATCCGGCAGTGCGCATACTACAAGTGTGGAAAATGGGAGGAGTTCCAGCGGCAATTTGCCAAGTGCCGGCGCTGCCGACGCACCAAGTACTGCAGCAAAGACTGCCAGAAGGCGGCGTGGGTGTATCATCGCCACTGGTGCCACACCACACCATGATATGAACGCATGAACTGTTTAATACCTAATGCATACCGGCTTGCATAGCGTCGTATCTGTCTACCATTTATTCCGTTTGTTCCGAGGGTCACGTCTACCCGTGCATGGCATTTCAACCTGGCGGCGTTGCTTCATCCAAGATACCTCTTGTATGTGATTTGTTTTTACCACTCTGTTTGATTACAGGCCGTTGAGCCTGATCGTCATCTTCTAGCGGTCATGAATGCGCACTATTTCATCTCTTTTTTCATTGCTCGTGTCTTATGCCCAACGATTTTCCTTTGTGAGTACTATCTAGCATGCGCCTCGTTGAGGGCGATTCTTGGGCTTTTTGGATATTATTGGCAAGTTGGGATGCCCGAATGTTGTGCATAGGGCTGCTGCCCATCTACTGCAAAATAATTGATTCACATAAGGATAACATCAAGTAGACAGCGTTAGATTATCTGATTATTTGCTCCTAGAATTCATCATTTCACCTAACCCCCTCCCCAACTTACAAATCTCACTTGCGAAACCCATACGTAGCATCCAACCTCGCCATCAAATGCTCATGCGCCGTCAACACCTTCCCCTCCTTCCCCTCCAAATCCAACACCCCCGCCCCACCCCCAAACCCAACCCTCCTCCTCTCCTCCTCCCCAACCCTCTTCATCCTCTCCCGAAACTCCTCCACCACCGCACTCGGCACCGCCACCAACTCCGTCTTATCCATCGGATGACAAAAATACACAATACTATACCGATCCTGACCCGTCCCTGATCCCGCTGTTTGTTCCGACACGGGGAAAACAACCCTATGCACGGTACTCTTCAGCAATCCGGAGGTCCAGTAGCTGAGAAGATCGCCGATGTTGACGAGGATGGGGGGGAAGGGGTACGTTTCGCCCTCTTGGGCGGTGGTGGTGGTGGTGGTGGTAGAGGTGGTAGGGATGACAGGCACAGGCGCCCAGTCTCCACTCGGAGTGAGGATTTCTAGTCCCGGTTGGCCCGGGCGTTGGAAGAGGAGGGTGATGGAGCCATAGTCGGAGTGGGCGCCGGCGCGGACGTCGAGGGTGTGGTTGTAGGTGCTTGTTTTGGGGGATTGAAGGGAGGGGTAGAATAAGTAGCGGAGGATGCTCCCTGTTGGGCCGGTGGTGGGGTCATGTCGGGTGGTGAAGAAGTCGGGGGGAATCTGTTCAATTCTCTCGTTAGGGATCGGAGGGTATGGGGATGTGTTGGAGGGTGTTCTTTTGGTGCTTGGATTTGAGGTGTGGAGGAGGGGAGGGGACCTACACCCAGTCCCAGAGCAAGAAGAGTCAAGATCCGAGAGCAGGTCTTGTTGCAGAGGGAGGAGAAATGGGCGATTTCGGATTCGTGGGGTTGCAAGGATGCAGGGAGGGGTTGTTGGGCTTTGGAGTTTTGGAATTCGCCGAAGTTGAAGGCTCTATTGGTTGTTTAGTAGATGGTGGTGGTGGTGGTGGGTGGGGTGGTATACTCTTTGAAGTCGCCGGTCTGAGAAAGTCGATTAGATACAGATTTGAAGAAGAAGACACTGATAAAGGGAATGAGCTCACCCGCTGATGCTCCGGGTCTAAGGTCTCAGTGTGCATGCCGGACCAGCCACGGTTCTATAGACTCGTCAGTGCTGGTCATTGAGATAGAGGTAGGGATATCACGTTTGGCTCAATCCGACAAGCGGCTTTTTCTTCGACCGGAGAGGCGAAGAAGGTTTTGGACTGTGCCATCATTAGTATCTGATGAAGGAACAGGATAATTGAGGATATACCAGCTCAAACGCCCGATCCACCTCGGTGGCTGTAAAATCAGTCCCCCGGCTGTCGACATACAAAAAGCCATACTTGGTGGCGGCGTCCAGCAGGGCCTTCCCCGCCTCCGGATCGAGGGGGTTGGAGATGTCCAACACGGGGAGCTCAATGGGAGGGCCGACGTCAGCCATGGTGCTTAACAGTAGAGAAATAATGAGGAAGATAGCTATGAAAACCACTGGTGGTGGGGAGATAATTTATAGAGTCGGAAGTGGGATGGACGTTATCGGATCTGCGGGGACCCCCGAACGGGTCCCGGTTGGCTATCGGCTATCGATCGAATCGCGTTGATGGCCTGATGCTGGCGAAGTATCCATTGGAAATGCAAATTAGTGGCGGCTGATTGGAGCTTCGGAAGGGTTGACCGCATTGTTTGGAGATGTGCAGCATGCAGGATTCGACCTTATCTTGACAGTGCATTTAGGAATGTCGAAATATGTTGTGTTACGGACCAATGGATCACTGGCTTGACTAGATTGATATACAGATGCAATGGTCATATTGATGGGATGAGATGATTCGGGGTTCAGCCAGCAGAGATAGCATTCACTATCTGCTTGCTTATCACTGTCAGCTTTTCAATGTATCAATTTGAATTTCGTGAAGTTATCTGGGCTGGTTGATAGCTGTTGTAAAATCATTTTCGCAGGCTTAGACCCCATCTGTGGAGCGATGTTCATTCCTCGTCCCTCAAACTTTACCTTACATGCCTTCAATAATTCACAAATAGCAACAGACTTTGACATGTGTTTACAATACTGTTCTACTACAAGATCCACGCACAGGATAGCATAGCAACCATAGCGCTTACAAATTTATACGAAGATCGTAGTAGAAACAAAACACACTTTGCAAATAGGCATCCTAGTCTAATACTTTCGACATTAACTAGAGCTCCAATAGCCCTCTAGACCCATAATTTATAAGATTTTATCCCCAGAATCCACCCTTACGACGGCAGATGGTTGCTTGTCAATGAATGATTTCATAATGACTGTCCCCTTCACCTGTCCAGTATACATCTAAGTCTCCCACTATGAAGTCCAAATAGCATATCATATCCTTCTATTGAGAGATCTGTGTATTATTAGGTAATCAACACACCTTCTAGTGTCTGCATATACTCGTTTGTTCTTATATTATACCCACACTTCAATTCGCAAGACTTCCTGGCTCTGCACGCTGGTGCTTCTAGTATTTTCAGAATACCTGTCCATCGGTACCAAACACCGCGCTTGAGATCTCTATGACCACCCCCCCCGGCAAGATTTTTTGAGGAGATCTTAAAAGTATCTAGAACCTGATATTCAAAAACAACGGCCCATCGGGACTGCGATACCCTCGAATCTCAACCAATCGCCTGTTCAGTTTATGCCCTAGTACTTGCTCTAGACAAGAAGCGTAACTTTCTGTCCAGATACTGAAGGTTCAGCCTGACACGTTGGCAAGACAAGTCCCGAGCAGGCTATGACCTACACTGAGATTCCCCCATTATGCGTGCATCTCACAACATCGAGCAGAGGATATGGTCCCTGATATACCTATACTGTAAGTTAGCACGGATTCTCATGCCCTTGGCACAGGTCTACCTACCAACTACTAGCCAGCCTTCTCATCATCAAAGCCCGGAATCTCAATAAGGATTAAGTAGTCAGTGCCGATAATATCTGTCCGATATTATTGTTGTATTTGTCACTGCTCAAGTAGGACACTTGTTGTGTTGAATGGTAGGATAAGTTTGTGATTATTGCATATTTGTTCGAGGTTTTGTCAGTGGGATTAGTGATAGCCTCCCGAGATGTTATCAGGTATTTGATCATGTCTAGCAAATGGCGAGAATATGTTCTACTAATGTATTTCTCCTCGGTGGGAATGGCGTCTGTCTTAAAAGCTGAACTGTCGAGATCACTGCCCCAGCAGAATATCTTGTGTAGATAGGAGGTTAAGTCTGTCGTAAGAAGCGCTGTCATGATGCCAATTGCATTCCATAGTAAGTTAAAAAGATGGAATTTGTCCAGTCTATAGTACCTTTGTAGAATCAGGACTGAAACTATTCCATAGAGTAGCGCATGCTATACTCCAGTATGAGTATAGTTTCATAGATGAAGTCATTTGAAGATGAACTATCCCCCAAAGTTAGCCTCTTTATACTTGAAGTCTAGACAAATATCTCTGTGAATATCATCCTTCATTAACAATGTCCACTAAATTTTAATATTCCCTAGTCATAATCATCACCATAATCCATCAAGAAAACCCAAGTATACGAATCTCTGCCTCAGGCCCCAACCACCCAATCCAACCCAACGCCACGCGACGCCGCCAAGCCTTCGAACCATACCCAAAGGAGCAACAACACCATCATCCCATGCCATTCCATCCCATATCGATCCCATAGTTACTGACTCTGTGCTTCTTCACTGGCAATCAATTAACACACTCATTCCCTCCATACAACCAAACCACCATTCTCACACCGACTATATCCCGCCAGAACAAAGAAAAAGAGATAAAAGAGAAGAATGTCCACCGAACCCTCCCCCCCGCTCACCACCACCGAAACCGTCCCTCCCCCGACAACTTCAACTCAGGTATTCCCTCCCCCTACCCCTCGCCATAGCAATATCAGCAGAGCTAACATCTCCCCCTCTGGGGACGAACAGACCACCGACCCCCAAGGCCAATTCTCCGCCGCAGTAGACGATCTTCTCGACCAACTACAACATAAATTCGATGGCGTGTCGAGGGAGATGTTTGGGAAGTGTACGCTGCACCCTTCTTCCCCGTTTTTCTTTATTTGCTGGGTTGGATTGGGCTGGGTGGGTATATGTGGTTGTGTAGGTGCTAATTCGGTGGTTCTAGTGGACGATATGGCGAGACGGTTGGATGAGCTAGAGGCTTCGTTTACGGTCGTGGATGGGACGACGGGGAGTACGACTGCTACGGGGGGTGCGTCGGGGACGGGGTCGGGGAGTAATGTGGGCACGACGACGGGGAGTCCGGAGAAGTGAGCTTTGTTATTGTTGGGTTGGTTTTGTTGATATGGGGGTTTGATTGGGTTGGAGTTAGGGGTTATGTTTCTTGTAGATAGATGTGCTGTGTTGTTTGATTTGAGGTGTAGGTGATACCCTTTACTATACTTTTCACTGCTTACAGTACTATATTGCACTGCTGCTCATCAATGGATACTAATACTTATAACTGCTCCATATCATACAGAACATATCCTGCCAGTCATAATCCATACAATATCTACAACTCATCCTTCACCTCCTTCTCGCCAACAAACTGGCGGAGGATGTTGCTGCGCGACACAAGGTCGTCCACCTTCTCAGGCGCCGATCCACCCTTGGCCACGATCTTCTCCAATCGAGCAAGCTCCTTGCTCACGTAGTCGGCGTTCTGGCTCAGCTTGTCCGCAACCTTGACGTAGTACTGAGCGTACTGGTCCTTCAGGTCCGCGGCAGCCTCCTTCAACGCAACAGCCAGATCCGCAGGGGAGCTGGCAATCACCTCGTTCAGGCTGACAATGGTGCCAGCCTTGGCATCCAGACCACCGCCAATGGTACGGTGAGTGCCGGCCTTCTCGTTCAGGTAGTCAATGAAAGCCTGCTGGGAGCGAGCACCCTCGTAAAGAACCGATTCCGTAGAGCCCTTGGGGAAAAACTTGATGGTGGGGTATCCGGACACGCCCTGCTCTCTAGCCGTAGCCTTGCCAGTCTCAGCATCGGCGTCAACCTTGGCGATCACAACATCGTTCTCGAGCGCGAAATCGTTGGCCAACAGTTCCCAGGTAGGAGCGAGGTTCTTGCAGTCTATCCATCCCATCCGTCAGTATCGTCCCGGATTCAATCAAACGGGAAAAAAAGAGATCAACTCACGTCCACACCATGGCGCAGTAAAGGCGACCAAAACATCCTTCTCACCATTGACGACCGACTTGAAAGTCGCATCAGTCAGCATCTCCACCTTGCTAGGTTCCTTCTTAGGACCCCGGGGCTTGACGCCCGTCTTCTCAGTGATGAACGAAGACAGACTCTCCAGATCACGACCACCCTTGTAATCCTCCGGGGTATCGCTCTTGCCATCGAACCACTTCAGGGTCGGGAATCCCTGCACACCGAACCGGCGGCCCAGGTCGCGGTTCTCATCCGCATCGACCTTTGCCACCGTCACCTTGTCCGAGGCGTGAGCGAAAACTTGGCCCAGCTCCTCGTAGACGGGCGCAAGGTTTTTGCAGTGACCGCACCAGGGAGCGAAGAACTCGACCAAGGCGGGCTTGCCGGACTTGAGGACAACGTCGTCGAAGTTGTTGGGGACGAGGTCGACCACCGCGGTGACGGCGGAGGCCAAGCTGAGGCAGCTGGCGAGGAGATGGTTGAGGCGGACCATCGTGATATACAAGGGAGTTTTGGCTTGTAAAAGGGATAGGACAGGTGATAGATGTCCTCGAGACCAGGCCGTTGTTCAGCTTGGTGTGATGGTCGGAGTAGATCGAGGAGCTCCGCGGGAAGCGGAAGCGCTGCGGAGACCGAGCGGGCGGAAAGGACACTTGGTAAGTTATCCATCACTAAGCAGCACTGCTACACTCAGCTGCAATACGGGCTAAACATATACGACTCGCCACTACGTTTGCCTGACTACGTGGATACGCTCTTCTGCCTGTCAGCCTTTCATCCTAATAATACATCGTGTGCGTAGAATTGGCGAAACTATTAGGTGGCTCGGCCACCCGGCCGACACGACTACCATGGTTCGTGATGTTGTCATGAGTACTTCCCCAGTGCCCGAGCAGACGACTTTCGCTTCATCGCCGCTCCGCCAACCAGCGGTTTGCGTTCTCCCACTGCTTGCCGTCCTTGAACTCCTTGCCTGCACTCTGCGTACCGCGATAGACCTAAGACGATGAGTGAATGCGCATGCAACAAGCCACGAGGTTGGACTCACCGCATCCCAGAGCTTGAACGCCATGTCCAGGTTGCCCGTAAAACTGTCGCTGTGCTGGAACCAGTCCTTGCCCTTCGATTTCACCTCTGACCGCGCCTCCGGCGACGTAGGGTTCGTCTGCAGGGGCAAGTCATCCAGGTAGGTACGCACAGCGATGCCCAGACCGCAGTCATTGTCGTCGATAAAAGGCAGCCTAAGCCCGTTAGAGTCGGTCTCATTGGTGTGCAGTGTGCAGTCACTTACTTGATGCTCAGTGCGCCCCAGTCGTTTCGGTCCCGGTCAGCATCGCCGCTCAGAAGGAGCCCGGCCAGAACGACCTCAATGAGGTTTCGTAGCGTGGAGCGCACTTCGGATATCAGGGACCGGTAGCACAGCAGCTGGCGGCTTAGCGGCCCGGAGTAACCGATACTCTTGTGCTGAAGTTTGGCGATACAGGCGACGCGGGAGACAAGCATATTGAAACGCTTATCTTCATCTACAGTCGAGAGTCAGCGCTGCCCACGGGGATCAGTTGGCATCTTACCTGAGCCTCTCATAGGCCCTCCGGAAACATGGGAGAACCACGGCGTGGAGTTAAGCAGACCAAAGCGCATCATCTCAATAGCAAGGAACGTAGGCTCCTCAAGCGCATCGGCCGGGTCGAGTCCCGACAGTGCTTGCTCAAGGCACTCTCCCCACTTGGTAAGCTGGTGTCTCTCATCGATGTAGCCACGGAGCTGTAGGAACCGCCAGTATACATTGGCAAGGAGTTCGTCTTGTGATGATAATGCCTAGCCGGGTCAGTTTTGAATCGTATTCCGGACAGGGAACTTACGGGAGTGTCCTTAGTAGACAGGGAGTTCGTGACAAACTCGCTATCTTTCAAGCTCTGAACAGCGAACTGGAAACGTCCACACGAACCCTAGTCCTGTTAGCGACGATCCATGGCAAGCGAAGACTGGACTTGCCTGCAGATTCCTCAAGCTCTCCGGAAGCTGCTCGGTGCGACTCTTCCACGATTGGATTGCCTCCTTAACGGAAGGTAAGTTTTTGAGGTTGATCGTAGAGTGTGACTTCTCGTCGTGCCATGTTTGCACGTCGATCAACTTGGTCTGATAGAACCGGTGCAGGGAATTTGATAGCAGTCCAATCGCCTGCGTTCTCGTGGGTGTGAGAAAGTTGCCGGAAACTTGGCGGTAGATTTCCGTGTCCTCGGCGCCCAAAGGCAACGAGATGAGAACTTCGCCCGATGTGAGGTAGTTGGGCACATCGGGTCCCAGAATACCCTTAGACAGGTAGAAGTAGAGCTCCTCTGGGAGGCGAAGGCCAATCAATTCGTGCATGTCAGAGGGTGCATTCTCCGGGTCCATGGGACCAACTTTGCCATCCACATCAATATACACATGGTGCTTCACAGTCATCAACGTGCGCTTGTAGCGATCTGTGTAATGGAGCTCCTGCATCCGCCGATCCTCCTCAAACTGAGAGCAGAGGGCGAGTACGCTTCGTCCAGCTGCATTGAACATCGGCAGTGCATCGCGAACAGTGGGATTCTTTCCGGGGAAGACATTGTTTTCTAAAACAGGGAAGGGCTGAAGGAAGGAAGACCCTAGAAGAAGGCAAAAATCTAGGAATTGCTCATGTGATAGGCGACCGAGTTCTTCCAGGCATGTCTGCTTCGTGATCCAGAAGAATTGTGCCGGGTCAATGTCAATGCGGGTGACCAGTTTATCAATGTCGAACATCAAGACTTCGGAGGGTCCGTAAACGGCGTCGACCAGTGGGTTCGACCCCTTGGCCAGGTAGGAGAGCTACAAAGCAACAAGGTCAGATGCGCGCAAGCCAATAGACAGCAGGACCTTACCTGAGCTGCAGCACTATAAGGGGCCACAATGTACTCGATGCCTTGTTGGATGAGAATGCGCTGCAAAAATCGGTAGAGGGACTCGGGACGAGGGGTGCCTAGGACAGGACAGTCAGGGCAACGAGTTCAAAAAGCCAGTTCCAGTTTCATACCCGCGCTGCTGAAGGCATCCACCACTTGATCGGCCTGTTGTTGATCGTAGAGGTCCCATGCCTGCTCGAATGCCCGGACCGACTCCTGCTGCACGTGGGGTCGTTGATCCTTTTTGCCAAAGTCGAGACCATTGAACACGAAAATACAGGTCACGCCCAGATCCTTATACACCTGCAGTTCTTTCTCGATGTTGCTCTTCAGTGCAAATGGGAATCCACCCAGGGCGATCAGAAGGGGTTCGCGTGTGGAGGGTTGGAGGAGGTGTTGAGAAATGTAGTGCGACGCATCGATACCGACAGCCGCTCCTTTGAGAGCTGAGAGGGGGAGGGATTGGGTGCGGGTAGCGGCCCATTCATCCAACGGACGGACTGTGCGAGGCAATATGGATTAGCTGGACAGGGACGTGGACTGGGATTGGAGCTCCAGGAGCTCCAGCAGGCGGCTTACTCGGCATGGTTCAAACTGAAGCTGTGTCACGGACTTAGACGCCGGAGCCGATACCAGGCATGGAGAGCCCGGTGGGGAGGAGGAAGGGAGGGGAGATTAAAAACAGGAGTAGGTGGGGTGAGGAAGTAGGGAGAAAGAGGTCAATGAGGAAGAGGGAGAGAGGGGTGGAGGGGAGGGGAGCAGCAAGACGAGCGAGAGAGAGAGGGGGATGAGTGAGGGAGTGATGATGCGACAATCGGCCAACACGGGCAGTTGAAGCCAATCACGAGGGCGGTGTTGCCCTGGCCAACTGGCCGATATTACGACCACACCACGCATTATGACTTCGATTGACGTCCTTGTGATTATTGGAAGGGTTGAACTTCCGGCCTTCTTGTTACTTTTAAAATTTTTGTTCGGATTTGCAATTCAAAATTTGCGATAAGAGCACCGTCTTTGTGAATTCGAACTAAACAGCCTCAGTGTTTAGAGCACTGTGCCGAAGTATACAAAGGTCAGTGAAAGCCTTTAGAGGAACCATCACTCTGCTGATTGTTTCCAACAGCTTGAATCGAGCTCAATCGGTTGTCCAAATTCCAAACCTTTACCGTCGTATCCCATGACCCAGACACAAGCATCCCACCAACTCGACTGAAAACAATATCCGAAACACACGCTGTATGACCCTTCAGGGTTTGCAAGCATTGTCCGGTGTGGACATTCCACAATTGGATATGTCCATCAGTCGACCCGGTCGCTAGTACCTTGCTATTTTTAGTAAAAGCCAGGCTCTTCACCCAGCCGTCGTGTCCTTTGGGGGCCTGAAGGCACTGCCCAGACGTCGGGTCCCAGAGCCGCACGGTACAATCATATGAGGTAGATGCGAGCACGCTGTCATCTGGGCTGAAGACAGCAGCAGTTACCTCTTTTGTATGGCCCTCAAGCACATGGAGACACTTTCCATTGTGTGAATCCCAGAGCCGCATGCTCCCGTCAGTAGAGGCTGATGCTAGCATCTTGCCGTCATGTGTGAAGACGATTACTCTAACAGACGATGCATGGCCTTGGAGCCTGTGGAGATGTTTCCCACTGGGTAAGTCCCACAATTGCACCGTGGTATCGCTAGAGGAGGTCGCAAGCATCTTGCCGTCGTGAGTAGAGGTGATGGCCCTGACGCGGCCGCCATGGCCCTTGAGTGTCTGAATGCATCGGCCGGTGGTAGGATCCCATAAGTTCACCTGACTGTCAAAAGAGGTAGCAATGCGCATTTTATCCTCGACATAGATCACCACGCGGTCTATGTCAGTATGGCCAGCGAGAGTCTGAAGGCACTCGCCTGTCGCTACATCCCAGAACTGGGCTATACAGTGGATGGCAGCGGTCACTAAGACATTTCCATTCTGTATGAAAGTAAGTTTTCGGACACACCCAGTATGACTTTTTAAGATTTTGAGGCACTGCCCTGTGGTAAGGTCCCAAATCCGAACTGTTTGGTCGACAGAAGCAGATGCTACTCTGTCCTGTTGGGCAATGGCGATAGCTTTGACAGAATCCACATGGCCTTCCAGTGTCTGCGGCACTATACCCCAGTCATCTATACAAGGGATTTGGTCCTTTCTATCAGGATCCAAATCTATGGGCATGGGGCAAGGCCCTGGTCCCGGAGGAGCGAGCATAAGTGGTCGGCTTCTGGCGCCTTCGCCTGCCGTTAACGAAAAGGCAAAGCGAGGCATTGCTCTCCACTGGGGCAGCCAGCCATTTTCCTTGACAAGGTTAAGAGCTGCGTCGGCTAAAATTCCCGCCATATCTTCCCTGAGAAGCAAGGCATTGGCCGGATATCTTCCTTCTTCCCGTGACATGGCCTCATCACCACCATCGTCGATCTCCACGAGACCATCCAAGATATCCAAGACGCTAACCTTATGATACTGTGGGTAGATAATAACCCGCTTCAGAGACCGCATAAAGGCCAACATTAGCGCGTACAAATGCTGGCAAGTATGCACGCCACCATTCTGTTGCTGCTGATGTTTGCAGTATGCACTGCAATCCGGCAGGTCTAGAACGACCGTGTGAAAGCTCAGGAGAGCCTCCTTGGTGTTCTCAAAGTAGAGTGATCCTGGCCTTGCTGATCGATCTGTCGCTAGATATGGATCATCTGCAAAGTTTTCGATGCCGGATTGCGGGTTGAACTCTGTCATTGTGGTTATGAGGCCCCCAGGATTGAGGTGGAGGATGTCAACTCTGGGATTATAGCGTATGATGCGGTACGTCTCATCCCGATAGTAGACCCCGTTTCCAAGTGAGTGAAGCCCTTCCCGGCGCTCGACTCGTAGTGCGCATGGATAAGTCAGAAGAACGGCCTCGCGCGCCTCGCGACAGACCAGGCTGATGGTTGTAGGAGTTTCACAAAAGTCATAGATGCCTTCTTTAACCAATGGCTCTCTAAACTTCAAGAAGGCCATATAATATGCGGAATGAGATGCATGAGGACTACCCCGGTGTTTGGGATTTCCACAAAATGGCTCTATTGACGATGCCAAACCGCAATGGCTCTTGCATTGACCGAGACACTTGTTAATGCCGACTTTGATGATGCGCGGCTGCCTGTAATTCAGTGCTTCTCGCCAGATCTGAAGCCGGAGCTCAGGGTAAAGGCGGGGAAACTGCGGGAAATCCATCGGGGAAGACGTTGGGCTGAGCATCTCTCCAGTCTCCCCGAAAGGAGTGCGGGGGGGGGTCACTTAAAAGGGTCGAAATGGCTGAATAGCTCACAGGAGTGGAGGAATTAGCTGTTGACTGAGTAATCCTGGCAAGCTTACCTGGCCCCCAAGCGGCTTAATATTCACGCTCGGCCGAGGCGGAGCTGTAAGCCCTAATGCATGGTGAAGTTGAGGCTGCCTGCTGGGCCCTCCAGTGAATGAGAGGCACTACATCTGCATCTTTTGAGAACAAGTTAGAAAAAGTAGAGCAGATGATGAGTGTCAGACTGCTACTGTGGAGCCGCAGCCGGCCCTTACTATTAGCCTAGGTAAATTCTTTTTGAATTCGAGGTGAAGCTGGAGGGTTGGGTGGCTGAGACTCTAGAGATATATAGTTGGCGCGCTAGTGCTCAAGTGATTAGTACTAGTAGATAGGTATGACTGTAAATATAACAGAAGAGACCATCCAGAGATCTGAGAGAAGATTTCATGTAGTAAGAATATCCACTACCAAGATGAATTGGAGTTGAGTGGCATACCAGGCTGTCCAGTGTCTTTAATCAGCGGGCATGACAAGCTGCCAAGACTGCCGCCATTCTCGATTCCCGTCGAGCATCTCCACCATCCACACATTATGTCCAGACACATGAAAGCATAAGACATTTGGCCAAAGTATTAACACGCTAAACCACGACACGATATATAATACTCTCCCGGGCAGCCTCCAGGCTTAAACCACAAATGAGCACCCAACCTTCTCAAGTTCGGCAACCACCGGCAACTCCCACCTACATTTTACGCGGCCATGCCGCTGCCATCCATGCGCTACAGATCTTCCACCAGAACCTAAGACTTGTCTCTGGCGACGCAGACGGCTGGATCGTCGTATGGGATCTAGTGTTCAAGCGTCCGCTAGCCGTATGGAAGGCCCACGATGGCGCGGTCCTCGAAGTCAAGGGATTCACCTTCCGAAATGGTGCTGTTACGGAAGTGTTCACGTGCGTATCTCTCACTACATACACGAACCATCTAATACCTCTACAGACATGGTCGAGACCACAAGTTACGCGTTTGGCGATTCAGCGTCCAGGATGAGGAGGTTCTTCAGAAAACCCTCCCCGTGGATATCACCGAGACAACATCATCAGCTGCCCCCCAGCCATGGTTGGTGCATTCGCTTCCAGTGAATGCGTTGAATTTCTGTGCCTTTACAATGGTCTTTCTTCCCCCGAGTAGATCGAACACGGAAGGCGTGCTGTCAGAGGCATCTGGAGAGAACAAATCGCTTTCATCCGCGCTCATCGCCGTTCCTAATGCTTTGGACTCGGGCGCGATCGATCTCTTCCATCTCCCACAGGAAAGACGTATCTGCACCATCCCCGCGGATCCGGAAACGAAAACCGGCATGGTGATGGCGGCTAACCTGGTTCTGTCTGAGTCTGGGGAGTTGTACGTTACCTCTGCCTACGAAGATGGCCACGTCATGGTTATGGGCTGTCGTGGGCCGTTGCATGAGAAGGATCTAGCGCAAAATGCCAAGACAGCGTGGAAGTGGGAGAAGCTATACGCCTGTCGGGCTCACTCTCAGCCAGCGCTATCGATTTATGTCTCGCCCGCTGGTGATTATTTCTTTTCTTCATCGGCTGATGCGGTGCTGGCGAAGCATCCGATTCCGTCCCTGGGTGCTCCGGGCTATCGTGAAGAATCTCCAATCAAGTCGATCAATACGAAGCATGCTGGTCAGCAGGGGGTGCGGATACGGTCTGATGGGAAGATTTTCGCGACTGCGGGATGGGATTCTAGGGTCAGAGTTTACTCGTGCAAGACAATGAAAGAACTTGCTGTCTTGAAGTGGCATAAAGATGGGTGCTATGCTGTGGGGTTTGCGGATATTGCTGGCTTCGAGTCGAGCGAGGCATCGACTGGTGAGGAGAGGCATACACCGCAAGACGATAACGTGGACACGCAGCTTGCCAGACGTGCAGAGTTCTCGCTCGCAACGGTGCATCGCCAGAGAAATCAGAAAGTGCAAAACACCCATTGGTTAGCTGCTGGGTCAAAAGACGGAAAGATCTCATTGTGGGATATCTACTGATTGTCGTCAATTATTATTTACATGTGTTGCCAACTAGGCCAGATTGAACTCGCTTGCACCGGCCATGTTCTCCCTCATCTTCGCCCTCATCTTCTTAGCAGCCGTTTGCATGTCGGTGGGAGCAGGAGCATCATCGTCATCATCGCGACCACCAGCCTTCCTCTTCTTTCCAGCAACGGGTTTCCGCTCGGCCTTGAAATCCTTCTTGGTATCGTCCTTTCCTTGACGAAGGCCAGGCACATTGATCTTGCTGGGCCGATCACGCAGACCGAAAGCCTTTGCCAGATGTCCGAGATGAAGCTCTTTGATGTTGAACATACTCCGCTCGTTGGCGATGTGCGTGGCATAGGCTCTGATATGAGACTGGTATGCACGCCGGGCCATTTCAAGGTACTTTTTGTTTTCCAAGGACCATCTTTCCACATCCAGCTGCCAATCCGTTGCCTTCTCCTCCCAGTCGGTGTTCTGCGACTCAACATTGCCTCCGAAACCACGCTTCAGAATTTCGTCTGCATCGGTGCGTGTCAGCGCCTTTCCACCATCCCGGTAGCCCTTCTTGAGGATGTCGACGTAGCCCTCTTCACAGCCCGGCATGAGGAAAAGAAGAGCGCGACCGTCACGTCCCAGACGCGCAGTACGTCCGATTCTGTGCAGGTGGTCCTCCGCGCTAAAGGCCGGGTCGTACTCCACCACCAGATCAACGTTCGGAAGATCCAGACCACGAGACGCAACGTCGGTACAGATAAGCACGGAGGGATCGCGATTGCGGGCAAAGGCATTCAGGGTGGCTGTCCGGACATGCTGAGGAAGAGAACCGTGCAGTCGATGCAGCGTCACGGGGTTCGAGGGGTTCGAGAAGGCCGTAGCAGGTGCGATAGTTCCATGAGCCGAAGCCTCAAGCTTCTTCCTCTTCTCCTCTGCATCCTCGTCGTCACTGTCGCTCTCTCCGCTCTCTTCCTCCTTCTCTTCCTCTCCCTGCTTCCGCGTAAACACCTCGAAGTGAAAGTCCACCGAGTCCGCACACGACACAAACACAATAGCTTTCATCACCGATCCCTTCCTCATAAACGTCCGCTTCATAAACGCCGTCAGCGTAACCAGCCGTAGCTTTGCTGCCACAATCGCATACGACTGCTTCAGCTGCGCCGGCACGCGGAACGCATCCTCCTCATCCTTCTTCCTGGGCTCTCCCTCCTCATCCGCCGGATCCGCCTGAATATGCACTGCATCCTTCAAACTGATCTCTCCCAGCTTCTGCACCGTCATCTTCAACGTCGCCGAACACAAGATAGTCGTCCTCTTGGCCGGAATGCCGGGAATCCGACTGGGTCGCTGTCGCGCATCCAGTTTTTGAATAATGCCTGCCAACTCCTTCTCAAATCCCAACTCCATCAACCGATCACCCTCATCCAACACCAACCACCGCACATTACTCACATCCAACGCCTGCGTATTCTCCAAATGATCGGCCAACCGACCCGGCGTCGCAACCAGGATATTCAACCCCTTCCTCAACCGCGCCTTCTCACTCTTCTTCTTCTCACCTCCAATCACCGTCCCCGCCACAATCCAATGCGCACACCGCAACAACCCCTCCAACACCACCGCAATCTGCTTACACAACTCTCTCGTCGGCGCCAGCACAATCGCAAACAACCCACTGTCACGCTGCACCATACCGCCTTCCTCCCTCTGCTTCTGATTCTGCGCAATCGTCATAATCCGCTGCACCAGCGGCAACAAATATGCCATCGTCTTTCCGGATCCCGTCTCCGCCTGTATAAACGCATCACTCTCCTCCTTGAGTAATTGCGATATACTCGCTTTCTGAATCGCCGTCGGCGCCTTCACCTCCAACTTGGTCAGCAAATGCGCCGCCAGCGGAGCCGATAGCCCCAAGTTCGTGAATGTATCCAATCCATCAATCAGCGGTGCGTTCGTCGGCTTCGTCTCCTCTTCCTCCTCCCCATCTCCCCCCTTCTTTTTCTCCTCCTCAACATTATTCCTCGGCGTCGGATTCTTAGTAAACAACGACGACACAAACTGTCTCGGTCCCGTCTGTTGCTGGTGTGGATGTTGCTGCTGTGCATGTCCCCCCTCATCAACTCTCTGCCTCTTCACCGGCCGTGTCCCAGAGACTTGAATGCGATTCGGATTGCGGAAATTATTGTTCTGCTCATTGTTCCCGTTGGCGGGTTTATCGCCCCGCGGGTTCGTCGTCCGGTGCGCGGCGATTTTCTTTGCGCTGAGTCGGTCGCGCCATGTTCCGCCTTTGACTTTCTTCGGCTCGTGTTTGAGGATGGTTGTGTCCGGGAGGCTGAAGTTTAGGAGGAGGCCGTCGTCGGCCATGGTGATTATGTGGGTAGGTAGGTGCCTGCCTGCCTCTGAGTATTTTGGTGTTGTCTGGCAGGAGGTATTGGTATGGATGGGGGGAGCGGGACTGGAAGAAACTTTACTCCAGAGGGAAATTTTCTCGGGCCGGGAAGGTTCCGAACCCTTTGATTTTGCCCTAGTTTCTGTTTTGGGAGGGATGTTTGGGATTAGGTGGTAGATGGAGAGAGGAAGGTAAATGTATGACTTTTGAGTATATCTATATATAAGCTATGGGTCTAGTAATAAACATCGGGTATATATACTTTTGCTTTTGCATGAGGCCCGGAACAATGAGGTGCCCGCCTCGATCTACACCCGCGGCTTGAAGATCAAGTTATCGATCAAACGCACCGGAACTTGGCCATCGCCGAGACCACAGTCCTCATCAGGCTTCGACTCCTCCAGAGGAGCCATCTTGATCGCCCCGCTGAGAATAGCGCCCTTGCTGGGATCGATAACATTCAACTCGTCCAAAGAATCCGGGTCAGCGAGAGAGATATAGTCAACCTCGTAGAGCGCCCTCTCCGCGGGCGACAACGCCTGCTGCTCAGCCAGAACCTTCTGAGCGACACCGTTCGCCGCATCCAGAATCTCAGCCCGATTGACCTTGCCTGCATGATAGGCATCCTCCGCCGCCTTCAAGGCCCTGTACAGCGCCAAGCCCACAGCCCGTCTCCTCGCACCAAGGTAAACGTTCCTAGAACTCATGGCCAAGCCATCATGCTCGCGAACCGTCTCCCCAATCTTGATCTCCGTATCGATATAAAAATCCTTCACGAGACGCTTAATCACCACGGTCTGCTGCACATCCTTCTGTCCGAAATAAGCCCGATCGGCGTGGACAATATTGAACAGTTTCATGCACACGGTCGCCACGCCGCGGAAGAACACCGGCCGGGACGCGCCCTCTAGTTTCCGAGCAAGTGGGGTGATGGTGACAAAGGACCCGTCCCCGTCGATCTCGGATGATGGCGGCAGCGTCGGGTACATGACCTTAGATGTGGGCGCCAGAATGGCGGTGATGCGACCGTTCTTGCTGTCCTGGCGGGCCAGTTCGGTGTTCAATTCCTCGAGCTTCGCGACATCGCTGTCCCAGGTGCGCGGGTAGCTGGAGAGATCCTCTGATACGCCGAATTGGGTGGGGTTCACGTAGATGCTCACGAAGACGTCGGTGTTTTCGGCGGCGGCTTGGCGGATTAAGGAGAGATGGCCTTCATGGAGAGCGCCCATTGTTGGGACTAAACCGACCGTTCGTTTGGAGAGGAGGAGTTGGCGACGCAATTGCCTGAGTTCGGGGACATCGCGGAAGACTTGGAAGGAGTGCTTTTGGAGGGTGGGGGAGGCCATTGTGGTGGTGTTTTTGAGGAGGGAGGTGGCGGCTGTGTGACAGGAAATTGTTAGAGGGACTGCTCAAGGCAGGGGGGATTAAATAACAGCGCATTGAGGGGCATACTGGAGAAACGCCGCGTCCAGCCGAACATGGTGATGTGGTTGGTTTCTGGAGGTTGCACGAGGGAGCTGTCGTTGTACCGCCGGTACCTCTTTTCAGTCCCGCAGTGGAGCAGGTTGCAGCTCAGGCCCAATTAGCCCAAGTAGTGGTTGGTAGGAGAGACGGCGCAGCTGTTGGTGCTGAGACGGTGCCCATCGCAATTTATGGCCTTGACCGGGCACGACATGATGGTCTGACCTCACGGTGGCGTGCTGGCGACTGCCGCGTTGAGTTCATCCCTCTTCAGCTGCAAGTGTATTGAATTTCCGCAATGCCCCCAATTGGGGCTAGCGCACCGTTGCATGGGCGTGACCGTTCGTTCTCACGTGAGCGGAGCAGCTCGAATCATCCGAGGCATTCTGGGGAAATGCCGGGGATCGTCGTTGGTTGGAGTTTCGCTTGCCTACCAGGAACCAGGCGCTGGTCGATCATGGGTTTGCCTCTCGGTGCTCTTCCCCTTATTTGAACTTATCTGACTCCTTCTTAACAGTCAATGGTCGTTGCGCTCTAGATATCCTCGAAATCATCCCCTGAACTGATCAGCATTCCGTTCCCCCCGCCCGAGACAATGCCCTCCGACAAGTCTCCGGTCGGCGAATCCGCCCCGGATCTCGAGATCGTGGGAAACAAACTCACCATTCACCCCAGCGGAGTTACTGGAGGGCCGGAACCTCAAGATGAACAGATCGCCGAGCGCAACCTTGTCCGCCATATGGCGCGATTTCGCGAGAACCCTTTCGACTTCCTCCGGGAAGTGAGCCTCTATATGTCGGGAACCGGGTGGCGCGCCTACGATGATGTGATCGGACAACCGATATTTTACTCTGGGTTTGGCGATCGGATGAAGTCACGAATCCTAGCGAGTCCTCTGTTACAAGGGAAAGTGAAGGAGCTTGCGGAGGCGCGATTGGAAGTCGAAGAGAAGGATGGGCTGTTGGATGTGAATCCGGGCCCCTTGGCGCAGAAGAAGATACATCGTCGGAATGAAATAGAGAGTAATCTCAAGGAAGTGGTGGACTCCATGCTAGATAACATGATTTGCAAGATGGAGAGCAAGAGATTTATTCGAGGGGCATATTATTTGTGCACGCAGCTTCTGACGCGCGCTTATCATCAAGGTGGGATTTAAATGTTGAAGATGAGGAGTGTTGTTAACAGAGTTGCAGGAATACACGTATCGAGTGAAGAAGTTCTCCGGTTGAGATCGGTTGCGGAAGACGCAGCTGCTAAGAAGCAGTCTATTGTCTTCTTGCCTTGCCACAAGTCTCATGTCGACTATGTGTCGCTCCAGCTTATCTGCTATCGTCTTGGGATTGGGCTTCCAGTAGTCGTGGCGGGCGAGAACCTCAATATCCCGATGCTCGGGCCTTTCCTACAGCATGCAGGTATGGTCTGACCCGTTGCAGTCTGCTGCCTTGCTGACAAGCTAGGCGCTATGTGGATTCGAAGGAGCTTCGGAAACGACCCGCTGTATAATACTGTCGTGCAAGCCTATATCGATACGCTTTTACAGCAGGGTTTCAACTTTGAATGCTTCATCGAAGGTGGTCGCTCCAGAACCGGAAAGCTCCTGTCGCCCAAATTTGGTATTCTGAGCTTCATCCTGGACAGTGTTCTTTCAGGCCGCGTAGAGGACACCATCATATGTCCTGTCAGCACACAATACGACAAGGTCATCGAGACTGAGTATGTTTCCATTGATCAGCATTATACAGAAATGCTAACAATACCTAGGTCATACATTAGTGAACTTCTTGGTCAGCCGAAAAGGAAGGAAAACTTGGCTGATTTTCTATCCTCCTCTTCGGTTCTGTCCTTGAAGCTTGGTCGGGTGGACGTCCGATTCCATGAGCCATGGAGCCTGAGAGAGTTTATCGCCCAGCAACTATCTCGCATGCCTGAGCAGATCATCACAGATGGCGGACCGAAATTGAGTTACGCCGACAGAGGTCGGGTGCTAAGGTCGTTAGGATACAGGGTTCTGTCCGATATCAACGACGTGTCTGTGATGATGCCGACGGCACTTGTTGGTACAGTGCTTCTCACTCTTCGTGGACGAGGTGTTGGGAAAGGCGAATTGGTCCGGCGTGTCGAATGGCTATGTGAGCGTGTTCGAGCGAAGGGCGGACGAGTCGCTCACTTCTACCGCTATCCCACGGATGTCGTTGTTGACCGAGCCCTGGAGGTCTTGGGTCCGCAGATTGTGGGTGAAGTGAGCGGACTGGTTGAGCCGACTTTCTTTGCCGTGGATCGCTTCCAACTTTCATTCTATCGCAACATGACAATCCACTTGTTTATCACCGAAGCATTGGTGTCTGCGGCAATGTACACGAAAATCAAGCAAGGCGGCGGGCCGTCTTTTCAGCGCATGTCCTACACAGACCTCGTAAACCAGGTTTCATTCCTCTCTCAGGTAAGCACATCTCGAGTGTTGTTGCGACATCCTATTGATTATTGCAGCTTTTCCGTGGTGAATTCATCTTCCCTCCCGAGGGCTTAACAACCAACCTGGAAAAGACGCTCCGAGGACTCGAGAAAGATAATGTAATTAGAGTCAGCCGAGACACCACCGGGGAACCGCTCTTCGTCGAGCTCAGCGATGCAGAACGTCAGTGCGGGCGTGAGAACTATGACTTCTATTGCTTCTTGATCTGGCCATTCATTGAAGCCTCGTGGCTGGGCTCAGTTTCCCTCTTGGGACTTGCTCCGCCTCTAAACGGCGCGGACGACGTCTGGATCGATTTAAACAAGGCACAAGACAATGCCCAACTGGTAAGACAACCCTGTACCGCATTTGACGCATTAATCTAACAATGTAGCTTGGGAAAACCCTCTACCACCAAGGCGACCTCTCTTACTTCGAAGCCGTCAACAAAGAGACCCTTAAAAACTCCTACCAGCGCTTCGCGGAGGAAGGCATCATTCAAGTCGCGAAAAGCAAGGAATCGAAAGTCTCTAATATGAAATTGGCTGCTGAATGGACGCCCGAGCGGGATCCAACTACTGGAAAATTGGTTCCTCGTGGCCGTCTCTGGAATTTCACCGAGCTGATCGCGCAGTCTAGACGTGAGGGGTGAGTGAACCGTTCCTCCACATATACAAGTCTAATTTCTTGCAGTAAAAACCGCCGCGACGGCGCAACAGTCTCATCGCGAGTTTTGCACATGTCAGATCTTGTCGGCAGAAAACTATTCGAAGACGCATCGAGTCGCAGTCCAGCTGAGGAGGTGGATGTCTCGATTCGGCAGATGCGGAGGAAGGCGATCACACCCAGTTCGAAGCTCTGAGACGTAAAGCCTGTTTGGTTGCAAAGTAGACATCTATGGGCCTATGGCGCAATTGGTAGCGCGTAGTAAGTTTACTCCTATCCGCTAGCGGATCAAATCAGCATCTAACAAATCAATCAGCGACTCCAGATCGTAAGGTTGTCCGATCGAGCCGGGCTGGGCTCATACCCTCTTTTTTATTTTTTTATTCCCGACTGTTTTTTCTTGGCAGTCGGGTTGCAAAGTAGACATCTATGGGCCTATGGCGCAATTGGTAGCGCGTAGTAAGTTTACTCCTATCCGCTAGCGGATCAAATCAGCATCTAACAAATCAATCAGCGACTCCAGATCGTAAGGTTGTCCGATCGAGCCGGGCTGGGCTCATACCCTCTTTTTTATTTTTTTGTTCCCGACTGTTTTTTCTTGGCAGTCGGGTTGTAATGAGGAAGAAGCATAGCATTAATACCCTTTGTAGTTGTAGTTCTTTTGCTGGGCATTGTTGGCTTGGTCTAGATTTATCTACATCGTCGTTTCTTAAGAGGCCCACTCCGGAAACTATTCTCGCACATCGGGCTTCGTGCCACTGTAGAGTCCGAGACAGCACCTGCTCTTGTCTTCCATATAAAGAGCTTATGCTGTTTTTCCTGTCGCACATAGTAGACCCATACCTCCCCTTGCTACCTAACCAGTTAAAGAAGACTCACATATGATAGTATCTAAATCTATTTATCGTTCCATTAGCGTGACTTCAATCCATATTCCTTAGTCTATTAGGACCACGGTGCGATACCAGTCTTGTAGATGCTTTACTGCTTGAAGTATGAGTGATGCTAGATTGCTGTAGAAGTTGAATCACCGCAAAGCCATACATTGGGAAGAAGTTGATGACGAAGTGAAATCCTCGTCAACATTCGAAATAGTCAACTGCACACCATTCCTCACGCCCCCAACAGACCCCATCGTCTGCATTGTTCATAAATGGCCCTCTGGGCGTTTGGTAATAGAAAGCGCTTGCCATAGTGCTCAAATGTACCCATGGAATAATTCTAGCCCAGACAATCATCTGAAAGGGAACCGCATTTAGTAAGTTCTGAGTAACCTTACATCCTTTTGCTATGTACATGCATATGAGACTATATCTGAGGCATCTTTTACATCGAAGCAATCTTTCCCGTGCGCGTGAGATACTGCCGTTGTTTAAAACCTGCCCTTACTCTTGGATTATCTTTTTCATCTCCAATAATAATACAAAGCCTAGGTCTGACCCAGTCCCCGGAAGCTTCCCCATAGCCTCCAGCCTCTAGGCTTCAACCAAAAGGCACAATGGCCGTTGATTTGATGTACAATCACAGCAGCCGGAAGATAGATTGTGGACATAACTTGTGCAGTTGGAACACAGGATGATGCGAAGCATAACACACCTTTGCCATCCTCCACGGAAGGTGCAGGTTTCCGAGCTCATTTGAAGCGGACCGCTAAGTGAGGGTAATCCAAGGCCCTGCAACGGGAGACAACAACTGCAAGAGATACTCACGGTGATAACACAGGCGCAACAATTACCTAGGCTTGTGCATCTTCCTAGCGAATCAAGCCAGCAGGACACTGACTCGATGAGCATGCGGGCATGAGAGATTGGCCAACCAGACGATTCTGAGAAGGGTAAGGCATCTATAAGTAGAGATACAACAACTGTGTCTTTCCAATCATTCATAGGCGGCCAAACATCAAGGACTTCGTCACCTGAACACGTTGTTGGTATGTGATTTCCCCCAATACCGTGAATGCTTAGCTGGCCCACTTTGCTCGGAACTAACAGTAGAAAGTATCCTCGCCTTCACCATGTGCTTCATTGAAAACCCAGCTCCAGTTTACTTCGCTAAGTGCAAGTATAATGTCAATATCCCTGAAGAGCCGACTCCTCGGATGTGTCCCCAAGCGCAACGGCGCTCACCCCCATCATGGTGTCCTGATCCTCCTAAGCAAACCTCTAAGACATCAAGCACAAACCGTGCACACCTTTGTCCCGTTTGTCGGCAGAAGTGATGGCCTTAGGAAGAGTGGAAATAGCGAGATGGCTGTGCAGGTGCAGGGCGGCTACAGTGCATACGCCACAGGGGCATGTTGCTGTCGTCGCGTAGTTCTCAAATTAGCAAACTCCTTGTAGCCAGCAATTCTATATCGCTTGCTGCCTAGATAGAACAGATGCTTCAAATTGAGGACCTGCTTTATGCACTATTGAATAGAACACCTTTCATCCCGTTATGCTTCCAGATTACCTCCTTATTACCCTCAAGGTCAAGGCAAATGCCGAAGAGACTGTGTTCTTTTCTGGGTCACACAGTGTTCCGGGGAATAACTAGGGACGGCGTGCTCAGTAATGATCCAATTAGATTAGACTACCCCCGACCAGGTGATTCGTAGTAGTATCACCTGTAGGACGGAGTAAGCGTTGGCTGTTTCCAAAAACTCAGTCTCTGACCAGCGGCTCTGTCCAGTGGTACACCCCTTGATTGCACACTTTCCTCCTGCGCGCACTCGTAGACCATAATACTCTCCAAGATTCGCACCTGGCTGTCAGATGAATCTAACCTTCTGCAACTCACGAGTTGCATGAATCAAAGGTAAGCTGTATTGAGTTCTTTTGGTCTTCTCTTGTTTAATTCCTTTCAGAACGTTGCAGAGCTCGAGAATCCCCAGGCTCAATATTCTCAAATGACAGGAGACTCTTACGTTGCTCAGTCCCAAGTGGAACAAGTAGAGCGCGTGAATATGTCCGAACCAACTGACAATACTCGACCTTCTCTACTGCTTCAAGATCCTTACGTTGGTCTCCCAGTAATCGGGATAGGCATGACTGGGATGATCTTTCAGATGGGGCAAGACCGTGCTGTTAAGACAGCCAAGCAATATCAGCCCGTGGGCTCCAGAGACCGCGGGAATATGGAATATATAAACGAAGTGAACCAGCAAATTCTAGAGAATGAGATCCGGGTCTTTGAACGCCTGGGCAGCTACAAAGGGATTGTTCCTTGCTTCCGAACATCTCAATATGGAATTGAGCTAGCTCTTGCACAAGGGGATCTCGAGTCCTATCTAGAAACCCACCCAGAGCCTGATGACGCATTGAAAATTACCTGGATATTGAGTCTTATTGAGACTTTCTCCTATGTTCATTCTCGCAAAGTGTTTGTAGACGATATTGCTCTTAGGAATATCTTGATTCTGGATGAGCAGCTCAAATTGTCAGATTTCGGACAGTCTATGCTACTACCGCTTGATATCGATGTTACGTCCGTGAAGGAAAACGACTTGGATGTTCGTATTGAAATACTGCATTTAGGTTGGATTCTCTACTCTATTTCGTCCTGGCATGTCCATAAGTACTATTTCTTCAGTCCTGAGAACCCTGACCTCCGCTGGCCTGAATCAGACACCTTCCCGAATGTTGATGATGTTCTATGTGGAAGGATAATCAACAAGTGTTGGCGTGGCGAATATCCAAGTACGGATGAGTTGAAAGATGAGGCCGATCAGCTTTTGACTGGCAAATAAGTCATGAAAGGTGTGATATTTCTTTGCCTGACTCGCTAGCATCTTCTCAATACCATGCCTAACAACAATTGGTTAACTGCCATTTATCTCGCCTCAATAGCCTTAATCTACCCACTTGCTAAACTCTGTCAAGGCATCATTGAATCTCCTACATTGATGGTTTTTCGATTCCGTTCAGTCTCATTGATTACGATTATACTCTTTTAAAGGGACAGTTGGAGAGAAGATAACATGTAGAGAGGTTAGGCTGGGTGGGCGGCCATCAGCATTACACTTGCTGCATGATATTCTTAGTCCTTTCTTCAATCACTCTCATTGAATCTACTTTTCTGTTAGCTAAAGGGCTTTAATTGTATTTGTGCTCTGCTACTTTTCTACCATCTGATGACGATATCTCATCTTGGTGGGTTCATCTGGCCATCAAACAGAACAATCAAACAGAGACCACGGCAGATAACCAGCCATCTTCTATCACTTCCAACCATGAACGCTTGGGTATCTGCTTGCCAAAGCAACATGCTGAAGACCATCCCCCACCCCTCTAACCTCACAAGTACACCATGACAACGCAGCTTGAAGCCAAGTATTCTCACCCCAAAATCTCCGTCGCCTGCTCCCAAGCCGCCAACCACTTCCCCTCCCCATCCACCTCCAACATCATCATCACCTCCACCTTCGTCTCTGGCTGATCCCCCAGCGCCCATATCAGCCACCAATCGCGCCGCAACCCGATTCCCATCCTGCGCAAAGAACATCAAGCAACTCTCCCATTTCCTACAGTTGGCTCGAAGGTAGGTGGCTTTTCCGACTGCGCGATCAAAGTCCGTTCTATTGCTCCCGGCTTGGGACCACAGGTAGTTCGAGTTGAGTAGACCTGCCATGTAGGACCGAGCGTCGTCCGGACTGCCGTAGAAGACGCCGTCGAATTGGGATTTGAATTGTTCGGGGGGACATTTTGGTGAGTTCGGATGTGGGTGTGGGTGTGGGTGTTCGTGGACTGGTAAGTGGTAGGTAAGGTTCGAGCTTGGCAAGTCCAAGTTGAAGGCTTAGACTTTGAAATTCAGGGGGTTTGTGCGTCGGTTGTCGGGGACGGGTTTTCTTTGTCTAATCCTGATATCGGAACTATTAGCGTTTAGGCGTCCCGGGATGCCTGACAGGGGTGGTGCGCAGGCAGCATCGTGTGACCTCGGGCCAAAGGCTTCCTACAACTTGCGTCATGCGCTAAAGTATCATCTTCTAAGCAGGGTCTGATCATTTATTATAGGTCTCCAGGGTCGCTGACCGTGCCTGTTCCTCGAGCAGGAGAATTCTTTTTCTAGCAGACTCGAGGACTAAATCAGCATACCCGTGTCAAGATGTCTGCACCGGAATACGTCTTCGCTCGAGATTACCTCGACAATAACCGGTATGCACCAACCATTTAGATACCCTACGGAAATCTGACTGAAACAGTATCAACCTCCACCACTACCTCTGGGTCGAACTATTCGGATATCATCTCCATCCAGACATTCCGTTGCAAAACCCAGATCTCAAAATCGCGGATGTAGCCACTGGAACCGGGTAGGCAGCCACCGGACGAGCCGTCAAGGGTTCCGGATGCTAAATGGTAATATAGGACCTTCCTTACCGATCTCAGTCGTCGGCTTCCGCCGTCAGTCCAACTGGATGGCTTCGACAGTTCCTTCCAGGCCGTGCCGCCGAAAGAGCTACTCCCGTCCAATATCAATCTGCACCAGTGGAATATCAAACAAGAGCCTCCCAAAGAACTCCAGGGTACTTATGATATCGTGCATGTGCGAATGCTCACGTTTGTTCTCCTGGACGATGAAATTGAGAATGCACTGAGGAACGTGTTTAAGCTTCTGAGTACGCTCCATCCTGTTTGAGTCACTCTCACATCATCTGATAATCGATATAAGAACCCGGAGGCTACCTCCAATGGGGAGACGTAGACGTCCACTCAACACGGATTGAGAATGCCAATCAGGGTAAAAGCACCGCCGCACTGGAGGAAATCATCAAGATCACTCGTTCTGCAGACCATCGGCTTACTGCACATTGGATCCCGGAGCTCCCGACACTATTTGAGAAAAGTGGTTTCCGGGATGTCAAGTCTGATACGAGGGATGCACCGGGGTACATGGGCTACACGCTCCATGAATGTGTCTTGATGGTGCACGGGATGATTGTGCAAAATACGAGAAATGATGATGTAGCTAGCCGGTTGAGGGTGGCGTTTCCCGAGGCGTTGAAAGAAACCTATGCGGGAGCTTATCATGCTTGGACGCGGTGGACGGTGGTGGGAAGGAAAGCCGGAATGATCGGATGTGATTGTTAGATTTTCAATGGATCATATTAAGCAAGATGCCAGAGAAGCGTCAGTCTACTTGCATCCTGTAGTACTTGGTCTGCGATGATAGATACAGTGCCATTGGGAGTACTGGTTTGTTGACCCCATCCCGTGGGCTTCTCACTCACGGACATACAGTAGAGGCATATAACACCACCATTCTGACCAACATGACGGAATGTTTATCCATACAACACCTTCCAACCACAGAACCTCCCAGATAGCCGACCCGCGTCAGAAGCACCGAACTTCCCTTGCCGCGCCTTGATAACATTTGTCCGTGAGGCTCAACCCAACCCAGCTACCACAGCACACTCGAACATCCCAACTGGCCCCCATCGTATTAGAATAAAGACCCGATGATGCTAATATCCATCTCACCGAAGTGGATGCCGGATGCGGAAATCCGCAAGTCGATCTCTTGACCTCGTATTGAGCAAGTATACAACCGCACGGACCTCGTCAGACGCATCGGTAGCGTATCCGAGCCAGTATACCGGGTCAGTGCCTTCGTTAGCTGTCAGTATGCAAGTCCCACACGTATCAAAAAGCTTGGATTGATGCATTGGCATATTGGGGAGGAAATATAGCTCATATCGAAGGTTGTGCTTGTGCCTCATGACCGGTGTAGCCGATGGGGCTTCATACGGCCCAAGGTAGGCAAGGTAGGCAATGAAGGGTGAGAGATAGGGCGAAGAGGGCTATAAAAGGGACTTTCGCTGTAAATTGCACTTGAGTTATTCACATCATTTTCATTCATTCAGAGTCCGCGACTCCATTGACCGCGAGCTATGGCTGCACAATCCCAGAACCTGGAGAGCCTTGGATCTACCATTTCAGCTCTTTCCAAGTCTCTCGCTGATCAGCTCAAAGCTTTGGATCAGCCCGAGCCATCATTCGCAGCTGACGCTCCGGTGTCGTTGCCCCCCTTCCCCGATGTCCAAGGCATCCGAATGAAGCTTTTGGAGTCCTTGGAAGGTCTGCATCATCTCATCACCGGTTCTAGCGACTTTTGGTTCCAAGAAAGCATGTTTGTAAGCTGATCCTTAAGACTTTCTTTATTCATAGAAAGTTGCTAACGTGAGAAGCTGAACCACGCGCTGCTCACCTTTGATGTTTTCAACAACTTCGATTTCTGGCATGCAGTTCCTCTCAATGGCTCAGCTAGCTATGCCGACATTGCCCAGTCCACCAACCTGCCTGAGCAGATTGTACGACGATTCTTGAGACTGGCATTCACTATGTTTGTCTTTTCTGAGGAAGAGCCAGGTTCAGACCGTGTAGTGCACACGGCAGCATCTGCACATATGGTGCGCTTTCCTTTTGTGCGGGCCTTTGTCGCACACAACATGGAGGATGTCAGGCCAGCCGCTACAGTTGGTGTCGACGCCTTGAAGAAGTGGTTTGTTGGCCATGCAGAGCCCCCTGAGGATGTTGCAACGTGTGCCCTGCCGCTGGCGACGGACAATGGCCGGCAGCGGGGTACAGATCTTTGGACTTACCTGGAAGACTTTGAGCGGCCGGACCAGCCGAAAGGCTTCCGTGCGGAGCGCTTTGCCCAGGCGATGCAGGGGCTGCGAGAAACAAGCGGGGCCATGACGGAGATGACCCTGAAGGAATTCGACTGGGACAGCTTGAACGAGGCCACCGTCGTCGATGTAAGTCTACCTCCATGTGAAGTGAGGGCAATACTGACACCCTCAGGTCGGAGGGTCTGCTGGACATATCAGTGTCATTCTGGCTGAGAACTATCCCAAGTTGAAGCTCGTGGTGCAGGACCTGGCCGCTGCCCAGGGTGCCTTTGACGCGAATGTCGGATCCTCTCCATATGCCTCCCGTATCCAGTTTCAGGCACATGACTTCTTCCAGCCACAGGATGTCCCAGCGGATGTTTTCCTCCTGAAGTCAGTCTTGCATGACTGGTCCGACAAATATGTCTTGCAGATTGTCCGGAATCTCCTCGGCGTTCTCCAGCCAGGCAATCATCTGCTCGTGTTTGATTTTGTCGTACCAGCGGACCACGACGAGGAAGGCCAGTCGACGACGCCATTGCCGATCAGGAAGTTTATCGCGGCGATTGACCTGCAAATGCATGTGGCCTGCAACTCCAAGGAGCGACGATTGGAGGACTGGACTGAGGTGATTCGGCGAGCTGATGCCCGATTCCAACTGGAGGGGGTTCATGTGCCTCCTGGATCGCCTCTGGGGGTCCTCGACTTTGTGTTCCGGGGATAATCTTCCACAGCTATCTTGGATGCCATTTTGTCTAGTAGTTAGCTGCATAATGCCATTACCCATGCAATCCATGTAACTTGCGCCGAGGGCCTGGGCCACGTGGCTAGGCTTAAACCCGGAGTGGCCGGAAATGGGACGCCTAATCTCACCCCGAGACGGGTCACTTAACCGCGACGTAAAAGCCAACCTGTTTGTCTCTGGACTACTTCTGTTCTAGACTTTCCCAACCGGCTGCTATCCGTACTATGCGGAGAAGCGTCCCACTGTTATCGTTGCTCAAGCGCCCACGGCCTGTAGTTACAACTGCACCCCCAAAGTTCGCCAGAATGAGTTCCGCATCTCAATATACCTTAACCTTGAGTCCGCCGACCTTATCAAGAACAGCGCCAGAGAGCGCAAGTGACAAGAACCACTGGGTTCGAGATGCAACCGGAAACGCCAAAAGCTTTGTGAATCCATGGCCGAGTTCGAAGGACTTTACCTTTCCTGAAATATTCAGGGATATGATTCAGTATGCTTCTTTCCCTCATTTTCAAGAGATCATAGAGTTGACATAGCCTTCAAACACAAATTCTTCTCCGGAAACAGCCAGAAACCTGATACAGCTGCATCGACGGTCTCTGTGGTCAAACCAACGTTCCTCGCATCTAGGACCGGATCATCTGTCCTGCGCGCAACATGGCTAGGTCATGCCTGTTACTTTGTGGAGTTTCCCACGGGCTTGCGAGTTCTGTTTGATCCTGTGTTTGAAGAGCGCTGTTCGCCGTTCTCCTGGATCGGTCATCGGCGGTTTACGGAGAGGCCTTGCGATGTTTCTGATATTCCTATCATTGATTGTGTAAGTCGTTTGCCTGTGTCTGTTAGAAATGATAGCTGAATGATGCAGGTGATCATCAGCCACTCTCACTACGACCATCTTTCGTACCCTACCGTTATGGATATACACAAACATCACCCCTCGGCCCAGTTCTTTGTCCCAAAGGGTCTCAAGAAATGGTTCACAGACTGTGGTATCCAGAACGCTGTCGAGCTAGACTGGTGGGAGGATATCACTCTCACCCTCACTCCACACAAATCAACTGCCGAACAATCCTCCCCTGATGCCTCGGCCCCTCACCCCTCAGACAGCAATGAAATCACAGCAACAATATCCTGCCTCCCAACCCAACACACCTCCGCCCGCACCCCCTTCAACAAAGCCACCACCCTCTGGGCCTCCTGGTCCATCACCTCCGGCACCAAATCCATCTACTTCGCCGGCGACACCGGCTACCGCACCGTGCCCTACCTCCCCCCCGAACTCGACGACTGGGGTCGCGAATTCGCGCATCTGCCCGTCTGTCCTGCTTTCAAGGAAATTGGCGAATTTCGCGGACCGTTTGATCTCGGACTTATTCCGATCGGAGCGTACAAGCCACGACATGTGTTGAGTACGGTGCATTCGAATCCGTTTGATGCGGTGGAGATTTTCAAGGATACGAGGTGTCGGAGGGCGATGGGGATTCATTGGGGGACGTGGGCGGTGGCGGAGGAGGATGTGATGGAGCCGCCGGGGTTGTTGAGGAGGGCGTTGAAGAGGAGTGGGGTTGATGAGAGGGGGGTGTTTGATGTTTGTGATGTTGGGGTGAGTAGGGAGTTTTAGGGTGATTACATGAGGTATTGGGTGTGACTTTATGTATGGGAATACTGGCGTAAATGCCAGACAGTGTCAGACTGCATATTCTGGGTGGTATATTAGCTGGCCTTTATATATCTATTTAAAAAAAATCATTTTCAAACTTCTATCTACAGCATATCGCTGACATATTTCATTCCCATGAACGAAAGCTCTTCGAATCATGGCATACACCAAGCGCAAAGCCAGTATTCCCTCGCGAGCATCCTATAACACCGACTGTGACCTTATCCGATTTATAACGCTTAGAATAATATAACTCCAGAATCTCATTCGTTGCTTGCAATCACAATATCCCTCGAATTTGTTTAATGAAGATACTCAGTAATCTGCACCATTGACAACTATTCAGTTAAGGGGCCATCCCTAGCCCTGCTCTTGTCCTGCTAACATGGGTTGATAGAAACCCCCCATTCTCGAATCTTTCGCAATATAATGGATTCGATGGGTATATTATGATACAGTTTGTTTAGTGGGTCGTTTGGTCGTCTAATCGTTTGGGTTGCAAAGAGCTCTATAGTATTGACTCGCTCCGTGCACATGATCTCTTGGGCTTTCCTTGACACATATGGTCGTTAGGGAATAGGTGGATGTTACTTGTCCTCGAGACAGGAAGATCTTATGAGTAACGTAGTCCTTGTAAGTGACTCGGTAAGTCCCGCGAATTGTCATTTAATTTTCCCAGCGTCACCATAAGCAGGTTCGTATCAATGTTGTGACCATGATACAATATGTAGTGCTTATTGGGTCGTCCCCGGCCATACACTCCAGAAGGCCAGAATTCGTTCTCGTTTCTCACATATGACAAGCTCCGTCGGTACGTGCTTCGTATACAGCTCTTCAACCATATCTTTGGAATAAATAGTCTTGAAGTAATCCCAACACTTAAGCACCAGAAAGCATCGGGGCATACATCATATAGGAACTCAATGAGGTCGGTATCAACAATCTCCATCCTTGCTGATGGGGATTGTCGGATGGAGCATTCTAGCACGCCTCGATATCTCCCTCATGCTAACCACGTGGCGATTCATATATTAAGAGGGTTTCTGGTTGTTTCGGTATGGATATGGGGATTCTATATGGCTGTATACTCCTGCCTCGAAGTCGTTATCGGTTTCGAACTGGTGGAGAGTCTTATAATGTAATCTTCATTCGCAACTCTCGAATAAATTCAATGGTAGAAAGAGACCGTCAACCAACCCTATTCCCTACATAGCAATCAAGAGTGAAGTAAAGTGTGAAACGCCAATGCTAACTGCCTAATTGAATGCATGGAACCTGATTCCTGTCTCGATTACCTAACCAAGGGTATTAGTCGATTAACCTTATCTCTTTGTGGGGACCAAGTCCTGACGTCAGTCCGAGGCGGTCCAAGCGGCTCCCCAAAGGCATTCCCCATCACCTGCTAGTTACTACCTTCTTCCCCGTACACATCTTCCCGTTATTCTACTGACCATCCAAACCACACCAACACACACCAATCTCCAACTACAAGTACTGTGTATACTCACCATGTGGCGAAACACCAACCTCCTCCGCGCCCGCTCCCACCCCATCCCCCTCACCATCCAGTTCCAATCCACCCGCTCCCTCCTAACCACCAGCCAACAGCGCCCCCTCGCCCCCTCCCAACCCACCCACCGCGAACGACACCTCGAATCCGACCTCGACCGCCACCTCCTCCGCCCCGAACACACCGAGAACTCCAAATCCGGCACGGACGACGAAGCCGCGCATCACTGGTCATCGTATGATCCGACCATCACGGATCCGGATCTGGAGGTCCTGGCCTGTGAAGAGGAATGCGAGCTGGACGGGGACCTGGATGATCCGTTGTATGTGAGTCCGGGGAATCGCGAGATCAGTCGGTTTTTGGATCCGATGGTGGGTGGCGCGGTGCATAATGATGTGAGACCGGGGCCGAGTGGGCGCGGTTGGACGAGGAAGCATCGGGAGGTTCATGTGAAGAAAATCCCGGGGAGTCAGTTTGAGAGGTATGATCGGTTGTTGAGGGAGTTGAGGGAGGCGGAGAAGCGGTGAGTTTCTTTCTTTCTTTCTTTCCTTTTTTTTTTTTTGGTATGGGTTAGGTATGTTGGTGTTCGTGTTGATGCTCGTTTAGGGTTACGAAATGAGGTGTGGGTTGATGGACTGCTTCTGTACGGAGAATTCAGTCCGCTTGGATGGTTGGGGGAGCTGCCCGGAATGGTAGCAAGATTGTGTGTTGATGCAGGTGAGTGGTTGCTGCATAATTGTACAGCATTGGCTTGACTTGCTGGAAGACGATCGCTACGTGCAAGTGTTACCAGATTGACCTCATGTTATTGGACATACACAAAAATGGACTTCAAAGTTTGAAGTTGAATAAAGGATTGATTATTATACCGCCAGCCATCTTGCCAAATACGCTCTTAATCACTAGTGTGGCTGTGTTGTAATGTGTTTGGCGATGCCGCACTGAAGGCGTGCATCCTAGTACGTAGCATCCATAAATGGCGTTGGCTCTCAAGTCATATACAGTATCTGGTATCCAAAACAATCCTTAAAGTCTAGAACATCATGTTCTAGACTTTATTCTGGGATGATCCCACTATGCTGCCAGACCCCAGATACCTTATCAAACCGGACAATATACTCCCACCAAAACCTCCTACTACACTACCCCAAACCACTACACAGTACATAACACTACAAATTGGATAACCAAACACACCCTGCACCACCAACATAAACAAGATAAATGCACTACCCACCTCATTACCAGACATATAAATTAAAGATAGATTAATCCCACCCGCTAGCGCCAGCTACAGTGCAAGTCGCCACTTGCAACATGACGTCAGTCGTCCGCATGGCCCGACAGTTCGGCCGAACACGAACAATAGATTAGAGTTCCAGCCATGCGGTATGGGGCTATTGTGTGCTTATTGTTATTACTCGAGTCAGGTATCACGGAGGTGGGTTTGGTCTTACTATGTGTGGTGATGCTGGATGTGGGGGTTCATTGGTGAGAGTAATAGAGTTGAAAACGGATGATAGACACATACGGTGGGATAGAAAATATAGTAATGAAAGAGACGCTTCAATCCCTGGAAATAGATGGTTGATCCAATCGTCGCGATCGATGGAGTTTCTGAGCTGGATGAAGATTATGTGTCAGGCTTGTTCTTGGAGCTTTAGATAGCCATTTCCTATACTCTTCTAACTTGGAAGGATGCCTGGGGTTGGTACGTACATTGAGATACAACCGGTGTATTGTCATTTAGTTCCACGGAAAGGCTGGACCAGACAGTGAGATAGTATTGGGCATGTAATTAATGCGACTGTTTAATTGGCCTTGGCAACATTACTGGTTATTGTGCGGAAGAGGAAATCTGGAAGAGGGAATTGAGATGGCTGGGGAAGAAAGCAATAAGCTACGCGAAGATAGGGTCTGTAATGTTCTAGAAGTGGACGGCTAGTTACAATATCCGGGGTTAATGCAAGATGTCATGGTATGGCGGCTTATTTGGTGTGGTGCATCTGGGGCTTATGGAGTTGTCCGCGCTATAGCGGTCATCAGGCAATTAAATGTACCTAATCTCTTAGATGAGCGAGAACATAGTAAGTACGCTAGCCCACGCTAATCTATATTGCAAGACATGAAATAATTTTAAGGAAGGAAGAAAATACGGTAGAACAAGCCACAGCGTCAATCTCGGCCTCCCTCAGGGCTGAAGTTGGCCCGTTCGCAGATGAGATCATTCCCCACCTGCCACACGAATCGGGGGTTATTCCGCCCACGCAATGCCATCATGGCTGACTCGGAGAATATCCACAATGACTTCTATTGGCTATGCATTTGGTAGCCGTTGCATGTCACTTTATGATTGCCGTGGGGCAGTGTGCTAGTGCTGGGTATATGGGATGACGTTATCGGACAGCGCAGCCGCGTGTCGGCGTTCCGTGGTTGACAGGTTCGGCGTGCGGGTGTGATATCCTGTTTTTTGTACCATTGATGCTGGTGATGATATTCATGATGAATTGACTTGATATGGTGGTGAGCTTTTTACTTCAAGTTGAGAGGATTGAGATTTGCGCCAGCATTCATTAATGCATGATACTATGTAGGAGCTGACAGTGGTGATAACATCGTGCCTGACCATCTGCATCCAAGCACCCTGATCTAGCTGCCATCGAACCAGAATAGCATCAATCTCTCCAACCGTGACGATCCTTGCACTTCTGACGCAACAATGACCCGACCCCTCGCGCTACTGGCCCAGTGGGGCAACCTTCATTCACTTTGTCTTTTGCTTGGGTCTTTGTGCTCGTTCTAGAATCCGTGCCTCTGATGGGCTGATACTTCACCCCATCCTCTGCATGCAGCGATGATGTGATAGGATCCTCCCAGCATGGAGGCCCTGCATCCATCGGCCCCGCTGGAGAAATGATAGCACCCCAGATGTGATGCAGATGCCATGACGTAGGTGTTTTGCCCGCCCTAGTAGGGCATTTAAGCCGTCCTGGTGCGGTTGCGCTGGAGGTGAAATCCGATTCCTGCACATTCTTAATGTTTTACTGACTGCTCACGAGATTTACTCATAGTCTTCTACTCTATTGTATCTTTCTTATCACGATTATTGAATTCTGCGCCTACGATTCACGAGCTACGACCAATCAGCTACTACTTCTACGGTACATCGACCAAAATAGGCGCCCTCTTTTCAAACCCGTTTCTAAGCCCCTCCACATCGAATCAATCTTCATCAACAGAGCTCTCTACCATGGCCTCCCCGATTGCGAGTAAGGTCTCCAAGCTCAACCTCAGCCCCGACTCCAAGCACGGCACTCCCCCTAAGCTCCGCCAGAAAACTCCCGCAAAGAAGACCCCTCCCAAGCTCCGCTCCCAGGAAACCGTCTCGCAAGCTGAAGAGCCGAGCGCCCCCTCTACCCCCACGCCCAAGGGTAAGGTCCCCCAGCTGCAGTCCGAACAGCGCGCCTCCCCCTCTCCGGCCCCCGAAGACGTCCAGTCGCAGGCGTCCGGATCCACAAGCCAGATCAGAAGACCTGCCTCCGACCTCGGAGAAAAGGCGCAGGACACTGCACAGAGTGTGACCGGAGATGATGTCGGCCCGATTGACCTGTCCGTCCTGAAGGGGTTGCAGGTTGGTGAAGATGGCCTGATCCACGACCAAGATGGGAACGCCATTGGACGGCTGGTAGAAGGCCAGGCCGAACATCTGACTGGATACTCGGTCGGTGACAATGGTGAGATCTTGGATGAGGAGGGGGATCTCGTCGGTGTGGTCGATGTCCTTCAGGATGCCTTCCAAAAGGCCCCTGAAGACGTCCAGGAGCAGGCCGAAGACGTCCAGGAGCAGGCCGAAGACGCCCAGGAGCAGGCTGAAGACGCCCAGGAGCAGGCCGAAGAGACCACCGGCCAGGCTGCTAAAACCGTAACCGATATTGCCGAGCTTGCCGACCGTCCTCTTACGGACTCTGGAGAGATCAAGGACGATGATGGCAACACTATCGGCAAGCTTGTTGAGGGCAACCCCGAGGACCTGGCTGGATATGCTCCCAACCAGGAAGGTGATATTCTCGACGATGATGGTGATCTTATCGGTCGGGTCGAGATCGCTCCCGAGGCTCAAGAAGCAGCCCAGGAGGCAGGCGAGGATGCAGAGGACGCCGCCGAGAGTGTAGCTGAGACGAAGCCCATCACCGATATTGCGGCCTTGGCTGAACGTCCTTTGTCGGCATCGGGCGCGATCAAGGACGAAAAAGGTCAGCCGATCGGTAAACTGGTCGAAGGTAATCCCGAGGACTTGGCTGGTTATGCCCCCAACAAGGAGGGTGAGATCCTCGACGACGATGGAGATCTTATCGGCCGAGTCGAGATTGCCCCTCAAGCCCGCCAAGGGGCGTCCAGTGTGGCTAGCTCGCGGAAAACTCCTAGCAAGCTAAGCCGCGAGGCTGTGGAGGATGCGGAGCAGAGAGATACTTCGACTGTTGATGAAGCCAAGGAGTCTGCCCAGGGATCTGCGGAGCCTGCGGAGGACGCTGCTGATGCTGCCAAGGACGCGACCGCAGGGATCTCTGAGGAGCCTGAGAAGCCTGCCGAGTCTGAGGAGCCTGCTGATGTTACCAAGGACGGTGCCGAGGAGCCTGCTGAGGATGCTGCAGATGCCGAGGACGCTGAGGCAGAGGAGCTTCCTCCTCTTTCCACCCTTGAAGGTCTCAAATGTAACAAGCTGGGAAAGATTGTCGATCGCCAAACCGGCAAGCCTATCGGTGAACTAGTCGAAGGCGATGCAAAGAAGATCTCTAGACTGGGCGCCCAGCTTGACGACAAGGGCCAGTTCTGGGACAACCGCGGAAACGTTATTGGCAAAGCCAAGACCCTTCCCGTCGAAGAGCATCCCGATGAGCCACCATTTGGCGGCTTGGAGGGCCTTCACGTCGTTGAAGACGGCTGGGTAGAGGACCAGAACGGCAAGCGGGTCGGTAAGATTAGCGAAGGCGATCCGAACAAGGTCCTTGGACGCGCCGTTGACGAGGACGGTGACGTCTTGGACAAGAACGGCAACATCATCGCCAAGGCCGAATACTATGAGCCTGAGCCCGAGGAGCCTGAGCCTGAGCCTGAAGCTCCTGATCTCTCGAGCTTGGAGGGCCTCACTCCGAACAAGCTGGGATATGTCATCGGACCCAAGGGCGTCCCGATTGGTCGCGTCGTGGAAGGCAAGGTGAAGGAGCTTGCCGGCAAGGAGATTCACGATGGCCAGATCTGGGATGGCCCCAAGCCCATTGGACGCGTGGAGCTCATCCCTCAAGGGGAGCGGGAAAAGACACCCGAAGGCCCTTTTGCTGGTCTGGACAACCTCATCGTCAACAAGGAGGGGCTCGTGGAGGACGACGACGGAAACATCGTCGGCAAGGTTATTGAAGGCGACATCAAGACCTTGCGTGGCCGCGCCGTCGATGAGGATGGCGAGATCATCGACAAGTATGGCAACGTCAAGGGCCGTGCTGAGCCGTACGAAGAAGAAGTGCCCGAGGAAGAGGCGCCGGACCTGTCGATCCTGGAAGGTAAGACGGTGAACAAAGCCGGCAACGTGGTGGATGCCCAGGGCACGGTCTTTGGACGCATCACCTCGGGCGACAAGCGTCTTGCTGGACGAAAGGTCGATGGCAAGGGCCAGATCTGGGGAGATGACGGCAAGGTGATTGGCACAGCCGAACTGATTCCCGGGGCAGAGGAGCAGAAGCCCGAGGGCGCTTTCTACGGCTTCGAGAATGCCGTGGTTGGCAAGGACGGTGTGGTCACGGACGGCTCGGACCGGATCATCGGTCGGATTGTTGAAGGTGATGCACAGCGTCTCCAGGGCCGTCTGGTCGATGAAGACGGCGACATTCTGGACAAGAATGGCAACACCGTGGGCCGTGCTGAGCGCTGGGAACCCGAGGAGAAGGAACGCAACGTGAATCCCATGTCGGGCCGCAAGGTCAACCGCGAAGGTGAGGTGCGCGATGCCGATGGCAACCTTATCGGCAAGTTGACCTCGGGCAATCTCCCTTCCCTGATTGGCAAGGAGATCGATGACAACGGCTACGTGGTGGACAATGACGGCAACAAGATTGGCGAGTGCACCTTGATCGAGAACATTCCGGAGCCGGAGCCCGAGGAGCCAGAGCCGGAGCCTGAGCTTTCCCCGGAGGAGCTGGAGGCCCAGAAGAAGTTGGAAGACGACAAGCAGTTGGCAAAGAAGATGAGTGCTATTATAGGACAGACATTGGATCGTCTCCGTCCAGTCTGCAAGATGATTGCAGAGGTACGTCCGCAACTCCTCGTCACCATGACACACCACTAACCCTTTATTAGCATATCGAGAAGGCAGAGCGTACACCCAAGGATGAGCTGGATGAAGAGCAGCTGGTCAAGGATGTGAAGCCGTTGCTTGAAGAGGGTAACGGAATCCTCCAGGAGTGCAACGGTTCCATCCGCTCCCTGGACCCAGACGGCCATGTTGCTGCCACAGCCAAGGCCCGTGCTGCGTCTCACGAGGCATCACCGGAAGAATACGCATTGGCTGAGCAGCTCAAGGAGCTGACCAACCTGGTGCTCACGACCATTGACAACGCCAAAAAGAAGATTGCAGGCATGCCACATGCCAAGAAGCAGCTCAATCCTCTGTGGGCGCTCCTTAGCGAGCCCCTTGGTCAGATCATCACGGCCGTGGGATTGCTGCTGACCGGTGTGCTTGGTCTCGTTGGCCGGTTGCTGCAAGGTCTGGGTCTGGGGCCGCTGGTGAATGGCTTGTTGGGTGGACTGGGATTGGACAAGTTGCTTGGCAGTTTGGGATTGGGCTCATTGACTGATTCTTTGGGCTTGACTGGAAAGAAGAAATGATTGAATACCTGTCATTGCCTTTTTATTCACACTTTGCAATTCATGTCAAAATTGACTAATATTCTCGCATGTATAGCTAGTTAATTTGAGCTTCACTTACTACTTCCATTCTACTTTCATTCATTATCCGTAAGCCATTCCCCGTTCCCGATGTATCATGAATGCATTTAGCCCCTATTCCCCTAAATCCTCCCAAATCCAACTGCAGACCCATATCCCCTTCAACTACAACCGTGCAGTATCATTCTCAAGCCCTTCAAAAGGCCCCCCCTTGCTTTCCAAATAGTTCATATTCCATTAGCCTAACACCCACCCATCTACAACAAGCTATAAAATGCTGTAATCACGGAGCAAGAAGATGCTATTGAATCACATACTCTTTCATCTTCATCAAATCCCAGGATACAAGGTAAAGACACATGAAATTCTTATCTGGAATAAAAGGGACTTCTCAACATGCAATTTCAGCAGCTAGAAAACATGTCCTTATGCATCGTTAACTGACGTGCCGTGTACCATGGAAATGCACCACTTCCCACATGACTTCCGTTATCATTTGAAACGGGCACTGAAGATATCATTTCTCAATAACAACCAGACCAGCTGGGCGAATACGCTTGAACAATGATATTGATTCGTTGGTGTGATGGTACATGTGGAGACCAGCGAAAAAGCATGTTGTTTACCTCCAGATACTCGATTCTCAATGACTCATATCCGTGCAGTGCAGTCTTCGATTTGAATGGTGACCTTCCCAGTTCTGATGGGTCCATCCATCGATGGATACGACGACCGTATTGTACAGATAGCTGCTGGTTACTTGGAATACTGCTGCAGCCAATAGATCTCTAGAAAGTTCTACCAGAGAATCTCAGATTCATGCTCATTAAATGCCTGCTTCCTCCAAGGCCCTCCCATGTCTCTCATCTGATCACCCATGACACAGAGGTTTGAAAGGCTACTCGACAAGAGCGTCTCCAGATACTAGGTGGCATATCCTTCTGCCACGGATATACGCTGATACACTTTGCGGGAATGGAATGCTGAGGTATTGTCATACGCAGAATCTGGTAATTCAGGCTCATGCGCGTCAAGATATCTCCCGTACGGACCTTAAATAATAGTGCTTGTCGATACAGCAAGCATTATGCCCCAGGAATGGAAAACCTGCGGTGTTGATATTTTGACGATATGCTTCAGGGACGAGAGGAGGAGATTAAGGCCTAGAAATCAACAATCCTGCTTCTACTGATACACAATATACATCGTGGATACTTGCAGAGGACTAGGAACAAGCCCCTTTCAGCGGTGCTAGGGTGGGGTATGTTTTCTAGTGTTGAATTGCTCATAGACATTTCATGAGAGTGGATAGATAACACGAGGATGACAAGGAGCCATCGGTAGCAGTGCTAGGGCTTGTTGAACGGTGTTGCGTTTATCATGCCTTTCGCTATGGACCTACTGATGCAACGCCCCTACATCCTATCTACACCTTGACTGGTACAACGTACAGACAGTGGCTACTTCAGTGATAAATCAGGAAATCCCGCTCTACCCGTCATTCTACGGAAGGTCATGTTAGGTCGATGAATGGGCGATCCTATCGAACCAACAGTCTACAATCATCGGCAATGACATCCCCCCCACTCGAAATTAACAGGACTGGAATCATTTCCTCTGCGCAATTGCAAGGCCACATGGAACTTACAGCCCTTACCAATATGGCATGCTATCCTCAGACATTCGAGGGTAGTTCCAGAACGTACTGTGTCTTATGATAGCCATGTGCGCAGACCTTGCTTGAATACGAGCTACTCGAAAAAGGCATGTCAAGAGCTCACTCGATGCGATGAAATTCGTTGCAGAGATCACGGGTTTGCCAGTTCAGTCATGATATTATTCTGGGCATGATTACTACGTATCTTGCAACGGTCTCCTCAGCAGGGTATAAAGCCCCTGTGCCCCGGTGTCAATGGCTTCGAGAGGGCTTATTGTCGTGAAGCTGAAAGAACTCATCGAAAACCACTAGGTGCCCATAACAGGATGACGCCAATGACCCTTATCGTTCGAACTCGCTGAGATTTATTAAATCCCCTTGATGGAGGAAACTACTAAATCCTCGCGATAAGAAACTAGCTTGCATGCTGCTGCTGCATCTGTCTGCTCTCCCTGGTACTCTCCTGTTCCTGCTTCGTTGCCATACCTCGCGAGGTTCAATTCTATCATGGGCTCGCAGCTTTGCGGCAGTGTTTCGGCCTTGTCCGCAATCCGACTGACCAGGCTATCAAAACCCTCCTATTAGTCGCTTCTACCTTCTCTGTGTTCTTCTGTCGTTCTTCCTTCAAAAATATCTCCCGCGAGTATCGGATCGCTAGTGGTACTCGTGCTGAGATCATTTTTTTGAATAACCATTACCGCTGATTTCATGAGGCTAAGATTGGCCTCGGTGCGGAATATGTGTCGCTGCCTGTGTGAAGAAGGTTAGAGAGCAGTTAGGTGCTGTTCCATTGTCGAACACCAAGTTATCTAGCCTCGTGGCTGGGGTGGTTTCCTTCATTTGTGATTCAACACGCACTGAAGCTACTATGTTGTTACCCTAGTTACCCTGTTATGGCTTACATCTCTTCATGCGATAAGTCCCTTGGGGGGTAGAGATTAACCCTGTCCGGTATTCAACCTGCGAAAGCAGCCACATAAAGACTCGATTTAAATTGTCCTAAAATACTCAAGACCAGAAGGGAGACATCGATCACGCTTCGCCTTTGAGATGCTTCAACACTTGATGCCCTAGCCTAGTGACATGCTGGCTATGTCAAGCTTAATAGATGCAAATAGGACCTGAAGAAACGGATGCACTGTGGCTGGCTGGGGGCTTAAAATTTCATCTGTCTCGGTCGTGGCTTGTTTTGATTATGCCAGCCCTCTACGCAGATACCGTTTCTCAAGAATTGAATTGTTCTCGACTAACAGTCTAGGATGAGACCATCTCGATAATCTAGCCAACACTAACATGAACCCATCGATCCCTGTTGTTGGATCAATGTCCTCTGATCCTGAGGATATGTCCATACATCTCCAGAAGGGAAGAAGCAGAGAAAGCCCATAAAGAACTGATCATGGATCTGATGGCCAAGCATCTGTCCAGGAGGAATTAGCAAAGGTGCTAGAGATGATCTCCGTTTGGCGTAAGTTTTCAGCTCCGTAGAGGTTCGAGAACTGTTATGTCAGACATTGCTCATCAACATGCTTTAATCGAGGAATATACCAGGACACTATCTTCCAGCAGAATGGGAAATTCTGCCCATGACCTCCCTAGGAGAAACAACTTCACGATGCGAACGTTCCTTCCACAAGACCCACAATTCATACAGATATGATTCCGTAATGATCTTCCACTCCACTCAGCCAATTTGAATCATATCCTCTATGAGCTTGCAGGGAATCATCAGACAGATGCCTTCTCTTCTGCATATGCGTGGTACATGTTTGAACTATCCACATCACCACAGTCAACCTCAATGAAGCTGAGATACAGTGCCCGCCAGCTCACGCGGTTCGCGTGCAGCCCATACCACTGTTGCGGTGGTTGTTGTTGTTAATCAGAACAACCGTAACAACACCAACGTTACACACTAGGGGGACGCACCTTGGTGTCACCGATGTATTTTTCACGCCGCGTGGGAAACTATTAGCCAGTTTATCTACCGCCCAGCCTCGAAGCGCAAGTGCGTGCATTATTCTGAACAGTGCCATCCTGCGAGCCGGTACGCTATCCCTGCTACTGTTCCTACTGTGCAGCTGCTAATGAAAGATAGGTCCTGGCAAGCATCCCCCTGGTGAATACCGTCGTGAGGACATACCATCACGGCTGAGCAAAGCTTGACACGCGGCTACTCCTACCCCTGTCAGGGGTGGTCGGTTCTCCGGGAAGTATTTCGATTTTCGAAAAGCTTGGATGACGTGTTCGAGGGTTAGGGTGAGACCCGGGTAGTCTTTTAGGACTTTGGCGAGGAATTTCTTGGTGGCTTTGTTTTGGACGGTGATCGAGTCGACTTGGAACGGTTTGCGGCCGTTGTAGCCTTGACATTAGCGTTCTGTACTTTCACAGATAAAGGCCACTACGAGGCTTCCCTGGCTACAAATAGTCCTGAATTATACTAATAAAAACAATACTGCCAGAGTTCGGCTAACTCCGATCTTACTAGCTATTGATAGGCAAGTTTTGCGTGCAGAATGGAGTGTCTATATATACTGACTTACACCAAAACTCCAAAGTCTCCGTAATAAAGAGCCCCAACGCAGCAGATTCTATAGACAGATAAGAACAGGCGCTAGAGCCAGACTCCGCTGGTCCCACGAAAAGCAACACCAGCTTATACACTGGTAGTGGTAAAGTATGCCTCTGGTGCATGGAAGAACAAACCACCAATATACAGATTATACAAGACCTGAATTTGAGATGCAATTTAACGATAGCTTAAGAAGATCGAACAGACAAATTCCTCGGAAACTGAACCAAAGAGTCAAATCCCGCTCTTATATTGGTAATCTAATATCGACAGCCAAGGCGTCAATTCGAAGTTATTTCTGGCCGGTCTATTTGCAGATGGCTCTGGACCATTCTGCCCGGAGGATGTCTTCCAGGAGAAGTTCTCTACATATATTCCAAGGCATGCCCACATTGAAGGAAGCGATCTCCTTTCATATCGACATTCATATCGACATTCATATCGATGCTGTCGCCAGTCCACAACCATTTCGGAACAATAAAAGCGGTACTATATCAATTATTAATCCGAAAATGCTTGAGCAGCGGTATGGTCTGCAAAGGCTATATTCAGAAGACATACTACCATCGATGATAACCTAGATCAAATACTGTTAATAAGCTCCAACCCAAGGCGTCGTGATGCCTCAGAAGCCGAGACCATTATTTCTATGTAGGAGGGGTTCAATGACGGGGACTATCTCAATGACGATGCCTATAAGAAGTTTATACGGAACTGGTATGATAATGGTTCAGAAGCTATTCCCATAATTAATGAAAGACCTACAAGATGTGTTCTTAATGAGATCTGTCTGGGGAATATTGTATACACCTCCGCGCAATCCTTAGAACTTCACAATAACACGTTCATTCGCGTACAGACCATTCTCCAAGACGCGGCTAGTGATGCGTACTTCAATGGACGATGTCTGCTTAGCACTGAACAATACTTAGGGACCTATATGCCCAAATGGCCTAAACGACTCGTATGGATCGCAAATGAGACAGGGAATATCCTATTTGAGAAGGTCAATTGCAGTAATTCCGGTACTCGTATCACTACTTGCACTTTTATTGATCCGGTAACTCACACCAAGTTCTTTAAAACTTCAGCTGCAAAACGTATTTGATTCTTATTATTCTGCCTACTTATTTCGCCTCTCTACTTACTCGTCCAGACTCAAATAAGGATACCTAGAACCAAGGATAAGGGAAAGACAACTAATAAAACGTATAACAGCGGTAAGAACAAAGACACATTCGGTAGCGAAGTTCTGTCAAACACTTCCCATGTCTGTAGAGCGTCAGGATCGTAGGTGCACAGGAACTTTGGTTTGTCCAGTCAGCCCTCCGAGCCACCACTGCCCGAAGGATTTGATCAAAGCTTGGTCCTTATTACGAAGGTCAAATAGCTGAGTTGGACGCATCACCAACGAACTGCCATCGAAATATGCTTCGATGATTCGAGCATGTTGGGGCCCCATAAAGGAGAAAAGAAGAACCTATATGTACGCACTTAGCTTCTGCTTTATTTGCGTGAGCTGACAAAGCATATGCGGAGCAGAGCAAATTACCGGGATAATTGTATGCTCCAAAAGGCGAGCCCGCCTGGCTTGTGCATGAATGATACGGAGAACCATTATAATCTCGCCCCGGAGAAGTTGACCATCCGTGCCATCCAGATTATTGTAGATCATCGCCTTCACATGCGGATACGAACGGTCTTTGACCTCAATTGCCTTGGTGACTCCGAATTCCGGATAGCTATATTCATCCAAGTTTTCAAAGGGCCTATCACCTAAGCTGTTCCCTCGTGTAAGAATTCAAATACAGTACAGTGCATGAATGTAGGGGAGATATTAGCATTGGAGAGGGGCGCCCCAGAATGGGTTGACTACCTAATATTAAACCACGACGTGGCATAAGTCTCGGTCTCAGTACCTATCTCATTGGATAAAACATAAGAAGCGAGATAAGCAATCGTGTTGCGTGCGCAGTCAATCGGACGTCTATGTATTTCACTGGTTGAATTGAATTCAAGATACGCGGATCTCTTCTTCTGGTCATATTTCTGATCAGGGTCTAGTAAGAGAGAGGCAAGGCATGCGGTAAAAAACTTCGGCATGTTATTGGGTTCGTCCAAATCCATGGATAAGACCTTCACCATGTGTGTCTGCAGACCACTGTAATCGAACTGAGCTGTTCCAAAGCCGTTGAACTGTTTCTCGAGCCCACGGAGTGCAGTCCGTAGGGCCCTGTGTTCCCGAGACTCGTGGAAATGCATAGCTGGGATAATTACTAGACGCCGGGAGACAAAATATGGTTCGCTCCAGAATGGCCGATGGTTTATTAGGTCCTGATCAATGGTGAATTTATCCCTCTGGTTGGGTTGGGGAGTTAGAAGAGTGCTTTGTCTGGAACTTCGGAGTATCGGCGTTTTGCCGCCCGGGCGGTGTGACCGACCTCCTTTGGTCCCTAGCCAATGGGGCTACTGCAGTCGCGGTGACTTGTGACGAGATTTTGCCTTAAAAAGTCGGCGCCAATATAAGCTTGTTCATTGCTCATGGTCATAAATGGTGATGTGACTCACATACCCGATTCGGATTGATGCAGCAGTGGCGTGCTGGGTCCTTTCGGAGTACAGCTTGGACGTCAGTGTTTATGGCCTTGGGATCGGAGCTGTCTGGCTTGTAGCCTATCTTCCACGTCCTAACTACACCTCGGCGTGATGAAGGGGTGTGTGCCTAGCCTATTAAAGGAATCTCGCTTCCCAGATCCTCTCGAGACGAAGATCACTTACTTCATTCTTGACTATCTCGGTTTGTTAGAAGGGAGATCTGTATTCTACCATATAATTATCGGAGACGGAAAAGCTCGCATTCTAGTTCTCGCACGAGTGAAACGTTCCTCTTATTGTCTATTATCTTGCGTGCTAGTATGAGTGGTGCTTCCGGCAACATTCCCTCCAATCAGGAGGAATGGGAAAACTTTGTCAAGCGCAGAAACCTCAAGGGAAAAACTGTCCACGCAGCCGAGCTGGCTTCTGGGTCCAAAATTGGTTATGATCAATATTTGCTCCTTCGCGTTCTATGGGTGGACCATCGCTCAAATTTATCACTCCCCGAGGAAATCAGTAAGTTACTTCCAAAGGCAGCCGAAATGCTAGCAGGGTGTGAATCGTGGAAAAAATACCGTGGCAGTTTTGGTAAAACGGAAAATCCAGAAGGAAGCTTTGCAGTGGCTCGCCATTATCAGCAGATGGCTGCAGATAGCAGAGAGAAGATCCGACCCAATAGCTTCGACACCCCGGTTGCGCGGCGTACCCGCAGCCATTACTCTAAGGGCGCGCCGGATATATCTACACTACAACTGAATCCACCCAAGACCCCACCGGGAAAGCAAACCAAGTTGCCCGAGACACCTGTTCTATCAACATCTGACGATGATTGGATTGCCGACGATGACGAGTCTTCCCCCCAGGTTTCACCTATTACCCCAGCTACCCAGGTCCCTGAAGAGCTCCAAAAGATGATGTACCCCCCGACAAAAGATGAACAGATTATGAACATTGCACTTGTAATATTTTTAAACGCGCTTACTATTCACTTCACTGATTGCAAGTCTTGCGTATGGACGCTGCACCGGAAAGGTTTTCATGCCAATTTCACCCAGGCTAGCTTCGAAGCTCGGACGGATGGTTATCTGGATGATCTCCAGGAGAGCGCTTACGCTCTCATTGAAGTTAAACCTGTTATCAGAGGAAATAGACAAAACCTTATACAGATGCAAGAGAGCGCCCAAATGGTTGCCTGGCTTATGAATGACTCTGAGAATAACGACATTGACAAAGTGCAAGTCTCTCTTTTACCCCGAGACCTATGAATCAATCTGATAGTCTGTTGCAGGCGAATCCATGTTTCACAGGATCAGCACGAGATCTTTTTAATGTTCGCTGAATACGACGATAACTATCTTGCATATCTTAAACCATCCAAGACCGAACCATCAGATCATAAGTCATCCGAGAGTCGAATTTCCTCAAGTTCAGCGCCTGTGGATGAAGCTCCATCCTTCCTAACAATGCACCAGTACGGACCTTGGGATACACAACAGCAATCACACATGGAGCAATTAGGTCCTATCCTCCTTGCCATAACGCTTTACGCTGCAGGTAAAATTCAAGCAAAACGGACATCAGAACGGAAGTGACTAAGGTGTTTAGAAAATTCATGGGCACAATCCAATTATCCATGATTCATTCTGAGGTTGTTGTTCCTTACTATCTATTGCATACTTTTCATGTTTCCTTATTAGGTTAATACATACCCTATAACTCGCGCCGGTGCTGGCGTGGAAGATCAAGATAACTAAAATTAATTACTCTTCTTTGAATACAGCTCGTGCGAAACAGTTCTCATACTCCCCACTGTGCTTCTTAAAAGAGATGGAAAATTTTCTTCCAAACTAAGTTGATAATCATCCTGATGCAAGGCCAGCTAGCTAGGCTAGAATGACTAATATAACATCACAACGGCAAGAAGAATCTTATTATTGGTTAGACAAGGCCTCACTTAAGATATATCATATTTACTAGCTATTACTTCTACGCGACTCCCCTTAGATATGGAGATAACTGTGATCTGTTTAGGGGCTGTATCCCCGCCTCCGCGGGATCACTCCATCTCCTGTCCTCATACTCCCTCCATGGTTCGTGGTGGTTTTTAGCTTTAACTAGACCTTATCGCCTACTCTGTAATGGGGTGCGGGTTGCTGTGTCTTGTTTGCTGGTGCTTCTGCGTTTTGTTGGGCATAAGCCAAGGAGGCTTTGGCCTAATCTAGTGCTGTTTAAGCTGCACTTGGTTGCCCCCGGAAGTGAGTCACTAGCAGGAACAATCAACATAGCCGTGAGAATAAGTTTGGTCCAGTGTATTGTACATCATATGTTCTCCCATTGTAACTCAAAGCCCTATTTCAGTGTTATTTGATTGCAGTTGTTAGGCTATATCCTGCTTGAACGAATACAGTCAACAGCGGATTTGGAAAAACAAGAAATATTAGTACATTCGGTTTACACCTGTTCCTATAGTTTTTGCTGTGTCTATTCCTACTGTGACCTGCCTCTTGTCAACCTCTGTTTCCAGAGAAAGCAGTGCCTTGTGGGCCAATTTGTCTAAAGCCACAAGATCCTGGTCGGAAACATTATCATATCCATCCCGACAAGAAAATGTACCATTGGAACTGGTCTGGAACAGTAAAGAAGGGAGTTCCATAGCTAATTTTTCGAAAGAAAAGAATATAGAAATTGTGCGATGGATGTATGGGGAGTTCGGGTTAGAAGCAGTAGTTGGGGAGGAGTCCAGGAGGAGTTGGGGGGTGTTCGGCGGTTGTGCCTCCAATTTGGCCCGGAGGGCTTGGATCTCTTCCTGTAGCTTCTCATTCTGGGTGCGTAAGAGCTCCTGTTCGGCTTTTAGTTTCCGGACTTTCGCTCTTGCTGTCTCGATTATCTCTGTCTGGTGTTTGAGTGTTTCATTGAAGCTGGTGAAAAACTCTCTGATATCCTGGTACGTCACCCGTCCGTTGTTTTCTCCGCCGGCCGCAGATTCGGGGTTTGCGATCGGCTTGTTTTCTTCCATATGAGCGCCTCGTCTGCGGCATTCTCTTGTTGCTGGATTCCGGCTTCAGCCCTACTATTGATCTGACCCCTGTAGAGCCAAGAATGCTTACCTACTTTATGTTTTTTTACATAATTAGTTGAACTAGATCAATTAATTTGATTATATTGCCACAAATCGATTCTTTGTATTATGCAATCCCGTAGTCTATAGAGAGGTTAGATTATCCACTTTATCTGATTGTTTTTACTTCGCACGGAATACGGTATCCAAAATTTTTCGGTATACTTACCTAATTGATTTACGTTTGTGGTTATATAATACAACCAAAAAAGACAGTGTTATAGGTAGTACAATTGCATCCAATACCCAATCCCCCTTAAGATGAATGTGGAAGATTAAGTTTGTTAGCTGCATTAGTATACATGCTCGCATAATATCAGGTGAACGTGCTCACCCCATCTATTCTGTACTCACCTAACTCACCCATAGTCGCGCGATAGTAAAGCAGCCTCACCCACTAGCTCACCCAAACAACACCCACCCGCCTTCTGGCCACGTTCAAGCCACACGCCGGGAGGTTAGTAGTTGGGTGGGTGACCACCAGCGAATCCCTTCTGTTGTATGTAATCCCTTTTTTCTTTTTGCAGAATCATTACTACTTACTACTATGGCTGGTGTGGATGCTCGGCTTTGGATGAAGTCGGAGACTGGTGTAGTGGAATGGAAGGGGGTATCCTACATTTTTATGGATATCCGGAAGGGTAGGATTGATACACGTTAGGCTGGGTACATCAGATAACGAGTGTAAGAATGTGTCTTATTATCGGTGATCAATGATATGCGTAGCTTCTGAATGAGTGTAGACGAATTGAATCATAGATAAAACCAAGCAACGTAAAGCTAGTTACATATATTATCAACAGTATCAACGCCATATCACACCGACCCAAGCAACTCTATATGCCCAGTCATGCAATATTCATTATTCGTTTCAAGTCATGAAGTGAAAGGGGCTTCACCAGGTAGTCGTCAATGCCTGCTGCAAAGGCCTGCTGTTGCATCTCGCTCGAGGCCACCCCGGTCACCGCCATGATGGCGGCCCGGGGGAGGGAATGCTGTTCTTCGTACTCGCGGATCTTGCCCGAGGAAGCAATCCCGTCCATGATTGGCATTGATATGTCTGCCCAATTAGTAATTACGAAGTGCGTGGGGGGTGGGGGGGCACATACCCATGAGGATATAGTCAAAGGGCCTAGCGGAGTTCTTGTATTTCTCAAATGCCGCTAGGCCGTTGGAGGCGGTCTCGTACGTACACCCGATTTTCCGTAGGAAGGTAGCAAGGATCTGCACAGATTAGCAATGCTGCTGACTGGGAGGGGTCATCATACCTTGAGATTGATATCATTGTCATCCACAATGAGCACATGGAGGTTGTCGCTTGTAGATTCTCGCGGCACGGACGGAGCAAACTCGGACACATTCTCCCGAACGACAGGAGGCGACTCCGAGCCCTTGGCAAGGGCAAAGGCATCGGACAAGCTCCGCCCTCGGAGGGGCACGCCAGGCAGCGGACCCAAGATGGGATCGTCATCACATGGGCCCAGCCCCTGGTGCGACTCGGTAATTCGCTGCAACGCTTGTAGGACCTTGCGAGGTGCGATTCTGCCAAATATTAGTAGACACCCTCAAACTTCAGATGTAGACTTACGGCTGAGGAACGTAAAACACATCAGCCCCCCGGATGGCAAATTCCCCTGGGAGCGTGACGGCTTGTTCACCAATCACCACAATGGCCTTGAACTTCACGTCAATGGGTCCCCGTGCCGATAGCGTTTTGAGTGTAGATTCCTCGATGACCGCAATGTCTCCCGGAGCCGTGTCCAGTTGGTCGGCAAACGACACCATCCACCCAGGCTGACTTAATAAGACGTTGCTCAACGCCCCCCGCAGCGCAAGCTTGCGCTTTGCTTCCGTGCTCAGGAGACCACTGGGCGCTTCCTTCAGGTCGGCATATGCATTGAGTCCCACCAGGGACACTCGGGTCATGATGCGCGCTCCCGGAACCCCACAATCCATGATCGAGTTCTCTTCCACGAATTCCACCGGAATGTACACATGGACTTGCGTCCCGACACCAACGTCGCTTTTCACTTCCATCTCGCCACTGAGGTAGTTCACCAACTGTTTGACCACACTCAAACCCAGTCCGACACCCTCTGTCAAGATGCTCTCCTGTGCGAACGGCTTGAAAAGCTGATGCTCCAAAAATTCGGGAGAAATCCCACAGCCGGTATCTGTGATGGTCAGGTGTGCCATCGTCTTCTTCGTAAAGCCAGACCTTTCAACCTTTTTCGCCAGTGAAACCTCTATGAACCCACATCTAGTGAACTTGAATGCATTGCCCAAAATATTCATGACAATCCGCCTCCACGCGCCAGAGAGCGATTGTAGATGCCACGAACCCAAGTCTTCGATCCGAACAATTACCGAGAGATCATCCGGATTGGGCGGCGCTGGAGCACCGGCAGGTCTATTGCCCACTCCCGACCCACCTGGCAAGTAACGACCAGCAATCTTCGCGGCATTGATAAGGGATCGGTGCCCGGCGTACAAGGCGTCGGTCACGTCTTCTACTACCTCATCCAAGTCAAACTCGGTCACCAGATTATCCATGCCGTCTCCGCTCGACCCAGGTTTCTTGTGCAAGTGGGTCAGGTTGTTGATCTTGGTAAATTCAAGCCTGGATAATTAGCATCATCTACAGCAAAGGCAACACGGACTTACAGGTGATTCATTGTATCTAGCAATGTGAGCCCGCATGTCTCCACCATCGTGATCATGTCTTGTTGAGTGGAGTCGAGGGACGTGGTTTGCAAAAGTTCTGTGCTGGCGAGCATGCCGTGCAAAGGCGAGCGAAGCTCATGACTGACCGATGCAAGTAAGTCAGATTTTGACTTCTCCGTAGCAGTCCAGTCTATCTGGCAGTATCCGGAGACGATAGTATCACCAAAGGTCTTGAGGAAGTGAAGGTCATCCTGCCCCAGTCGCCGCTGGTCATCACAGGTCCAGACGAGTGTCCCTGCCAGCCAGCGAGATTTGTTCCAGTTCCACAATGGAAGGAACACGATAGACTTGGCTTCCGGGAAGTTATGAGCCAGTCGAGCAATGATAGACTGCCGCAAGGAGAATTCGCCTTGGTTGCTATGAAGACTGTGTCTGCGCTGATGCAAGAAACTCGAAGGCGGTGATCCAAAGGGTTGCTGAGGGTGGAGGACCTCGCCTTGCGGGAAAGCGGTGAACATATCATGTAGCAGCCCTTCTGTCAAAGGGACTCGAAACATACTGCTGCTCCCCAGGGCACGCTCTGATGAGGCGATACCTAGAGGTTCACAGACCTTCTCAGACCAGCCCCCATATGACGATACGCTAGGTGAGCGGAGAGAAAATGCAGAGTCGCTATCTCTGTCGAACGCGTCCCAATCATTCACGCTAGCAGTCGAGCTACTACATTGCAGTTAGCCGGTTTCACTCTTCATCGAATCATTGACTTGCCTGCGAGTGTTACTGCGTGAGGCATCGACAAAGATGACCCCATCCAGATCCATACATTCCTGCAGCAGACCACTTGCACGAGAGAAGAGTAGCGACGTTTTCTCGGAAATGGCAGTGCCTTCTGGTACCATGACGAGATTACTTGTCTCGTCGGAACTCTTTCTCACGTGTCGTTGGTGCGTCCCATTCGGAGCCGAATGAACGGTCCCAAATGCTTGATTGGCGAAGAAAGGCGACTCGTTCGCAGGGAGTGGTGGAGGGTATCTGGTTGAGGACGGTGAAATTTCGCGAACACTGGCCGCCGACATGGATAGGCGGTCAATCTCTGGCACCTCGGACGAACGAGGGGAGATAATACTGGCCGCAGTGCTCTTTCGTCGGCTTTTCCGTCCATCGTTCTCATTGCACGACTGTCCTTTGACGAACTTCATGAGTCCGCCTAACAAGCGATCATTCTGACGGTATTGACGTAGCGCCCCGACGTTCTGAAGGTGACTGGCGACCGCGTTGGCAACATTTTGGAGCTCCGCCAGTTCGCCATCTCCAAAGAAATGGCAAGGCTCGTCATTCACCACGCAATACGTCCCGATCGTCTCTCCAGAGGACGTATTCAGGGGCACCTCCGCGTAAAATCTGAGCCGAAATCGTTCCACGAGGGGGTGGTGCTTCAGGTCGAGCTCTAGATTCACGTCGCGGATGACAGTTCTGGTACTATTTCTAGTAATATTCGAAGAGCAGATCCCTCCCATTCCATTCCGCGCCAATCCTATTGTGCCCATGCCCACAGAATTGTCGGTGACCAAGGTCCTGTTGCCACAGGCTGGGCTCGACGGCGTGGCCTCTGCAATAATGTGTGTTTCGCCGTTCTCAATCAGCGAAACGAACGCGTACTTGCAGCCCATGCGGTAAGTTCCAAGTTGCGCAAGAGCCATCAAGGCGGGGTCCGAGGCCGGGCAAGCCATCGTGGAATGCTTCTGCCCATTGACGATCGAGACTGGAAACACTGTGCGCAGCAGCCCATCGATTCGGTCCGGAGCCTGGGCGCTGGAGAACCTATGCATGTGGTGGTTTACGTGAGCATGACTCAAGAAACCATAACGGGGCATTAAATGGATGTGACTGGCACTACCTGAAGAGTTCAGGGGTCATTCGGGAGGCTCAGGGGATGAAGAGCTGCTGAGCCCACAGCGAGTGGGTTATCGCCTATGGCATCGCAAGTGACGGTAGGAGTACGTCCGCGGGGGAAATGACTCGGTAACGAAAGGGTTAGGCACCAGATATATTCCAAATCTTTAGCCACACCCGAGCTAGCCAGGAGGTTTAAGGTTCATGATCCGGACGCCACCGGCATGCTAGAGGAGCTTCTGAAAAGCTGGCCAAGTGGTGTGGAAGCAGGTCTAGGCCGCTGAGTTGATGTGGTCGACTTGCAAATGCTCCTTTTTGCTGGGCCGCCCCGCCGGCTGATGGCGCCGACCCCGGATAAGGGGATCATCGCAGGCTCTGCATGACTGGCCCTGCCAGATCCCGGGAACGACCGTGCAAGTTCCATGGTTCGGCCATCTCAGCCTCGCAGGCAGCATCGGCCGAATAACGTCGCACACGGGCGTTCTCGGCTCCGACAATTCGCCTGCCTGGGTTGAGGAATCCGACGGAAGATGCCGCGCAACCGGAGTCGATACCAGAAGATTCCTTTCCCGAGCAGACGAAATAATACATCGTGATGGCGGAGGTCTGACGAAAGGAAGCAGAGTGGGATGAGGAAAAGATGGACGGGTCATTGATGTAACCCAACTCTATGTCCTTCCGCGTGACGCGCTCGGATTGGTCCGGACTTGCTTTCCCCGGCGCCGCATTCGGGGCTTCCTCGCCTCAGGCATCAAGGCCACCGCTGCCCTGGCCAGCAACCGGATTCGGGCTGGTCGTCCTTCTCGCAGCGTTACCTCCCATGATAAAGAGGCATTCATCCTGCTTCTTGCTTACGAGAAATCCATCGTATCCCTGTTGCCTCTTATTGGGCGGAGACTTTTCTGCACTCAAAGTAAGCAGGATGTAGCCGGAAGCTTAAGCAAGCCAACAGATCAACTGCTATCCACCCCCAAAGTCTAAGGCAGCTCCTGTACAGTTTTCCATTGGCAGCTTGCTCGAGGAGACCATCAAGATAAAATTAAAATGCCCCGGGGAGAGCTGCTGCAGGGGCCATGAGGGGGTAAACGGATCGACATTACTCGATGACTCCGATCTGCAGTCAATCACGCAGCTGTTCAACCCTTATCGGACTGCTGACGAGAACATGATTCATCCAGTCACGTGTCGGACGTTGTCGCAGTCATTGACTCGCGCATGGGTCTAGATCGGAGGATCCTCTCACCCGAGGATACGAAGATGCTACAGCTGCAGATCCGGTAGGGGTATCACCGGGGCTGTACAGTTCTATTCACCGTCAGATGTATTATGAATTGGTAAGATGAATCCTTTCGGGCCCCCAAAGGGGCAGTTTCATGGGTATCTATGTATTAAGCAGGTTCGTATTCGCGGTCGCGCCCTGCAAGGGGCACATGTCAGCAACCAGTCGCAAACTCGCACCAGGCTCGTGTTGAAAAACGGGCCCGCTTACCTTTCCTCGTGAAAGTCGATAGCCGAACGCCATGTTCTAGGCCAGCCCACGCATTACTCTAACCTTACGGACAATGGAGTCGTCAACCCTAGCCAAGCACAACCGTCGAACCGTATCAATGCTTTTGACTCCCGAGTCACCCCTCGATCCCTCCCAGATCGGTGGGGTTATTAGGTAAGCTAGTGTACCAAGCAGGGTATGCCTAAAATATGGGCGGGTCGAGTGTTGGGTTAATCGAAAAGAAGGCCTCAAGATCCATCGTTGAGAAGTCAAAGTCCCAGCCCATGTCGGACTGGGTGAAGTCCAGAAGATCTTCACCACTACCCACACTGCCACTTGGCATGCGTATACCATCCTGCAAGGAGTTCCCTTGGAAATCAGAGAGCATCGATAGACCCCCTCCCCCGACTAGACCAGCGTGAACGGGGCCGGGAATAGGGCCTTGTGGATGATGAGAGATGTTTCCGGCGTACTGTCGCGTGGTATTGATGGGGTGCTCTGAACTGTAAGATTGAATTGCATTTGGTGACCATTCGTATGACGGGTTCAGCTTTCGCAAGACTGTTTGAATAGCAGACATGGAGCTAGAAATAGGCTCACCCTGTCGCATGGCGGAAAGGCCTTGTAAGGCGGCATGAATCCACGGAAGGTGGGTGGATGCCAAATTCTCGCCATGCATTAAATCATAAATAAGCGCGAAAGAAGAACTTCCCAGGAAGTATCCATGATAGCGGAGTTCCTAGCGTTATTAGCACTTTGGCCTCATCAGCAAGTGAAATGCATACCCGAACAAGTTCATTGTATATGGAAGCTTCATAGAGATGATGAATAGTTCTGCAAGCGGCACTAAGGGCCTGGTTACAGGCCTCGTTCAGCCAGGTGGGCATTTCTGTCGGCCGTTTGGCTGTGCTGCTTCCTGGCTGCTGAGATGATATCTTCATATCGTGCCGCCACCGGGCCCGGAAGATTAAGAATGGCCGGAAGGTCAGCAGAATCGTATGATAATAGACTAAACCGTTAGCTTGGCCTCTTCAAGGGGAGATTAGAGCGTACGAGTTGTCAGGATAATCTGCCGTACTCCCAAGCTCCCCGGTTGAGTCGATTTATCAAGTCCACACCCCACTGCATGTTGCATCATCGATTCATAACATCGAAGGTCATCAGCTATCGATCTAGCGATCTTCCACATTTGCAGCAATGATTCGTGGCGTCGCCCATACATCTCATCGGCTGATCGGGAGAAAACCTTGGAAAGATGAACCAAGACCTGCAAAAAGGGATTCTGCGGCAGCGCGACCCCAATGTCTTTCGACGAGAGAGATCTGGGTCGTCCGAGATGGAAACAAGTCCAGCTAGCTACTATTAGTACGGAAGAATGGAGACGACGATATGCGAGACCGACACTTCATAGAAATAGAGTGCCCAAAATGTGCTCCGCCGTTCCTCAATGCTATCTGCAGCATCTCCACCCTCGGTAGGAGCCTCTTTATGCAGCCCAGCGGAAATAGCCTTGCGGGCAGCTGTGCCCATTAGAAGGAAAGCCGAATTGGGCCTGCCTTGTTCGGTTTGGAAATGGGCGTGTTGGCCAGAACGTCAGTACGTGATGTCTGAAATTTTAGAGAGGTTACTACTTATCATGAACATAGAAAGTTGCACGGTCTGAAGATTGACCACGTCATCAAGAGAGGAGGTAGAAGCCTTTACACGTTCATACAAGATATCTCCCCAGCTATGGTGCTCCGTTCCTAGAGCCCCGATGGCTAATCCTAGAAGTAACAGGGATTGTGACCACTTATCGGAGCGCGAATCCGGTGTTGGACGATACATGTGATCGAGCTGCTGATAGAAGGCATCCTTGGACCAAAATGGCACCAGATTATACAGCGTTGCCAAGAAGCGCCGGAGGAAGTCCTTGGCCAACTCATATGGCAGGAACAGCACCGGGGCATCGGGCCCGTTGGTAATCTTGTTCGAGTCGTGCGACTCGGCCTGGGTCCCGAAAAAGATCCGACGGAAGCTAAACATGTCCAGGCCCGCCCCGGCTTCTTCAACCTCGCCCTGGGGCTTCTGCGCTTCCGTGGATGGATTATTGGAAACGAGACCCCTGTATATTTCATGCATGAGCGCGAAGTGGGAAGTCGATCCATAATACAATTGTACCTTGCAAGATGGCGACGCCATGTGGGTGGCGGAGACGCTGTTGTTGAAGGTCAAGCTGACGGACGGGTTTCTCCGCCGGGCTGGCGGCATCAAACTAGGCGACTGCTGCCGTGTGCCGTGGTCGTCCGGCGTGCCCCCGTTCGAGTGAAATCCCTCACTGACGGCGGCCTCTGGATATTGATTTTTCTTTCTGCGCTGTCGGGTGACCTCTCGATAGATGCATGGGGTATGGCGCAGCTGGCAGGTTTTGCAGGGGGTGACACCATTGCATTTGATCTTCCTCTTCCGGCACTCTTGGCATGCCTTGGGAATTCGCCAGCCAGAGGGCTGCGCTGGAGATATGGCGTCTGCCATTTTGGATAATCTAGTGGACAGTTGCACCGCCGCGTCGAGCTCGGATTGATTTTGCCAGACTCTTGCTGCGTCATGGATGGATGGATGGAAGCCGAGGAGTCGGATTTATCGCCCGTAGGTTTATCCGTTATTCCGAACCCCATCCGGTCTAGTTCTGATTCGCCGCTGCCACCTGGTCTGTCAGGCACACAGACTGCTACTGAAGCTGTCGATATATGTTCCTTCTTTTAAGAATCTATCAGGGCTGTTCTGTGACACAGAACTAGTGCAAGTAGGGATTCGATGGTGGGAAGCCCGCTTTCGCCTAGTCAATATATATTTTGCGGAGCTCCGATGACTTGGAGTGTTGCTTTGTACCAAAAATTAGAATTCGGGAAACACAAAGTCCGTCGTTGTAATCCTAATTTTGCTGACATGCTTTAAAGTTCGTTTGCATTGAAAACCTGGGATCTGGCGATACTGTCAGTCTCCAATTAGGTACGCCTTGGTGCAGAATGCTAGATGTTCTTACTGCCCTGATACGGAGGTACTAGGGTTTATTTCACAAAGTGCACCTTGCTGGGTGGTAATGTGTCAAACAAGTCATTGGAAAGGAGTATTACGGTGCATTGGCTTTGTTACCTCCCTTGGAAAGCTGTCGGGTTCATGTGTAAGTCGAGAAGTCATCCTAGACGGTGGGTTAGTAGAGGTAGTGGTGGGCAGGATAATTGGTCCAAAGCGGTGTTCAACTTAAGAGAGCGTGGACTGAAAGAGATACAAGAGATACTACTTATCGCATAATTGACTAGAGGGAATCTAAGGTACGTGGATTAATGACTACGGGGCACTACATGAACGAGCCCTAGAAGTCTCAAAACCATAGGTAGTTGGGGAAAGAGTTCATTACAAGTTGTAATAATGTATTCCCGTACTGTAATCTAGAGTAGTCTCAAGGTTAACAGGAAATCTAACTCTAAATCCCGAGCTCGCCATTTATCCACGAGCCCAGGGTGGCTAGAAATCACTGCGGGTGTTCGGATGGCATGGCCTTCTCCAACAATTCCAACATCACTTCACAATTTTCGCGGTCCGTCTTCCTTCTTTTATCCTTCGTTATGCTTCCGCAACTGTTGATGAGCCTAGCATCATGAGGAAAGTGGCGCCCCTCTACCAATAGCTTCATGACCTCGACACTTTGGCGGATCAGAGTACCGTCGCCCTTAAAGAGCTGGCCTAGCATGCTGGCGATAATTTCAGACTCTATCTCGGGATTCCAGTCTAGGGACCCATATGCGGTCATTTCAGGACGGGCCAATAATGCCCGGATTACATCTGGCTTTCGACGGAATGCTGCCTGGTTCAATTGCTCAAGGGCATCATACCGAGGCGTGTTTCTATCATGATTCACCGCGAGTGTAATTCCCCTTTCGATCAAACAGACTCCATTGGCCTGGCTCCCAGACCGTATCGCCCCAATGAGAGCCGTCTGTGGTTCGTCCCAGGGGTATTGAGACCCGAATTCATTCAGAAGTTCCGGCGCATGGTGCAGAACGCACTTGACTGCTGAAGCCTTGTCTCCGGCCTCATTAGCGCCATCAATCTCTGCTGCAAGATGTAAAGCAGTGAAGCCAGAATCGCGATTCCGCCATGTGTGAAGGTTCAGGTCGTTTTTTTCAATCAGCATTTGAAGTAGTAAGGCATGGCCCTCTGTGCGGAAAATTGCCAAAAGCAGGCTCTCCATGAATTTGACTTTGCTGCCAGCTTCAAGAAGGAGTCGTGCCAACTCCCTCTGAGTGCTCGCTGGAGCATCACACACCTTGTCCAAGGGGGTCAGGCCCCCTCGGATTGTGAGAGTGACGTCGGCGCCGTTCTCGAGTAATAGCCTAACAATGTCGACATGGCCAGCTCCAACAGCGGCATGGAGCATCGTTATGCGATGCAGGTTGAAAGTATTTGCAGAGAGTCCTGCCTCCAGGAAAAACTTGACGGAATCATAAGCGCCTCTTTCGACTGCCCCTGAAAAGGGTTCCTCGGCAAAGTTTTCGGGATTCCACAACTCATCTGCATAGTCTTCTTCCGTCATCCCTGACCTCACATCATGGTCTTCCATGATCCTGACATCTAGTTTGTCAAAGAACCTTTGTTCCGGACGGCCAATCCTTTTTGCGATGTGCAGCAACTCGACACGACAGATCCGATACAGCCATTTACATGTAAGCCCGAGAAGGCTTAAGGACTGATTATCTAGTTCCTTGATGATGTAGAGAACCAGTTCTTCCGGGAGTGCACTCAATGGGAAGATTTGATTATTCATGATGATAAAGCTGTGATGGACAAGGCAAGAAACTGGCCAGTTATGTTCGTTAGAGTGATGCAAGAGGACCTGGTCGAGGGGATTGTGCTTGAGAGCTGAGAAGATCGTGTGCCTTTTATCTCCTTGACGCAGGTACTAGGCACTTTCATGATTTTTCGAGAGGCCGATAAGTAACTGGTAAAGAAAGAGCATTGTCAAAGAATGCTAAGTGGATGGAAGGAGCCATCAGTCATTTCTCCATATTCGGCAGGTTCCGCCATCGGTCTCCTCACACATTTGTTTCTGCTTCTATATTGTCCTTCCTTTATATTTTTCTGCAGAATCTCTCGACCCGACGTGATGCAGAAGTCAAGTTAAGGTTGTTTCAATTCACCATAGATGCAATGGAGTCTAAAAGTTTGCTACCAGCATACACCCCTAACACAATACTCCAGGATTCGATCAATTCCTTCTGATTGTGACACAAGCAATCTATTCCTCTACGCTTATACATGGAATGCGGTACGTCCGTGAAATGCCCCATCTCCCACTTAGCAATGAGACTAGAGAGTGAGAATCCATTATCCACCCCTTTTCTAATGCCATATAGCCTTGTTACTCGGGTAAATGTTGTTTTCTAGTGTATGTTACCTCTAACAGGTATGACTGAATGAGAAAATGCCAATTCTAGATTCTGTTGTAGGACCGCTTCTATTTGTAGCAAAGTGAGGCTGCGCCGAAGTATAGGGGTCGGTCTTATCGCCTTGTGCGTTAGTCGGCCGCTACTGACGCCGACTACCAATCACTGGCAGTGTATCAGTACTGTATCGAGCTTCCTGCCTCACAACACGCATCCATGCTCTTTCTGACAACTTGACATCCCGGTGATACATTCGCGCATTTGAGAAAATTTCTTTTCTGTCCTAATCTTCAAGCTTCATATGTTACTTGCTTGGCAAGGATGTATGCTGGTTAAAAACCTCTATCAGTTCTGTGAAGACGCCCCCGGTAATTGCAGGTGCTGGCAGTTGATGCCTTTTCTATAGTTCCGAGTGACCGATTTCCCATTCATATGGGACAACACACTATGAGAAAGAGAAAACATATATATCTGTAGGCCACATAATCACTAGATGCCAAGGCAGCTATCTTATCAGACATGGACCGTGCCGTTTCCCCGCTTCACCCCACTATTCAACCGGCCTGTTTGAATCAATTGACCAGTCCGTTGTCGCACAGTACTCCCATATCTGACGCCACCTGCACCACACCTGGCGTGACATCTTCCGACCTTCGGGTTGAGTAAGGCATGCAGTGACTTGCAGCCGGCAAAACCCCGGCCCCTGCTCCATTCCATCCAGGATGCAGGGCAATTTTTCAACCAACCATTTTCAGCGCCTAAGTCGGCAGTGATAAGCCACCTCGGGGGCCAAGGCGTTCGGGAGTATTAAATGAACCAGCCTGGCAGGTTTCGGTGAAACATCTTCAATCCTCTCTGCTTTAATCCCACAATACAATCTGGCTACTGTTATGGCTTCTCAGACTCTAACACAGACAATCATCCCTAAGTTATCCCTGGAAGGGATCGATGAGAATAACAAGAACGTATGTTATTCACTCTCCCCCCACATGCAACAAAGTCTCTAGAGTACACGACTAACCATAGATTCCAGACACCAACATGGCTGAAAGCCCTCCACACCAAAGGCTGGACCATTGTCCCCGGGGTGCTCACCCACGAAAAAGCCGCGTACTACGCCGATAAATGCTACGATTGGCTGGAGGGTTGGGGCCTCGGGTATAACCGTCACGATCCCTCCACGCATAAGTCAACATACCTTCCCTGGCATACTCGTGGTGGGCTGTATAATCGGTTAGTTTCACCCAATGCGTTGAGCAGCTGAGCTAAGAAGATAGATATGGCATCGCCCACGAACAGTTCGTATGGGATTTGAAATCGGAGCCTGCGCTTGTGGAAGCGTTTGCGCAGCTTTGGGGGACGGATGAGTTGGTTGTTTCTTATGGTGCGCATCTTCTTACTAGTCATCCTCCATGAGGAGACTATAGGTTTAACTGATCCCGTCAACAGACGGCCTCAACCTCTCCATCCCTGAACCCGACCGAGCACCTACAGACCCCATCTTCGCCCCCTGGCCCCACGTCGACCAATCTCCCTACCGAACACATCTCCAATGCGTCCAGGGTGTCCTGAACCTCCTCCCCAATGGGCCTCAAGATGGTGGTCTGACGGTCCTCGAGGGCTCGAACGCCCTGTACACACAACTATGGCAGCACTTTGATCACAAGAAGGGCGAAAACGGGTGGAATAAAATCGAACAGCAGGTCCTGGACGAGGAAATGAGCCAGTGGCTTGAGCAACAGGGCTGCAAATGGGTCAAGGTGTGCTGTGAGCCGGGTGATTTGTTACTTTGGGATTCGGTATACCCTACCTCCTTTAATCATGCTCTGTTCCTTGAAGACGATAATCAGTCGGCTAATGGCTATTTCAGAGAACGGTCCACTACGGCTCCGTCCCGTCTTCTACTAACGATCGCTTCGCAGCTTGTAAGTCACAACCTACCTCCCTTTCCTGTTGAATGCGATAATTGATTATTGTTAGACGTCTGCTACAAACCATCGATCTTTGTCCCTGAACACGCACGAACTGAGCGCATCGAAGCCTTCAACAAGAAGAATGGAACGGCTCATGACCCGGCCATTGTGCGGGTTACGCAACGGCTTCCGCCCGAAGATCATCCGGCTCATGCGGAGGCACTGAAGCGGCCGATTCAGGAACCTGTGTTGTCAAAGAGAGGGAGGCAGTTGGCTGGGTTGGAACCGTATTAAACTGGCATTAGTTGTTCTGTTCTTGGGACGGACTTCTATGTGTTCCTGGTTATCTGGTCATACTAGCAAGGATTCCCCCCCCTAAATACTAAGGAGGTAACTTAATGAGTTCTTTGATTTTGTCAGTGGAAATGATTCTGTCTTGGACAGAGTGGTAATTAGTAGGCTACAATTAAAACTAAATACTAGCAGTGATATGCCACTGAGCGCATCTCACAACCCCCCCGTCGCCTTCCTAAACACCTCCCTCGTATGCTCCCACACCTTATCCCCCACTCCACTCCCCAAATACCCCTTCAACAACGCCAACTTAGCCTCAACAATCGAACCATCATAATTCACCCGATACGCACCACTCCCCTTCTCCCCATCCGCCCCCACCGTCAACCCCCCTTCCACCCGCGGCGCAAACAACGGACTCGTCGCCGCAAAAGCATGTCTCTCGCCCGACTCCTTCACAGAAAGAAGTCCAACTGAGGAACCCAACGGCGTCATCAGCGTAAGTAACCCGCTCGTAAGGCACCGAACAAGCGGGTTAAAATCTCGCATGAGATTCGTGTTCACTCCACCCGGGAGACTGTGAACTAAACTAATGCTGGGATGTGTGGCGGATAAGCGGGTCATGTAGAGAGAGGTCATGGTGCTTGCCTGGGCGGCTGCGTTGGATAGGCTGTAGTTATGCTTGAGGTCGAGGTCGTTCTCGATGAGTTTGCCTTCGTGCCCGGGGCTGAATACGGAGACTACTCGGGCGAGATGGCCGGATGAGGCGGCGCGGGTTAGTGATGGGAGGAGGTTGTCGATGAAGCGCATGCGGGAATAGTAGTGGAGACTGAGTTTGCGGTCGAGGCCTTCGCTTGTTTCTGGGTCTTTGCTTAGCAGGGGGATGAGGGGGAATGGGGAGAGTGGGAGCCTTACCGGTCCGTCCCTGAGTGGTCATGATACCCGCGCTCAAGACGAGGAGGTTCACTTTGGATTCCTTTTTGGTGATCTCCTGGCAGGCGAGATCCACGTTCTTGAGCAAAGATACATCGCTTTTGATAAAATCTACCGTTGCGAATTCATTGATGGTCTTCAATTCGGTGATGATCTCCGATGCTTGGGCTTCATTACGCCCAACCAGGTAGATGTGTGGGGCTGTGGCATGACGGGTGAATTCTCGCGCAGTGGATAGTCCGATACCACTTGTTCCTCCCACTATTCTCAGTCATATTGGTGTCAGTGTTGAGGGTCGCAGGGGGATGATGGGCATGTACCAAACACGGCAACCAGACCAGACCCGAGGTTTTTGATCGTTGCGATTTGTTCACGGACCTGGGAAATTGCCACCATCTTGTGCAGTAGTTCGTTATGATTTATTAGTGTCCTGAATTATTTTGTTCGCTTGGAAGTTGCAGTGAGAAGTATCTGAGCGAAGGTTCCATTGTCCGTGGGACTTAAATAACTAGAGTGCTGGTGGCTAACGTCAGCCACGCCGGATCGGCCAGATCGGCCGCATGGCTGAGATCAGCCACACTTTCAAAACGCTTATATTTCAACCACCATCGAACAAGCCTCTAAACCTTATGATATCTGTCTATCGATAAATTCCATTACGCGTTATCAGCATCATATCATTTATCGATAAGGAAGGTGATCTGAAGGATCCAGTTTGTGCCGAACTTCCGCAGCATGTATGAACACGCTCGGCCTCCTATCCGTCCAACATCTGGTGATTGGCATTCCTTGAATCCTTGCGGGGATATCGTCGTACAGACCACGCAGTACTGGACCGTTTGGTGTGATAAAGCTCCACGGAATGTCTTGGCGGGAGGGGTTGCAGGAGATACAAATACCGGGCCTCCATCCAAATCCCGGAAGCTCAACCCACCTCGAACGTCTGAAATCTTACTATGCAAGACCCAGCCTCTTCCCAGGTGCGCGTGGCCGTCACGCAGGCAGAACCAGTTTGGCTCGATCTAGATGCGACAGTGGAAAAGACATGCGCTCTCATCGGGGAAGCTGCTGCGAATGGCGCTCAGTTGATCACTTTCCCGGAGTGCTGGATTCCCGGATATCCGGCGTGGATATGGTATGCAAGCACCTGGGAGAAATAGCCTAGATCTGACTAAACTTTATTACTGACAGGTCCCGCCCTGTTGATATGCGCCTGACATCCACCTATATCCAACACTCGCTAAAGGTGGATTCGCCGCAGATGGCTCGCATCCAACGGTGTGCCGCTGAGAACAAAATCGTCGTGGTCCTGGGCTTTTCGGAAAACCTCCACAACTCCCTGTACATCGCACAGGCCATCATCGGGAGCGATGGCAAGATCCTCACCACTCGGAAGAAAATCAAGGCTACTCACATGGAGAGGACCGTCTTCGGCGACTCCTTTGGAGATTGTCTGCAGAGCGTCGTTGACACGTCGGTTGGTCGCGTTGGCGCTCTCTCTTGCTGGGAACACATCCAGCCGCTTCTCAAATACCACACCTATTCGCAGCGCGAACAGATCCATGTCGCGGCATGGCCCCCACTGTTCCCTGACGTTGGTGACGGCTCTTTGTTTTCGATGTCAAGCGAGGGTATGTCACTTTTCCTTATCCCATTTGTTTAGAAAACTTTGACACATCTTGTCAGGCACCAATGCCATTGCTAGAACGTACGCTATTGAAAGCCAATCGTTCGTCCTGCATACCACCACAGTGATAAGCCAGTCCGCCATTGATCGCATGGCAACACATTCCGGGGCCCTTATGAGCACCCCTGGGGGTGGCTGCTCCGCCATCTTTGGGCCTGACGGCCGCCAATTGTCGCAACCGATCCCCAGTACCGAGGAGGGCATCATCTACGCTAACCTAGATCTGGATCAGGTCTACCACTCCAAAGCTTTTGTAGATGTCTGTGGACATTACAGTCGACCGGACCTTCTTTGGCTGGGAGTGGAGAGCGGTGTGAGGTCCCATGTAAGGGATCAAGGCACGGTGGTTGAACAGGAGCAGTCAGGAAAGTAACCAGTTAGCTTGTGAGAAGGTTGTTACGGTTCTCTGAGGGAAAATACCCTTTTACCATCGTCTTCCACCACCAGGCCTCTTAATAGGGGGATTGTAGATGTGGAAATCTGAGTAATTAATTTTGTTTGTATGTATATTCACCATATCAGGTGATCGCGGCCCGTGTGTTGCTTTCGTTCGTCTTCACTCCTCCAACCTTCTTCTTCCTAGATGCCCGCGACACTTCATGACAAGTCATCGATAACTGCCACCGCTGCAATAGTCTGTCTCATTTCTGGCCACTCGAATCCAGGCGGGCCGATCCTTTGCCCTCGGCCGAGCGTGGAATAGATATTCCTGGTTAAAATGCCCCACTTATGCCTGGTTCCTGTGATGCCTGTGAATGGGTGATTCCGGGTTTTCTCAGACCCATCCTCAGGATGGTATTCTCACTACTCAAAGCTAACGTGTACATTCTTTTGTGGTATTTATGCTAACCACAAGGATAAAATAACCAGAGACTGCATCCCCGAGACCTCTCATTCTGACACTGAATCGTCGAAATCATGAACATACAACCCCCAACGCATACTTTATCGCAAACCGATCAAGGAACTAAACGATACCACTTTCTCTGAGCGTCTTCCGAGTTTCAACAGGCTGCACATTAGCCATGGGAGCCAGAACAACCTCAAGTGACCTCTTCATCGTGGTAATAGTGCTCACCAGTCCTAGCATTTCTGTTTCAAATCCACACCGCTGAAGCTTCCTACCCCAAAGGCCATAATGCAAATCGGCTTGATGTTGATCAAATGGGAGGAATGATTAGAGTGTTATGACCCGCCAAACCGCTCACCTGTATATACTGCAAGTTCTGGCTCGATCTGGGCGCTCTGAAGTAACTGCACGGCGGCCGGACCGCCCACCCAGTCCAGGAAGAGATGCACGGGCTCAATGCTCGGAGGGAGAACCAACGGACGTCGGGATGAGCTGGGAGAAGGACGTGATCATCGAGCTCCTCCACTTCGGCGAGGGTGTCTGGATTCCGTGCCACGCCCATGATCCGCGCCGCTCCCAGCGGGCGCCACGGCGATGCCCGCCCGGCCACTGCCGCTGGTGGCTCCAATAATGGCGACTGCCCGGCCATTCACAGCCACCTATGGCACGGCAGCGCAGCGCCATCCAGCTGCTGGAGGGGGCGCGCCAAAGGCACTGGGGTGCTTGCACTCGGCTCGTCCTCGCACACCCACGGCCAATACTTTCAGCTGCAGCTGGCTAGGCAGGGGCTGAGGTATGTCTGGAACAGTCATGTACTCGGGAGGCGCACCCCATGAAGTGGCACGGGCACCCTTCATTGCGCGAACTGGGGTGGAGTGAAATGCGGCCAGCTGATTGAACGGCTGCAGAGCAGTGGTGCCTGGGTTTGGTTCGGAGATGCCCTTTGATACAGGCGAATGTCAAACGATGACGATCTAGTAGCTGGTAAACTGCCACGCCAAGATTGATACCCATAGCTTCTTGCTAAAGGAAGTGAAAGTGACAGAAACCAAGATATTTAGAGGTAAGTTTCGTGACTTGAGCTGGACCGGCTCAAGTTGAGCTTCACAATGAAAACGAGAACCCGAAATATTACCCCTGGATTTCAGCAACTCCCCTAACTGCCCATCACAGATTGAAATGTGTTGAGCTATATGAGCTTGTCTGTATAGAAATCGGTCCGCCGACACAGTGTCTTAATAGATATGGGGCTTCAGAGCGGGCGATGATTGGTCGGTGTATTAGGTGGGACATCGGCGTCGGCAAGCCAGAGTCCGTGGACCAATCTGCGTCCCCGCACGCATCGGCATCCAGCACGCCGCCGTCCGCTAGTGCTGATGTCTCGTTGATATGATGGTGTTAAGTGGGGCAATACAAGTGAGAGTATACACATGGAAGCGGAGGGACAGATCAAACAAGCTGGAAAGAGACTCTGGGATTTATCTCCCCACCTTGCACCTCCATTATTCGTGCACTTCAATCGCCACCTGTGGAAGAGTTTGGATTTCAATATCCCAGCTTCCACGGGATACTCAGCAGCCTTGCTGACCGGATGCGGATGCGATTGCATTTCAGGCCCCCCATGGCCGGTCAACGAGTCCCAACAAGGGGTATCTGCCATGAATTCCCACAACTATCGCTGTAATCCATTTCCTCTTTCTTAGCCTGCATCAAGGCTGTTCGAATAGAGCCACCATGAGATCAAGCGACAAAGAATCTGCCCTACTACCAGCCAGCGAGCCACCACCGCCCCCTGACGGTGGTCTTCAGGCCTGGACCCAGGTTTTCTGTATGCACATGACCTTCTTCAACTCTTGGGGCGTCTCCAACAGCTTTGGGGTCTTCCAGCAATTCTACTCGGAAACTCTGCCTCAATCGAACTCGGATCTCTCGTGGATCGGAGGCGTGCAGGTGTCGCTCCTCTTCTTTGTGGGTGTCATCTCCAGCCGCCTCACCGATGCAGGCTATTTCCGCCCGGTGTATTTCCTCGGTGTTCTCTTCCAGCTGGTGGGGGTGTTCATGACCTCTCTTTGCAAGAACTATTGGCAAAGCTTCTTAGCCCAGGGTGTCTGTATGGGCTTAGGGAATGGTTGCACATTCTGCTCTGGACTGACGGTTATGTCGTCGTATTTCCTACGCAACCGAGCTCTCGCCGTCGGGGTGGCTGCAGCTGGGGCAGCTGTCGGGGGGTTGATATTTCCAGTCGTGGTGGATAGGCTTCTCTATGAAGATGCCGTGGGCTATCCCTGGACTCTGCGAGCGGTGGGCTTCATCATGCTCGCTACGCAGATTCCATGCTTGCTGTTTTTCAAACCGCGCCTGCCGCCTCGAAGAAGTGGGCCGCTAGTGGATTGGAGTGCGTTTCGAGAAATGCCGTTTGCCTTCTTCACCATGAGCATGTTCTTCAACTTCTGGGGCTTGCACTTTGCCTTTTTCTACCTGGGAACCTTTGCTCGCGACCGAATCGGGATGTCGAGATCTGACTCATTGGATCTGATCATGGTTATTAACGGCGTCGGGATCGTTGGTCGCATCGTCCCGGGGATGATCGGTGACCGAGTCACGGGGATGCTGAATGTCCTGGTTCCGTTTAGCTTTGCTGCAAGTCTGCTGACATACTGCTGGGCGGCGATTGATAGTACAGCTGGTTTGTATGTATTTGCTGTGGTTTATGGCATCATTGCGGCGGCACTGCAGTCGCTTTTCCCGGCCACGGCCACTACCATGAGCCCGGACATGAAGAAGACGGGAACCCGAGTTGGCATGATCATGACGATTGTTGGGGCGGCTGCATTGACGGGGCCATCGATTCAGGGTGCTTTAATCAACCGGGACGATGGGAGGTACCTTTATGGGCAGTTGTTCTCGGCCACATCGATTATGATCGGTGCTCTTGCTGGAGTTGCGTGCAGGGTTTCCAAGTCGGGGTTTGTGTGGCAAGCGAAGGTCTAACTGAGGACTTGATAGATGTCTTAGAATATCGAATGTCTGGTGGACATCCCGTAGACAATGCAATTGTCGAATCACCAGTAGCACCAAAAGCCCCTGTAAACCTCCCACGTACGGATTATTATCTTCTTTTTTCCGCCTGAATGCTGGCGGACCACAAGACATTCCTGCAGGATCAAACTAAATATTGGACCTGGGATTAGACTAGAATCTTACGGATCGTCAGATGCATGAACGACCCGACCAATTGATCCCATCCCTTTTTCGTCAGCACTAGCCCGTGGACCTTGATCCACCAGCGTCATCTCAGTAAAGCCTAACAGGAGTTGTCGACGTGAATATGGATTTAAAGCCATGCAAACCCAGGCCTCATGCCTCTCTTCTTCCATCTTCTCTTCATTCATCATTCCTCTCCTCTACCCTACTTGCCTTCCCTCATCTCCGCAAGAGCCCATCCCACCATGCCCCTCAAAACCGTCCTCATCACCGGCTGCAGCGACGACGGTATCGGCCACGGCCTGGCCACCACCTTCCACCAACAAAACTACCACGTCTTCGCCACAACCCGCAACCCCCACACAATGAGCAAACTGAAACCCCTCCCCAACGTAACCCTCCTGACCCTGGACGTCACAAACCAAGACCAGATCAACGCGGCAGTAGCCGCCGTGCAATCCCACACCGGAGGCACATTAGATATTCTGGTGAACAATGCAGGACGGAATCATTTCATGCCGGTGTTGGATGAGGATTTGGAACAGACAAGGGAGTTGTATGAGATTAATGTTTGGGGTCCGGTGAGAGTGACCAAGGCTTTTGTGCCACTTTTGGTTCGGGGGAGGGGGGCGGTGGTGTTTGTTACGTCCATTGCGGGGTATGTGAATGTGCCGTTTATGGGTGAGTTTTTCTTCTTTTCTTATCTCTGTGCTGGGTGGAGTGGGATTATAGGGATGAATGTGTTGCTCATTGCTGATAGGAACTTACTCTGGTTCTAAACGGGCCTTGGAACTCATGGCTGATTCTCTCCGGCTGGAATTGACTCCCTTCAACGTCAAGGTTCTGTGCATTGTGACTGGGGCGGTTCGTACCATGGGCCAGACGTACTTTGGGGATTTCAAGTTGCCTGAGGATTCGCTGTACAAGCCTATTGAGGCGAAGATTGCGGCCCAGGCGCGTGGGGAGGATGGTGTGGAGCGCATGGATTTGATGGAGTATTCTCGTTCGGTGGTGGCGCAGATTGTGAATGGGGAGACGGGACGGTTTTGGTATGGGAATACGGCGGAGAGGGTTAGGGATGGGATTAGTGCGGTGAGGAATCCGGTTATGGTGAGTTGATCATTTGGTTGGTCGGGTTGACTGTGTTTGTTTGGGTGTTGGGTGATGCTGACTGGTGTTTGCTTAGGATGATGCGCTTATTCGGACGACGGGGTTGGATATGCTCTAGGCATAGGGAGGTGTAGTGGATGATTGGTTGTCTCGGTGACCTGATGTGGCTATTGCAGTGCGTGGCAAGGAGATGACCTACAGGTGTTTCATATAAATGGAAGATGTCTACCATCGATATGCAATCTCCGTGGTATAGCCCAATCCCTTGTGTGATTGGTCTATATAATTACACATCAATCATCTCCTGAGCAATTTGCCATGTTTAGATCAATAGATGGTAACGCACATTCTTGTCTCATATGTTGATGGCACCTACGGAGTATACTTAAGGCGTTGTGCAATCCAATTTTCATGTCTTGTGTTGACATCGTAGGATTGTAGGCAAATACCAGGCTAAAGAGACACAGCACGCGAGAATCCTTTCTTGAACGCTTTCTGGTAACATCCAATGCAGCTCTCCCAAGCGAATGCATGTCCCTTCCCAATCGAATTTTACACCTCGTAGAAGGCTGATGCCCCATTCCACCGGACCCCTCCAATCAATCAGGTGACCGTCATCACGTTCCCGTTTCCTATATAACAATCCGTCTCCCCCGTCATCCAGCTACTCACCAACCCAATCTAATCACACTTCAATTCCATAACACCCCTAAGGTCACTAACGACCACCGCACTAGATCCAATTGGATCGATATCCACCATGATGATCTAATTTCATCAGTATCTTCATCAAGTCCCTGGTTCCGGACCCTTATGCGCTGACATATCGGACATGTGCCTTATGGCCTGTGGGCCTTTGTAAGCTGAAGTGATGGTGTGATCTCGACGACCGTATTTCTACCAATATCTTCAAGCTATAGTTTGTGGCGGCAGGCGCTTGCTTGCTTGTTTGTATGGTGGGGTGGTGGTGTCTTGATCATGCTTCGTTCCATGTCCTGGTTCTCGTGACGACGGCTGGCCGGAGATGCTAGATGGTATTAGTATTCGCCGAAGATGCCACTCCTTGTTTCACAGGCTGTGATAGGATGTCCAGGACCTTTGCAAGTGGCGAAGATTGAGACTGGAATTGGACAGATCGCCTTAGCTGTGTCAAGCTCCTCAACATCTTGGTCCCGTGACAAGAAGGCCAAGCAGGTCTTCCCCATGGTCCGTGCTACTGTCGATGGCTGTCTGTTTAACCCTGCTTACGGCCTTCATATTGGATTTGTGAGCTGTGTGTCGCCCTGGGCATCTGACAGTTCCAACGTGGCTCCTATCATCGTGGTGGGGAAGGGGAAATTCACCCGACACGAAGGCCAAGTCTAGCTTCAGACTAGCCAAGCCTCTGGGCAGGCCTAGATCCGTGGTTATCCAAACTCAACTTTCTTTCCTTGCTCGGCACGGCCTGTCGTCCTCTCAGAATTCACGGTTCCTGGGGCCTACTTGCAAACTCTTACCAGAACAGCCCCTCCCGGAAGCTGTATTTATGACCGACTATTCTTGCCATTGGCATGATGTGATCCTTATCATATTCACCCATATGTGGGTGGCTCATGGGGAGGTTTGTCAATACCAAGTCCTGTGGGTCTGTGGGTTCTGTCGCCGAGACTCCCTTCACTTCAGCCAAGCTCACTCGCTGTGAAACTGTGCTTGTGTTCTCCATCGTGTATCTGCTTCGGCTTTGTGTCCACCATTTCGGTGTCTCACGTTGTGGCTGTGTTCAGCTGGTTACTGTTGAACTGACTTACTCTGCTCGCAATGCGTACAACAAATGCAATCATGACATCACTCAAAGAGACGAGTCCGACTGCTGAAAAGGATGTCACTAGACACGATGATATGATGAACAACGCTGAGCAGGGCCTTGTAGCCACGGATCAGTACGGCAGGGCACTCGTGGAGATTGATAAAAAAGCCGAGTCTCGGTTGCGTAGGAAGATCAACCTCTATGTTCTTCCACCGGTGGCTTTGATGTACCTATTTTGTTTCATCGACCGTGCTAACATCGGTATGTCTTTATTTCACGGTGAGTTCATCACTGACCATCAACGAAGGAAATGCCAAGCTCGCGGGATTGGAGAAAGATTTAGGTCTCCACGGATACGACTACAATGCGATCTTATCCGTATTCTACATTTCGTATATTATCTTCGAAATCCCATCAACCATCGCCTGCAAAGTCATCGGTCCGGGCTGGTTTCTTCCGGCAACTACGGTCCTCTTTGGAGTATGCTCTCTCTGCACCGCGCTCGTCAATGATATCCACGCCGCGTCGGGAGTCCGCTTTCTTCTGGGAATCTTCGAGGCAGGCATGTTGCCCGGCATTGCATACTACCTGTCCAGATGGTATCGACGGAGAGAGCTTGCCTTCTATCTATCAATCTATGTCGCAACGGCCCCTCTCGCCGGCGCCTTCGGTGGGCTGCTCGCATCCGCCATTCTCACCCTTGACCACTTTGGCACCTTTCATACCTGGCGAATGATTTTCGCCATCGAAGGCCTAATCACCATCGCCATAGGCCTGATCAGCTTCGTGATCCTAACCGACCGCCCCGAAACGGCCCGCTGGCTCACCCAGGCAGAGAAGGATCTCGCCACAACGCGCCTCAAATCAGAACGGGTCGGCACAACTGAAGTCCTAGACCATCTGGACAAGCCCAAAATGCTCCGCGGCATCCTCTCCCCAGTCACCCTCTGCACGGCCATCATCTTCCTCCTCAACAACATCACCGTCTCCGGCCTCGCCTTCTTCGCCCCTACCATCGTCAAATCCATCTACCCGCACACCACCGTCGTCGCCCAACAACTCCACACCGTGCCCCCATACATCGTCGGCGCCTTCTTCACCATCCTCTTCCCCTATCTCAGTTTCCGCTTCGACCACCGTCTCATCTTCTTCCTCCTCGGCCCTCCCCTGATCGTCACAGGCTACATCATGTTCCTCGCCACAACCTCCTCCCACGTCCGCTACGGAGCCACCTTTTGCATCTCCAGCGCGACCTTCACCTTCGGTGCCCTTTGCAACGCCCACGTCTCCAACAACGTCATCTCCGATACCGCCCGCTCTGCAGCTATCGGCACAAACGTGATGTTTGGAAATATCGGCGGCCTCATCTCCACGTGGTCCTACTTACCGTCTGATGCACCGGACTACCACATTGGAAACGGATTAAACCTGGCGACGTCGGTCATGACAATCCTTCTCGCGGCGGGGATGTGGGCGTGGATGAGATGGGATAATCGGCGGAGAGAGGAAGTCGATGTCGACGCTGCGTTGGGGGGATTGAGTCAGGCGGAGGTGCAGGATTTGGATTGGTTGAATCCGGGGTTTAAGTGGCGCATGTGATGTGATTCCTTGTGCAGGATGAAGTAAAAATGTTGTTTTTTTTCCTTTCTTTGTATTATTCTTAGCTTGGGTTTGCTGATTGGAGAAATTGGGGTTGGTGTTGGATTGGAGATGGTAGAGAGTTGATTCGAAGTGATCATTGGCCGGGTGACGGGCTAACTCCTAAGGCCAAGGCCAATGCGTTGATCAGGATTTACTTCAATCAACCCATATCAGGCATACAATAATAAGCTAGAAATATAGATAATAACATATGATTTTAAGAAAGAATGAATATGAGATGCATTTACCACCAACAATAAGCGATCAAAGGGAATCAGCCCACATATATTTCTCTAAAATAGGCGGAGAAAGGCTTTTAGATATTTACTCTCCCTTGAGTAGAAAAAAATTCGATCATGAATCTTGTAATAGCTACTACCTCCTAATTTCCTCATTCGTTCTCTTTCCTTTCCGTCCTTTTATCATGTATTCTATTGTATTTTGTTCTATTCTTGTTTTACAGTTTGTTGTTTTCTGTTTCCTGTGTTGTCCTCGACTTCTGCATAAGGCTCCCTCCCGTCCTGAACGTGGGTGATGAGCGGAATACCATCCCAGCTTGGGGGCCATTAATATCGCTCTTGGGCGTTTCGTATTCCATTATACACTTCTGATTCTCATTGCCTATCACAGTGGATTTCGATATATCTATATATGTAGATTCTTTTCAATACTGCGATGATGGTATGATCATTTGCCAGGTATGAGATAGCGCAGGCGTTGCGGTCATTTGATATTGACGTTGATACCCCACTGTCTTCTATCTGATACTATTTCATGTTTGACAACTCCTGTTTTGTTATATACTGTGTGATAAGCGTATGGCGTTGTACTAGACATTAACTCTAAATCACTTTTACTATGTCTTCTCTTTTCTCATAGATTCTTTGCGGCTTGTATACCAGCTGTACTCTTTCAAAAGAGAGGGGGAAGGAAGGGGAAGAGGTTATATATCCTTCCTTGCAAACCGACTATGTTTCTTTCGTAGGGTTTCGCCGTACTGTTACTATGGTTAGCATTCCCATTTCTCTCATCGCAAACATTGCCAACGAACAACAAAACAACAAAACAAAAAAACAGCTGAATAAATGAAGCGAGAAGGGAGGGTACCTTCATCAACACCATCGGAATGGGAATAAACACAATCGCCAAGAATGCTAACGTGGAGCTCGCCCACGCGACTCCCAGGTTCTTATACATCGCCGTGGCGAACAGCGGAAACCCCGCACCAAAGGCACTCCGGAAGAGATCATTTCCTGCCAACACGGACGCCGCGTAGACGGGATACGCATCGGAGAGGTAATTCAATACCGGGTTGAAGAGGAGAAACGCTCCCACAGCAAAGAACCCACTCCCGATGATGGGCATGATCCAATGCACGGACGCACGCGCACTCCATCCGAACCAGAAGAGACAGATAGGGATAAAGAACCCCCCAACGATGGCAGGGGGAAGACGGGCTTCCGGAGGCAGGTTTCCGGTTTTAGGGTCGAATTTAGGCTCCAGGTAGCGGTACATCCACCAATAATACGGGGGAATGGTGAGGAGGGCGCCGCTGAGGATGCCGATGTAGGCGAGGCCTTGTTGGCCGAGGTTGAAGTTGTAGATGCCTTCGAAGACAATGGCGAAGGATTCGAACCAGACGTAGAGGAGGCCGTAGATGAGGGCGATGTAGAGGTTGAGGAGGAAGACCATGGGTTCGAGGAAGTTGAGCGTGAAGGGTCGGACGAGGGTCATCATGGCGAGTTCGCGCGCGGTCATGCCTTCGGCGGCGATTTCGGGCTCCGAGCGGAGGTTGGATCGTTGAGTGAGGCGGCGGAGGCGGCGCGCGCGGCGGTAGAGAATGTTGGTGGAGGATGTTTCGGGGAGGAAAATGATCAGCGCGACGAGTGTGAAGCCCGAGAGCCACATCAGTTCCCAGATGGTCCAGGTCCAGCCTTTGGCTTGCGCGGCGAACCCGCCCACGAGGGGACCGACAACGGGTCCGCATACTGCGCTGATGCCCCAGATGCCGATGCCATAGGCGCGTTTGGACGGTCGGAACATGTCGGCAATGCTGGCGCCGCCCTATTTAGCATTAGTGGTGATGGAGAGAGTAAGTATGAATGGCAGGAGGGGGGGGGGGGGGTACCGTGGCTAGGGCGGGAGAGCCGAAAAAGCCCGTCAAGAAGCGAAAGGCTAGCAGGGTTCCCAGGTTGCCGGCCAGTGCAACAGGCACTTGGAGCGCGACAAAGACGATTAGAGTTGCAATGTAGATGGGATTGCGCCCGATCTGAGGTACCTCGCTCATAGGCGACCAGAGCAGCGGCCCCAGCCCGTAGCCAGCCACAAAGAGGGTCAGGCCCAGGGTGGCGGCAACCTGGCTGATTTGGAATTGCTCCATGACCGACATGACACCAGCACTAAAGATGGCGCTACCGATGTACACGCTAAAGGTGAGGAGGCAGATCTCAAAGGTCACCACGACTTTCTTCCACAGCGGCCAGTTTTGGGGATTCTACAACATCAGCATGCTCTGAGCATTGGGTGCCAGACATACCTCTGGATCATTCTCGTCATACCAGTCGATGACCACCGTGTCTCTGCCCTTCTCCGGATCGATGTTGACTCCAGTCATGCCTTGATAGCGCCGGCCGTGGTCGGACCACGTGGACGAGGGGACCCTAGTCATCGACCCGGAGTCGGCGCGATCGGGCTCAGAGACATCCTCCGAGACGTTGTCGGTCTCTAGATGGCCGGTATAAGCCATGCGACCGGACTTGTCGAGATTGACGTACCGCTGCCATAGTGAGGGGTCCTTTTCTTCCGGATACTGGAACCAGCGACCGCCGGAGACGAGGCGGATGAGATTGCCGAGGATGGAGTCGTGCACGAGGCTAGACATTCTATCTGCTATGTCTATGTCTATGGTGGGAGATCTGACCTCTGGGATGTTTATAGGTAGATGGTTCCTAGATTAATGACCTGAATGAATGATGATGTAGCCATGAACACATCGCCACCCGAGTCATTGGCTTTGGTCAGCTCGGTGACACCAGACTTAATGTCCGGCTTCTGCATGAAACCGGCTTGCTTCTAGGTTTCGGTTTCATTTCCAGTCCCTGATAGTGCAGAGCCTTGCATGGTCTCGACTGGTATCTCCCGAGTGTTAGGGTTCAGACCCGGGCGTCAGTGTCCATGCCAACCGAGGCTGCTTTATGCACCCCAGACCGATGGACGCCGATCCCCTGCGCGACGTCATGGTGGGCCATCCGCGATCGGATTTGACCGATGCTGACAGCCAACAGCAGCAGTGGCTCTGATTAGTGTTGATTAGTCTGCTTCGCTTCTCCTCCGCCCCGCGTGACCCCAAGGTCTTCCCGCGTGGCTTGTCATGGACGCGTCCAAGCAGCTCTTCTCCCGAGCGTCCAGCTGAGATTCTCGGGGGGGTCCCCGGCTGCCAAGCCTGCCCCTCTCGCCGCGGTGAAATTAATGATGCCTTCCATTGGACTCGCGCGGACGTTGTCCGAGCCTCCTGAGGGCGCACCGCAGGTCAGTCCACCGCAGGGCAGGGTTAAAGGGTCGCACGGAGAGGCTCGATCCCCGGATTTGAACCCCAACAACAAAAAGCCCTCCACACTTCATTTCCACTGGTGTGCGGGGTCTGGGTCTTGGCCGCCAAGCTGCTCGCTGTCAAGCGTGCTAAGCTCGTCGATATCTCGGCTCCAACGTGGGATGCCATCGTGGATTTTCTCCCCTACCCATTGGCCTGTTCATTCCGACAGAGTTTCCCATGTTGATTCCCCGCATGATCGCGAGCGTCGTACGGAAGATACCCCCCAGGCGACAGGTCCTACTCTCGGCTACCGACGTCGACCCTGGTCATGGACGGTCACGTTTTGGGCACTATAAGGAGCCCCCCTCCCTTGCAGCGCCCGCCACCGGCCACTATCCAGCTGGCTTTCAAACATGGCGGGCTCCAAGAAACCAGTCAACATTTTTCGCTTGAACAATCTGAGTGATCCCAAGGAGGTCTTTAACTGGAAGCTATGGTTTGCGGTTCTGTCCTTTGGCCTCATGGGTGCTGCCCGGGGGGTGGATGAGGGCTTGATCTCAGGGGCCTTTAACTCCAAAGACTTTCAACGGACGATTCATCTGGACTCATACAGTGAGGTCGAGCAGACCAACATCAAGGCCAACGTGTCCGCCATGGTGCAGATTGGCTCCGTGGGTGGCGCTTTGTTGTATGTACCTCTCCCGTTTGATCGCCTCGCTAATGGTGTAGTGCATTCCTCGTGTGCGACCGCATCGGCCGGCTGTGGGCGACCCGCCAGCTCTGCCTCCTTTGGATTCTGGGCATCGGCATCTTCATGGGCGTGGGTTCCAACGGTAGCCTAGGGGCTGTCTATGCCGGTCGGTTCGTCGCCGGGTTGGGCGTAGGCCAGACCGTGGTCGTGGGGCCTGTTTATCTGGCAGAAATTGTGAGTTGCATCTCCCATCCCAATGCTCTGGCTAATACCTGTAGGCGCCTGCGTCCGTCCGGGGTCTGTGCACATGCGTCTTCACTGGGTTTGTCTACCTGGGGATTGTGCTCGCGTACTTCACCAACTATGGCTGCCAGGTGAATATGGGCGAACACACTCACAAGCGATGGGTAAGTGCCCTAGTACAGATGATGTTATTGACCCTCACTGACCCGTCACAGGAGGTTCCTACCAGTCTGCACATCATGTTCGCCGGTCTTATCTTCCTCCTCTCCTTCCTACAGTACGAGTCCCCGCGCTTCCTCGTCAAGAAGGGCCGACCGGAAGAAGCCTTGATGAACCTCTCGCGTCTTCGCAACCTGCCGGAAGATCATGAAAATGTCATGCAGGAGTTCAGTGGCATTCAGACTGCACATCAGGCTGAGATGGAGGCCACCCTGGGGGCGGGCTGGCTGGGGATCATCAAGGAGGCATTCCTGGTGCCGAGCAATCTGTACCGGCTGTACCTGGCAGCCATGGCTCAACTGCTGTCCCAGTGGTCGGGCGCGGGGTCTATTACCCTGTATGCGCCAGACCTGTTCAAGCTGCTGGGCATCACTGGCTCGAACGAGTCGCTCCTGGTGACGGCCGTCTTTGGGCTGGTCAAGCTCGCTGCGGCAGTGATCTGTGCCCTGTTCCTGGTCGATGTGATCGGTCGCAAGCGCGCCCTCTTGCTCGGGATTACCCTTCAGGCCATCTCGATGATCTACGTCGCCAGCTTTCTCACCGCCGTGCCGGAGATGGGCATCGACGATGACTTTCAGCTGCCTGACTCCAAGCGAGGCAGCAGTCGGGGCGCCATCGCGATGATATACATCTCCGGGGTGGGATGGGCGCTAGGCTGGAACTCGATGCAGTATCTGCTGACGGCAGAACTGTTCCCGCTACGCATCCGAGCGCTGGCCACGTCCGCGGCCATGACGCTGCACTTTGTGAACCAGTACGGGAACTCCCGAGCAGTACCGAACATGCTGCTCGGCACCAGCGATGGCGGCATCACGCCCAAGGGGACCTTCTGGTTCTTCTCCGCGGTGACCGTGCTGGGAGGACTGTGGGTATGGTTTAGTGTTCCCGAAACCGCCGGACGCAGTCTAGAGAGCATGGATCGGTTGTTTGCGCTGCCATGGTACCAGATCGGGCGGTATGGCAACCGAGATGCGGAGCAGCGTGACCAGCAGGTGGAGGACAAGCAGCAGGTGGTGGAGGATGCTTTTGGCGGAGCGGAGCATCGCGAGCGGGTGGAACGGGTGTGACTAGGGTTAGCACGATGTCAGCAACGAGAGGATTAACTAGATGATTCACCATGGCTCCTGTAAGTGGCAGCTAGCGAGAACACGATCTGACACACGGTGCAGAGAGGAAGAAGCAATGAAAGCAATGGTGGGACAGAGACTCGTCGTAAATCAGTCCAAAGTACTGCCTGTGTAGACCGAGCTCGGCTCCGCCCGTTGATTGGCCGTGGGGCGGGCAGCTCCGGGTCAGATGACATGACGGCGGGCGCGGGCGCACCCAATCACCGCCCCCCTCACTATGGCCCTCCTTCTCCTCTCCTCCTTACTGTCGGTCTGTCTGCTGCTCTTCTCCTCATTCCCCTTTCTTCATCTACCATCTTCTGTTCTCGTAGTCCTCCATCTTCTTCCCCTGTGTCGATCAATTCTCGGTGTGACTCACCAGCGGCCCGAAAGGACAGCTCACCATGACCACCCGCTATCGCGTTGAATGTGAGACCCCTTCCTAGTATGGACTGGCAGCTACTGACCATCCAGATGCTCTCAAGGTATGCAGTCAATTTTTGTCCTCGGTTCATGCTGACTCCGTCAGTCTCACCGTCGAGACCAACTGGTACGTGTTCATGTGCCCGATGAAGGTTGCCTTAATCACTAACCGCACCAGATTGAATGGATCAAAGTATGTCCTTAGCCAATCGGCTCATCCATCCTCGCTGACCATCAGGGTCTGTTGGCGGTTCCATTCGTACTGCACTCGCAGCCCACCGCCGTCTACCAGGAACACAGCGAGAACCTGATCGCTGTGGCGGCCGACACCCACCAGCGCTATGCGGAGATCTTCCGCGACGTCGAGATGCTCATTCGCGACCACAGTAATTCCCCCGCCCTCTTCGATGATCGATCTAATACTTTTAGTTTCCCACGAACAAAAAGCTGCCCCCGGTAACTCCAAGCTCAAGCTGTTAGTCCCTAGTGTGGGCACGTTCTTCACCCCCTTGTTTCTGGTTGATGCCTTCCGGTACCAGGACCGCCAGCGGTTCATCAGTCGGCGCCGCTTTGTGGCCCCCTCGTTCAACGATGTCCGGCTGATCCTCAACTCGGCCCAGCTGCTCGGCCTGGCCCGCTCCACCGGTGTCGAGCTCGTCACCTTTGATGGTGATGTCACGCTGTACGACGACGGGGCGTGTCTCACGCCTGACAACCCGGTCATCTCGCGCATGATTCGCCTGCTGCTGCAGGGGCGCAAGATCGGCATCGTCACGGCAGCTGGCTACACAGAGGCCGAAAAGTACTACGAGCGCCTCAAGGGGCTGCTGGACGCGATGCACGACTCGGCGGCGCTGACAGACGAGCAGCGGGCGGGATTGGTGGTGATGGGCGGCGAGAGCAACTTTTTGTTCCGTTATGATTCCACGTCGCCGCACCGGCTGACGTATGTGCCGCGCGAGGAGTGGATGCTGGAGGAGATGTCCACATGGAAGGATGGAGACATCACTGAGCTGCTAGATATCGCAGAGTCGTCGCTGCGGGCGTGCGCGACGAATCTGAACCTGCCGGTGGCGGTGCTGCGCAAGGACCGGGCGGTGGGCGTGTATCCGCTGGAGCGGAGCAAGATCAGCCGGGAGCAGCTGGAGGAGACGGTACTGGTGGTACAGAACACGGTGGAGCGGTCGGCGGTGGGAGCACGGCTGCCATTCTGTGCTTTTAACGGTGTGTATATATCCCTTTAGAGTTGGGAAGTATGCTAATGAGTAGGTGGCAACGATGTGTTTGTGGACATTGGCGACAAGTCGTGGGGTGTGCGGGCTTGCCAGCGGTACTTTGGGGGGATTGAGCGGGAGCGCACTCTGCATGTAGGCGACCAGTTCCTGTCCGCAGGAGCCAACGATTTCAAGGTGAGATACTTTTATACCTCTCTGGAATTTATCGGCTGACGACCCAGGCGCGACTGGCGTCCACGACGGCGTGGATCGCGAGCCCGGCGGAGACGGTGCAGCTGCTGGACGAGCTGCAGGGGCTGTAAGGGGAACTGTTACATATCTCTAATTCAATCTTATTCTGCACGCCCTGTAACCTTCGTGATCCCGTACCTCCGAATGCCGTGTGGTGTGCAATTGTGCAGTTGTGCAGCTTATCAAGCAGCGGGAATGTCTGACAAACCGGGCCGGCCTGCCCATCATTATTATTAGGCTGGCCTTAAATCTCGCCCCTGGCCATAAATAATCCTGCCGACACCTTATCTCACTAGTCTGTTTACCCCAATACTCTAAAAACACCTAAATCTACAGCATATCACCATGACCGACCGAACGACCATCGCCATCATCGGCGCCTCCTTCACGGGCATCCCCATCGCCCACGCCCTCCTCGCCCACTTCCACAAGCCCTCCACGCCACAAAACATCAAGCTCATCCTCATCAACCCATCTCCCCACTTCTACTGGGCCATCGCCGCTCCCCGCATCCTCACCAAACCCAATGCCTTTCCCGAATCACAATACCTCGTCCCCATCGCCGACGGCTTCTCCGCCTACTCCTCCGACGAATTCGAATTCCTCCTCGGAAAAGCCACTGCCGTCGACTTTGCCTCTAAAACCGTGACCGTCGAATCCACCACCACCACCACCACCACCCAGGACATCAAATACAACTACCTCGTCATCGCCTCCGGCAGCTCCACCCCCGCTACCCTCGGCCTCACCTCAAACCCCAATCCCAATCCCTCCCCCTCCTCCTCCACCTCTCTACAGAATAAAATCTACCCCTTCAAACCCCCCCTCACCCCCCACCTAACCATCCAATCCGCCCTCCAAACCGCCCAAGAAACCATCGCCCACGCATCCACCATCGTCATCGCCGGCGCCGGACCCATCGGCATCGAAACCGCCGGCGAACTAGGCGACCTACTCACCAAAAGCCCCTCCCGGAATCTATCCGTGACGTTGGTCTCCGCAACAGATCGTCTCCTTCCGGCCTTGAAACCGGCCGCCGGTGCAGCCGCGGAATCACTACTCGTTTCTCTGGGGGTCAAGATCATTAAGGGACGGAAGGTCGTGTCTGTTACCTCTACCTCTACCCCAAGCACCCCGAACTCCAATATCAAATCCCCCACCACAACAATAACCCTAGACAACGGAGATACCCTCGAAACCAACATCTACATCCCCACGACCGGCGTCCTTCCTAACTCATCTTACCTGCCACCATCCATTCTCAATGAAAGAGGTTGGATAACTGTATCCCCCGAATTACAAGTCCTCGGTCTGGAGGGCCAAGGCGTCTACGCGGCGGGGGATATCACACACCATACACAGAAACTTTACATGAAGGTTACGGAGATGGTTCCCGTCGTGGTGGGCAATTTGATTGATGATATTTCTACCTCTGCCTCTACATCCTCCACTCATGGTGGTGGTGGTGGTGGTGGTGGTGGTAGGGGGAATGGATACTGCGGGGCTACGAAACGGAAGACGTATACGGAGGGGCCAGATGTGAGTATGATGGTTGTGCCTGTGGGAGAGACAGGGGGGACGGGCCAGATGTTTGGATGGGTGCCGTGGAGTTTTTTGGTCAGGGTCGCTAAGGGGAGGGATTTTTTTATTGGGAAGGCGAGGGGGGTGGTTTTTCCTTAGTTTCGTTCCTTGGTTGTTTGGTTGTTTGGTTGTTTGGTTGTTTGTGGGTTGTGGGGTGGTTGTTTCTTTAATACTATAATCGTGGAGGGTGGGTGTTGATGTAGGGGAGATATTTGGATAATCATGGTAGACGATACTTCATAGACTGGTATTATTGCAGCATTCGTGGTATTCCAGCGGTCATTAGAGTCTGTTCTACATTGCATGATCTACAGCAGCGTACAGCATCAAGTGCTGGCATCTACAATGTAACAAAATGCATAACTGCATCTAGCATCACCATTAATCATCTATTCATCATGCGACTGGTCAGCTCCTAGCCGCTAAGTACTCTCATAGCACGTCCAGGCAGCATTGGCCGCGCTCGCCCGTCCCGACAGAATGTTGACCGTGTCCTGCAACTCCAGCCAGAACTCCGTCTTCGGCCGACGACGTGCCCAGTCCGTCTCTGTCGCCTCCAGGCCATTGGCACCACCCATCGCCGAGAACAGCACCTGCGAGCCCTTGATGCCAATCACCGACGCCGACAGCTCGTCCGCCGCAATCTCGTCAGGCGACTTGCCCGCGTAGCTCTCCAGGTGCAGCATACACTTGGTCGCCATCCGCAGTGCCCGAATGCGGTCCATCGGCGACGGCTTGCCACCCTGCTGGAAGTGTCCCGGCACCGCCGCACGGCTCTCGAACCGACCCTTGGCCTCCTCCTTGATCATGTCCGCAATCACCTGTGTCGTGTACGTGCTGGACGCGCACTCGTTGCGCAGGATGATCTTACCCGCCCGGTTGGCACCCTTGTCGCGCGCAAAGTTGTCACGCAGGAAGTCAATGTCGCGGGCCAGCATCTTGATATCGATGCCCTCCTCCGGGATGTACACGGCCACCGCGCCGACCGACAGACCGGCCGTGGTCGCAATGTAACCCGACTTGCCACCCTGGGTCTCAATCACAAACACACGGCGACGGGATGACGAGGCCGACTGGCGGATAGCATCACAGAAGTCGATCAGCGTGTTCAGACAGGTGTCGCTACCCAGTGAGTACTCCGTGCCCGGCACGTTGTTGGAGATGGTGGCCGGCAGCACCGTCATCGGGATCTTGAAGGCCGGGTACTTCTCACGCGCCTGGCGGAGCTGACTGACGGCTGTGAACGCTTCAAATCCACCCACCACGAACAAGGCGTCAAACCCGAACTTCTTGAAGCACTTGGCAGTCGTCTCGAGGTCATCACCGGGCAGGCCACGGTTCGTGCCGATATCCGATCCACCCTCGTTGACCCAGCTGTCCGACTCCATCCAGGCGACCTCGCGCACGGAGCAGATAGGAGTGTCGTCATGGTGGCGGCACAAGCCAGGGAAACCGTTGTGAATAGCAAGGGGGGTGTGGCCGCGAGTCAGGCAGTAGGCGACAGCGGCACGGGTAGCCTGGTTCATACCACCGGCCGGGGCACCGACGTGGATGATACCGATACGCATTCTCTGCACACAATCAGCTAGGTTCTATGACTTTCACAAGCAACCCACCTTGTTCTCAGGAAGCAATAGCTTGGGGTGATCGGGAGTGGAGGTGTTGATGTAGGAATAGTGGTATTCTTTGAATTCCGAGTCGCGCAGGGCCATCGCTTGGTCGAACTCCTTGGCCTGGATGTGCTTGGTAACGGTCTGGGTGTGCTGCACTGCCTCCATCAAGGGCATGCGCAGGATCTTGTTCTCGCGGATGGTGATCACCGGGGACGGGGAATCGGGCTTCATGTCTAGCACGGCGCGGACCGCTTCCACACCCTGCAGAGTGGACAGCCAGCGATCATAGGCACAAGCCGCACCACCTCTCTGCGTGTGACCCAACACGGTCACACGGGTATCCAGGTTCAACCGCTCCGTCAGAATATCCTTGACCTTTGAGCTCGAAATCTTGTTGAGGTGCCGGTCCTGTGCTCCCTCGGCCACGATGACGATCGTCCTCCGCTTTCCGCGCTCTTTTCTGTTCTGCAAACAGTTAGCCTACATCTGTGTTAGACATGGCTCTGACGTACCTTGGTAATAATAGCACACATGTCATCCTCCCATCCGTCCTTAGGGGGCATCTCAGGAACAAACAGCCAGTCAGCACCGGTGCTGATAGCCGCCATCAAGGCGAGCCAACCGCAGTGGCGTCCCATGACCTCGATAACGAAACCACGCTGGTGAGAAAAGGCCGTGTCGAAGACGTCGTCGACGGCGTCACAGATGCGAGTCAAAGAGGAGTAGCAGCCGATGGTGGCGTCGGTGCCGGACATGTCGTTGTCAATCGAACCCACCAATCCGACGATATTCAAAATCTGGTATGGCTTGACCTGCTCCTCGGTCAACTCACCCTTCTGGACCAACTCCTTCAACAGACCGGGCCACTCGGAGCGGAAGACATCAGCACCAGTCAAACTGCCGTCACCACCACACACGACCAAGGCATCAATACCGCGGAGGATCATGTTCTTTGCGGCCTGCAGACGACCGGGACGCTCGCGGAAGGTCATGCAGCGGGCAGAACCGATGAGGGTACCACCGCGAGACAACCAGCCGCGGACATCCTCCCAGTGTAGCTGACGGATCATGTCACCGCCATTGACAAGACCTTCATAACCTTCAAAGACAGCAAAAGCCTCACAGTCGGAGTGGATGGCCATGCGGACGACGGCCCGGACGGCGCCGTTCATACCGGGAGCATCGCCACCCGAGGTCAAGACACCGATGCGGCGCCTCTTGGGAGGTTGCACGGGAGCTTGGGGGGGAGCCATCGTGCGAGGTTCAGCAATTGATCGAGAGAGCAATAGCTGAACAGACGTAAGATGGAGATGAGACGGAGAGAAGAGGAGCTGCGGAGGGAGCCAGAGATAACTTGTGTGAGGGTGGGGGAGGTGCCGGTGAGAAAAAGCGGGTGTGGGCAGCAGTACGTCACAGACTCGCCGGCCGTCACTGCCCCGCTAATATACCTCGTCGTGCTCGGCAGATGCAGTGAAGAACACTCGAACAGCCCACTCTCGTGGGGAATGGCCTAGATTCCCTCCGACTGCCGATCGGCCGTGTGACTGCAGTTGCTGCAATGGGGAGATTGGGTGGTGTGAATGTTGGGCTGCTTCCGCTGCATTTCCTCGAGAGTGACTCGTTCTGGTCGCCGACCGCCAGCGGCTGATGTCACCGCCAGCTCCTCATTGGGCTAGTGCGGGACACGTCACGTGAAAGAGTGGGTTAGGGCCCGTGCTGCACGTGATAGCCGTCCAGTCCCAAAGAGGCAGCCACGCGCCTAATCCCCCGGCGCTGATTGCTCCGCCAGCGATAGTAGTAACACCAGCGGGAGGCTTCTCCGTAGAAACACCAACCTTATCAGCAAGGTGGCATGATATTACTCCGTACACTGGAGAGGAAACCAACATAGGCGGCCTCGTCAAACAATCGCCCTTTTCAAATCATCTGTCGGGTGATGTTGATATGCTTGGGCTCACTCTTGATCCCCGGTCCACTCCTACTATATAGTACCCGGTTTGGCGGTGGAGACATGACAACATCGCTCACTCTCCATACAAGCATGCTGGCTCCGGTGCTCATTACACAACTCCAAGCAAGACACTGGACTTTCAAAGGGCACAACATTCAATAGGCTGAGTGGTCCGTCACCACATCACATCGATTGCTTGGTGTAACACGGTGATACCTTCTGTAACGACCCAGCAGTGGCGCGGTACAGAGCAGCCTGAAGCCTCGTCACTCCTCTCCCTAGCAAGAGAACCGTCAGGTCCTGGCAACCATCACGAGATCCATGAACCACCACTACTCTGACACGATACCCCTGACCAGGAGATCCAATTCAGCAAACCAACCAGCATCCCAATCAATACCATCAGCGACTGCTACAACTTATGATCCTCATTCAGATAATTCAGACTGAAGCACGCTGAGTAAGGTACACCTCTCCTTTTCAATCACAGATTACTTATCCAATTCCAGGTATCATTACTAGTGTTCTTCTGTCCTAGTTTGAGCATACTACGCCTTGCGGTGTCTTCCGCGGTGTCTTCCACGTTGGCCCACACGCTATTATATACCTCATCTAGGAAGCATTCTTCAACGAGCAGCCCGGCTAGCTCAATCGGTAGAGCGTGAGACTCTTAATCTCAAGGCTGCGGGTTCGAGCCCCGCGTTGGGCTTATCTTTTTGCTTTTTATCGAATCGTTGTGTGGAATGTGCTGCGAATTCAAAAATTTTTTGGTTCGGAGATTTGGGTGACTCCACTGGCTCCACCCTTGCCTTGTCGAGTAGAATTTCACTTTCACCAAACAATGAAAATGCAAGTGCAGGTAGGTCATTTTAAGTATTCACCATAGACTTCAATAGAATAAATAATAAGTGGAATATGCCTCCGGTTGATGGTTCTAGATGCCAATTAATATGTCATGCTTTTCCCTGGACCTCTTTTTCTTTCCGTTACGGATGCTTCGTATCCGCAGAAAATATATATATTTGAAGTCACCATCAACGTCCTCATCTAGCCCGTTCATCCAGATTAGAAATAGTAGCCTAGTACTCTCCCCATCCAACAGTAAACATGCTCTCGAGAGTTCAAATTCCTTTTGTTATCGTAGGTAAAGCAGGTGGCGTGGTACACTACCACCCCTGCCCACGCCAAACCTTGTACTACCCCCCAAGTCAGCAAATACGATCATCACGAGATGTATCCGCATCACTTGCTACCCCTGACAGGATGTCCCGGTTAGCAGATCCATGTCCGTCTTTGTTTAGGATTTGCCATCTAGGGTGTCATAGGAAGAGCACAGATTAAGCCTTTGAGATGGGAGGAGACTCCTGGTCTCCTTTTTACTTTGCTGGATTTACGGTATATTATAGGTCATTTCACTGGAATAATCCACATGCGAATATTGTAAAATTATTTGTGATTATTTTGTGGATAGCCACGCTGCTGCACTAACAGTGTTCAAACTCCTGCAAATCACCGTTTTGTAAAAGTAATTCGAACAGCAACGTCTGATTGCTTATCCCACAATAGTATGATGATAACGCTGATATCCATATACATAGCGAAAGTCAATCAAAATCATAATACTGAGTTTCCTCCCGAGCCAACTCATAGATATTTCCACCCCGAGGTTCGAATTTCTCCCCCTGAGAGAGCTTCGATGCCAGATACATCCAGCTGACTGCGTTTCCGACCGTTGTAGTCTCATCTGGAAGCTTGGCATTCTTATTAAACACCTTCCTGGATGAAGGATTGGGCTTAAGCTGATGTGGTTCATCGCCACTGAAAAGACGAACCAACTGCTCTGCTATAGCATCCGTGTCCGCTTGGTTGACCAAAATGGCATTCTCGTGTTCACGGATGAAAGGGAAGAGTTGTGCTTCTCGGATTGAAATCACCAGTGTTTCCTTCTGAATTGCTCCGAGTAGCAATTCAGGGACGCCGTGCAGGATGGAGAGTTGCACAAGGGCCATTGCGTTGGTGAGGAGGGCGTTCCACATCTGGTCCAAGGCGCCGATTGGGATGATGCAGACGGATGAGGCTAAGCTCTCGATGTTGTCGAGCTGCGACATAACGGTGTCGTAGAGCATGGAGCTTTCGGGGCTTCGGAATGGGCCGTGGTGGCAGATGAGTAGCTTAGGGAAAGCCTGTCCGGGATATTTCTTGATATATATGTCGCGGAATTTTCCATATGACTCAAGAAGACAGAGGGTGCCATCGCCGGGGCGGAACTGTGATAGATGGAGGATGTATTGCTCTTCAGACAGGTGTTACTGAGCGAACACGGTTGATGGAAAGTGGGTGCTGACCTTCAGGATATCGTATGATAGACATCTGCAGGGTTCGGCACAGGGAGCTGAACTCTCGGCCATAGAATACCATGTCCCAGTTTGTCAATGGTTTATTCTGACCGTCGAGCCTGGACCAATTAACAAGTGTCCAGTTAGCCTATGGACTAACGTACTGGTCAACAGAAAATGGCATGTAGCCAACATGATCTTCTGGCATTATGCGTGGTGCAAGTTCCTTGGGAAGAAGAGACACCACCAAATCCACATGCGTCAGCCTAGTTTTGATAAACTCCCATGCCCGAGATTGTGGGCTATGAGGATCCCCAAGCGAGTCGCCTTGAGGCTGGAGGCTGCTCTCAAAAATGACAGGCCTCTCGGGGTCTTGCTGCTTTGAAAGAAGAGCCAACGTCAACAGAGGTGCACTGTCAATGATTACCACATCGACGCCACCTTCTGCACGCGGCCGGAGAGGCCCATTCTCGCACAACCAATATCTTCGGGCATTTGAATACGCAAAGTCGAGAATCAGTAGCTCGTCGTTGATCGTGATATCTGGAAGGGTATCGCCCAGTCCTTCAAGGGTGTCCTGCATCTTTCGGATAAGAGGAATCATCCCGGGCCGTGGCTTTGGTACGAACCTGAATAGATTAATATAATTTAGCTACACTCAGCATAGTCATAGCGAAGAATAACCTACCATTTGATGTAAATCCCAAGGCTCTGGGAAAACCTTGCGAGTGCATGTCGTGTAGGAACATCAGGCTTGCCTTGGCATGTCATACTGAAGAAAGCAATCTTCACATCCCTCTGCCTTAGGTCCTGGGCATAGTTTTGAGCCAAAGACCATGTAGTAGGGTCGACGGTGTTCTCGTAATCGTCCTTATTAGCGAGGTGCACATGGTAACTTCTGTCAACGTCTACCGAGCCATCGAGGTTTATATGATTGTGCAGTACATGCCCGATGCCAAAAGACCTGCACACGTTATCAAAGCTCACATATACTCCGAGACACCTACCGTATGCACTTTCGCACCATGGAATCCGCCCGCTCGTCAAGCTCCTTCTTATGCCATCCGGAAAAGGTAGCCAACTCGCCCTGGTCGTCGTATTGTCGTTCGCGGTCTTTATGGTCTAGGACCAAGGGCACAATGTCTAATTCGCCCCAGAGTCGCGAGCAGAGGGATGGACACTTGTCCGCGAGAGACTCATGCAATGCAGCGCTGATTATCTTCTCCCCATGCTTATCCCTGTACTCCCTCAGCTCCGAGATTATCTCGCTGGTGGCGTGGTCTGGCGCATCGGGGCGAGGGGCATGCAAAGTACAGACGAGCAAGTCGACCAGGTCTGTAGAATTCCGAATGGCAATCGCAACTCTTCCGCCTGAGGCATCGCTTACAAGCTCCGTTATCCCTGCGTATATGATCTAAACCACAGCATTAGTACTAACAAAGTATACACTGGGACCAAAGCATGATCTCACATTTAATGGTCGCCCAGCCCAGGCGTCCGCGGTGAAGGAAGGACTGACCGATGCCATTTGCTTTGTGTTGGAATTAAGCACTTGCTTTATCGGAAGAAAGCACTACCTAGATAAGATACAGTGTCTACCCTGCAGGTCTTCCCGTGCTACTGATACTTGTGTTGCCCCGCCAGTTGAGGGGGTGTCGTTCCCGAACGCCGGGCCGGGGCCGGGGAAGGTTCGGGGGTCCCAGACACAAAGACACCCCCTCTTTATCTTGACGCAGATATGACATCCATTGAGAAATCGTAAATCGTCCATCGTATGACATGAAGCGTTTCAGCCAATCTCGTCCCTGTATGTCGCTTGCATCACGACGGCGATATTTCGGAGAACTCGGAGCATCGATGCTGATCCGGCCGAGCTTTGATTTGAATCGGGAGTTCAACATCTTCGTATCGGAGGGGATATCTGCAAACTGCTTTCAGTGGATTGTTAGCGAAGGATATCTCGCTTTGACATCGCGGCGACACCAACCAAGCCAGCTAGGATGCCGATGTCATCGCTGTTCGGCAAACTTGAAGTGAAGTTATCCTCAGGAACTGAGTTGGCAGGGGAGACGAGTTGTCGCTCGCTATGATCACCTGATTGGGGCTCTTTCACGGCATTACAGCGGAGCATGGTTGTTTGCAATGCTAAGTGGCTACTGGGATAATGGCTTCACAGCAACTTATGGACCAGTCTTATATTCATCTCATTTCATACAGGCACATTCATTCTACAAGGATCTCGTTTGGGGAACCAGGTCATGCCACTTACGAAACACATTCTGCGGATCATACTTCCTTTTGATCTCCTGGAGCCGGGGCAGATTATCCCCAAACAGACTTTGGGCGCTTATCTCGTGTCCTGTTATGGTTACTACTCGCTAATAACGGTAGAGAAGCAATGTAGAGAGACTTGCCAGCAAAATTCGCATGCGCCGCGACATGCTCGTCAGTACTGCCTTGTTGCGCCTCCTGAATCTTGGATACCATATGTCGCTGAAGAGCATGCATTTTCGCGTCAAGGTCGGGATCATGCCAGCATAATACCCAACCAACGTTGTAATACGGGCCTCGGTTGGCGCATGCGGTCTCCTCAACAGGCACCTGGACAACCTTGGAGTATGGCAGCATCTCAAAGACTAACACGCTATCTTCCATGCGTGGGTATGCTTTCATGGCGTGGTCAAACTGATCCCAAAGCTCTCGTACTAGGCTTGTGTTGAATGGTGGCATGATGTTCGTGCCACCGATACTTTTTCGGCCTTCTGGCACTGGATCGACATTCGCCATGGCATTCAACTCCGAGTAAGACATCATGCCAGCGCGGTTGACCAGAGACGGTTGTGATAAAATAGGTGCAAAGAATGCTGCAGCTTCGGAATGAGTTCCGTTATAAAAGAGCATGGTCAAGACCACGGTCTGGCCGGCTGGTCGCCAAGTCGTGAATCCAAAAAAGAACCCACTGTTCGGATCCTGTTGCTCATCGAACCGATTGGCAAACTCGATAATCGTTGGCAATTTGTCCACATCAAAGTACATCAGCCCCCCGAAAACGGTGGCAGGAACCTTGTGAGCGCGAAACACAAACTCAGTCGCGATGCCAAAGGCTTGCCCTGCGCCACGGATGGCCCAGAATAGATCCCGATTGCTCTCTTCCGACGCCTCGACGATGCTGCCATCGGAGATGACCATCTTAACACTCAGCAGCTGGTCTATGATAAGCCCATGCTGCCCGGTTAGCCATCCATAGCCACCTCCCAAGGTTGACCCGCCTACCCCGATGTGACTGGCGGTGGCACCCACCACAGCAAGCCCGTAGGGAACAGTTGAGTGGTTGACAGCATCCCAGGTAGCGCCACCCTGAACGCACACCGTCTTGGAGGCAGGGTCTGTCAAGACTTTGTGCATACTGGCCATGCTGATCACGACGCCCCCGTGAGACGAGGAAGACCCGGTTGTAGAATGCCCGCCCGCCTCGACCACATAGTCAATGTGGTGTTTTCGGCAGAAGCGGACAACTTCGGATACTTCCGATGTAGTCGTTACCCTGACAATAGCGCCCTGACTGGGTTAGATCTGAACCTATGAATGGAGCAATTCACACACAGCATCCTTCTCGCAAGTGTCACTCCATCGGCGAATGCTCGCCGCATAATCGTCGGACCCGAGACAAACGACCTCTGCCCTGGTTCCTTCCAGCTGTCGTCTCAACTCCAGTACACGGGCAAACGATAGAAACGGCATGACTGCAAATGATACGATACATAGATCTTGGACGATTCGCCATCCTAGTATAAAGAAAACATGGCAGGAAGCTAACCAACCCCACAACGCGACAGCGATGTGAAACACTTTTATCTACGCATCATGAAGGCCATTACCTAACAGAATAGGAGATCCCGGACCATGACATGGAAGCGTCCCCGAGCCGCCACTAGGAAGCGGGGAACCGTAGGTGTGACAGTCGGGATACAACATGAAGGGCGATCTGACTCTGATTGCAGATATCACACGATCGTAGTTCTTCATGCCGCAATTGTGACGTTCCTCGTGTGTGGCTGCTCGCGACCACGGATGGATCCGTCTAGGTCTCCGATTCTCCGGCTTAGAGTTTCTGCCCGTATATCCTCTTTGCACGGGTGCAACCACTACAAGCATTACCAGCCAATCATCTTGAAGTCCACGGGCTCGGCGATAACCATTCTGTGGCCTGTGTTTTGGTTGCTGGCAATCCCTACATCCATCTCGTGATTTACCGTTCATCATGACCGTTCTATGACATCGTGGCTCTTGGAGTTCCAATGTCACGCTGCAGGTGTCAACACCTTTCTCCTCATAAGCCTATTGCTCCCTGATTACTTGTTTGTTTCCATCTGTCTGACACAAGACCTGACTACTGGCCGGAATTACCCAGATGAACCGTCGAGGAAGCTTTACCAAGCGCGATCCAGCGGCCACCCACGCCTGGCTTATCGGCAGTGGAATTGCATCTCTTTCCGCAGCGGTGCATCTGATCCACGATGCCCATGTTCCAGCCGCTAATGTTCACATTCTTGATGTGCACTCACACGCCGGCGGTGCTATCAAAAGCTGCGGCAACGCCGAGGATGGCTACGTCCTGTATACTGGAAGCTTGCCCTACTTCCACGATCGATGTGTAGAGAACCTTTTGTCTCTGGTCCCAGATGCCGAAGACTCGCAGAAATCACTATTGCAATCCATCAAAGAATTTGACAAGGAATCTGTCCCGGAAACCGCAGCCACGACGCGTCTCATGAAGCAAGGGAAAGATGGCCCGGAACTAGCTCACACCAAAAGCATGCAAATTGGTCCTCGATACCGGTTGGAGTTGATCAAGGTGATGCTTGAGAACGAACGGACTCTCGGGGAGAAGAGCATCCAGGAAATCTTCGATGAGGCTTTCTTTAAAACTAACTTCTGGACGCTGTGGTCTACCACGTGAGTTGCATCTTCGTACGATGTTATGCTAGGCTAACGAGGTACAGCTTTGCTCTGCAGCCGTGGCACAGTGCAGTGGAGTTCCGGAGATGCCTCTGTAAGCATCTGGCTGATATCGAACGCCTGAACGATGTCAAAGCTCTGGATCGAACCAAGTATACAATCTACGAGTCTATCATTCTTCCGATTGAGTCATATCTGAGAAGATCTGGGGTCGACTTCCACTTCCATGCAAAGGTTACCAACCTCCAAATGAACGCGAAGGAGGTCCAAACCACAGTCTCGCAGATCTTCCTGGATGACGGCGGGGAACAAAAGGCCATCGAGGTACGACCGGAGGACATAGTCATCGTAACGCTTGGATCAACGAGCTCCGGTTCCCAGAGGGGCTCGAATGATGCCCCTCCAACCCCACCACAGGAGGTTAAAAATGGTGACTGGTCATTGTGGATAGAGTTGGCGGAGAAGTGTTCGGACTTTGGAAACCCATTGAATTTCCACCGGAATATCGAACAAGCAGCCGTGGAGAATTTCACAGTCACCCTCCGCAACTCCGACTTTATGCAGCGTTACGAAACGTTGACCCACGACAAGCCTGGTGCGGGTGCTCTAATTTCATTCGCTGATAGCAACTGGGGTCTCAGTCTCAGCGTTCCCCGTCAGCCCGTGTGTTCTAACCAGCCGCCCGACGTCGACGTATTCTGGGGCTATGGGCTGCATCCGGAAAAGGCTGGCAACTTCATCAGCAAGCCGATGTCTGCATGCTCGGGCAAGGAGATCATGACCGAGGTGCTTGCCCATCTGGGCTTCCCCCCAGAAGATATTCTTGCCAAATCAATCACGATTCCGGTCCTGATGCCCCTAGCCACGGCACCTCTGCTCGCTCGGGCTCATAACCACCGCCCGGAAGTCATTCCATTCCAGAGCAAGAATTTAGCTTTTGTGGGGCAGTACGTTGAAATCCAGGATGATACGACACTGAGTATGGAGTACAGCGTTCGTGGAGCCCAGCTGGCCGTGTGCTCTCTGATGAGGCTTCCGAAGCATCCACCGAAGATTGAACGACACCTTCTATTGAATGTATTCGATTTGCTTGGCGGTGCTTAGTTGCCTGTCCCATGATACAGCGTTGAGTGATTCGTTTACTTTTCACGGGCTATGCACCCCTATTGTTTTTTCTAATCTGGACATACCTTGATGTTTATCATTTCGCACATCCCTCCTACTGCTTAATTCTATGTTGCTACACACCAAAATGATAAGGCCTAGTGATTGTCGAGGGTTGACCTCCAGAGCCTAGCTCATCACAATATGTGTACTCAATCCAGACTGACCAATACCATAAACATTCTCCTGCCAATTCACAAACATAAGACTCCTTCCAACCCACCACCCCTACACCACCCACTCCTCCTCCCACTCCCTCTCCCCCTCCCGACAATGCCCCTCCTTACATCCCTCACACAGTTTCCGATTATGCGGCCCATTCGATTTCCCCCTCCCCATACTATAAACCGGCCTCTCCATCCTCACCCCACCCCACTTCTTAATCCGATACGCCACTCTCTCCGCGTAACTCTCATCCAACTCCGGCCGACTCAGCCAATCACACTCCTTACACCGCTGATGATACACTCGCGCGTTGTACTCGTTGTCTCTGTATTTTCGGATCGTGATGGCGATTTTCATGCTTGACCATCCGGTTGAGCTGCAGGAGGGGTTCGCGCAGGTGAATCGCCCCATGATGTTTGTGTCGTAGGAGCGGGTGCAGGTGTGGGAGTCGTCGAAGGGATGGAAGGTGGGGGGTGGGAGGGTGGAGGGGAGGAGGTCGAGTATGTCGGTGTGGAGGGCTGGGTACATGGACCAGCGCGGGTGGGAGCGGGGTTTGGTTTTGCGGGGGGACATGTTGGGATGGTTTGGGAGGATGTGGGCGGTTTTGAGGGCTCGGTAGGGTTTGGGGCTGCTGGGTGAGTTTTGGGAATCTCTTGATGGTGAGGTAGATATGCAGGAAGGTATGATGATGGTTTTGTAAAATCAGGCTATCGATGGATTCGAGTCATGACGATTCACTAGTGAGTCTACAGAAGCTACAGGATCGTGTATATAGAGAAGAAACTTGACTAGATCACATGCAGATGAAGGAATCGTCGTACAAGAACTAAATACTGAATTGGGAAGTAAAACGCATGCTTGTGCGATTTAGTGCCATGGCTGTTTGATTTAGCGCGTAGGGATTCCGCCTATGGGATATAGACCAGTACCATGGACTGAGCATTGAATAGTATGAGAATTGGTCCGGATTGTAAAATGGTAGTAATTGTATGCTGCAGCCAATGTAGCCAGAAGTTGGGAAGACTGTGTTGAACAGCTCTGTGGTCCTGATCTGGAAAGACGGGTATATAGCCTAGATAGGTTGGAGTCGAAGGGGTATTCCTGCCACACCTTCAGCATTATATCTTCTCATCGCATGGAATCTCATTAACTATCCAGAAAGACAATTAACTCAGAAATAGATATCCTGCATTGTGGTTGGTTATTGATAGTATGTATGGTATATATTACGCTAGTCCCAGAACGGACTTAGAGTATTAAGCTCCAAATCACGTGCTCCTATCAGTCAATCAAGTCCGTCACAGCAATCAACATCCTCTCCACACCTGCAGCTGCCACCACTTCGGCCAGGGACTGCACCATGTCCGACTCCTTCAGTCTCCCCCTGCGGCCGCTCACCGAGAAGCGCGACCATCCCGATACCCTCCCGATCGAGATCGCCCAAATCAACGCCCGGTGGGGATCCTTCCGCGACATCAACGAGGAGACCCTCCGAGCCAAAATCGAAGAGGAAAAGAACCGGGACTCATGGTCGGACGAAGATGAAACGGACAAGCCTGCCGAGGATGTGGACACAACCGAGCAACGGGAACAATTGTACAAGCGACGGGCGGAGATCTTGCAATTCGCCATGTAAGTTTGTCGAATCGAGTCCGTATGCACTGGACTAATTGAACTGCTAAAGGCAGGCGCATATGGAAGCCCTGTTCGCTTTAGATTTTGTCTCCCTCCTCCTATCCAAACATACCCCTCGTCAGGCTGAGACTTCCATGTCCAGTTTTCTGAAACAGGTTGCGCCTCTCGGTTCGCTCAACGCGGAGATTGTCAATCCGCCGCCGAAGTCGGATGCCGCTGTGCAGGATGTCAAGACGGTGTCGCGGGGCTGGAGAGTGCAGAACTTCAATGCTGCCGCGAATAAATTGCTCAATTCTGCGACGCGGTTGGAAGGAGAGGTAGCCTCGGAGACGAAATACTGGGATGAAGTACTCTCGGTCAAGGAAAAGGGTTGGAAGGTTTGCAGGTTACCACGGGAGAGACAGGCGTTGGGGGTACAATACGGGTTCCTAGAAGGTAGGCTGGGCATGATCATTGCTTGAATGCTGCTGACGTATCTAGCTACGCCTATCTTCCGCGATCGAGGTCTGGCTGCGTTACGAAGGGGCGAGAATGGGAGCTTGAGACTGGACAAGGGACTGGCACCACAAAAGACACGAACGGTTCGGGTGCGTGTGAAGCACCGCGGTCAGCTCACGGGATGTTCGAAATTACCAGAGTCGCCGCCTGATACGGTCTCGGTCGAGAGGACGATCCTTCAAGCGCGCGACACCGTCTACGAAGAAGAGCTGTTCCACGAGTTGATGCGCGAAGCACGTATCATGGGCAGCCAGGGAGTTACAACCCGCCAAAACCTGGTTCGACTTCCGATATCCCAAGAACAAGAGATCCTACTGGACTTGGTCGATGCCGATGCGCCTGCAGACGATGCCGAGACGGAGTCTACAGAACATGATGTCCTTGCTGACGGGCTCTCCCACTCAATTAGAATCCTGCTCGCATATGCGCACCGCCAGAATCTGCGGCGCAGGACACAGCCGCCGCCCGCACTCTCCAACAAGCGTCGCCACACCCCGGAGTATCAGCTCTTGCGCCCGGTCATGGCATATCTTCAACACAGTGCACATGTCCGATGGCTGGAGTCGTTCCTCAAAGATATTTATGGGGTTTTGCGAGCGGCAGGACTCCAGTGTGAGTTCCAAGCAGCGCCCTTTTCATCCGTTAGTCTTCCTCGGATGCATCCTGCTGTTCCAAAAGTAGAAGCACTGGTGCAACAGTTCTTGATGCCGTTTGAATCGACCTTCTCCGGCAACCTGGTGACCCCACAGAGCTCTTTCCGAGTGAAGATCCGTACCAATCCCGTTACCCCGCCATTTGGCTCCCTTTATGATATCTCTGTCGATCTGCCTCACCACGCGCATGTCCAGCCTCCAAGTCGGGTTGGACTGCAGAGCGACGCCGCTGCTGCTCTCACCCATGTTTTCAAGTTGGACATTGTTTCGGCCATTGCGGCTCATGGCTCCAAGTCGGCCCCGGAGGGTACCAAAAAAGAAGGCGAGACGGGACTGACTTGGGAGGCAGCATATCCACACCATGGCGAGCTGTTGGCGCTATCGGCTACTGGCCGGAGCAAGAAACTAAAAGTTACGCTGTCACGAGACGAACTGACCGCCGAGACTTATTCCATGCGTGGGATTGACGGGCATGGCCAAGCTGCTGGGACCAAGCCCCCAAGTCACTCTCAGACCTGGAAGTCCGAGCAAACGGACTCTCAGCCAAGTTTGATGGATTTTGTTGCTGAAGTGTCGCGCGAGCAATCATGAATCCGTGGTCAACCGTCCCCTGCATTTAGCGATGGTTAACATTTCAACGACATGCTTGAGTGGCAACGCGGGCTCTGGCGATATTCAATGAGTTAGATAGGCAGATTTTGTAATTGATACCCCAAGCAAGAGTGGCAGTAGCATGTGAACGTCCAAGCACCCAATGAAATCGCCTGTACCGATGTTCATGAGGACCTCGACCGCCTGACGATCGGAGGAGCGGGACGGGTGAAAGGATACCATTCACGTGGTGTGAGCTGTCCATCAACGGTGTCCAGTGACGCAACAACTAGATGGCATTCTGCACTTTAGTCACGAAGCAGTCAGTCACTTCCAAGTGGAGGAGCACTCGCTCTGGTGACCGTGTCAGTGATTCCGACCGGAGTGACCACAATACGGCCTCGGTGCGGCCCCATCTGGCCCCTCCCCGCATTCCGCACAGCAGAAGCAGTCGCCCAAGTCAGAACGAGAATGAGAAAGGATTCAAGTTATTTAATACTCTGACCTCCAGATAAGCTTTGAGTTAGCTCTATGCAACACAATCAAAACTACTCCGTAGTCCGTACATATTTCGAATTTACCCGGGTCTGTCGGGCTCCCAACGGACCGAGGCATGCGGCGAGTCTGGGGCAAGGAGGCTTACTAGCGTGTACCGCCGGGTTTAAGGTTGCCTTTACCGCTAGTAACCTGGTACAGTACAGTGTCAACAGTAAACATCACCTGTAGCAGTCCGCGCCTTTTGTTGAAGGGCTATGGCTGCTCTCCTCAGATGGGCCAGGACTTCTCTCCGTAGAGCAACGTCTTCACCCCTGCGTTTCCCATCCACGGGCTTTCAGACCATCCCGGCATCCACGATCCTCGAAGAAGAACGCTTCAACGCGTTCAAACAAGGCCACTACTACCCCGTCAACATCGGGGATATCTTCAACTCGACGTACCAAGTCATCGGCAAACTAGGATACGGAACCACCTCTACCGTATGGCTAGCCCGGGATCTCAAGTAAGCCATCCCACCCCATAACTATCAAGTATAGCATCTAATCAGACCAGACATGACAACTACGTAACACTAAAGATCTACACCCGGGATCAATCCCACACCGAGGAATTCCAGATCTACAAACACCTTACTCACAGAAAATCATCACATCCCGGATATAAGCATGTTCGAAAATCCCTCGATGCGTTTACTATTCCCCGTTCCGGGGGAGATCATGGCGTGCTAGTCCAGAAACCCATGTGGGAGAGTTTTCGACATCTGCTGTATCAAAATCCGAGTCGTCGGTTTAGTGAAGATTTACTGAAAACTGGTCTGAAGCAAGTGTTCCTTGCACTTGATTATTTGCATACTGAATGCAAGCTTGTGCATACAGGTAGGTGTGTGAGTGCAGAAGGTTAAAGCATGGTGGCTAATTTGCAATTGGATAGATATCAGTAGTGATAATATCCTCCTGGAAATCGAGGATAGTGCCATCCTAGATGCCTTTACGCGAGATGAGATGGATAATCCCTCGCCACGGAAATTAGTTGATGGGATGCCGGTATATGCTTCTCGGCGCTTCGATTTGCCTAAAACGTTTGGCCGGGCTGTGCTGAGTGATTTTGGTTCCGCAGTGCGGGGAGATGAGAGAAGGAATCATGAATGCGCAGCCGGATGTTTATCGATCGCCGGAAGTCATGTTGAAGATGGAGTGGAGTTATCCGGTTGATAGTTGGAATGTGGGTGTTCTGGTAGGTTTTGCTCTTGGTTATCTACTCCCTGTTGTCATGCGCATGCTAATCAGAATAACTAGATCTGGGATCTGTTTGAGGGAAAGCATATGTTCTATGGGAATGACCCCGATGGAAAAGGATATTCCACCCGCGCGCATCTCGCGGAGGTTATTGGGATGCTGGGGCCACCTCCGTTGGATTTGTTGCGACGGGGGAAACGGAGTAGCGAGTTCTTTACTGAAGATGGTAAGTTGTCATTCATTGCGTTGTTTTACACCCGAATTGATGGATTGAATAGGGCAATGGAAGCAAGATATTGAAATACGCCACGATCAAACGCTGGAAACGTCAGAGGAGTGGCCTTGAAGGGAGGAATAAGGAGATGTTCTTGGCTTTTATCAGAGGGATGCTGCAGTGGCGACCTGAAGATAGAAAGACAGCGAAGGAGCTGCTCCAGGATCCATGGTTAAACCATGAGGCAGAATAGGACTCTGGTTATTGTAAGGCGAGAGGAGGTAAAGCACGGGGTGATTTCACCCCATGGATTTATTTGCAGAAGGGTGCCATGCATGGCCTTTCGAATCTCTCGTCTATCGAGCGGTGGGGTTAGATGCAACCATAATTTGTGGCCTTCCCAAAAATCGGTCGGAGGACCGTTAAGAAATGTGTGAAGCAGAGTAAATGCACACATTGCATCCGACGTCATTAGGCATTGTTCCATATGTATATCTTAGGTAGACTCCCGTGCAGCCGTCCCGACCCCATGGGGTCCCTTCAACGTGTCGAGCAGCCTAGGGGTATCTGATTCAACTTTCGGTCCCAACTGAGTTCCTCGGCATCCGGCGATCTTCCACTCATCAGGCCCATCTGTATCGGTACAGATTCGTACACACCCCCCGCGCCCGTGGGCGGGCCAAACGGGGGGCTCCACCGGGCGTGTGACAATACGGAACGCGCCAGCAGTCGGCTGAGGGCAGCGGCCAGCTTCCCTCCAGCCGAGGCATCTCGCTCTCCCTTCTTCCTTGTCTCGTCTCTTATCTCATGTGGTCTTCCGGTCTTCCTTTTTAGCCTGCTATCCACTGCTGCCTCTTCCTCCTACATAACCCCTCCAGCTATTCATCCCCCTACTCTTCTTTCTCCTCTAACCGTCACAACCGCGAGGCATGTTCACAGCTTCGAGCAGAAGCCGTCTCACCACCCTCCCCCGGCCCCGTCTTCCCCCCAACTCGCTCCTCGCCAGATCTGCCGTGGTGAGTCCGGTCCATACTCAGACAATCTGAATGACAACTAACCGGCGTCTTGTAGACACCGATAATGGCACCCCGGCGCAAAGCATCGTCGGTCCCCGAGGGTAAGCGTCACATGTGATCTCCCCTCGAGCCCGACTGACAAGTTACTGTCCAGGATACAAGGAAGACCTCTCCAAGGGCAAAATGCTCCGCTTCGAAGATTCCCTTCCCCGTTTGCCGGTCCCTTCGCTAGAAGAAACCGGTCGTCGCTACCTCAAATCCGTCCACGCCGTGGTCTCCGAGGCCGAATATGAGCGCACAAAGAAGGCTGTCGAGGCGTTTGTCCGCCCGGGAGGTGAGGGCGAGCCCCTGCAGGAAAGGCTGCTCGCCCGCGCAGCCGATCCCAAGACCAAGAACTGGATTCTAGAGTGGTGGAACCACGCTGCGTACCTGGGTTACCGCGACCCCGTCATTCCTTATGTTTCCTACTTCTACTCCTACCGGGACGATCGCGCCCGTCGGAACCCCGCCCAGCGGGCCGCCTCCGTCACCACCGCCGCCCTGGAGTTCAAGCGCCAGGTCGACGATGGCTCCCTGGAGCCCGAATACATGCGCAGCCAGCCCATTGCCATGTCTTCGTACGAATACATGTTCAACTGCTGTCGTATCCCCGGCGACAGCGTCGACTACCCCCAGAAATATCCGGCCCAGGACAACGAGCACATCGTGGTCGTGCGCAAGAACCAATTCTTCAAGGTCCCTTTGACCGTCAACGGCAAGCGCCTGAATAATTCGGAGTTGCAGCGTCAGTTTGAGCGCATCTACAAGGTCGCTCAGCCGGCCCCGGCGGTCGGCGTGTTGACCGTCGCTAACCGAGACCTGTGGGCCGATGCTCGGAAGAAGCTGCTGGCAGCGCACCCCGCCAATGAGCAGTCGCTGCGGGACATCGAGTCCAGTGGATTCGTGGTCTGTCTCGACAACGCCGCCCCCGTCACCCTGGAGGAGCGCGCACACCAATACTGGCACGGTGATGGCACCAACCGCTGGTTCGACAAGCCTCTGCAGTTTATCATCAACGACAATGGTACCGCCGGGTTCATGGGTGAGCACAGCATGATGGATGGTAGCCCCACCCACCGCCTCAACGACCACCTCAACAACCTCATCTTCAACCACAAGATCGACCTGTCCGAGCAGCCGGTGCGGTCCGATCTGCCCGACCCTCGCCCCATCACATTCCACCTGGACGGCGCCGTGCTGGAGTCGATCGACGCGGCCACCAAGGAGCACCGCCAACAGATCTCGGCGCATGAGCTCAAGGTCCAGGCGTACCAGGGCTACGGTAAGGGTCTCATCAAGAAGTTCAAGTGCAGCCCGGATGCGTACGTGCAGATGATCATCCAGCTGGCCTACTTTAAGATGTACGGCAAGAACCGCCCGACCTACGAGTCCGCGTCGACGCGCAAGTTCCAGGAGGGACGCACGGAGACGATCCGGACGGTGTCGGACGACAGCGTCGCCTTCTGCAAGGCTATCAGCGACCCGACCGTTCCCCGCGAGGAGGCCGTCCGTCTGTTGCGCACGGCGCTGGCCGCCCACACCAAGTACACGACGGAAGCCAGCGACGGTCGGGGTGTTGACCGCCACCTCTTCGGTCTGAAGAAGCTGCTCCGCGAGGGCGAGAAGCTGCCCGCTCTGTACGAAGACCCGGCGTTTGCGTACAGCAGCTCATGGTACCTGTCGACCAGCCAGCTGAGCTCGGAATTCTTCAACGGCTACGGATGGAGTCAGGTGATTGACGATGGATTCGGCATTGCCTACATGATCAACGAGAACAGGTAAGACCCTCGACTGGAGGATTGATCTTTGCTAATTGCAATTTAGTTTGAACTTCAACATTGTCTGCAAGCGCCTCGGGGCCGAGCGGATGAGCTACTACCTGAACGAGGCGGCATCGGATATGCGGGATATGCTGATGCCCGACTTGGCTGCTCAGACTGAGAAGGCCAAGATGTAAGATAGGATAGATCGGATGCTGTGTGCGCATGTTGTGTCATGCTGAGATTATACCTGATGTAAATCGTCCTTATAGACCGGAATCAACAATAAACATCACATACTTTTACAGCGCATATCTATATTTTTACCAGTCAAACCACAATAGAGGAACATCAATGCCCAGTACATCTTTATCAGTAATCGTCAAGAAATCCATCTTCCAAGTTAGCTCATCACTACCGAAGACAAGTGTCGAATAACAAGTGTTGAGACATGCTATATTCTTCCTTCTACACTCAGGGCTCAAAGTCATCGGCCTATCTGGTCTTACTAAGACACCAGACCCCGCTAAAAATTCGAACGCTAAAATGTCCACCCTTGAGCACATATAATTCACCCATCCTTATCACCTAAACCTATCTACCAGCCTATCGATAACACTCTAACCCCATCCGTCCTAGTCCAGGGGACACCAGCGCCCAGACCGATCTGATCCAGCCCGGTGTCACCACCCCGGCAACCATCCTGCTGATCAGGGTCTTTCATTCATCCATCCATCCATCAATCAATCGATTGATATTTAAGATGGCGTCCCGTCTAATCCAAAGAAACATCCTCCGCGCTGGTCGTGGTCTACACGCAGCTACCCCATTCCCCCGACATGGATCTCCCGCCTTGACGCGTACGGGCACGCGTACGCGCACCGCTACCGTGCACCGAATCTCATCTAACCGGATGTATCATCCTTCACCATGTTACTACAACACCGATTCCACAACCCAACCCGGTTCTGCCGATGGGAATGCCAATGCCTCTCAAGGGAGAGTCGGCCCGTACGCATCCAACGTCGATGCCGTAGCGCTCGAAGGAAAAGGTCTCACGAGGGTGCATTGGATGAATCAGGACTTGTCTGTTGGTATTTTACCTTCTATCTATTATTATGGGTCTGATTGTGTCATGGGGACTAACAATAACAGTGGACCGTCTCATCCCACCCCAAACCATCATCCAATTCGTAGAATGCCTAATGCACGGGGTGCTACCTAATGGCAAGGAAACCCAGTTTGAGATTTTGCAGCAGGAAGAGATGGGCTTGCTCTATGTTCCCGTTGATCAGTGGGCACCGTCATCCTCCTCCTCCTCCTCCTCCTCCTCCTCCTCCTCCACTTCATCTGGGGAATCCGAATCCACTCTGCACCGCATCATGCTAGCTGTTGGCAGCCATGAAGATCCGCGACGACTCTGCTCGGTAGGAAAGAACATCCACTCCGTCAAGACTCGACTGTGGGAAGGCATGGTGCCTATGTCTGCTGCGCGATGGAAGGAGAAGGGGTTACATGAGGGAGAGCATTTCGAAACGGCGTGCGAGTATCTCACGTCCGTGGTGACGGTGTTTGAGTATTTGAATCATCCCCAGGTGCGGGCCAATCTTCGGGACGGGTTTAATATCATTTCCGGGCATTTGGGGGTGTTTCAGGATGGATTGAATGTGAAGCGTCGAGAACGGGGGCAGACGGTGTTGGATTTGAGAGGGCTGTGGGAGGAGTTTATGAGGGCCAAGTATGAGGTTATGACGAGTCGGGCGCATGGGTGGGTGTTGGACCGGGTGAAGGAGTTGCAGGAGCAGTTGGTGGCGGATATTTGTGCCTTGCCGGTGTTGAGTGAGGGGGAGTCGAGCCCCGAGTTGGCGAAATTGTCGGATAAGTGGTTCAAGGTGACGGAGGTTACGGCGCTGGCGGATCTGACCATTTGGTTGCCGATGGATGGGTATGTGGGCTATCGGCCGGAGGAGAAGGTGGTTGCGGGTTTGAGGAATCCGAATCTGGAGGTCTTGCGCAAGACGTATGCGGAGAAGCATAAAACCATGGCGTGGCCGCGGATGGTGCAGCTGATACAGGAGGACCCGTCGGGGCAGCCGGGTGAGAGCAATGGTCAGAGTCCAGTGGATCGGGCCAAACGCATCGCCATCAGTGCCGTCGTGCAGGACGAGCTGCGTCAGGAGATCCGTGGAGCAGCCCCGCCTGTTGGACCGGAGCCGTGGATCCAGCGGATCTTGCATTTCAACGAGCTATCGCAGTCCGTGGAGGAGGAGGCTCGGCTGGGCGAGGGACTAGCGATCTACCGTCTCTCCTACCAGGTATCGGACGCCGAATGGGACTCCTTCAAAAGCAAATTCGAAGCCCACCTCTCTGCCTGGGGCGCCGGGGTAGCCAAATCCGAGGAAGTCAAGCCCCTGCTCAAAATCCACTGGTTCGACGGAAAAGAGCTCGGATTCAGCGACCACGACATCGATGCCGCCAAGAAACACTACCAACAGATCCGAGCCTCCGACACATACGCCCAGAAACTCCAACACGACGTCTTCCTCGTCGCCGACGGCTGGAGCATCGGATCCTACAACGAATCCGGCTTCCACAACCCAACCAAAACCATGCTGCCCGGCGACTTCCAGGGCCACATCCTCGCCGTGGACGCCTACTTCGACCCCGCCACCCCCAACGAGCACGTCGAAGAATCCCCAGACTTTGACGGCCAGATGCGCATCCTCGGCAACTTGGTCTGGAGTGAGCTGTACGCTATGCTGGCGCTGCGGTGTGCGAGGTTAGAGGATCTGTGGCCGTTGGCAATGCATCATCCGCAGAAGGTGTACACGGGTCCGACGGTCCCGGCGCAGCGCGCTGAGTGGGCCGAGCAGAATGCTATCAAGGCGGCTGTCATGAAGCCGTTTTTGGAACAGTTGAAGGAGAAACATCCTGAGATGGCGCCTGCGGTGGAGAAGTTGATGATGCCGCATCAGTGATTATACTAGTGGACATTGTATTATAACTACATTCTGTTTTGTCTTTGATACTTTCTTCCTATGGGTTTAAAAAGCTTGTAGATCGGTAGTAGTGTTATTTAAGAACCTTCCATCTTGTAAACTGTATTGTTTATTCACAAGTTTTATGATCATATCAATTCTCTGGACAAAGCAGTACAATCCCTGACAAATTTGGTTGAAGACACAAACCATATAATAATCACCAGTGGAAAGCTAGATCCAATAGACAGACACTATCTCTCAACTCCCTTGACTTAATAAACTAAGCAGCGCGCTAGACATCCACGCAGTTTTGTCAAATCCCAAGCAGAAGTAAGATGAGGATGTTTGAAGAACCTATTTCTGACCAAGCCTGTCTGAAGAATTGATATCAGAGTCATCTGCATGATCTCGTATAACGGTATAACCCTTACTTCAAGTTGTGATCGGGAGATGGTAAACTCACCTGCGAGTGATTCTTCACATTACTTTATTCCGAATAGGAAAAAAAAGGAATAAGTTAACAAAGTAAAAATGTTATCCAGTATAACCTACGCATTCTGCCCCGGGGGATCTGGTTTTGAATCTATATAATATGATATTTTATTAGATAGGTTCTTGCAGTGTCCATCCATGACTGTATTGGTAATTCAGTTCTTTTTTTTTTATTTTTTTTTTTTTTTTTTTTTTTTTTTTGCTGGGGACAAACAGTATTGCCGTTGTCGTGGTTAAACCTTCCTTCCTGGAGACTGATATGGGACAAATGTAGAGATCAAAGGACCCATACGCTAGTCTGAGAACCTCACCAAACCCTCCTGGAGCCCCGGAGAATGTGAATCGCACGGACGATAGAATATAAAGTTCCATGCGTTGTATACGTGCGGGATGAGAGGATCCGAAAATAGAATTACGTGCTATAGAGTGATATACTACTTACTGGCAATAGCGGAAGTTTGCTTTATAATAGTGGCAGAATTGAGCCGGTGCGTGTTTTGTTGCCTACACGTACCATTCGAAATAATACGATATTGTGCGATTGAGCCTGCCTTCTTCATAATCTTGTGCCTGTTTGACAGTCAGCAAAAGCTGTAGCCAAAATACTTGAGACTTACTAAGGCGTTAACAAAGTAGTCTACCATTTCAACCTCTTTTTTGATCCATTTTTCTTGTCTTGGCGAAAGATCACCCTCAGAAAAAGTTTGGGCAGAATCAAAGTCTATCCAGACTACCCTCTCGTACGCTGAGGATACCATCATATTACGGGGCTTGGGATCACCGTGGAGAACTTTTGCCTTGTGAAAATCACCGAGAATCTCGCGAAATTTAGCCACGCGCTCTTTCGAGAAGTTGGATAGACCTATTTGCTGCAGGTCTGGGATATACTCGATAAGTATAGCATTGGGCGGTAGTCTGTCGTCAAGGAACATATCAAGATTCGGCCAAGCAGCTGGTTGGATCTTTCTAATTGTTCCGTAAAAATCTGGGATAACGCCCCTCTTGCAGAAGCCCTTCAATTTTAATCGATGGTATGCGGTAGACTCAGAAACAAAGAGATTGACTTCGCGGTCACGGGGATCCAACTCAGAAGGCTCTCTATCATGATACTTCATTTATCAGGAATAAGCCAGTAAGTTAAAGATAATATTCATACTTACCACTTTCATCACACATATTCTTTCCCGGAACTGGACTTTGAAAACCACTGAGTACTTGCTCTGCTTCAACGTTTCGAGGAATTCCACCTCAAATGGTTTCACATCAATCTCAGTAGACATGAGGCCTATGTGAGTTCGTAAAGTAAGCGAAAGATGAGGGTCGAATGTAAGTTGTGCTGGTTGAATTTGTAACTTGGGTAGTTGAAGGATAGAAGAATGTTCGTCCGCCCCTGTTACAAGTTTTAATGTTATGTTCGGTGCCTGAGGCACAACTAACCCCTTACATCTCGAGGCTTTGCCTACGACACTTCTTTTTGGTGCTTCATACTAGCTCATCCTAGCAGGAACCTTTCAGCCAGTCCCTCTAAATATTGCGCCCCGTGACTAAAATAACACATGTATAGTAAGCGCCCATGCGAATATGGGAAACGATGGGAGCATCGGAAAGTGGGGTTTGGTGAGTGGAAAGGTTGAAAAGGTTGGAAACACGGAATCCGAGCCAATGCATTGGAGATTTTGCCATACTAAATCGATAATCCCTGTCGAGATGGACTGCTCAGAAGAAAAAATCAGATTCTTCGATTATTGCGGTCCAAGGCTGAAACAATATTTTTTTTAGCTTTCCTAAGCACCCATGAAATCATTATTGGGCCAAGTATCCATTGGAAAACATCTGAGGTAGTTCCTAAGCGCCTATCAAACAGAAATCTTGCATCAGGCAACTGCAAGTTTATTCTCATAGCCCGCATATCGCACCTTCAACAGAATACAAGATGTCCTGTTTGGTATATAAAGCAAGGAATGCCACCTACGATCTAAGAACATTGATCTCGGATGTAAGAAACAACTTACTATCATTCTGTTCTTTACATATTCATCACGATCAGAAGGCAACATCCTTATTTGTATACCATGGCGGCCCAAGTTAGCCTCATGACGTACTTACAACATGGTCCTCCTCCACTGCCTATCATCGATCAAGGACAGTCACCACAGAACACACGAAATGATAGTTACAGGGCTGATGATATCAACAATGTGGGCCACTGGGCTGGATTCAACCTCGCCTCTATCCAACAACAATTCGGGCCCCTTTTAACTGCCGCAGGAATTCCAGATGAACCATTTCAACCTTCTCCTCCGCGGCCAATAAACTCCGAAGCTGCAGTCCGGTCCCGTATTGACGTTTATTTAACCAGCCGGATTGTACGTGCCCTTTGCTGCGGATTTTCGCATTTGCAGTCTACTCAACAGCTGGCCAATCTCATAATTGTGAAATATGATGTTGGTCAGATGGCTGCAACTCCTAGTGGCTTCGTTCCTGACTTTGCCTTCTTTGATCCAGATCTTGATTCTAAAAACCAGACCGAACCGCGTTTTGGGTGACGCTAAACCTTTGTTCAAATGGTCCTCTGGCTTGAGGAACCATCCAAACCCCAGTTCGCGCGAAGAATTCAGACAGGCCTTATCTTAAGTCAATTACTATATGAAGCAACATCATGCGCGCTACGGCTATATTATAACAGATCGTGAACTTGTCGCTATCCGAAGGCTCGATGAGGATGGAAATTTGGAGCTCTCGACGCCCATTTCTTGGATAGCGAAGGGCACTGCTTCAGAGCTGAGACTAACAGTGTTACTTGGGATCTGGTATTTGGGAATACTCGCGGCAAATAACCAGGTCTGGTATCTCCATCGATTGCATATTTGGAAAGTAGATGGAGTCTAACAATACTTTCTTCGATATTATTACTTGGTGATGTTCTGTTGATGTTCTGTTGATTTATTATGATTGGAACTTATTCTCCCCATATTTTTCATCTTAGTTCTTTTTTTCTTCCCTTCTTCTTTCCCTCCCCAAAAGGCGGGTGAAGAGGCATTCAACATGCCCTTTTGATGGCCACATTATGTTGCTGTCAGACCTCTTTGTGAACTAATGGTTATTCAACTTAACCAACTTTATAATTCTGTAATACAGTACTTGATCTATCACATGACTCTATTTTCAGCTAAACATAAATGAAAATGATGAAAACCCTGTCAGCATTGGTGACTGTCACGTGCCTGTATGTGTCTGGCGCCCCCCCCCCCCCCCCGGGGCCCCGGGGGCCGCTTCGTGAGGCTTATGCCGCACATTCAGAGCGGTTAATTCTTGGAATATGACCTCTGCTATTTTTCTCCTTTCTTTGTTTTAATTTCTATGTATCAACATACGTGGGCACTGGTCCTTTAGTGTAAATGATAGATAAAACTTCTATTACCGTGTAGACTGTAGAATTGCCTATATATTGTTTTATTTTTCTCTATGTTCTATGCCTGATCCCTTTATTTTTTTCAGAGCCCCTTACTAAAGCCATGCCTCCAGTTCCAATGAACAACCAAGACTGAGTGCTGCTTTTCATGCCATAGAATTACATTCTATTCTGTTATATATCTTTAGTACTTATTTTTAATCATTATAGGTCTGATTCGACTTAACCATACCCCTTATAAGAACGAGGAGATAGTATTTCAGTACTATTATAAGATTTAAACTTTTTAAAATAATATTAAAATATTAGTTATAATTTTAATTATAATTATATAAAGTATAAGACCTGTAGGCCCTGTAGTTGTAGTATAAATTTCAAAAACTTGATTCATGTGTTAGGAGTTGTTTTTCTGATCGAACAAATCAACCCCACTGATCATAAGCACGCTTCCTCGGCACGGTGCTTTGAGCCGTACCTCGAGCATTCAAAGTAGATTGACCACCAACTGCAAGGGCGGCAGGTCTTGTTTGGGGAATTGCCAAATTTGGATGCGCAAAGGTAGAGCTATAACTATCACCAAGTATCTCCTTCATGATGTCCTTAGGGAACTGCTCCAGCTTGGCCTTTGCCGTTCGTGCTCGTTGGATCCATGCCTGGGAGTTGGGGAGCAATCATCGCTTGGGTCTTTTCAACTCGTAGGTTGTACAGTGTGTGATGTCTGGTTATGGTTGTGTTGAAATAGGACGTGTCGAGTTGCTGTTGTACATGTTTAACGCTCTGTCCGGATAGCTTGAAAACATCGATCCGGAGGGACGTGTTCCTGATGAAGTCGCCTACAAGGATACATTCACGACAGGTACATCGCATAGTAGTCTTCACTTCCCAGTCGGGTGGTGGTGGGGAAGCATTCTCGACGTAGTCCGTCAAATATCTGGTCACACCCGTCTGATTCCGAGCCGATAAACTGACTGGAGAGCATCATCTTGAGAGTGTCGTCTTGCCAAGCCAATACTTCCGTCGCCGGCTGGTGATTCTGCCTCTCACAAATTGAAGAATATTCTCGGGCCAAACGTGCAATCAAACTCATTGGTCGAAAGATTTGGTCGGAATATTTTATATTCAAGATCTTGTCCAGCCTGCAAGACCTATCATTGCATGAACGCCATATAGATGCATGGCTACAATTTACGAAGACCGAACAGCATCAATGCTATGCTCCGAGATAAACCTGGCGGCTTGCGCGACCTGGGCGGGTGAAATGTCACCCTTACGCGCCACCAGGACCCGGCAATATAACGCCGGTTCAGCAAGTTCAACAGCAATCTGCATCACCTTTTCTTGCCATGATCGTCGGTCCCTGAGCTTGGCGGCCGCATAACAACGTGAATCATCGCGTCTCGCCGGAAATATTACCCGGCAGACATGCAGCAGTCTTAGCTTGGCCAACTTGTCATTTGGACGCTCTAATACGACACGATGACAATCTTCGAGAAATTTGCCGGCATCACGCTGGCCATGTTTGAGCTGTTGCAAGTCCAACATGAAGTGAAATCCGGCTGGGATAATCAATGCGCCCTAGGAAGCCATTGTAAGTCGGGGAAGGGTAAAGGAGAACAGCAAAGTGCGTAGGTGGCATAATGACCAGCATGAGGACTTACTGTCGCTCGATAAAAGTGAGTCGCTTCAGCTGTCTCACTGCTCCCAAAGTCATCATAGTCTTCATAGTCCGGATCACGATTGAACGTATCCGCTTGAACAAGCATCCTTTCGGGGAACGGTAAATGCTCCCCGATCACATTGCCTTCCAAGTCCACCACCTGCGAGAACTCAAGGCTGGACCTCATCAGCTCTATGAATTCATGAGTGCCATTGTCTCTCCAGCTCCAATCGCCATCTTCGCATTTATCATTGTGAACCTCACCCGTATCTTTTTTCTCAACGTTAGCTAGGAAAATTTCCAACCCCGCCCTTTCACATGCATTTCGAAGTTGCATGAACCGAGATTCGTCAGTCCCTGCCAGCTGAGAAATGCCGAGCTTCGCACTGGTATACTGGTTTTCGAGTAAGTAGACGAGTGCTGGTGGATACATATCATAGGGATCCGTATCCCACCCATCGAGATAACGGATGGCGTCCTCGTCAGCGGGGCGGGCCCAAGGAACAAGCAAATGAGCAAGCTTATCGGCCTGACTGGCCTTACTATTCAGAAGTGCGGCCGACGGGTGATGGATCAAGTTGTAGACCAGGACCACCCGATATCCGGATGCTACAGGCTTCAGCTCGTGGGTGACATCCGCATACCATGCCGCCCAGGAAAAGCCAAATTCCGAGGTTGGCGCCGTCTGAAATTCGAGGCGTGCGTTCTTGTGAAAGGCGATCAGGTCTCCTCCCTCATGCTTGGAGGGGAGGCATACGGCGAGCGTAGCGAACATGCCATCAGCCTTCTCCGAATCTGGGTGTGGTGGGGAAAAGGCGCCCTCCTCGTCGATCAATAATTTGTATAGGTCCGCCTTCACCTCTTGGGAGCTTGCCGGCAGACCAAGACCGGCGATGGCCTTCTTCACAAACCTGCCGAGTTGGACCTGCCATTGGGGTTTCTGGAGAACAAACTGGTCTGCGTCGAGCTGCCAACTCTTACGGACCGATTCTTCTCCCAGGGGTTCAATTCCCTCGTCGTAGGGACTCTGGCGGCAGAAGTGGCTGATGGCCTTGGCGTCATCGGTTGAGATGGGCAGCCGGATGGGGCCCACCTTGGGAATGAATATGGCGGGATTGACTGCGCTGGAAAGACCGCCACTGGTCATAAAAGGCTCGCTGGATCGAGCGTCTTCCATTACAGCTTGCAGATATGCTCCGATGGACTCGCTGATGAGCTGCGACCAGACACCTCCTGGTTGTAGTCAAGACCATCAGATCCTTCGTCGTCCGACATGGATTCCTGCAGTTCGGATTCACTCTCGGACCAGGTCATTGTGTCTTGCACAGCTATAGATGTGGATAGAGGGGGTCGGTGGGGGAAGAGCCACTGTTGAGCGTTGTGTTTATGGTTTGGCTACACCGCCTGGTCGAACGCGAGTCGCGTACCATTCCTTCCTTTGAGGTGGAAGGTGACTGGTGAATGCGGCGTCCAACTGAGATACAGGGAAAGATGCGACTTGTTGGGATTCTCTCGGGAAATCCGGGGGACACATCTTGTGATGATGAGAATAGAAACGAATCTCCTCGACTCCGTACAGAGTAGACATCAGTATCCACTCACTTACCGCCTGACCGAATAGGGCTAGCGCTAGTTTGAATCACCCCCATCGAAATTTTGCATTCTTTGCATTCTTTGCAATCTTTGCATCTTTGCATCTTTGCAACGTTTGCAGCTGCAGCTGCAGTGGCATCCGTCGCCAGTTGATGCCTGCTGTAGCTCCTGGTGGCATCCATGGGTCGTCCTCCGGAGGGTCGGTCTTCTCCGGGCTCCCGCTCACCCTCCGCAGCCTCGGCCCCTGAGCGCCCGATGGCGAATCTGCTCGTGGCGGCAATAGTCCATCCAGCCCCCTGCATGAGATGAACATTAGCCTCCTGCACTATGCGTCCAGGATTGCGCTACCTCTCTAGATTCCTCCTGTGTATCCATCGGATCGACAGCCACCGGGAGGATGCATTGTCCATTTTAGCCCTGCATATATCGAGTCAGGAGCCGGATCGTGATGACATGCTTTAAATTCACCGACGCTGGCTGGCTCGGGGAGGATTGGCGCAACAGGAAATGTCAGTGTCATCGACGCCTTGGGGGGAGCCACACGAACCAGAGTTGACTGCTTGGCCAGCGTCCATCGGACGGAGACACCCGACCCCCGACAACGCTCTTGATTGGCGCTATTTGGCACCGCGGGTGGGGAAGCCAGCACCTCGAAATTTCCTTCTCGGATTCCCGTGTAGCAGACTAACTCGGGCCCTCGCGAGTCATGCCGCTTCACCATTTCTCCCCGGCTCGTCGCTACTCGTTTCCCAATGGATCGTGGCCGCAGCCTGAAGACCCAGTTCTTCCGTTAGTGCGTCAGATATGCAATTGCGGGGACCGCCTTACGTTTCCTGGCGAGATTCGGCACGTAAAATCCTTCCCATGCCCAAGGATCCTTTGTCCCGAGTTTCTGGAAAATTCAATAGTGACTGCCATGGACGATAGTGTCCACGGCCAACACGAGCTGGAACAGTGGTCCTCGAAGGAGTGCCGAGTGGAGATCTCGCTTGGAGAGCACGCCAAGCCGCCATCAGACCGCTCCAGGACAATCGCTATCAGCGTGCCCCCGTTCTGTCTGGCTGCCAAATGAGGGTCGCAGAATGTTTAATTCTCGGACAGCCGGAGAGTTCTAGACCAGCAGATCATAGCGGGCAGCCGTGTCGTACTCACGGGGCTCGTGGTAGGGTACACTTGGAGGCATATCCACTCCGGAAAAGTTTCGGAGCACACCAGCGAGTCAGAGCCCCCAACGTTGGCCTCGATTGGGTTTTTCCTGACGTTAGCTCGGGTGTGGGGACGCAAGACTACAGTTATCCTCCTCAGTTGGTGAAGCTAACCAGACGATCACTTAAGGTTTAGGGGTTCGTATTCCGGATGCCGGAGTGGGCTCAACATGGCAAATGCCACCGGCGTCGTCGTCTGGCGCCCTGAACATATCCCGAAATAGTCCTAGATCAGGAACTAACGCGAATGCGTCAGGGCAGCAGTCATGGCAGAGACTTATCATAACCCATTAACACCCCACTCATGTCCACACCCCGTGTTTACTCGAACTTATGTTTTACCCCGATGTCCTGACTGCACTCGTCGGATTCTGACATCGCTCTCACCGTGACGCCATGGCCATCTACGCCGACATGGCGCCGTCCCTGGCGGGCAGTGTCATCATGTTAACGACACTTGCGTTAATGACCTATGGTCTGCGGGTGTACTGCCGATTGACTCGGAAGTCATGGGGCGTGGAGGACTGGATCATGACCGGAGCATTGGTAGGTCTCAGAACGGTTTCCCGCCGGCCCAGCTAACTCTTTAGGTGCCATTTGCCGTGCTGGTGGCTGGATGTGTCGGAGGTGCGTTTAATGGCATTGGGATTCATATCACTCGACTGGAAGAGCCCGCCAATGTGAAATATCAGGCCGAGGGACAGAAGGTAAGTCTGCTGCTTAGTTGCACGGTCCGTACTGACAGTTCAGTTTTTCCTCATCTTTGAAGTCGGATACTGCGCTGCCATTATCCCTATCAAGCTCAGCATCAGCTGGATGCTGATTCGGGTGGCGGAGGGACGCAGACTATACCTCTATGCGCAATATGTGGTGATTGCTATCTTTGTGGTGATGAACATCATCGCCTTGATTTTCATCCTCATCAATTGCATCCCGGTTGAGTACGATGACTGCCGATGATGACAGGATGATTAGATACTGACCGTCCTAGTGCTGCCTGGAATGCAGAAGCCTTGGCCAATGGCGGTCACTGTCAGCCGTCCTATGTGTTGGCCGACGTCTACTACGCCTGTACGGCCGTCAACATCGTCACCGACTGGGTGACTGCGATCATGTGCGTGCCCCTCTTCCACTCCTCAACTATCACTAACTCGGCCAGGCCGGTGCCGTTGCTCTGGAACGTGCAACTGAACCGCAACACCAAAATCTCCATCGTCGGCCTGATGGGCCTCGGCATCTTGTTCGTTCTCCCTCCCGCCCATCCACCACCTACTAACCCACCCAGTGCCTCCATGTCCGCCTGCGTTCGCCTCAAGTATACTGTCAACCTGACCGACCAATCGGACTATCTCTACGGCGTCGCCAACGTGGTCATCTGGGGCTTTGCCGAAAACGCCCTGGGAATGATCGTCGGCAACATTGCCACCCTCCGTCCGCTCTTCCGCATTCTACGCGATCGCAAAACCTCCAACAACAAATACTACAACCAGTCTCCGGGATACTATAGCTCGCAGCGCACCGGGCCGGGAATGTTCTCGCGCACGTACGAATTAGCCGAACACGGAAAGAACACCAACGAGATCACGACCACGTCGATACCAGAGCATACGCGGCGACCGAGCCAATTGAGCGACGGAGACAGTCAGAAGCAGATCCTCGGGGGCAGCCCGGGACAGACTGATATCATGGTTAGTCGGCAGGTGATTGTGGCGTATGACTGATTTTTCCTTGTTTGGATGGATGGAGTTGGATTGGAAGGGTTGGAGTTGGCATATTATTTACATTCCTTTATTATCATGATAGATATTTCCTTTTTGTTGATTTGAGCGATCATCTAGCATGTGTAGCGTTAGAGTGTATGGAATACTCAATGCACATCATCGCAGCCTGCTAAAGCAAATTAACTTATTTGTGTGGGTTAAGCTACTGCCAAGCCTCAACGGCTGCGTGTCTGTGCCGGTGGAGATGGCATGACTCGACCCTGGTGCATCATGCATGAGGTCATGCTTGGATTCTTTTAAACTTATACTTACCGGTCGCTTTTCGTGGACGTTTTGTTCTCGAAATAAACGTCATCTCATGATAGTCCTTCCAATGCAATGGCCTGAGGCAACACGGTAAAAATATTTGCGGAACTCTACTCCGTATACATCCGACATTTGATTTGGCGACGAGAACCCGCCACGTGCTGGTGCTTTCTTTTTCTTATTACTATTGTCTTGGTTTTCTTTCAATTTATTAGTAACACTCCGTTGTTCCTTTATCTAATACGTTGTTTGTTTTGCTTTCCTAAACCGTCATTGCGCCAGTTATGAAAAGCGCCAGCCTTATGATTACCCTGTGTACCTCTTCACTAGGGCTTCTAGCCCACATTTATAGCAGCACTTCTTGAGCCACATCAGGAATATTCATTTTTCTAAGTTTATCATGTCATTATGCTCGATAGTTGCCTTCTATATCTCTCACAACCTGGTCATACAAAAACAACAAAGTTGGCTGACAGGTACCTACTACGACCCCCTCTGAAATACGATCGGAAGCGAAGCCGTCAGCCGATCAGTTGCACTATTTAAGGCCTACTTATGCTCAAGTCAGCATAAATCCCTGTGTCACGTGAAATTATCCCTCAGGGGTTCCGGAAAGTCCCTATCTACCTCACATGACTGTGCTTACAACCGTATCATTAGAATTGAGATGACGCTGATTAACCTGACACCATGTCCGTGCAATGTCACCTTGGATGGCTTCATAAAGCACGGGTGGCTCGATGCCAGGCAGCCACAGCACCGGCCCGTCCGGTATCGCCGCGATAAGCACAACAAGAACAACAACATCATCCACACTATTTATATCCATCAACCGGCTATATATATGCATCCATCTACTATCTATATATAAAGGAAACACCCGGCTAACCGGCATCAAAGAGCCCCATCGAACATTTCCAAATCTTCTCGAACATATAATCGCGCCCCCTTATACTACAACACCTCCTAGTATATCCGATTAATCTGACAACATCGTCCGTGCGGAGTCCGATTCGACGAATGGGAAGTGCCGGATATTCGAGAGATTAATCGCGCTCTTGTCTGGTATATCGATGATGCTATCGACAGGATCATGCAATTTGCATCGCGAATCCACCAGCTGATCCAGATCTACCCACCTCGCGCCTTCTAAGCCTTGAGGGGTCGGGAGGATCGGAGGACCGGCACGGCGGTACGTGGCGTGTCTCCTTTGTTTGGGGGGTGGTATATTGGGGGTTTAGGGAGGATAAGTATTCAGTGTTCCTCGTTATGATTCTGTCAGTCATTGATTCAATATTTCTGTGTTAGTAGCATCATGGCAGTCACAGGTATGACCCTATCCAACTGCAGTATGCAGCAAACATCTAATGATGAAACAGACGTATACATCTCCGCCCTCGACCACAACAAGGAATGGGCGGCGAAAATCGCCCAAGAAGACCCAACTTTGTTCGCCACCCTCGCTATCGGCCAACACCCCCAGATCCTCTGGATCGGGTGTTCGGATTCGCGCTGTCCGGAAACCACCCTCCTGGGGCTCAAGCCCGGCGATGTCTTCGTCCACCGGAACATCGCCAACATCATCCACGCGACGGATCTCAGTTCCTCGGCCGTGATTGAGTACGCGGTCCGTCATCTGCGAGTCAAGCACGTCGTGCTGTGCGGACATACTAGCTGTGGTGGTGTGGCTGCCGCGCTAGGAAACAAGCCCTTGGGCATTCTGGATCCGTGGTTGCTGCCTCTTCGACAGATCCGGTCGCTACATCTGAAGGAATTGCAGGGGATGTCAGCGACGGAGGCGAGTTTGCGAGTGGTGGAGTTGAATGTCCAGGAGGGGATCAAGCTGTTGAAGCAGAAGGATGTCGTGTTGGAGGCTATTGAGAAACGCGGACTGCAGGTCCATGGGTTGATCTATGATGTGGCCTGTGGCGTGCTTCGTGAGTTGGATAGCAATGAGCCGGAGGAGGCGATTAAGGCGAGACTTGCGTCGTTTAAGCTGGAGGCTTAATTCTTTTTTCTCTGTCTTTTCTACCTTCTCTTTCTTCTTCTTTGTGTTGGAGTCGGACCATAGTCGGCATTGGTACAGCGGTGATGTGCAGTTGAGCGCGTTATTCTTCATCATCATTTCCCAACATGAACAATTTCTTGTCCACCATCAATTGATAGACTATCTTTACCCTTTTGACACCACCTGCCAAACCCCGAGTACTATGTATATAATTAGCCCTGACGGCAGGAATGACGGCCAGCCCCTGAACGGCTCCCTCCCCACTGCGGTGGATCTCGCCCGCTTCAGCTGGGCCCCACCCCCTCCTGGATTCATTTTCCCTGATTTCACCCTCTTCCCCTCTTTGCTTCATGACCGGCACGATGAGATGCAGATCCCGGTGTTGGTCTCGGGCGATGACGCTACTTCCTTTGTAGGTGGGGGACAAAACATGATCATTCTGTTGGATATCGATGCATTTTAGACACTCCACGCGCGATGCGAAGTTGACGCGTCGAGAGCTGTTTCGGGAGCTATTGAACCGCATCAATGGTCGCTGCCTATGGATAACGTGTGAAAGCTTCAGAAGGATTTGCCTCGCTGATGACCTGGAAAGTCCGAGATCGCTGCCACAATGTTGAGACAATCGAAGTGATCATCAAAACTTAGCCGAGGTCCTAGCATATGAGGATGGCAGACAAAAGGGACGGCTAGGATGCCACATCCATTGCTGATCCCGGAATTACACGTTTGACCCCCGAACTCCGCTTTGCTTAGGGACTAGTTTCTGACTAAGGTGTCTCTACTAGCCTGTCTGTTGCTCGCTTGATCGGACGACCATGTGCGGCAAGGGAAATGGCTGGATTGAGATGTCACAAGTGAGAATCAGTGGGTTACAGTTACTGGAGACTGCACCTCACATCAGCCCATTGATCATATACTACAGATGCTGGTGCAGACGAACCAGAGAATGCATGGCTTCAGCAACAGTACGAAATGAATGGCACTTATATACGCTGTCATATTCTTCATCATTTGTCTCCTACAACACAGGAACGCTGCAGAAGCATCATACCAACGTTAAAGGTGCCTACCGCGCCACCGCATACTTCGTCCACAATGGATCATTAAGCAACCGCTCCAAACAGCCATCCGCCACGCCTATCACAACCTCCATTCCTCCCTCGGGAGGACTCGGCAGGACTATCTGCAGACCGTTGATAATTCCCACATGTGGAGTCCGGACCGACTCAATATGCCCGCCCAGCAACGTGCCCCAGTCAATATCATACAGCTTAAAGCCAATCCACGATGACAGCATGCAATTAAACCCCGGCAGGTCAACCAGGGATGCCGGAAAGATCTTCCGAATGTCATCGAGCCCCTCGATGAGAGTGATCACGTCGTCCGTGAACTGCCCGTCCAGCCGCTGCAGCTCCTGGCGGATCAATGCAGCCAGATCGGCCAAGCTGGCAGAACCCAGCATCTTTCGCACAGGCATGGATACCCCAATGTATTCCAGGAAGCAGCCCAGAGTGTCGGGGTGAACCGGTGGGTCTGTTCGCAGGCGACCATTTAGAGCGATGTTGAAGAGCGATACAGGATCGCCTTCCAGTTGCTCCAGAGGCCACTGGACTGCCATTACAGTTCGCCATAATAAGGCAGACAGAGCGTCATTGGTGGAGACCCAGGATACCTCGGTTGGCTCCGTCGCATTAGCCGGAGACGCTTCTGCCTTCAATGCCGACAAGGCCTCAGGGGAGAAATAAAACACCTGCGCACGATGGTTCTTGGAGAGCATCTTTGGAGGTATACCTGCAGGGGGCGTGACGGGTAGGACGATGTACTCCGGGTGGTCCTCTGGTCGCCCTGGGTTACGTCCGGACGAACGCATCGTTCGTTCGCGGTCCTCGAAAATAACCGGAGGCAACACGTCTGACTCGCCGATATCGAGGCCTTGCGCGCGTCGGCACTCTTCCGCCCAGACCTGCATCCAGATCTGAAACGAGGTCCCATCGCCAGCCATGTGCAGAATGTTCCATGCCAGGATCAGTCCTCCCTGGATAAAGTTGGCCTGAATCAGCGAGATGGGCAACGGCTCGCCCGGCGTAGGCCAGACATCACCCCGACAGAGTGTGTCAGCATCAAAGGCGGCGACAGGAAAGTGCTGCGCCCTGAGATCGGCATAACTCGGGAAGGCATCCGTGCGCATATCGTTGACCAGAACGGCTTCATCCTTACTCTCATCCACCTTCTGGAGCTTCATCACACCGCCCTGTCTGGCATTTGGGTCCGGGATGGCCTCACTTGCGATGACGGGGAGCCGCTGCGTAGCAGCCGTGTAGCCGGCCTTCAAGACCCCTGCTACTTCTTCCAAATTATAGTCGTTAGCCAGGGGAAAGGTAAACACGTAACGAATGTATCCCTTCGGGCCAATGAGCTCCAGCGGAGTGAAAGACGGCACGAATTCGGGGGCGGTGGAACCCATACTTGTTGGATGTCAGACAAACAGCTTGCAGCTGAGCAGGACGGGGTTGCCTCTCACCTGAGACGAGGTTGTCTTGCTTTTTATCTGCCCATCAGGGGCCACCGTGGCATACCTTCCCCGCTGGTCAGGGCCGACGGTGCTGGGAAGGATATTAATCGTGCTCACTATTACTCCTGGGCGGTTCTTACCATCATGCTTACGGAGTAGCGAGGAGGAGACAAGGCTGTTAATCCCTGCGAGATGCATTAGTGATCACACCCGTCGACGTTAGGGCCAAGCGAAGGAAGCGATCCCCGGTCGTTCTCAACCGCCCGCACGCCGGCGCTGGTCACCGTCGGCTTGGCCCCTGTCAGCGGCGCAGCGCAGGCTAATCGCTTACTAGTTAATTATATATGCGCGCCCCCCGCCCCCAAAACAAGCACTCCAGCATCTACGCGGGCTTGCTCGGTTCGCTGCCACCTGCACGTCTGATTGGTTTGGTTTGCTTGGACTCAGCCATGGGGTTCGTGGGCAGCGCCCTTCCCGCTCAGGATCCGGTCCGGCTGGTTTAAGACCATGGCTGCTGGACATTCTTCATCTTCTCTTCTCCCTGCTTACGCTGCTGTGGAGGGCGACACCTCGCCCGACCATGGCCGTGGACCCTGCTATCGTTGCGATTTTTGGGTCGCCGTCGGCCGGCCTCAACCTGGCCGACACTCGGGTATCAGTCGATAATGCGGTCGCGGGGGTTCTTCTCTGTCTGGCTTTCATTTCCGTGGGGTTGCGCTTTGTGGCCCGGCGTATCCTCCGCAATCCGCTCCGGGCCGATGACTGGATCATTATTCTCGCTTTGGTACATACCCCGGTTGAGCTTCTGCGATCGTCTGTTAACGATGTAGCTGTTTATCTTCACAACATCTGGTCTGTGCATATCAGGTAAGACCATAACCCCGCTATCTGACTGCTGTCTGCATGTTGCGAAACGGAGAAGGGAATAACAGGTGTAGGGGGCTTTTTCGGAGCAGGAAGGCATGTTTGGGTTATGAAGATTACCGACTTGGTGACGCTGTTCAAGGTCAGTGATCCGCATCAGTTCACCTTCCTTGACTGACAGCAAGCGGGTTAGATCCTCTTCGTGTATGTCCTGGTGTATGCGGCAGTCTGTGCGTCGGCCAAGCTCTCCATCCTCTTTTTCTATCGCCGCGTCTTTATGGCCTCGCATGCGGATCTCACCCTCCGTCTGAGTATCTACCTCGGGTTCTTTCTCACCCTCTCGTACCCGATCATCATCTGGGTCACCATGGCCACCGCGTGTCGTCCCACCTCATACTTCTGGAACCGATATGGCGGAGCTACCGGCAGCTGCATTGATACGGATACGTTTTTCCTGGCACTCGGCATCATCAACATGCTCAACGATGTCATCGTCCTCCTGATTCCTTTTCCGCAAATCGCCAAGCTGCACATGAATCGCCGGAAGAAGCTGGCCATTAGCGGCATTCTCGCCGTGGGCGTTGTGTGAGTACACTCACCATACCATTACATCTTTCCTAACACGCTCAGCGCCTGCGTCGCCAGTATCGTCCGCATCTGGTCCGTCGACGAATTCACCAAACGCAAAGACGTCACCTGGACGCTCGGTCCCGTCTTCATCTGGTCCACCATCGAGCCGGGTCTCTCCATCGTATGCGCCTGTATGCCACATCTGGCTCCGTTGGTCCGATTAGCACACATCAAGCTCTCCTCTAGCCACGACAGCAAAAGCAAACCCAGCCGGCCCACCCACCCCAGCATCCCGTGGCGATCCCGGAGCGGCAACGCCCGGGCTTTTGCCAACAATGACTTCAATTTCAGTGGACATGACGATGAGATTTGTCTCACCAATCATGTCACCACCAGCGCGAGTGGCCGCAAACCGCAGTCGATTGAATCGGGGGAGGAGAGTCCAGAACAAGCCATCGTGGTGCATTCGACTTTTGTACAGTCGGTTTCGAATAAGTAGATGCCATACGAATGTACTTCGGACTGTAGTGTGATGATATCGTAAGCGGTCAGCAACCTTATGATGGCTGTCTGTCACAGTTGTCCTTCATCATGGGTTGCGCTGGGTGTCACGGTGACCTGTTAAGGGTCGATGATATGCTAGACACTGTATCATAGATAGTAATCTATACAGCAACTGCTTCCCGATAACTTGATGATTAGTTTCTATTTTCTGTGTTACGTACAGCGTATCAGTAGTGACTGTTGCCTTGGTGCCTGAACCTAATCAGGTGACTCGGTAGTTGCAGCTGCCGATTGCTGCCTCAACCATCAGGCCGTACCAGCACACCACGCCAGGATTGCTGTGCTCTGCGATCACATCTCTAAATCAACATGCTAGAAAGGGAGGCTATTATTCTCTGTCCAGGCAAATTCACAGTCTATACCCAGAGACTAAGGTTCATCTGACGGGACATTGCTAAAGATATAGCCGATGACTTCACCCGGCGGACATCGGCTACGCGGTCGGCAGTGGATTGCCTCGCGGCACCCATTATAATCATCGCCGGCACCCGTGCTCGCTGTGCCCCTCGCTGTACCCTCATTCATATCGCTGCTTCCATCAACATGGCGACCCCCGGCCTTCTCTGGGTGACGATGCACCCTCGTCCGTCTCTCCCCACCGCCCAATTCCACGACTGGTACAACACCGAACACGGCCCGCTGCGTCTGCGGCTGCCATTCTGTACCAATGGCTTCCGGTATCGGGCGACCGACGGAGAGGAGCCCGAGTGGGTGGCTCTGTACGACATCACCGACATGGTGGAGTTGACGCGCGAAACCTATCTCGCCCTCCGCGGGGACGGCATCAAAACCCCGCGCGAAAAGGCGACCATGGCCCAGATTGCCGTGGATCGCCGCCTTTACGACACCGTTCTAGAGCAGAAGGCCGCCGACTATAAAGCCCTCGAGGATACCCCGGATACCGAGGCGGCCGGCGCCGTCCTCATCGCCGTCTCGATCACCCTCTCGGACGCCACCCACGAGGACGACTTCACCCGCTGGTACGCGGAAGAACACATTCCCATGCTGTCCCGCGTGCCGGGCTGGCGCTCTTCCCGTCTTTTCGTGACGGCTGTCATCGACCCCAACGCTCCGCGCGAATACCTGGCCGTGCATGAGTACCACGCTCAGAATGGCCTCGGCGGGCCCGAACACAAGGCCGCCATGGACACCCCCTGGCGGAATCGTCTGATGACCGAGGCCGTGAGCCAGGCCCGTCGTCGCGTCTACCAGTGGGCATACACCTTTGGACCGGCCCCCCGCGAGCTCTCCTCCCTGGCCTCTCCGGATGTCGTTGGTCCGTGGTCCTCGATCGATGGTCGCACCCGTACATTCCCGTCGCCGACCCGCCCGGCCGTCGAGTCGTTTGTCACCACCCCGGATGGTGTGGATCTGCCGTACCGGCTCGAGGGCAGCACGGATCCCCACAGCCCGGTGATTGTGCTCAGTAACTCGATTCTCGTGGACTACACTATCTGGGATGACTTTGTCGAGCAGTTCCTCGCCGACCCACGTAATCAGCACTATCGGATCCTGCGCTACTGCACCCGTGGCCGGCTGCAGGAGTGTGGTGAACAGCCGGTCAATATTGACCTGCTGGCGTCGGATATTATCGCCCTCTTGGATGCCCTACGCATTCCTAAGGCGACGTTGATTGGAGTGAGCTTGGGTGGAGTGACGGTGCTCAATACCTCGCTGCTGTATCCGGATCGGGTAACGCGGTTCATCTCCTGCGACACCAACAGCTCCAGCCCGGAGTCGAACCGCAAGGCGTGGAACGACCGGGTCGCCATGGCCGACAGCGAGGGAGCTGTTTCCGCCACCACCCAGCAGACCATTGTCGGCGAGCAATTGGCCGAGATCACCGTGCGCCGGTGGTTCACCCCGCAGACGTATGAAACGCAGCCTCATCTGCCCGCCAAGGCTAAAGAGCTCGTGCGGACCAACAGTTTGGAGGGCTTCCGTCGGAGCGTGCAAGCCTTGTGTGCGTATGATGTGCGGGAGCGGATGGCGCAGGCGCAGGTGCCGGGATTGTTTGTGGCGGGGGACAGTGACGGTGTGTTGCCGAAGACGATGCAGCAGATGGCGGCGGATCTGAAGGGGGAGGCGGAGTTGAAGTTGGTGCCGAAGGCAGGCCATTTGCCCATGTTGGAGAATGCGAAGGGGTTTACTGCGGTTGTGAATGAATATCTTCAATAGGATTCTGTATAGAAATGGATTCTACTGGTCTGCTCGTGTCATACCTCATGCTTTGTCTCATGCGTTGTCTCGTGTCTTGTGTCTCGGTGATCGGTGGTACAGAGAGGGGATGTGCGGGGTTGCCCCCACTGTCTCCTCCTCTTATATCTGTCTCTCGTCCTGCCTGTTTTTCTTTCACCCTTCTGTATCAACTATCAAACATCTACATAGGCAACCAACCACAATGTCGACGCAATACGAGCTTCCATTCAAGGTATACCCTACCTCTACAACCAACTACATCTATACACTATCACTCACTAACACAGCTCTCCGACCCTACCCTCCTCCACTTTGACGCCTTTGTGAACAACACCTGGGTGCAATCCGTGAGCGGCAAACACTTTGAAGTGATCGGTACAGTGCCCCCTCCCATCCCTCCCCCCTTCCCCCCATCCCACCAACTAACTAACGACACAATAATAGACCCCGGCACGACCCTCCCCTGGGCCCGCATCCCAACCTTCACGCCCCCCGACATCCCCTCCACCGTGCAATCCGCCCACCTCGCCTTCGAATCCTACAAAACGCTCCCCCCCTCCCGCCGCTCCCACCTCCTGACCACCTGGGACACCCTCATCCGCACCCATGCCGCAGACCTCAGCCAAATCCTAACCCACGAAACGGGCAAACCCCTCCCCGAAAGCCTCGCCGAACTCACCTACGCCACTAGCTTCACGCACTGGTTTGCCGCCGAGGCGGAGCGCATCACCGGCACCCTCTCCACCGCATCCTCCATCCCGGGCCGGAGAATCCTAACCCTAAAGCAACCGATCGGGGTATCTGTCGCGCTGGTACCGTGGAATTTTCCCATCGCGATGGTCCTCCGGAAAGCGGCGGCCGCGTTAGCAGCAGGATGTAGTATCATCGTGAAACCATCCCCAGAGACACCGGTTAGTGTGCTCGTTCTCGCGGAATTGGCTCGTCGGGCGGGGTTTCCGGCTGGGGTGTTTAACGTCGTGACTACCGACATTGAACATACCCCTGGTGTGAGTGAGGCGTTATGTACGCATCCCCTCGTCAAAAAGGTCTCCTTCACTGGATCAACGGCCATCGGGAAGATAGTAGCGGGGTACTGTACCCCCGGTTTGAAGAAGTTGACGTTAGAGTTAGGGGGCAACTGTCCGTTCGTGGTCTTCGACGATGCGGATTTAGATGTCGCGGTGGAAAGTCTGATGAGTCTGAAGTGGAGACATGCCGGGCAGGCGTGTATTTCGGCGAATCGGATATATGTTCAGCGCGGGGTGTATGAGAGGTTTGTGGGGATGTTGAAGGATCGGACGGAGAAGTTGGTGGTGGGACATGGTGCGACGGAGGGGGTGGGGATGGGGCCGTTGACGACACAGCGGGGGGTGGAAAAGGTGGAGAGGCAGGTGGAGGATGCGAGACGGTTAGGGGCCGAGGTGGTATTGGGGGGCGGGCGAGTGGATGGGTTGAAGGGGTTTTTCTTCCAGCCGACGATCTTGACTGGCATGACCGGGGAGATGTTGGTGAGTCGGGAGGAGTCGTTTGCGCCGTTGGCGGCGGTGTATGTGTTTGATGGGGAGGAGGAGGCCGTGCGGTGGGCGAATGATACGAGTATGGGGTTGGCGAGTTATGTGTTTACCAAGGATGCGGATCGGTTGTGGAGGTTGTTTGAGAATTTGGAGGCCGGGATGGTGGGACTCAATACCGGGAGTATGTCGGCCGCGGAGGCGCCGTTTGGGGGGATTAAGGAGAGTGGGTATGGCAAGGAGAGTGGGAAGGATGTTGCGGTGGAGGAGTATTTGATTATCAAGACGGGGACGTTGACCGTGCAGGGTCATTATTAGGTACAGTTGCTTGCTGCTTGCTGCTGCTTGCTGCTTAGTTTTGCTTTAGTTGTGTTGTTTAGTGTGGCTGCTATGTATGAGGTCTTGTTGCAGTATGTGATAAGATGTGCTCATAATGCATGTACGGCAGCAGCTGAGTACGCAGCTGGGTACGCAGCTAATCCACCCGCTCCAGCTTCTGTACCACCATGGCACTGGCCGCGCCGCCTCCATTGCAGATCGCTGCCACGCCATACTCCCCCGGTTGCAGCTGGTGCAGCAGCGTCACCAGGATGCGCGAGCCCGAGCTGCCCAATGCATGGCCCAGCGAGATGGCGCCTCCGAGGGGATTGACCCGCGCGTTGTGTAGTCCGAGAATCTACCTGATCAGCCATGCCCATATACTCCGTAGTGGGGATCTCACCTTCTCATTCGCCTTGATCACCGCCGCAAACGCCTCATTAAACTCCCACACCGCGACCTGCTCCTTGGTGATGCCTGCACGCTCCAACGCAATCGGGACCGCCTTGGCTGGGGCCACCGGAAAGTCCACGGGATCAATCGCCGCATCCGCCGAGGAAACAATCCTCGCCAGGGCCCGATTGCCCGTCCCAAACTCCCTCGCCAGGTCCCGATTCGCCAACACGACCGCCGACGCGCCATCATTCATCGTGGAGGCATTCCCCGCCGTAACCGTGCCCGTCCCATCCCTCAAAAACGCGGGCTTCAACCCCCGCAACTTCTCTGCCTTCAGATTCTCAAACCCCTCATCCCTCTCCACCACCACATCCCCCTTCTTCCCCTTCACCGTGACCGGCACAACCTCCTCTGCGAACACGCCCCCCGCCCACGCCTTCTGCGCCCTCTCATACGACCGAATGGCATACTCATCCTGCTCCTCCCTCGAAATTCCATACTTCTTAACCGTCTGCTCCGCACAAATCCCCATATGAAACTGATTATACACATCCCACAACCCATCCTTGATCAATCCATCCTCGAGCTTAATCTCCCCGAAGGGGGGCAACTGACTCGACCGCGGCAAGTAATACGGGACCCGCGACATATTCTCCATTCCGCCTGCGATTTGCGCTTCCGCGAGTCCGAGCTGGATGTTCTGCGCCGCGATGGCGATGGCTTTCAGTCCTGAGGCGCAGACTTTGTTCACGGTGGTGGATTCCACGGTGGGCGAGAGGCCCGCGAAGATGGAGGCTTGGCGGGCGGGTGCTTGGCCTACTGAGCCTTGGAGGACGTTGCCCATGTAGACGTCGGTGATTTTGGAGGCGGGGAGGTTGGATTTGATGAGGGCGGATTTGATGGCCTCGGCGCCGAGTTGTGGGGCTGAGAGGGAGACGAAGGAGCCGTTGAACTATGATTGTGTTAGGATCGTAGTAGAGGAGGGAGGGGGATGGGGGCACCTTGGCGGTGGGAGTGCGCGCGCCGCTCAGGATGTAGGCGTCTTGGATCTCCTTGAGGACTGGCCGGGCGACGCTGAAGTGTCGACGCCAGGGGCGCGATGCGGGGATGGCCCGGCGGGCAGTCAAAGTGGTAGTCAGCATACTGTATCGTGATAGCTACAACGGTGAGGAAGACGAAGAAGGAAGATGAAAGTTGATACGGGAGTACTCCGTAGAGAGATGATGTATGTTCTCCGCCGGCGGACCGCCGCTAACCGCTGCCGAGGTTCGTTGCTCGGCCCGGCTTATCTCCGTCGTCATGTGGTCAAATCCATCTTCATTCACTCATTTCTCCATACTCATAGTTAACTAACTAGTTACTCTTATTCAGATTAGTCAACAAGCATCATCAACATCCAACATAGGAAATCAAAAATGTCCAATCCAACGCCAGTACAACTCATCTAACCACTCCCATGCTTACGGCCAATGCCACCGCCGCGACGGATATCCCTGATCGCGCGCAATCCGCTCATCCCCCGACCGAATCGCCGTATACCGATCCGACCCCCGCTTGAGTGGTCTCCATCGCCCCTGAAACGATGCCTGCATTTCCTCCTCTTGTCTCCGTCGTTGCAACTCTTCATACGCGCGCGCCCTTTCATACAACGGTCGTCCCTCTTCGATGATCTGCGCTGGCGTTCGCACCTGCGCAGGATGTCCGGTCCCACCTACAGTGCTCCGAAGTCGTGCCGGTGCAGGTGCAGGTGCATATTGTCGATATCGTCCTGGTGATTGTGGTGCTGTCGAACTCCGAGGATCGGCAGGATACACATACGTATACCTTCTGGGAGCTGGAAACGGCGAGCTAGGTCGTCGATGGCCATAGCTGCTTGGGGAATGGTCGCGGTGGATTGCGCTGCTGCTGAATCGGCTGTAGTAGCGGGGAGGGAATACCAGTGAGGATGCGTCGCTGGATAGGGTGACGTGGTCTACCGTGTCGGAGAAGCGGACGTGGCGGGGCGGCGGGGGCTTGGGCCGGGCGGGGTTAGGTTCGGGCCGCGGAGTTGGGGGATTATTGATTTGAACCGGGGTGCTTGGAGTCGATCGTGTCTTGCGGATCGGTTCACGTTCTGTGACAGGAGAGCGCTCTCTCGGGGGCCGGACCTTGACGGGCGGCGTTGGAGGCTGAGTGGGCGGAGGAACAATTGCTGCCGGTTGTGGTGGTGGTGCTGGTGGTGGTGGTGGTGGTGCTGCTGCTGCTGCTGCTGCTGCTGCTGCCGGCCGTGCACGATATCTGGCTGGTCGAGCAGGGGATCTCAGCTCCTGATGGATCACCACTGGATGAGGTGTTCTTGGTGGCCGTGGCCGATGGGGTGGAGGCCGGGTTGGAACTCGCGGGGAGACCACACGGATCTGTGGTGGTTCTCGCTGGATGGATACATCCGGGGTACTCGCATACGGACGAGACCGTGCCCGACCGCGCGGACTAGGCTCGTCATCCGAGTCTGGACTCCGTCGCAGGAATGGAAATAAAATGCGAAAGCTGCGGCTGCGTCGAGCGGGTCGCGGCGGCTCCCGTGGATCAACCCGGTGGCGCAACGAATTCATCTCGACCGGTCTAGGCTGAGCGTAGAAGTGAGTGGTCGGGCGATCGTGAAAGCGCTCGCCCAGATTCACCACCCTGGTGCGATAACAATACCCGACCGATTTACCCAAAAGGCACCGCTGAAGGACCCGCCTTCGCCGGACGTCTGCTGGGTATATGTCGGTGTACTCTTCAATCACGCACATGCAGTCTATACCCTAATACTCTTGTGTCTCGTGTAGATCTCTTCGCAACGTTAAATAGGCCGCACTCGTAGCATCAGAGCCGGGTCGGACACATTGTGAAAGTACAAAGAACGAGGTACTGCTGTGAAAGCACAAAAACGAGGCACTGCTGTGAAAGCACAAGAACGAGGTACTGCTGGGAAAGCAGTCGCGACAATGTCATGGATACAAGACATGTGGAAGAAGTCATGGGTTCACCGCGCCTGATGACAAAACCTGAGCTGAAATACGAGGCAGGTGAAGGAACCGAAACACACAAAGGATTAAAATAGAGACGATCTCAAAGAATGATCGCTCCTTATGATACAAGCCCAGCGGCCAGCCGATTATATACTGTCAAGACAATGACGGAAGATCACCCGGGACGTCTTCCCACATCGTGGCTGAGCGAGGATGTGCCACAGCCGTACCAACAATGAAGCCTGCAATGAAGCCTGCAAGGAAGCCCGGCTTGTTGGTAACTGTCGGTCACCGGGCCGCCCGCAAGGGTCAGCAGCACTACAGTGATCACTGGGATGATATCACCCTCTGATCAAGAGACAGAAGTACTGAGCCTCTGATTTGTGCAGGCTGCTATGTCTGCCTAATGGTATCATAGGCAGCCGGGAAGATCTCCGCGCCAGCCTTACCAGTTACCTACTATGTAGACTCGGTAGAGGCTCTGTCCGATTAAGTGGCGCAGTGAGACAGTGAGGCCGGACCGACCCGATGCACAACATATGCCGCAGCAGCTGTTCAGCTAGCCTTGCGATTCTACAGAGTAGTCTAGACTTCACATGCATCCAACAGTAGATTCAGCCTCATTGGCCGTCTTGCACCCAATATTGCCTCACTTCACTACCATACATCTCACTTCACTACCCTATCACTGCACCAACTCTTCCACATCCACCACCTCGACGACCGTCTCCCCCTCCAACGCCCTCTTCACCGCATCCACCACCACCAACGCCCGTAACCCCTCGACGGCATCACACCTCGCCACACTCTCCCTCCCCTCAATGACATCGACAAAATGCCCTAGTTGCAAATCAAACGGCACTCCCTCCCGATCCACCTCCCCAATATACTCCTCCACCTTCAACTTCTCCCTCCAACTCCTCTCCCCCTCATACCTCCACGTCTTCAAATCCGGCACACTCAACGCCCCTCTCGTCCCCAACACCCGATAAAACCCCCCTTCCCCATCCCCATCCCCCTCGACCATCGGAATCAACGGATTCTCCCCCGTCCCGACCTCAAAACTCCACGGCGCCACCACCCCATCACACACCACAAACGTACCCACCACCCCACTCTTAAACCGCAACGTAATCGCCGCCCCTTCCTCCGCCGTATGGCTCTTATCCTCCCCTCCCCGCTGCATCATCGTCTTCTCACCATATACTCTCGTAATCGGTCCCAACAAATAATGCATCAAATCGACATCATGGATGAAATTGATCCCCAATACTCCACCCCGTCCCTTCTCCCGTCTCCACTCCGTCGGCGGAGCGAAATACTCATCTGGTTTATAGATCGTCCAGAGTCCCGAGATCGCAATAATCATCCCCAAAACCCCAGAGTCTAGAATCTCTTTCGTTTTGGTAATGTACGGATTAAACCGGCGATGATGTCCAATCAACACCTTCACCCCCGGATACTGTCTCACAGCACGAAGTAGGGGAAGTCCCGTCTCAACACACTCACTCACCGGCTTCTCAAGCAGGACGTGTATTCCCGCTTCGAGGCACGCGATGGCGATACTCACGTGGGTGTGATTCGGGGTGCAGATTATTGCGGCGTCCGGGTGGGGAATGTCCGGGGTGGAGAGGAGAGCCGGGAGGGAGGGGAAGTAGAGTGTGTTTAGGGTTGAGGCGGTGGTGGGGGCGCTGGGGGAGGGGTCGATTAGGGCGAGGAGCGTGGTCGAGGGATGGCGGACGACGGAGTCGGCGTGGCGGGGACCGATGAGGCCGGCGCCGATGAGGATGATGTTTAATGGCATTGTGTTTCGAGTCAATTGTAGTTGGACGTTGGGGGGTGGGAGATGGGGGGTGGTGCTGATGGAGTGTGAAGGGAGGGGATGAGGGGGGAGGGTTATATACTGGTAAGTGAGGAGTGAGTCAGATATGTGGGTATAGTGTACTACGGAAGTTGTAGGTTGGGATATATCTGGGGTAAATGCAGTCCCTGGTCAGTGGGGTAATGGGGCGGTGGATCCAGAACATGACGGCGCTGTGTGGTGCAGGGTCGTGTTTACACTGGGGATGTAGATTGCATCGCTCGGATAAATGCTGTGATAGGTGGCAAAGGACTTATCCGGCAGTGGAGTGTTTTGCCGACGGATCCTGAATGATGAACTGTGGGGTCAGGGTCTCGGTTCTGACGGGTCAGCAATTAGTGTAGACAATTAGTGTAGTAGGATCAGGAATTTCCTGATACTAACTAAAGATGTGTCCAGCTTATTTAGTATCAGACTTGAAGAATCATACATGAAGTCATACTGGAATTAAGAGTGGAGGCTCAGTCTTCTGACTCCATCAGAGTATACCCGCCGGGATTCATCCCGTGGAAGTCAAATCGTTCCCCGGAATCCATCCCGAGTCTAGACTCGACGGTACTGTGTTGGCATCCCCACCTGTTATTCCTTTCGGCCTACTTGGTTCTTGACATGATCTAGATCCGTCCATTCCCACAACCAGATTCTAACGCCAAACGCCTCGAGAAGCCGCCCGCTCCGTCAGGGGAATTTCATCTTTGTCTGCCCGCGTGCTCCTCCAAACCAATAACGCGCGAGCAGTTGCACAGCATCGGTGTTCTTCTTGGTGAAGTCATATAATTTGGAGACGCGGATATTAAGATGCTCCCCATCGAAGTCAGCCTCCAGGACGCGAACGTGGCACAGACCCATAAAAGAGTACACAAGCATCTACCAGAGCGTAATCAGCAGGTCGCGGTGGACTTCAAAGCGACGAGAGCCTTACTGGAGCAATGATATGCGGGCGAAGCGACTTGGTCCTCAGACGCGCAGCCATGATATCGGTGATGGTCATGATTTCTCCCCGAAGCAGTCGACCATCGCCCATTGCATCACTTAGCACCATGGCCTTGAAATGCGGATAGTTGCCCCCCGAGCAATCCGTGACCGAGACAGCTTCCCAGGAGAACGTGATACACTCCAAAAGCTGACCGAACTTGTAGTCGCCGATCCTGTCAGACCTCTGTGAGCGATCCTATATCAGCGAGGGGGTGAGGAACCACATACTGTCGGTATTGGCCAGAAGGCGGAATAATCTGGGGAGAATCTCGCCACATATAGTATAAGCATCCATTGAAATGATCGCTGAGAAAGTGCTCCAAATCACGGTTGTTCGCCATGATGTGATCCGGGTCGGCCTCAACTTCTAAAAACTCATCCTCCCGCTCGGGAAGAGGAAGCTTTCCTCGGTAGGGCTCGAAAAAGGACGGCTGGTGTTGGGTACCCTCTAGGGACAGCGGGAACTGGCGGATTCCGGCCGCTTTCAGCTCGGCCGCTTCGATATGTTGACTTGGGGCTTGCTTGATCAAACGTTCAATCTTAGCCAGAGCATGGCGGCGAGCAGCCCGTTCTTCCACAAGAGCCTCGTCCATCTTAACAAATGCCACAAGTCGTGATGTGGGAGGAGAAGTGAAAAGTTGATGGGCCTCGCGTGTTGATGAGGGCGGCAAGGCGGCGGGTGTCGATGCCTGAGGCAGCATGGGATACTGGATAGGCTCAGTTAGCGCTGTCCATGATCCTCAGCTTTGCGGGGTTGCCTGTGAGCCCCGTTGTGAGAGGGACGCCCCTTCCTAATAAGAAAGAGAGATCTCTCGACTCCCTGGCTATCATCTTTCTCTGAGCACTTGACATCCTTCTCGTTACTATGGCAGGAAACCCAAAGCTTCCGGCTCATGAAAGCCAGTGGAATACATGGACCGCCGAATACGGCGTCTCCGGTACGATCCATGATGCGACTCTCACCTCTGCTTCCACCATCAGCGAGAAACAATATCTCCTACTCCAGGTTCTCTGGATCTCGGCACCAGCTACCCGGCTCAATCTCAAAACCGTTCACTTGGAGAACGTGGAAGCAGCAGGCCGACGGCCTCCTAAAAACGTTTCAATCCTGGGCGAATTACCGACGTAGTTTTACAAACGCCCCGATTCCTGAGGGGACGTTTGCATTGGCAAAGAAATATCAACTCCAAGCCGCCGCGTCCAACGACGAGAGTTTCCGATCTAACGTGACCTTCTCGCCAGTTGCCAGCCGTACCCGCGGCAAGATGACACAGTTTAGAACGGAAATTGAGGGAGGTGCAACTGGCGACCCCCACCAAGTCAACAGGGAATCTACCCAGCTCACCCGAAGTGGGAGATACCCCAGATACCCCAGATACCCGGGATTCTCCTCTTCTTTCTCCTGGACCCCAGGAGCTTGCTCATCTCATGTACCCGCCAACGAAAGATGAACAGATCGTCAATACCGCCCTTGTCGATGTTTTGAATGCGTTGACCATGCACTTTCCAAACGCGAATGACTGGACCTTGCATCGCAAGTCATTCAAAGCCGAATTTGAACATGCGTCCTTTGAGGCCCGGACGGATGGGTATCTGGAAGACGGTCCGTCATCGAACAAGGTGCGAGCCCTAATTGAGGTGAAACCGATGACGCGAAGGAAGAGAAGGAACCCGACTTGTCTGCAAGAGGCGGCACAGATGGCTGCCTGGATCAAATCTGATCTTGATGTCGGTGGCGCTTTGAACCTCCCAGGCCGGTAAGAATGCATATGCCCATGAAAAGTGTCACCTTAGATATCCTTTACTGACAGACACAGTCGTCTGCATGTGTCACAGGATCGCCATCAAATATTTCTCATATTCGCAGACTATACCGAGGATTATATTCGCTATTTGAACAATACGCTGCCACCGGAATCTCCGCGCCCGTTCCTGAAGATGAACGAGTTTGGGCCTTGGGATACCACCCCTGTGAGCGAAATGATGCAGGTTGGTAGCATTCTGCTGGCGATCGCCTTGCGCAGTTATCACGATGCCAACAGCAATGTCGACCCGAGCAGTGCCACTCCGAGTAGTGATATGAAACCGAAAGGGGATATTGAGCAGCCTGGTCGCACGGGACTGCCATAATTGCTCAGCGGACGTTTGAAAGAGACGTGTTGTGTGGCCTTGTCGTATCGTTTCCTTGTAACGTTCATCGGTCGGATAGCTATCCATGTCATATTTCCATCTTTCAGTTATCGTTCACCGCTTCGTCACCTTCGTTCTGTTCTTCCCTCACGTTCTTCCCTTGTTTCTCCGGTTTTCATAACCCGTCAGGCCCTGCCACGTCTTCATGTGTCATTCAACTGGTCTCTTCTGTTCTCAATCAAACTTGTCGTTCAATGTCTGTAAAAATCAAAGCCGACTGCCGAACTTCTGCAAAGCTATAGCGCTGCGCCACCATAACAGATAGGTCACGATCCTCCCTAAGTGCGCTTTTAGGGTGAATCGTACCAGGCCTGGAGCTGCTACCAGCTAGGCTATCCGGCAAAAGACTAGAATGCCAAGCCCCTTGGCTCAGAACGCGCATCACTTACAAGTCATTCACGGGAGCCCGATCCCACTCCCAACCTTGTCGTCTAACGATAACCTCTCTGCAACCTCACCTCGATGCCAATCAAAGTGGTACATCCGGCAGTTCCGACGGCTATTGGGATATTATCTTTGCGGATCCGCGTCGTGCTGGAAACGATGTCTACATTGATGGCTAGGAAGTTTGAGGATGAACAGAATCTTAATGAATTTGTATGGAGGTTCGAAGAAAATGGAGCCCAACTGATGCCGGGTTCTGATTCGGTAGATTCTGTTGCATCTTGCACGTGATGTTTATATTTCCTATCCCGTCGATGCGGATGCAAGCCGCACTCTGATTGGATACTTCCGATGCCAGCGGGTGAGCCACAGCTATATATAGACCACGGTAGAAAACCCTGGGCCCTGCAGGCAGATTGCTATTCACAAACTAGATCCCTGATCTGTTCCCTGCAGGATTTGCAGCATTGTCTTTGACAGGTTGATCACACGTGGATCGCGGGCCGAGCGTTGATTGGCCGACGGATGGCACCGCCACGCTGGACCTAACTTTTCTTCCGGCCCGACCTCCTGTCATCCATACACATCACGATGCTCGGCGCGATTCTATTGACTCCTTGATGTCGCCAGTCCCGTTCGGTCCATAATTTATACGGCATTCCGCGGTCATGGAGCCCGGAATGGTGCCTGCCATGGCACCCCTGACCCCTGACCTCCAGGAAAAACCCCAGCCGGCGGCCAGCCGGCTCCGCTTCTTCACCTCCCAGCTGGCCACCGCCATCGATGCAACCAGCATCGATGATCTCTGCGCCGTCTATCATCCATTTGAGCTGCTCCTGGAAACAGGAAACCACAGTGGCCTGTGGTGGCTCGATATGACGGCGCCGACGGAGGAGGATATCGAAACCATTGCGCGCTTCTTCAGCCTGCATCCGCTGACCACGGAGGATATCAAAGTCCGCGAAACGCGAGAGAAGATTGAGCTGTTTGGTCAATACTACTTTCTCTCTCTGCGACCGCCGCGTCGTCTTGAAACTGATGAGGGTGTGCGTATTGTCTCACACAATCTCTACGCCGTCGTCTTCCAAGGGGGTGTGATCAGTTTCAGCTTTGATCCCACTCTGCATGCCGACCACGTTCGACAGCGTATCCGAGAGCACAGCAGTCATCTGTCACTGACCAGCGATTGGATCTGCTATGCATTAATGTAAGCCACTCCACCTTTTCACTGCATATGCTGACTCTGTAGCGACGACATCGTCGACGGCTTTGCCCCGTTCATCGACCGGGTCGAAACCGGCGTGGAAATGGTGGAAGACTCGGTGTCCATTACCCGTCCGGATGAGATGGGATTGGCTCTGCAGCGCATTTTCAAACTGCGCAAGGAGGTGATGCACATTCGTCAGCCCCTGCACGACAAGATTGACGTTATCCGCTCGTTCGCGCGGCACTGCGCGTCGGATGCTCCGTCATCGCAGGTGGCCCTCTATCTCAGCGATATTTGCGACCACATCGTCACGATGATTGCGAATCTGGAGCAGGCCGAGCAAATGCTCTCACGATTGCAGTCCAAGTTTCTCACCCAGGTGCACTTTGATTCCGGCCGCATGCGCAATGGCATTGCCTCGGCCCTGAACAAGCTGACGATCCTGGCGTCGATCCTCGTGCCGATGCAGTTCATCACGGGGTTCTTTGGGATGAATGTCAAGGTGCCGGGGAAGGGGGAGCATACGTTGAACTGGTGGTTTGGCATTCTGGGGACTATTTTGGGGCTGACGGTGTTGTTTGCGTGGGCGGCGAAGCGGGCGGGATTGCTGGATCGATGAGATATCACTTAGTCATTGCTATATATCACATTTATCTTCATTTTTTCAAGTCAGTTTATCACTCTTGTCTAGCATCACGCCTTCACATCCAACCCGATCTCCCTCTGTCTGTCCCGGATACCACCCATCAACACCTCCAAGTCTTTTTCTGCTCCCAGCCACTCGCGCTCCACCACCTCTTTGGTCTTGTCACTTCTCGGCACAAACACGGCCTCAAAGGGGTCTGGCGAGGACACAAACCCAGAATCAAACGCCATATCATCCACGGGGATAGGCTTGCCGTCCTCTCCCAGCGGTGCCTGAATATCAAACGCCCAGAGAATCCTCGCCATCAACAAAAACAACGAATTCCGAGCAATATGTCTCCCCGGACAGATCCTCCGGCCATAGCCAAAGAAATTCGTGAACTGCCCCTCCGTTTCCCCCTCCAACCACCTCTCCGGCCGAAACACCATCGGATCCTCCCACCGCGCCTCATCCAAACTCATCGCCCAAAACAGGGGCACCACCGTCGCACCCTTCGGAATGCGATATCCCATATATTCATCCTCCTTAGTCGTCGCATGCGGCACTCCCCCAGGGGCCATGGACCTCCACCTCAACGTCTCATCCACCACCGCCTGCACATACACCAACCTCTCCATATCCTCAAAACCCGGCAATCTGTCCTTTCCCACCACCTCATCCAACTCCCTCCGCGCCACTTCCACAAACCGCGCATCCACCCGCACCGCCAACACAAACACCTTCAAGACCGCCCACGTCGTCTCAAACCCCGCATCCACCAGAATCCCCAAATCATACCCCAACTCCACCGCCGACATGTCGCTCGCATACTTGGACCGCGAAAACTCCTTCGTCCAATTCCATGACTGGCTCGCCAACCCCCTCGCCAAATGTCGCGCATGCACCTTCGACTCCAGCTGAAATAACTCCTCCGCGATGCGCTTCCACGGCGCCACCACCGCCGGCAAATAATTCAACACCGGAATCGCATCCACAATCCACCGACCCACCTGCGCCGCGTAGACAAAATTCCCCTGAATCGTGCGCATATCGCGTAACTCCCGACTCTTCGGCACCGGGAGACGAAACCCATATGCTAACGCGAACATGAGGCTTCCACTGTATCGCTCGAAATGCGCATCGAAGTTATTCGACCCGAGGAGGTCGAAAAGCAGCTGCTTACTCTCCAGATCTTGGATGGGCAAATAGGTATTTGACGCGCGCGGACTCAGAACCGGGGCTTCGAGCCGCTGGTGCAGTTTCGTCCAGCTGTCGTATTGTCGCGTGAGGATGTGTAGTCCCTTGGTGATGTTCTGGGCCATGATTAGCTCGGGCCGGTTGGCGTAGATGCTGCCCCGGCGGTCGAGGAGGTCGTGCGCGATGGTCGGGGAGGTTATCAGGATGAGGGTTTGGCGGCCGAATTGCGCGGACATGATTGGGCCGTAGGTTTTGCTCCATTCCGTGAAGATCCGCCAGGGGAGGGTTTTGGGGGCTTGGTGGAGGTTGCCCAGGAGGGGGAGACGGCGGGGGCCGGGGGGGAGACGACGGTCGCGGTGGTGTTCGTAGAGGAGGCGGAGGGTAACAATGACGAGGAGGGTGACGAGGATCATTGTGGTATTTGTGTGAGATTAGGGTTGTGGTATATGAGATGGACGATGTGAGGGAGGTGAGTGGGGTATTCATATACCCTCCCCTGGCTGGAGCAACCTGGCTGGGGCAACCTTGCAGGAGGCACGGCAGACAACCTGTTTACTGGGTCATGTCTGCAGACGGGCCTTGAGTAGTCAATGGTATCGCTGTAGACGGTGCGTGCATTCGTCATCCCGTATGTCCGGGAACGGCATTGGATGTCAACAAGGAATGCCCCATTAGCATGCATTAGTACAACGGTCAGCTGTCACTTGACGCACGGGCCTTAACGGGATAAGGGAAACTGTAAAGTGAAAGGTGGGGTAAACCAAAGAATAATTAAAGGATACACTGGCAAGATTGCGGAAACCCACCCGTAACCCTATCCGTTCCACATTTGGGAGTGGGGTGAGTGGGTCATGTCCACTTTTAGAATACTGTCATGACTGGTATTACGGTTATTACGGTTATTACCGTCCAGCCAGCAGTGGCTCACTTAGTACTCAGGCAAGTGGGCTACCCGCGCAGCCGTCTCGGCACGGCTCATCATAATCCAACGTCCTGCCGTTCTTTCATCCCCACCATCATGCCCGCCCTGTCTGATCTCCCGGCCGACATCCTGCTGCATGTCATCTCGTTCCTCGACCGCAGCCCTGATGTCTGTGCCGTAGCAGCAGTGAGTCCAGCTTTACACAGTCTGATTTCAGCAAACGACCTCATCACCAAAACCCACTACCGCAGCCTCCGCATCAGCAGCATCCGCGACGTAACCGATGGCTTCACCACATTGCTCGCCATCCTCCGTAACCCTAAACTGGGCAGCTATGTGCGCCACATCGAGATGGACATTCCCATCCGCTCTCCACTGAGCTACCTTCCACGGAAACATGACCGATCTCTCAATGAAGCAGACACACAGCTTCTCCGTCAGGCCATCAACCGGGCTGGCTTCACCGCCACCGATGAAGGCCGGTTACTCAACATGTTAATGCAAGAGGCCACGCCTGCGAGGGATTGGCTGTATCCCATTTACTACGAGTGCGCCCCCTTTTATCCCCTTCCACCCCCCTACCGAGCTAACAGAACAGCTCCGACGACGGTTTCTCGGGAAAATCCACCTTTATCGCCCAAGCCATCACCACGTTGCTGGTGGCATCATCCCCGCAACTAGTCTCCCTAGCTATTTCGCCTCCATTCTGGGAATACACCTCCTCTCCGCGTGACGACTCCCCAGATGATATTTCTCTACTCACCGCCAAGATCGAGAAATACCCCCTCGCCAAGTTCCTCAAGCAAGCTAATTCAGCCAATTTGAGCAGACGAAGTCCGTACTTAGGCCATCTGAAGCACTTTCGTCTCCTAACCACGGGGAAGAAATCCGATGCGCGATCTCGGGCCTGTGCACCGCAGGATTTACTGCTCTGTATTGAGTTAGTTCATGCACTCCCGGGGATTCAATCGTTGCAGGTGCAAGCGATCCAAGGATTCGGCAATGCATCTGGCCCTGCATTGGCGGGGATGCTACCCCCCGCGTCGTCGAATATCTCTCGGTTGGATCTCCGGGGCTGTGATTTCAAGTCCGAGTTGTTGTGTCGGGTGATTTGTGCGGTGAAATGTCTCCGTGAGCTACGGTATTCGGTTGTGCCAGGGGGCTGCTATGCGGGGTTTGTGGAGTTGTTTAATCGACGGAGTTTGATTCAGGCGGTGTTAAGACATCGGAGGACGTTGGAGGTGTTGGATTTGGATTTTGATGATCGGGTGGGGCAGTTTCTTGCTTCGGGGGTGGGAGGTGATGATCGTGGTTGTGGAAGGGAGGGGTTGAGGGGGTTTAGTGCGTTGAGGAGTTTGAGTCTGGGAGTGCATTGTCTGTGGTATATTGCTAGTGGGATGGGAGTGAATGAGGTGGTCTTGGTAAATCAGTTACCGTCGCAGTTGGAGTTTCTTTGCGTGAGGGGGTATGAGAGGGGGGAGGCGGATGTGATGGATAGGATGGTCGCGGGGGTTGCTACTAACAAACTCCCCGCATTGAGAACTGTGGTTGGCATCACCCAGTGTATACCAGTCGGAAAATAGCCAACAATGCCACTCAATAATCCTACAATGAACGATAAGAACATACATCCAATACATACAAAGTTACCCCGGAATGCAACTTTCCCGCATCCGGCATGTTGCCTCGGCTGCTATTGGCTGCATCCAACCCCAGAATACCACCGTTTATCGATCCGAGCTTATTCTCGTGCTGATTGTTTCTATGGAAGCGTCACATTCCGATGCGCATGCCATCCATCCCTCTATCTATCCAGTCTCCTCCTTCACCTTCACTTCACAACTCCAGCATCATGCATCATGCATCCCCTATGGCACCTCCTCTTCCTCATCGTGGCTGTACAGGCCATCGATCTCGATCTCGATGACCCAGGTCCCCCCTCCCCCCTACCCCAACTAACCCTCTCTCAAATCCCAACATACTAACCCTTTAGAAAAAACAGCCTCCACCAAAACAACCCTCCACACCCTCGCCACCCAAATGCTAACCCACTACACCGGCAACCTTCCCGGCGACAACCCAGGCAACCTCCCAGACCCGTACTACTGGTGGGAAGCGGGCGCCATGTTCACCGCTCTCATCGACTACTGGTACCTCACCTCCGACACCACCTTCACCAACCTCACCCTCCAAGCCCTAACCTGGCAATCCGGCCCCAGCGGCTCCTTCATGCCCGCCAACCAAACCCGCACCGAAGGCAACGATGACCAATCCTTCTGGGCCTTCGCGGCCATGTCTGCCGCCGAGCGAAACTTCCCTGACCCTCCACCTGAACTAGGTGTCCCCGGGTGGCTAGGTATGGCGCAGGCGGTATTCAACACACAAGCTGCCAGATGGGATACGGGGACCTGTGGAGGTGGATTACGATGGCAGATCTTTACGTTTAATGAGGGGTGGATGTATAAGAATACGATTTCCAATGGGTGTTTTTTTAACCTGGCGGCCAGGTTGGCGCTGTATACGGGAAACGGGACGTATATGGAGTGGGCGGAGAGGGTGTGGAACTGGACGGAGGAGGTGGGGTTCGTGACGGATGAGTATCGGTTTTGGGATGGCGCGGATGTGGAGAGTGCGTGTAGGGAGTGGAATCGCGTCGAGTGGACGTATAATACCGGGGTTTATTTGTTGGGGGCGGCGGTTATGTATAATTTGGTGAGCCCCCTCCCTTCTCCGTTTCTTTCTTGGGTGGTGGGGAGTTGAGTTGACTGGGGTTGGAAAGAGGGTAAGCTAACGAGGTATAGACGGAATCCCCCACCTGGCGCACCCGAACGCAAGGCATCCTCAACGCGAGTCTCGTCTTCTTCCAAAACGACGTGATGTACGAACGAGCCTGCGAAACAATAAACACCTGCGAAGTCGACCAACGAGCCTTCAAAGGGTTCCTGGCGCGATGGATGGCCGCCACGACGCAAATGGCCCCGTTTACATTCGACCAGATCATGCCGAAATTACGAACCTCGGCGAAAGCCGCCGCGGAAACGTGTACCGGGGGGGCAAGCCACGCGGCGTGTGGGTTGAAATGGACGGATCGGAAATGGGACGGGATGGATGATGTGGGGATTCAGTTGGCCGCGTTGGAGGTTATACAATCGACGTTGATTAGTCGGGTGGATCCCCCTGTCACGCAGGATACTGGGGGCACGAGTCGCGGGAATCCCGGGGGTGGGGAGCCGGGACCGCCGGTGGGGGAGGTGCCGGAGGGGTTGAGGATTGAGATTACGGGCGCGGATCGCGCGGGGGCGGGGTTGGTGACGGCGCTGTTGGGGGTGATTGTGCTGGGGTCGACGGGGTGGTTGGTTTACGAGTGATGCACTACTTTTATGATTGATATTAAATTGCTGGCTGAGGCTTGTCCCTTAGCTCTAACTATCTCCTAGATGAATACCCAATATTGAAATTTAGTAACATCGATGCTAATGTGTAAGTAACATTTCAATATCGACAGACAACCCATATATTTATTGAAACAATCCTTCTCCACTGCAATAAATGCACTTGAACAACCAATCCAACGTTACCGTCACAGAAAGGAATTACACCCTCTTCAACAACCTCCTATCCGTCTTCACCCGAATACCCACGGCCAACACCGCCGCCCCCAACGCCATAACCCCCGCATACAAGATCGCCGGCCGATACGCCTTAATCCCGCCTTCTTCACCCCCACTCGCATCGAGAATATATCCCGCAATAGGAGATCCCTACCACACTCAGCATCCACATACGGTGATAGAGACCACCATGAAGCAGAGACTATACCATTAGATATGAAGTGGGAAAGCAGGGAGGGGCGGGACCTTGTGCCAACGCCCATGACAACACCAGCTGTGACGAACAGTCCCCCGATTTCTTTCACGGCGAAACCACTCAGAATCTCTCCAAGTCCAAGCATGAAAATACCCAGTAGGGCTGACTTGCGAGTCCCCAGTTGGCGGATCACGCGAGCATTGAGAATGCCCATAAATGAAATACAGGCTGGAGCTAACGACCCCACGAACGACAAGGTGGTGCAGTACGATATTTCCGAATCATGGTTGAGATTAGGGCTGTATAAAATATCGGGTAAACCCTACCAGTACCGACAGGAGGGTCCAGTCCGATCTCGGCTACCCACGGAATCGCGCGCACGGATTGCCGGCATCGGCAAGTGGAGCGTGTCACTGGCAGGGCGTGAGAATTTCGCCTGTTCATCCTCCTCTCTTCCATCCTCCATCTGCTCACCATGCCGGCTTACCATCCAGATGGAGCACGCTCACGCGCTCCCTAAATTATGTAACGACATTCTGTCCCTACCGCCCCTAGACGAAGGCCTAGCCTATCCTGCCAGCGTGGACCCCATCTTCGCCCTGCCCTCGGAGCTGGACGCCTCATCCTGCGAAGCCCCAGATGCACTCGGTGACAGTGGTCCTTCTCGTCCCCGCAATCATCAACGACTCTCCGGCGATGCCGTGAGAACCCTCAAAACATGGCTCAAAAGCCACCCCAACAACCCCTATCCCACGTCCCAGGAAAAGGATGACCTGGAGCAACAGACCGGGTTGACTCGTACGCAAATCTCCAACTGGTTCATCAACGCTCGTCGACGCAAGCGATCCACCGGGTACATGGCTATCCCACAGGGCCAGTCTCTCCTCTCCCCTATGGAACGCTGGAGACACTCGCCCCCCGAAAGCGAAGCCGCCGCAACCGACGACATCTTACGCGCTCTGGCCGACCCCGACATCCCCGCCTTCCCGGGTAGCTCGCCGTACGGGGTACCGCAGTATGCCTTGTCCAGCAATGACTCCAGCGGTTCATTCATCCTCGGAGAGCCCTCCAGCAGCTGCGGACACAGCCAGTCCTCCAGCTCAGAGATCTCCATCGCCTTATCGCACCGGCCTCCCCAGCGCCCTCCCACCCCGCTGCATCGCGCACAACCTCGTCGCCGCCGACGGAAACACGTCCGCCACGCCAACCGCCTCCAGGATACCCGCCGACCCTACCAGTGTACCTTTTGCGCGGACACCTTCGCGACCAAATACGACTGGCAGCGGCACGAACAGGCCCTGCACCTGCCCGTAGACCAATGGCGATGCGCCCCGGACGGTGGCCTCATCGACCACGACGGCACCCCTATGTGCATCTTCTGCCAGGAGCTCGGCGTCGACGAAGACCACCTCGAAAAGACCCACAACTACAGTATCTGCCGCGACAAACCAGCCGAACAGCGCACCTTCACCCGCAAAGACCACCTCCGACAGCACCTGAAACTCACCCACCACGTAGACGGCCTCCATCCCGCCATGACCTCCTGGCGGGAGACGCGAGACTCCATCCTCTCGCGCTGCGGATTCTGCACCGCGACGTTCCACACGTGGCCTGACCGCGTTGACCACGTCGCCGAGCACTTCAAACACGGCTCCGACATGAAGCAGTGGACGGGCGACTGGGGATTCGAACCGGCAGTGCAGCGTCTCGTGGAGAATGCCCTCCCGCCGTATCTGGTCGGCCGGGAATGGCATACCCCGGATCCGTGGCGGACGTCGGATGTGCTTGGAATGCCCGGGGAGGAGGAGGATGAAGAAATCCCGTTTCATTGGGATGTGCCGAATGCGTTGGATCGGTATTACAATGTCCATCGGGATCTGTTGGCGTATATTCGGGATCAGATGGCGGCGGGGATGCGGCCGTCGGATCAGATGATTCAGGATCGCGCGAGGGTGTTTGCGTATGAGAGTGATGATCCGTGGAATCAGACGTATGCCGATGATCCGTTTTGGTTGGAGATGGTGAAGCAGGAGGCGGGGTTGGTTTAGTTGGTTATATGTAGATGATCTTTCTGCTTCATTTTGTTTCCGAGAAGTGGATGCGCTAGCGTTGTTTGTATGATTTATCTTCATATTCAGCGTCGTCCCTCGGTGAACTATTTCTTATGGCCTTATACATCGAACTCGATCAAGAGCATGTTCTATCATATGTCAGAGGGTAAAGAGACGTCCCGGTCAGGACGAGAATAGTCGGTATATAACATATACTCTCGACTCTGCCGATCTAAGACTCGAATAATCCACCTTGGTATCTTCAGAACAATGCCTTATGAGATGATTGCTGGCTAGAATCACGACTAGATATAATAGGAAAAGGCGTATAAAAATGTCGGATCACCTTTCCCAACAGATTTACTTCAGCCACTCAGTCAAGATCCATCGGATCCCCCCCCCAATCACTATCCGTATCCATAATATCGCTGTCCGGATTCTTATCCCAGTCAATATTCCAATCTTTCAAGCCATTTGCCTCTTTCAGAATCACCTCAAACATCGAGACAATATTCTGGTTCTTCTGCGTGGCTTGCCCCGGATCCAACTGCGTGGAGCTTCACCGGTCGATTCAGATCATACGCCATCTGGGCGTACGTCTGGACAAACTTCTTCACATACACCTGCACGCGATCATGTTCCTCGCGGATCCAGGTTTTCCAAATCCCTGCCAACCCCTGCAGCGTATACGCCTTATCGTATACCCCACCGTTATCACCGACCGAGCTGTTGATCAGACCGTTTTCATCCAAGTCTTCGAGTTTAGCCTGGATCCGGTTCGCCTGCTTCACCAGGATCTCCTGGATGTCGTTGAAATAGTAGTACTTCCATCCGAGGATGTGCAGCTTCAACACTTTGCCCACGTTGTCCCATTCTTCGTTTCTGATGAATCCGTCGATCGATCCCTCGTACAGGATCTTGTTTCCTGAGAACCACTGTTCTTTGTTAGTCTGTTTTTCTGAGGAATGCAAGGCAAGCAGAGAAAAAGCAACGTAGACCGATGGATATCCATGATCCGACGGCTGAACGAAAGATCCGAGTAGGCCAAGGGAACCCTAACACTGGTGGAGGGGCAATACACGTACCCTGTTCTTGATCTGACCATTCAGTACCGCTTCATACAGGACAAACTCTTGAAGTAAAACGATAGTGATACCCGGGGTACACGCTCCCCAGGACACTATTCGCATTCATATTCTGCGGAAATCGCTCAGGCAACTGCCACCAGGCGAACATGTATTCGCACCAGGAGACCTGATCCGTGGTGCCTTTATTGGGATCGGGGTATTTCCGCGCGAGGGGAATTCGCTACCTTGGTGGAGTTCGAATACATCATGATGCCCACGTAGTTGAAGAATCGTTGCACGGACTGCGATTCCAGAACATGTTCGCTGTGGTATTCGCGGCCGTTGTTTGCCGTCTTGTCCATGGGCTTTTCCGGGGTCTTGGCCAGCTTGATCAGGTTCAGGTTCGTGCAGCTGGTCGGATCTACGGCGTCGTAGGTGGCGACGAACGCGTCGTACTTGTTCACTAGCTCGGTGGAACTGGGATATTGGGGTGAAGATGGTCTCGCCTTCGTAGTCGCCATCGAAGCCGACGAATCCCTTGGCCCCGGCCTCGGTACAGTATGACAGTTCTTTTTTGTTCCGCTTGTAGAGAGGGTCTCGGCGCGAAAGGGCACCGTTGTTGTCGTCGGCCCTCTCGGCAGGAAGATCATTCAAGTCACAGTTCGGGTTGGGGTCGTCATTCTCGTCTTGATTCGCACAATACACCCCTTCCACTGCGAAGGCGCAAGTGTTCCTCGACCGGTCCGGACGGCTGAGGGTGGTGCCTGGCGACCGCGGGGCCAAGCTCGTCATGTTGCCTTCGAGTTCTCGTTTGGCCAAGAGGGTGAAAGGAACACATTCTGAGAAGAGGGTGACGGGGGAGGTGTCCTTCCACGTGTAATTCTTGCTCGACCACCCTGGAAGGGCGTTTTCAACGGCCGTCCCGACGCAGGTTCTGGAAGTCATAGTCGTAGTGAAACTCGTAAACCTTGTAAGACGAACGAGACCGCTTTTGTAGATGAGCTGGAATGGTCAAGTTGTCGGTACGTTCGAAACGGACCGCTCGAACATAGTCATCGGGGCCACAGTGAGCGGGCAGACGCACGACGGTTCCTTCCACACCCCCCAGCAGGATATCCTCACAGTTGTTGTGGTCACCGGTGCCTCCTACACAGACCGCTTTAGCGATTTGGGTACTGTAGTCATCAGGATGAGTGTCCGGGCAATCGAAGAGCTCCAGGTCTGAACCATCTCGCTTTTCAAAGCTCTGCACGTCCTCGGCCTCTCCGACCCTAATGATCCAGGTAAAGGCCCGCTTGTCAGGGTTGGTTCCCTGTACACCACTCGAGGTTTCATCCGGATTACTGTCAAACGCCTCGGCAAATGTCGTAGTAAAGCTGTCTGTGAACGAGTCCGCTGTGGGGAACAGATCCTCTAGTGGTACGGGAAGGAAAGCAGACCCATTGCTTAGAGGAGGAGGACAGCAAAAGGCCTGCTGGCAGCCTTTATTGCAGCCACTGTAACTCTGTTTGAGGCCTTCATGCCACCCGTGCCACCGCAGCAGCTCAACTTGGCCCTTGGGGTGCTGTTAGCAAAATAGCAGCTGCGAGAGCGTGTCCGACACTCACCAAGGGACACTCGCTGTCATTGCAATAATGGCTGTCTCCGTGCCAGGCACATTGCTCTAGATCGTATGCCTATTGGAAAATACGCTGTTAGTCGGATTATTCTGCGCTGTTGACTCTTCACATACCGGCTTCTCCGGACAACAGAACTTTTGAGTAGCCTGGATCCGTGATGCGTCCAGGTCACTGATCACATTTCCGACAGAGATCATCGCTTGCGGCTTGTCACTCGGGCATTTGTCCGATGATGTTAGATAGCATTCTTCAATTGCTTTTTGTCTGTTGGTCGCCGGACAACACCCTGTCGGCAGTCTGGTCAGATATCGTATATAATTTCACAACAGCTGCATCTGCACTTACAGACTTTCTTGCCCCCCATTGGTGCATCGCTTTTTACTGTCCCCATAGTCATCCAAGACCATACTGACCTCCCCGGCCGCGCATTGGCCATGACAGTTGACTGGGCCTCCGGTCCAGTAACAGGTTGACGAATCGGGGGCGTTCACCGCAGGACAGCAAACTATATAAGTCCGATAACCAGTCAGTCTCAAAGCGTACACAACGCATCCAGCAGAGCACATACATGACCGAGCATTGTGGTTCTTGCCAGAACATCCACGACCGCTCTCATCTTCATTGAGCTTGGTCATTGTGACATCGCCATCTTTACAGCTGGCATTGCAGTCTGTAATATAGCACTGATCCACACTAAAAGCCCCAAAGCCATCCTGGGCTGTGGAAATGGGCTCCACATCTTTCCCGGTCACGCCTCGCAATGCATGATAGTACTGATCGTCTTGATCGACGGCCCAGATTAACACTCCAGCGAGCCCATACTTGTTGGCAAGATCGATCTTAGCCTTGAATGAGATGGCGTCATCAAACGAAACCCAATTAGCGCCCCCTTTCCCGTAGGTAGTATGATAGACGCCCCGCATCCTGGTCGTACTTGGGGGAGAGATTGTAGTCGGAAATGATATCTTGGATTTCACTGTACGAGAGGATTCCCGCAGTCGTGGTGCATGGGCCTGCCGGTCCCGGGCCCTTCCACTCGCATCCAGCCTCGGCGCATAGGGGAGTGGAAAGCTCGAACGTGCGTCCGTAGAACCAAGGCAATCGCAAGGTCAGCTCGCTGTCTGGCTCTCATGGTAGGGAACATACAGCCAACCCGAGGTTAATACTGCTGGGGCTGATATCATTCCGCCAGAACAGATCCAAGGCCAGATCGATCTCCGTGAGGTTTGTGTGGGCGTAAACGTAGGGACCGATTGGATCGTCCCGATCCCAGGTGCCATGGAGATCATAGGCCATGAGATTGAACTCATCTACCACCTTCTCTAAAGCCTTGATATCAAACCATCGGAGGTACCAGTAGGGTGTGGGTACAGTAATGGAGATCCCCCAGTCCTTCGAGTAATTGTTTCCTCCTTGGAGAAAATTTCTTCATCGCAGCCAACATCTTGGGATAGTTGCTAACATCCTGAGTGCGGCCTCCGCGGTCATCTGCACCAGGATATTCCCAATCCAGGTCAACGCCGTCAAAACCAAACTTATCGAGAAACTCCATCAAGTTATTGATGAATGTCTGCGTAGAAGCCTGATCGCCCGCAAGATTGGAAAACACAGACTGATAGGTTCCCGGATCGTTGAAGGACCATCCACCAATGCTAACCCAGATCTTTGCTTCTGGGTTACGCGTCTTGATGTCCGCCACTCGGGCATATAAATCCGTAGCCATGGTTGTATTATCCATGGCAATGATCTGGTAGCTCTTGGGGTCAATATACAAGAACGCAAGGTTCACCTGGTCTAGATATTCGACCGGGATCTCCTCGGGTGCCATGGTGCCACATTTGGAGCCTCCCGCCCTCCACGACTCGTAATATCCAATAACCCTATTACGGATATCTCCATTAATGCCCGGGCACGGGCGTTCTGGGTCATTGCAGTTTGATTGACATCCTAATAGATTCTTCCATTAGTATTACTAGTATGAGTGGATCTTCGGATGATCGTACGCACCAGATTTGCAAAATTCATCAGTCGTCCCTGTGCGCCTATTAGTCAAGTGTACACAGATAAAATGCATGGATGACATTACCGCAAACCCCAAATTCACTGTCTTAGAGTAGGAAGGTTAGAGCCCTTTCTACAATCAAACTACCGTGACGCACTCACCTGCAACAAATATTCAATGGACACAGCTGTCCGGGAGTTGCGGCATCCCTACCGCATTCTGCCTTAGCATCACAATTGGATTGACATCCTAATATACCATGATGTTAGGTGAGAATCTTGATGGTCTTTACTAGTAGCAAAGAATGGACGTCCTTACCGTTGCCGCAGTAAAGCCCCCCAAAACTGTCATTGCACGCAAGTCAATGAGAGACACTATGTGATGGATAAAGTCCAACTTACCCGCACACATGATTGGGACCGCAGCATGCCTTGTTCTTACACTCCCGACTAGGGCCACATGTATAATCATCCACTTCTGGGGCCCGTTTCAGGAGCTTTCTGCCTGGCGCTGGAGACGTATGTTGCGGTGCGAATGAGGAAGTCGATGCAGAGTGGTGACTGTGATGGCCACTAAGGTGGTGCCCACGTAGGGTATGACGGTGTGCTGAGGCTGCTATTATCTGCAAAGAGAGCCAGAGGATAGCAGATAGCCTCATGGTGAATGGAATGTGAGCCAAGCCGATTTGACGACTGCCAACCGTGCTGTGTTCCCTTTCTATTTATTCACAGCCCTTGCCCCTCAGCTTCGGTCCTTCAGTCGCCCACTGTCTTTTTTTCGTTCGATGTTCCAAGGAAAAAGTCCCACCGGCATTGGATTGAGCCTAGAACAATCCGTACTAGCCATCGTAGCCCTAGATATACGGCGTAAAACGACACTGATACATACCGGCGGTGCCTAAGACACCATTTAGACACTGCTCACTAGGGAGCCATGGATATAGCCGAGATGAGGGGACTCAGTTTCTTGTGCAAATTAGTGGGTTAAAAGGGGCTACTTGGGGAAAAACTGTTCGTAGCCAGTTAAACTGCTCGAACCCAAGGTCTACGGCCCCGGCCGATCCGAAGATTACGGGTCCGCAGCATTTAGCACCCTTTACTTGGTTATGTGGGTCAGCCCAGCGCACGATGAACCTAAAGGTCTTTGCCACCCAGGGAACCAAGAGTGCCGGGTTGCTTGCTTTGATTCCAAGCCCCTTGCCTAGGGCCGGATATTGCTGTGAGACATCGCTACAATAGACTTTCGGGGACTCTTCGCAAAGCCTGTCAGTTCCCAGGGATCAAAAGTCTCTTCTGGATTTTTAATATGGGTACGGTGTTGTACACTCTCGGTAATGATTAGGGCCGAGTCCTTCATTATTAGCTCAGAGACACAGGGACAGCTCTTCGACTTCACTCTTCCTGGATCTCCGCAACGGCGCTCGACAAACGTGGGGAGCTCATCGGTCAGAATGCAGCTCAACCATCTGCGGCTAGGCATGCTGGGCCCTGGGAACAGTGCCAGTGTGGGCAGATATACAATTATTTACCTCGGATGCGTTCCCCTCGCTTTCTACCGGATGCGTGGATGCATTGACAGCCAACTTGTCATGTGGATTGATTGAAACGGGAAACACGATGTATCAGCTGACAACAAACATCACGAGAGAAGTTTCTCGATCAGATGTGCACAAATGAATGCAAGGCCTCAATCGCCTCGTACCGTGAGGCTGTGGAAAAGGCTTGCGCAGATGACCAATATGACGACAGGGGAAATTCCACCAGCATCACTGCAAGCTCCGGAGTGTATCGCCCCATTGTCCTGCCAGATTACTATGTGACAAACTACAACCAGCGGTGTTTGAAAGATAATGATGGCGAATATTGCTTGTTCCACTTGCAATCGACAGATACGCAGGATGAGTGTGATATATGTGGGCTCCGAATGTTTCAAACTGAGATAAGTAACGGCTACTTCTATTATGACGATCTAGCCGAGCAGTACACCTCGTTGACGTCGAGTTGTGGTGTCTCAACCCTGGATCTTCCCACATCTACCTCAGTGGTCGTGAAAAGGCACGCCGCGCTTTATTCATTGCATCTCTCCCCCTCTACGTGCAGTTCTAACTTTCTCAGCTCCTCGTCACCCAGCGCGACCCCAACCGCGTGTTCCGATCGGAGCGCTGTCATCCAGCCTGGTGACACCTGCGATACATTTGCCGCTACAAACAATGTGAGCACCTGGCGGATGCTACTTGAAAATGGTCTGCAGAGTGGCTGCGTCGATACTCCTAGCAATGGAACGCTCTGTGTCACTGGCCATTGTCAGACACATCTAGCAACTGCCAACGATAGCTGCATGAGCTTGGCTCGGCAATACGGCATAAGTATCACTCAATTCATTACCTGGAGCTCGGTTCTGAATTCTCTGTGTAGCAATTTCGATGTTCTTGTCGGCCATTACGTCTGCGTAAGCTACCCTGGCAACGCAACCTCCCAAGACAACCCTTATGCCACCAGTGCTGTAGGAGCTACAGCAAGCATAGCGGCTCCCATACCCACTGATGTGGCTCCGGGAACCAATACAAACTGTGGGAAGTATTACCGTCGATCCTGTGGGGAAGATGCTAATCTCGCCAAAGACAATGATTACTGTCAAGCCATTGCGATGGCACAAGGCATTGCTTTATCTGACTTCTATTTCCTCAATCCGGAGGTTGATGCAAACTGCACCAATATGTGGTCTAATTACAGCTATTGTCAGTGCTGCCCTAATCGTCCGGTTCACACAGCTCGAGAATCTAACATTCTCCTTAGGCGTCCAACCAGTAGGTAATATCGAAACTTACTCCGGCTATGGGGGTACCACTGGAACAGCTGCAGTTTCAGCAACAAGTACAGCACCCTGGTGGGCTAAACTAACAGGAACTCGCGTCGCCTGGGATGATCTTCCTCTGGCGACCAATCTAACATCATGGGTCCCCATTGTGACCCCTATCACCGCTCCCTTGGTTCCTAACACGCGACTGGACTGTGATATATATGAAGACAACGTCTACGGACAAATCCCGAGCCTCTGGCTGGTTGCTGGGGTATCGATACTAGACTTTGCCAGTTGGAATCCATCAGTAGAGTGGTTTAACTGTACCCTGACAAACAACACCCGTTATTGCACCTTACTGGGACCAGGATATGACTTGACCAAGCTGCCGGATGTCCCAGAAAGTTCTTATTATGCGGATGTCCCATCGAATGCAGCATCGAACTCCACCCACAACTGTTATCGATGGTATACAACACCGTCTACAGGTCTGTTTCTCTCTTGTTCGAGTACTGCCATAGCAAGGTCACCTTCAACTTATTACTGTTTGGCCATGAATAGGAACTACGTGTGACAATGTTCTTGCGTTCGCGAATATTTCCTTCCCGGCGTTTTATGCTTGGAATGTAAGTCGCTGTCGCCCCTATTCCCTATCAAATACGAGTTAACCTTTCCTGTCACCTGTCCCAGCCCAGTATCAAAGACGACTGCTCGAACATCTGGCTCAACACCTCATATTGTATCAGTAGCACGGGCTATGATGATACCTTTTACTCCAACACCACATCGGCCCCTCCATCGTCAACTCCGACCGCAACGAGCTGCACGACTACCACAGTGACTCCCCCTGGACCTACCCAAACCGGTATACCCTGTGACTGCACTCAATATGCCATGAACGAGGACGGTACGTAATACAATTCCACGTGTCATTCGCGATATCCCCTATGAATTACATTCATATCAGGCCTGTACTGCGCAGACATGGCATCCAAATACGGCATAACGCTCAATGAGCTATACGACTGGAACCCCGCTCTCAATGGCGACTGCAGTGGACTTTGGGTCGGTTACGCATACTGTGTGGGAGCTGGATCCCCTACAACATCCTCTCCTACCACGACCACCCCAGTTATCACTACCACATCGGCGCACTGTGCCACTGTGACCCCTCCTGGCCCTACTCAGACTGGTATACCCTGCACGTGCAACAAGTACTTGATGCAGGCCGACGGTGAGTTCATTTCCGTTTTGGTCTGCACATCACGCTCATACTCTCTAGGCGTCTGGTATTACGCTAGACGAGCTGTATGGTTGGAACCCTTCGCTTGGTGGCGATTGTAGCGGATTATGGGCCGGATACGCATATTGTGTTGGCGTGCAGTGAGCATAGATTGATCGAGATGTGGCCCTGTGTCTCTGTTCAATGAGGCTGGCATGTCAGCCTTGAGTGACAGGTGGAATCTTTCCCTGTTCTTTACGGTACATGTCCTAGACAGGCAGATAGCAGTGCGGTCGCTCATTTTCTGTGATCGTGAATCATTCGATTCCGATTTAACCAGTATTGGTGGCATCATTAGTACCAGGGAATTATGAGACCGTACCAACCCCCTCGAGTGGTTCCTGATAAACCCATATAGTAAACATACCGAATCTAGCCAGTTAACCAGCGACCTTGTAAAGTAATTTCCAAGACTCTTTGATGAGGTGGGTCTTTCACACCAAAACCACCCGATGAACTTTGGCCTCAAAAATAGGTCCCAAATGTGGCCGAAAGCCAAAGTCCGAATTACCGTTTCAGGGCTGGTAGCTCATACGGTCGTGACCAGGACAGATGTAGAATACCGCAGGGGTAGAACTGTGATTAATGGCTAAATTGGCTCCAGAATTGGACCTGGTCTTAAGGTCTCACTGACAAGCGATCGAAATCGCTCCAGCGTTTTGCATGCACCTGCCAGGGACCAGGAAATGTAATCAAACCAGTCATCATTGGACCCACAGCTACCACTGGTACTGTACCTCTCCTCTTGTGGTACGGCGACGGAGTCGTCCGGTCTCCTTAAGGTGATACTCGGTCGAGATTGATCGCTTTCGAAGGTTAAAATCCTGCCATGACCTTTACTATCCCTTTTTAATGTGAAGACAACACTGCAGGGTGGATGTAATAGCGGGGGATTTAAAGTATTACGTTTTATGTAGGTTAGGTGGGCATATATGGCGATGCACAACTCTAAAATCACCCTCCCCTGGTAGCGCTTCCATTGACATTGCAGTATGATTAAAATGCTATTAACTAGCGAAGGAATGAATCGGTATGACAAAGGACGATAATTACAATCTGGAAGCGATGTAAATGACCTCTGGTAAGCGTGGGGCAAGCTGCGATACATGGAACAGGAGGAGGCGGGTAATATATTTCTCAGTAGCAAAGCTAAAAAGAGTCTCAAGTACGGATGGCGAGCATCACCCGAATGATCAGAAATCGTGCTGAGGACATAACTATTCATTGATTCTACCTGAGAAGCCCTCTTCAATCTTGGAACCTTCCGGTGTCGTTGCCTGAGGATCTGCAGGAGACCTTGTCTATGGCCCGCCTACTTGAAAGGGTGTGAACCTGCTGCGTATTTTTTCATTGGTATCATTAGTTCTGGATATCATCGAGGTTTTCATTTAAGCCCTCCTACATTCCTTTCATTTCTGCCCAGTTCACACTTTTTGGTTAACGCCCTGTCTTGGCACTCCGGAAAATTCTCTCAACAAAATGCCAAGCTAATAGTGGGAGTGGCAATTTGGGGTCCGATCATTGCTTAGGGCCAACCGTTGAACAGCCTGTAGTCTTCCAATCCTGTATGGTATAGTAACGCTGTAGGCACAATCTAGGTTGGGAATAGAATGAAAGAGAGACCGGTTTCATGGTGGTCATAAAATTTATGTCTCGCTTAGTCAGCTATGTGGCTGGGGAATGCGAGCGAGAACCAACGTCGTACTTCCTTGCTTTCGCACTCATGACTAGTGACCACCAGTTCAGTGGTGGCCACGATATACCATGGCCGGCACACTCCCTTTAGAGCTTCTATCTCAGATTGCAGGTTATTTGAATCATGGAGGTGAATCCTTGGTCCCATATACAGTTGTCTGCCGTCGATGGCAGCCAGTCTTTGAGCAATTCATCTACTCTAAAAACCTTGTCGTCCACAGCACCGGGGACGTGGACGAATCCCCTCAACCAGGGATCTCCCTAACACGCTTCACAGCACTAACCTCGGGTGTGGGAATGGCACGGCGTGCCTGGATTCGCCATGTTCAGTACAATATAGTCGTCCCGTATGAACTCCCAGACTGGACCACTCGCAAGCACAAAGGATATCAACTGAAGAATCCGGTCCGAGATGCAAATGACGAGGCATTTCAATCAGCGGTACTTGAACTGTTTCAAGCTTCTGAACTCCTGGGGCTCAGGCCATCGCCTGTCCCTGCAACTAGGACTCGTGGGCCGCGAACAAGGTGAAGAGCCGTGCACATCATCTTACCCCGATGCTTGGGAGTATACATGGGAATTCCGAAATGGCCGTACAAAGGCCACCAAACCCTATCGGGCTTGCTTTCCAAACCATGATGCGTCCATGCTCCCGCAAGTTGCGTGCATCCATAAGCTCTCGTTTATGCGCATATACGAGCCATCGGGTGTCGAGAGGGATCACCAGGTGTGGGCGCAAGCCATTTTCCAAATTGTGCAGCACTGTCCGACGATTGTGGAACTGCACGTGGACTTGGATTATCTCACTCGGCCGGATCAACTAGAGTACATCCAAGCAAGGCGTCAAGGTGCGACAGCTTCTCCGTTGGATCCTCCTCGTTCATAGCACTTACTGACATCTTGTCCACTGGCCTTAGCGGTGTCTGACGGCTTGAGCATTGTGCCTCGCAGTCTTCAAGTCTTTGGTTTTATCAACCAAAAGGAGGGACCTTGGAAGACTTCCATGCCTGCCTTAAACGTTCTATCCTCCGAGGTTGATCGCCTCGCCGTGACCCTCCGAGACCTTAGCTTTTCCCTCCGGGTCCTGAAGTTAAACAAACTTTCTCTCTCCCTCGATTTTCTATGTCCCCTGGATGATGACGGACAACCTAAAACTACATCCTTATGTTGGCCTCACCTCGAGGTCATAGAGTTAAGCTCTATTCCTCCATGGCTTCCTTCCGGTAAATTTTGCAGCCGATCCCTGCACAGTATGGACCCTGCTGACCGGTTTCCTAGGTAAATGGCTCCTCCGCCCCAAACCCGAGGCTGAAGCTGATATCGCGGCAATCGATGACTGGGAGGAGGAAATCTGCCATTCGGAAAGGGGGCATGTGGCTCGCCGTATCATGGAAGTTGAGCAGTTTCACCGGCTGTTCATATCGCTGGGATATGCCGCACGGCATATGCCTCGGCTGACCTCGTTGCAATTCAATCTGAATGCCACCGTTCAGCTAAATTTCAAGTTCGCCGCCGGTGTAGACGGCGTAAGCGCCACGTGGTCCGCCAAAGTGGACTATCGGCCGGACCAGCGGGTTGCTGCAGCTTGGGGTTTTCGCGAGGATGATTTGCAGCCCGGGTTCCCGTGGAGGACATATACTCTTCAGTTGAATAACTGGCCACCTGATGAAGTGCAGTCTTAGCCATACTCACGTTGTTAGAAGACATGCCTTTTCTGTTTATCCGGGGGTTTCCGAGACGAATTAGCGGTCTTGGGTGTCGACGCACATGGTCTTGAACAGGGGTGTCTGTGGTCTTTTTTTTTTTTTTTTTTTTTCATCAAACTTGGTCGGTGATACAACTACAATGCGTAAACCCACCCGTCGTGTGGGAAACAGTAGCCTGACGCTGAAATAATGTATTCAACCTCCCTCATGAGCACTTAAACGCGTTCGGGCTCGAAAAGACGCTAACCACGGGCTAATGCGCACTATCGATCCCTGAACCCCTAGACTAGTCCTAACGCGGGCCTCGCGTCCGATGGAAGATTTCCCAGCCAGTCATCTGGCTTGCCCTGCTGCAATCTCTCGGGCACTATGCTCAACACAGCCCAAGTTCGTTTCGGCTATACACCCACTTTGCTCTTATCGTGGAAATTATGGGGCCCGGTGAAATGAGGCCGACACCGCCACCAGGGACAAAGGGTCATAAAAGGGCCCGGGACCCAGTTTACCGAGCCTTCCGAAATCTGACTGGACCAGTTCATCATGAAACTTCTTGGCCTCCGCGCCACGGTTGCGGTGGCCGTGGGAGGTTTCACGGGTACGCATTGCCATGATGACTACTATCTACTAGTTCCGGATCAATTTATTGACGCTGAGTAGTCGTTGCGGCTCAGGAGTGCTATGCCAATACCACGTATGGGGATTTTGACGTGGACGTGAAGAATTTTTTCAGTCAAGAGGAGCTGGACACGTATACGACAAACTGCACCACGTTACATGGGGACATTGGCTTTGGGAAGAATTTCACCGGTGCAGCCATCGTTCACAACCTGATCAACATCACCGGCGTCGTCACCGTGGGGTCGAATTTAACCTCGATCGAGTTTCCCGATCTCTTATCGCTCGGCTCCATGGACGTCGACTCGTCGAATTTGAGATCCCTTTCCCTGCCCCAGCTGCAAACTGCGTCCAGCTTTAATGTCGACAATTTCGAATCCTTGAGTTTCTCTTCGCCCAAAATATACCAGGCAGATTACATCTGGATCACAGGCCAGTTAGCAAGGTATTTTCTCCTTCCCCGATCAGATCGATCGTCTACTAACTGTGTAGCCTTGACCTCCCGAAACTTGATACAGTGACCAAGATTCTCGAGATATGTAGCGACTCGGACTGTACAGCGCCCTCGGGGACAGCCTTCGATGTGAATCTTCCGGCCTTGCGAAACGCCAGTCAAGTGAAAATCGCAGGAAATCTCTCCAGGTTTGCCCCTCCCTCCATCCCTCCTGGGCGTTGAGGTTAATTGATTAGTTTATCATTACCCGTCCTTGCCACTACCGGAAGCGATGCACACTATGCTGGTGTCTTCATTTCCAACCACGGCAATCCCCTGAACATGAGCTTCCCTGAGCTGAGCTCCGTCACAGAAAGCCTCAAGTTCAAGGGAGCTATGAGCAGGTAGAATACTTCTTCCACCCCCTCTTGCCCCTGCGCTGACCGATATCGCAGCATCAACCTACCGTCATTGCACAACACAACAGCGGATATCACCATCGACAGCTCCACCCCCCTCGATGTGGACCTATCCTCCCTCATCGAGGCGAGTAAAATCCTCCTCGAGGGAAAAATCTCCTCGTAAGTCCATCTGCCTCTGCACTCATCAATCAACCTCTTTAATATTCAACCGAGGTATAGAGCGAACTTTTCCTCCCTCGAAATCTTCCAACAGGTGGAAATCGAATCCCAAGTCCACATTAACTGCGGCACCTCACTTCCCCAAAACATCACCGTTGGGGAAGTGGCCAGTTGCTCGTCGACTGCAAAGTCCAAGGGCTCGAACATCTCCAGTCGCTCGGTTAATATTGGAGTAGGGGTGGGCGTAGGGGTCGGGGGTGCCATCGGACTCCTCATCATCGTTATCTGGATGTATAGGAGAAGTCTGAAGCGGAAGAAGAGGGCCAGTCAGGCTGTAGCTACCCTGGATGTGTATGGGTTGCAGGAGGGTGTGGGGGTGGATAGGGTTGAGACGGCACCGCCGCCCTATTCACGATATTGATCAATATGATATTAACCCCGGCGAGTCTAGAGCTATAGATATACACAATGACGACTCCAGGGGTTGGACTCTACATTATCATCGCTTGAAGCAACTTGAGTATGCTTGATTTGATACCTGGACTGTGACTGGGCTGTTCCCAATGTGCCGGTTCTGTAATCGGCGAACCATGTAATATAATGACAAGCTAATCCCATACACTCGTCTGCAACATCATCATTCAGGGCTGCTCCCACTGCAGCCTCAATTATCCGGAATCCGATGCTCCGCCGCATCCACGCCCGCATGCCAGCGATACTTTGCAGCCGGATGATCCGCCGGCGGACCACTCTGACCCTCCTTCCCGTAAAGATTCTCACGATACGTGCCCTTCGTCACGGCATAATCATCCCAGAAGAGGCCTCTCTTGCGAAGCTCCGGAATCAGCAAGTCGATGATATCCTTGAACGAGCCGGGTTTAATCGCATACGCCTGCATCGGTCAGCCACTTCCCCCCTGTACCTATACCTACCATTCCATGACCACTCACCAGATTAAACCCATCCACATCCGCCTCATTCACCCACCGTTCCATCTCATCGGCCACCTGCTGCGGTGTTCCCACCGGCGTCGCCCCCAGCCCTCCCACCGTGATATGCTGGCCCACCGTGGCCTTGGTCCATTTCTCCACCTCCGGCGTGGCCTTGGACCAGCCCTCCACAGCCGACCTACATAACCACCCCATTAGCATCCTCACCAACCCCCAACAAAGCACCACAAAGACCCCATAACGAAACCACATACCGAATCGCATTACTCTCCACAAACCTCAACTCCTCCTCCTCCCCATACCTCCCTAGATCAATCCCCGTCCAGCCCCCAAACAGCGCCAACGCCCCCTCCACACTCCCCAAACTCCTAAAATACTGAAACTTCTCCCTCGCCTCCTCCTCCGTCCGTCCCAGCACCGGACACAACAGCGCCAGAAACTTGATCGCTTTTCCATCCCGTCCGAATTCCCGGGTCGCTAGTTCGCGAATCTCGGCGATGTTCTTCGCCACCACGGAGGGGCTGTGCCCCGCGACGAAGATCGCCTCGGCGTGTTGTGCGGCGAAGGCCTTGCCTGCTTTGGAGGTCCCGGCTTGCAGGATGACGGGCGTGCGTTGTGGGCTCGGTTGGCAGATGTGGGGGCCGGGGACGGTGTAGTATTTCCCGGTGTGGTTGATCGTGCGAACGCGGGTTGGGTCCGTGTAGATTCCGCGGCTGCGGTCGAGGACCACGGCGTCGGAGCGCCAGGAGGATTCCCAGAGCTTGTAGGTTACTCGGATGTATTCTTCTGCTTGGGCGTAGCGGTCGTCGTGCTGGGAGTTGTTAGGGGGTTGTGTTTTGGGGGGGGGGGGGAACCAAAGGGGATTGGGGAAGGCATACCTGGGGTTGTTGGGTGTGGCCGAGGTTGCGGGCTGCGGAGTCGAGATAGCCGGTGACGATCTGGGATGGTGAGTTGGGGTAGATTAGCTGGGATTAGGGGATTTTTTACATTCCATCCGATTCTGGGAATGTTAGTATCATAGTGATACGGATAGGGGAGGGAAAACTTACCGTCCCTTGGTGAGGTGGTCAATCGTGGATAAACGGCGGGCGAGATGATAGGGCTGTTCGTAAGTCGTCGTGACCGTCACTCCGAAGCCAATGTTCTGTGTCGCCGCCGCCATGGCAGGCACCACAGCTAGAGGCTCATTGACAGGCCATTGCGCCCCGGAGATGATGGCCGGCTCGAGATTCCGCGGGCCTTTGTATACGTCGTAGCCGCCTGAGGGGTTAGCATGGTTTGGTTATTGAGGAGGGGTAATGTACCGAGGACGTCGGCAATGAAGATGCCGTGAAACTTGGCCGATTCGAGCAGTTTAGCCAGCTCGATCCAGTGGTCGATGTCGTTGAACCGGTGCGATTCATCCTCCGGGTGTCGCCAGAGTCCAGGGGACTGGTGACCGCTGCCTGGGAAGAGTTAGAAACTGCTATGAAGTCGGTTCGGGTGCGTACACATTTCCACAAAGGCATTGAGAATGAGCGATTTGCGGGGTCGAGGTGCGGGGGTGTCAGTCGCCATGGTGAGTCGCGGTCGGATAGAAGGTGTAGGGGATATGCCGTGACTGTCGGTTCAGGCTGGTTGAAGATGTGGGAAAACTAACAATTATATAAAAAACCGTGGGTAATATCATCAACCTGGCCGACCGCGGAATAAGTACGGATGATCAGCAACCCCTCGATGGTGGTGATGTAGCACCACAGTGGGCCGGGATGGCGTGATGGCATGAGGGGTTGACGGGGATCAATCCATGCAAAACCCCGTACCGCGGGGACTATCGGAGCTCTTTATCTTAAAACTTGGTCCTACCTTTCATAACCGGGTTTGATGATTCGGTTGGACGGAGCTTTGAGCAGGCTTAGGGTTCCGCGGCAGCGCCCTATCTTTGGGCGATGCCGCCAACCATCCGCGCTGTCACGCAATCCTAAACTTTCTTTTCACTTCATGCACTCTATCGGCCGACTGAGCTTATTTCTAGGTATTGATTGGACCAGAGCACCTCATATGCACTAGCTATCGTATCATCAGGGAACACGGGTGTTCATGCAGGATCGATGATCGGCAACAGCGTGGTCATGCTGGATGTAGATCTTAGGAATATATCTGTCGACGTCCACGTCGTCTGCTGCTACTTTATGGACATAAGCCTGTGCTCGAGAAGAGTACTAGTGTATCAAAATGCTTGAAATTCACGCCCGTGCAGCAGAGCGCGTCTGTGCAGCCCCCGCTGTCCCAGGCTGTCGGATATGTCATTGTCGTAGTGTTGGGGCTGGTCATTGCTTGTGGTATGTTCACTCGGTGGATAAGGGATCCAGCTAACCGAGCAGTGATGATGGTCATCACCAAGGTCCTAAAGAAGACGACTGGAGAAGATAACAAAAAAACTGAGATGTATGTCAGGTGTACCTCGATCTGCTCATACTAACCGTCCAGGTTCATGACTGCCAATCGCACGGTCCGGACAGGCTTGACTGCATCGGCTGTGATTTCGGTAGGACAACTTCATGTTTAGCTATGCCTCGCTGACAGCCTAGTCCTGGCTATGGACAACGGCCATGCTAGGAGCATCACTCGTCGGGTACAACTACGGAGTAGCTGGTCCATTCTGGTTCGCAGCGGGCTGCAGTCCCATGATTGTCTTTTTAGCGTTAGTATATCATGCAAAAGGAAGATCCCAGATGCGCACACGTCGCTCGAAGTGGTCCGGATTCAATACGGTATGTGCTCCCATCTCCAATGGATATGGCTGACAGTTTAGGCCGCGTCGCTCATGTGGTCTTGATGACCTTGTGTCTGATTAACAACATCTTTTCCTGCGCGAACATGCTCTTGGGCGCTGCAGCGGTTATCTCAGCCATGTAAGTGTTCCTTCAGTGTGGAAATCATCACTAACCATATAGAACCGGGATGCACATCATCGCCGCAACATTTTTACTGCCCGTTGGCGTGACAGTCTACACCTTTGTAGGTGGAATCAAAACGACTTTTCTCACAGACTACTTCCACACAGCCATCATCCTTATCATCGCATGCTACTTTTCCATCAAAGCGTTCACTGTGGAAGAGGTCGGCTCCATCGGCAAGCTATATGACCTTGTCCAAGCAGCTGCACAGCGTCATCCTGTCTCCGGCAATCAGGACGGGCCATACCTGACGATGACTTCGAAGGGGGTGCGTACATTGCCCTATCGCTTTCATTTCTAACATTACTAGGCGATTCTGTTCGGCATCCTCCACATTTGCTCCAACTTCGGCCTCGTGATTGTAAGCACCTCCTCCCCCTTCATCAGCACCACTAACAGTCCCAGATGGACACCAGCTACTTCATCAAAGCCTTCTCAGCCGCCCCCTCATCAGTAGTGCCAGGCTACACCATCGGCGGCATCGCCTACTTCGCCATCCCCCTGGGCCCTCGGCACCATCAAAAGCTCTCTCGCCCTCGGTCTCGAAAACACATCCTTCTTCCCAACCTATCCCCGCGTAGGTACCCTCCCAATCACATCACCCCACCACTAACAAGCACAGCGCATGACCTCCGTCGAAGTCAGCAACGGCCTCGTCCTCCCATATGCCGCCATGGCCATCGCAGGAAAAGGCGGCGCGGCAGCCGTCCTCCTCATCACTTTCATGGCCGTGACCTCCACCCTCTCCGCACAGGTCATCGCCGTCAGCTCGATCCTCAGCTTCGACGTATACCGTGAATACATCAACAAGGCCGCCTCAGACAGAGACATCATCCGAGCTAGTCACTTTGGTGTTATATTCTTCGCTGCCTTTTCCGCTGGCTTTAGCACAATGCTCCATTGCGTTGGTATTGATCTCGGGTGGACGTTGTATATGCTCGGTACTCCCTTCACACCTCTACCTCTCTTATGAAGAAAGTTTATTAACGTGTATAGGGGTCGTAACCTGCCCCGGCATCTTCCCCATGGCATTCACCATCCTCTGGCGTCGTCAAAACCAAGCAGCCGCCATCCTAGCCCCCATTCTCGGCATGGCCACAGGAATCGGCGTGTGGCTGGGCACTGCGCGACACTTCTACGGTACCGTATCTGTTAGCTCGACGGGGGAGATTCTCCCCTGTGTGTATGGGACTGTTGCGTCTGCTTTCTCGCCTATCGTGTATTCTGTTGTGATTACGTTGGTCAACCCGCAGCGGTACGACTGGGCGGAGTTCAGGAAGGAGAAACTAGGTCTGGATCGAGTGGATAGTGATGTGACGGTTGGTGAGGAGCAGGGGGCCATATCGTCATTTGATCCTCGGGAGCTAAAGAGATGGGGTCGTATTGCGGCGTTCTGGTCCATTGCAACGTTTCTGGGTCATTGGGTGTTGTGGCCGTTGCCGATGTATGGGTCGAAGTATGTTTTTGGGAAGGGGGTGAGTATATGTTCCGTTTATGTTGGGAGGAACCGTGCTAACGGGGTTAGTTCTTCTCTGCGTGGGTTGTTGTGGGTATCATCTGGTTGTGGATTGCCATGTTTGTGGCAATCTTTTATCCCATTCTTGATGGGGGAGTGCAGCAGATGGTGCAGGTAGGGAGGGCACTGCGTGGCGGGAAAGGTGGTTCATCGGCGCTGTCGATTACGGATGGTTCGGGTGATGTGTTGAAGGTGGAGGAGAAGCAGTAGTGGTGCTTTGTTAGGTTTATTATGACACTGATAGGTAATATAATTGATGAACTGGAGACGTTGAAAGTTTTCTTACTACATACACAATCAATCCACGATGAATCGACAAGGGATGGTATGCCTCTTGATGACTAACCCCAGAGTAAATGCACCAGTCCATTGGCTTATACATGAATGGCAAGCCAAGCCGACAACTAAAGCTCAGGCTGTTGCTGCAAGAGATAGTGGGGATCGCCAGGCACGCAGCCAGCTCCACCCGTCGGCTGGAATTCCTGGATGGAGAGCCATCGATCCGCTGTCTTTAGCTGGTGAAAACCTAAAATACTATATTAACCGGTTCTCCGCCGTCATGACTGCAAAGAGCGCAGTCAAACCCGTCACTCATTTGCTTGGCACAAGGGGTCACTCCCCGATTCATTCACCATGGCCATTCGTTCGCTCCTTTTGCTCTCTAGCATCCTATGATTTACCCAGCTAGCTGTCGCCGATACCTGCACGACAAGTGATGTGATCAAGGGCGGCTCCTCCGACTATGTCTCCTACTGGAGCATGAGCGCCGGCCCAACCCTAGAAACCTTTCCCGTCATCAGCACGGGGGGGACCTGATGGAGGCGCCTACCTGTGAGTACAGCTGCATCTCAGCAAGGCCAAACTAACTCACCCAGGGAAATATCAGACTGGAGATATGACTCCGTCCTCGTTCGGCAAAACATCCCTGCCCTGGTAGCAGACACTTACAAGTTGTCACTAGCTTGGTCCATCGCCACCAGTTCATCCACCACCTCGCAGTGTACACTAGAAGTCTCGGTGAACTCCCAGGGGCTCTCCGCGGCTAGTGCTGGGATCAGCCCCGGCGGACATGGGTCTTGGTCTACGTTGACGGGCACATATACAGCAGCTGCTTCGACGGGCGTCCCATTGGTCATCTCCATCAGCTGTTCCGAAGGGGGAGGCTGGGAAGGAAATCCAATCATTGGTTTGGCTGATATTTCGTTCACCAACGAGTGTGTTTCTGCGACTACTAGCTCTCTCGCAGCCACCTCCACGGGCAGCAGTGTTGCACTTTCAACCGACGCCCTCAGCACCGCTGCCACTGCGACCACAAGTATTGCTTCCGGGTCATCCTCGTCCAGCGCATCGTCCACGACCACATCTGGGTTGACCGTCTCAACTGGAACCGCCGAGACGAATGCAGATGGAACAACCACGGTGACTGCCGACAGCACAAGCGGAACGTCACTGGAGGCTTCCGAATCAGTGGATAGCTCAGATTCGGGGTCAGTGTCTGGAACCTGGTCGGTTTCGTCTGACACGGCGAGTACCGAGCGCAAGGGATCTGCCGCAGTGTCATGTACGTTGAGTGTCTACCAGGGTAGCAGTCTCCTGGATAGCAGCACCCTGACTGTGGGATCTACGGCTCCGTTTTCTGCATGCTTGGGCAGCCAGTCGGAAAGCTCGTCTGTCTCTGTCAAGGTTGTCTGTACTGGCCCTGGAGCTGTCATTGAAGTTTGGTTTTGCCGTGGATACCAGTGTTGCAGCCGTTGAACAATGCGCTGCTGCTGCTGCTGCTGCTGCTTCCAGCTCGCATGTTGCCGCTCAGAGCCCATCGGTAATTTCTTTTGTGCCTTCGTCTATTGCTGCATCTCATACTCTCCGTCCTCCTTCTACTAGCTCTGCAAGCCCAATTAGGGCTTCCAGTGCTAGCATCCATCGATCTTCCAGTTTAATCCGGCCAATCGAGACATCCCGGTCGAGCGTCAGGCCCGAACTCGATCTCTGGCCTTGGGTCCTCGTCTACTCTTATTCATACACCATCCGGGGCTCATACGACTAGTTCTCCTGGCACGGGTTATGGATCGCAATTCCCGACTTCTGTGGTGTCCCATACCGCCGTCCATACTGTCACGGCATGCCAGTCCTCGGTCAAGAACTGCCCGGCATCCGACAAAACCATATATCTGACCACTGAGACAATTGTGGACTATACTACGATTTTTCCAGTGACTGTCACCGAGACCAGCACTGCTGCTCCCGTCAGTATCTCTACTCATCTGGCCATTGGGGCATACACTACCACCGAGACGGCTGTTGCATATATTACCACCTCTCCTGTGGCTACAGGAATGGTTTCTGAGACCCAGTCGACCGGCGCTAGCCTGTCCGAGAACGAGATTCACGCCACAGCAACGAGATACGATACCACAACCCTAACTCCCTCTGCAGGCGAAGCATCCCACGAGACAATCTCCGTCTACACCAGCGTAGTCCCAGTGGAAACCACCATCACTCTTTCCTCTGTATCAAGTGGATCATCCGACAAGACAAAACCTATGCACACCACCCCATCCTCAGTGACCACAACTGTCCAAACTCCAGGCAGTACTAACAATTACCTCTCCACCCCCGCCTCCATTCCTTCCTCCCAGTCAGAATCCACCACCCCGGAAATCACCGGAAAACATCCCATCGCAGGCACCAAAGATTCCTCCATCAGCTTCAATTCCGAGAATCCCGAAGACATATTCCCTGCAGAGGTCATCTCCGCAGCAAGCACCCCTGTCGCAACCATCAAATCGACATCACTTATCCCGGTCAAATCGTCTGCCGTTTCTTCCCCACTCATTTCTCCCCTCCACAACTAGTCATACCGCGGCGCTTGGTACTTCCCCGGCTGCAGTATACACCGGCACCGCGTCATCTCTCACCATGATATCCAGTTTGAATTGGGTGGTTATGACTCTCCTGGGAGTCGTATTCCTGTATTAAAAACGGTAATTTATTATAATTATTATATGTTACCAGTCTATTATCTAATAAATACTTCGAAGAAGGAGTAAATTTAAAAATATAATAGGCTAAGAAGCTAGGTAGACTACATAAAATATAATAATTTATAAAGAAATTAAATTTATTAAAGAAAGAATTATCTAATCTATAGATACATTAGGTCTTCTTATAGACAACTCTTTCTAGAGAATTTTTTTATAATTTTAGTAAGCTTCTTTACTGCTCTAGAGATTTCTATCCTTTCTATAGATATTATCAGATTAAGGTCTAGGACTAGATGGGTTAGAACATAGATGTTCCAATTCCGGATGGCTGACAGGGCCTAGCCCTTTTCAGATTCGTTTATCATGTTACGCGGGACGGTTCCCAAGACTTTAGTCCGACTCTAATAGGAAGTGCAAAGTCTTGGAATAGTCTGGAGCGAATGAACCGTGCCAGCCTGGTAACTTGGTGTCTTCGTTTTGGTGATGTTGTGAGTGTATGTCTGGAGGCGGGTACTGAAGATCCCTGCTAAGGTGTCCGATATTAGAAAATTGGATGATGGGTGCTTTGTTATTGTTTATATATGGCTATATACCAGACCTCAGGTTGCTGCTGAGCTTGAACTGGATGATATTCTCTCAGAGTACTAATGGAAAGATTTGGATGGAAGATAGCCTTAGAATGCTTATTATTAGTTTATGTTAAGCACTAACCGTACAGTATTATTATAGGACACGGCCATCTCGCTAGTCCTGTATGAGGTGACTTTGAAGATATACTATAGTTTGATTTATAAAACAACACCTATAAAATGCCGGATATGGAGTGAAAAGATTGTCAGGTCAGATGGATGAGAAAAGTACTGGAGCTGGAGGCAGGGGCTTGCGGAGAATGACAGGCAAATAGAATCCCAGTGATTGAAGCTACAGGAAGCTAGGTCAATTTTAACATAATCAGTAAGCGAGCCGGCAATAACAACCCTCTATTGTATCTTGGAATACATTTCTCGAACAGTATCATAATTGTGATACTGATACTACTAATATATATCTTTGGATTTCACAGGGCTTCCTCCATCGGCCTATTAGCCTTCGTTCAAGCTTCGTGCAATTCTGAAAATATAATCACCTAAAATCGAACATCAAGTAATCCTGTATTTGAAAAAGACTACAACCCCTTATCACAACTGGCCGCCTCCACTCCAAAGCACCAATTCCAGTTCGTCTCCCAGTTAGTCCCGAACCCGTTGCTCTCAGCTTCCATGGCCCACTGCCCACTCAGATCCCCATCCACCCACTCGCTGAAGGAGAAGCCCGCGAAGGTAGAATAATTCACAAGGTTGAGGAAGACGTTCATCGCCGCCGAGCTGCTACTTGTGCCCGACATGGGGGAATCCAGAAACAATTCTACCTGCGTTTCCGTCATCACGGCGCCCTCGGAGTTGCACTGCAATTTGACGCCGCCACTGCCAACATGGGTGTAGTTCGGGTCAATGGCTCCGCGGCGTTGGAGCGATGCGCTGTTGTTCTCACTGCCGCTTCTGCTGCTACTAGGAACCAGATGCCCGATGTGGTAGTGAGTGCCGTTGGTGGCCACCAGGAGGGGCACGTAATTCTCGCGCGTGTCCTGATACACAAAGCTCAGGGGCATGCTAGAGTTGTGGAGGGCGCGGATGGCCGAATCCTCGCCCGCGCTGCTGCGCTTGCCCATGGTCTGGGGCAAGTGCGTGACATTGAGCGGAACACCTTCGAAGTGGACGTCGGAGATTGCGACATGGGACCCCATCTGGCTGAAGTAGTCATCGATGTACGCGACGTCGCCTCCGAACCCATCACGCTTGTTTGTCCAGTAGCCCACCTGCCGATAATTATTGTAGGCCATCCCGAAGAGAGCAGCAGCGGAGACAACAGACTTAGCACAGGTGAGAGAGTCCTCAGTACTGCCGCTTTCTCCGACGGGGATGCAGTTTTCGATCGTTTCGATCAGATGGATGGTACCAAACCCCGCGGACACAATAACACCGTTCCCAGGAGTGCCAAACTTGGTGGCTAGAACACTTGAAATGACTGAGGCTGCCACATTCCATGTATGCGGGATGTCCGCGGCGGACACCTCAGCCAATGCGGTGCATAGACTCAGTGTTCTGTAGTTGAGAAGTCTCATTTTGCGATCAGGAGAGGTTAAAAAGCAAATGTAATGAAGGACGACAACATGAACGAGAGTAGGGTCAAGAAGCCAAAAGACAAAGGGATTGTCCAATTTATAGTTGTTTTCTGGATAGGCTTATGTCCAGTCTCTTAGACCAGCTTTTTATTTCTCTAAGCGAGACACAATAAGTCACTACTGAACATAGATGTCGAAGCAATTAGAGGCAAAGGCAGACAAGAAGATCCGTTCGATAGGACATATCTCAAAGGCATGGAGACTCTGCGTCTCTACTATTCTATACTACTGTGGATCCTCGTTATAACGGACCTCGCTACAACGAATTCCTTGACAGAACGAATTTTATAAGCGGGCTTTTTCGGCCATTGTCATACAAAAGTCCCCCTATATAACTAATTCCTCTATATAACGAACGAAACTGGCGTTCCCAATTAGTTCGTTATAGCGAGGATCTACAGTATCTACAAAGCGAGTACAGCAGTGGAGTGTGTCTGCCTTTACCGGAACCAAGCCGCATCGACCCGCTATACCCAAGCCTCCACAAGTGGATCATATCCACAGCTAAAAAATCAATCTGCTCTCAACTGAGGCAAATAGATGCTGATTTGCTAGGTTTCTGTTTAACTACACTAAATCGGACCGCAGCCTTATGAATGGATGCCGATTTGCTAGGTTTCTGTTTGACCTTGCTAAGTTAGGACCCCAGCCTTAAAATGGATGCCTTTAGGGGATTGTTCTATTGTTCAGTGAAAAAGCCTCTCTTCCTCCTCCGAGAATACTTTGTACTATACTTTTTTATACCAACCCCCTTTCTTCCCTTCCGACATACACTCCAGCACTAGCTACCACCAAAAAGTCCCAAACCAAATGGTGACCTTCATATTGCCGACCGAACTCCCATCGCCCGCCGAGATTGAGGTATTTTTCTCTTATCTTGCACTGTCACCGACATGGGCCCCCTTTTGGTATAGCCTGTACGAGGGGGTAGGCAGCTGTGTGTTGTTGTGGATCCAGGTCTACTGCTTCGGCCGATGCACTGAAATCACTTTGGAGCTCGCCGCATTCATCACCATGCACCTTGCCACGATCCTGATTGTCTCGTGGTTCGCCTGTTACCGTGACGGATGGACCGACACGGCAGTAACCCGATGCCTGGGAATGGTTCCCGTGCTATGTCTGGATCTGATCACGGTGTATATACTCTACTGGCGACCGCGCAGGAGATTAGGGTATGTATTTTGCTTCTTCAGCTTTCCCTATGTGTGCTGTGAACTTAGTGGACTAACCTTGATTCAGTTTAAGGGGATGAAAATCTAGATGAGAGAAGGTGTCGATAGAATCCTACTTCCAATCAGCGGTCACATTCTTTGCCTGGTCTACACTCATGGTCCGCAAGGCACGAACAGATTCCAGCTCGGTATCTGCCCCAAGTAGCATATCGCCCGCGTGTTTCAGTTGGGAGATATTGCATTTCAATCATATGGGGGCGGGGTAAGACGACACCATATATAAGAAGCTGTGAGGTCGAATAAGGTCTTACCACCATCGAATCGAGGATAGGCCTGCGGGTTGGAGGGAAGAGCTGAAGTAGGGCTAGTATGTATTTACGCACAAACTGGCAGAATAAGCCTTACATAGCCCCATGCTTCCTTCAGGCTGAGCTCTCTAAAGCTAACTTAGTACTAACATATATATATCATCTTTTCTTCTCTTCTAGCAAAACATTCCAGTAATGGAACTACTGGGTTGGTTTGTTATGCTGGGTTCTTTCATATCGCGTATTGGATTCTTTTCTTTTTCTGTTTGTTTTATTATAATAATGTGTCCGAGTTCTTTGGAATATTGACCTGTAGTCTGGACGCATGTTTCTTTCATTCTTTATCTAGATAAAATAGGTATACTGTGTAGATAAGTATAAAGAAACTTTCTGATTAACTGTATTTTATTGGATAGTGATGGTTCAGCAAATGGTAGTAAATGCAGAGCGCACGTCATCATCTGCACTGCTGACGTTTCCAACAATGACCAGGCGGGAGGGTGACGACTGACGACTGAGTACAGAGTAACAAGGTTGGAGGTCCATGCTTTGATTCTGGCGAAGAGCGGTGTAATCCATTGGTGGCTGGTGCAGACGCCGGGAATGAGAAATCCGGGTGGAGTGGATTATCAGATTCTTTTTATGGTGCTGCCTACCCTACTGCATAATGCAACTGCAACTGCATGCTGAAGATTACGTGGAGGTCAAAGGGATCGGTCAAGGTATTGGTCGTAGAATTAGTTATCATCAAGAATATGCCATCATGCCTCCATGCCATGCATCAAACCATCCGTCTATTCAAAAAAAAACAGGGATATCAAGGCGAAATATCTTCAAGAAGCAACGCAATCACATCAATCTATTTACAGGGTGAGGAAGAGGCTAGCCATGAGGAGACCCCCGACCAATGAGGTGATGTCGCTGCGCGACATCGTGGCCAGACTCTTCTTGTCGTCGGTGGAGCTCGTGCCCGAGGCAGAGGAGGAGCCGGTCTTCGACCCGCTCGACGACTGCGCAACGCCCGTGGCGTTGGGCACGGCGTTGGATCCCGTGCCGATCTCCAGGACGTGGTCGGTGCCTGGGTCGAAGTTGGCCTGGGCGATGGAGATCTCGTTGTTGCCGAGATCGTAGACCACGTAGGCGCTGCGGAGGAAGGTGTCGCCGAGGAGGGCCTCATCGTCGATGATGGACAGGCCAAAGGTGCAGATGTTGGAGACGCCTTCGTCTTCGATGACCATCTCGCTGATATCGACGGTGATGTTGAATTCAGAGGCGAATTCGAAGTAGAAGGTGAAATCTTCGTTCTTGACGCTGCAGTCGACCAGGGCGTAGCCATAGTCGCTGGAGTATTCGGCGCCCACGGCGGTGAAGATGCTCTCGGCAGCAGCGGAGGGGATGTAGGCCAGGGCGGTGCCGCTGTCGAGGACGGCCGCGATGGGGAATTGCTGGACCGTGTTGTTGACGGAGACGGCCTTGCCGCTCTGTTCCAGGTGCACGGCGGTCAGGTTGACGGCGAACTCGGCGTACACCTCATCGCCGTACCCGTCGCTCTCGGGGATGATGGGGAGAGTTTTCAGGCTGCCGTAGTATTTGGCTGTGTTGACACCGCCGAAGAGGATGGTTCCTTCACCCGAGTCCAGATCGTCCAGCCATAGACTGTAGGCCGGCCAGTTGATGATGCCTTGGTCCACGAGGGCTTCGGGGAAGTTGGTGTAGGAGCCGTAGCCGGTGGCCTCGCTGGCTTCGTCGGCAGCGTATCCGATACCAAAGACGCCCTCTACACGATAATTAGATGGGAGTTAAAGACGGGGATGCAGAAGACTTACCGTTGCTGTCGCTGTCGTAGGCGACGGCAAAGGTGAAATCCGTCAAGGTCACGTTGGCGAACTGGAGGGTATCATTGACGTAGTCGCCCGAGGCTTCGCTGTTGTCGACGTATTGGATTTCAAAATCGTCGTTCACGTAGACATAGGTGGAGGAGTCGCTCGAGTTGTAGGTGCCATAGTCGGTACAGGGGCAGGCGCTCGAGTTGCCGGCGTTAACCCAGAGGTCGCTGCTACCGGTGTCCAGAGTGACGCTGACTTTTTGTCCGGGGGTACCGAGGGTCAGATTCATGGTGTAGCCAAGATTGGCCGCCTAGAGTTGGTCATTAGCGATCGTCCGGATGTCAAACTTGGGTGCCGCATACCAAGTTGACCAGCTCGGCCGAGGCCATCGATCGCTTCCGTCGCGGACGGTCGGCGATCTGACGACGTTCAAAGTTGAGGGCGAGAGTCGCGGGTTCATCGCGCTGGTGGAGAGAGGCCGCATAGGCCGACTGGGTGGCCCAAGCCAACGATAAGAGGGTGGTGGACTTCATGGTGGTGGATATGATGTTTCCCGCGCAGCTGGGGGGGAAATGATGGGGGCAGGCTGACGGATCAAATATAAATAGTGGCCCCCCGGGGGGGGGGCGCAGGAGGGGCACGAGTTCGGAGATTCTCAGCCTTGCTACGGAGTATGGCTTAACCTGTTCCTAGCTCCTACGTCGTCGTAGACCCTGGGCTGTGAAGAGGCTCTGCCTGGCCACGACGACGAATCTGAAAGGGGGAAACCAGACGAGTGGGTCGAGGGCAGGCAACCATCATCCAGGATCCATCATCCATCATCCATCCACCATCAATCCGACCGAGGGCTCCATCGCGCCACCCGAGCACCACCGAGTGGGCGAACACCGTTGGTCCGACGGCATCACCGGAAATGAACCCTTGGCGAGCAGTGACTCACCTATGACGCCGTTATTGAGGGTGATACCTGGATTTTTCTGCTATTCAGTTAGTTCTCAATAGCGCTCACAAAAGGGCGCAAAGTGTGCTGCGGACTGCTGACCGTCGACCGGGGATTGGGACGCGTATGCTCGGTTCCAGGCGGAGCTGCCGACCCAAGTGGATGCCAGAGGATGCGACGCCAGCGCTAACCGACGGAGCAGCCAATGAACGACCCGTCACCAGCTGTCGCCCCGAGCTAGTTATTCAGCGGCGCGGCTTTGGCGCTGACGGTCCCCAGCCTGGCTTAGCCCATGGCCTGGGGAGTTCGTCGGATCCTCACCCTAGTAGTTTAACAAGCCTGGGATCAATTTTGATCCTAGGGACGGTGCTGCTGGAATAGCACCGGAGGCCCTTGGCAAGACCCTGTTGGACCCTTTTCGAACCAGTCATCCACTTCGAGTTCGTATAGGCTGGGACTAGCCCTAGTGCATCGCCGTTATCGACCGGAAGTCCCTGCGCCTCAAAAGGGGTAAGACTTGGCAGATTTAATTGCTCCGGACCATCAATATGTTGATATGACAGACCTCATTAGGCTAATGAAAGATAACAGAAATTGCCCTGCATGCATGCACCAGTCAGCAGAGATCACAGCAGCAACTACAAGCCAAGGTGGAAGCCCCTGTCAGCTTCACTCGCACATTCCGTCGTACTCCTGTTCCACTCCGCATCCGAAACATAATGCCCCCAAACTCGTATCACTGTTCCCCAGCTCCCTTGGCAATCTTAACCCATTCATATCACCTGCTATTTGCTACAACCCCAACTTCCTGATAATCTCATTAAAACAAATCTCCCACTTTTCGCCGGGTAAGCGTGCCGCCGGCGACTGGGTCTCGGCGTGGGTTCCGGTGCCGGCTCGGCTTCCGAGTCGGTCCAGGGCGACAACGAGAGCGAAAGCGAGGGTTTGTGCTCCGCTTCAAACTCAAGCTCCAGCTGCAGCGGGGGTAAGTTGAGGCCATGTCTCAGTCTCTCCGCTAGTGTGGTAATAGAAAGAGGGGCCTACATTAAGGGCCTGCGCCGCTTTCAGTCGTTCTTTTGGCGTGGTTGAGACGGGTTCTCAATTATCAGTTCGACATCGAGTTGGATATCTTTTCGCGGTGGCTTATTGCGCCGGCTCGTGGGCTAGTCATTGTCGGCAAATTGAGCTCTTGTGGGCGTGTTCAATCTTCTTGCGCTGAGTGGCCTGTTGGGGGACTAGATGTGACCACCTGGACATCGACGGGACTTGACTGATGTACGGAACTTACTACCCTCCGTGGTGCCGTGGAAATTAACTGATACCAAGATCTGGTGGGAAAAAAAGAATGACTGAATGAGATAACTGCCACGTGACAGTATGAACGAAGCTGGTGGTAATTATGCTCTATGGGAAGACCCTGGATTGAGGAAGGAGTGTATTTGCAACCTGTCAAGCCCGAGCTGTATGGTTCTACGATTTATGCGCAGCTGTCTACTTGGTAGGAAAGAGAAACTAACTCGTCGCTCGTGCAGTCTGTCCCTTGCTGCCACCAGGACTGTATCGCCACGTCGCAGCTACCAGACGCCCGTAGCTTCGTCTAGACTCCTGTACTAAACAGCTCTAGAAGTAAGCTTAATACGTGAATACTCCAGAGCTCAAATTCTTGATTTTCTCCCGTCCGTAGGGGCAGGAATCAAGCAAACTAGCAGCAGACTGACCATCTGATGATAAGCCAATGTAGGTGTCAACCTTTGCATTCTGCCTTCAGGACAGTACTGCTTACTATTGACAAGTACTGCAAACTTGCTCTCAAGTTGTATTGCAATCTCTCGAAACTCGCGTGCCAGTCCGATTGAAAATCAGTCGGGCATGATAATGATACGCATGTAGGTCCCGGACTAAACGCAAACCAACTAAGCCAGAAAACAAGCATCCGGTGCCTACCTAGCCTTACATGATGCGCATAGAACCCAGAAAGTGTCACGGCTTATTTTTCGGTTCAAGCCATCGCGGATACACGGAAGAACTGTGAGGCGGTCATGCATACAGCTCTACGATTATCCATGTTACCACATCTGCGGCTGTGGTTTGGAATAGGTCTGCAGAACACATGGCTCTATTAAACTGTTCCTATCCTGTTTTACCTCGCCCTTTAAATTCCGATGTTGACTGAGACTAACTACCAGTGAATGTATCGCGCAAGTCCACTTGGTCCATAGTTGCAGTATAGTCTTAATACTGCTATAGATGGTGTCTTGAGATCACGAACAAGTACAGCTGGAGAATATGTAGTATGAGTGCATATCTGCATCAAGAACCTAATCCTCCAGGATTCCGACTCCACACTGGACTGGGTAGATTTCCTGAAGAGACAGCTCGATTCGCAGATGGTTCCCCGTTGCAATCAGTTATCCTGCGACGAGTTACAGGGGAAAGTTATATCAAGCTACATGACACCCATCTCACATTACCAAAAGGCATTATGATATGTCAGGGCGCGGGACTTTCGCTTTCTTCTTTGGGATGGCCCAGGTGATGGATCATTGGGAGGGTAGGGTATCAAAACAGTGGAATCTATGTTTCACTTCAGCATATAGGAAACACTTGGCTGGGAACATTCCGAGAATAGTAACATGTTTCATTGTCTCTAAGACTCTACTGTTCTAGATCCTATGCTTGGCGCAGGGGATGTTTTATTCCCAGAAGGAATTTACAGACTTAACCTATGGAATTCAAAGAAAATATAGAAGAGATTCACGCTCTGCAGACTTGACTACACTGCTAATGAAGAAACGCGAGGTATTAGCTAAGACAACGAAAAAAATTAACCCTCTCATGACAGCCATCCCCACCTCTGAGACCGCCAAAAAACAAAAATATATGACAAGAGTGGGATTCGAACCCACGCCCCTTTCGAGACTAGGAATATTCCGAAGAACATGTTAGATCAGGTAACCTGACCCTAGCGCCTTAGACCGCTCGGCCATCTTGCCCGGTTGTTGAAGTGGCCAGACACTTTTAACTACACACTCACGTTTAACTTGATCATCATGTTCAATATAGGGTAGTGAGATGTCTTGGGCGAGAGCCAAACTGTCGCACTGGGTTGATGACCCTATGTCTAGGTATGTGGCTTGGCCGACTGAGTAGATCTCGGGCGTGAGAGATAATTTAAGATTTGATAGCAGTAAGGTGCCGTGATTCGTTGATGGCTGGTTTGAGGAGAATTTACTGTTCGGATATATAATATCAGTCCACTGGTGGCTTTTGTCTGTTTATGTATGTGGGTTGGCTGGTTGGGAATTGATTTGATCATTCAGTGTGAATGTAAGAATTAAACTATGAATTCGAGACTGCCGGCATTTGTCTACGGGAATAATTTCGCTAATGTGGCCATGTAGCATCAACGGACACGAGCCGGGCATGGGTCAACAATTTCGCCCTGGTTCTCCCACGATATTCCCAACTCTACTACCCACTGCATGCATCCTCGAACTACGAGGTCAGTTGATTTCATTACAGCACTTTCTGAGAAAAGAAAAGGGGCACCGGAGCAGTCTGCTGCGAAGTTCGAGGATCTCGACATGTCTGCCAAACTTAGTGCATCGGTCATCACCTGGGCTGATTCCACGGCGCAGAGGAACCACAGATTATGTAGAGCATGTTCCGGGCCATTTGACACCGTTGCATATGTGGTATCCTGGAGAAGAGATCTGTCCCAATATATTAGCACCACATGGGGAATTTAGTCAGTGTCAGCCCTTTCCGGGCGCAGGTGCACAACTCCCAGTAACGCCTCTGCGAAGTGCACGCGAGACAGCAGCAGACAACCCAGTACCGCTAGCAGTATCAAAAGCATCCTGTAGCGCATATGCGACCAGCCAGAAGATCGTGACGAGTTTCAAGCCGCGATTGCCAAAGACACGGTGGATGCCGCGCGTGGACAGGCGAAAAGCCTCGAGAGCAAGATCACACAGTCGAATATGGTAGAAGAAAATGAGATCGTATGCAAACCAACGGCTGCTGGAGAATATTGGAACCTGCACAAGGGATCAAGAGTTCCGATATACCAGCTGGTATCCGAACTGCCACCTTAATCAGTACCCTGTCCAGGCCTGTGCGATCAACGTCCAGAAGGGCCATCGAGAAGAAGGTAAGCTAGGCAGCAGTAGCAGTCATAGGGACTGTGCTTGGATGTTCGTAGGAACTGCACTGGAGCACCCTAGAACAGATGCGATCGTAGGAAAATCACTGGCCATAAGCACCGACCGAGAGTTCATCTGGATAAGTCAGTTCGCCATGCCCGCTTACCTGGGAAGTAGGAATTTTTGGAATTTTCTTCCCTCATTCTTCTAGACTCGGGAGCCACGAGATTGATTGTCCATAAAGAAAGGGTCCACAGCGATGCTAGTCCGATGATTTGTACCACCACGTCGCGGCTCGGACTGCCCCGTCTATAAGTTGTATCGGAAGAGTGTACCAACCGCATCAGCGATGATTTGGCAGACTGCCGCTCAATTGCAGGTCACTAGTCGATTTTGCGCGATACGATAAAACAGGAAGTCCTGGTTTGCGCCCGGGAGGAGAACCCGATATTCTCTGGAATAGCCGCAACATGACGAGGGATGTGGTGAGATCCACGGCCAAGTAGTGAAACGCGAACCGCGAGTGCTGGGTATAAAACAAAACATCTTGCGTCTCCAGAGGTGAAATGCGTTCCCCTCACATCGGGAGGTTGGGCTGTATGGATACCGAAGAAACAGGGAAGACCAGGCCAAAGCTAGCTGGGGGAATTTGGCCTTTTCGTCGCTCCGCAACTCCTTTCCGGGGGAGCCAACAGCCACTCGGTCGCAGGTCACAGTTGACGATTCGATCAATCCCCTGGATCGCTATCTCGGCGCCAAGGAAAGATGTCTTGGAGCTCGCCTGTTATTGCCCACGTGAAAGAGATGTGCACCTTCCTGTTTGGACTGGCGCCGACGCGTCATCCGTCCATTGTGCCTGGTCATCTCTCTGCTCATCTATTCCAGGAACAAAGAAACAAAGAAGTGTCAACCAGACCAATCCTCTTTGGTAATGAGCGCAACGGTCGCCAATCTATCCCAGACAATGGCCCAACAGCCTGCGAGGCTCGTGCGCGACGGGGTACCAGGGTAAACATCCGTGGTGTCCGGACCTGTGCGAGCAGACCAACCACCACATCATCACTAGGAGCGATACCCCTGAGAATGGCTCTTGGCAATGTCACCAGTGTGATCTGCTCAGGACAGGAACTGATGTCGTGTGAGGTCCGTGTTGCCCTGATCAAGGAGTTAGGAGTTAAGCAGCCGTCTTGGACATCATCCATGGTCCAAGAAGCAATCCCAGGCATATGATAGGATCCCCTGGGGATCCCGAGGCCACGGTAAAAGAGCCGATCAGTGGGCCATGCCCGAACAGGAGCGCACCCCGAAGCCACCAGCCATAGTCTCCCCAGTCTCACGGCTTGATCCAAACAATCGCATTAAACCCCAATGCCATTGAATCTAATGAGGTTACACCGCATTAGTTGTTTATGCTTTTGCCAGCCCGTGTCCTGCCTCGCCTCGAGTGCATTGGGAACTCCAGACGAGAGCTTAAATCGTTGCGCCCACGTGCTGGGGTGCACTGGGACTAAGAGGCACTGACTCGGATACCCCATCGGACTCGACTCGACACAGGGATGGGCAATTTGCCAAGTGGGATCCATCCAGGCTGCAGCCAAACCCGACCGTTCATTTGTTGGTCTGCGCAGGTGGCTATCGGGCGACCTGGCCATGTTCGTGGGACGAAGTGGATGTCACCGCGTGGTTTTCTTTTCCACCCCCAATCCATAGGGCTGAGAACGCTGTCAAGGCGACCATTTCCGGGGGCAGAGGGCATACGAGAACCGCAAAAAGGATCATCATGCTCTGCCATCCTACGGCATACGGAAGTCCTCCGTCGCCCGGCCCGACCAATCCGTAACCATGGATCCAGGGCCGTGTCTGACTGTGTCACTTCCTCCTGGAGATCCGGCTCCACCTCCTTAGATTAATTCCTCGAATGGGAAACCGTGCTTCGAACCTTTGGAAGCTTCTTTATCCTCCCGCGCTCTCACCCCAATTCCCCCCTTTCGGTTGGCTCGCCAGCCGGACTCCGCCTCGTGGGCCGACCATTCCACAGCGTCCAGATAGTGCAGTCGATAACAATCACCCAACCCTGATCTTTGAAGGGGGTCGATCAACGGTGAGAAACTGGAGCCATGTAGCAGCCAAGATCGTTGGTGCCTACAATAGTGCCCCTGGCACTAGGACGGAGAATTTTCATGCGATGGGGATTGCCACCACCACCACCAGCCAGCACCACAGGCAGAATTTTCTCGACGCCAAATACGACGATCATTCTCCACAACACGAGACACCAAAGGTTCCAATGTGAAAGAAAAGCTGGGAAAGGAGCCCGGGAAAATCCGACGCCATGGACTATGAAACCCGGAACCACCTCCTGACTCGCCAGCCGGCTTCCCACTGGCGCTGGCAGCTCGAGTGGGTCGTCTGAGAGCGGGGATTCCTCCATCAGGGCTTCCACTTGATGCTCCCACACTGGGGAGATAGTAGGTAACAAGAACCCACGAATTCGAGGACACTGGAGTGTGCAGAAGCACCTGTGCTGTGTCCCGATCCTAGCGAACCCAGATGCTCCGATCAAGAGCTCGTAGCTTCCACTATGACAATGTTGTATCCCGCACGATGATCTGACCGCCGCCAGGAATACCACCACGGAATGCCCGCACGAATGAAGGCCAACACAAGCTTCAGTGGCGTTTCTAGGGTTCACTTGCTAGCGACTAAATCCTCCGTTGGTTGCCTTGGAAGTTGGAACCGCGCCGGCCTCAGGGGACTATTGCACTTATAAAGCTTGGTGTCGACTAGGGTGCCTGGGATTTGCCTGGGATTTGCCTCCAACTCCACGAGTGGAGATGCGCCCCGACTCGTCGCGGATGATGATAACTCTTTTCGGCACCTGGCCGAACCCGTCCCGGTAATTGCAGTGAATCGAGCCGTCGCGCGCATCCCCCTCGATCGACAGATGACACGACGGGCCTAATTCGACCTAGACGAGAGGAGGGCTTGCAGGCCCCCCGTGCCCCCCCTCCCCGTGCCACCAACCCCAGGGGTCGGGGTGGACGGCGGTGGTGATTGCTTATATAGGTCAATTGCCGTCGGGAAAAAGGATGTCTGAAACATACCCTCGGCCATCCTCCCCAGCATGCTGTCCCTGGCGATCCAGTCGTTGCTCTTCGAGGCCGACCTGCATCCGGCCAGCCCGGCCCTGCAGCGGCGGTCGTCCGCGGATAGCGAGGGCCAGGCTGTGATGAGCCCACTGCCCGACCTGCAGACCAAGGGCTTGATCGTGATCAGTGCCCTGGCCACCCTCTCGCTCATCTGTACCTTTTCTCTGCTGGCCTTTTTTACCTACCGCTTCATTTTCTGGAAAAAATACTACAAGCGCTACATCGGCTACAACCAATATGTCGTGCTCATGTTCAACCTCGTTCTGGCCGACTTCATCCAGAGTCTCGGCTTTATCATCAGTCTGCGATGGATCGCCACCAACTCGGTGACCGCGTCCGATCCGGCGTGCTTCCTGCAGGGCATCTGGCTACAGATTGGCGACCCCATGAGTGGCTTGTTTGTGTTGGCGATCGCGGCGCACACCTTCATCCACGTGAGCTTGGGCCATCAGATTGAACACCGCGTCTTCGTCGCCATCGTCATCGGGCTGTGGACGTTTGGGGTGATCACCACCATTATCCCCATCGCCGCGCACGGACGGTACGTCTGGTATCCCGCCGTGGCCTGGGTAAGTCTTTCGCGCCGGTGCCTCCCCCCGCTAATCGCTAAACCTTGTTCCTCATAGTGCTGGATGACGCCCAAGTACGAGTCCATGCGACTGTGGACCCACTATTTCTGGATCTTCGCCTCGGAGTTCTTTACCGTCGTCCTCTATGCCATCATGCTCGTGCAGCTGCGGAAGAGGATCGCCGAATCGTCCATCCTGGGCGAGCACAACTCGGACAGTCTGCGCCGTCTGAAGCGCGTCATTTTCCATATGGGATTGTACCCCTTGGTATATATCTCCCTGACCTTGCCACTGGCCGCCGGGCGCATGGCGTCCGCCAGCGGACACTCCCCGAGCGTGTTGTATTTCTGCGTGTCGGGCAGTTTGATGACGTTGTGCGGCTTCTGCGATTCCCTCATGTACACCCTCAGCCGACGAAGCGTGGTGCTGGAGCCGGAAGCCCGGATCAACGGCAGCAGCAACAAGCTCTCCAGCCGACGCAATAAATCCTCGGTGGCGCACCAGTATGGCGCCAGTGTCGATGGCAACGGACCGACCAACACCACGATTGCGCGCGGTCGGAGCGACTCGACTGAGGAGATGATCGGCAAAGATGGGCTGGAGTTGACCCCGATGGGGGTGGTGTTGCAACACACGACGATCGAGGTCACGCATGAGGCAGCCTATGACTCGGCCTCAAGCAACCTGAGTGCCCCCCGGGACCGAAATAGCATGTACCATTAGTGCGTGGGGCGTGCCAGTCAGCTGGTTGAAACAGATTGGCGTCTGGCAGCTTGTGCGACCGATTTCACTGGCCAACGATAGTGATTGGCCACATAATCTCATTACACCCTGGACAGTTGACAAACCGTCATTCTTCGCATCCGCCGACTATCCACACAGATGGAAGCATCAGTGGCAGCAAGACAAGCTTGTGACTGCGACGGGTCTTATTCAGCGGCATGGACACTGCTCGAACCGCTAAGCCGGCAGAGCAACCGGGTACGAGCTGACTGCAATGCCCCTTAGCAGTGGGCTTAGCACTCCCTTTAGTGCTGCCCGGAACGTCCACTAGCAATATCAGATGGGCTGTGCTCCATTCATAGCCCCTGCAGCATGTTCTAGCCCCTGCTACAGGCCAGAAGAGCGTGAGAAGCGCTATGCTGACACAGGAGATCCAATAGCCGCGCCCGGCTACTCAGTATGATGGGACAGTCCCATCCACTCTTTATTCACTGTATATATTTCCCTAACTACATTAATGAACAATGCATGAAATAAACTCAGTCCACCAAACCTTAATCGAAACCCATAGTTAGGAACTATCCTTAATGAGTCATCTCCCCACATGGCCAAAGTTATCGACCCTCTCCCCGATCCTCCCCACTCTCCTGCAGCCCAATGCTTAGCAAGATACTATTCCATAGTACAGCCAAGTAAACACCTCATAAACTTTCCGCCGCTTCCACTCCGAAGGGCATCCTGCTTTTCATCCATTAACAGCCTCTCGACGCTTTCACCACGCCACCCCTTCCAATCTAACACCCCTCTTTCCACCCGCAGACATATATGTATAGGAATTGCCGATAAGAGCTATGTCTGTCCAATTCGAATAACCACGACATATCCAGAGAAAAAGGTTACGATCTAAAACTAACATCAGTCAGACTAAGATATAAAGCAAATCCAACACAAGCCAGGAACAACTTACAAGACATAGATTAGAAGAATTAGAAGATATTCTGGTAATTGATAAATTAAATATATATCAAGGCAAGATGGCCGAGCGGTCTAAGGCGCTAGGGTCAGGTTACCTGATCTAACATGTTCTTCGGAATATTCCTAGTCTCGAAAGGGGCGTGGGTTCGAATCCCACTCTTGTCATTTTTTATATCTCCTATATGTTTCTTCTTTTTTTGCCTTCCATTTTTTCCCTTCAGCTGGGGGAAAATTGTAGGTGGGCATGCAGAAAAAAACCGTAGGCTTTGGTTAGGGACAGAACTGGCATTGGGAGGCAGGTTAAATAAGTCGCGCAGGAGGAAGGGGTGATTATCGTTCCAGATGCGTCTCTTTCATACCAAGCGCTGTATTTTGAGAAGTAAATGGGAAAGTAACTGGGCCCAGAAATAACCATTAAGGTAACTATGGATTGCATGTTCATGATGTAGGTAACATTCTGCATGATGTGAAGACATTGTCTGTCCCTGCGTCATGGATCTTGACTCCAGTATTTGTATCCGAGAGATGCGCGGATCTGAGTCCACATCACTTCACAGCTCCCACCCTACCTCGTCCGTGGAAGGTATTCATCCTAGGTGAATGGTGATGATCCTACTGATGATGATTGAGTAATCCGACACCGTAGACACTCTACCGTATTCATCGTCAAGGCGACCGACTGCCAGTCAATCCCATGAAGACATGAATGAATACCGTTCCATATTCCAAGAATCACACCCCCCCAATATAGATACTGTCAAGAACTACGTAGGACAAAAGGAATATATCCCTTCTTAGCCCCGGGCGTAGAAGGTAAAAATATGGCATGTCTCAACAGATACTCTACTCATCCTGGCAGTAGATAATTGGAGACAGATATCTTGAGCACAACGTAAATGTCGTCGATGGCATGGACCTGATAATACTATCATCCCTCTCGCGACTAGCGGAGACGGGAAGGGAATATGAACCTGATCATTGAACGAGGGCACGCAAGATCGGTTCGGGCTCCCGGTAGGTGATTTACATCTGATTGATGTCACTGAGTAGAGACCAATTTCGGGCTCGATGGTATTAGGCTAGAATGGAGAAATTTGGTAAGGATTGTCTGTGTATCAAGATATTGGATATCTCGCGGAGGGCGTGGGTGTCGATAAGATTAAGGTCGTTGACGTTAGAGTGGGGAGGGTGTGTGGATGAAGTGAAAAGGATCATATGGATGTCTTGCCAGAACGGCTGGGAAGGTTGTCTCGGTCGAGCTGGTCAATTTTCAGCGTGTATGTCATGTTCAAGGGACATGAAGACTGGCATGATCAAGGCAAATTTCGTTCTAGATCCTCGGTATACATGGTTCATCATCATGCTTCTTTGGAATAAATCAGAGAATCAAGCGCAGTCTAAAAACACGCGACAATAACATGCAGCTATTCATGGCTCATGACATTCCCCTAATTCTCCCGTCCCTTGAACACACGAGCCGAGACCAGTGGACTGTCGTTCAGGATAGCTTCAAAGTTATGAGCGTCCAGACAGGCCTGGCGCGAGTTAATCACACTCGGCTCGGCGCGCGTGTAGACATCGTTTTCGTACGCATCCAGAGACTCTCGTAGGGCTTCTGGGGTTATTGATCTGCTCGTTTGTTAGTATTGTTTCATGGGGTGTATGTGGGAGCAATGGATTCGTACCCTAGAGAGCGCATATCCACGCGCTTGGTAAGATCGTGTACGTCTACGATGGCGTTGTTGGCTCCTTCGCCGCGGTCTATACCACATTAGCATGGAGGGTACAAAAGTATGATGGGGGAGCTTACACATGGTCATGGTATGCGCCGAGTCACCCATGAGCACGACCCGGGGATGTGCGGTATGCTGCTGCGGTCGGAACATGAAATCCGCGATGCGGATGGACCGCGCCTCGGTGTCCTCGGGCAAGCGATGGACCAGAGTTCTGAACGGCTCGGCCCAGTTCTCAGTCAAGGATTTCATCAGGGCGATGCGCTCGGCGTTGTCGCTGGGGACGGGGATGTTCTTGGAGTCCGCCCAGGAGATGATGACCTGGCAGAGGTATTTGTCCTTGCTGCTGTCTTCGAAGTTGTTCGGGGTATCGAGGACTATCACGATATTGAGTTAGCTATGGCGTATGAGGGAGGAGGAGGAGGAGAAGGAGAAGGAGGAGGAGGAGGAGGAGGGTCGGACATACTGCTGAAGAACAGGAAGACGTTGGTGTCCGGATGCGAACCCTGGAAGATGAACGGATCGATGTCCGCAGCGCCTGCCATCTCCTCTGCCGTATACAGGGTCGCCCCGCCCAGGATCTGGATGGGAAGTGGGTTCATCTCATGGCCGTCTGGGTATAAGATCTCGCGGGTGGGGGATCGCGATCCATCGCAGCCGATCAACAGGCAGCCTGTGTAGGAGGTGCCGTCTTCGAAGTACGCGGTGACGGTGTCGCCGGAGGATTCGATGTTTTGGAGGGCTTTGTTCCACTAGAGGTTGTGGTCAGAGGGGGTCATCGCAGATTCCCGGGTAGCAGGGGGGAATACTGACTTTGACATCGAGGTCCGTTGCCAGCAGCTGTCGCAGACGCACTCGGGACACGCGGATTCGCTCCGCTGCCGGAACGCTGGACAGCGCGGATCCGGTTTTCAGGTTAAAGAAGGAAAAGCGACCGGTGTCACCGCGGGCAGCGGCAGCCTTGTTAACATATGTCTCGGGGAGTTGTTGCACGAGGTGGTCAGGGAGGAGATCCCTCAGCGCGGGCAGGGCCCAATGCAGCGTCAGCCCCCAACCACCACTGCGGGCATCGATGGCGGCATCGCGTTCGAAGATCTGGTAGGGAACCCCGAGTTTGTGGAGGTGTTGGGCCAGCAGGAGGCCACTGATGCCCGCACCGACGATGAGCACGGGAAGATCAGCCATGATGGGCAAGGAGGAGGCACGGATGTTCCACGAGGGACACTGTTCAGGCCTGACTTTTGACTGACGCAGCGCCTGGATGATCGAGCCGATTGGTGGCCGGAGGGCCTCGGACGGTGACTTCCGTGGCAGGTGCGCAGGATTCGGATTGGTGGAATCATGCCAGAGGCGCATGTGTCATGGATGTGATTCACTAGGTGGTGGGCTTAGATTGGAAGTGTCTCTGAATAATTTGTGCTACGTCCATTTAGGTTACTCAGGGGAGCCTAGGTTGATCCTTTGGGAGTGAATTTGTCAAGACATGCGTATCTGCTGGAACCAGGCGACAATAATTCAGTCCCGAAGGAGTACTCTGTAATCTTGCTTATCTTACGGACTACTTGATTTGAATTGTTCAGCTGCATGAACCGTGTCCACCGGACAGGGGTGTGAGAGTCAGCCACTGTGCTAAGCAACCAAGCTTAAACTGAAGCATAAGTGCATAATCACCTTAAGCCTGGCCCCACGGCACGGTGAGACAAGGCCGACCCTAAGAGAGTCTTGAGGGCACTAAGAGGTTTAGTCCGGGGACGGCGCCATCCTTCAGCCTTGGCTCGGAGTTCTAGCCCTATCTCGATCCGCCCGCGGTGGATGCCCCTCATATTGCAATATCACACACGAATGCCATTTGCCATTCGCCACGGGCCAGTGGCCTGACGTGCGTCCAGATGCGATTTCGATTATGCAACACGTTTGTCCATCCATCACGATCAGACCAGTTATGGGCGCGTGGGACACACCACCTCGGTCGATGTCCGGGGATGTCTTCCCGGGTGGAACCCATTAGAGTTTCACGGAACGCACAGGATTCCTTCTGGATGGAGCTGAGCTTGATGGCCGGGAAGATCCCGTTGGGGGCCGTTGGCTCATTGGCGATGACCCTGGTCTCGCTCATCCGGAGGGGGGCGTCAGCGCTGATTATCTGCCCGGCGCTACCCAAGCACCGCCGGAAATGATGACCCATTAGGAAGGAAAATACGACCGGTGAGCAATTAATCTTGGCTAATAATTAATATACGGAGGACACAAAGGAGAGACAAAAGAGTGTTTCGAAAGGAATGGCGCCATTTGGCAGGGGTCTAGAGCAATGGCATGCTCTCACGCGTCGCCCTCGGTCGGTCGTTTCTCCGTCGAAACCCGCAGTTCAACCGTCATATGAATGCCCCCCTCTCCCGAGTCCCCACTGTCGAGGATAAGCTCTTCACTGGGCGTCCGTCTGGGTTGCGGCGCCGCCGACGTGGTGGATTTGAGCTGCGAACGAGGATCCCGCGACCAGGACTGCAGCGCATACGTGCGGCCATCGTAGCCTCCTTTCCGCCCACTATACGATCGGAAGTCACGCACGGCGCCTTTGAGCAGAGGAGCCAAGAAGGGCACGCAGGTCACAATGTTCTGGGCATGTCAGCATGGTACCGTCCGTGGGCTCATGATTGGTACTCACCCCGACATTAAATTCGATGGTGCCCCATAACACCAGCATCGAAGAATTCCCATCTCCATAGGCCACGCGATGGATCTGCGTCAGGCGCAGGATCGAGCAGATGGTGGTGAACAAGCCCAGCAGAAACAAACAGACCACCCCCGCTTTTTGGGCGGGTTTGATGTTCAGTTGCAGCAACAACGGGATAGGCAGGCAGATGATCACGATATCACAGATAATGCTGAAGATGGCCAGCCCGTAAAAGGTCGGTCCGGCCGGGAGACACGACCCAGGAATGGTGATATTCCAGGCGCGCTGAACCGGATGGCAGTCGAAGATGAGAACTAAGGCTCCGGCCAAGTGGCCCAGCGTGCTGATGACAATCACCACCCAGATGAGGATGCGGTAGTAATTCTTGGATGTGCCCGAGATCAATCGCAGGTAATTGAGGCACAAGGAGCCTTTGAACCCGGCGATTCCGACCTGGTAAAACGGGCGACCGACATAGTTGAGCTAATCCCTGTCAGTTTTCTTCAGCATCGTGGGGTTCGGCAGGCATACCTTGGTGTAATTAGGTAGGTCCGGCACTGGGCGGAGCTTCAAGGGCAGCCCAAGACCGTATCTGGTTTGCGCGATACAGAGGGAGCTGTAAATGATGCTGAACACCATCGTCACCAGCATCACATAGTCGGACGCTTCCAAGCGACGGGCTTGAAAGCGAATCGCCAAGCGCAAACAGACCGTAATCACCATCAGCAGCGTCAAACTCAAACACACGCCGAGAATGAGGCGCCATTCCGACACGGCCTCCACTTCAGGCGTGGCATGGTGCACCCAGCCCATGATCGTAATACCGGAGAGATGCAAAGACTGGGATAGAAGACATGGGGATGAAGGCGTGGGATATCATGTGGCAATGAAACCCCCTGGCCCTGGCTGGGGAATTGGGGCTCTCGGCTTTGCACGGAGACGCATGGCGAAGGAAGCCCTACAACCAGGGGCGTAAACGTGATCCTGAAGACACGAATAGGGTTTGAACCAGACTCCTTCGGTCGTGAAGTGTTGGGGCCAAGAACGGAGCACTGTATCTGACAAACCAGAGTGGGTTCGCAATCAAACGATCAGGCTTCGGAGCAGAAATCGGGTTGGCCCTAACGACCAGGCCCTGACTAGCGTCGCCTTAGAGCAGCCTATCTCTGCTGCACGCCGCACGTTTCTGCACGATGAGGTGGCTACGCTGTTAGTGACTGCGGTATTTTGACTAATATAATGGACCGGCACCCAATGGCACTCGTCGGCCAACCCGTTGGACCGCCCATGGTTGCTTTTCCTGCAGGATCCTGCATGCAACCCCCCTTCCTGTCCCTTGGCCGAGTCTTGTTCTCTCCCCTGCATTGAATCGGCTCTTTTTCTTTTTCTCCTCTTCCCCTTCCTTGTCTGTACCCAGATTCACGTTTCTGACATGGAGGAGAAAACCCCCGAAGCCTTCTCTCAGGCACTGCCTGCGGATCGCACTGATGATGCCGTGCAATACCTCCAGGGCCATGAGGCGGGCCCGGACGCCTCCCAGGTTGATCTCCGGGCTCTACGTCGGAAGATTGATTTGCACCTGATGCCTTATATGTTCTGCTGCTATGTTTTGCAGTTCCTGGACAAGGTGATGCTGAACTATGCCGCCGTCATGGGGATGAAGACCGAGTTGCACCTGAAGGGCAACGAGTACACCAATGTGGCGACCTGGTTCTTTTTGGCTTATCTGATTGCAGAGGTTCCCAACAGTAAGTCCTCAACCTAGCACTTGGTCAACTCTCGCATACTGACCTTCCAGTCTACTGTCTCCAGAAAGTCCCTGCGGCCAAATGGCTGGGAGCCAACGTTGCCCTATGGGGCGTGGCCGCTGCTGCATCTGCAGGCGCCAAAAACTACGCGACTCTGCTGACGGCTCGTGTCTTCCTGGGCATCTTCGAGGCGACCATCGGCCCGTCGCTGATGCTGATCAGCAGTCAATACTATACCAAGTCTGAGCAGGCCCCAAGATACACATGGTGGTACAACGGTCTCGGTGTGGCCCAGATCATCGGTGGACTGGTCTCGTATGGCTTTCAGCATGTTCATCACGGCGCTGAAGTTTCCGGATGGCGGATCATGTTCATCGTGATCGGATGTCTGACGATCGTGATCGGTGTTCTCACCCTGTTCTTCATCCCGGACACTCCCATCAAGGCCAAATGGCTGTCCGAGCAAGAAAAGGTGGCTCTCCTGCAGCACGTCAGTGTCAACCAGACCGGCGTGTGGAGCACGACCTTCAACTTCAAGCAGATCCTGGAAGCTGTGCTGGACATTCAACTCTGGCTGCTCGTCCTGATCACCATTCTCGTAAGCCCTCCTCCCACCTTGCCTTCTCCATGCACCACTAACTGTCTCAGATCTCCGTCTCCAGCGGCGTCGTAACCACCTACTCCGCCACCCTAATCGCCGGCTTCGGCTACCCAGGCCCCATCTCCGCCCTCCTAAACATGCCCTCCGGCATCATCAGCATCTTCTTCACCCTGCTCGTCGGCTTCGGCATCCGTAAAACCTCCCACCGCTGGGCCTGGAACGCCTTCTGCACCATCCCAGGCATCATCGGCGGCGCACTCCTCTCTTTCCTCCCCAAGAGCGACAAAGCCGGTGTGCTTATCGGCATTTACCTCGTCAACGCCATCGTCGCTACCCTCCCCATCCTCTACCAATGGACCATGGCCAACTGCGCCGGCCACACTAAGCGCGCCTTTAGCAGTGCGCTTGTCGCGGGCTCCTTCTCGGTGGGAAATATCATCGGTCCGCAGACGTTCCAGGCCCGTGATGCGCCGGAGTATCGTCCCGCTAAGATTGCGGTTTTGGCGACTCAGGCTGCCGCGGCGGTGATGTCCGTCGTACTGTTTGCGTATTATGTGCGGGAGAATAAGCGCAGGGATCAGCGCTATGGAAAGGTCGAGGATTCCATGGTCGATGAGGCGAAGTGGGCGGGGTTGACGGATAAGGAGAATACGCGATTCCGTTATGTTTATTAGGTTAATGGGTGCTGTCGAGGGGTTGTTGATGGTATTGGGATTGATATCGTATCCTGTTGGTTAATAATAGTGTTGTATATATCTGACTCCGTAGTCTTACCAGCCTCGTGCTTGGTTTACTGCGTGTACTTACTCTTATGCTTATCTGAAAAGACTTCTAGCTTCGACGATGACTTAGTCCTATCACGTAGTCTACCTCGCACTCATAACCCCCTGTCGGAACAAATTTCCGCCACTGAAATAGCCCATATCCACGATCCAGTACCTGTCAATTATCTTCCAATGATACACTTAGACAGAGCCCTACTACAGAAACCCAAGTCAGTACGTGAACTAGGAATAAGCCCGACCCACGACTAGATCCACCAACCTCCCAGGATCCAGGATCCAGATCCAGGATCGCGGGACAAATCAATCTGGATCACAATTCGGTGAGAAGCACAGAAAAAGACTTGGCCATAGCTCTAAGACCTTCTTCAAAAAAGGAAATATGGGTGAAGGTGATTGGTTAGAGGAGTAGCAACTCTCCGATCCTGGTAATGATCGACGACATACGAAGTACTATACATCGGCAAGCTACTGCAAGTGATTTCTAATTTCAATGGCAGGGCAATGGCAATCCACTTAAAGAGCCCAGACTCAGAGGGGTATCAGTGGGCCTCATGTGGAGTCGCTTGTCTGAATCTTGCAGGAATGAGGAATCGAAAATAAGAATGTCTCATTCATTAACTTCCTAGGAATAGTCTTCTTACCAAATTTAATATGCACAATGCCGCAAGCCCACATTCTAGAAATGAACCCGGTTTCGGAAATAACCATCCCCGATCCAGATGGATCAGGGTCCCTGTCATGGTATTAATCATCTATTCGAAACCTCTACCCCGAATCAGTAAACCCATCCCTTAGCCTCGACGAGATCCCCCTCGTCGGCCTGATCCCACCCGTGATACCACCCCCCTCCACACACCGGCTAACCACATACTAACCATCCATCCAAGCAAATCCACAAGAGCGTCATCCTCCAGCGCAAGTCCCACTCCCCCGTGATCATCCAGAAAGACCCGCGGGAACTGATTTCTCACCGCGAAGTGGGGCGACATACACTAAACGTGGATCCCGACGATCAATACCAGAATCTACATAGCACTGACTGGTAAAGTGAGATGGGCTTAGTGATAGGCGGTTTGCTTACAACATGGGTGGGATCTTAGATCGATGTGGACATTGATGGTGCGATGGGTATAGCGGGATGGGATATAGCGTACTTCATCGGGGAAGACTTCAGGACGATGGAGTCTGCGAGAAGTTTTGGCTGAATAGCAGAATTATCAAGATTCTCTGGACATAGTAGTGTTTGATGAAAGACATGGGGGCAATATATGTGAGAAGCTGGAAGTATTGAGACTGGGTAAGGACGCACTGATGTTCCGTTGGTTGTCAAGAGGAAAGGCTTCAATGATGATAATCTGGGGTACTGTTTCATAGTAGCTTCTGCTGCACAATGACCAGGGTATACTGTTTAGGTGAGGTCTGTGACAGCCGCGTCGTCACGGTATTGTGAAGATTTCTATCAGCTTATGACTGCTGGTTCTTATTGAAGGGTTAAGATGGGGACCATCTTTCTCGTAAGAGTTATATTGCATAGTTCTGGTCTTGGATTTGAAAGGAATTGTTTTCATATGATTGTCTGATGATTCTGATGCACACCACTCATTCAATAATCAACTATGAAAGTATCTACACTCAAGGCCTGATTACTATGGCAGCACAAGGAACCGGAAAGCAGAGGTGCTTCTCGAAATTCACATCTGGAAGGCCGGATATTTACTTTATAACACGTGTCACGTGTTATGACGAAACAAACATAAATGACAGGAGTTGAATGATATCCACAAGAACTAAATAAAACTCGATATACATGACTCTATCTCATAACTGCTTCGACCTCCAGCTAAGCCGCAATGGCACCATTCTGCGGAGACCTCCTCGTAACCTGCTCGCCAGCCCGTACAATAGGCTGCCCCTTACTATCCTGCACGACGAAACTGTTCTGCTTCTCCGCATAGTCCTGCTTCCAGATCTCCACCTCACCACCACCATAAATAACTCCCACACGCATGGTAGACAGCAAATTATGCGCGGCGTTAGAATGCCGATAGACACCACCATTAAAAGTAGCCGTCGCATCCTTCCCAATAGCCGAAGAAATAAACGCCTTGCCACCGGGATGCTCTTTGATAAAGTTGGCCACGTCATGAATGACCCCGGCGATGACCACTAGGGCTCTCCCATCAGCCTTGGCAGACTCGATCTTGAAGTCGTCCCACGTCATGACCGGTAGCTGGGAAATTGGAGTGCCCCAGTCCAGCTGGGAGGATCTGATATCGAGCTTCTTTTGCTGCTGTTGTAGTCTGCCTTTTTCAATCTCATTGGCCTTGAATTCCTTCAGGTCGTATGCCAAGCCGAGCTGCTTCCAGGTCCAAATCGCCCACTTGGTCGGGTCGTACTGCCACCATTCGATAGCATTGCGGTAGTCCGACGGGAACTCGTGGTGGAAGTTGTGATATCCCTCGCCCAAGGTCACCAACGCCGTGATGACATGATCGCGAGGGGAATTACGATCGTCAAAGGGCTGATCTCCCAACCAATGGGCCAGAGAGTTGACACAAAACGTGGCCTGTTGCACGAACGTCGCCCGGAGAATACCTGCATAGATGAAGCCACCCGCCCAATCACCCCAACCGATGCCGCACACCAGAGTAGGAAAGATCAGGCCCATGAACAGCACGAGCTTGACATAGTGCCGATGCTGCCAGATCACAATCGGGTCCTCGTTGAGGTCAGTGATATCGGACCGCCCGATGTTCTTGGGGTTCTGCTTCATCACCATCCAGCCGATGTGGGAATACCAGAACCCTTTGCGCACAGAGTAAGGGTCTTTTTCGGTGTCGGTATACCGGTGATGGGCGCGGTGGCCTCTCGACCACCATCGAATGGAGCCCTGGACGGCGCCGACGCCGACGGCTGCCAGGTAGATCTTGAGAGGGGTGGACGCGCGGTAGGAGGTATGGGCCCAGAGACGATGGTAGCCTATTGAGTCAGTATTTCCTCCCCGACCGTGGCTGACAGTTAGATGTTTGTAGACGTACCTGCGGTAATACCCAGTCCGGTGTTGAAGTAGTAAAGAATGGCAAAAGCGGCTGTGGCACGCTGGAGGGGATAGAAAGAGGCCGCGACGAAGCCCATGAGCGGGACAATGATGATAAAGTAGACGTTCAGCCAGTTGACATGTTGGTACCAGTTTCCCCATGTGATGGGCAATTCTGTGATATGAGGCTTGGACCGTCGTGTGCTGCCTGCTCCAGCAGCAGGAGGTTTCGAGGCCGCCATTCTGGGTCAAGTGTGTCACTTGCTGGGTCAGAGCAGACGACGTGACGCGAATAATTTCAAGACGTTATCTGGACTGTGAGTACAGGAGAGGAGGAAAAATCGCATAAGTACAGCAATGTTGGAGGCCAAGCGTCCATCGGCCCCGCCGTGCCGCATTTACTAGGGTTGTGTTTTGTTGGGTCAGGGGAGTTGGCCCATTTTGTTGGGGACGCTGACTGCCCTCATCAATTGCAATGCAATCGACTGGATCGCCTTATGTCGTATGACTTTCTTATGGGACGACTCGCGGGGGTACTACTATCCTCACTAAAATCGCAGGATTATGCTATTCTAGCTATTTACGGAGTACCTACTATCGCATAGATCGCTAATTCCAGAGATTCTATCTCCAAGGCCGCTATCACGTGCACCGATGCATACATGATCTGTGTATTGAGGATATCCAGGTGGTTAGACTTGTTGAGTTTACTACAGATGTCTTACACCGAGATTTATCTGGGTGGCTCGATGTTTCCTTGGTAGTGTGGTAAACAGTTCCAAAGGTGAGATTTTGTTGAATTTCCTATTTTAAAAGTACAGAGCGGGCCGAGCGGCTTGGTGGGGTTCATCTTCTACTCCGTAGATCTAACCATTACATACAGTTTTCTCGAGTTATGCATGGAATATGACTAAGAATTATGATTGATGATATTTGTACCATAATCCCGAGGTTGACTATGGTACGGTGCGAAAACTCGTCTGTTTTATCAGTCGACCTCAGGATTCTGCTAGCGCACTATAATCCTAAGTTACTGCGACATGTCCGGAGCTACTGAATAACCTCATATCATTACTCTGGTAGGAAGCGGTAGTGCTTATATTATAATTGCCCACTGGTGGACCAAATGATCCCGCTGACGTTCTTTTCACACTGTACTATAAGAATAGAGAGGATGAGAATACTAGTCCACACGCTAGTCGGACGCGGGGGCTGTAGTACAGGCACGGGCAGTCTTGTGAATTTCTGCCACTGTTTCCCCGGGTTCTTATCTGTCAGGGAAGGATATTCACGATTCGGACTTCTAGCTAATACAAATTCAACAATGACACGCATTCAAGCACACGATACGAAGCAAAACAGTACAGCAAGATAGCAGCTCCCAGAAGCCCGCTCATGCAGAGCCCGGAGCTCCCCCCTTTGCCGGAGAGGTCTTATCCCAGGGGTCATCCTCCCCAGCAAGGTAGCCCGGGATATTGGCCTGCGCGAGCCTGGTGCCAAATCCGCCCTCCCGACCAGCACGGGATGGGAAGAACTTGAAGGAGCCATTCAAATGTACATGAAGCGTGCCGACACGTAAGCCTCCTTGTGTCTGCAACCCCACCGTGATGACTTCCTCCAGGTCGGTTCTGTCCTTGGAGGATATATGGGCTTTGGCACCTCTGTAGACAAACTTAGTGGTAACCCAGCATGAGGCAGGAGTGAACTTGGTAGCTTACTGGATATCCGCAAATACAATCCGGGGATCCTAGGTGTGCGTCAACCAGATGCTTCATGCAGCATGTTCTGGGGGGGGGGGGGGCTTACCGCTCTCTCGACCGCGTCGCAGATGTTTCGAGTGGATTGCAACCAGCGAGCCCCGTTGGGGCCATTGATGCTTGTGATTTGCATCATATCAGCACCAATGTACTGAATGGCAGCTGCGGTGGAAGTTTGGAAGGCTCTGACGACGTTCCGACTCATGGCAGAGGTTGAATGATCGACGAGGTATGAGACAGGGATGGAGATTTGGAACTTGGAAGAAACAAAAGAATGACTATCCTCGCGGGATCTGGGACGCCTTTATGCTGAGCATGCTGGTGGCTAACATGCTGTAGCCGCCTTGGATAGCCAGTTTGCTTTGCGAGGCTGAAGCAGTAGATGGTATATGAGCGCAAGGCTTAAAAACAGCTAATGTTTCCTTGTAGCCACTCAATTGTGCGCCATGCTAGATGGCTGAGCGGGTGCTTTTCTCCCAGTTGTAATGATTGGACATGAAGGAGTGTCCGAAGGCAAGCTGCTGGTCCTCAGCTAATGCGCCCTTTACCAGGCGGCGGTAAGACTATATTTAGGAATTGGTTAAGATTCGTAGGCGCCCTGTCCACGACTATGGCGCTCCTTCCGTCTCAGCCTTGTGAGAGATACTCCAATAAGATCATCAGCATTGCATGTCAATGATTTCCCTGCCATCGCTCAAGCTATCTCAAATACTAGATGCGAATGGCAGGGTCAGAATTGTGCAGTGCTTACATAAGATGCATATCACCAAAGAGGCCTAGCGTGGCCTCCACCCGCTCGGGGCTCCCCGTTCGGGAATGGATCTCGCGCTCCTCCGCGTTCCCCCTTCCATCCATCTCCTGTTTATCTTCCTCCCGTAGCCGCCAGAGTCATTGGCACCCGTCAAGATGATAAATCAAGCAACACGATGCGCTCGCCGAATACGTACTCCTCTTCTTCCCCCCTCCCGTTCGACTTCCCGTCTCCCCCTACCTATCCCCTTCCAACGCCCGCGCGCGCCATATCGGACCATTATGTCTTCCCCCGAATGGACGGTCCCGTTGAGAGAATTCCCTACCTCCGATCTCGCCCTCTTTGAGCCGTCCGTGGAAATCGAGGAGGAGACCCTTCCAACCTACCAGCCGGAAAAATACTACCCGGTGCGCCAGGGTGAGGTGCTTCAGAACAGGTACCAAGTGCTTGCCAAGCTGGGTTATGGAGTGACGTCAACGGTGTGGCTGGGTCGCGACCTCTGGTACGTGCACTCGATCCCTTCGCACACGACGGGCGCTCACACTGCGAAATCAGTGACGCGAAATATGTGGTCCTGAAGATCTATGTCACGGGCCACAAACGGAACCATGAGCTGGAGATCTATAACCGCATGAATGCCGTGGAAGCTCACCATCCGGGAAAGGGCTTTGTTCGAAAGCTGCTCGACCATTTCACCATCGCGGGACCCCATGGTCCTCACGTCTGCCTCGTTCATGAGCCCTTGGGGATGAGTGCCGATGCGCTCTTGCAAAAATACATCCCGGGGAAGGCCATGACGCTCGAAGAGATGAAGCCGTGTATCAGGCAGTTACTAATCTGCTTAGACTTTCTGCATTCTGCGGCTCAAATAGTCCATACAGGTATAAGCTTTGCCCGCCCCACCGCCCCGTATAAGGTGAGATGCAGGACTAATCGATAACAGATCTCCAGTTGAAAAATATGCTGCTTCCTATCACCGATACCAAGACACTGGCAACCCTCGAAGAACGAGAAGTGAAATCTCCGTCGCCTCGGAAGGTGCTCCAAGACCGAACCATCTACTTATCTACCATTTATAACGCGGGTGGGGATGGGCTCCCTCTTTTGTGTGACTTTGGCGAAGCCCGGTTTGGCGATGTGGAAAACAACGCGGATATCATGCCAACCATGTATCGAGCTCCCGAGGTCGTCTTCAAAGAGAGCTGGGGCTACAAGGTAGATATTTGGAATGTTGCTATGGTGGTGAGTAGCTCATGTCTCCATCCTCCCAGAGCTAGGGTGTCATCCCGCATTGTGCTAATTGGCCAAGGCCTGGGACATTGTAAGCTCCCGCCACATCTTCAACGGCAAGAACTCCGATGGTATCTTCGATGATCGCGTTCACGTGGCGGAGATGATAGCGCTCTTGGGTCCTCCACCGCCTGAATTCCGCGAGCGGTGCAAACTGGCCTATGTTTTCTGGGACGAACAGGGTGAGACCTGATACCTAATTGACCCGTGGGTTTCTAACGTAGCTCGCTAGGTAACTGGAAAGAGTTGGCCCCAATCCCAGATATTTCCCTGGAGAGCCTGGGTGCCGACATCAAGGGAAAGGATAAAGAGGGGTTCTTCCGATGGCTTCGAGCAGCCTTGCAGTGGAATGCTGAGGACCGGCCATCGGCCACGGATCTCTTGTTCGATGAGTGGCTGATGGAGGGCCTCGGCATAAAGAGCACGGGGGAAAATGCCAAGGATGGATAGCATATTGCCTATCATACAATGATAGATGTTCATAGTGCTTTGATGGGGGACAGATCCCTCTCAAAGATTTGTAACACTAGATACAGGGATCCGGAATATAATCGCTTCTCACTATCATCGCTCTGAAGCTGGCCTTTCAACATCTCCACCCACCAACATCAGCACTAATACTCCACACTCCCCAAATCCTCCGCATGGCTCTTCTCCCAGGGGTATTTCTGCTCCAGCGACCGGATAAGCTCCAAATGCGCTGTGCTCCGCGGCCGAATGGACACATTGAATGGGGCCGGGTGACTGATGACTCCCGGGAGAAACTCGGCAGATACCTCCTTGACTTTACCATTCTCCACAGGCTTCGAAATATCAAAGACAGCGAGCGATTGCGCAATAGTGAGGAAAACGTTCACGTCGGCTAGATTGCGCCCGGGACAGATTCGCCGGCCAAACCCAAATACAAGCAGGTGAGGATCTCGTTCCGCGGGATGACCCTCTGAGGCCAGGAATCGATCCGGGTTGAACGCCATGGGGTCGGCGTAGACGTTTGGATCATGCGTGAATTCCCTAATGTCAGTCAGCGTCAATAACAAACAAGGCGTGCCAGAGGATTCACCGACCAGATGTTGGCAAGAATTGACGCTCCTTTGGGGATGGAGTAACCCTCAATGGTATCATCCTCGATGGACGTATGCGCAAGGGACATCGGAACGACAGGATGCCATCTGAGTGCCTCTTTGACGAGCGCGTTGGTATAAGGCAGCTGTTCCCGATCCGCATACTGAGGCAGTCGGTCCGTCCCGACCACCGCGTCGAGCTCCGCCTGAGCCTTGCGCTGCACCTCGGGGAATAACGCCATCGCTAGGAAGAAGCTGGATATCGATGATACCGTGGTATCTGCACCTCCTGCGTAGAGCGATCCGGCGGACCATTTCACTGTATTTTCTTGTTCTGATCCCGGCTCGGGGGCTTCGTCCTGGAGGAGATTGGATAGAAACGAGGGCAAAAAGGAGCCGTCTCGCATCTGCTGCTGGACGAACCCATACGGGATGTCGCTGAAGGCAGCTACTTTCTTCCGATAGCTTTGCGCGATCTTCTTGAACCCCGCTCCGGGAAACCAGGCGGGCACGTATCTCACTGCCGACTGTCAGATCAGACCCCACGGGTGTACCGTCAACTTACAAATAGGGAAAAAGTCCACCGCCCAAGTCGCGGGCAACATCGCGATGCCAAACGTCTCCATCGCAACGTCGGCCAGATCCACCAAGGGATCCCGATCATGCGGTTCAATGGTGTATCCGTAACCGATCCTGAGGATGATTGCTCCCGCCTCTCTGTTGTCGTTAGTGGCGCTCATGGATCCACGGCTAGATAACCCACTTTCGTATATGGGAAAACAACTTGTCGGGTTCCTCTACCACCCGCAGCAGAAACCGACCCACCTCCGCCATCTGGATGTCATTAAACCGAGCAACGGAATTATTGGAGCCGATCTCGCGATGAAGATGTCGTCTTGTTTGTCTGAATTGTTCCATATCTGTCACAGCCCCGAGGACTTTATCTTTCCAGCCCGCCCTAGTACAGTCAATCACATACTCGGTATATTAGGTAGTGAGGTATGTCTTACAACTCAGCAAAGACCTGTTGTGGACGTGATGAATGGATTACGGATCGCTTCTCCAGCAACTCCACGGCGAGCCGGGCGTCGTTGACGATGATGATGGTTTGTCCCATGACGCTGATTGAGCTGATGGGGCCTATTCGGAGTGGTTAATGACGGTGTCGTCGATTCGCGAGAGGGTTGTCACCATAGAGACTCTTGTGCTTGCGCCAGAAAAGCCAATCCTGCTGGTTTGGGTTGGGCAAGTCAAATAAATTGCCTATAATCGGCTTTCGTGGAGGACCAGGAGGAAGAGGTAACTGCTGTCGTTTATGACCATAGCAAGTCGCGATATAGAACCCCGCCAAAGCGACGAGGGCGCCTATCCACAGCGATGCCAACATGGTGCCCGAGAAACAAAATAATGATGGCAAAAGAGGGGGTGAACAGCTGAACCAGCTCTATTTTATAGTGGTCTCAGTGGAAGAGGGGTGTGCAGAATCACTGCATATTAGTGCTGCTGTTGATTGGCCTGTGTGGGGTGTCATCCACATTCCACCAACGTACTGCAGGCAGGATGCATTAGTTCGGCCGGTGAGCTCTCGATAAAGCCATTTTCTGTCGTTTTATTGGTGTGACGCGGCATGCGATCGGGGCTCGAGATTTCTGGGAATTATCCCTGTCTGGTTTGTCCTACCATATCGCTCCAATTGGCACTGTCTCGGAGTCTTCAATTTGCCACTCGTCGGAGGGTCCTTGTGAGTCCGATCGGTTGGTGCATTTTGCTTCTGTGCTACTTTGTATTCCTCGGCTGATTGGGCTTGGAATAATGTGCTCTTTTTAAGTTAATATAGAATGGTTGGCTTTGTTGGTGGGCGAAAAGCAATGTTCAGCGTACCGATTCGTTACATGATGGCCACCCCGGAATATATCTCCGAGCGTCGAAGATTGGTGCAAGCAAGAGGATTTCCCACCCAATCCTCCCAAGACATTCTGACCAAAAGAATTTTAAATATATCCTAGTCATTTACTGTCAGCCTCCTGATATTTCTACACGAGTCCCTCACGGCGCACGTGTGTCCAATATAGCCGGTTGAAATCAAGTAACAGCCGACCGTTCTTTATCCTCCTTTGTTGTCTTAGATAACAAAATAAGAAGCATATCTCTCATTAAATGGGGCTGTGGTTTAGTGGTATAATATTCCCTTAGCATGGGAGAGGTCCGGGGTTCGATTCCCCGCAGCTCCATTTTTTGTTTTTCCAGCATCTGCTGGCTATATCCACTCTTCCTGAGACGAAGCATCCGGGCCCTGTCTAAGAATACAGGTTCAGGAGTAATTGTAATGGATCGCAGGGTTAATAGCTAGTCAACGTGACCCGCAACTAGCCCAGCCCGTGGCCCAAGACGGACAATATACCATGCGCTATTCACCAGTGTTCACATATGATTCCAACCAGCATATGCATATCCTCTGACTTTTCACAAGCAGGATTGCACTCACTGCACTAGGATACCCTTGCATCCTTTCTGCCGAGGCAGGACGTTCCGTCATCCCAGATACAAAATAGGCCAGTGGCAGCTGATTCAGGATGATACGCAAACACCGCGGAAATGAATATAGACTGTCATGATTCGAGCTCATTGCTCCCCCAAGCCGTGTTTGGTGGCCTATGGCACTTGTTCCATAGTTGGTCAAATAAGCTCTATGGTTCTACATCTGCAGATACCAAGACGATGCGCATAGTGGAAGATTACGATGTGATTTTAGGGCTGGAAGTGATTCTTACATTCTACGATAGTGATTGCTGGTAGAAGAGGGCATACCCTTGACACAAGCTTATAGCCCGCAGAAGATTCGAAAACTCTCGTTGAGTAATAATCTCAATTCTGGCCTATTGAACTTCTCACAAATTCTTTCCAAAAGGCTTCCCTTATTGACTTTGCAATCAGGATTTTGCTGACTTTGACATCCACCGGGTAGATAGGTAATCAAGAGCTTATCTACTCCATATCCACTGTCATTTTATGCGAGTTCTCCACATGACGATCTCCCGCATGGAGTCTTACCACACCGTATCTTCATCAAGAATGGCTAACACGGCAACCGAAAGACCTTGACGATATAAGCCGCGGTGTCAAGTGCCATCTCTGCCGTGCTCAAAATTCATTGGACGCCTCACACGCACCACGCTCGGATCGGACAAGCGACTTGGGCAAGATCGATCCTGATGCGTCATGTCAGGCCCACCGGAAGCCTCGGCTACTTATAAATGACCCGAGCTGCTGATAGACCGACACTCGAGCCAAATCCATCCCTTTCGCACTCCGGCACTTCATCATGCTGCTCTTCCTCATAACGAGCGTTCTAGCATGGCTATCCTCACTATTGCATCCTCATAAACAGACATGCGACCGCTTGACACTGCACCGGATCCCTGGGATCCACAGCTTGTCCATCGAGACCCGAGAAAGGCACAATTACAGCTTCCCGGCCGTTCCCCCGTTCAACTCTACTGATGTTTCTGATCTCAACTTCTGCGACGTCACCGTCACCCTGACCCACCCTGGAGGCGATGATTTCGTGACTGTTTCAGTATGGCTCCCATTAACCGATTGGAACGGACGATTCCAAGCCACCGGTGGTGGCGGATTAGCAGCTGGATATATCGGTCCCGCGCAAGCAGCAGCCGTCAATCAGGGCTATGTAGCAGCGTCAACAGACGGCGGCTTAACATTAAATGGCACGATTGATCCCCAAACCGGAGCCTGGGCTCTTCGTCCGGACAGAACCCTAACACTGCTCTACTGAAGAACTACGCTCATCGCTCCATTCACGATATAACCGTGGTCGGAAAGGCGCTCACCAAGAACTTCTACGGCGTCCCTCCGAAGTACTCCTACTGGAACGGCTGCTCCACCGGCGGCCGACAGGGATATTTCGCGGCAGCCCTATATCCAGACCATTTTGATGGCATTCTGGCTGGAGCTCCCGCCCTTAATCTTCCGCATCTGTTTTCGTACTTGTTTTGGGCTCCAGTCCTGATGATCAACTCGGTTAAACCACCGCAGTGTATCTTCCAAGCGTTCCAACAAGCAATTATCGAAGCCTGCGACCCGCTTGACGGTGCCATAGACGGCTTAATCTCCGACTACGACCCAGAAATCTGTGACTTTGACCCCGAAACCCTAATCGGCGAAACCATCGAATGTCCCGAGCTCGACTCCGACATCAATATCACATCCGAACACGCCGACCTGGTCAACCAAATCATCCAAGGCCCGCACTTATCAGACGGCCGCCGACTCTGGTACGGTCTTTCCCCCGGGGCCTCGTTCTACGGAGCCGCAAACACGGAGACAACCAACGGAAGCACGATCATAAAGCCCTTCTTCCCTGCCATCGGATGGGCGAAGCACTTTGTCTTCCAAGATCCTGATTACGATATATTCTCAATGGATTTTGAAGACTTTGACACCGTCGCCATCCTCTCCATAGCACGGTATACTGACCTTCTCGGCTCGGACGGGCATTATCTGTATGATTTCCAAGACGCAGGAGGGAAGCTCCTATCGTGGCATGGGTTAGCGGATGATCTCATTCCTCCGTCTGGGACGCTTCGGTACTGGGATCGGATCGAAGAGGATATAAAGGATGTGGAGGAGGTGGATGAGTTCTATCGGTTGTTTTTGGCCCCGGGAGTGGGTCATTGTGGGGGTGGGTATGGGCCTGTTCCGGTGGATCCGTTGGGGGCGTTGGTGAGGTGGGTGGAGGAGGGTGTGCCGCCGGAGATGTTGGGTGCTACGAGGGTGAATAGGGAGGGGGAGGTGGTTACGAGGAAGTTGTGTCGGTATCCATTGGTGTTGGTGTATGATGGGGAAGGGGATGTTAATGATGCGGGGAGCTTTTCGTGTGAGAGATCCTGAGGTGTGAGTGTCTGAGGGTATATATATGAATATTAGTTTAGGTTTTATAGGCAGTATGGCCGATTTATTTCGATTGTTATGGAGTTATCGATATCTATTCTATTCAGTATAAAATGGCATACAGTCTCTCAGATGCAGCAAAATGAAAAGACATAACAGACAAGAAGATGGTCATCAAATTACGGCATCAGAAATATGAGGACCACGGGGACGCGTTTCTACTGAAGTAATATAAATCTTACGATAGAAGATCCTAAAAACGGAGGGTGAAAACCGGGATCATATGCCATGAAGAGGATATTTGACGAGCGTTTTATATCCAGTTACGTATGATTATCGTCGAAACCAGTACTATAATTGACATCAACAGAAACATCCGAAACCTAGAATGAGCCTGGCAGCTCATTACTCGGCATGTACATTGGACATCTCGTCCTTAAACTGAGGGGCTCAACAGACCAAGTTCAATAAGCTTTGACGCGACGATATTAGCATGCCGCATGGGAAAATAAGGTTCAACCATCCGTGATGTTACCGCGAAGTCAAAAGAAGACAGCCGAATTGGCCAGGCTCAATTCAATTAATTATTCATCTTCTGACCGAGGATGCGGCAAACCTGACTTAAGAGGGAGGGTTCCCGCTATGAGTTCTATGAAAGTATGAGAAGACGGATAAAGTTGGGCCAAGCCTGGATTTGCTAGGAATACTCGGGAGACTCGTCGCATTTTGGGAGAAAAATAAGGAGAGAAGTGGGTAAAGACTGGATTGTCTCACGGATATACAAAGCCGGTACTAAATAGAGGGAGAATCTCCGTCGCATGCTGAACCTAGAAAGCACGCACGTATCTTTCTCTCTCTATATTCTATTTCCATCCCCACCTCGGTTCCTCTTATGGGCACATTCTACATACTGCTCCTGATAGACCGTGTCAACTGTGGCCTAGAAATTATCCCCCTGACTACAATCTCAGTCTACACGCCTTAGTGCTTCCCAACCCCAACGAACAAGACGATGGTGGAAAACCCTCCCATGGACAATTCCGGGACCGGCAAGCTTCAAGTTCCACGGTTTGGGGAACTCGAAGTGAACCATACCTTGTATGACACCAGCAAATTCACAGATGGCTTGAATGGAGGCGGCCATCCCGACCGTCTGACAATATGTGAGGTCTACATGCTGCGTCTTATGGAACGACTGACCGACAAGCCGAATTGGGAACAGGATATTTTTGACGACAGGCTGGTCGCGCAGTGGTATACTGAATTGTCCGATTCCAACCTGCATTCAGAATCCGAACCAAACTGCGATGTTGATATGGATCTCGTCTATCCCCGAACATGGGAATGGTGCATATCTGAGCTTCGAGATAAGGCGATTGAGTTCCATAAGACGGGCTATGTGCTTACCTTTAATGCTGATTCTGGAGTCTGCAAGCCCGACACCCTGGTGGGAATGAAGAATGAAGAGCAGGAAGCCTTTGAACCGCTGCGCAACCAAGCAGCATTTACATCGAAAGATCCGAATCCAGTCAAGGACTTGGTCGACCCGTCCCTTTTCATGCTAATCTACGGCCGTACCGGCGTCCTTACCGAAGGGGGCCAAGTCACCATGGCTAATGGCGATCTATTGTACCCGACTAACGTCCCTATCGCACCCGCTCGAACCCGTCCATTCACTGTGGTTAGGACAGAAACATGGAGTACACGGGATGCGCAGAGCTTGCATAAATGGACTCACGACTTCCAGTGGTTGCCATGCGAAGTCGAGTTCACTGGGCAGGACTCGGGAGTACGGATCACATCCTACATCAATAACCTCCACCCCAAACACCAACGGGCCTATGCTGCAATTGAGAAGTTGATTTCCTTCAGCCTGGACCCGTGGAGTGAGGTTCTGGCTGAATGGACAAGTTGCTATCCGCCGCGCATCAAGACCCGCGGAGTTGAAAAGGATTACGATTACCTCAATGATGAGACCTATGTTCCCATCCCTACCACGAACAGGAGTATGATGCCTACCGAACGCTGGAGGAAGTATTGCTCCGACGCTTATTATACCCAGGTGAGGGATTTCCTTGATCAACCAGAGCCAGATCTGAAGTATCGGTTTTTGCATCCGCATCGATCCGATGCAGAGGGCATGCCAGTGGACTCGACCCTGGCTGAGTACCTATCGCAACTCTCGCACGACGAACTCGCACGTCTGATCAACGAGAAATACCAACGACTTCGCGCCTTTCGGTACCCAGAGCCTGGCATCTCATATTCCTATAAAGAGTGGAAACAAGGCAAGACATCTCAACCAATCGTCGAAAAGACACGCATACTCTACCCCGAACCGGATCACACCTACCAGACCCACTCTCTGCAGGACAAATTCCGGGACAAGGGCTTGCAGGTCATCATCCGGATCTCTAGCATCGAACTCACCCCCGACAACCCATCCTACGCCGGCGATGACGATTTCTCCATCGCGGGCTTGATGAACGAACACATCGTGAGTATATCGCGATACTACTACGACGTGGAAAATCTCACCCCCGCCCGAATCTCCTTCCAACAAGGGGATGGGACTGATGAGCGATATATGCAAGGGGAGCCGAATGCTCTGGAGAAGATCTATGGCCTTTCGCCCACCCCACGGCCCCGTCCTGACCCGCGAACCGCGGAACATAAAGGCCTTCATCGAAGACTTCAAACCCTGGGTTCGGTTTCCACTCGTGAAGGTCGGTTCCTGGCTTGGTCTAATACTCTCCGATCCAAAACACAACCATTCTCGTTGAAAGATAAATCTCGTCCGGGCCACCAACGATTCATCGATATCTTGCTAGTGGATCCCCACTACCGCATTTGCTCGACCCGGAATGTGCCCCCGCAGCAGAATCACTGGTGGCGGGAAGTCGTCCAGGCTAGCACGCCACATTTGCCCCCTGAGCTGATGATTCTGATCATGGAAGAGACGGAGTATTGGCCTATGGGCATTGAGGAAGCCCAGGAAAGGAAAAAGAAGGCAGAAGTGGAGCTGGAGCAGGCCAGGAAAACGCAATCTAATGTTGGGTTTATTGATTTCTGGTATACTGTTATTGGGCCACCGAGTCCGTGGAATCTAGTCCTCATTGACGGGAGGTTTGGATTGCAGGGTTTTCTGGATCCCGCCTAGCAGTGATGAGTATTTACGGTGGGTGGTGGGTTTTATTCTTATTTTAGTCAATAGATTCACATTGTATGATGAATTATGCGTGAACTTGAAAATATTATCAATGAGTTAGCCAAATTTCCATGGACCTTTAGAATACAGTGTAAGTCATTGTGAACGCCAGACCCTGATGCCGCAGCTAAACGCCAAACCCGCTAAATAACCGAAAGAACAACCCCGCTGCGAGGAATCTACCGCATGTCGACGTGGAAGAGGTATTTCTGTCGAATCTGAGCCACATCATAAACAATGTACTCATTGTACATCAGTCCTCGGGAGGTAGCACTGGCCGACGGAACCGACACATCAGGCATCCACACTCCCTGCAGATCAGGGTTGACACAGCCAGCATCCTTCCACGCCGCAGGGATCGACCGACCACGACCCAGGGTCGCGATCTTGCCTTCCTTCTTCGCATCATCACCTGCGTTGTAGTTACCCCAGTCTAGTTCGAGCATGGGGTTGCCCACTTCCACGTCACAGAGTAGCAGCAGACCCTTGTTTCCACTCCCATAGGAACAGCAGTAGTTGGCCGACTTGGTGGACATGTCCGCGAAGTAGACGCCTTTGCCGAACATGTATCCGCTCACGGGAGCCTCCGGGGGCGCGATACGCAGACCCTGACTCAGGATACCACCGAAGTTGGTGCTGCGGGATCCGTGCCAGAGCAGACGACGGCTGGAGTTCTTGATTTTGGAGTATTTGGATGACTCAAATCGATCGGTTTCGCCTTGGCGCTCGATGCGGAAGATGTTGATGACCTGCTATAGTTAATAATGATCTGAGATGTCGTGTTGGATGCGAACCTTGTATCGAATGCCATGGGTGGCACCGCGGGAGAGGTTGAGGTAGTTGTCCAGCTCGATAAACTCGGTAGACGAATGGTCCACTATTGGAATTAATAATAAGAAGGCAGGGGCAGATGGGCAGACATACATGGAGTCATCTCTTGCATGCCCAAGCCTTGGAATTGGCGGTCGAGATGATGGACTGTATCGACCTCCTTGGCATCCTTCATAATGTTATTCGCCACTTCCATGTCGGTCAGAGTTTCAAGTAGCTCAATCTCTTTCTTGAGCAGAGACTCCTGGTTCAAAACCGGGGGTCGGTTGCGCCCAAACACGTGAGGAATCACGGTGAAATACTGGTTGCTGAGATACTCAGCTGCAGCAGGAAAGGTCATGTCGTATTTGGTAGTTGCCAATGCGGGGGTAGCAACGAGCTCTGACAGGTCCTTCAAGGCCTGGAAACCGTTGCGGAGGGTGCGCTTGCTCAGTTTCCCCAGTGGCAGTTTCTTAGCGTCGTAAGCCATAGATGCCATAGTGGACAGGAAGAACTCTTGGTTGAAGATAAATGCGATGAGGTCCTGGACAGCCGCAGGCAGGGTGCTTTTCACTTGTGGTTTCTTTGCCTTGGTGGGGTTCACTGGGGCGTCTTCATCTTCGTCCTCCGTGTCTTCTTCGTAGTTCCGCTCAATGAAGGTGTATTTGCCGTTTTTCGGAGCGTTGAGGCGGTTTTCCCAGGTCAACCCCGACTTGTCCTTGAACTTTTTCTTGAATTCAGCTTCTGCCCACTCGAAGGAGCCGTTCCCAAGCACGGCACTCTGTCCAACTTCGCCGACTCGGCCCCAGTGTGTCCACGTTTGGAAATCATGGTTTCTGCGAAGAAGCTGTATGCGGTAAAACTTGTTGTTATTGTTGGTCGCGCTGGTCTGATTCAGCGTCGCATCCCAGATGAGGCCAGTCGCATCAATGTACACTCTGTAGGTACCTAGTCTGCTGTTAGCTCCGTTAATGCCGAGTGGTCCGTGTGCATACCTCGCAGAGGACAAAGATCATCCACCGGAACGTTGATCGTTTTGCCAACGGCAGATTGCGCATCCTTCAACTTCTTAGCAGTGCCATCTCCGTTCACACCCAGAGCCTCTTCCAGTGTGCGCTTCTTGGGTTTTTCATCTTCACTGTCGTCTTTCTTGTCGGCGCCCATCAGAAAGTTCTTCTCATCGAGTTTCTTGCCAACCCGATCGGACTCCACGAGCCAGTCCAACGATACGATGTTGCAGGTGTAGACTTTGGAGGCTTGCGTGTCTGAGGTTGTTAGCAGGTGAAGTAGATGGATTCTCCGTACTTACATTTGACACTCCGGTTGTCCACTTCCCTCTGCGTAGTTATCAAGTGTGTGCATTCCTCTGTCACAGCTGGGTGGAATGTTCCTCCATTGCGCTTTATGATGGTCCTGAGGTCCGCTAGTAAACCGCATCAGTATGTGACATCAATGAGTAAAGGACGCGCTCACCTTGTTTGAAACCGGGGAATGTACCGCCGACGGCTATGACGAGGCCGTCAAAAGGTTGAGCGGTCATGGCGACGGTGAGATTGAGGTGTTATTAGGTAAGAAGTGAGAAAGAAGAAACTAGCGTGACGAATACGAGGTCGTGGTGCAGCAGATAGTGCAGCTAGCGATTAAATTCGTAGTAAAGTAGCCCCTGAGGGTGAAGCCTTGAATAGTCTGGAAAAAGGGATGAAAGAAGCCGGGGCGACATGGCTATATAAGGAGATGAAGGAAGTGAGGTGAAGTGGGATGTTGGTGCTTGACGGTGCTTGCCTGCCGGTCCACAGCCTGAGGCCCCCGTCGCGGCTGTTGCCTGAGACCCTGAAAGGCTTGCCGATCTGATTGGTCTGAGCTTGGGTGGGCCATCCAGGCACCAGTGTCCACGTGACTTCTGCCTGCGGGAGACACTAACCCCATCGAGCGATGGCCTTGAATCTTCAGGCAGCAGTTGCCTGTGTTCAATGTGCCTAGTAGCATCATCTTGTAGACACTCTTTTTTATGGCTATGAACACATCACGCTGACTAGCTTCCCATCTTCTTGTGCCGGCTGCCAAGAATCCCCGTATCGACGAGTATGCAAATGACAGAAGCAGCATGTTCTGCCTTCTATGGCGCATTTAAAGCTCGAAACCAACGGCTTCGCCAACAATATATTCAAACATCTGCTGAGATTCTCTCAGACCTAGCATCTCGCGCGAAATGTCTGAACAGCGTGTTGCCTTGTCAATTCCCCGAAGAGATCATCCTGCCTTTCATTCAGCAAGACCTCATGTGCGATGAGCTTATTTTATATCCTGATTGTAATTCTGTTTACTTCCAAGGAAGTTGGCTTAGACTCAGTATCTCATCTTATCATGGATCTTGTCTTAATGGTGGATTTCCGCCCTATCTTATCTCCGCACGATCTGTCCTTCCATCGGAATGTGGATTACACAAAACATAAACAAGAACACAGCGTGGAACCGACAAAATTCGGGAAATCTGAACATGAAAGTGACCGAACATGATCGGCAATTTTGGCGATGCTAGGAACTGATCCTGCTACCGTGGCTCCACACTGGCTAAATTGCTTGATCAGGCCAAAGACTCACCATAGCTACCAATGGTAACGGGAAGAAGTTGGACGCCCAAATTTAATACTCTGCAATTATGTGTCTACTAGTCTGTAGGGAGAAATGGGCCAACATAACCTCTTGCACATAAGGCTGGCACCACCCCGATGCCATATCTCAGCTGAAGTGGGTCGGGTTGCGGCGCACCGACGGACCAGCTCCAAGATATGCCACGCCGTCAATAACTGCTCCTGATTGGGTGGTAGCTCTAAGCGAGTGAAGCTTAGACGGAGACTAGCGCAGTACTAGTTAACCTGCTGAGTTCTGATTGGTAGGATGATTCGTTGTCCAGCCTGCCTGAAAGGCTGGAAGAGGCTCCGGGATTATGTTCCTGTCAGCCTGACGTGAGGATTGTATGTGTGTGCCCGGCTTTGCCTTCAGCCCTGGAATTAACAATGTGGTATAGAGAGTCGCTGCCTGGCGCAGGGGTCAACTTCGATTCATGAGCAGATTGGTCTCGTTGGTTATCCCTAAGGACTACAGCTAACAATCCGGAGTATGACCACTATTCACTTCATTTGTCATGCAAAGTTGCGTGGGGTGTCAGCAGTAATTACCCCGCTTCAGCTGCGCCTGATTTACCCTAAGCCTTAAGCCTATATTAATCTCCCACCCCTCTCTCCATCTTACCCGATCTCATTCCCATCCTCCATCCACCCAACACCCCAAATACCCCATCCAAATGGCACCCACCATTCTCTTCGTCCCCGGATTCTGGGAAGGCCCTACAGTCTTCGACCCAGTATCCACCCTCTTATCCGCCGATGGCTTCACCACAGAAACAGCCATCCTCCCTAGCACAGGCACCACATCGCCCGGTAACCCCAGCATGGCCGACGATATCGCGGCCGTGCGCGCCCACCTGGAGAGTATCGTCCAGCGCGGAGAAGAAGTCATTCTAGTTTTGCACTCGGCTGGAGGATTCCTTGGCAGCGCTGCCATGGAGGGACTTAGCAAGCCGACTATCGGAAAGGGTGGTGTTGTGAAGATTGTCTTTTTGAGTGGTGCAGTTTTCCCAGAGGGGTTTGAGCATCAGCCGTTGCCGTTTGCTGTTGTTAAGGTTGGTTAACCACCCATTTTTGCTACCTACCGCGATTTCTGGTGAAGATTGTTAATGATGGTCATAGGGAGGTGCGATGTACTGCGTTCAGCCAGAGGTGCTTCTTCTGGATGATGTCCCTGAGCCCGAAAAGGCGCAGTGGTTGGCTGCATTGAAGCCGCAGCCGGCTCAGGGCTGGGATGGCACGGTGCCGTACGCGGGGTGGAGGGATGTACCTAGTGTTTACCTTGTCTGCGAAGGGGATAAGGCTCTCCCGGCGGGTCTTCAAGAGCAATTAGCTGGACTAGCCGGGAGTCAGATTGAGCGGTGCAGTGCCGGTCATTTGCCCCAGGTCAGTCAGCCTGAGCGGGTGGTGGAGGTGATTAAAGCTGCTGCTGCAACTGTGTAAGAGACAAGCTAGATGAAGAAAGTAATCTGGGAAGTGCAGAATTACCAGACTGCCTATTCGATCTTGAATCGGCTGGCTGCTACATTCACGCATGGGCACAACATTTGATATACATATTTCATAGCTACATAGAAGTATTGTACAATCACTCAGAATCATCAGACTGGAGAGTCTTGCCATTAATAGCGAGCAGCTCCACATTACTATAGAAGATAAGTAAGATATAAGCCTAAATTAGGGACACACTTACAAGACAAGGCTTGAGTTACCCGGAATGAACGGAGGGGCACCCCTATACGCACATCAGCATATACTTCAAAGACCCGTAGATTGATCAGGTTGAACATACCTTTCACCATAGCCATAATGACTATCGGACAGTACATGGTTAGTATGGGAAAAGAGAAGAGCCAGGGAGGAAACATACGGGCCAAACGTGAGGTAAGCTTTCTCCCCCAGGCTCATGCCTAAGATACCAACCTCCCATCCTAACCATCGTAAGCATCCGAATAATCGCCGACATTAGATTGACAACAACCTTTGATAACCTGGCCCATCCCAATCTGGAAGGTAAACGGAAATCCCCGTTTGATACTACTGTCAAACCTAAACACAAAAACAATTAGTCTCAATCCAACACACCCTTCGAACAGAGAATACTGTAAACAACGGATCAGCTGGAACATACCGACGCCCCCGATTCCAAGACCGCGTCGGGTCATACAGATAGCCGTGATAATGCACAGTCACCATGTCACCAGGTTTGGGGTAATCGACCCCATTCCCCGGGCGAATAATATCTTTGATAAAATCGATGAGCCCCATTTTTGATGAAAGAATCCGTGGAGATTGTGGAGTACAAGGGTGAAGGACAACGAAACGGCGCGTTCCGATCGGGCAGTTCACGTGATGAGTGAGGAATTGTGCCGGAGCGGAAAAATGTTGAGGCGTCAGTGTGGACTGTTAAGAGCGATGTCTATCTACTTGTTATTGGCCTGGTCACCATAGGTTTAAGATTCGATATAGTGTATGGAAGGTGAAAAGGAAATTTACGCGGGGAACTTTTTGCCAAGCGACTGACAAATCACTATCACTGTGCCTGAGGAATCAACACCATCAAGCGGTGGTAGTTACCTTGGGCTGGACTGGGCGAATGTCTTTGTTTCCTGTTACCCATCCCTTTATTTCACTTGATACATTGTCACGCAACTGAACAGCCCGAGACCATCAGGCGCAACAATGAGCCTATGCATCAAAGTTGGGAATATGAGTAAACAGGCCAGGGTCGTTCCTGAAATGTCATGGACAAACCCGTTATTTTTCATTCCATTGCACCAGTCTTCCGTATACAGTGACTGAGGCTTCGTTCAAGCGCCTTGTGACAAAATGGGCGCAATAGGGTAGCTAGCATATAAGAACAGCGTCGTTAGCAGCCACAATGTTTCTATCCTCATCCTCAACATCTTTTCTCAGTTCCTATCAATCCAACCAGTCAGAAACCCACTGAATTCGACATGCAAAGCCCACAGAGCCCCGAAAGAAGAACAACGGGCATGATCCGACCAGTTGGATATAGGATCAGAAACTCCAATCCCAAAAAGCGGCCCAACGCAGTTGAAGTTCTCATCGCCGAAGCCAAATACTTTCTGGCTGATACGACGGTGGAGGTGACCAATCCATCCCTGAGTCAGGAGGTCGGATCTACACCAGACAACCCGACAACTCTGGATGATGAACCGACCAACGTCAGCGTTTCGCAACCAACAGCGGATGGTATGAACGACCCCAGGGCTGGCGTCGTGCCTCGCATCTCGGCAGAGAATGTCATCAAGCCCATCCTCATAAGTGGCAATGCATGTCATCTCATTGCGAGGCCTGGGGCCACGAATTACAGCATGGCTTGCAGCCCTAGTCGTCGCTCATTGCGCATAGTCAAGCAGGGAGGATCACCCAATTACAGCTGGATGTACCCAGTGGGTCACCGGAGGATAGTGCTGCTGAGTGAAGTTGATAAGACTGAACCGCGGAAAAAACCCGATAATGCCTTGAACCACCTCACAAGTCCGACCTTGCGGCGCCAGGGCTTTGCTACCAGGGATTGCTCAGGTGGATTGGAACCTGGGAGAGAAAGTTCTGAAGGGTCGACTTCCTGCGATGCATCGGAGTGACGATGATGGAACTGCGAAAACAGTTCACAGCGATGTCAAAATGGGTGAATATGTTCGTTCTACCAAAGACAGGGTATGAGGCACGTGGACCTTATTTCATTTGATAATGTGCAGGACACACTTCACAGAGAGACGGAAAATCCCACTATTAAGAGCATCTAGCTGCAATTCGAGATAGGTGGAAGGGAAAAGAATGCGACAAAGGCTGCTGATAAGACCAAAACCAGTTAGATGACTGTATGTGCGAGAGTCTAGTTGAGCATGAGATTTTAGAAGAATAGATGACGCGGATGGATGATGAGCATTAGAGAGGTGCACGATGATAGACTTCGCCAACCAACCCATTGAAGTTTAAGATGTTAATATCATTGATTTGTAATAGTTCTGCGTTCTGTACTCCGTAGCAGCTGCTAAGACGAAAAGCACGCTAACCCTAGCTCGTATTCCGTTTATGCACGGGCGAATTTAGCTTCGGTCTGCTTCGGCCCATTCCCTGGCTCGTATTCAGGGATCGGCAGATGCACCAGCTATACGACGCAGGTCAGTTGAACCACAGTCTTGGTTTACTGTACTGCAATGGCAGCGCCTCCGGACATACCTCACGATCGGTGCCGAGGAGGACATATATAAGAGAGGCATGACTGCCTGGAAAGATCTAATATGACTTGTCTCCCAGGATCTTGGTCTCTACTGTACAAATTCTGTTAAAGACAGAGCAGCTCTTCGAATATTATACTCTTAACCACACCTTCTCATAAACACCTTACTGTTGTTAAAGTCCGACAATGGCCGACAGCGCGTTCCCCCAGCCCATCTCCTTCACCAAAACATGGCACTCGGAGCCCTACCCCTTCATCTCCGACCGACCTGAGCTGTCTGCATCTGGCAAGAACATCGTCGTCACAGGCGGCGCGACAGGAATCGGAAACGCCATCGCCGTCGCATTTGCCAAAGCAGGCGCCAAGTCCGTCTCCATTCTCGGACGACAAGCAGACAAACTGCGTCTCGGTGCAGAAAAAATTTCCAATGCCGTCCCAGTGGACGGAAATACCCAGGCCCTACACGAGACTGCTGACATTCTCGACCCTGTTCAGCTCACCGCTGCCCTGCAATCCATCGTCGGAAAAGTGGGCAAGATCGATGTATTTGTTGCGAACGCAGGGACCGTGGCACAGCCGGTACCCCTGGTGGATCAGAGCGTCGATCAGTTTGTAGTCGACGTCGGTGACGCTGTTCGAGGCACCTTGAACTCCTTCCAGTGCTTTTTGTCCGTGGCTGGACCTAGTCCGGTGCTTTTGCATACTTCGTCCTGCTTGGCGAATATCGCACCAACTCCGGGACTCAGCAGCTATGCAGTCGGCAAGGCGGCTTCACTGAAGATGTTGGATTATCTTGCTGCCGAGAACCCCCACGTGCATATTGTTAACGTGCAGCCGGGCTGGGTGGCTACTACTCTCAACGGTTATCAAAAGGAGGCCCCGGACTCGGGTAAGTCTAAATCATGATACTCAACCACAGTAAGAGCATGCTGACGAATGCAGCCGATCTGCCCGGCCAGTTCTACGTATGGCTTGCTTCCCCGGAAGCCAAGTTCCTCAAAGGCAAATTCGTCTGGGCCAACTGGGATGCGCAGGAATTGTTGCAGCGGGCGGATGAGATCCAGAACTCGAAGCTGTTGAACTGGATCGTAGATGGTGTTCCTATGTGATCTGCTGTCGCATTTGTGTCTACTTCCTAGTATCAATGGATTGATGGTCATCTTCCACTTATCTCGTTTCTACGTGTCGGGCTCTGGCGGGGTTCATCCTTCGTGCCAAGCAGCCGTGACGCCGCTTTGCTCCATGCGGTTTAAGGGCTGATTGGATGCCGCCATCGTGCTTACGGTGGCGCGGCCATTAAAGTCCAACTCTTCGCTGACTTAGGAACGGCAGAATGGACAAAGCCGACATCATGGGGGAAACTCGGTTTCAAATCCTAGACATGACTGTGTCAAAGCCACGTCTGCGGAGACATCACAAAAAGTCTCGTCTGGGATGTAGCAACTGCAAGCTGCGGCGTGTCAAGGTAAGGCGGATCCTCGCTGATAGCATGCATAACTCACGCATGGACTTTGGGGTAGTGCGACGAAGCGAAGCCCGCGTGCAAGAAGTGCAGTTGGTATGGGGTCGTCTGCAGTTATGACCCGGGCAAGGGACAAAATCTTCAGATCTCGCAAGAGCTTGAGATCCCGTTGCCCGCCAGTGCAGATGCGGTGACTGTATTTGAGCTGGATACCACCTGTGTGAACTGGCTGAAGTGGTTTCAATGGGCGCAGACCAGCGTGAGCATTCTGAATGTTCCCCAGGATGATATCCTGAGACTGGCACGCTCGGTATTGCCCCCTTCCTTCAACCAAGGCGCTGCTAATATTGCGAAAGCATCCCTTCTTGATGCATATAGTCCTCACCATGTCGTCGATCCATCATCGCCATCTAAGCCTGTCGGAGTCGGACCATCCGCGCGCGTTTGAAGCCCACCATACCTCACAATGTGTTCAGCTGCTCAGTGAAAAGCTCGCACATCCAATCCCGCCCGAGGAGCGAGATGCCGTTTGGATCGGTGCTACATTCCTTGGGATCGTTGTCTTCTCTTTAGTATCCGCGACCACCGTAGAAGAGGTGTGGCCGCTCAAGTCCGATCCGTCCGATCTGGAGTGGGTGCGCATGACCAAGAATAAGATGTCACTCTGGACTCTGATCGATCCGTTGCGAGATGACGGCCTCTTCCGAGGCATGGCGGGTGAGTATGAGGAGATGTTTGAGCCAACAGCAACCGACGCCAGCGTTCCGGAGCCCATGGCTCGCATATGTCATCTGGATGAATTCTCAACAGCTGAGAACAACCCGTATTTTACCGCGCTTCATACGCTGCTTCCGCTCTGGGATCGATCGTTTGAAGAACAATCAAGAGCGAGTGTTCTGGCATTTCCTAGTCAGATGACTCCGGCGTTTCGAAACCTGCTTCATGAGAAGGACTCAGTGGCTCTGCTGCTTTTGGCCCTGTGGTATGATATTGCTGGCCAGGTAATCTGGTGGAGTAGACAGCGCGCGACTGTCGAACTTGAGTCCATTTGTTTGTATATCCAGCGGTACCATCCGGAATTGCAGGATCTGTTGCCATGAGCGGGTATTGAACAGACATATATGAATTTTATTCAGAATTTAATTTGAGTGACATAGGGACAATTAGCTCATCTCGAAACCCTACGAGGGCGTTAATTATAAGGTGGTATATCCGACCTAGCCCGTACCGCCCCTTCCCATCTTGATCCATCTCCGTCTCCCACTGACTACATCAACCATGTGTCATTGAGGAAAAAAAGTGCCCCAGGAAACTGATCTGACTATTAATACTGCAGTCGCGACCTATAGATCCGCTGTGGCAGCATCAAGTACGACCAAGGTGCTATGATGTCATGGAGGATGACCCTCGGATGATTTCATAAACCGCTGCTCCACTTGCATCTCACCTTGTTGGTAGATTTCACGCATCATAATAAATGATATTCTTTATCTCACAGGACGCAGTTTCTGATCCGAACTAGAATATTCATTTCCAATTACCCGCATTCCTAGACGTGCCTCCAACCAACTCCATGATGCGCGGCAAAATAGTCCTCGAAGAAGCCTACGAGCGACCCAACATGCAAGAAAAATCCAAACACGAAGCCAGTCTCTACATCGCTCCCAAAGACCGTCCTCGCTACATGCGACAAATCAACGACATCAACCAAGAACGGCTAGAAATCGCCAACACCCACGGCATCGGCTACACCATCATCTCCCTCACCGTCCCAGGCATCCAAGGCATCACCGACCCAGCCGAAGCCGAGCGAGTCGCCACTGAAACCAACAACTGGGCTGCTTCACAGATTCAAGACCATCGCGACCGACTGGGTGCTTTCGCCTGTCTCTCCATGCATGATCCGAATCAAGCTGCTGACGAACTGCGTCGCTGCGTCCAGCAATTAGGGTTTCACGGCGCGCTGCTGTGCAATTTCCAGCATGCGGGCACAGACGACGAGACGTACCTTTTCTATGATCAGCCGGAGTATGATGTTTTCTGGAAGGCTCTCACGGAACTAGATGTGCCGTTGTATATCCATCCCTCTGGTCCGACCGGTATTCTCCATGAGAAGCTTTATGCGCAGCGTCCGTCCCTGATCGGGCCTCCGTTGTCGTTTGCGAATGATGTTAGTCTGCATACACTTGGACTTATCTCCAACGGGGTCTTTGATCGATTTCCATCTCTCAAGGTTATCATTGGACATCTGGGCGAGCATATCCCGTTTGACTTTTGGCGAATCGAGCATTGGTTTCGGGACGTGAAGAGGCCGATTGCGGATGAAGAGGGCCGAGTCATGGCAAAGAAGAGCATCTATCATTACTTTAAGAACAATATCTGGCTGACGACTAGTGGCCACTTCTCTACTCAAACGCTGAAGTATGTGGTCGATGAGATTGGTGTTGACCGAGTGCTTTTCAGTGTTGATTATCCGTATGAAACGACAGAAAGTGGCTGTGATTGGTGGGATAATGACAAGGACGCGATACTCGAGGCAATTGGGGGGATTGATAACTACCGAGCTATTGGCCGTGATAACGCGAAGAGATTGTTGAGGCTGGACAGGTTTCACGATTGTGATGTTGTATAATTGCAGTATGTGACTCAGTCGCGTATAGACAAACAATTCTCCAGTACAGCTAAGAAAAGCGAAAGTACAAAAGACTTTTATGTTGCAGCGGTAACCACAACAGAGCACTATAATTGCAAACTGTAAGCAATTAGACATTCACCCCGCCCTCGCCCTCTCCGCCGCAGCAGGAAACAACTCCCACGCATTCATCCCAATAGTCCCCACCTCAATCCCCCCATCCCTCTCAAAATCCACAACATCCTGCCTATTCCGCATCATCGTATCGATCGTCGAGCACGGCGCTCCACAATCAGATCCATACAAACAATGCCCAACGCCCACCATCTTCTCCGCAGCCGGAAGCCCCGTCAAGGCCATACCCCCGGTATCCACAAACAACCGACTCAACTGAGTCTCCATTTCCTCCACGCTGATCCCCTCCGGATTCGACACCCAGCTCTCGGTCCCCAGACGTAGAATTCGACCGTACAATCCGGGAAATGCACCGGCACAGTGGCTGAATATGACCGTAATGTCTGGATACCGACGGAACCACCCGGTGTATAGCATATCTGTTAAGGTTCGGGCCGTTTCGAAGGTAACTTCGATGAGAGAGCCGGGCCGGTCTCGGAATGCGGGGACGTATGCGTCTGGATGGATGTATAATACCGCTTTCAGCGTGTTCAGTTTGCTCCAGACCGGGTCCAGACTCCTATCACTGAGATACACTTTATTATGACAGGGATGTACAGCGAACCCATCCGGCGGGATGCGGAAAGTCAACGTGCGGTCGATTTCCTGCAGACATGCATCTGGAATGTCCGTAGGGAGGGCCGCGAGGAGCCCGAACCGGTTCGGGTGAGATTGGATGATTGAGCAACCGAAGTCGTTGGCGGAGCGAAGGCCTTCGAGGGTAGACGGGACGTTGGATAACATCTGCATGGTTACGCCCATTTTGTCGGTGTTTGCTAGGGACTCCTCGACGGACCATTTGAGTCGGTCGGCGGTGGTGATGAATCGGAGGTCGTCGGTCAGCTCTTTCGCTGCTGCTTCGCGTTCGGCTTCGGTGGAGGGAACCGCGAAGTGGCCGTGGACGTCGAGCCAGCCGGTGGGCATGGTGGTAGTTTAGTGGGCAGTATAGGTGTCTTGGTGTCTTGGCAGTGGAAGATGGTCAAAGAGTGATATAATTCTGAATGTAAATGAAAGGAGTTCCTGTAGTTATGTGCTAGAGATACAATTAATTAAAAGAGAGATCAATCGACAAGGAATGTAAGATTGGGCTTATATATGACGACACATCGATCCCCGAATGCGTCGATCTTACTTCCGAATTCGGCAATCTATGAATCATGCCCGGCCCGCCTGACATGCAAGGGTTGGCGATCAAGATCACTCAACGTACTGTGGACGGAGTAACCACACGGAGTATAAGCATGGATCGGCAATGGGTCTTACTCCCAGGATACTGCCCGATCGAAAAACTACGAGAAATCATCTTTGGTGTCCTTCCAAGTCAAATTCAACGAACAACAAAGGTGGATCACCTTTGGAACCAGGTGCCCAACTCAAGAACCCCAGGACGATGTGACCAACGGCTGTAGGGGTGACCAGTTGTCGGAGAGCCTTGGGCACAACTCGGTCCTAAGTACCAAGTAGATTGCTCAGCGCACGCTAAAAGTGCCATGTGATCTGACCAAGAGCCAATCAGAGTAGCGGGGGGCAAACTCGAGCAACATAGTTATCACAATCACCTGATGTCTTGGTGCTTACGTACAGCGTCACTGCCCCTTCCTGGTCGCTGGCTGGCGCTTCCGATTCATCTTTGGATATCATCACGCCGACCAATCATGAGACGCCATCCCAAAGAAGTCATTGGGCGCTTGATTTCCTCTCAATACTCAAAAGAACATGTTTAGGGTTCTGCTTGAGATTTCCTGACAGCACTTGCTCTAGTACGAGAGAACTCTCAGCTCAAGAGTCGTTGCTCTGATCCTGTCCCTGATCCTGGGTCGGTAGGTGAGAGTAACCAATAGGACTATCGACAAACTCGTCCAGGAACTCGATCGGTGGCCAAACAACCTTATCAGACTCCGGTCCACCCCGACAAGTGTTGTCTGGTTTCTCCGGTGTATGCGTAGCTTCCGTCAGGGTGAGATCCTCTTTTCCATTTGTATATCCATGTGAGGCCACATGGTATTCCCGCGAGACTTGATCACTGCCTTTGAAGGCGAAGGTACCATGCCAGTCTCTGGGATCAATGATATGTCTGCCTTTATTGGAGGTGGTTTTGTGCAAGTCCGCACTAGGAATACCTTGGTCAGCATAAAGATAACCGAAAACAGTCACGTACATGGCTGCCTGTGTGGGCTGTTTGAAATTCATGTATCCTCAAAGGAGATAATAGTGGATATTGGGAACTATCAACCCGAATCAAAATTTCCTTGGGAGCCAGTAGTTGGTCTCGAGCTGTCGCGTAGGCAAGAGCAACCAAAGCCCTCTTTCGCTCAAGGCTGAGATTGTTTCCATTGTAGAAGAAGATTCGGACGAAGTTGACGCCACCTCTAGCGGCTTCAGCTTTTAAAGTAAGAGGTTTTGCTTTTCTTCCAGCGGTGTTGGGGTCGAGTTCTTTAGATTTGACTAAGGTCTCAAAAGTGTAATACTATGCAATCCAAGAGGTGCTCCGTTGGAGTGCTCTCTACTGTCTTATATCTTTTGCAACTAATCCCTGGGAGTCACGCAGTCTTGCACCCCATCACTCGTGCTCGTCTGTTGACGCGTAAATCCTCGTCTCTAAGTGGTAGGACTAGCAGCCTGATAGGAATCTAATCATAGAGATGGAACCCAACCCCGGGGGATTTGCGCAGCCTTGTCCTACGCATCAAGGATTAATGTAACCTCACACATCACCGTCCGAGCGATTAGCTCTTCCCACTAATCCCAAAACGCCTAATAGAGAAAGTGCCTATGCTATGCAAATAGAACACAACTGCCTGTGCACGGAAACTCTATAAAATCTGCCTAGCTCAGACCAGTGGAATAAGGGTTCCCGACCTTGCTTTCTAGGCCTTTGCATTGATATTCTGCCTTGTCAAGGCTATCGCATCCTCGCCGCTGCCAAGTGATCTGGCGCTACAGCTAAGGCAATGAGCCACCAATGATCTTATGCTGTTGTTCAGCCGAGCAGTCAGTGCGGCGCTTGCTTGCCAGCCTTATCCAGCCTATTGCTCCCGCAAGTGATCAGCACTTATTCATTGGCTACACGAGACGGAGTACCCACCTGCCGCAATTTACGCGCCTTGGTTTGCCTTGCTCTCCGTATTGCACCAGCCTGTCCTGCTGCAGATTTAGGTTCATTTCAGGTATCTTGCTCATTGTTGACGTGGGTGTATAATCCCACTTCTTGCTTGGTTATTGACGCGCGCGCCCCAGTATGAATCTCGAGCAGTCACAAGCTTTCCACATCTTTGTATGGAGTAGAGGACATGAACGAGGCTGAGCTAGTGGGAGCTTAGGGTGCGGGGTTCTTTCCTTAGTAGAGTTCCGTCGAAGCTGTAAGTTGTCATCCGTAGGCCGTGTGGTTGGTGGAGAATACTAGCCTGTATGCCACAGGAGTCTCGCTGGCTGTCATAGCGGCTTGCCAATCACGACAATCCTTTCCTCCACGGTGACTGGGTCATAGCTTCTCTCGAGAGAATTTCCGTAGGCTTTGCAAATGGCAGTAAGGTGGAAGAGGTCGAGGGGTTGGATGGTAGCTTAGGATGTATGGAATGTCTTTTCTTTTTTTTCCGACATGTACCTATCTGAGAGCAAATTTTCCATAAATTCCGATGTGGTGTAACGGCTAACATCGCCGTCTTTCACACGGCAGCTCGGGGTTCGATTCCCCGCATCGGAGATTTCTTTTTCATCTTCTCACAAGTTTTTAACTCGAGAGTCATATATAACCTTTTTTTTTCTGCCTTTTAATCATTCATTATCGCATAATTCAAGCGGGGCAATGAGTCCATCGGAAGGCAGACGGAAGGGGGCCACACCACAGCTACCATGCAGAAGAGCCATTTCGGTCACATATTGCTTGTAATCCATGTCGTCTATTCACAGGGTACTTTGTCTGCCGATATTCCACTTGACATTTTTCAATTAGATACATGAAGAATACTGCTCATTTTAGGACATGCTCTCCTAAATATACCGCGGTCTCCCTATCATATCCCACCCGTTGTTCAGGTCAGATAGTCAATGCACATATGCCATTCACGATAATTTATCCAATCCTTGTAATGACAACTACTCCGACCGCGGCTGATAAACACTCATCTCGAACCCATTCGTGAAAGGCAGCGTCATATTCCGAAACCCATTCTCCGGGGATCGCAAAAACGCCAACAGCTCCGCATACCCCTCAGCTCCGGAAATGGTATTGTCAGTCAAGACCACTGCGCCGGGCCGCATACGAGGAAGGACAGTCTTCAATGTCGGTAGGGCGAGCGGGGTCCAGACTATTCGCTGTTAATTCACGTAGCACGACCTAGATCTTCGGGGGTCACCTACTATCCAAAAAAAGCAGATCGATTTCAGGTAAATCCCCCTTCAAAGTTTCTAATAGATCCCCTTCTCTCAGATCGATCTGTTCCTCCACCACGGAACCACACTGCACCCAGTACTTGCGCGCGACATCCGCCTTAGTCTTCTCTTTCTCTGTCGCGATCACCGTACCCGACTTGCCGGTGACGGCTTTTGTCTTCGCGATAGCCAAAGCAAGGTAGATAGTGCTGACACCGAAACTGGTCCCCGCTTCGATGATGTTGGTAGCCCCCATGGCGTTGATCAGCTGGTAGGTAAATTGGCATTTATCTTCGTCCAGGGCGATGAATTTGTCGAGCATTAGTTGGTTGAATTCCTCTTGGGGGTTGGTTGCGGAGCCTTTGTCTTCGAGGTCGCCGAGGACATTGGTGGAGAGGACTTTGCCCGTTTTTGAGATCTGGGCTTCTTGCTCGAGGGAGAGTTTGTGGAGTTCTGAGAGGAGGTGTAGGATGTGTGGCGGGGCGTCGATGGGGGTAGGGGCGGACATGTTGTAGAAGTAGTTGGTGCTGGTGGAGTGGATATGAGACAATGGATTTACCAAGATAGAGGATCAGATATGTGCAGGTGGACAAAAGAATTAGGCGGGGTACGCGGGGGAAATTCCGTTGTCTTGGCATCTTACGATCACATCCACTGCCATGTCCGAGCAGCTTGGAAGACCATCACCTTTCAGGAAGCAATCGAGCCACAGGCAAAGGCAGATATATAGAGATAGCACTAGGGTCTGATCTCCCACGCAATGATCGAACTACCACACCAGAAAGGGGCGCCGCGCCATTTGCCATTAAAGAATGAAAAAGTACAACAGAAAAGCTTTGAATCAGACTCTAAGGCTTGAATAGATGATCATTTACAGATGCTTAGCTAAATGCAAGATTTCATTCCCTTACCCATTCAACTACCCGTCTCAGCACCTCAAAGCCATCCGTCGGCTGCTCAAGCCGTTTCAGATGACTGTCCAATTCGTCCTTGGAGAGATTTCCATTATAAACGTCATCCTCTTCCAACAGCATCTTCTTGGCGAGGACGGGCTGAACCTCCGGATGCGATTGAAAAGTCAAAACAGTGTTCTGCTGATTGACAAACATCTCATGGTTTTCTGCCGGATGGATGAACTTCTCTCCGGGTTGCGCCACCTCTCGGACATGAAACTCCGGCAATCTCTGAGGGATCATTAATGAAAAGTTACAGAAAGGGGAGTAGAGGAGCAACGCACAAAGCTTGCCACATCCGGTGTAGTAGAAAAGAATTTCTTCCCGGCTTCAGTCAACTTGACATCTTCTATGGCCGCCTATGGTAACAGATGAGTCATGTTTTTCTAACATTTAGGTAAGTGTCTGGTATACATACAATTGGAACCGTGAGCACAGCTCGCACCACTCCACCAAAAGCCCTCGAGATGGCCTGGTGACCCCAGCAGATACCTAGAAACTTGGTCTTGGGGGATGACTGCGCAGCGTTGCGCACAAATTCCAACACACCCAATACCCAGGGCTCCGAAGATGAAGCGTCCGCTTTCCCGCCGCTTAGGACGATCAGGTTATACTTCTGGGGGTCGGGGAAATTGCTCTCGAAGACCGGGTCGTACATGTCTAGCTGAGCAGTGGGCGCAACCACGCCAAAAGCAGCACGGTAGGACTCGCTCACGTCATTCCAGAAGTCGTTGTCCGGGGGCGTGTTGACGAGGACGGCAATGCGGAGGGGTGCTGGGGCGGACATGGTGCTGAATAGTGATAAGTACTGACTGTGTGAAGAACAGTTTCATGTACCACTAGATGCTATCTTGTCTGCTATATAGCTTGCTTATACGGAGTACTCGCTGCCGGCATATTGCTCGGAATCTTCCATGTGCTTCTCCATGTCCGATTGATGGGACATCGCAACGGCGCACCCTATTCGGAAGTGATACTCCATAATCGAGAAAACTTTTTCCTGCGCCTCGGTCACCCTCGATAGTCACCCTGAAAATTGTGACTCGATTCCATACAGCCGCAGACATTACTACTCCGTCCGAGCTAACCCAAATCTGGTGCACGGGAGCGATCCGGTCCCACTCCGGGGAGAACCCAGAAGCCCCACAAAATTCCCCAATCGGGTGCACCAGAACGATGGCCCCGAGTTCCAATCATCGGGATGGCAATAAGGTCGAATCTAGAACAGCAACATTGCCTCGTTCCAACGTTAATAAATTCCATCATGCTCCCCAGTTTCAAGCCCCGCCTCATCCATCAAGTCTTTTCTTCCTTGCAAACCGATACCCCCAAACACCACACAATGTTCCTCCCCGCCGTCCACGCCGAACCCGACACGGAGGCTCTCCTCCAATTCATCAAAGAGAACCCTCTCGGCATGCTCATTACCGGCATCGACTCCACCGCACAAGACTTCCTCCAATGCACCCACGTCCCATTCGTACTGGACCTGCCCAGCGCAGAATCCCCCGCGCAACTCCGCGCCCACATCGCAAAACAGAATCCCCAGGTTAAGACCATGATCGAGAAGACCGAGAACGGCAAGCCATCGGGGGTGTTCCCTCTTGAGCAGGACGTCCTGGTTGTCTTCAACGGACGACACGATCACTACGTCACGCCGAAATATTATACCGAGACGAAGCCGGATACGGGGAAGGTCGTTCCGACGTGGAATTACTCTGCTGTGCAGATCTATGGGAAATTGTCGATGCATTATGATTCTAAGGATCCGGAGGCGGGAGCGTTCCTGGCGAAGCAGATGCATGATCTATCGGAGCAATGTGAACGAGGTATTATGGGTTACACGGGGGGAGAGAGACCGCAGCCGTGGAAGGTGGCTGATGCTCCCAAGCGGTTTATTGAATTGATGCAGAGGAATATTGTGGGTATTCAGATTGAGATTCGGAAGATTGAGGGCAAGTTTAAGATGAGTCAGGAGATGAGGGTTGGGGATCAGGATGGAGTGGTTAGAGGGTTTGAGCGGTTGGGTGGGGAGACGGGAACGGCCATCTCGGCTTTGGTTAAGGAAAGAGGAGAGCTGCATGATGAGAAGAAGGCGTTGAAGAATGCCCAGAAATAAATGTTCTTGTGCGATGGATGAAGTGATGAGTGTACCTTTTACAGACCGTAGTATTTGTTCCGCGAGTTGGTTGGTATAAGACTTCACCAACACTCGCCTCTTGCTCTTTGGTAGGCCCCTTATACAAATTCTGAGCAAGTGTTCTTCCAAACTAGTATGCTTGTTACAAATAAGAACCGATTCCTTCTCAAAACACCAATACATCCGATCATTGTCGATTTCCCTTAACTATCTTTACCAAAACCTCCTGCAGCCGGTCCGGAGCGCTCAAAAACGGAGAATGTGCAGTCGGCAGCCGATACGTATTCTCTGGACCCGCAATCTTTGCGGCAAAAATCTCCTGCAACGGAGGTGGTATGGCCAAATCCTGCTCGCAGATGATATACGAACACGGAATCCCATCAGCCCAAGGCTCATTGGTGACTTCGCCCTCAATGACCGCCAGGGAGAGGTGTCGCTCCAAAGCACCCCATTTGGCTTGCTCCTCCACGGGGAGGTCCTGGTAACCGATATTGCCCTCTCCGTCGGGATAGAGATAGTTGCCCTGCAGCATTTATTAGCAAAACCAGACATCAGAAGGGATTAGGGGGGGCAGGTAGATACCTCGACTCGCCAGCAGTCCGGGTACGTTCCTCCTAATACCCCGAGCAAACTCTGTCCCCGGTCCAAGGCAAAGGAAGCCATGTAGACAATTTGGATAATACCACCTGACTTACCGTCCCTTGCGCGAGTCGCTTTGTCCAAACCCTTGACTGCGTTGGAAACCACCACTCCTCCGTAGGAATGGGCGACGACGACAAGATCTCTACCCTCGTCGGCGAGGCTTACTAGAACTTCGCGGAATGAGGCGACATCATCAGCCAGGACCTTCGAAGGCGGTTCGGCCCCGACGGATGGATGCGCAGGACATTCGGTGGGATATCCGAGGTTGTTCAGTCGGGACCGGATATCGTCGAAGAATTTGGGGCTGATCCAAGCACCGTGGGAAAAGACAATGGTTGGCGAAGTCATCTTGAAGTTGTTAGGTAGATATCAGAGAACGTGAGAAGGACAAAAGCACGAAGGGAAGGACATTAATAAACAGCAGATTTTAGTTGGTGCGGTTGATCCACAATTGGCCCGTATACCGTTCCTGGATGCCATTGGCCCTATCAAGGGCGTTGAGTGGCAACATCATCCGAGGTTGGCAGCCGATCAATTTAAGCTTAATCGAAGTCGGCAGAAAATTTCGGCAGATCCGAGCCATACTTTACCACTCCGAATTGCATTGCCAGACTCCAGACAGGGGAGTATAGTTATGACGTCATGCGAAGTTCGTCGATGAGAACACGCTATCCTTTTCTTTCGTCCAAGCAGGTATGAGATGTGGGTAGTCGGTATCTACATTTACATTTATCTGAGGATCAACTCAAGCTTTTGTAACTCTTTGCCACCCTCAACCCTTCAAATTTTTCATTCGACTCTTCTTGAAACGCTATCAGGTTATGTCCTTACTGATCATTTGCGACCGGTGGACTAAGCATTTATATTATTTTGACGCAAGTAGCACGGAAATAACCGGGGCAGGTCAGAGGTACGGAACATGGTTGTTCTCAACCACGATCGATCCCAGATGACTCTCTGGGTTAAAGAACTTCGTAAGGAGGGACATGTACTCCCACTCTGGACAACGTGGCCATTTTATGCATGTTATTTGGTTTTTGAGGCCGAGAAGGAGGCATCAGAAAGAGACTTGGCGCATCAATTTCATGCACAATTACTGCCAAGACACAAACCAACAATAGCATCAACCTCACTCCTGAGACGGACAAAAGACAACCTTCTCCCCAGAAACCCCTTCCTTGTTCAGAGACAGTGCCTGTTCCACCGCCGTCAATCCCCCGGGAACCACACGTGTCCGATTTGGAATAAATTGTCCCTTAGCTATATATTCGCCCAGATTCCTCGCCAGAGGCTCACTAAGATAGCGTAGATGAGGGGCGCTACCAACACCCAAAACCTGCTTGATCCCCACTTTGAACTCATGGGTTTGACCAAGCGCGACGGCCTCTTGATCGGTGGTCTCTGGATGGACTGTATGCACCGTCACGACATGGCTGTTAGCTGTCCTGGTTGCCTGGAGAATCTGTACACCGAGAATCTGTGTCGCCTTGACTGAGATAGCATCAAAGACAAACATCAGCGGCGTATCCTGTACTGCTTCCGCAAAAGACCCCGCATCCGCTTGGTGTCGATCCAGAACAACATGGGCCCCTAACTTGCGCAATAGGTCGAAGTTTGCACTGCTCGCATTGGTGATAACATTTTCAAACCCAGACAGTCTGGCGAGTTGAATTGCATATTGACCAACAGAAGAAGCGCCACCAAGGATCACGATCGCGTGGCCACGACCGGCCTCCGTACCCCCTTTCTCCCAAGGAGGAATCAGCCCGTAACCTTCCTTGTCGTAAAACGCAGTGACAGCAGCCATGGTCGCGAGACTGATCCCTGCAGCTTGCTCGTCACTAATGTTGTCTGGTGTCTTCGCGACCAAGGCAGCTGGCATTTTGCAGTATTGTTGGAAGGTGGAGGAGTCGTAAGTGCCGATGATGCCCTGGAAGAAGACCCGGTCGCCAATAGCGAACCCGGAGACCGCCGATCCCACGGCCACGACTCGTCCAGCGGCATCGGACCCTAGAATAGCAGGATATTCGGTGATGAAGGCGTTGTAGTCGCGCATTTTCCAGTCTACTGGGTTGATAGCTGTAGCGAGGATTTCGATCACGACTTCGTCGTCCTTTAGCGGTCCGAGGGTACGATCAGAAATAACATTTTGGGCCTTGGGCTCAGGGACAATGGCGGCTTTGAATGATTGAGGGAACGACATGAGGAAGACGTTTTTGATTTTAATCGATGATTAGATTGAGCAGACCTTCGCGTTTTGGATTCTGAAAGTGTGGCCCTTGTGGGGGAATTGCTTGCTCTTATAATGGTGATGGATGGATTATAAATCAGATGCAACCGGTCGGAGGACGATGAATACAGGCGATTTTATACGAGCCACCCCAAACAGGACGCAAACTTGCTGCAACACGAGCCAGACTCCAATGGTTGGACGGAACGCTTCAGTGTGGCATGACATCATAGACACCGAATGGCTGAACCGGGAAGATTATCGCATGATTGGGTGATTAGATACGGGGTTGCGAGACTCTGAGCAGGTCTGAAAAGTCAGTATTGCTCATCCTGTGTGAAAAGTACGTTGTTTGAAAACTGCCATTTTTGATTTCACTTGAATTTTGCTGGGAGGTTGGCAGTGAAGGACGATTCAGACTGTCAGCGGGGCTGGAGATAAGAGAAAGATCAGATAATCTCCGATTGCTGACACCTACCCGATATACTCCGTACCTGACACGACTTTCTTCTGGGATATGAAGGACATTGAAAACTGCCAAATTAACATCATAATACGCTGACAAATCCAAGGGTCACACTCTGTCCAAGCCTAACCCCTATTGGAATTAATAGCATGGAATATAGGCCCGGGAAGCCAATCGGGATGTTGCTTGAATCCAGTTGCCTGGGCTGCGGATGGTCCTAGAAACCCACGGAACATGCATGACTGGAAGTACTGCTCTATTGTCCCTATTGTTCCACTACCCGTGATTATCTTGAGAGTGAGTGGCTTTTCTATCTTTACGAAAATCTCACTAACTACTTCGTCATTACGGTTGCACCTTGTCTATCTAAATATTTGCATGTATCCATCTATCGAATCAGCGCAAACCCCCCTATCGTCCACCGTACTTAGCCCCAGTCCTGAAATCCTTCGCCAACGTCCCTCTTCTTTCAACTCTGCATCCACCCATTCACAGGAAGAAGAACAATGGCATCAACGACCCAACTGCCTACAATCCCACCAACCATGCGCGCCTGGGTACGCAAGCGGTGCGGTCCCCCCGACAGCGTCCTGGAGCTAGCGACCCTCCCCACGCCCCCCATACCGACAGGCCAATCATCCGACGTGTTGATCCGAGTATCGCACGTGTCTCTGCAATACAGTACCGAGATGTTAATCCGGATGATTCCCATCCTGCCCCTCACGGGACCATGGATCCCGGAGATCGAGCTCTCCGGGGAAGTGGTAGCAGCGGGTGCGGGGGCCCCATCTGAATTGCGGGATCCGGGCACTCCCGTCGTTGCATTCCAGAACATTTTCAGTGCCTTTTCATGGGTAATGGGACCATGGCAGAGTATATTCGTCTACCTGGTTCTCTGGTTACGCGTATAGATGCGGCAATGGACATGGCGTCGGCTTCGGGGATTAATGGTAGTGGTAGTACCGCCCTGAAGATGCTTCGCACGGGGGGAGTGCGTGAGGGCCACACGGTGCTTGTTAATGGAGCTAGTGGCTCGGTCGGCTCGGTCTTGGTCCAGCTATGTAAGCTGCGCGGCGCTAAGGTCGTTGGTGTGGCTAGCGGCGCTAACGAGGCCATGGTGCGAGATCTGGGTGTCGACGAGGTAAGCAGGATGTTTGCTGAGGGGGTTTCATCAGGCTGATGCGCCCACAGTTCATCGATTACCGCAGTCATGACTCTCTACCAGCCTACCTGGCACATCAGTTCGGGGATAAGCCACTTGACTGTATACTGGACTGCGTTGGCTCGCAGGCGATTTTCGCACATTCGCCCGCCTATCTCAAACCTGAGGGTATGGTGGTCAATATTGGCACGCTGGAGGGTGCCTGGGCTACAACACGCAATGTGCTCTCGAATATGTACCTTCCCACATGGTTAGGTGGTGTTCCGCGTCGATACATCATGTTTAGCACAACGCCAACAAGCGACAGTGCCGTCTATGTGGCGCAACTGATCAAGGAGGGCCGCTTGCGCATTCCTGTCGACTCAGTCTTTAGCATGGAGGACGCCGTGCGCGCCTACGAGCGTATTGCTACCAAGCGTGCGCGAGGGAAGGTCGTGGTAAAGGTTCGCAATGACTAGTGGACTGCGCTTTTGTTAGGCGCATGGACATTGCGAGAGCAAGATGTTCATTGTTCGTAGCTTTCCCTCAATGTACGTAGGCAAAGGGGATATATCACGATGTTGTGATCACTCATTTGCCAGAGGAGGCTAGCATGTAGGACCACAAGGCATGAAGGGCAGCAGGGTGTGGAGGACAGTGGTTATAGTCTGCCGATGGAGGATTTCTTTTCTAGTACCCTTTTTAATATTTTTGTCATAAATAGCTACCCCATTCTCCAGTCGAAAATGGTACTGTCAAATTGAACAGCTGTGTTTTTCGCGTTTCTCTCATCAATATGTCAAATGAGTCCCACAACCATAAAGCTGGATTCATTGTGGGGAGTATCCAAAACAGCGGGCCGAGACGCATGGCCCTAGAAAGCTACCCTAGCAGGTTTGAAAATACCATTGTTGGCTACCGGATACCCTCCCCTAGCGTTAGGCAATCAACTGCCTTGGTTGGCGTCAGCTTCACGGTCAGAGCTGGGTTATAACAGACGATCCATGATCTTTGCGTCGAAAGCCACGTCCTTGGGTCTGTAGATACTTCAAAGTCAAAGTGCAGAGCCAAGTGGCAAATCATCAGAGACATGAGATAGGGTGCCATACTGTTGAGTATTAGTATCAATTCTGATCTGGTATGATGGCAATAAACTCACTGTTGACCGACACAATTATACGGTCCGATAGAAAAGGGTTTATAGGCATCTTCATCATCCTTGAATGCAGCCTCGCTCTCCGTCGTCTTATACCAACGTTCAGGCGCAAAGGCCTCGGGGTTATGAAAGTTATCAGCCGAGTGGAAAGCCGCGAGGGAAGTGATGTAAACGCGAGTTCCACCCGCGACCCATTGTCCGGCGATATTGGCCCCAGAGGACGGCACTACGCGAGCAGGCATAATGGGAATTGCGGGATACACCCGAAGAGCTTCCTTGATGCAGGCCTCCAGAACTGGCATTCCTGCCATGGCTTTCATGGTGATGTCGGAACTGCTACGGAATTTTGTCCGAACTTCCTGCTGCAGCTGCGTGAGAATGTGAGGGGTAAGAAGCAGATGGGCTATCATTCCGTTGATGGCCACTGTGGTTGTCTCAGAGCCTGCAAGGCTGATGAGTGGTGCGTTGGCACGTAGCTCGGCGGTGGATAGGCTATCTGCTCGTGCCTCCGTAAGAAACTGAACCAGGTCAGGGCGATATGCCTTTGAGGCGAGTCGTTTGTCCAGTCTCTCATTTGTGACTGTAAAGTAATTGTGTCGTATTTTGAGCAGCCTGCGGACGATTGGTTGAAGGGTGATTCTGACCAAGGGAAAGTCCACCAAAGCGGAAAGTATAGTAGCACCGGGTATTATGACGAGTGAGGCGCGAGCAAAGGCCTGGTAGGTTGGGTCATCTAGCAGGCGAAATGATTCCCCGAACTGCAGATCCGTCATCATATCAAAAAGTGTTAGATGTAGGAACTTGCTTATGTCAACAGGTTTTGCTGTCTGCTTTGATTCCTCACAAAGCTTCCTTATTAGCATGCTAGCATACTGAAGCATTATAGGCTCCTGCGCAGCCAGCGCCTGCTTTGAGAAGGCTCGAGCGTATACACGCCGCATTCTGGCATGATCCTGGTTGTCGGCAGAGAGGATTGTAGGGGCACCCTTTTCATCCCCAAGTGCCTTGAAGAATGCCATATCTCGGGGTAGACCGACAGGATGAGCCGAGGTACTAGAATGAATATCTTTCCAGGCGCGTGCGCTGGAGTAGCTAAGCTCATTTGGAGCCACGCGCACCACTGGGCCGTATGCTGCGTGCAGCCTCGTCAACCAAGTGGCGGATCTACCCGTCAAGACTAGACAGAATATGGGGATGCGGCTAGCAGCCATGATACGAGGTCCTGGGTAGTGTTTAAGAGGATGGAAGAAGACATTGTAGATAATACGGATAAGAAGATACTGATCATTTGTTAGTACGAAGACATCACTAGGAAGTCTGGGAGTGCTTACAGGCAGCAAAGGCCATGCCAAGAGCTTTAGTATAAATGCCGGTGACATATTACTCGTAAATATGGCCATGCTGCCTAGTAGTGATTAGATTAATCACTAAAGACGAAGAGCGAAAAGGCATATGCTTGAGAAAGAGGGTATCGTGGGTCAGAGGGAATGAATTGAAATCCCAGGAGTGTGCTAGGTAGTAAACCCTTGGAAATGACAAATGTCTGTAGCCAGAATGAAGGGCAATATCATATTTAAATCCCGTGCAATTTCCAGCACAGCTCGCAGCATGATATGTCGGAAAATAAAAGGAAGACAAAGGCTAACATGGCTGCATGATACGAACTTAATTCGGTAAAGCCAAGAAAAGGGAAATAGATCACTCAGAAAAAAAGAAAGGAAAGGGAAGGGAAGGGAAGGGAAAAAAGCAATTACTCTTGGTGTTAAATCATATACACGATAAGATAAGACGGACAATCTGCAGATTCAGACCCTTCTTTATCTATATAAAATTGCGTAAATTGCTAGGATATAACGTCAGATATAAAAAAAAATGTCCTTCATAATGGAGGCCCAGAAACGAAGGCAGCGAGAGGCATGCTGTGGAAGGGACCGCGGCAGCGAGGGGGTGGCGGAGGTCACGGGGCGCCCCGGCAACCGCCAACATTTTATGACTCATTATTTGGTTCCACGCCTTGTGGGACTGGACCAAATAAGCGTGGGCATAGTCCAATGTGGTCATCATTTAGGTAGTTCATTTTCTGCGACAGTGTGACAGTGTGGCCTACACTGATCGCATAATATGGAAAATTGAGTTTCGCTAATCTTCAGCCGCAGCATCTTCCGTCTGCTGGTAAAGAGTGGGTGTAAATCTCGGATCAACACATGCCAGTTACTGTAGCCAATGCGATACCATAAATATATCCAATATTCAGAAAATTCTTTAGCATCCATGTGGACTGACATCATATGCTAGTATAAAGGGTTGTGGCTAGGGAATTACTCGAAGTCGACCCCAGCCGATCTAGTGCCCAGTACCAGTACACTCGACCAACTAGCGTGCCTATGTATAGTCATTTGAATACGGTTCGTCATACCAGTCCAGTCCTACAGGTATACCGAAAAATGGGCATTCTGCATGCCAGGAGATATTACCCAGGGAAATACCCCACCAGGGTCGGTGGCACAGAATGATGGCCCAAGTCCATGAGCCCCACAGCAAAGCAGCACCCTGTAAGCAGCCCAGCGATTGGCTTCCGCCGCCAGTGGGCGGCTTTAATACACTAACTAAATGCGATTGAGAAGTCGGGCCAAGAAAAAGGCCAGATTGCCCGAATTGGAGGGAATTAACAAGATACATAGATCAGCCACGTCAGAAACCAAACGCACGAACATAAGTTGACTATTATATGCAGGTGAATGTAAGGCTCCTAAAACCAGACTAAATTTTGACCGTAAAGAGACACCACTGGAAAACGTATCCGCATCTGATTTTAGGTTGCTATGACACAGCCCGTGCTATAGATAATGTAGGTTACACAATGTAGATCATGCTGACTACGGACTAAAAGCCACGCAAGCACCACCTCGATTTTCGCCACCTGAGATCAAGTGGTTGTAGTCATTTCCCAGTGTATGTTTTCGACGGGGCAGTAGCGCAAGGGGCTAAGTGGCAAGAAAACCTCTGATTGTGGACGGTTGTGGCTCGTTATAGCTGGTTACCAATAATTTCAAGATCATATATTAAGGTTATTTATTGATCAATGCAGCTTTATTTTTTCCCGGTATTTGGATCAGCAATTTCCTCTACTTTAATCTTAGTCTGGTACTCTAGTGATTGGTCAATGATCAATGACAATATTGTTCTTAGCATAATAGCGTCGATTTCCTCATCATATCGCTTCTGACCATCAGAGGCCCAAGCCACTTTTTTCTGTCTAGAACTATCTAGGTAACAGTATTTGAACTAATATTTTCTTTTTCCTTCCAAATTTTCAGCCATCTTCTTTGGCCATTGATGGCCATTTGTAATTATTCCTAGCTATTAGAATTACTCAATTTTGAAAGACATCAAGAATGAGAATTCATAGATATATACGGTATTGTTTACCAAGGCGCTCGGGCTATAAGAATCCTCTTCTTCATCACCTCGGATTTCCCCCACCTATCATGGCCAAGTGGTTTGTAATTTATGGATGACCAAATTCCTCCCATAATGTCCACAAGTGCCCAACCTGAACGTTTCTTTACCTTGGTATCTTCATTTCTGAAAAATGTTTTCTTGTCCATTCCCAAAGTGCCAGATGATGAACCCTTTGATGCAGAAGTCCTCAACCACTTTAAGCTGTCTGGACTGCCATCGGACGATGTTCACAAATATTCCAAAGCAGCAGGTTTCATTGCCCGGTGCTTCTACCCACACTTGAATCGCGAGACGCAATTATCGATTGGAGTGTGGACCGCGTACATTTTCTCAATGGACGATCTATGTGAGGGAACCGAGTTCAGGGAAAAATTGAAGAATCACCGTGACTACATGTTTGGAAACCGTCATGCCCAGTGGGCTTTTCTAGACGGTTTCTTCTCATCTCTGCATGATCTGTGCGGCAGATACGAGCCTTTTGTGGGAGATATGATCACGAAGTCTTCTCTGGATTACCTCAGTGTGAACGTCCTCGAAGTCGAACAAAATGGGAAATTCAAGGTGGATTCTAATACGCGTCTATTTCCCGCGTTCCTCCGTCAGAAGAGCGCAATCGGCGAGGCATATGCATTCGCCAATTTTCCAAAAGGCGCCTTCGATATCGCGTCTTATATTACCATGATTCCTGACTTAACTCTCGTTGTTGGGCACCTCAATGATGTGGTCTCCTTCTACAAGGAATCAATTGTTGGCGACGAGCAGGACACGACAATGATGCTTGTTTCTGCAGTCGAAGGGTGTTCGGCTTACGAAACACTGGAGAAGACTGTGGGCCAGTGTCTAGATAGCATCCAGAGGATGCGTGCCACCTGTGTTGGTAATGAAGACCTTCAGAATGTGGTGAACAATTTTGTGCAAGGATTTGCTTTCTATCATCTAAAGTTACCTCGTTATCATTTGGAGGACTTTGGTGATTACCGAGAGTGGCTATCTAAATGACATTAAGTTTATCAAATATACATAGAGCTGAAACAGAAAGTTGGTCCACACATAGCTGTGAGAATAAGTTGAGGTGCCTGGTTGGCTGGTAGGCAAGGATCATGTGTTCTGATCACTTTGGCTATTACTACCAAGGTGTTCTTCTTCCGCTTTCTAGTCATAGCCTAGATAGTGATTCCGCGGATATCGCGGAAGCTGGCATGAGAGGATGCTCCCCCATTGAAGCTCGTCACCGAGAGTCAAAATGTTTAGAGACACAGGCCAAATTGAGGATCAGGAGGCTGTGGCGTTATTTCAGTTGAGGAACGTGAGATCAAGCTTCGGCCGTGGGATTGAATATCCAAGACTTTTCGGAGACTTTTCGGCTGTGTAACTGGAGACACAGTGGAATAGACGTGCGCTAGCATGGTCGCTCGTATAGAAGCCGCCGGCATGAACCAGTTTAAGGTCGGAATTCGAGCTCGTATGTCGACTGTAGAGGAGCGAATTGGAACCTATGCACGGAGCAAAGTCAGCGTCCACCCGCTTCCTGACAGCGTCAGCTTTACCGATGCCGCCCATGACGGCCTGCACGACTCGAAGATGACACAATGCCAGGCATAATGTATCATCCTTTGGTTGTAGAAAAGATCAGGTTCTTACTCTTAGGTGCTTCCAGATGAACTCAGTAAAATAGGTACATGCAAACAAATCCTGCAATTTATGGATAACAAATTTTAGGTAAAGTCACCGTAGAATCATCTTTGCAGTTTGCAAATCTCGGATTTCCTTCTCCAACTGCTGCCGAATCCTTTGCTGTCTCGGTTCCTCGCCGGCGATCTCTTTCAATTGTTCCACAGAAAGCCCACTCACAAGAGTGGGTGAGAATAATTTCATAGGTGTGTCAGGGCCGCTTATCAGATGATACCCTGTTGCTTGCATACATATATTGTCCACAAAGCGCTTTCGGGCGACTTTGTAGTACGATTGAAGAATATCGTGGAGGGCTTGAATAGTGTGCTCGAAGTTGCTCATATGTCGCTGGTAGTGCAGGTCTTCCACACGTACCACCCTCCCATGAGAACAGTCGTCAAATGCCTTTCCCTCTATTGCCGAAGCTGCGCGACTTTGGCGACTGAGAAGAATTAGATCTGATAGGAGAGGGCGGAAGCGACAATAACCTACCACTTCTCGAGTGTATCGTTCAAATAATGGTTCAGAGTCGTCGGCGTTCCCGTACGCTCCACAAAAAGCAAGAAATCAACCTTGGCGATCCCTTTCTGGTACGTTTCCAGCAGCCTGTCCATCAGAAATGATTGAACATTGTGACACAATCGAGCATCAGGGCAAGCTCGGTTCAATGCGCGGACGATAAACTCGTGAACCATGATGATTATGTCGCTTATATATCCCTTGGCGAGCGCCACCCATTTTTTTGACTGGCTTTTCATCATCGTCGACAGAAGAGTACCGTTAAAGGTCCCGATTTCGAAACCCCGCGAGGCCCTATACAGCTCCTCTATCCATGAGTGAATACCCCCACGAAGAGGGAAGCTTACTGAGGCAGGCTCATCGACAATACCCTCCAGGTCTCCCACAGTGTCGACCTTTCTCGTTAGGAGATCTCCGTCAGGAGACGTCTGGTCTTCTACCGAGGCGCCTAATCCGAAATGATGCTGATGTCCCCATTGTGCAACGTCATCGGAAAAGTTGTCATTTCTGTTCACCACCCTTGTAGCTAACCTTAAGATTTCATCATCTTCAAATGCATCATCTGCGCCGTAGTTCGAATTCAGCGCGTGCGACACGATAGTTTGGAATGATGACATGACATCGACGAGGTAACTCCGTTGCTGTTCAGGTGTTGTGCGCTCCGCTCCAAGGATGTGTAGTTTGTCTTGGCAGTCCTTCAGCTTCTTCACAATCTCCAATTTTACCTAGAGGGGGATCAGCAGGGGTCCACACAATAGAAGAGACAGCGGAGAAGGCGAGGCTACCAATGGAAAGGCGTTGCGTGCATTTGTCGTCACAGTCTCCTGCAGACGAGCCCGCAATGTTTGAATGCCTAGTTTGTCCGACCCGACTGTACACCATGGATGCTGCCTCAGGGTGTTTTCCTCTAAGACACTCCGGGATCTGTCCTTTTCCTGGAGGTCGCGTTGGCCTAGATTTCGCACAAGGATCCATCCTAATTTCATCGGCATAGTTCTGCCCTCCAGAATATCAATGACCTTAGACTCGGCGCCTTTGTCGACTAGATCCGGTTTGGTGATGACTCCAATGGTTCTCTCGCCATGGGGATCCTGCTCCCGAGCCATTTCAATAATTTCCTGTGTGGCGATGTCAACATTTGCAGGCACAACAGTGAGCATGATAGAGCGAGGGTTTTTCATGTAAGATTGCACCATCTCCCGGACCATTTCCTTGTCCTCTTTTGTCGTTAGCCCTGGTGTCGTGTTTCGAAAAATACCCGGAACATCGATAACACTTAGGTGATCTTCATCGGGACCGGAGATCTGCAATCTCAAGACGCTGTCCGAGAACGTCGGTAGACCATCACCTTCGGTTGTAGAGAGCCCCAGTAGGGCATGGACCTTATATTAGCACCGCGGGTAAGTTTACGGTTGGCTCATGTGAAGACAAATCAGCTTACATCCGCCATTAACTCACACAGGGAATTTGGTGTAAGATTATGTATATCTTCCGCAACCCATTCTCTTAATTGTGCTGCTCGCTCCTCAGGCTCATTCGGTCCTGGAATGATAGATGCTGTAATCGTCCTTGGGCCATCGTTGGTCCGGCGGAAGATGATCTGCGTGGCGTGCCTCGTACAAAGGCCACTGTCCCGTGGAAATGTAAACAATGTAAGCCCCTCTAGTACGGAGCTCTTCCCGCTGGATTGATCTCCAATAACAGCGAGCTGAGGAAGGTCGATGTACTCTCCGACATTGCAGGCGAAGAGCTTGTCGATCTTGTCCAACAATGAAGAATCTGCAAGACCTTCGCTTGTCTTCCTGACGTGCTTGGTCATGATGTAAGCGGTTGTTGCATCCCGGGATGTGTGGACAGATTCATGGACGTCCAGAGTAATATATTGTGTTCAATATCCAGAAATCTGGCCATCACCCCTAGTAGTACATCGAGTCTGGGAATGGTATTTGTGGCACTGCATTCTTAATACCATTCAGCAAAATGCACCTACCAACAGAATGCTGTACGGTATATTTACCCGCACACGAATGGCAACACAACTCTCCTTGCATGAACCGCCGTGCTGAAGCCAACAAGATGGCATGTATGAATGTGGATGAAACGGTAACATTTTGTGGAATTTGGTGTAGTGACCCGGGTTAAGCCGCGTACCGTTCAGGGCATAACTATGCCATATTATGCATTTCATACGGGGAAAACCACTATGAGGGGCTGTGGCAAAGAACGTCTAGAAATACTGTAACCAACAACTCTCTTGTGGTGCGGTTTACTCGTCGCCAAGAACACTTACAAGCCCCGAGCCAATCATGATCACTATATCAAAAGTGAAGTAGAGTAGTCTTGCTGGTTCCGACTCTGCTCCGAAAGAGACTTAACTCTTCAACCCTCTACAACGCGCATTGGCCATATGATAGCCCATCCAGGTATGTCATTTGCAGGGGCAGGTTTTTGTGCCCCCGCCCCATCATTCATGCTTCTCAGCATGTGGAATCCTTAGTTGGGTTGCTTGGCAGGTTTCTACGCGGATGGAACCGCCCCAGCCACGAACTGCATCGCATTTGCGAGTCGCTGTAAAAGTCAACTGAAACACTCCAAAGCAGCGTCCTCGCATTTCACTGGTCCCTTGGGGAACAGCCATTCAAGGCGGAATCAGTGGGCATCGGCTACGCCGGGTTGGCTGCCGCACTGGATCGCATGACCAAAGGCCGGTCGGTGATGGGCATCAATAAGGCTAAATCTCTAGAACAGGTATCAAAAGAGGTGGCCACCTCATGGTCGTCAGCGTCAGTTCCCTCGGTGCCCCCCAAAGAGTCCCGAGCACAACGCTCGGGTGAGGGAGAAGATCCTCAGTCCCACGCCGATGACATACTCTCCTCCGTGCTTTCTCTCGACTCCCTTCTTATCGGGAACGACAATGACCAAGATCGTCCTTCTTTGGCCCCCAGTTAACTCTCGTCCTCAGCATCTGCGACCGGATGGGAATCCTGTGCAGACGAGCTCGCGAGCTGCAAGCGGAAATCACCGCACCCCCCGACGACAATATCTCCGGGGATACCCTCACACATCACCGGCTATACGACTCATCAGCTCACCCGCTACACCACACCCCTAGACGAATAGTGGAGCTAGCGCGGCGCGGTTGCGCGGTGTATTGGCCTCTGCCGTCCAAGGGCGGAACCATAAGCTGCTAGAGCAATTACTGGATACTGGGGTGTTGCCGGGTCTCGGGGAGCATATTCATCCGCTGAACGAGGCTGTGCACCGGCACGACTTCGAGGGTATGCAGCTGCTTCTGCAATTTGGTGCGAACCCAAACGAACCTGATTAGCAAGGTAAGACGCCTCTGCTTGTCGCAGTGGACGAGTCGTATGTCGACGGGGCGATCTTACTGCTCAAGTATGGCGCCGATTCCAACTATGCACCAGAAAAAGGACGGGACTCTCCCTTGATTCGGGCGCCATTCGCGACAATCGGGGCGACATCTTGACCCTGCTGCTGGAGCGCGGGGCAAACCCAAACGTCATAGCGTCCGTGTATCCTACTTGGAAATGCATCATTCACAACCGGCTTCATTTCCTGCCTACCTTGGTGGACGCTGGTGCGGATCTTTTTGAGCCACCGGGATTGGTCGAGCTGGCCGTCCAATTCAACAACATTGAAGCCCTGAAGTGGCTGGTTGAGCAGGGAGGCGTGAACGTGAATGACCGCAACGCACAAGGTCATACAGCCTTAACCACAGCCATCCGCGAGAACCGGTCGGAAATGCTTAGCTATCTTCTCGCACATAGAGCCAATCCCGCTCAGCGCGGGCAGGACTGGCCCGTATGCATGGCCGTGCGGTCGCCGACTATATTGCAGAAATTGCTCCCGATGGTTCCTGATCTTTCTGCTCACAAAGTCATCATAGAGATGGCAGTACTAGCCAACCAGTTGGAGAGCATTAAGCTCCTACTAGCCGCTGGAGCTAGTGTTAAGTAGAAGAATGGCGGTGTCTTCTCCCCACTAACGACGGCCTTGCGAGAGCGCCATGTGGATATTCTAAGATTCCTTCTGGAGGAAGGAGGTGCCGATCCAAGTGCCCCCGGTGAACATCTGCCTCTCGTCAAGGCAATCCGCCGTATTCCCAACGGCGATCTTTCCATGATTGAACTTGTGCTTAAAAAGGGTGCCGACCCCAATAAAGCTTACCGGAACGGGAACGCTATAATGCAGGCGATTGAGTACCGGGAGCTACCATTGTTGCACTGCTAGTTAAGAAGGGAGGTGGAGTTGATCCCACGCAGCAAGATGAGACAGGTCAGACTTTTCTGGAAATGGTGGATTCCAGGTGGCCTGAGGCGACGCAGTTCCTTCTTGATCATGCACGTGGCTAGCTTGTAGTTTGTTCTGGATCTTTGAGAGTCTTATGATTATGATATAGGCCTGACTCACATCATAATACTTAGTAATATGAATGTTATGCATCTAATATAGCTAATTATTATGTCTGTAGACCCTTGGGTAGAGTTGCCAAATCGATGACTCCAAGATGCACCCAGGAAAGCGGCCGTTTCAAGTAGGACACCCAGAGCCATGGTGGCTTTTAAGCCGATACGACGGTTAAAAATCGTGACTATGGGGGAGATGAACAATGCCTGTGAGGCGGAGAGACCTCCGATGAAGGCATAATCAAGAGTGCGACTCCCGGGGAACATGAAGTGAGAGGTAAAGAAGGCCAAGAAGACACCGTAGCTCTCAAGGGTGTTAGTGTAATTGGGTGTGACCTAGAAGGTGATGCTAACAGATAGGATCCCCCAATGGTGAGCATTGTTCCAGAACACTGCCAGCACTATCACCCAAGCATATTTGCTGTCCAGTTCAGAGGAGCTCATAGTGCTAGTGTTTTACATCGGCCTTGCTAGCAAAGCTTTGGAGCCACAGCGGGTTTTGTTATTTGAAACGAGCCCCTAGATGACGGATAACGCGGTGTGTATGGAGAGTCTGATATCTAATCTCGGAGGCATATGGGATGTGGGATGTTGTGGGATGCACGTCATGAGAAAAAGCTTCTAGAAAATGTGGAGAACAATATATAGCCAAGCCGTAGAAAAGGAATAAGAGACAGGCATCTATTATCGTTGAGAAAATTAATCATATCTATGTACAACTAGTAGTAGTAGTCAATCATCATGGGCGGAATCCACGATTGTAAGACAATTCCGGTGGGGGGGATAGGGGACAATTGCTTCACTAACGGACCCTGGAGAAATATAAAGCAGGTAAAAGACTACCATAACAGACAATCACCCAGCAACTCAATCGAATCATCTTTTATCATTATAGATACTTTATTTCCCATTTCAAGCCTTTTGAGTTATTAACCTTATAAACCCAAACTCAAAATGGCCCCCTTCCAAGGTTCCGTCTCGGTCACCCACATTACCACCGCCACGGCGATCATCAATATCGAGCGCATCCGCTTCCTCCGACCCAGTATTCTGCCCAGCTGGGTCCGAATACGTCTATGACGGCTGGGCCAAAGCTGACTGGGAAGAATGGGGCTTCAACGGCCACCCTTCAACCTCAACGCTCCGCAGCTTCGAGGGACCCGCACTCCAGCTTCACGATATCCCGCCCATCGACGCTGTCCTCCTCAACCACGAAGACCACGCCGATAACCTTGACCCCCTGGGCCGCCAGCTCCTCGACAGCCGCCGCGTCTATACCACTCCTGATGGTGCCAAGAACCTGTCTCCTCGGCCCGGCGTCGTCGGCCTCCAGCCCTGGCAGACGGTTGAGACGTTCATCAGCGGCAAGCACTTCCGCATCACTGGCACGCCATGCAAGCATTTCCCTGGCGGGGAAGTTACCGGGTTCATTGTTGAGTGTGATTCGTTCGGTGTCAGTGATGATGGGTTGCCGAACGTGGTGTACTTCTCTCGAGACAAGCAAGATTTCTTGATATCCCAACAACAATAACTTCAAAGTAAGTTAGCCACGGACTTGTAACTGAATATAAATACATTATTATCACTTCTCTCTTATAAGAAGATAAAAGGGTAAGATTTGATTACTCCTGAGGGTCGGTATCTATGATAACTTGAGGTCTAAGATATATATATTTCCAGGATGGCATCTCAAGAATATCCATACGGTAGATTATCTCTTAGATAATTGTAAAGAGTTGTGTGATCAATTCTGAGTGGCTTTTTAAATATTGCCTTTTGTAAGAATTACATGAGGTTGTGTGATGAATTTTCAGCCGATGACTAAACAATTTCTTTGACTTTTCTAAGAAAATACTATATCTCATACACTTGTTGAGATAATGCAAACCATGTTCAATGTTAACGTATATTGGTGTGATTAAGCGTATTTTCGAAGTATTTTGCATGCTTACAGTATCAGTACTGCATACGTGTCTTATGTCAACGCTTGTAAAGAGAAGCTTAATGTATCGTGAACCTCATGAAGCAGGCTATACTTCACTGCATAACTATCCAATAGTTATCTGCCATCGCTTACATAATATATATATACTATTAGCTTTATGTTAGCCAACAAAAAACGTGGCTTTAATAGAAGGGATTATAGAAATTTGTGATAATTCAGTTCAATATATATCCTCCATCAAAACCACTACCTCTCCATCCCTTCCCCATCCAACAACCTCCCGCACGATGAGATCCAATTCCCCTCAACACGACCATCCAGCCGCATTCCACGACGACACGCTTCCATCTGCAGCAAATGCGACAGCTCCCAAATTGACTGTGCCACCCAGAGATGCCGAATATCTGGAGGCGGAAACTGTAAATCAGAAATGCGTAATACTTTTCTCCCTTCACCCGTATCCGCTTCACTTTCTAGTATATCGTTTCCGCTCTGACACAGCCGGCAATCTTTATACAATGCCAATCCGAACCGCTTGAGTTCTTCCATCCCGACCCAGATGCAAGTGATGGATTGCATGGTATGATGGTACCGGTTCATCATTTGTGGATAATAGAATATGTTGTTTCGGAGGCAGGTACTCACCAGGAGGGAAAGGATGTGTTGGTCCATGGGGGAGAGAGTGTGTGTTAGGTCGAGGGAGCGTGGAGTGGCGCAGATGCCAGTAATATTATTGCTAATATTGGTGTCAGTATTGCCGTTGCTATTAAGTACAAGCGAAAAGATCAGATATAGGAGGATTGCCTGGTTTGTGGCTACGGGACATCGAGATACGGTTGCTTGCTCTGGTATTGGGTTGTTGACGACGTCGTTGAGTGGTTCTCCTTGAGAAGGAAGGGCGCAAGTCCATCTCTCCTGGCTCCCCGTTAGGCTTTGCCCCCCCCCTTTTTTTTTTTTTTTTTGGCACGTTTGTTGCTTAGAAAGGGGGAGAGTTACCTGCTGCGCTAGTATGGATGGGCCCAGTTTCCGATGCAGGCTGATGGCCACCTCCCGCGCTGAAGACTTGTCACTGACCCATAACCCGATCATGGAGACAGCCTGTAGGAGTAATGGTGGCTCGTCGAATGAGTTGAAGGTGGCATGATGCAGGATGGGCCAATGGGGGTTGGAAATGGGCGAAATAAAGGTGGATATAAGGAGTGAAACGGGTGGTAGAGTCATGGCCTCCGTCAGTGGGGAGGGGAGAGAAAGAAGGCGTTTGATCTTCCGGTGGCTGCGATGTCCGTGAAGATTGAGGTTGCTGGTCGTGTTGTTGAGTTCTTTGGCGGTCGTCATAAACACAGTGCCGTGCCTGGGCGGAACAGCGACTACAGGGAGCGCCTCCACTGCAGCGGATTTGAGCTAGGCGACAGCGCCGGCATCCTCGATATACCCGAACGGCTCTTGTGGCCCGTGATCGAGACGGATATGGAGACGAAGGGAGTCACTTGATTGAAGAGCGTCAGAGGATTACCTACATATTTCTGCTGCTAAGAAATAGTAAATATATACGCACCTTCTAGAGAATCTTCGGGCGCAAAGCGGACACTCACGGGCCAATGCACCCGTGTGCTATCCTAACACGGCGATTCTGGTGTTCTTTTCGCCGGAAGCTGGAGGTGCAGCTGGAAATTCGACATTTGAAGCGATTTTGAATAGTACGTAATGAAGACATTTCTTTTCCCGAAATTAGAGGTTCGGTTGTGAGAGTAAAAGACTCGATGGAGGTGATGTTCATCCCACCAGCCCCACAAACCCTTTAACTCCATCCCACCGGATCCCTCCGAGTGGCCAACTGAGTAATCCCAAGATTGTTCGAGCTTATGAATTCGAATAGGGGCCCCACACGCGATAGGCTCGGGGGTTAGTGCAGGAGTCTCAAACTGGAGCTGGAAAAAGTACAGATACATGTAGAAAAACCTTTAATCCAGAATGAACGTATACACGTAATCTGATGTTAAAGTCACTAAATAATCTACTTCTAATACTCAATGAGTCTACGTGTGGTTACGAAACGGTATTGAATCACCCCTACAACATCCTAAAGACCTACTTATCTTAGTTTAAGTAGATAAAATAGGCTCATTCTAGTTCCTTCGAAATCAAGACTGACTCATCTGACATTTGGTCATCGGTCTCAAGTGTTAACGTCAACTAGAGCTTATTTAGTATTGGGAATTCTCTGAAAACGCCATATTACCGAGTTTACTAAGTTCTGAACCTGCCACGTGTGAGATTCTAACCGAAATCTAGTCAACGCATCCAATTTCAGTCTATGGCAGAATCAGGAAAATCCATTCAAGAGTGTCTGGTGTCATCTCCTAACGAAAGATTCCGGAATACACTCTGTAAGCCGCGGTTTAACCGAAACAATCAACAAGCGAAATAATTCACGCAGAGACTCGGGGCAATGAACTAGCACGTTCGGAATGAACTTTTCGGCTAGTCTAAAATCTAACGCTCCTAATCAAAAAGTCATTTCAAACACAGCGCTTGGGAACATCCTGTAGCATCCCACATTCTACCCCAGTACCCCTACTAATCCAGCGGTTCGGAACCACTCGACCTTAGATCCTCTGATCCAGAGAATAAGATTTATATAAATATAATTCATATAGACTATAAGAATAGTAAATTTATTATATATCTTATATTAATAATTTAATTTTGTCACGGTGCCTGCCTGCCTGCCTACCTAAACCCGTGTGGTTGCCTGAATCCTACCTGAATCCTGTTCCTGAATACTCTTATATAGCGTGCGCAGTGTAAAGCCATTGGCTTTACATCCTAGTTCTTTTGCTGATAGTGCAGCGGGAAGTACCTGGAATGCGCACCCAGTATGCCCCGTGACAGTTATAGCCTAGATAGCAAATACAACCAACATCTTCAACCCCCTGAGCTGTAGCTCACAACAGAATATGCTAGGTCCTGTTTTCAATCACCATGACCTCAGATTGTGTAAGAGACTAAACAGGCTAGAAGTTTCACATGATTTCCTTCTCAGTGAGTCGGCATATCTTCAAGTTCCTTTCACAACGCTCATCATGCACACCATCCCTGTAGAGGTTGTCATCCAGATATTCGGGGAGCTCCCTCTTTCTGATGCGCTTCATCTGGCCGCGACTTGCTGTTGACTCTGCCAGATCTTGGATGAAAGCACGCCGAGGATTTACAGGCGCCTACGCAGACAGATCCAATGTGAAAGATATGCGAGAGTCTTATTTGCAGATTAATAGAGTCTACTATCTGATTCATTTTCCGTGACTATTAATAAATTTTTATAATTACAGCGGAACTCCCGTATCATGGAAAAAGTAATCAGGGTATTTAATCGTGATATTATATAGAATATCCAGAATAAGTATATTAATTAAGTACAGCACTTATACAAGGTCTTAGCTAAACTATCTATCTCTTAGTTCCCCTTAAAAGCATTAATAATAAATTCTATGGAGGAAAACCACGTCCATTACATTTAACTCTAATAGAGCGTCATTGGTTTACCTGAAGCTACATTCAGTCTAGAGTCTTTTATATCTGGATCCACTATCTTAGTAATAATAGTATCAAAGTATGCTGCTGAAGTATTTATACCAGGTCTATAAGATGATTGATTTTAACTAGCTAATTAATAATGAGATGGAATCTCCAGCCATTGACGAGAAATGACGTGAACTTCTTAAAAAAGTCTATATATATGTCCGTAGTCTATATCTTCACATCCATAAGCAGGATTACATTGATTTCTCGGGGAACAGTATTTCTATGCAGACACGCGGGTATATAGTTATATAGGACCATTGCCAGCTAGACCTGAAGAAGATCGTTTACTACCAGTGGCGAGATCCAGGGAAGAAGCTTGTTAAGGAGGAAGAGGTGTGGGACCATACGACTGATGAAGAATGAGCCTATGTTTTTATATACTATGAATGATGGTAGAAGAACAAAATATAATTCCAGCCTTAACATCCCAGGACGTTCTCATCGCCCCGTTTCAGCACTCAACCAGAGAAAAGAGAACACTACCCGCCAATTGCACCCTTGGTACTACACTTTCTCACCCCCCACATAAAACCGATACTCGTCACCCCGATCCAGGTAGACTACCTGGCCATCCAACCCCGCCTCTTTCACCTGGTTTTGGAAATCACCCAACGAGCTAGCCATCACATCATAGTCATCAGTATGAATGGGAATCGTCACCTGTGGTCGAATCAACCGCATCAATTCCACTCCCTGTTTAGCATCCATCGTCACCATCATTGCCAGCGGCAACATGGCAGGAGACGGTACTGTCGTGCCGCCCAAATGCACCAGCATTAGATTAATAGCCTGACCGTCGTACCGCCGTGGGATCTCCTTCAACTCGTCGAAAATTAACGTGTCCCCTGAGATGTAGATGCGATACCCAGGCTCGAAGTCAGCGGTTGTGCCGCCATGGTTGCCATAGCCGAGTTCAAGCATCCAGCCGTTGGTCGGGGGAATCTATAGTCTGTCAGTGTCATTCATTCCCAACCAGCAGAGAAAAGTGATAAATCTCACCGCCCCCACCACTTCGTTCAACTTTTCAAGGGGTTTCCCCATCGGTATATGCTTCCCGGGCATACCGGTCACCCTCAACCGGGGGCGTCTCCCGGTCTTATCAGCTTTAATATCAACCAATGCTTGGTTATACACATCCACGGCGGCAACCTGTGTAAATGAGTCTTCACCTTTCGCTGTTAGAATCGACTGCGCGTGAGGTGTAGTGATGATGGGGAGGTCCCGCCGTAGGGAGGCTTCCACATGTCGGTCAAAGTGGTCTCTGTCGAGGTATCAGCCTTCCACCACTACTTTTTATACAGCGATAAAAACAACCAAAAAAAATAGCAGTCACGCTATTTAGCACACACTCGGGGTGACAAAAATAAAAAAACATACAACAGAAGGGATTCGCTGGTGGTCACCCACCCAACTACTAACCTCCCGGCGTGTGGCTTAAGTACGGCTGAGCGGACGGGAAGCCCTGTTCTCCACACCCTATGGTCGTATGTGCTGGTTTTATGGCCAGAACAAATGATAGTCTCCATATCGCATACTGTACCGATCATCCTTATCATGATCTGAGGTCCCTCGACCCAAGCAAGCCGCAACGCAAAACCAACAGAAGCAAAAGAGAGAAAGGCCAAAAAGAAATAGAAAAGCAATCAATACTTACTCGTGATAATGCGACAACAACATCAAATCTACCGGCGGTAAAACCTCCAGATCCACTGCCGGATTTAATTTGCGCACAGAGGTCACCCCCGGACCGAGGTGGACGTGGTCTCCGGCGTGCAGGAAGTTGGGCTGTTTGCTCTTGGTTAGATACGACCAAATTCAAGAGATAGTATAGCTCGAGCTGGGGCATAATAACTTGGGTGTTAACGTACATCAGTCATGATACGGATACCGTGCCATTGTCTTTATGGAAGAGTCAGTATGGTCTTAGTGAACAAGAGTGAAATCGTACATAATTGTGGTCGCATTTCCGACAAAGTAGACCGATGCATTCTCTTCAGCTGAAGTGCTGGGGTGAGTTTTAATGGCTTTGGCTGGAGGAAGATTAGTCGGGATGGAGGATGAGGTGTGGTGGTGATGCCTGGTGGGTGGTTGGGGGTGAGTTGGGTCGAGGGTCAGGATTTGGGAGGAGGATTTCGAGCTGGGGCTCGTGAGGGCCATTTTGATTTTTGGCTTGATACTATTGCTGTACTGGAGAAGTAAAACATCGCGGTCGTTGAGGGAGAGTGGATGATTTCTACGTAGTATTGGTAAAGCTGTCGCACGGGTGACGTCAAACTGACCTACTCTGTTCTCTCACTACATCTCAAGCAACCGCCCCACGAATGATTGTTGTGTACTAAATAGCACGGCAAAGACAATTGAAGTGGTATATTTCTTGGCCACGATGCATATGCTGGAGCCATACTCGGAGCCTCGTCACTCTTGACCTACTGTGTGGCAACGTCGTTAGTGCATCAGGACATTGCGTTAATGACTAGAAAACCATGTGGATGATGGATCTACTCTCCCAGGATGGAGCAAGGGTTCATGAGAAATATCGGAATTACAGACATGGAGTCCTCGCCATGTGTTATGGGAGGAATAAGGTCGCCGGAAATCAGGCCGGAGACCGAGCCGCACCTAGTCTGTTATCTCCGCAGGATTCACCAACTCTACCTATTTATACTCAATCACGGTCGCTCCTTGCCCTGACTATTTTCATTCCATTGTCTTCTGTATATCCATTACTCGCCATGTCGAAAATCGTCCTCATCACCGGCTCCAACACGGGCATCGGCCTCGAGATTGTCAAGGCCCTCGCGGGGGCCAGCAAGCCCTATACCATCCTCATGGGTGGACGAACCCCACAAAAGGTGCACGATGCTATCTCAACTGTTCAGAAACAGCTCCCTACGACTTCGAGCACATTCACTCCAATCCAAGTGGACATCGAATCAGATGCCTCCATTGACCAGGCCTTTGCTGAGGTGCAGTCCAAGTACGGCAAACTAGACATCCTCGTCAACAATGCCGGTACGTCCCTTACTCCTGTCTTTGTATAACACCCCTTAACTCTTTCAGGCGCCCATTTCGACCAACAGCTCATCACCGGCAAACTCGCCATCAGCGCCCGGGAGATGTGGAACAAAACGTGGAACGTCAACACCACCGGAACGCATATCCTGACCTCAACCTTTGCTCCTCTCTTGCTACAGGGCTCCGATCCTCGCCTGCTATTTATCACCTCGGGCACATCCACTCTAGCGGGGACGGAGGACCCAGCGATCCCCTTGAACTGGGTTCCCCCCAAGGGCTGGCCCAAGACAGGCTTCAATGCGCCTGCTTACCGCAGCGCCAAGACCGGTCTGAACATGCTTATGCGCGAGTGGTATCGTTGGTTGAAAGAGGATGGTGTCAAGGTGTTTGCCATCTCGCCTGGGTATTTGGCCACAGGATTGGGCGGTGATCCAGATTTCTCGAGGAGGATGGGGGCTCAGGATCCGGCCAGTTCGAGTGTGGGTTCGTTCATTCGCAGTGTTATTGAGGGTCAGCGGGATGCCGATGCGGGAAAGGTGATTAACAAGGATGGCGTCCAGGAGTGGTAGTTTGGCGGATTCTAAGCAATCTGTTGGGTGGTAGTTTTGACATGGACGCTGGTCACTGTTCGTTTGTAGAATAAATCCTTAGATAGACAAATCTCCCTTCACTGTTTACTTGAGCACGATAGTGTAAGCGGCTAGCTGGTGAATTGCAAAGGAGACTGGCAGACCTATATAGACAGTCCTGGGTGGGGAACATCTTACCGGATGGAGTACGATGGAAGTGATGCCTATCCTCATGACCAAATCATATCGGTCTCTGTGTCAGTATAGCCTTCTATTGCTCCCATCTTGAAGTTGAAGGCTGGACGAGTTCCGAGTGCCAACACCAAGCTATAATCAATAGTTGGCGTATGCTTTATAGATCAATTGCCCATATCTAGAACGCAAATATACACTGATAATAAGGAAAGGTACTGGTCTCTTCCTGGCCATCGGGAGATTGTCGTCGGTCCAATGCCCTAATCCACGATTTTGTACCACCCTCCCACCACCGTACCTATGAGGTCCTCCTCTACGTCGTACATCTCAACTAGCTCGGCTTATTTCATGACAACGACATCCTCATGGCTCACATGATAGCGACATCTCTGACGCGATAGGGTGGTTGACTTCGCTCCCGCGTGCCGCAACCCTACGAGATGCCAAAATCCGGTTCCGAGCAGCCGTGGCGCCCAACACCCCAACAACCCGGTTTTCTCGATGCTTATCCTCGCAGTGGGAAGAATAATCGCCCGAGGTAGGCTTACTCTTCCTCTCAGCACCATGAGTGCCCCACTACGAACGGTCACCATCCTCCCTGGCCCGAGATGTGATGCCTTCCACCATGGTGCAGGCTGAACCCAGTGTTCAGGAGGTGAGTCTCCCCGCCAGAGATGGGGCGCAGTACCAGGATGAGTATGAGGTACACTGGGACGAGGATGATGCCGCCAACCCACATACCATGAGTTCGAAGAGCAAATGGGCCATCGTGATTCTCGTCTCGTCCATGACACTCTGCGTCTGTGTCACGAGCTCCCTCTACACGACTACCTACCACCAGATCATGGTTGAATTCAACTGCTCTCGGACCGTCGCAACTCTCGGACTGAGCTTCTATATTGCTGGGCTTGGATGGGGACCGATGGTTATGAGTCCTTTGTCCGAGTTCTACGGTAGAAGACCGATTTACCTCGTTTCGCTGCCTCTTTTCGTTATATTCCTCGTCCCCTGTGCCGCGGCCCACAATATACAGACCATGTTAGTCGCAAGGCTCTTGGATGGGCTCGCCGGAGCAGCCTTTACGTCGGTCGCAGGGGCCACAGTGGGTGATATGTACAGCAAGAGCACTTTGCATAGTCCGATGCTGGTATATACGGCCTCACCATTGTATGACCATCTCTTTCGTTGTTGATCGCGACTGACTCTCGGTAGCACAGGGGCTAGTTTGGGTCCTGTACTTGGTGGATTGATAAACAGTTGGGCTTCATGGTAGGTACGTTGACATAGCCAATACCATGGAGACTGATACCTACAGGCGGTGGTCATTCTACTTCCTGCTCATCTGGTCAAGCGTGCAATCTATCCTCGTCATGATATTTGTCCCTGAAACCTATCACCCCGTGCTGCTGCGCAATCGAGCTCGCAAACTGCGCCAGGAAACCGGGGATGAGCGATGGCGAGCCCCGATCGAAAAGATGGATCGCTCTGTGCTGAAGGTATACTTGCACCTATTCTATGTCATACTCGCTAACTCATTCTCAACTAGACAGTCCTACGCTCCCTCTATCGCCCGTTCATGCTCCTCATTCTCGAACCAATGTGTCTCAACCTCTGCATCCTGTCCGCCATCGCCCTCGGCGTTCAATACCTCTTCTTCGGCGCATTCGGGGTGGTCTACGGCAACGCATATAATTTCAAACTCTGGCAGTCAGGACTGGCCTTCTTGGGCCTTTTGGTGGGAATGATCCTTGCCGTTGTGATTGATCCGTTGTACGTGAACCCTAGGGATATAACCGCATGCACGTCACTTCGCATGCCTTTTACATTCCAATGGTAACATCCAACAGATGCTGCAAAATCTACCCCTACTTCTCCAACCAGCCTGGCGAACAAGACACCACAGCAGACAAAGAACCCGAGTCTCGTCTTCCCCCCGCCGTCATCGGGGCACCGCTTCTCACAATCGGACTATTCTGGTTCGGATGGACCGCGTAAGCCCATCCCCTCCACCACCAGACCCCAGATTCTAACCTCACCAGCACCCCCTCAGTCCACTGGATCGTCCCCATCATCGGCAGCGGCATCTTCGGAGCCGGGTACGTCCCCCCTCATACCCCCTCTCCCCCATGACCTTCCCGCGTAATTCCAAACTCACACAAACAGCATGATCTTCGTATTCCAAGGTATATTCACATTCTTCGTTGACGCATACCCCCTCTACGCCGCTAGCGCTCTCGGCGCGAACAGTTTCACGAGAAGTACCTTTGCCGCGGCGTTTCCGCTCTTCGGTGTCGCTAGTGAGTTGTCTGATTCCTTCCCTTCTTCCCTGCCCCCATGTGATATGTGATATGTGATGTGTGGGACGCCCGATGACGATTACACTCAGTGTACCATAAATTGGGGGACCAGTGGGCGACGTCGCTTTTGGCGTTTTTGAGTCTGGTGATGGCGCCGTTTCCGTGAGTGATGCATTGTAAAATTTGTAGGGAGGGGTGGGGGATGGGCTGACGGGTATAGGTATATTTTTTTGAGGTACGGGAAGAGGATTAGGAGGAGGAGTCGGTTTGCGACGAAGAAGTGAGGGGGGAGCATGTGCTTGGGGTATAGTGTGGGAGGTTGTAGATGGAGATGAGGCATAGTTAGGAGTTAGGTGAGAATGAGAAGGTCGATTTAGTTGCAATCTAGACCTCGCTAAGGTAAACCAAAAATACAAGCAGTAGTACATATGTAGCCACTAATAAACACACTAGCTCAAACTTTTGTATCCAACTCTTTCACCATATTCCATATTGACACTCGTAAACCTAGTAAAAAACTCACGACAACGAATAACGACGGATGACAGACCAATTCTACAGCTTAACACTAGCCATAACCACCACCGGATGCCCAATCTCAATCCCCTGCCGATGCGCCCTCAACGCCGTCACCGCATCTAACCGATCCGGCAACAGCTCATTCTCAATCTGCATGGCCCGAAGGCCCGCCCCAGCGGGTGTCAAATCACCGAATACCTGCTCTAGAATACTCGTGCGATAAAAGTAGAACTGTGCATATCATTAGCCAACGTCCCCTATCCCAAGGACTCATATTCCAAGAACTGAATGTGATCTTACCGGCCCCAACCCCCTCTCCTGTGCCTTCGCATACCCCCCAATCACCTCATCTGGTTCACTTTGCACTTTCCACGACATGGAGAGAATTCGCCCCGTGAAGCCGGCTGCGGAGGCGAGGCGGAGCATCGTGTCAAGGGGGACGCGGCCGCCCATGCTGGAGAGGAGGACACCGGTTTTGCTAAGGAGGTTGAAGGTTCGGGCTTGGAGGAGACAAATGTAGTGGAGGTCTAGGAGGGCTGCGGAGACGAATAGGGGGCAAACGCTGGAGATGTCGCCGGACTCGAAGTAGGTGGAGGAGGTTTGGCCGTCCAGGAGGTTGGCGTCGTCGGGGAGAGGGATGTTGGGGAGGTTCCTGTTGGCTTGAGTCGGGGGTCTGGTTGGGTGGTAGTGGAGGGGGGCTTACTCGTAGATCAAGCCGAAAGGCGCCTGGCCTCGAAGAGGCACTAGGCATTCGCCAGAGAGACCGACAGCGTCCTTTGCGACGGACTTTATTCGGTCGTCGGCTTTGTCGGTGGCGGATAGGACATTAGCTTTGGCCTTGGTGACGACCTCGTCGTGGAGGTCGGTCATGGCGATGCTGTGGAGGTGAGGGAAAACATCCAGTGCGGCGATAACGTCGGTGCCAGAACCAGTGCCGATGGTCGCGAAGCGGTGCACGGGGCCAAAGTTGGCGGCTTGGAATGCTTCGAATGAATTGAAAGCAGCGGTTACTGCCCAATCGGCTCGGGGGTTGTGAATCTGGAAGGTTGTTGGTATACGGAAGGTTGAAGGGCAGGGAGGGGTACCTTTGGCTGGTAGCTAAGGTCTGACAGCGAGATGTTGAACTTGCGGTTCACGCGCTGTGGTCCGATGCCATAGAATGCCTTGAAGTCGACAACATTTGTAGTTGGCTCCTCGGCAATGACCTGCTTGACATCGTTACTGATGTTGCAGGGCTCTTCTTCGACAAAGACGGGTGCCATTGTTGATGGTGTAGCGCTGTTCAGGAATTTGATGGAATGCTGATGATTGACGATCTTGATGAAGTTTGATGAATATGAAATGGAAATGTGATCGTGAGTGCCTCTTTCTTGAAGAAGTGTTTCTATAAGAGCGAAATCTACCACCTGCACAAGTGTGACAAAACTATTCTTCGAAAGTTACGTGACTCATATTCCACTCAACCAAGGAGATCATAGAAGGTCCATATAGAATGAAGGGATAGTATACATGTGATGGGCGCCTTAGGTTCCTTGTTGGACTAAACAAAGTTATGCCGCGCCTTATGATCCGGTAAGTGTGAGCATATATTCCTGGAACGGATCGGTCAATTCCGGGCTGCATGCCTATATCTACAAAAATAGTCACAAGCTTCATCGGACGGGTACCAGAAGCTCAAAGTAGTGTCGAGCTCCAGGGGAAACACGAGAGGACATAATCGCGTGGCAATCAGATCCATTCACAAGCAAGCTCCCTACAGCCCTGTTCGTATGTCGATCATCAGATCCAGTAGAGCATGCGTTCACAGGCTGAGATACACTTTTAGGCCTCCTGAAATCGCAACAAGCTGAATAAAAACTCCCGAGCTTAGGGAACGTCTGAAACAGTAAGCCCGGTGCTTGTCGTCATTGGCTGGACACATTAAACTCAAGCCACGACCAGAGTATCTGTCTGGTACCTGCTAGGAATAGTCCGATACTCTAATTTGGTACCGCTGGATGAGCTGACACGGGAGTGGCTCGCACAGCCATCCTTAGTCTAACCTTGTTGGCGATTGGTCTTGTACAGCTCAGCAAACTTGCTTCGGTGTTGCCTATATGCCCAGTCAGCAATTATCTGAAGAGGAATGCAGATCAGTGGGCCAAGGGCCTGATGTAGCTGTCATATGCAAGCCGGTTGACCTGCGTCTAACTCTAATCAAACTTCTTCTCATTGGATCCTGCTGACTCGGTTACCGATCTTGAGGACTTTCTTGGCACGAGGTTCTGTTTACATCATGGGGGCGCAGAGTTCTGTAGCTAAGGCTTGTAGACGAGCTGGATTAGATCATGCCCGACTGCAGTGGTCCGTAGATACACACCTAGGAATATCTACTTGCTTGTATTGAGTGGATATCAAGTAAAGCTAGGGGCGCTTCTACAGATGAATCACTTTGTGGATAGTGGCAGAGGCTAGATCTCGAGCCACTTTTCTCGAAAGTGTATTATCTGTCAGCAATAGTCACCATATATTGGACCAGCCTGTTTCTGCAAGGCATCAGCACTTTACTGCTGCCTGAAGTCTTATTCAGCTCTACATATTGGATCCAGATGACTCATGCAGTGGTGAAAGTTTCGGCAAAACGGACTACTGCCTACCCATGGTCAATCCGTGAGTCCAAGCTGTACCCAAACGTATTCAATGGCGTGGTAATAGCGCATCCCTCGTTCCTTGATTGCAATCCACTCCCTGGGCTGTGTAGGTCCGAGTGGATACTGAGGCCGATAAAGGGGGCCCCACCAATCTCCCCACGATATGCCATCGTTTGTCTGATAAGCGATAGCGAAGCACTCTACTTCGTAGTTGACCAGTAGTACAGAATTCCCTGAGAGGATCATATTATGACAGCTACCATCCAGCATTTCCGAGTATCCCTGCTACCCGTAACCGTCGTCACTTTAAGCATGCATTGGCTGGTTCTCAGCAATTCACTTGGATAACTCGTTGACAAGGCTGACTGCACGCTGCCGTGGAGTGACGCGGTCCCTTGCCCGATAGGGTTTCGACCTGCAGGTGTCCCCACCCTACCTTGGCTAACCGCCAATGAAATCGCCACGGGTCCAGTGGGGGCCGGTATCATTGCGCGTCAATACCGTCCATACAGGGTGTACGACCCTGTCGGAGGGTTTGGAAGTGCTGCTGTCACCCGCTATGCCTTAGCGCTGCTGGGTATTACATCTGGGTCAAACGTCAGCAGTGTCATTCGCGTCCCAGGTCGGGCTGATTCGTGTAGATGTGAGCCCCTGCCACGTTGTTGTGGGCACAAATGTTCTTCAAAACCCAGCGAGACCCTCGTGCGGTTCGTTATTTCCGCTGCATGATGCCTCTCTCAGCATGGGCTCCTTCAGACTCCCTAAATTATGGAAACGGCTTTCGATAGTCATAGGGGCCCTGGTGCTTCTCTGTCTCTTTTATTCCTCGCCTGATGCCGGCTGGACGCAATGGCAGCCAGAAACGGCACATGTACCGGTCAGCGCGTGCGCCGGATTCGACTTCGCCTCAGTATCCCAAGACCTCCACGCGCGGATGAAGGCAGAAAGTGACTATGCCCCGGCGGAGATTGGCCAGTTCGTCTGCGGCATTGTCAACCACACCATGAGCGCATCCGCCCAGCTCGAGTGTCCACCCACCATCAGCCCGCGATATCAGTCCTTGATCCCCACCGGCATCGGACCATCCCCGGAAATAGCCTATTTCTTTGCTCTCAACCTGCACCAGGTGATACATATTATACTCCCGCTGATGGGGAGCATTCTCGAGGCGATCAGATATCTGGGACCGGAACACTGCTTTTTGTCGATTGTGGAGGGACGCTCAACGGATGGCACATATGAAATTCTGGCCGATCTGAAGCCAGAGCTGGATGCCATGGGAGTCCGCTATTATCTATCGCGAAGTTCGTTGAATCCGCTGGGTCCGGGCGAGGATCGCATCAAGGATCTGGCTGAGCTACGGAATATGGCCCTCGAGCCCCTCATCACAGGCGTCAAGCAGCGGGACGTCCCCTTCGGTCACGATCCTATGATCATATTTATCAATGACATTGGCATTTGTCCGGAGGATATTCTCGAGTTGGTCTATCAGCAGAAGATCCAATCGGCGACCATGACGTGTGCGTTCGACTGGAGGGAGGAGGGGGTTATTCACGATGTCTGGGTGTCGCGTGACCTGGCTGGCGATCTGTTCTTCGACATTTCCTCCGACGGACGCATATGGGACTCTCACAACCTGTTCTCTCATCATGAGGACAGTCGCAGGCGCTTCTCAAAGCATCTTCCGGTTCAGGTGTTCAGCTGTTGGGGCGGTATGGTCACATTGGACAGTGGGCCATTCATTGATGGTCTGGTGCAATTCCGCTATGCAGAAAAGGAGGACTGCTACCAGGGCGAGCCGACTCTGCTGGCTCAGGACCTTTGGCGGTTGGGCTTGGGGAAAGTGCTTGCCGTACCCGCCGTGAATGTGGCATACGAATATCGCTGGACATTGAGGGCCAAGCAAGACAAGGGCTATGTCCATGATATCGTCAACAGGCCGCGATATACCAATCACGACGAACTCGTGCGTTGGCAAAATGAACCGCCGGAAAAGATCAAATGCATGCCCAGTTGGGATCGACAGTCCTGGGTGGATGCTATTTAATGCCCGTAGCCTTTGCCTCCCATTTATCGGGAAGCCTTGTATCAATATTTTTGAAATCATGCATTTTCTAAACCCTGCCCCCACGATCGAATACCCTACCACGCGGCGGTCGGCGGTCGGGCCTACACAGTAAATACCTATCTACGTGGCCTGCAGCGACCCTTGCTAGTCTTCTGTAGCTGATATTGCGTTCCCTTGACCAGCCAATAAGCTAGTGGGTGATGAGATGCCCCGCCCTATTTGTGCCGCCGTCGCGATTAGTGCTGACCGAGTGGAACACACTTGGCGATTCCAGTCACGAACTGCATGTGACTTCCTGCGCGTGTAACCTGGTGCAGTCTTTGATTTGTGGTGACTGCCGTATCGATCTATTTTTATGGAACGTTAAGCAATCATGGCTGGTTACGCCCGGACGGCTGCATTGGCCCGGTTATCTAGCGGCCAAGTCCTAGGCCAATCTCGCAATTTCCCTGAGCTAGGAGCTGCGCCGCATTGACCAGGCTTATTCTTTGTTCGCGTGTGGACCCCGCCTGTTTAAATGGCTCGCGTCGGCCTCAGCGTTCCCCTCCGCATTCCCACGTTCGCTGGCAGCCGGCCTTCACCATGGGCCCCCAGCATCTTTACACGCTGGCGGATCAAGGGGAAGCTGAAGTGGAAGCCGAAACAAGCAGAGAGACAACAACAGATGCGTCTTCACTGCGAAAGAATGAACCGTATTCCGATGAGCCTCCGATAACCCCTTCCTCGATCGCATCCTCGTTGGAGAAGGGGACTACCGTCACATCGCGGTGGACCATCGGATGGATGACCCCAGGGTCTATTGTCACTTGCTTTCTTTTAGGTAGGATCAGGCCCTATATTACTTGTTGTGATTGCGATTTACTTATTATTCCCCCCAGCGGCCTCTCTGGCCTCCATGCACCTGGGCCTCTTTCATTGGCTGGACCAGCGGGAAGTCACCAAGACCATCAAGCAGCCCTATGTGACGGCGCTCTCAGTGGTCTTCGTCAATGCTTTTCGGACTTTTCTCGCCGCTGCACTGGGTATGTCCTTCATCCAGATGCTGTGGAAAGATTTACGCGCCCGCCCGATGCGCATCGGCGATCTCGATTCGTTCCTCTCCGTCTTGACCAACCCCCTCTACCTCGGGCAGGTACAACTCATAGGAGTAGCCCCGATTCCATTCATATGCGCTCTCATCTGCTGGTGCATTCCCATCGCCATGATCTTCCCTGGCGGCGCCCTGACCGTGGAGCCCAAGTCAGTGCACATCCAGACCAATCAGTCCGTTCCAACATTTGACCCGACCTTCGTGGGAAACGGGACCTTTCAGGGCATGATGGCGCAGGCACTATGGCAACCGGACGATTTTGACGCGTACAGGTCGGTAGCCTCCGATGGCAGCTTTTCTTAACTGACAATCATATAAAGCGGACCCACGAACAAGCTCACACGCGTCGCAAGACAGGCCATCATGGCCGGCCATTACCTCCCCTCATCCTCTCCCTGCGATACCGACTGCACATACACGATAAGCATGCTGGGTCCCAGCTTCGAGTGTCGCAACTACTCCTCCCCTGATCTGTACAGCTGGGTCAACAAGACCTACCCGCAGACTCAATCCTGGGAGTATCTCTACATCGCCTCAGCGGACTATGCTGCGCGCACCAACCAATCCGAATATATCCTCGACTTCGAGCTCCGCTGGATGCAGAACGGCGAGTATCAGAACCTCACCTGTCGAGCATACGAATCCACCTACACCCTGGACATCGCCTACACCGGCAGCACACAATCCATCGCCACGACCGTCCACCCCATCCGCCAGCTCAACAGCTCCGGTCTCTACGACGACTACGGCATGTACCCCCAAACCGGGACCAAGAATTCACGCATCAACGCAACCACAACCGGAGCCAGCGGCGGCAACGTCACGGACATCTACCGTCGGGCCAACCTCGCCGCCATCCAAGACTCACTAGTCCTTGCGCTGTCCGGGTACATCGATATATTCCGTAAGTCACCTCCTTCACCAGACAACCCCCACCACTCCGTAGCCATAGCACTACTAACACAGTAAAGTCCTCCACAACCAACCCACCGCCAACACCATAATCTCCCTCTCAAACCTCTACACCGGCCCCGCCTCCACCCCAACCTTCAACATCACCCCCATATCCATCCAATCCCTCCTCCAAAACATCACCCTCTCCCTCCTCACCCTCAACCAATCCACCACCCAAACAACCATCACCAACACCATCACCATGAACGTCTACACTTTCAACCGCCCCGCCCGGCTCATCACACCCTACTTCGTCTGTCTGGGCGTCGGACTCGCGTTCATCCTCTTCGGGGGACACGCGCTCGTGAGTAATGGCATTTCGGCCAGTATGACGGGCTTGTTTCAGACGTTGTGTACGACGAGGGCGAGTACACGGTTGGATGATCTCGCCGCGAAGGGGTGTTTGGGGGGGAGGGAGAATGTACCGGAGGATTTGAGGAATTTGAAGGTCATGTTTGGGGAGATAAGGGGGAGGGATGGGGTTCGGATGGCGGGGTTGGGGGAGGTGGAGGAGGTGGTGCCGTTGAAGAGGGGGGCGATTTGATTCAGCTTGGTGGTTGTGGATGAGTGGAGTGAATTGTTTAGATGTTGTCATCTTGAACGACTTTACTACGAAATCTAGAACTAATTAATACCTTTATTTTGTTATGGTATTCTTTCTTTCCCTGTTCTCGTTCTAAAAAACCGTTCATATCAACTACCAGCCTCTCGAAACATCGTAGCTACTACAATGCAATGGTTACTGTACACACTACACAGACTAAGAAATTCCAGCACAGGGCGGGAATAGATGCTCCTAAGATGCCATGTACAGTAGAACGGTTACTGGATATTATACTCGGACATTGTCCTATCCCTACCGACAAAATACTAACCAGAAGAAAATAGTCATGGTTGAAGATGGCACGTGGGTGCAATAGCGCCATCTATCGGACTTGTCTCGGCGACAAGATACCGTCTGTTGTCCGCCCAGCCAAGAACCCACAGAGACTGTATGATGTGGCTTTTGGTTCTAGCACAGGACGTTGAACGAGGAAACCTCTTTGGAGGCATTTACATCATCGTTTTGTTATGACTGTGCTGCGGTATTAAATAAGTTAAGATCTCTTTTCCAAATAAGATGGGTTCAGGGAGGCAACATATATAGTATACTACGACTGGCTAACAGTGTTGGTAATCGCATACAACCGGGCACACGCGCTCCTAGTTCCTGGGTTTCTTCTAAATTATAAACTTTAAGTAATCACGAGTCCACAACTCGACTATATACAATCATCATCTATGTACATTACCCTAAGCACGGCACAACCTTCCATCCTCCAACTGCGTCCAAGCATCGGAACCGACCGCCTTCAGAGCATAGAACAATCCATTGGGATCATACTTGTTCTTGACCGCCAAGAGACGATCATAGTTGGAGCCATAGAACGCCTTCTTCCATTCCGGCTGCTGAAAGTTACCCTCATTCATGTATGCTCCAGAGTTCGGAGACAAGGCCTCGAGCAAGGGGATATAGATATCGGTCATCTTGTTCTGCTCGACGATCATCTCATCCCGCGCATCCCATTCCCAGGGCGTGGTGAGAGTGGTATCGATCAGGGCGTCACGCCACGCGGGCAGAACCGCGTTGTCCACGTCGCCGGAGACGGAGTGGTTCACGTTCAGACCCACGCCGATGAAGGTGGCCCCGTCGGAGACGATCTTCCGGTAGGCTTCCGTCAGGGCGGAGGTGTTCTGGGTCACGACATCGCGGGGGATCAACCATCCGCCGTATTGGGCTTTGCCGACGGCGATCTCGGATTCCATGGTGTTGAATTGCTCCAGGTAGGTGTCGAATTCCTTGGCCACCAGGGTGTATTGGATGCCGAGCTTGGTGAGGCCGGCTTCGAAGGGAGCGACCAGGGAGCGCAGGGTGGAGAGAGGGATGCCCGGGCCGGTCAGAGGGGAGATGTAGAAGGTGGTGTTGGTGAAGTACCAGATGCTCATGACACCGGCGTCGACGATGCTGGGGAGGAGAGTGTGGTAGAGGGTGACGGCCTCGAAGAAGGTGTCCTGGCTGATGCCGGAGTTGGTGAAGGTCAGGTTCAGGCCGGAAGTAGGGGTCGAGTCGTGCAGCTTGGAGGTCATGGCCACCACCACACCGTAGGTACCACCGCCACCACCGCTCAGAGCCCAGTAGAGGTCCTTGTATTCGTTGTCACGAGTGGCGGTCACGAAGTCACCGGTGCCGGTGACAACCTCCCACGCCAGAACCTGGTCAGCGGCCAGTCCGTAGCGAGAGGAAAGAGCCGAGTGGCCACCACCTTGAGTGTATCCACCAGCGATACCGACGGACGAGCATTCGCCGCCCACAACCTGGTAGCCGTGGTTGTCGGCGAACTCGTACGCCTCGAAGCCCTGCACACCGGCGCCCAAGCGGACGGCCGGGCCGGTGTAGTGCTTGTCGGTGTAGTTGCTAATCAGGGTTCTCGACTTCAGGTTGTGAGTCCACACGCCCAGGGCTCCGGCGCCGGTGGACTTGCCATTGTAATCGTGTCCGGTGTTACGGATGACCAGACGGATGTTGTGGTCATCGGCGAAGCGGAGCGCCGCAGAGATATGCGCGGGGGTGGAGACGTTGACCGCGTAGTCGATGTAGTTGCCCATCGTACAGGGCTTGGCGACGGGGTGGAAGGGGTCGCAGGAGCCATTGGCGAACCATGGGGCCATGATGGAGCTGCTGGAGGTGTAGCTGGTGGGGTCTGTGAGTAGGGATCGGCAGGGGGGAGAGGGAAGGTAGGGCTTACTGGAGCTCGGGCTCGGTCCATTCTTCCTTCAGGACGGCGCAAACCGAGGCATCATAGTTGGGAGCATGGCAAGGCTTGCCCAAGGGGATGGTCTTGATGAGGCGACCGTCAATGGTCTGGTTGAACTGGTCCCATTCACTGAGGGAAGGCCAGCAGGCATCGCCGGGGAAACAGCGGCAGTTGGTGGTGTTGGTGCTGCTTCGGCTGCCAATGGCAGTGGCCGAGGCCGTAACAGCCAGCAAGCTGGTCCAGAGAGCGGGTTTGATCATGACGGCGGAATGGCGGGCTCTGCTCGGGGAATTGATCTGAAGCGACAGGGGGTGGCCATTTTATATCCCTCGGTCGTCAGATGTCGTGAAAACGGTTATCCGACCACCGGCCATGTGCCGACCACGATGGTGGAACTTACTTCTTGTGGAGTGGGCCTGGCTATCCCTGTTGTGAAGAAGATATTACCCAGGTTGCATGATTCCGGAGTGTTCCGGTAGGACATCCCCTGAAATTCTGGCAGTTAGGCAGAGAAGTTTCGTCTACTTTTGAGGCCGTTGTTTTTTCCTTGCCCACATCAGCTGCAGAATGGCTTTTCATTTGCTCGCACCACCGCGTGGCTTGGTTCTAGTGTTTGACGGGCTCGGAGAATGTCCAGGAAATAGTATGCAGCCCCTCCACCGGGGCGGCCGTCCTATCATGCCTCGAGATCGATATTGCTCGAGGGCCTTAGTCTCATCGCTTGCTGACCGGACGGTCCAGTCCGGTCAGTGGGCCCGCTAGGGATCCGATTCGCCGTTCCTGTGCGCTGACGAGATAGTGGTTGTCTCCACAGCGGGGCGTTAGGGTCTGGATGGTTTGCTGTCCGGTCCTGGTCTTAGATTTAGCTTCCAAGAAGTTGATCCATCGCGTAATACCCAAGGGGCCGTAAATTGCACGTCAGCAGCCAAGCAGCCACATGGTCGATAACGAATGCCGAGAAAATAAACAGGGGAAAAAAAGTCAAAATCTCACCTTAAGGTGCCGAGTCCCTAGTGTTGGGGGATCTCACCCTGCACCGTGTGTATCCTGCACATCCCTCCCTTCCTGTCTGTTGACTTTCCCTTCAGCTTCATCGACGGACAGCGGAATGCCATGACCTGGGTCCATAACCTCACCCGCCCCGACCCCCACAGCCATGTCGCGCGAGTCATTGCCATCTGCCTGGTCTTCAGCATCAGTGCAGTGATCGCCGTTGCGCTACGGTTGTATATCCGGTTGCACACGAAGCGCGCCCTTTGGCTGGACGACTATGCGGCGGTGTGCAGTGCGGTGTTGGGGATGGGGTATGCGGGAATCTCGGTGGCCCGTACGCTTCCCCTGAACTGAACCGATCGACCAGTGACACTGACGATCTAGAAACACGATATGGCCTAGGCCTGGACGCCGCTTATTTCCCGGATGAGAATGTGGTGATGTTCAGCAAGGTTGATGCCCCCCTCCCTGCCTCCATGTCGTTGAACCTTGACACCAATGACCGACTCAGATCCAATACGCCGGCGGCCCCGTGTACATTCTCGCTATCCTCTGCTTCAAAATCTCGCTTTTGACGTCCTACTTGCGGGTCGGGGGGTTCGTGGCCGCATATCGATGGTGTATCATCGCGGTGGCGGGAGCCGTGGTGATCAACCAAGTGGTGTTCACATTGCTCTTGACACTGGCCTGCAATCCGGTCAGTCTGTGCTGCCTCGTCGCGGATTCTCTCTAACAAATGGCTAGGTCGCGAAGCAATGGGACACAACTCTCCCCGGGAAATGCATTGACACGGTCGCTTCATACTATGGTATGTCCACGATCCCCCCCCTTCAGATTCCATGCTAACCAAACAACAGCCTTGGCCGGTAAATTCATCTGCTCCCCTTCCTAGATGACAAACCATAACCTAGATATTCAGGAACAAGTCTCGGCTTCGACATGCTCATTATTGCCCTCCCCCTTCCAGTCCTGTGGTCCCTGCAACTCCGCCATGCGCAAAAAGTTCCCTCCCCTCCTCCCTTCCCGCTCCCTCCGCCCATACTGACCGGTATCTTACAGGTAGCCCTAATCGCCCTCTTCGCTCTCGGATTCTTCATCACCATCATCCAAATCATCCGCATCTTTACCATCAAGAACCTCAAAACCTACACCGACAGTCAACCGATCGTCCTCTGGTCCGACGTGGAAATCAGTCTGGGAGTGCGTCCCCTCCATCTGCTCCCTCTGCCTTTTCCTCCGTAACAGATACTAATTCAACCCAGGTCATCATCGCCTGCGTCCCTACCTACGGTCCCTACTTCCACGCCTTCGCCTCCACCCTCACCTCCAGCTACAACACGCGTCGCCGCAAGCGCCACCCCTCGCAGAGCCAGACCCTCGACCCGGCCCGCTCGTACGCGCTGAGCGGGGTGCGTCGCACGCAACGCAACCAAAGCCGCATGCTGCCCTCTGAAACAGACGACCAGGCCGAATTCCTAGAGCTAGGGGAGAATACTGCTGGGCGACACAGACCGTGGGATAATTCGGGCGCGGTGACCACGACGATCGGACACGGGGATAGCGATAGCGATAAGAGGGGATCGGTGGGGAGCGGGAGTGCGAGGGGCAGCGGACGGGGAAGCGGGGAGGGAAGGAGAGAGGTGGGGAGGATGGAGGAAGGAGAGGAGGATGAGAGACCGTTGCAGATTCAGAAGGTCGTCGAGTTGGAAGTTCGGGTGGAGTAGTCCCCTACTACTCGTTTTCTTTTGTTATTGTTTTCTAGTCCCTATGATTTATTGCAGAGTGTTCACAGTGATGTGAATCTCGAGGCGGGAAAATTACCTAGAGCGGTTATCATCTAATTAATGACGCGTTATTATTGCTATTGCCGTGACGATCCGTTGCTTCATAGCCTGATTGGCACCATTGTAGATGCATCCATACAGCTTCTTCAGTGGAAACACGTGTGATTCTCAGGCACCGCAAGAAGGATTCTCGATCGGCAGAAGGAAATTACGATCTATCACCTCGAGACGAGTCAATGCTTTAGCGCATGCAACTATCGGACGTCCGACAGAGGAGGAGTCACCTACGCTGTGTACATATCTCCGAGGCAACCGGCTTATAGCTTATTGTCACTTAGCTCTGGCTAGTGTGACTATGTGAGAATCTAGTCTAATGTCTTACATCTAGTTTGTCAAAGGACTTTAGATTATATTAGTTATTCTGTAGTAAATGCTTGTCATGGTGTCAGCACATAATCCAGGCCTAGCCATCTTGGCGTCGCTAGTATATATTTAGATAAATGCGCTAGGTGCTGACAGGGATTCAGTTATTGGGTGGAGTACTCCGTATACGAGCTGCTCATGATAAGGAATCCTGTGATTGGATAACCCCTCACACGGGACTTACGGATATCCTCGCCAACTGGTGTCTCATGGTGACGCTGATGCTGTCGCGACCACACACTCGGGATTGTGGCGCTGCCACAGTTGTTCATTATTCAGCTTGCTGGATTCCAATTTTGGCGGTCCGGCATGTCGCGGAAGACCAATCATATCTCAGAGTTTACAACGAGAATCTTACAATTATCAAGGGGTTCAAAAAAAAACATTTCACGATTGTCGTGCTCGGGACCAGATCTAGGATACAGCGGTTTCTGCTGACTTGTGAAGACGGCGGTTACATATAGGTATGAGCATATTATTTGCTACTAGCATAATAACAGATTGGCTCAATTAGATAAACGTTGCCTATTCAAAAGTGTTCTTAGTTTAATATTAATAAAAAATAATACTTTTTTCAAAAGTAAAATGTACATTGCATTAATATATCCACCTAGCCTATCATATCTACCACTTTGCCTGGTTCCGCGAGACAAACTCCTCCCACTGAGTAGGCTGATCCTCCTTGTCGAGGAGTTCATGAGACGGCGTTAGAGACTCCCCAGCATAGTACCCCGGCTCCTCCAACAAGAGGATATTTTCCAGCATCTCCTGTGCGATCGGCGGAGGTAGGAAGGACTTGAAAATCTCGGCCGGGATAGTGACAGCCTGTGCCTTGTACCCGGTAACTTGCTGGAACTCCTCCACGATGCGACTGGGCGTGTAGTAGTCGGTGGCTGCGAGGATCCGCTGTCCGACCGTCGCGGGATAGTGCTTGAGCGCCGCTTTGACGAATTTACCTATACTCTAGATCAGTATATACGTTTTGTCATCTGGAGAAGACTTCTTACCCGTATCGCCAACAACATCAAACAAAGGCACCTGCGCCTTATCCACGTCAACCGGCCAAGCCAGCGTATAGGTATCATCCCGCTTATTCAGCATCTGAAAGAAATTGGACATGAACAGTCCGGCGAGAACAAAGGTCGCAGGGACCCCACTGGCGCGGATATACTCCTCGATGTCGGCCTTGCCGTCAAAGTGCGACACGTTGGGTAGGCGGCCCTCGCTGATCTCGGTGACATTGCGCAGAGAGGAGAAGATGAGATGCTTGACACCGGCTTCTTTACAGGCATCTGTCACGGCTTTCCCTTGGGCAACTTCCGTGTCGCGGCTCATGGTCTCCCAGAAGTTGGTGACGAAGAATACGGTGTCGGCGCCCTGGATGGCGGGGAGGGCGGATGACACTGAGGACATGTCGGCCTGTGGACTTGTTAGATGAAGTAGTCTGATTGACATGAGGGGTACATACCACGACTAGGTCAACGCCCTGATCGGCTAGTTTTTGGGCAGCTGGCTTGGAGGCATCGCGGGTGACACCGCGGATCTTGAATTGTTTGGATAGGTCCGGGTCGGCGAGGACGGCCTGGATTACCGAGCCGCCCTGGTTGCCGGTCGCACCGAACACAGTAAGAATCTTGGACATTGTGAAAGTTGGAACGAGCTTGAATGATGGGTTGTGAAGTTGATGTGGTTTTTTACGAGGACAGCCTTCGTATTTATATAGCTGGACAGGGACAATGTAATGTGCGGGGTAAGTAAGCTCGGGCTCCCAGGAAGGCCGAGCTGATGTAATCGCGGGGCGGCGATGTATCATCCATGACCGTGCCCTTCTTTCCCCTTCTCTCTCAAATGCAGTCAGACAAAGAAAGACTGGGTGCATTGCATAGAATTTATCCTTTAGAAAGAGTTCACCCTCAATGCGACCGATATAACCCGTGCGGCAAAAAGAAAGCCGTCCTGCATAAAGAACCCCGCGGCCTCGGTCAGTGATACGGATGCTGCAGCATACATGGAATCTACACGGACTAGAATTCAAAACCACACTGCGGCACTTGGAGGAGATTGTGACCGCTCCGTATCAAGATTAAAAGTGTCCCACTTTTGCCTTACTGACGTGTTCAACTAATCTGTGATCAGACGATCGAGGTACATGGCGATACCAAGGCTGTATCCGGCCCCCTATACTCATGCAGCTAAGAATGCTCGTCGCATCAATGAGTGGCTGGACGGGGTCAATGCCACGGAATAAATGGACTATGCTTCTTATTCGCGATGACCGTGATCAACTACTCTATTAGAGTTCGTGACTTTGTCTAGCAGGACTATACTTGGTAATGACTTCAATCTTATCACGTCGCCTATGAGGCGCTGACCCCGTGCATATAACAGTACCAGTCATCACCACGTCTCGCAGTACGGTCGCAGATCAATCTCATGGGTAAATGCGGACCGAGACTGGGTATGCAAGAACCAGTACGCCTCAGCAATCTAAACAAACCCTCATTAGCTGTCACCGCACAACCAGGTCTCGAAAGCAACTCACGCCTTTAGGGTCAATCTTCGCATCGGGTCGGTCATTCAGATACTCCTTGGTCTTTTCAGTGGCGATTATCCCGTCAATAATGGCATGCGCTACATGCACGCCCTTGGGGCCAAATTCTCGTGCCAATGACTGCGCCAGTGCCCTCACGGCGAATTTGCTCATGGCGAAGGAGCCCAGTCCGGATCCTCCTTTCAAGGCCGCTGTGGCTCCTGGATGTTCCGAAAGTCGTTCGTTAGCGGTTTCTTTTGTGTCTTTCACCCCAGCAGTCTAGATTAGAACTCACCGGTGAAGATCAGGGTTGGAGGATAGCCCTCAGTATCGTCCACCTCCTTCAAGAGGAGTGGAAGCACGGCTCGGGAGAAATTCGAGGCCCCTCGTGCGGTGGCCTCCAGACTGTCCAGGAAATCTGGCTGGTTCTCCAGAAACCCATTGCGGGTGAACTTGCTGGCTACATTGAAGATAGCAGCCGCCACACGTGGCTCGGCCCCAAAGTGGTCGCGCAGCTGGGTGAGGCTGGAGAAGAGCTGGTCGGTATGGGCGACATTGGCGGGAATGCCCAGAGCGGATCCGCCACTGCGATTGATTTCGTGCACCAACGGGTCGAGAGTGCTAGGAGTCCGCGCCAGAAGCACCACCGGGTATCGTTGAGCGAATCGTCTTGCCAGGGCGGCTCCTGTTCCGGGGCCAGCGCCCGCGATGATGGCGATGGGTTTGGTGGACAGGGGCATACTGATCCGAGGGGTGGGAATAGGGTTGCGGGCCGGACTGCGTTGCATTCTCACCCGCTTACTTATATGCTCGTTCGAACCTTGCTTAGTGTGGATCCAGGGATCTCGCGGTCATCGATGACGTTGCACAGCAGCATGGTTTTTCATGCGTGAAGAACCCCCTTACCCCACATATTGCCTTGGTGGATCCTCCGGATAAACACGACACGAGTTGTGGGTCAGGGTCCCAGTTGCGAAGGGGTCAGAAATTAGTACAACAGGGTCAGAGAATTTCCTGACACTGGATGAGCTCTATCACGTGGAAGACGCAACTAGTATCAGAAATCCTTTGAAGCTATCTAAGCTATTTTTCTAGCACCGGTCTGACACTATCACACTAATTTCTGACCTCTTCGGAGCTATATCTCCTTGTGGGTCCACTCCATTGTACTAAGGATATGCTTGGTAATCATACTCGGGCTTCGGTCTTTGGAAATGCGAACATCTGGCTATATGTTCAGCGAACATGGCCATCACATCCATTGGAGTCAATTCCTACATTCAATCACATCATCAATCATCCACCATGAGTACCTCCCTCCAGCCCATCAAAGTCTACGGCGGTTTCGGCCCCAACCCGATGAAAATCTCCATCATCCTCGCCGAACTCAACCTCCCCATCGAGCCCATCCCCATTGAATTCAATGAAGTCAAACAACCCGCCTACGAAGCCATCAACCCCAACGGCCGACTGCCCGCCATCGAGGATCCCAACACAGGCCTCACCCTCTGGGAATCCGGCGCCATCATCGAGTACCTGATCGAAACCTACGACACCACCCACAAACTCAGCTTCCCTGCCGGATCTCACGAGGCGCATCAGGCCCGCCAATGGCTCCATTACCAGATGTCGGGCCAGGGGCCGTACTATGGCCAGGCGGTGTGGTTTGCGCGGTATCATCCTGAGCGCGTCCCGAGTGCCGTGGAGCGCTATGTGAATGAGATTAAGCGGGTCTCGAAGGTGCTGGATACGTGGTTGGCGACGCGGGAGTGGTTGGTTGGGGAGAAGATGTCCTATGTTGATTTGGCGTTTGTGCCGTGGCAAAATGGGGCGCGGAAGATGTTGGTCGAGGAGGGCTTTGATCAGAGCCAGTATCCGCATTTGACGCGCTGGTTGGAGAGGATGAATGAGCGGCCCACGGTGAGGGAGTTGACGGCGAAGCAGGATGCGATCATGGCGGAGAAGTCGAAGAGTATGGCGGCGGCGCAGAAGAAGTAGATCCGGTTAGAGAAATGGAATAGAGTTAGGGTTGCATACAGAGGGGAGGATTAGTAGCATGTGATGTCACCTTCCTTTCCCTAATGTACGATATAAACCAGGAGCCAGGTCACCATGGCCCTAGCTTGAACAAGAGTCTGCGGGTGGTTGGCGAAGGTGAGGCGGGGAATGAGGCAACAAGTTGGCGGGAGTATCTGGAGAACCTGCTGTGCTGGCGATGGACACTCATTGAGGGCGAATTATGTTGTTAATAATTGCATCAGACTTGGTGCCATGAGTGATGTTGATTACTGAATGAAGACTGTAATCTGTCAGCCTCGGAGTTGATCTCAATGCCGAATTACTAATTCTCAGGCATGCTCGGCGGACTTGGCAGATTTCTCACCCATGGGAAGAAAAGAGAAGAATTCTCAGGTAGTGCTAGTTCTTTGCTTGGAATTGACAACAGTACGGAGTATTTTCATAATGAATTCAGTTTCAACGATAGCGGATAGAACTATCCGGATCACCGCCTGCTCTTACCCTCCCGGAGAAAGTTCACACCCGGGTCCACTTCAACTCTGGATACCGATCAAGCTTACCCGCGCCCGAGGAAATATTTTCCATGTATTGCATTCCCTGCCAGGCGGGCATGACCTGATCCTCGTCCCTAAATGGCCTTAACGCCCGGATAAGCCCCTCCAATACGACGAGTGGAAAGAGAGGTCGTGGGTTAGTCACAGGTTTGTACAATTATTCTCACTTGAAACATCTCAGCACTATTATAGAGTTTATTTTCTAGATCCTTGCGTATCCTTGCCACCGGTCGATTAATCCCGATTAGCTATGTACTACAATGTCGCGTTCGTTAGCATAAAGTCAGTAATAAGCCGCATCTCGGACGGGTACAGAGCCGAGGTCCACTGGGCCCGGAACATTCTTCACCGAGCCTCTCATTGGTCGGAGATGGACAACATAAAGTTTGGATCAGACAAAATCTGAGATAAGTAGTAGACTTAACATGATCAACATTTTCTGAAGACTTTCTTATCGAGGTCTGCTTACGTTTTGGCATGATCACAGACAATGACATCTTCCCTCGTCGACAATGGTAACTACGTCCCTTCCTTGAACTCGCTTGGAAAAGACATAATGAGCAAATTAAAAGCACAATGTCCGGATAACTACATCATATTTACATGCGTTTGAAAATAGTCAGACCCTTGGCAAATTCTTCTATGTCTGTCTTTCACCCATATCTATACAGAACCCTGTCTTGGTGGACCGGGGATAAACCCCGACATAAATATATTAAAATCTGTTAGGTTAGTTTAGGCTTGCATTATATAGTTACCAATTTGTCTTCTTTACATCTGCATTCTTAACGCTTCTTCTTCACACCAACAATGCCTTAAGTCTTCCGCGTCTGGTCCTCGTGGAGAAACCATCGGGGCGATGACTGCTCGGGCCTCCCCTCAGACGATATACTCCGAGGATAGTGACCCAGTCATCGAGCTCAATTAATCTATTTCTTCAATTGCGTGGGGTCAGCTTGCCACGTACTAGTCGATCTCTTTAAGGCGGTTTGAGTAATTGAAAAGACCCGGTTGGGTTGCATCTTCGGCCATTTTAAGGGGAATTATTCGTCATGAACCTTATCCAACTAATAGGCAGAACGCACTCGAGCATATACATCCCAGCTCTTTCTAGACTGCAATTCTCCCTTCACCGACCGAGACAGAGGCACCTTGAAGCAGAACTTCGGATATCTTCTCTCCATCTTCGCTGCGAGAAACCCGGACATATATATCATTCCTTCGTCCCATCTCCACTCCCTGGATAATGTGATAGTGGAACGGTCCACTTCCCTGCTCCTTTGTTTCCCTCAATGCTAGAAAGCAGGCAAGTGCACTGGAAGCGCTGCCTGTCCCAGGATCCTCCCAGGTGACGAACATCCTGGTTCTGAGCTGTCGGCATCCCTGATCATCTTTTCCAAGGTCAACAAAGTATTTTGTCCCAATAAGACCAACGTTCCATCCTTCATCCAAGTTCTGCGGGTTGACACAATCCTTCAGCAATCCGCTGGAAATCCTTGCCAAAATCTCGACGTCACGGAGCTCTGCTAGCACGAACGAAAGTCCTTTGGCAAGGGACACAACGGGCGAGGCATCGGATATGGTCACGTTGGATGGGATGCGCGCCTGGTGCATATGATAATCTTGTGGGATAGAAGCGCTGACTAGACCGGTTGCCGAATCTTGCGACACGGGAATATGTCCGGCTTTGGTCACCAACGCTTTGAATATTCCAGACTCAGCTCCAGGGAAGTTCTGAAAGATGTAGGCTGCCGTTCCAATCGTGGGGTGGCCGGCAAACGGAATTTCACATTTGGGTGTGAAAGTATCGATTGCAAGAGTCTCTAGAGGGTCTTGGCAACCCTCCGAAGGTTCATGTAGAAATATTGTCTCGGAGAGATTGAACTCGACTGCAATCTTTTGCTTGGTTTCTTGTGATAGGGTGGACCGATAGCTTGCAGGCACTCGCACAATGGCCAGGGGATTTCCTAAAAAAGGTGTGGCTGTGAAGACATCCACCAGATCGTAATTGAGAAACATATTGACAGTTCAAGTAAGAAATTCCACAGTCTTAATTCATCAAAGCACCGTGCTTGGTCAGTTCTAGGTGTACTTTCGCTCTCTTTATAGGATTATCGGTGTCTTCCAGACCTGCTCGGGGATGATGTCCGAATGCTTGGCGCGGAGAAAGTGGTCCGAGTATGGTTGCATGGCGACGGTCGGCTGGCTCGGCAATCATTGTCCCAGTAAGCGTAACCCCCAATATGTAGTGGTCGATTGTCAAGGTCTATATATATGCAGGAATACTTGACCAAGTTGGTAAAGCAACCCATTACCGGATCATTGATTCTTCACGATGACCGAACAATGGGCCATTTTCACCAGTCAGGCGCCAGCCCCATTCCCTGTCTTCTCGCAAGCCATCGTTCGAAATGACACCGTTTATTGTTCGGGCATGGTTGGTCTAGACAACAAGACCGGCGCCCTAGTCAGTGGTGGAGTGGCAAGCCAGACGGTTCGTAGGGTCCCTTTGTTTCCCTATGTATCCTCGCTCATCTGCTTCAGGATCAACTTCTGCGTAACCTGGGAGCCATCCTGGAGGAGGCCAAGTCTGGGCTGCAACATGTGTTGAAGGTGAATGTTTACATTACCTCCATGGAGCACTTTTCGACCATGAATGAGGTCTATCAGAAATTCTTCTCGGCCCCCATGCCTGTATGTTCTGAACTCTTGGGCTTTTGTGGTTGCAATACTGATTATTGTAGGCCAGGACTTGCGTGGCTGTCAAAGAACTGCCCCTCGGCGCGCTGGTCGAAATGGAGTGTGTCGCTTTCACTCCTTAGATGATGCCTTGATTCTTCACTCCCCATGTATATACTTGCAGTGCATGTAACCCTGTTCCATCGGATCAATGGTTCCTCCACACACCGATGGAGTTTATATTCACGTGATTGTTACGTACCGTCCGAGTCTGACTCACTGGCCCCTTCCTAAACGATCTATATCCGACTCCATATAGAGGGCAAAGATGCCGAATACCCCCAAAGCATGTGCAGAGTGCAGAAAGCGCAAGTTAAAGGTGGGTACTACGCCGTCATCAGATCCATCTGATCCCTCGCCAGTGCGATCGCCTGCAGCCCACTTGCTCCAAATGCCGACGTTCTCGCAAAGCATGTAGTTACCACACAATAAGCCAATCACCATTGACCAGAAGGTAGAATAACCACCGTTTCAAAGGATCTACAGCGGTGATTCTGGCATTTTGCTGACTACTGCGCCAGATACTTGACCCAAATTGAGGATGAGCTTGCTCAAGCACGGGCTCTTCTAGAAGAGAGGGATCACCATAGCCACCAAAGTCCCAGTCGCCAAACCCTCGCGTGCAGCAATACTGACGCTCATCTTGGAAGTGGGCTTAACCCAGATTCACCAGGCTCCAGATCTCGCATAGGTCCTTTGGCAGGCCTTCGAGATGGCTTGCCACCCGACGACAGTGCCCAGAATGGGTTGTTTGCAACGAACACTCCCATACTGTCCTCAAATCCATAGCAACAGGAGGTGCGTTGTGCTCTGCTCCCGCCGGAGCTGATGACCCAGGTCTACTGGTTTCGAATGGGATGAACGCGGAGAGGCGATGCAACGCAGTACTAGTTCAAATCCGTCTCGTACTATGAATGGTGCTGGCAGAGGCGGTTACTTTGGTAACGCTTTGATCTTGACATGAGCCGTCCTTCCGGCTAATCTTCTCTAGGTATTGCATCCACACAGGCCTTTCTTCGCATAAGCGGCAGACAAGATGATAGCTACCCACTTCCAGTGAGTACGCAGGCATCAAACAATAAAAACCCCCAGATGCAACCTCCGCTTTTGGGTGATTACGTAGATGCTTATTTCGCGCGTTGTCATTCCGTCTATCCTGTGATACATGAGTCAACATTCCGGGCTCAATTGATGGAGGTTGTGGACCGACCATCAAAGGAAGTCTGGCATATGCTCCTCTACACGGTTGCAGCCTTGGGAGCATTCTCGGCATCTGCGGGACCAACCCAGGTTGATGTGGCTCTCTTTGACATGGCGAGAACTAATTTCTCACACGAGATGATGGAAATGGGAAACATGGCATTGGTTCAGGCACTGGCACTAATGTCAGTCTATCTACGAAAGAAATACAAGTTCAATTCTAGCTACAACTATCTCGGGCTTGCGAACCGCGTGGCAATGGGAATTGGTCTGTACAAGGACTTTTCCTCTTCATCAGGCGCTCCTTTCTCTCAGGAAATGCGTCGACGGGTCTGGTGGTGCTTGTACACTTTGAGTCTGGAAGACTCGATCGCATATTCACGACCACAGGACTTTCCCCAGAGTGCAATAGAAGTTGGATATCCGCTTAACATCCACGACCTGGTTCGTTATCCAAATCGATACGATGTGACCTTGGTAACCAAGTCTAGGACCTCAACCCCAACACGACCCCTTTCATCGCTGAAGCCAACCACACGACTCTATACTCTGGCCTGAAATTTGGAGCCGCATTCTATTTCACAATCAGCAAAATATACTCCCGCATCATTTCCAGCCCGTACCCACGATCCAGGGAACTAAGCTCATTTGATGACACATCCATCCGACATTGGGAATCGTCGCTGCCTTCATTCTTCAGCAGAAACGCCATCCAACCCTCAAAGTACTCTTTCACGCATGCTCTTCTTCACTGGCGATGCCTGAACTTCCGACTTCTGATGTACAGACCATTCGTGGTCTGGCGTTACATCATGCGCCCTCGCAACAATCCACCCCGAGATCCTGCTGATCCCATCAGCGTCAATACTGCAATCACCCGGTGTCTTGAAGTTGCTGAAGAGACCATCACAATGATTGCAGATTTCTGGGACTCTCGTGAGCAGGATGCCTTATCCGCCTGGTATGGACTCGATCTCATTCTTCCTGCAGTTTTGGTATCTCTTTTGTGTCTGCATTATGATTCCGCATCGGCGCAGGCAGCTGCATGGCAGCAGCAGGTCCGGAGAGCAATGGGTGTGATTGATTCAATGACTACTTTGAACAGTTCTGCTTGTCACTGTCTCGATATCATACACTCTCTTCTGAATGACTGCGGGCTACTGGAGAGTCATATGAATTCTCCAACCCAGCAGCTTACCGGCATGCGGGTAGAGAATCCGCTTTCTACGCAGATGCCAGATTTTGACGATATTTTCACCCATGATGTCTTGTGAGTGATCAGGCCTCGATACTGTAGTTACAAGCGATATGCTGCTGACTGATGCGGATTTCGAATAGTCCGGATTACCAATTCTGGGAGGAGATCAATGACGGATAGATGTGCATTGTTTGCATGGTAGAACGCAGGGCCGCATAGGACCAATGGTGTCTAAGGGGATAGAGAACAGCGATTGTGTGTGATTGAGAATACCCTTACTACATTTCATTGTAATCGGTCCGTCTATGTCTACAATGGCCCTCTTCACGACGGCTATATCGCTGCAACAGAGAGACTGCGAAACAAGGGATAAGGCATTCCACCGACTGCAAGGCTTCACTACTACTTTCAGTCCTCCAGCCCGCCATCAGGGCGGCGCGCAAGGAGGCATTCACCTGTCCTATCATCTGTTAGGCTTTAACCCATCTCGATCTCCATCTCTCCGCGATCTGTTATTAATGACATCTCCACTACTCTATGCAACTAAGGACGAAGGTTACATCAGCCCTATATTGCGGCTTCCAGAACATGATAGTCTACGATACCTTGATTTTATCCCTCTGTGCTTTATCTCGCGCAAGGCTATCCGAGCCATGGGAAATGTCCCGAATGGATACGAACAATGACACAAGCCGCACGCTACCAAGCAGGCCAAAAGAGATATCTTCTGGAACGATGTCCAGGTCTTGACAGATAACTCTGAATCTCAATCATCACGGAATAAATAATACAACCCGTAAGGCTGATCAGATCTGCCATCTGCATGCCCAATAACCGCTTACGTCAGCTCATCGGGGCGCGCGAAACCGAAGAGAGAGTAGGTCGTTCTATTATTATCTCTCGTTATGAAGCAGTTCGTCACTTTGTTGATAAGAGGGCTCTTCATCCTACGCTTCTATTTAAGCTTCCCTACTAGAATTATGTTGCTAATCACTGTTGCTCAGTGTTCATCTGCCGCCCTCTTCCCCCACTGATCAACCATTGTACCCTCCACACCGACATATCGACCGCCTTTAGTGCCGCGTGGCGCCCACGTCGCTCTTCATCTCCTTTCAGTCTGGGTCCGACGGCCATCGTTGCCCGGAAAAGTGGCACCATGACTTTCCTAGTCCCACTCGCCACAAAAAAGCGCCAGAGAGCCTTTGCCAAACGATCTCGCACCGGCTGTCGAACCTGTCGGTAGGTATCTCGTCCTCCCCTTCAATCCTCCACCAGTCGGTCGGACTTACGCGACCATCTTAGACATCGCCGGATCAAATGTGATGAGACCCCCGGGCAATGCAGGAATTGCACCTCCACGGGTCGTCACTGTGAAGGTTACGACACGGCCCGTAAGCAGTGGGCCCCAGACCCGGCCACTACCACCGCTAGTCGCGGTCCCGGGGCCCCCCGGCTGCCCCGGCTGGCCGCGGGGGTCCACTCCTCCTTGACCTCGGCCGAGCGCCAGGGCATCCATTATTTTCAGCATTGCACCATCCCAACTCTCGTCGGGTTCTATGATTCTGCCTTGTGGGAGAAGCTAAGTCTTCAAATCAGCCACGCTGAGCCGGCCGTCTGTCATGCTTCTATTGCCCTGAGTGCCGTCCATCGCGGGTTTCCGCTGGGAGGACCCCTCCAAAAAGAGTGGTATCACTTCGCGTTCGAGCAGCTGGAACGGTCGTTTCGCTTGCTTATGCGCCGTCGGGCTTCGCAGGATCCGCAATTTACTAATGTTGTGCTCTTGTGCTGTGTGATGTTTGTGGCGCTCGAGTTCATGGTGGGGGAGTATGAAAACGCCTTTCGGCATTTGCAGGGTGGTTTGCAGATTTTGAAACACGGGAAGAGACAAACCTATAGGGGTACAAGCCCGTTCGTTGAACAGTGTCTGGTGGACACGTTTGCATGTTTGGATATCCAGTGCGCGTATTTCGGCAGCGGAGACCGCGTGTTATGTGAAGGTCCTGAGGATTCGGGCTTCCATCACGACGTGGAGGATCCCCCATTATGGCGCTTCAAGTCAGTCCACGAGGCACGTCAGGCATTGGAGCCAAGCACCGGCGATGTCATTCAATTCTGTGGACTCCGAGTCACGGCAGGGTACAAGGAATCTCCCATGCCCCGGCAACTTGAAATTCTCACTCGCTTGGACCGGTACCTTGATGCTCTGACTGAGTTTCGTCACGAATACGCTGACCGACTCAGTCCAAAGGATATCAAGGGTGTGAAATTACTAGAGCTGGAAGCCTTAGGAGCGAGAGCATCGCTCCAAGTCATTCCGTACTTTAACTGCGATCCTGCCTTGGACCAGTATACGGATGACTTTGAACTCTTGCTCTCTCTGTCAGAGGCTGTGCTACGCGAGAATTGGGATATCCCACGAGTTAGTATGGATATTGGGGTGATTCCACCTCTGTACCTGGTGGCTAAGCGAAGCGAGGACTACGACCTGCGGTGGCGGGCAATTCAGCTGCTTCAGTCCTGTCCACACCAGGAAGGACCCTGGGATGCGGCTCTGCTTGCTCGGATTGCAATAGAGATAATCAGGATTGAAGCTGTGGTTGCTCTGGAGAGAAAAGGCTCGGTTGCAGCAGCTCAGTTCCGCCAGAAACCTCCTGCTTTTGGAGGCTTTGTGATGATGTCGGATGACCGTCGCCATTTCCGGGTGCCATTTCTGGTCGGAAAGGTCGAGAAGCACTGGTGTTTTGACCTGGATGATCAGCAGTCGGGGGTTAAATCTATGCCTGTGCCGGGGGAGAGTGCTGCTGGTTGGCACCGAGTGATCCCGAGCCATCTTCGGTTCGTGGAGTAGTCGAGGATCTCTATAGCATGTACGGCAGGCCTACAGCCGGTTTTAACATCTCCACCATATACAATATAGTTATAATAGATGATATTCCGAATATAATCATGTTACTCCGACCAATATAAGCATACAACATCTCCCGAGAAATCACCTACTCACTCAACCCCAACACCCAGGTCACCTCATCCCTTATGACCTCCGGCGTAACATACTGCAATCTATGCGTCCGATACATGCCCTCCGCATAAACAAACCGACTCTGTCTAGACAAGCCCAGATGCGCTCGCTGCCCATATTCATCCACCCGCCCCATATCCTGCAACCGCACAGCCAGACGCTGTCGAGCATCCTCCGTCCCGACATTATTCTCCACAGCATACATATAAAGCTTAGTAAAATCCACCGACTCAGTAGCAAAAATCACACTCAATCTCCCATCCCCCAGAACCGGACACCCCTCCGGCAATGCATCATTCACTATCTGAGTACTGGTCTCCATATACGATTCCTCGATCTCCGCTGTCGACATATTCCGCTTCTCGTCTTCCTTGATCGCTGCGTACTCCTCCTCCGAAACTACATGATTCTCATCCAACCCCACACTACCATAGTACGTACTCTCGCCCAGCAAATCAAACGTATCAGACGGTAACTTCGTCCTCGTCCTCGCTGAATCCACCAACACCATCCCCGCCATTTGATCCGGATACTGCCGGAGAAACTCCCGCACGAGCATCCCGCCATACGAATGCCCAACGAGGACATACGGTGGTTCGATTCCGGTGATGTCGAGTAATTGCGCCAATTCGCGAATGCGGTTCTCGGCTGTGTAATTTTGTGCTGGTGAGGGCTCGCTGAGCCCGTAGCCGGCCCGGTCGTAGCTGTATACTCGCGCTCGTTGGGCGATTAGGCGGCTGACGGCTACTCACTCGGTTAGGCCGCTGCAGAGTCCGGCTTCGATGATTATGGCTGGTTGGAGGTGGGTGTTGGTCATGGGGCGGGGAGGGCCAGCGGCGGTGAGGTAGAGGGAGTGGTTGCCCCGGGCGACTAGAGCGGCGTGGGTGCCGGAGTGCCAGGGGAAGGACATGGTGATGAGTAGATTAGGGTTTGTGGGCTTGCAATCATGATGCTGCGGGGAGGAGGGAGGGGGGGGGGTTACTTTTTCGACAGGTGAGGCGGGGCTGGGCTAATGACTAGTTCCAAGAGTCTCATGAAGGCTGACTCGGAGGTCCAGTTATATCCCCTAGTGCTTATCATCCTCTGTATTCCCGCCGGTTTTATCTAGGCATCCAGTGGCTTATCCTGTCCTGATACGCGTCAGCTAGTATGGCGTGGTCAGATCAGATCAGGGCTTAGTGTCAGGTGTTGCAGTAGACTCATTGTCTCACCGTGTAGTGGAGTTATCGACTAATATTAGTCATGAGCTATCTGATGAAGATATGGATATCAAGTTTGTTACTATACGCAAGCTCCAACTATCGTCAGTTTCTACCCCCGTGCCAATCCCTCAACCAGCGCATTCATGTTGGGAGCGCGTCCCAAGCAGTCCTCCAGCATTTGCAGAAGATCAGACTGACTTCCACCCTGCTCCAAGATCCCCCGACGATATCTCTCCCAGCTCTCCTTGTTGTATGGATCATTAGCAAAGACAGTAAGGAATAAGTCCTGTGCCATCGCCGTGCAACTGTGGTTGTTAGCACTATCCGTCGGGGTGTTCAATATGGTGCGAAGAAGAGAAGCGAAAAAAGAACGGGAAGGTAGAAGGAAGGCATACCATAAGTAGGCGTAGTAGCACACATCGTAACCAGCCGTCAGATGGGTAAAAGTTCCAAACGCAAATCCGTCCCTGCACTCGGTGATGTCCATACCCTCTGTTTCCTCAAGGATATCATACCAGAGCTTCTGAACATCAAGGTTAGCAATCTGCTCTTCGGTGCGTAGGCTGTGGATTTGCATGTCGAAGATAGATATAGACCTAGACCATAAGTTCCCCATTAACGATGTCTTCAAACAGCGACGCAGATCAGGAAGGCGTACAGTATACGTAGGTAGTAAAGTCCCTGATTAAAGTAGCGATGCTTCACCAGGCGGTCAACCAGCTCCTCTGGGATTTTCTTCGGCGGATCCGGCTCCCCAGGATGCTGCTTGCGCCACGCTGCCAGGTAGTCGTCATTCACAGTAGTGTAGTGACAACTGAGCCCTTTGAGCACATCTTTCATCCAACACCAATTCTCCAGCATGACGCTGGGCATCTCGCCAAAGTCAGGGGGTAGGTGGTACCCATGGAAACGGACATATCTGGTCTTAGCCAGCAGGTCGTGGATGCCATGACCCATCTCTGTATCCCATTCAGTCAGTCAGAGGTTTCCCTAGTATGAGATTGCTTACCGTGAAATAAGGTCACCACTTGATGCTGCTTGAGCAAGGCACAACTCGCTGGCGTTGGCGTCGGGAATGAACACATGAGAATTGTGGCAGGGTGCTGTCGGGTCCCATCCGGACGTAGATAGCCCTGTCAATCCAATAAGCTAACCACACTTCTCATAACCCTGAATAAGTGCTATGGTATACTAACGCATTGGATATTCACGCTCTGGTTGCCGCGATATTTGTTCTCCCGCCACAAGAGATCGAAATAGAGATATCCGATGAAACCTCCGTCTTTCCCATCCCACACGGAAAATACCCGAACAGTGTCATGCCAGATGACATTGTCAGGCAAGCTCTCAGTCGGTATAGGGTCAAACCGCAAATGGAGGAGTGAGGCGAAGATGCCTAACATTCCGGTCGCAGTTTGCTCCAGCGGAAAGAATTCGGAGATCTTTGCGTGATCAACGTCAAACTCCTGTTCCATCAACCGTTCATAGTACCGCTTATCCCAGGGATAGAACTTTTGGAATTTCTGCTCTCCAGTCTCACCATTCTCCCCAAGTCCGTTCAGACGCCGACGTTGTAAAACCTCAATTTCCTCTTTACCCCGCGGACAAAGAGTCTTCCGAATCTGGCCAAGGAACCCCTCCAACCACTCCGTAGTCTTCACCATTCTCCTCTCAATTCGAAAATCCGCATGAGTGGGATACTTCATCCGATGCGCCTGTGCAGCTCGTCTCTTAACAATCTCTTCAAACAGCGGCTTATTCTCTGCCAGTTTCATATTATCCGCCAGGAACATCCTCTTGCGCGTCTCCGGACGACGCGCATAGGTCAAAACAGCCAGCGTCCCTCCATTCGCGAATGGTACGAACTTCTTACTTTCTCCATTCTCTAGCTGCAGTCCATCCTCCGGTCCATCCCTCCATTTTTCCAATTCCTCAACTGGCAAACCATCCAGTTCCTCTAACGTGAACCACACGCCCCCGTTCTCCCGAGCGATGTTCTGCTGGAATTTCATTTCCAGATCCTTAATCGCCATGTTCTCTCGCGAATATGCGTCCAGCTCTGAGGCATCCAGCACTCCATGTCCGGCATGCTTGTACTCCAGTAACTCCCGTTCCAAGAGATGCTTCGATTCCGGGTCCAACATTTCAATCTCTGGCTTGTCTCGTGCTGCCCGGAGGAGCTTGAAGAAAGCCCCGTCTGCAGTCCAGGATGCTTCCGCTTCGACATACAGTTTCCGAGCCTTGTTGAACGCCTCTTGCGTAGCGAACGAAGGAGACCCGTACTGGAGCATGTAAATCATGCCCAGCTCGCCCTGGACGGCGTTCTCGACCTCGGCTAGGGGCCGCATGACGGTGTCAAAGGTAGCGGTGGAGGGGGTGATGGTGTCAAGGATCTTCTGTCGGACGCCATTGCGCTGAGCGATGATGCGTTGGATGGCGGGGACAATCTCGTCCGTGGTAGGGACGATAGGAAGGGGGTGCGGGAGGGACATGGTTGATCTTGTTGGGGGATATGGACTACTGGGGTGCGTTGACGGCGTTTTTATCCCTGGGCGTGACCCCTCATCCTGAGGGCGCAAGGTTCCTAAAAATTGCCTATGTCGTCAGTAACAGGGGTTGAAATTAGGATACTACAAAATGTTCAAGTCACGAGGACCAGATGGCATCATTGGTCTCAAATTCAGATGCCTTTACTACACCATTGTCCAATGCGAGTGAAGCGACCACGGGATGGCGCATGTAGGGTGCAGTTAGTGCTTACTCCCTCCGGTCATTCCCCTGTGCACGACCCTTGGGTGGGCAAGGATAAGGACTTCGAGCGGGGTAATGGAAGGTTTAGCCTGCTGGTGCCTGGACGGGAGGCACGACCTGGCATATCATTGGAGGTAGCAATTGCTTATCAGCTAACTAGTCGTGCACATGCAGCATCATATTGGATCCGACAACCCGGACCATTGATGATAATCAGTCGCACAATTTTCTAGAGATGCAGTCTAGTGCTAGATCCTTTGGTTCATTCCGTGATTTGGCTCCCCACTCTAGCCTCACCAATCTACAGGAATCAATTACGGGGATAGCGTCGATTTCTTCCCAGGGCACCCCATATTCTGCGTTGCTGTGTCGCAGGATGGCAAATGCAGGGCGATGCTCATTGTTCCCCGATCCTTCTCTCACTGCTATCCCTTTTTTGAGCTGTGTGGCAAGGTTCTCGGCCATGTCGTGGCTTTATGATATGCCATAATCTCCCGGACGCAGCTACCTCACCTTCTAGTTCTTGGTTTTCGCCCAGCGCACGTAAGCCTCCGCGTGCAGCGCCATCTGATTAAACATGGGCTACAATCTCACTGCAGAAATGTTTAGCGAGTGGGCGATCGGACTTGTTGTCGTGGCAGTTCGTCTGTATGCCCGCTTTTCGGTGGATCGAGGGATTCTCCGCTGGGACGACGTGTGCCTTGTGCTTGGGACAGTAGGTGACAAGACGGATGCCTTAAGTGTCAGGGACGACTAACGCAGAAAGTTAGATATTCTGGACACTGCTGGTGGTGTTCTTGTATCTATGTACCGGTAAGGTTTCTTCCTCGGTCGCATTCAATCGGGCTGGTTCTCACAGCAATTAGCTGTCTACGGAAGCAATATCGGTCTCAATGAAACAACGGCAGCCGAGGTGCCAGATGATGAGGTGCCAGCTTTGAGAAAGGGCTCAATTTATGCGCTTGCGTGGCTTGCATATATCCTCATGGTGTGGTGTTTCAAGGGAGTGCTGGTGTTCCTCTACAACCGACTCACGTACGTCCGCATCACCCTGTCCCTCACCCCAGATAAAGCTGACGGTAACCAGTGTGGGGCTTTGGCAGAATCGGATCGCTTTAGCAGTGGCTGCTTTGACCGTTTGCACCTTTACCACCTCGCTCCTTTTCGATCTTCTGAATTGTCGGCCAATCCAGAAAAATTGGCAGGTCAAGCCATATGCCGGAAGTGAACTCAGACTCCCTCCACCGTGTTTCCCATGCTAATGGTGTCAGATAACTGCACGGTTCGGCCCTTGAATTACATCGTGATGGAAGTCTTGAGCATCCTGTAAGTTCTGCGCCTTCCGGAAAGTCTCCCCAGCTCATCCATCAGAACCGATCTCTGTATCATGTGCGTTCCGATTCCGTTGATCATCATCGCCAAAATTCCGACCTCGCAAAAGTGGGTTCTTTCCGGTCTATTTTCCTCCGGCATTTTCGTCATGGTCGCTGCAGCCCTCCGTGCGTCCTACTCCGTGAAAGACATCAAGACTCTCGCCACTGCCCTCGGTTGGGCCTCGCGGCAAGCTTTCGTCTCGGCCATTATCGTTTCAGCACCCGGCATCAAACCCCTCCTCTCCCGCTTCGCCTGGTTCGCATCCTATAGCTCTTCCCGCGGGTACGACAAGAAGGATCAGACGCGGACCACCTTCTTCAACTCCAAGAGCGGCGGCCGAGACAATACCGTCACTAGCACCTGTGAGCCTCAGTCGTATGAGCTCTCGTCTTTGGGCTGGAAAAGGAACAAATGGAATTCATCGGGCGAGAGTCAGGAGCACATTATCGACTTTTTCCCACCATCTCAACAAGGCCATGGCTCCGACCTTGGAGGAAACACAGGCATTATGATCACGACGGATGTCACCCTGGCGCACGAAGAGATTGCTCCGGACGATCTGCATGTGTCAACCACGCCGCCATTTCACCATTGAACCTTTCATATCGACGAGCATATAGCTTGATTACTCTCATTACAGGGACTTTGCCTTTCAACCCTTTTGTTTTGTCTTTAACGAAAAGTTTCTGTATATCTAGATATTCTGTTATGACTATGCTACTTAATGCCTAATACAGTAGGAGAACTAATCTCTCCTCTGCTGAGAATTCATGGTACTCGATCTCGTCAAGTACATCTTGAAACGAGCATACATCTACAGCTCTTTCAGACAGGACCACTATGCTACTAGATCTCGACTCGATCAAGTGAACTCTCACTTGCTTTGTCATATATTCCATTCCAAATTCCCCATCATAACAAACACAGACAAATTACCCCATAAAATCACGCTCCCATATCATTCTCGCTTTGAATCAATGCCAATTCAACAAACACCAACGCAAACCCACAACGTCAGGTCAATCCCCTCTCACCTCCATCCTCAGACGACACTTTTCACTTCTATGCTCATCTCTTCCCTGTGTTCGCCTGCTGGCCACTCTGCTGCGAGCCCGACGATGAGCCCTGCGAGGATGAGGATCCGACATTCGACGCCGCGTTATTTGCATTTCGATCCGCAGCTGACTGAGCCCGTGCGGCGAATCCGCCAGAGGACATATCCTTTCCTGCTTGGGCCTGGAATCTGTTAAATATGGGATCTGTGCTTTTAGTGAGATGTGCTCACCTGGGTAGATTGGATGCGGGAAGCATCTGATTTGCTCATTTGGTGAGTCGGCATGCTGATGATAGTTGAGTAGTGATCTGTGGGGTTTTTTTCAGGGTTCAATTGACGGGTTTTAATTGATCCGGGGTTCTTTGTTGATTGGGGAATAGTGAAATGAAAAGAGGAGGTTGATCTAATTTTGTATTTCAGACGTTTGTATCACTGACGTGCATCTGATTTCATCGTTGCATAGATCTTTGCTTCGGCGGGTATTGCGCCCCGGTGGTTATTTCCGTCTAGTTGCTGGATTGGGTGGGGCGATTCCCACGCAGTGAGTTCTGGTTCTGACCAGATAATCTTACATATGTGTCTTGGGTTATAGTTCGTGTAACCATTATGCTGGACAAATCTGAGAGAGGATTGATTGAGAATACCACATCAAAACATTCATGAAAGTATTCTCACCCGAAAATCTCAGGGTAATGGATAGTAACAGCCCGGTGTTAAACTTTAGAGCTGATTCTTATACACGTCTCAGATCAACCTCATGTACGGAGTAAGCCTTGAAAGAAAATATTGGGGATTATGTAGAAGAATTTATCCTGCTTCTTGAGAATGAAACCCACTCCCACAAATCTTCAACTGTCAAAATCTGACTTCTGTGCCCGTGCCGCTATACACTGGCGCTGCGGGGTTGAGCCATGCTACCTGGGCCCCTGTGCTAATCTTGGTTGTAGCTATTTGTATGATTATACAATTGCTATAACCCGATGATCATACGTACACCCTTGGAGTAGAGACGCCCATCACCTTCAGAACAGACGGTCTAAGCCAGGTGGTACACGCATCATTACAGTGTACCTATCATGTGAGGCTTGTTGGTGACCGCCGGCGGCGATGTCAAGTCGCCAGCGAGAGTTCCAGTACTCCATGAAGACCCCGAGACAGAACATTCCAGGTCTGTGATACAGTCACTTACTGCATGAGACATCAATTGCTCAATCATGACGAAAGCGACCGAAAGCGACCGGCGAAAGGGATAGCTATACACGATGGAATGGTCTGGAACTGGTGATATGGCATGACAATTTCACCCGCACCCTTGAATCCGCCACCCGTATGACAGCTTCCGACAATGCCTACCAATTCTCTCAGATATTGGTCTGCAGCTGCGGCCGAATCCTGCTATACGAAGGCTGTGGCACCTGGGGGTGGCAAATCGCGTGTCACGTGACTCTGATCGAACCCGCGAGAAGCGTCGAGGGATGCCTGGGGCCTTCGGGTAGCGTCTCGGCCTCGGGGTCTCCCGCGAACCCTATTCCTGGCAGCTTCCAGCGCCCTCCAGCAGTTACACCAGAGTGCCGGCATCTCCCATCGCAGCTTCCCCTATGGTGTTCAAAAGGTATAAAGAGACCCTCGAGGTCCTGTCCAGTCGATCTTTATCAATACAGCAATCAAGCTTCTACAACACTCTCAAACACACTCTCAGCAAACCAACCGCGCTTCCACCATAAGCTTCTAGCGCCTGAAATCCTTCCCAACCAACCACCACCACCAAAATGTCTCTCTTCAGAACCTTCCCCGCTGCCGGTGAATTCGCCCCTCTCTTCCGCCTGCTGGACGACTATGATCTCCACCGTTCCAGCCAAGGCACTCCCGCTTCGGCGCGCGCCTTTGCGCCTCGCTTCGACGTCCGCGAGACCTCCGATGGCTACCACCTTGACGGCGAACTTCCCGGCATCAACCAGAATGATGTCGACATTGAGTTCTCCGACCCTCAGACTCTGGTGATTAGGGGTCGCATCGAGCGCGAATACCACTCCGACAACGACGAGGCCCAGAAGGACCCCAACACCACCGCGGAGAACACCACCCCGGGTGAAAGCAGCGCCGTCATTCAGCCCAGCGACAAGCAGGTCTCCAAGCACAAGTCCAAGGCCAAGTACCACTACTGGCACAGCGAGCGCTCCGTCGGCGAATTCCACCGCACCTTCTCCTTCCCTAGCCGCGTCAGCCAGGACGATGTCAAGGCTTCCTTGAAGAATGGTGTCTTGTCTATCTTCGTCCCGAAGGCGGCTGCTCCTGTTGCCAAGAAGATTACCATTGAGTAAATGGACCGATGCTGCGATTATGACTGATGATGGATATGGGAGTTGCTGCTAGCGAATTGCTTTGATCTTTCCTTGCTTGCTTTGCTTTGCTTTCCTTTGCTTTTGAACAAGAATGCCTGGGGATGGTTGTCTAATGGAGGTGCGCTCACAGTTGCTTGCTGGCTTGTCGCTCCTTTTACCATTGTAATCTATTAATACTCGCTAATTAATTCAACGTGATCGCTCTATACTCGGTTTATCAACTTCGTAGAGAATGAAGTGAATAAGCTAGCCCGGACTATGATCTGCTATCCACACATAGTACAAATGTAACTCTACAAATATTATTCTTCGGACTTAGATCTGCCTTGTAGCCTTTATATCCTTTTTCAATACGTAGGACAGAATAGATAATCGTCTTGATCTTTGTTTATGTCGCAAAGTTCAGGGTTCACCCGATATCGTCATTACTGTCCACGGCGCGGATTATTTCTATCCTCTATTCTGCTGACACCTCGCCGGTGGGTTTCTAGCTTTGTGTACGGGGGCCCACGGGGTATAAGGTGTCCAACCTCTGGGAAATCAATGCGGTAAAGTGGAAAGGGAAAAAAAAAAAAAAAAAAAAAAAAAAAGGCCAATTCAATATCAAGGCCGCAAACTCAAGGACCACAATAATATATATCCACATAGGGGTATCCGAAGCAAAACCCAAGCAAGATGTACATTGCCCAAAAGGCAAAATATACGCGAGATAACCAAGCGTAAACAAGTAAAGCCTCAACGAAAGGCCATATTAGTTCAATTAGCCTCCATATTAATTATTTTGGGAAGACTTTCTCATTTAGTAGCTTCAGGAGATTCCGTAAATTGTGAAACGGGCTTTGTATTTATGTAACCAAATAATGCCTAGATCAATATCTCCAATCCTCGATGGTCTAACGGTCATGATTTCCGCTTGTCAATCCCACTCGGGAACAAGCGCGGGAGACCTGGGTTCGACTCCCAGTCGGGGAGGTTTCTTTTTGTTTTTCGCCAGTGTAGATGTCCCACTTTTTTCCGCCGTTCGGGTCATCCCGGTCGCATGCAACTGCCTTCTCACCTGTTGTCATGGCCTGTTCTCTCTTCGTTCTGCTTTCTGATATGCTTCATGTACAATACTCCTCTTTGTTTATTAGTCCACAACAGACTTATCAAGCATGAGCATATTTGGTCCGGTTATCTCCCCCAAAGCAGCAAAAGAACCCTTGCACACATCCGCCCCGGCTGCCCGGTTATACCCGAAGCTACCCACTGCTTGCAGCCCAGCCAGGGTATCCCTTCACAGCATGTTCTACCGAACACGACTCTTGTTCGGACCCAACAACAAGGACTGATGGATCAGGCCATAAGCTGCGGCAGCCGCGATTGCAGCAACCTATCATCGCGCGTTAGTAGAAATCCACCGAATGTAACAGACTCAACTCACCCAAGGAATGCCACGATGGAACAAATGGGATGCTGGTACACCCAGACACTGGGCGGGATTCAAACCTGTTGGTTGTCATTAGCAATTGCACTCCAAGGGACACTGTAACTGTAACTTACTCGCACCAGGATACCCCTGCCATAAGAGTCTCGACCCCCAGAAGACAGCCTCCGTGGCAATGCCCACTACCCATGGGGATAGAGCATCTCTATACATTCTTCCCGATCTTCGATCAACAGATACTGCCAACACGACGGCAATCAGAGCAAAGCAAGAGATGGTCTCGACCAGATAAGCATCGCGTGTAGATACCCCCTCCACACCAAAGCACCCTCTCACAACAAACTCCGTACCCCCGTATGCTTTCCGTATGGCCCAACCCGCCAGAGTACCACCTATCGTTTGACCCACAATGTATAAAACCGCCCGACAGCAGGATATACCCTGGGTAAAGTACGCCGCTAGTGTGATGATCGGATTCACATGGCCGCCGGTCGAGCGCGCGAAGGTATAGATGATCAACGGGAGGAGGAGCACGTTCACGAGAGTGGCAGGTAGGAAGCGGACCGAATCGAGATTGTAGGGGGGGTCGAGGCTAGCGTTGCCGGGGGGGAAAGGGCTGGTTGATACCCAGTTCAACATGAAGGTGTACATCATGCTTGCTGTTCCTAGTTAGCGCTTGATGTGTCCGCATCACTCAATATGGGCCGCGCTCACCGAGACATTCTAGCACCGCGCACCCCCATAAGCTGATGCTTGTCCATCTCTCTAGATGGACTACCCCGGATGTTTGTGGGGAGTCTATCTGCGGGATAGTGCTCTGCATCTGGGACGCATCGTGCATAGTCTTCGCGTGGCCGACTGGCATGACATCGTACACACGCCTCTCACAAGAAGCATTTTCCGTCTGAAGTACCATCGTGTATAACGATCAGACAGTAGCAGATGAACAATCCTGGCTGCATCGACAGTCAAGTATGCGGATGCTCGGTAGCCGGCGATTGCCGATCGGGTGAAAGTGGATCGCTGATAGAGAATCCCGTTATGCTAGGGTTATCGATCCATCACAAATCGGAATGACAAGCCTATACCAGTATCCCGTAGGATACTTATGGTTCTTGCAGCTGTCTCAAATGTCGGCTTTAGGCCTATTCGGTTGTTCGGTAATAGATAATAGGTCACTCACTTCTACTTAAAATTAGACCACTGGTCGAATGGGCCTGGTCTAGCTAGGCGATTCTTAGTATGAGACAAGATGGGGATGACCTGCCATCTACTGCCATGACTGCTACCATCATCTATTAGTTTCATCGATAATTTAAATATCTCGACCGATCATGTAGTAGGATAAAATATGCGTGAGCGCTGGCACCCATGCGAACCCCTTGTATAGCCATCCCCCAATTACTCAGAGCCTACGCCAGCAAACCTTATGAGGATGACGCTTTTCTTGCCCTGACTCACAAAGAAGCCATCGAGATCATCATGAGCTATATACGCCTCGTCACCCTTTGTCGTCATCATGATATCCCGTAGGGCGATACGAAAGAGAAAAAAAAAATCCAAACCGCATCCCTCACAATCATCTCTCACAATCATACCTCACATCCATACCTCACATCCATACCTCTACACACCATACAACTACAACCATCATTACAAGATGCAAACCAATGCATACGGACGCCACGACTGCTGGGTCTGCGGCTGGCCTTTTGCCTCGCCCAAGTCTCTTATCAAGCCATATGGCTATACCAGCACCGTAAGACATCCCCATCCCCATCCCCATCCCCACAAACCAAAGCTAACATACTCACAACAGAATACCTTCCTCGCCAGCTTCGGCCTCCTAGACAATCACCCCCTAAACGAAACCGAGTACCAGAACGAGACCGAGAACAAGAATGAATCCATCTTCACCCACCCCCCCAACCAACTCACCCTCTGCGAAGCCTGCAGCTCGGGCATGTACGATCCCCTCGCATGCGGCTTATACATCCTCCCCTCGGACCTGGACTACTTCATCAATTTTGAAAAAGAAGATCAAATCAGACGATCCACCTCCCAGCCCAAAGCAGGGCGAAAAGTCCCCTCCGCGCAAGACTATTCTCTGCATCAGCGCAGACAAGGGAGTCTGACGTTGGGTGATCGAATGGGTCTGTATGATCTGATCCATATTGAGCGGAAAGGAGGCGTGAAGTATGTAAGAGAGATGGGGGAGTGGGCGGGGGAGCCGCTCTTTGCGATTTTGCGCGCGTTGGGTGTTTTGGTTTCGCCGTGGGGAGGGTTGGTGGACAGGGGGGTGATGAGGAAGTTGGAGGTGTTGAGGGGGTTGTATCTTTTTGATGATGGTGATGGTGGTAATCTGGAAGATATGGAGGATGCTGTGAAGGAAGAGGATGGATTCGACTTGGATGGGGAGGTTGTGGGGCTGGATTTGGATTTGCGTGCTGGGTCGCCGGTGTATTCCCCATCGCTGGGATCGCAGGATGAGGAAGATCTGGACTCGCTAGCGGTGGAGTCTCCCTTTCAACATGGGTCGAGACTGGCGACGATTCAGGATGAACAGTTGACATTGGAACAAGCTTGGTTCTTATAGTGGAAATGCTGGCTGTACGATTGGATGAATAGTATGGTGGTACTGGAGATTTCTAGCTGTATGTTGAATTACAGATCTCGCAGAGCAAGCAGTGCTGAATTGAAGCCATATATAACCGAAAACTATAAATACAGAGTGATATCACAGAAACAAGTCGCAGAAACAGTAAGTGACAAGGCGCATGTGTTCGCAGAACACTGCATACCCTATCGTCAAGTCAAGAAGAGAAACGAAATATCGACAACCCCGTTACCAATGCCAATCCAAGACCCCAGCTATAGCCATTAGGTCGTGTCAACGCTTACGTGATATACCTTTGTAGTCAAAGTTAAATATATCACTGCAGAGAACCTGGCGAGCTTAAGTGCACTTGGTGGCAGCCGTGGTCCATCCAAGGAGACGGTTGGCAATGTCGGAGGCGTAGCAGGAGGTGGCAGCACCGGTGGTAGAGACCAGGTTGTCGGTGCTCTCGAGGGAGTAGGCACCGGAGTTGTAGAGACGGGCAGCACGGTAGAAACCGGCGACGGTGGTGCGGTCGGCCATGTTGATGAGTTGAGCGAGACCATATCCATCAGCGTAGGCGGTTCCGATAGCTGAAGGAGTTAGCCAAGAAGTCGGGCAAGGAGAAGAGGGGGAATACGTACATCCATCACGGATCATCTGGACAATCTCCGCGTTGGAGCAGGTGCTCTTCTGCCAGCAGGTACCGGTACCCTCGTAGCTCTGCATGAGACCCGGGTTGCTCACAGCGTTGGCGGTGGTCTTGACACGGACACAGCCCTTGGATTCCTGCAGAACAACGGCCAGGATGAAGCGGTGGTCGACCTTGGACTCCTTGGCGACCTGCTGGATGGCGGCCTTGAGGTCGGCAGTCTCGGTCTCCGAGTTGTTCTCGCCCCAGCCGTTGTTCTCACAGGACTCGGAGATGATGTCCTTGTTGGCTTCCCACCTAGGATGGGTCAGTAATGCACATAAGGTAAGAAGACATGCGAGCGTACATTGCGTCAAAAGAAAGCCATTCGGACTGGGCGGGCCATCCGGCGGCAGTGGAGCCGTCGCCGGTGTACAAGGTGTAGGAGTTCTGGGCGGTGCTCTTGCCCTGGGAGTTGTTGATGGTGCTGACAGCCAATGCGCTGACGGTCACGACGGCGCTGGTGGAACGGGAGGCCAAAGCCTCTCCTCTCTCGGTGACCTCCAGGGTCCGAGTTCCCAGCGGGGCAGCGGCCACGAGACCAGCAAGGGTGCTGACAGCAAGGGTCTGGAAGGGTTAATGGTATGTTCTAGATTCCATGGTGTGTGCGTTGGGGCTCACGTTGATGACCTGAGTGAAACGCATCTTGAAGAAAATGTACTGGTATGTGGATAAAGATGGACAAAAATCAATGAATGTGCTGCAAAGAGCAAAGAGTGTATGTGTGTGGGTTAAGGAATGTGGTGAAGCTAGTCAATAGCTTCAAAAAAACTGATAAAAAAAAAGGAAGGACTGTCGAAATCGACTTGAATCTGTGAGTTGCTCTGCTTGGATAGATTCATTTTGGAGCAGCGGACTGGCGCCCTTTATACTGGATTGCCGGAATGAATCCTCCACCTGGTCTGGGAAAATTCGTGAAGGATGGCCACCGGCCCCAGTCCGCAGTCGGTTGGAAGCCGCTTGGGAACGGTGGGCTCCATGACATGGGGGCTTAAACGAATCACCACTTGTAGACGGTCATCACCAACGGCCCGCACACTTGGCTACAAGCTGTGGGCTGACGTGGGATTCTCCGAGGTGAAGATACAGCAATCAGGTTTGTCCATTGCCTGTGAGAACGCATCTGAGAGGTCCATTCGACCGGGCCAGATGCAGGAACCTAAGATCGTGCGGCACTGGACCGATCACACAACTTCCCGGGGGGTTTTTTTCCAGACCAGTAGGGTGGAAGATCCTCCCAATGATGACCGACACTAAGGCAAGAAAAAGCCCGAGAACCCATGTGGGCGAGGTTGACGGAGCAAAGCACAGCAAGCGTCCGCGTTGGCTGGCCCGATGCGAGCGATCATTGGAGGAATCCAATGTCACGGTTTCGTACCCACGAACCAGTCAGAGAGTCGCAGTGGCCAACGCTCGTGCTCGTAGGGGCCTCCATCGGAGGGGCATCCGAAGTCACCGTGACAGAAACACGCCATGATTGTGCGATTTCACATTTCACTGTCAGGCAGACATGTTCGGGCTGAGGCCGAGCTAGTGCGGGGTCGGTGGCCCTCCTTCTGAGTCAACCTCACCGACTGCAAAATTTGACTGGAAATACACCAACAAAGCGATACAATGGCATTCACAGTTTGTCATATGCGTGTCAGTTGGTTTTCTCCGGTGGCTTGCATTGACGCGCTCAGGGGTTATTGACATACGCTGGTAACCCTAAATGCAGAATTTCCCGAGGCACAGCGCCACAACTTACTCGAAGACAAAGAAACCCTGTCCGACGCTGCCCTATCTGGGTATTCAGCGCCGGTTCTGAGCACGGAAGGGGCCGGTTTCAGCTTGCAGGGACGAGCGGTGTTTCAGGTTGAGGTGGTGGCGATCCAATCTGGGGGCAGAGATCCGACTTCCCCTCTTGGAGACTTTCACCGAACGCCTTGCGCTCGACAGCTGAGATGGCGGACCGGTGCTGCGCCGGTGTAGCGGTGGGGCGATGCTACACGACTCCCCTCGCCGAATGGTGGTGCTTCGCTACGTTGGTGCTCAAGCTAGGGCATTTTCCGTTAGTCCCGGATCGGAGCATCCTGACGCTGTCCGGCGGCATCCCCGACGAACTGGACTCGTCTCTTCGCATCTCCTCTCCGATCCACAACCATCAAAGAAGAACATCCACCGGCGGGATTGTGCAACAAGCCAGAGATTGCCCTCCAATAGATCCAACTCTGTCATGAGTCATGAGGGGTCTTTCGGCCCGGAAATCTGGCTACGTCATCATCTCGACGGTGATGTTGGAACCTAGTTCCTCGCCCCAGATTGTGAAACCAAGAGCTCGTGGCCCCTGGACAATGCATTTGGTAAACTACAAAGGAGGTTGCATTTCCGTCTCACAGCCTCAAAGGATGCTGTAGAAATTCCCCTGTCAGCGGAAGTCCGCCCCCAACATGGGCAGCCCCCATTCGCCGGGAACATCGTGACTGAATATGCAATGCAGGGACGGTTCGTCAGATGCTTCGGTCGATTTGGAAATTCGTCTGTTCAATTGTTGTTATTAGAGGAGATAATATTCTGCAGGCTCCTGTGGCATATGCAAGAAATGATATGGGGTTAGCCACACTAGCATCGGACCGAGCTGGCGACACCAAGATCAGAATGGGTTTGCGCGATAGCGTCTCCCTAGCGAACCAACATGTCATCAGGCGAACCGATGTTCCTGGCCAAGACAGAATAGACCCAAGGATCGCATAGTCCTTCCAACATGGCCCGATCGACTACCTGTGGCTGTGCAGTCTGTTATAATTTGTCATAGGGGTTCGTGTGCCGCACTTAGGGGCTGTTTTGTTTCTCGCATCCAACAATTGAAGTACTATGATCAGACCCCCTTATCCAACACATTCATGACTGAATAATCCTCGACCCTAATGTCCCTTCCCTCGAGGCCTCCGTTTGACCGACTGGCTCGCACAGATACGGTTTGTCCCTGGCTATCCATGCGAATTGTATTCCAATTTAGGAATATGTTCGACGAGGCAGATGCCACAATGCTGTTATCGGCTTGGAACGTGCTTTATAGGCTGCGTTGGTTGACCGGCAACGTTCGACAATGAAAAAAACAACAGCGATCATGACTGAGTCGAACGGTACTATGTGACCTGAGTGAAACATCCTGAGCATCCGATCTAGGCACCTCCCATTTTCTCTGCTGAAAATTGAGAAACATCTCCAGATTCTTTGAGCTACAAAGGTTTGCCAAAATGTGATTAGGAGAGTCCTATCCCCAGAATGTTCGGAGCTGACAACTGTCTAAGAAAGCAATGCTATAGTGATATCGAACCGGGATGCTTCAAAATAGTCGAACCAGGGAGTGCAACTGTGGCCAAGATGGACGCATCCTTGCCGAGATGGCCTCTTTCTTGTTCTTCGACTCCGATTCTTCTTTCACACTGCGTGGCCACAAAGACAAGGAATGACGGACACAGAATCGGGATTCATTCAAGGTCTCCGTCTATTCCATCCCCTTTGAGAACTCCATGTTCCTATGATATACTGCGACCGTCACAACTATTCCCGGAAAAAAACAGAATGATCATGGGTTTGCTCATTGGATGTTTCACTGACCATCTCCTGCCTTTTATCTATGTTCATCCCGACGAAAACAATCCTGGTGTGCATCGCACTGCTGGTGTACCTCGAGAACACTAACCTGGCCAGCAGCATAACTATCAACAACAATAAGGAAGCGCCGGTCAGATACCTCAGACAGCCTCATGTCTCTCAACAGCTTATCCATAGAGACTGGCACAAGCGGATGCTTTGTGCCGTTGAGGATGCTTGCAAATGACAAATCTGCTCTCTTTCCTGCCCTTCATGCACTGGGCTAATCTTAGTTGGCATGCTGTACTAACAGGAAGCTGTACAGCGATGACAATTCCCACAATGGCGTGTTTCCTTCAACAGCGATTTCTCGATTTGCAGATGACGCTGCGGTCGGGCGATGGCGCCATAGGAGAACCTTGAACAACTTCTGTGGAGGCAGTGCGGTCCAAAGACACCTCTAACACCATCAGGGTCACCAAATTCCTTGCATAGGTGCATGTAACACTAATCGTAAAAAATTGTGTGCTTGAAGTATCCGTACTGCATAGACTAACCAGTAACCAACGGCAACGAAATCAATCCTACGGCTACAACTCCCACAAATAAAACTCCCAAACAAACCCCGGTCGGAAATCTGAATAGCAGACATAAATCTCAATGGCTATCCGGCTACCCAATCTCCACTGCCAGATTGACCCAAGTTAGCACCCCACTTGCACCACTAGTCCAGTCTAAAGTGACCCCGGCCCATAGCCCTAGTGTCGTGATAACCGCTCAGCCTCGTGTAGCACGGGCAACGGTTTGTCCTTATAAATGCAGGATCCCATGTCGTGATCCTGCTTACTTTTCGATTGTTTATTCAGTCAGATCATTCTTGCAGGGCATCTCAGTATCCTGTCATCATGGCGGGATCTGAGGCCTTTGTCTCGGTCCAGAACGACCCTATGTCCTCTAACCAGGCCGAAAAGGGCTCCAAGAACAAGGAGGTCGGAATCACTTCCCATCGGCTGATGATCCTCTGGAGTTGGTTTCTTCTCACTGTTCCTCTCACTTGTTTGACCGCCGTCTTCCTCGCTCTGGTCTTTTCCTACCGTATCGGAAAGGGTGACTCCGGGTATGAGAGTCTCTGGGAGGGCTTGACGTTGGATCTTTCGGGCGCGTACTATGTCAACATGAACTCGAGTGTTCTCCTGTTCGTGACGTCGTGGTCTAGTTCCCTGGCACCGATGTTATCAGGCTTCCTCATCACCCTGGCGTCGTTTCCTATCGCCAGACGCTACCTCCAGGATATCCAGAACGGACATTTCGAACGGCTGCCCACCCCATACCAGCTGACCCTCATGATGAAGTTCTTTGATGGAGGCACTCTGGGCGCCACTTGGAGTTGGATCGTCTATGTTGTCTCATGGGGGAAGAAGCGCCAGCCTCAGACGAAGCCGCTGACTTCGGCTGCCTCGGTGGCTCTCCTGGCAACACTCTTAGGGTAAGTCCGCCATCCGATGTTCCCTATCCACGATACCCCCCCCCCCCGTCATATGCAACAACCCTAACAGACAAATGGTATAGAGCACTAGTTTCCGCAGCAGACACCTGGCTCCATCTAACGACCAAAACCGTCACCTTCACCCGGGCCTCGGTCGTCCAAAACGAAGTAACCGACTACAGCTTCGGCCTGACCCCCCAATGTCTCAAGGGCAACAACTCCGTCGCCGCCCAAGAAACCACCCTCTGCAGTGTGTCCATGGCCGTCACGGGCCAATTCCTCGCCAACGCCACGGTCAGTCTCGGTGTCTTGAACAACGTCTCCAGTTTCGCGACCGTCTACGATTATACCACCGAAGACGTGACGATTCCGGATGATACCACGGATAACGCGACGGGCTATGACTACGTCTCCCAGTCCGCGACGTATAGTTATCTGGGTCTACCGGAGGGGACACTAGTGAACCGCGACTGGGAAGCCACCACGTACGGAGCGCGTACGCAATGCCAAATGATTTCGAAACAATGCAACCTAACCGAAGTGACCACCTCGCTACGATATAACTGCTCGAGTGCCTTTGCCGGATTCATCGACAGCACGGAACTGATCACGGGCTTCTTCACCGACGAGACCATGACCGACGACATCAAAGACAACGAAGTCTCAAATTACGGCACCGGAAACCCATTCTACTACGCCCTAGCCGGCGTGCTGAGTACCTCCGGCGGCGCGGTGCCCAACTCGACGGATTTCGTTCAGAATGAGTCCGGTGTCTATGGGTATGTCATGGGGTGTAATACTACCATTTATGATGTGATTTATGGGAATGCCAATCACTCGTTGGTGTATTTGTCCCCGACTGCGAGTAATACTTCTGTGTCGAATATCTTTCAGACGAGTATTTCGCAGACCGTGGATTGGGAACCCGCGATTGAGTTGGAGATTGGCGCTGCCGCGTATAGTTCGACCGGACAGGGGTTTGCGGATCAGTTGGCGGCGGAGTTTAATCGGGTCATTATGGCGCTGGGGGCGGGGGCGTTGGAGGCCAGACCGGCGTTTGCGGTCCAGCAGAGGGAGAGTTTGCTCGTGTCGAGGGTGCCGATGGCGCCGTTGTTTACGTTGGTGGCGGTCAACTTTTTGTATGTGATTTGTGGGTTGGTGTTTGCGGGTTTCGCCTTTCGGGCTGCGCGTCGTGAGGTCCCCGATATTCATGCCCGGTTTGGCATCAGTGGGTTGGTCGCGGATCGATTTGAGAATCCGGGGTCGAGGCATAATACGAATTCGGTGGATGAGATGTTTGAGGAGTATGCGGGGCAGCCGAGTCGGAGGGTGGCTATTGAGCAGGGGGAGGAGGGGGGCGTGTATACCTACAAGACGTGGGAGACGGATAAGGGGAAGTATACAGCGGTGGATGTGCATGAATCATGAGGGTTAGTAAGTGATAGAATGGAATTGATGATTTAACCATGTGAGATGCATCGATTGAGCAAGGTCTCTCATTCCTACCATAGTAGAGTATAGAGTACAATGGGTTCAAAGACCCCGTCATCGCACCTGTCTACGGAGTACTCCGTACTTGGTGGACACTTAAAAGACCCCTCAGCCCTGAGCCAGAGCCCTTCATCGTGGACGAACAACGACGATCGGCTATACCCGTCACCGACACCCTTCCGGCCCACTTCTCGGCTCCTATGATTGGCAGACTCGCTTACCCTGAGTGCACGAAAAATTTAGTCTCTTCCTTCACACTCTCCCACCCAATCATCACTCCCTTCACCCAGCAGGATCGCTCTAAGGGATCTAAGCCTCATCCCTGGGTGCAACCCTGATCGATTCCCTGATTTCGAGGCAAGTCAGCCTCGCGGTCTACGATAGCCTCCCTCTGGGTTAGTCTTCGGTCGGGGTGTTTGTTTTGGTGGAGCGCGCCAAGATAGGGTCTGCAAGGCTGGCGGTTGTACCTTGAGGCATTGGTGGGTTAGTTGTTGTAGGATTGTGTGGGTGGTCATTGAGCTAGCTGGGGCTGTGAGATACGATTCTGCTGTGATGGCATGATATCATTGGTTGTGTGTGAGTGATGTCTTGGAGGAGGGTGATTTTTCCCTCAGAGGGTTGGATCTTCCTGATTATCTTTGTTGATTGATCGTATGAGCCATGTCTCAGAGACCACTCGCGGCCCGTTATATATCATCCTTGGCATCCCCGTCGAAGATAAACAACCTTATCCGTGGTTGAAGAACCCTATTCTGCTGACGGATCTCCCCGCATTTAATCAAGCTCGATGGACATTAATATTAGACCATGGCACAGACTCATTGTCGAGAGAAATTCAGGCAAAGAGCAAAACCACAGGGTGTCCGGAGCTGGACGTGCGTGGGTCGGCTGTTTTCCGGATCAAGTTGTCCCACATTCCAGGACCCGCATTACACTCGAGGCCAGATCACTGGTTGCCCGGATACTAGTATTGCTATTTTAAGAACCGTTGGAAAATTTCCCGTCGGCCATTCCAGGGCTCCAGGTAGTTTTCTAGAAAAGTCATGGAATGCTGATCAGTGATCGCACGGCAACCGTGAGAATCCGGCTGCCATGCCTGCGGTGTTTATTCACTACTGTTCAGAACGGTCGCGTGATTACAGAGTAAGTCCATCAAGGGCAAAGCGCTGGTCGTGGCATTCCCTAGTCAGTACAGACCAATGGGTGCCCGCCGCAATTGATATGATACATGGTAGTCGGAAGGCCACATTCGAGACAGAAAGAAAATCAGCGCAGCGCTAGTGGTACATCTTTGGTTCAGCCAGTGAAGCCCATGCAAGTGTGGTATCGCGAGCCGGGTGGAATAGATTCTTGCAAGAGATAAGAAAATTGCTGATGGCGATGATTGAGTGACGAAAACCAAGACCCAAACTCCAAGAACCGTCGAAAGAGAGGAAAGAGATGATGGAGCCGAGCCAGAGGAATCATTGGTAGCTCAGCTCCAGGGGAATATCGTCGAGAGTGGTTGCAGGAGGTTTTGCAGATCATCCGTCGTCATGCCTCATTCCATTCCCGAGTCGCTGCTGCTTCTTTAGCATCTCGTTGTTTGTTGCGCCAGAGGAAAAAGCAGCACACCGAACATGCTGCCAGGAAGATTCTGGGGACCGCCATTAGTACATCCTGCTGTGTGGGGAGGACGTTCGAAGATGTTCGGCAAAACCGCCAATACTCACACGCCAACGATGATGCCCGGGACGCCGCTCTTGAGAAAGTTACTGACGGGCTTTTCGCCGGACGAGGAGTCGTCACTGCGTGCCAACAGTGGCAGCGTCAGAGCCGCAGCTCGTCTGGTGAGATGAAGGGCGTGGGATGACTCCATTGGGGAGGGGTTCTTGCTATGCGAGTTCCGGGGAACGGCAGGCAGGGCCGCAGGAAAAGACGGAGAGGGGAAGATAAAAGGGGACGTGAGGATCACGTCTGGAATCGCATGCGCCTCCCTGAAATGGGATAAGACATTGTCAGGACTAGTGCGCCAAGCACAGACCATCAGGGGGCATGAATGCGGAATGCTGTTTGGTTCCTTTGCCCCTGGGCGGTTTGAGATACGGCCGGGAATAGTTTCATCCCCTCCTTTGCCCCTCACGGGGCCGGCCTTACAACCCTTCGTAGTGTTCGTTGGTTTCGAACTGTAGCAGAATTGGATGTCAGACAGATAAATCAACTCTGTCTGCCCGGGAGAGCTGAGCCTGGTGTTCGAGCTGATTCTCAGCCGCAACCTGAAAATTTGGGGCTTTACCCCTGACATTCCCGAATAGGCAACCGTGTTTCACTGCCGGTGGGGCCGGTGCCTGGGTGCCTCAGGCATAATTATCTCTGCCCGGCCTAACCATTTCCGGCCCGGCCAGCCCTGGGTGTGTCCGAACCGTTGCAGAGCCGATCCCCGATCTTGAGGATTGGCTCTTGGGGAATGGGAGAAATGGTTGCCGACAAGGGAATGGAGGTGATAGAGACCAGTGGAGCCGCCCGGATGAGGAACCACACCACACTTGGCACAGGTGTTTGTGTGACTGCCCTTGGCCCAACCTTAATTCAATTGGCAAAAGACAACTGCACAAGTGCTAAAAAAAGCCAAAGTGTGAAGGCTCCAGGGGATGGGTCCCAACATGGCACGGCAGAGCAAGAGCCGAAATGACATCAACGTCTACGAAATTCACCCTGACCCCCAGAGCCTAGAGCAGCAGCCCTTGGCTCAGGTGGAACTCTTTCGGTCTGCGTCCTGGCTGATTGGACGACCCCTGATCCGATGCAGGTCCCAGTCAGTCTAATCGATCACAGGCGATGCTAGCCGCCGAAGCACCGATCCGTGCACCAGGCAAGTTAGATCCGCTTACTGAGCATCGATTACTACGGCGGAATTCGTGCAACAGCCCCGTCCGATTGGGTCTGCTCAAGTGAAGCAGTCACTAAAGGCTTTAAAACTGGCTGTGTAGCGCGTCCCCCATCCCGGTTTTCTCATAGTCAGTCTTGTGAAGGCACCGTTATACGGACTGCGAAAAGAGAAAACGATCACCCATTGCCGCCGCAGACTTTTGAAAAGACGGACATCTTGGGTCTTTGAACAGTAAATCGCAATCGGTCGCATCGGAAAATGACCACTCTTCCGCAGCCCCCTCCTTCCAGTTCAGCCGATTGTCGCAAACGAGTCTACAAAGCTTGTGACCGTTGTAGGGTCAAAAAGGCCAAGGTATGCTGGGAGCTGAGCCATCCAGGAGCTTCAGTCAATATTTAACGCGTCTATAGTGTTCTGGGCTCCGACCTTGCGTCCGATGTAAATCGGACAATGCCATTTGCTTTTACGGTGCGGGACATAGGGCTTACAACAAAGCGTATCCGACAGGGTAGGCACATCTGGACGGATCCTCGATTGGGCAAAGACGCTGACAACATATGGTGGCCATAAGATATGCGGAGGCCCTGGAGCAGCAGCACGAATGGCTTGTCAATGGTCTGCAGCAGCTATATCGGCGAATCCGTGATGGAGAAGGCTGGCCAGGGGGCCCTGCGAAGCTCGATCGTTATGGCCATCCCTGCGCCAACGAACTTCTCACGCAGCTGGGTGTTCTGGACGCGACAAAAAGCGAGAATTTTGAGGAGGACACAGGGGCGATGCAGCAACGTCTCTGGAGAGCGAGTACCGTACAGGCCACCGTTCGCTCCGAGAGTGGCCAGAACCCCCTGGATCATCCATTCTGCTTGGCAAGCCCGCTCAGCAGGCAGCCGCCCTTGCCTCCGGATTGCATCGCCCCGTCCAGTGTCTGGCCGTCTAGTCAGATGTTCGCTCTTCCCGTAGACGGAGACGGGATCTCCACGCCGATGCCAAACCCAATGCTGGGGATCACGGAGATTCGGAACACTCCAAACGCCGACTTGGGATCTAATTATACCGGCGGGGTGGACCGGGGGCGCCACACTAATGCTTCCATGGTATTTCTGTTCGAATCACAATGATTGCGCTTAGCCTAGTTTTGCCCGGATTGATTGGCGCCGTATTTCTCAAGCCACTGTAAGCGATTAGAACGGGTCCCTGTCATTCCGAGCCAGCATAGCACCGCCACCCATATATATCCACCATCGCCGCACAGAAGGTCTCTGAATTCACAGACTCCGGATCAGATATACCAGATCCATATTTAATTTCCAAAGAGTTGTGTGTCGCCGTTCAGGGGCGCGTGGATCGCGAGATGGCCTATTGCCTGTCCCGACTCCCACACTCTCTGATGACTGCCGCATCTACTAGTGCCATTCGCCCTCAACATGCAACAAGAGAAGATGGTGGATGGTCCATTCTTGTTCTGTGAAGAGCGGCTTGGTGGTTTTGGAACATGACACCTGTCACCCGCGACACTAACATTCCACGCGCTGGAGCCCAGACCCGATTCTGTCGTGGACATCGATGCTAGGAGGGGTAACCCCGGTCTTCTTTTCGCCATTGATCGCCCCGAACCATCTACCTGAACAGTTAATCGGATAGACCAGGCAACGAATCACATCCGAGCTAGAAGAAAGAAACTTTGATAAATCCGGTTAAGCCCGAAGCTTAATCCGGAAACTATCTCCTTCCCCGCACGCGTCCTGCATCCAGGCCACGATAACTCGGGTCCGACTTTTGACCATGGCCCAACTCCCGCAAGAGGAGGTGTCGATCCCCTTCTTCATTGAGTTTGACGCCATCTTCTATAGCCCCGCGGCTTCTGGACACGTGGTACCGTAGAGTGACCCGAGCGCGAAATCTGCATGCGTATTTAGATGCCGACCACGCGCCCCGCGGTTGCCTGAGCACCTGCCAGATCCAATTCTTCATCAATCTGTATTCTTGGAGCCCCAACATGACATCTTTACCTACCCTCCTCTTTGTGCCGGGTGCCTGGCACAGCCCGGAATCCTACCGCCGCGTGGTCGACCAACTCGAAGCCGTGGGCTATGAGTCGGATCTCGTCCACCTCCCGTCCGTAGGCCCGGCCCAGCACCTCCCGGACTTTTCCGCCGATGTGGTCCACATCCGGGGCCATATCCAGCGCCTGGTCGATGCCGGCAAACTGGTCGTGGTCGTGGTGCACTCCTACGGCGGAATTCCAGCCAGCGAAGCGGTCAAGGGCCTGGACTGGGATACCCGGCAGCGAAATGGCCAAACCGGGGGCGTGGTCCATCTTTTCTTCTGCTGTTCCTTCATCGTTCCGGAAGGGAAATCCCTGCTTGGTGCCTTTGGCGGGAACGACTTGCCGTGGTTCAACATCTCCGAGGATCAGCTCGAGGTGTACCCCGACCAACCGGATGAAGTCTTTTACAACGACATGTCGGAGGAAGATGTTCGACATGCCGTCAGCTCTTTACGGCCGCATAGCTACCGGACGTATCATAGCCCCTGCACCTATGCGGCCTGGAAGGACGTCCCCAGCACTTATCTTTACTGTGTCCAGGATGCCGCGATCCCTCTGGCAGTGCAAAAAATGATGGTGGAGGAGTTGGCGGCGGGATATCCTGTCCGTACGGACTTGATCGACGCTTCCCACAGCCCATTTTATTCAAAGCCTAATGAGGTCGCGTTGGCGATTCGGAGGGCCGCTGGCGAGGCGGTTTAATGCGCGGATACCCGACGATGGCAAGGATGAGGTTGTATGGGAGTGTGTGTGTGTGTGTGTGTGTGTGTGTGTGTGTGTGTGTGTGTGTGTGTGTGTGTGTGTGTGTGTGTGTGTGTGTGTGTGTGTGGAGACCGGAGTTGTGTGTCGGTAATCTTAATCTTAGACCTCTATAATGGCCACCGCTTCATTGAGTGTAGATAACTCCTCAGAGTATAAATTAGAGCAGTTATTGGGACACTTTCCCCTGGGAGAGCTGCCGGACTCCTCCCCGATGCAGGAAGAAGACAGAATTGCTGGGCGGGGGATTAATAAGCCATCCGCCAGAAGTCCCTTCCCCATCCCCTCGGAACCCTTTAAACCCTCGGAATCCTCTGGCAGATTTCTGGCAGATTTCTGGTATCCTCCAGCGTCACTCCCTCCAATCTCGGCTCGCTGCCTCATTGTGCCGGATCCACCCACCGGCGGAATTGTATTGGAAAGGGTTTGACAGATTTACCACCACCATCACCAATGGACGGCTCAGAACCATGTACTGTCGACTCATCCCCTACCTTGTCTTCGCCACTCAAGTAGCAATCCCACTGACGGTGAACCTAGATCGGGAGCCCCGGAAGCGGACTCGCATTGTCCAGGCCTGCGAGCAATGCCGCGCCAGAAAAGTCAAGTGCAACGGAGAGCATCCCTGCCTTGCCTGCTGGCAGCACAATCAATCGTGCAGGTACCAAGAAGCCCCGCGCACCAGAGGGCGTTCCTCCAAAAGGCTGAAACCGAAGGCGCCCACTCCGCTCTCTCCTGGGAATCCGACTTCTACCTCGTCCTCTCTTCGCGGGAATGGCATTGGCGACCGGAAAGTGGCGTCAACGTGTACCAGCAGCGATCGAGGACCGGCTCGCTATAGCCCGGAGGAATATCGTCAGCAACTGGAGCTCCGAGCGGGGATCGCGGTGTCTAATCGCCAAACGGGATCCTTCCAGTTCTACGGTATGTCTCAACGACCTGTCCACCACCCGGAAAAGCGCATAGATGACTGACGACGATCAGGACCCTCGTCGCATTTCTGCTTGATCCAGCGCATCTACCAGCGCATGAAGCGGCAGTCGCATGGAAGACTCCTGGACGCGCCCAAGGCCACAGATGCGACCGGTATGGGGGAATCGGGCTTGGAGCGGTTCATGTTCGCCGCAGGGTCGGCGGCTCTTCGCCCTTTGGGCAGCTCAGTGGACTCGTTCCTGTCGAAGGACATGGGATATCAGTTCATCGCGGCCTATTTTACCGTCATTCATCCCCACATGCCTGTTCTGGACCAAGGGATCATTACCCAGTTGTGGGATCAGCTGTGGGATGCCCCAGCTCCGGGGCGCGAGATGAAGTCGAAGGATCTGGTCTACATGACGCTGGCCCTGGGCGCTCGAACCATGGCGCGCGAGGACACCAATCGTGCACAGATGCTCGATAACTGGGCGGACCACTTCTGGGCCCAATCCAATGACTACAGCATGTTGTTCCTGGAACCTTCCCTGAAAGGTATCCATCTACTACTTCTGAAGGTAGGCTGGTGTCGGATTTTGAGTAGCAAGCCCCCATGTTGCGAGTGACTGACAAGGGCGTTTGCTTTAGGCCATGTATGCTTTCCACGGGATGAGGCCCAACGACGCCTATCTCTTCCTGGGGCATGCGGCGCGGAGTGTGCTCGCACTGGGTCTCAATCGCAGTCAGGTCGCGAATGGCCCCGGCGCCATCACGCATAAGCTCCGGGTTACGTTCTGGTCCGTATACTACTACGAGCGGCTGTGTGCGTTTTTTACCGGTCGTCCATCGGGCTTCTTGGACATACACATCGACGTGTCACTTCCGGAAGACACCACCCACAGTAGCCGCACTACGCTCCTCGACGCAACTAGGGGCGACACCGATGGCCCGTCGACAGAATGCGCTTTCCTGAGGGCGATGGTGGGGATCGGGCAATTAATCGAGAAGGTGTCCAGCGAACTGTTCTCCTTGGCCAACGTCCAGACACTCTACAGCCAACGGAAGGTGGACACTGCCATCCTCGAGTGTGATGCCTCCCTACAGAAAATTCAGCGGACGCTGCCTCCGTACCTGCACTTCTTCACCCGAGACCGGCCCCGGAGCGAGCTGTGGCGGGAGATCCAGTGCGCACATTTGGGCCTAGCCTTCCACCTGATCAAGATGATGATCCGGAGACCGGCCCTGGTGCATTGCACAGTCGCCCAGGCCCAGGGTCAGAGCCTCGCGGAATCGCAGACGTTGGAGGACCTCCAGCCCTCGATCGACCTATCGATTCAATCGGCCAAAGAGATCATTGACATCGCCCACAGCGCGATCATGGATCGGGCGACGTGTATGCGCAACGATGTATCGGTGGCCAATTATATTGTGTCGGCGTGCGTAACACTTCTCTATCACGTCCTGGACCCGCTCACGGTCGAGCATGCGAAAAACATCTTCAGCTCGGTGGAGCGCGGGATCCACTGCCTCGATCAGATGGAGCATCACGGGCCCATGACGGAGAAGGCGCTCAGCATGGATATCATGAAGTGTGCGAAAGATGCCCTGCTGCTCTCCACGATCGAGAAAAGCCTGGAGGAAGAGATGACGGACAATTTCCCCTGGTTGAAGTAGGTTGCCCGCCCCACCCCAGCGGCAGTGGGAGCCTTCGTCAAGAACGCACCGCTAACACGCGATTTGGACAGTGAGATCTATCTGCCCGCCAAGCCGGGAGAGGTTTTGGATCCCATCGACGAACCGATTGGCTATGTGCCCGAGGTCATCCCCGAGCCGCCCGAGCAGCAGCTTTCCGACGGGAATAACTTTCTTTCGGCCAACATCTCCGGCGTCGATTACATGTCATACTGGCTGAATGGGGATCCTACAGGGCCGGGTATTTCTCATTGTCTGTCTTAGAAAATTAGTAATGCCAATATTTGCTGCTGGTGGTGGTGGTCGTCTCCGAACGAGCTCGGAAGCAACAGCAATTCCTTTAGGGTTCCCACCCACCGAGCCAATCGGAAGGCCCGGGTGCATCCGAACCGGCTCGGAACGAACAGCAAGAGACACAGTGACCCCCCTTCATCGTGGACAAGTCAATTCATGCCCTACAGAGCGGTGCTGTCGTGGATTATCTAGCAAGATGGATGTCCCAAGTTATAAGTCCTCGAACCCCCTGGGTCCCTCACCTTGTCTGCATCGCCTTTCTGAACACGCTTCTGGTGGGCGAAAGCTGCTAGCCTTGTCGCCCTTCACCCTTGCACATAGCCTGGTGGACCAATGGTGATCGCCCTGGATATTCCAATTCCGGATCCGCTCTAACCCCGTGGCTATAGGAGAAAGCAGGCAACGCGAGCGAGACCCGGACGCCCTCCCCGATATACCGTAGGGATGGCCGTGCCCTGGGGGTCGTCTTCGAGCACCTCAATGTCCTCGGAGTGGCTGCCGGGGTCGATGGCATTACGACCCTCCCGGCCATTATCAGTACGATCCTGCAATGGCCCGTTAAAGCCATCCGTCAAGTCACCGACAACCAGGCGACACCGACCACCAAGATCCTCCACGATGCCAGCGGGGTTATCTTCCCTGGAGAGTCCATGTTGGTGCTGGGGCGACCCGGAGCCGGCTGCACAACCCTCTTGAAGACACTGGCCAACAACCATGGGTCGTTCGTCGAGGTGCACGGACAACTGGGCTATGCTGGCCTCTCGAGTGGGGAGATGGCCGGACAATATCGATCGGAGACGGTCTACTCGAGCGAGGAAGACTTCCATTTCCCCACCCTGTCCGTCCAAAACACCATGGGGTTCGCCCTGGAGCTGCGCAAGCCGGCCAACGAGACCCGGTCCGACGCCGAGTTCACCCGGGACATGACGGAGGCGTCGCTCCAAGCTGTCGGCCTCTCCCATACGGCCAACACAATTGTCGGAAACTCGTTTGTTCGCGGGGTGTCGGGAGGAGAGCGCAAGCGCGTCACCTTGGTCGAAGCCCTGTCCGTCAATCCAGTGATGGCGTCCTGGGATAATCCGACTCGCGGCCTGGATAGCTCCTCTGCCACGGAATTTGTGCAGCTGATCTCCTCCTTGGCCAAGGAGACGGGTATGAGTAATGCTGTAACCATGTATCAAGTCTCCGAAAACATCTATAGCTGCTTTGACCGGGTCACGGTGCTCTACAGTGGGCGGATGATCTTCTGTGGCAAGACTGCTCAGGCCAAAGAGTACTTCATCCAACTGGGCTTCGAGTGTCGCGACCGCCAGACGACTCCCGACTTTTTGACCGCAGTCACTTCCCCAGCGGAGCGTCTGATCCGGAAGGATGCCGTGGGGGTGGTCCCCACTGACCCGGATGGTCTGGCACAAGCGTTTCGAGAGAGCCAGGAGTACCGACAGCTCCAGGAGGACATCCAACGATATCGCACCGAGGTGGCCACCGATGTCCAACTGATACAACGTTTCCGAGACAATGTGCAAGAGATCCGCTCACGCTGGGTTCCTAGACAAGCCATTGCGCCCAACACTCTCTGCAAGCAAATCCGGATTGCTATCTGTCGGTACTACCAGTTACTCTGGGGGGACAAGCGCACCTTGTTGACCCTAATGATCTTTGTCATCCTGAATGCGGTGCTCAATGGGCCTGCCTACTATATGGCTCCGAAGAACGTGACGGGATCGTATGAAAAGAGCAGCGCCCTGTTCTTTGCCCTGATCTACTTTTTCTTAAACGCGATGACCGAGGCGATCTCGACGGTCAAGTCTCGCAATATTCTTCTGAAGCAGGTTCAATATGGGTTCATCCACCCGAGCGCGTTCGTCATCGCGCAGACCATTGCGGATATTCCGATCGCCTTCGTCCAGTGCCTTGTCTTTTCCTGCCTCTACTACTTTACTATTGATCTTCAACGGACTGCTTCTGCTTTCTGGATCTTTGTTTTGATTGTTTTCACCCATTACGCGACCGTCCAGAGCCTGTTCCGGATGCTGGGTGCTTGGGTCCCCAACATCTCCCTGGCCCTGTTGATGGCCGGCAGCGCCTGCCCCGTCGGCTTGCTGTATTCCGGCTTTGGTCCGCCACGGCCCACCCAGCACCGATGGGGTTCCTGGCTGCGTCGAGCCTCCCCGTCACCGTATGCGCTGGAGGCACTGATGGGGAATGAGTTCGCCGGCATTGCCCTCACCTGTTCGGATAGCGAGATGGTCCCCTCAGGTTCCCTGTATACGCAGCTTCAATATCAAACATGTAGCATCCCCGGCAGTGAGAAGGGCCATCAGTCCGTGGCGGGTTCGGTGTACCTCGCCGAGCATTTCAGTTACACGCGGAGTCATCTATGGCGCAATTTTGGCATCATCCTGGTCTTCTGGTTCCTCTATACGGTCTTGGGCAGCATCGGGCTCACCCTCATGACTCGCGAAACGGGTGGGTCTCACAGTCGCACTTTTAAGCGCTCCAAGGGTCGTGATGAGGAGAGCCAGCCCAAGTCTGCCCCGGCCTCCTCGGCCTCATCCTCGACGCGGACCGTGTCCGCAGCTTCGGAGTCGGGGTCCACCGAGACCAACAGCGTCGGCGGCGCGGGAACATTTACGTTTGAGGATATCAGCTACTATGTCACGGTGGACGGTCAAGAAAAACAATTGCTGCGCAGCGTGAGCGGATACGCTCGCCCCGGGCAACTTACAGCTCTCATGGGTGCCTCGGGGGCTGGAAAGACCACGCTCCTGGACACACTTGCCCAGCGCAAATCTACCGGAAGGATCGAAGGGACGCTACACTTGGATGGTGCCCCCCTGGGTCAGACCTTTGCGCGTTCCTGTGGCTTTGTAATGCAACAAGACGTGCACGAGCCCAATGCCACGGTTCGGGAAGCCTTGGAGTTTTCGGCGCTTCTGCGCCAACCGGCTCATACCCCGGACGAGGAGAAGCTGGCTTACGTGGACTATATCATACACCTGCTGGATCTCGAGGACATCGCCGAGGCCCTGATTGGGAAGCCGGGAGATGGGCAGCTCAATGTTGAGGAGCGCAAGCGGGTGACCATCGGAGTCGAGCTGGCCGCCCGGCCCAGCGCGCTCTTGTTCCTCGATGAGCCCACGTCCGGTCTAGACAGTCAAGCTGCGTTTGCGTTGGTCGAGTTTCTGCGTCGAATCGCCGCAGAGGGAATTCCGGTGGTGTGCACCATCCATCAGCCTTCGGGGGTGCTCTTCGAGATGTTTGACCACGTCTTGCTTCTGGCTCCTGGGGGTCAGACGGTGTACTTTGGGGAGACAGGTGACAAGTCTTCCCAGGTGGTCGCCTATTTCGGTCAGTACGGCGCTATCATCGACAGTCAGGCGAACCCGGCTGAGTTTATCCTGTCCACCGTCACCTCCAAGGAGGCAGGGCCTCAGGACTGGCCGGCCATCTGGCGCGAATCTGCCGAGCGAAAAGCCTTGGAGGCAACCATCCGGCAGCTGAATACCCGCACCACATCTGGCCGAGGAGACCTCAACACCGGGGCCCAATATGCCCTGCCTCTGGGGGCTCAGATTCTGGCCGTCACCCGCCGCCATTGGCTGTCTGTCTGGCGCGACGGCATGTACACCTTCAGCAAAGTGGCCAAATCCCTGTTTGTGGACATGTTCATCGCCTTCAGTTTCTTCAGAACTGGGTCCTCGGTACAAGGCATCCAGAACCATATGCTCGCCATTCTGCTCCTCTCGTGGATCATCCCGACCACCTGCGCCGACCTGCAAGACATGTGGTTCCGCAAGTGGGCCATCTTCAGCGCGCGCGAGAAGAACGGTATCTACGACTGGAAGGCTTTGCTCACGGCCTTGGTGGCCGTTGAGCTTCCCTGGCAACTCGGAACGTACACGCTGATCTTCTTGGCCTCGTACTGGACCGTCGGCTTTCCCAATGTCTCGACTATCTCGGGGCTCAACTACTTCATGTGGCTGCTCCTCGCCATCTTCGGAACCGGGTACTCGCAGCTCCTCGCGGCCCTGTTCCCCAATGAAACCATGGGTGGTTACGCCAACTCTCTCTTCTGGGTTATCTTGATGATCGGCTCCGGAGTCCTCACGCCCCACGCCTACATGAATGACTTTTACCGCCCCTGGCTGTTCTGGGTCGATCCGATGCGGTACTTCTTTGGGGCTACCGTTGGGACTGTCCTACATGACCTCCCGGTCGTGTGTCGCCCGAGTGAGCTCGTCTCGTTTGATCCGCCCCCGGGCCAGACTTGTGGCCAGTATGCCATGGCGTTTTTGGAGAGTAGTGTTGGTTACCTGGTGAATGGCAACGCGACGGCGAATTGTGAGTACTGTGCGTACTCGGTTGGGGATGAGTATTCCGATACTTTGCAATTCTCGTATGGTCAGCGGTGGTGGAACTGGGCTGTGTTCTTGGGGTTTTGCTGCACTAATATCATCTTGTTGTTTGGGATCGTGTGGTTCACCATGGGGAGGGGACAACGGCGTGTTTGATTGAACAGAGATAGTTGCTGGGGGATCTTCTAGCGGGGTCTTTTTTGTTTCGGGATTATACATTTAGACTAGACTGCTTAAGATAAACCGTGCATAGAGCAAAATTATAGAGAGGTGGATAATATATGTTCGGCCAGATGACGTGCCTACTGGTGATATTATTATGAGCCAGATCCCCTGGAAGCTACAGCAATGTGCTCAGCGCCAGTTGTAGTCCAAGAATCGTGGAAGTGTCTGTTATTTGCCATGCCACAGCATTGGGGGTCTTCCGCCCCAAAGGGAAGTTGGAGTCTCCAATTTCTCCAAATTTGGAGAACCCCACACGAGGACCGACTCATCTTCGGAAGCATTTCCCAGAAACACCTGGAAAAAGCGTGAACCATAGTTTCATTAACAAGAACTCTTCGCTGGTAAATAAAAAGTGGCAACAGATCACTTCCCAAAAGATCTTGTCCGATAAAGTTGATCGATACATAGTATAATTCAAGGTACCCGGACCAATTGGTCCACCTCGAACCGATCTCAACAAGTGATAAGGCTAACTCCGAAATACTCTGATCCTATTGCTATTATCACTTGTTCCTTATCTTGTAGCTCCTTGAATATCATATCTCCTGTAGATCACCTGCGTCGCCAACGTGCAAGCCGGTGGAAAGGCCTTCCCCGGACAGATGGGAATCTACAGTGACGCCCACCTACCAGGACTGACTCGCATCGCCAATACCATCCGCCAGCATGGGGGCATTTCATCCGTTCAGCTACACCACGGCGGTATCCGCGTGGATCCGTCCCTCAGCCGCAGCACCCCCGTCGGTCCATCCGACATCCCCGGTGTGGCGCGTGGCTTATCTCTGAAGGAGGTAGAAGCAACACGGCATGACTTTCTCGCGGCGGCATTGCGCGCCCAGAAGGCCGGGTTTGATGGCGTGGAAGTGCATGCCGTGTTCGGATGGATCATGATGCAGTTTCTCTCCCCGGACTTTAACCTCCGGACTGATCACTACGGTGGTAGTTTGGGGAATCGATCCCGATTTCTGTTCGAGATCATCAATGGTATCCGCGCTGCCTGTCGTGGGGATTTTAGATTGGCTTGCGGATCTCCATGGAGCGGTACGGTGTGTGTCACTGATGGACATCCGCGAGATAGCGGCACGAGCTATTCGCGAGACTACTGATTACCTTGACCTGGCAGTCTGGGACTACCGGAAGACTGCATTGGAGGCGCCATTTGCTGGTCAGTCCTTACTGAGTGTCTTTACTGGGCTTCCGCGTGCGTCGGTTCGTGTCGGGGCGTCCGGGCATGTCATGACTTCTCAGCAGGCGCCGGAGGTGTTGGATGCCGGATGCGATTTTGTGATGACCGGGAAGGCGGCAATCCTGGACCCGGATTTACCCCGGCATATTGGGGAGGATCATACGTATCGTGCTCCGGCGTTACCGGTGTCGAGGGAGTGGCTGAGGGGCTCAGGACGGAGTGAGCGGTTCATCGATTACATGAGAACCTGGGAGGGATTTGTATTGGACACTAAATAGGCCTGGGTGTTTCAATCAATAACTATTGAATGTTCGTGGTCCCTTGAATCGGGATTTATCCTAAACTTCGTCAAACTGCCCGATTGGGTTTCCGATAAGATCGGGCCCATGATAAGATTGTGTGTCTGATAAGATTGATTCCTGACCGCGTACCGGGACTGTACCTGAATTGTCGCCTCATATATTTCAAGACCGTTTGACGATCGTTTGCGAGTCCAAGTCTCAGGCATTCGCAGTCCCACTGTCAAAGACCGAGGTACGTGGCGGTAGGGGAGAAACTTAAAGAGCGGCACGGAGACGCGTCATGCATCGGCCAGGGTCTCCTGTTCCAGGCAACGGGACCGAGTGAGCCGCGGAGAAACGGGGATCACCAGCACGGATGTTATAGTGTGTTGTCGAATGGTTTCATCATGCATTCTACTATATACATCCCAACCATGCATCATTCCCTCCGAACCCTATATATTCCTAGTGTCTGCGCAATTCTTCACCCAATTTCATTGATTCTATCAACTCCCTAACCATCCTCTCTATCCGTCTACTGAGAAGCAACATGCACCTCCATTCCTCCCTCCTCACCACCCTTGCCCTCACGGCAAGCGACACCCTCGCATCCGCCTCCCTCCCCGTCCGCACCGTCTACCAATTCTCCTCCAACGACACCTGGCTCGAGAACCTCGCCGTCCGATCCAACGGCATCATCCTCGCCACCGAGATCGGCCCCCCCGCCAGCCTCCTCGCCTTCGATCCGCGCTCTCCAAACCCAAAGAAGAACGTCCTGCATACCTTCAACAGCGTCCTCGGCCTTTCCGGCATCACTGAAGCAGCCCACGACATCTTCTACGTTACCGGCGCGAACACCACCTCCGCCAATATCGGGGACCCGCCCGCAAACGCCACACACGTCTGGCGGGTGGATTTCACCACCGGCACTGACACCAACCCTAATATTACCCTCATTGCGCGCCCCACGGCCCCGACGGGATTCAATGGCTTAGCGGCGTTTAATGAGACGATTGTTCTGGCGTCGACGTCATATCAGGATTCGATTTTCGCGATCGATAACCACGACCGGACGTACCTGGGAGGCGATTAAGGATGCATCCCTGATGAGCAGTATCAATGGATTGAAAGTGAAAGATGGGTTCGTGTATTGGACTGCCGGGGCTGACTTTTGCAGAGCACCCCTATATGAGAATGTCACGGCCGGGGCGGGTGAGGTGATTGCCAAGGGCACCTCGTTTGATGATTTTGCCGTGTCGCCGGATGGGTTCCGTGCGGGCAGTGGTCGGAAGTTTGCGTATGCGGCGACGGCAGCGCAGAACTCGGTCATGCAGATTAGTTTTGATTTGAATGGGGGAAGCAATCAAACTGAGGTGGTTGCGGGGGATGTGGATTCGACGGAGATTGCGGAGCCGACGGGGGTGTGCATTTGGGAGGGGTGAGGGGGAAGTGAATGTGTTGTATGCCACGACGGGTGGGGGTAGTGGAGTGGCGGTTGATGTGAATGGCACTGATGTTGCTGTTGGGGCGCAGTTGTTGGCGATCCGGTTGGATTAGGGCTGAGCTGGATGCTGCGAAGGGAGTGTGGGAGGTGACCCATGACTAGTTTTGTATGATAGGAGATAAGGCGGACGACGACAATTGTACTATCAGATCTAAGGCAGAATCGTGGACTTCTGTAGGAGTTCCAGACTACTATTGCTACATGATACTGCTGGCTTTTTGCATCACCTACTCGGCCGAGATCTTTGATTCCATGGTCCTTGGTGTAGGACAATTATGGAAGTGTTGTTCGTTAGCCCTAAGTCTTTAAAAGATCCACTACCACTATAACTACTGGAACGGTACGTGAGCCCGTATAATTTTAATACCGATCAACCCTATTCTCCGATGTACTACATCCATTCAGACCCTTTCCATAGCGACACCCTCAAGCAGACGCCGGTTGGCCGCCCACCGCAGGACGCGCACCCTGGGGCTACCTGAAAATGCCCAAGAGGGGACGCTGGATACGCCAGAGACGGCATCGCAATTGCGTACCATTGCCGCCGGTGGAATTGTGTTGTTGAAGAACGAGAACAACATTTTGCCATTCCATCGCGAGAGGTCTACTGCCGTCATTGGCCCGAATGCAGCAATTGCTGCATACTGTGGCGGAGGCTCGGCCGCTCTGTTTCCATACCATGCCATCAGTCCTCTGGAGGGCATCCGAGCCCAGGCTCCCCAGACCGAGTACGCTTTGGGTGCCCCGGGATGGAAGTTGCTTCCTCTTCTGTCGCGTTCTGACGCAGACTAGAACAGGGCAGGCCGGCCACGATATGGAAGTGCATCTCGATGCCCGGGGGTGGCGAATCGCCAGGCAGTAGATCATATCCATATCAGTCGATCCGAGGTCTTCCTGATGGACTACAACAATCCGCACATCCATGGCTACCTCTATTATGCTGGCCTGCACGGGACTATGACCCCAAAAGTGACTGCGGAATACGAGTTCAGTATATGTGTCGCTCGAACCGGAAGGCTCTTCATTGACGGAAAGTCGCATCGTGGACAACGCCTCCCATCAGACCCGCGGAGATAGCTTCTTCGGGACCGGAACGGTCGAGGAGAAAGCAACGATGTTTCTCGAAGCCGGTCATACGTACACTACCCTGGTTCACTTCGGCACCGATCCCACCATTGCCTTCGAACGACCGGGAGCAAGCGGATTCGGTGCGGGTGGGATCAGGCTCGGGGCAGAACGCAAGGTTTCTTTGGCCGAAGAAATCGACCGTGCCGTAGCCCTGGCCCAGCGGGTTGACCAAGTCGTGCTCTGCATGGGATTGACTGGTGACTGGGAGAGCGAGGGCTACGATCGCACTACCATGGATCTGCCTCCCGGCAGTGATGCCCTGATCGAGGCCGTCCTAGCTACCAACCCCAACACAGCTATCGTCATGCAATCCGGCATCCCAGTTACCATGCCCTGGATTGACCGGGCGCTATCTGTGGTCTAGGCTTGGTATGGGGGTTAACGAAACAGGTCATGCCATTGCCGATGTAGTCTTTGGGGCAACAAACCCCAGTGGGCGACTGCCTCTGACTTTTCCTCGGCGCTGCGAGGATAATCCGGCCTTTGTCAACTTTCGAAGCGAGCGGAACCGAGTTTTATTATGGTGAAGACGTCTATATTGGATACCGTGGGTACGAACAGACTCGGAAGGAGGTCTTCTTTCCGTTTGGCCATGGCCTGTCTTACACCAGGTTCGAGCTGACTAACCTGAACGTGCAAGTGGATAATGAGAGGATCACCGTGTCGGTGGATGTGAGCAACGTGGGTGCTAGAAATGGCGCTCAGGTCATACAGGCCTACGTATCTCACGATCAGCCAAGTGTTTCCCGTCCTCCTAAGGAGCTAAAGGGCTTCGCCAAGATGGTGGAATGGACTATGATAGAAGGGGCCAGGGAAAGGCATGTTGTGGTGACTTGGTAGTTAGGTGATTTTGGTTCTATACAAAGGACCAGAGGAGTAATGGCGATAGAAAACAGATAGAGTGACGGCTAGGCTCTCGTGGTCTGATCCACAGTTCATCCCATCTCATCTGGAGCATTCATCATGAGATCACGCTTCCTGTCTTACCTGCAATGCGTCCTGGTCGCTTAGTTCATTGCCGCAAGAATCGACACTCTGTCCGTGACCATTTAAATGCTGCTTTTGTCCAGTTCGCATAATCAATCAATATCTGTCGGTTAGACCTCAGATACATAGCAACCCTAGTAGTACCCACATCCTCTGTGTCAAGTGAAGCATTTCTTTCAAGCATATAGCCAATCTGAGTGCTGGATTACAACACTACTGATACTCCATCGATCCAAATGACGTACACGGGCAAGATCCTACATACCGAAGGGACATAAGTTCCAGCATAAACCATACGCCCCCTTGGGTGTTCCACGTCGTATATATCATATGCAGGCATATGCACTGGAAGGGCTGAGTAGGGCAACGGTGCGGCTAACGGGATGGGGTAGGTGGTCGCCAATTCCGAGCCACACCTAGGCAGACAACGATAATTCAAACAAGTATGACCCGCTTTGATGAAGCCTTCTGTTAGTACGCGCCAGCATATTCATAAGCGTCGATATTAAGTCAAACGTGTTGGACAGACGCTGCCCGGGCCGCCCCGGCGAGAACCCAAATGATGTGTCGCCTCGGGAGTCGCAGATCCCCAACCAATGGTGGCAAACACCAATGCATGCCGGCCAAACTTCGGGCAAAGTAATGCCCAAACACGTCTGGCAAGGCTTCGCGTCAGAGACTAGCAGGATACAATACAATGTCTATTGTCCGCAGCCAGCAGCCAAATACCGGGAGTTATCTGCATATAGGTCTTGGTAAAACCAGAGCACCTGCTAGCGAATGGAATTTATGCTTGTCTTATCCAACCACTAGTACTCGACCGGATACATCTGCCACCGGCTCTTGTTTCCGGACGTACACAGGGAGTTGAAAAACACAGCCAGTACCATGAAATTTACCAGACGTCGTGGGTGTACTCCGTACTGACAAGGCTATATTGCCAGCTCTGATATGCCATTCCTTCATTCCCCACACTCTCCGCGGTCGGCCTCCTGTCGTGCCAACCTTTCCAATGAAAGCTTGCACCAAGGCACTATTTGCTGGCTCCCTTACCTCGGGCGCTACGCGGCAAAGCCATCCGGAGGGGCATAGTGGGGCAACCGGGTCAGGGCTGTCGATCCCTGAACCTGAACGTAGGGCATCAAACCTGTCGGGCCAACCAGCATGCAGAAGTCGAAGGCATTGTCGACACCTCTCCTGGACATCAGCTCCCTTTGATCTCAAGTTTACTTGGCCAGCAGTCTGTACCCTCACCATCCTTGTTCTTCGGGGAGCAACTCTTCGCTAGCAACCACTCCAGACAACATCCCTCAGACTGACGTTTGGTCTCTTAATACAAGATGGGTGACCAAGATACCTTCAATAATACGGAACACTCCACCACTCACAACCAAGCTGGCCACCAGGTCGTCAATGGGGGTATCTATAATATCAACAATTACTATTCGAGGGACAGGGTAAAGAGAATCCGTTTGGTACCCATAACACAGGCTAATACCATATAGTCTCAACTCGACGAGAAGCTGCTCGAAGCAGCCAAACGCGGCGACACGGCAAGAGTGCAACAACTATTGGATGACGGCGCAAATGCCTCTGCGACCGATGCACATGGGCAGACCGTGCTTCATGTAGCTGCTTCTGAAGGGCGAAGGGACCTTGTCAGCCTTTTACTGAACCGCGGGGCGAAGAGGGATGCGAGGGACCACTCCAACCGTCAACCTGCGCAGCGCGCACTGCTATCTGGCCATATTTCCCTGGCGAATTTGCTTGGATGAGTTCTTTTGTTACATGGTTTAGATTGGATAATACATTATGAAACACTTTGAATCAGCCGAAACGCTCAATTTTATTACCAGGCAACACAGGAAAGCTTGAAATGGAAATCAACAGCGGCGTTGCCCTTCTTGTGGCTTATCAATTTACCCGAACAGCAAGATACAACTCGCCATAAACAATGTTTACCCAGGGGATTGCTTCTCCTGTCCTATTCTAACGACTGTTCACCCTCCATTTCACGCCTTCAAGGCTCAGATTGCACCTAATCATTATGTTCAACTTATCAACTGCACAAGCACCATCTACCGTCCAAACGACCCAAAGTTCATGCCTCCATGAATGGTCTGCTGACCTGCCTGGTTGTTGATGGCAGCACCAGCGTTGTTGAAGTTGAAAACCGGGCTCTGCGGGAACTCAGTCAGTGTTATTTAACCAGTCTTATCGGAGCGAATCCTCACAATTTCCTTCTTCCTCACGGGTACAATAACGAGCATCTTCTTCAGCGCCCCAAGGACCAAATCATAGCCTTCGTCATCTCTCGATCCAAATTTGCAGATGTGCTTATGATCGGCCGGGATGGAAATCATGTCGCCGCGACCGGGGATGGCAGCCGAATTTCTGTCGACCACCTTGCGAGCGTCAGCATAACCCTATCAGGCCATAAATTCACTCACCATCACGCCCTGTGTCTTCCGCTGCTCGTAGAAGAAGGTGGTTCGGACACTCTCGTCCGAGTTGTCACGTTTTCGCAACACATTTGCGAATTCCTCCATGAGATGCTGTAGCGTATCGGATTTGCTCTTCAGGTCGGAGATATTGGCCTTGTTGCTCTCCAATACATATTCCGCCACTCTGTGAAAGCGAGATACCCAATTTGCGATCTCGGATCCGCAGAATGGAGTCCCCAGGAATACGATTCCCCGGATGTGTTTGCTGACCGTCTCAGTGTTGTCGGAAGGAGCACTCCGATTGCCGGCGACAACGGCCTGCATTATGCTTTATTACCACTGAAGGATCGTCAGAAGATAGGAACAGGTGCTCTTACCTGTGCGCAGACCAGCCCACCAAGACTGTGGGCTACAAAGATAATCGGTCGCTCTGCCTGCTGACATCCTTAGCATTTCATCCATCAACCGGATCAGTGAACCCTCCGACTTACCGTTCCAGACTCGGTTCGATAGCGCGACAGCTGCGCACAGAGGTCCTCGGCGTTCCCAATGATCCCGTTCTGCGACAAGGCTGCCGTGAAGCTGACCACCCGCGAATCATATCCGAACGTCAGGATCCGGGATTTTGGGAGGTCCTGTGGTAGAAGTGCTTGAGGCCAGCACACATTATTGACCGTCCAGGTGGCCTCTCGACTACCGCCGAGTCCGTGGACAAAGACGATGCTGCGAGAGTCAGTGATGGTGATCAGAATGATGGGTTGAAAAAGCATACTCCACCTCTGCCTCTTCAGAGTCGTGCAGCTGCTTCAAGCCGTACTCGGGCTCAGGTTCGCTCTCCGTAGACCTCAATGTACGGAAAATGGCCATGGTGTCGCGATTCTGTCCAACAATTGATGGCCGCAGGCTGTGGTGTGGTTAGTAACTAGAGTATTGAATGTAGGACATCCAACAGTTAGAGCTCCTTTATATCTTCGTTTTCCCTCAAGGTGGCAAAGAGCCACCGGCTCAACTCAGCATCACCATCACAATGGTCGTTTCTTCCTAACCCCACCATACTTCGGGCTGCAGTAGGCCCATCAGACGACGGAACACGGGCCCACGCCAACATGCATGGGAGTCCGGTCTATCATGTCGATCCCTGTAGCCCGACAGGTTGCCGGCGACTCATGGAATCAACTCACATTACCGCCTGCTCGACATTTTACGTACAATCTGAAAATTACGTGTCCCAAATCACTAACATCTAAGTACATTGTTAGATGCTTTTGTAATACAGGTGGTAGGCTTTGCAGCAGATAGCCATATGGTTAGTATTTTGGCAACGATGAGCTGGGCAGGCGTATCCTATGCATGCATATCCCCCCCATTCTCCTACACTACCACACAAGGGCTTTGTTATCATCGTACGTATAGGTGCCCCTTGTCCTTTGACTGGGGCAATAACTGAACCCCAAGGTCCTCAACATATGCCTACGGATTGGGACAGCGGAAAAAAATAGACATCTTTCCTAGGATAAGCAGATCATATCGATTTGACAAAGCAGGCGACTGAAGCAATGATGTAATCTTCTACTATAGTCCTTCCCTTGTCGAAGAGATTTTCAGTTCCTTATCATTCTCTTCCCCCTCATTTCCTGCGTCTTTGTTGACAAGGTGGATGACGCCGAGACCGGGAATTTCAAGTTCAGGACTCATGAATGGAATCTGCTGTATTCACGAGACCCGAATCCGAACTTGACTCAAGCCCAGGTCCTTTTTCGGGCTCGTGTTCAGACGCACACTCAAGCAAAGGCTCTGGCGCAGGATCCAACGTGAGTTTCATCCTCTTCCAATCCTCCATAGCGTCCTTAGCCTCCTCAAGAGCCGCAGATACCTCCTCCAGCTCCTTCTCGTACAGTGCCAAGACCTCATCAATAACAAATCGATCAAATTTCTCGTCGTTCCCAATCCCATACGCCGTCATCATCCATCTGAGTTTTCCATTCCTGTTGTTGTACGCGATTTCTAATCTCCTGCGAACAAAGCCCTCTAGCCACGTGCGACCAGATTCCTCTTCGGAGAGTCTGGGATATATGTTCCGTGCTACACTCAAAATGTCTTCCATCGTCAATCTCTCCGCGAACCGGACCATGAATCCTTGAGCCATGTCCTGTAACCCCGGGATCTGGTACCGAACCGCAGCGGCGTACGTATGGGCTGCGCGTTCAAACTCGATGCTGTCGCGGGTGCTGAGGACCTCTGGGATGTCATCCGCAGTCCGAGGGGGCTCGAATGAGCTTTCAAGGGTCTCAAACTCCCCCGTGTATAGGTAATGAACGAAGGTATGTGCGCTTTGCGGATTGATAGCCAGCTCGAGATGATAGGGTTTGGGATTCAAAAACTGGCTTTGCACAAGGGCATGTGGACTGCATTTCAGTTGCTTAAAAGAACGGAGGTAATACTGTGGAATGGTGTAGTAGCGGTCGCTAACCTTCAGCGTGATGGCGGGGGTCAGGTAGGGACTGCCAGTTGACGTTAGAGATGAGAGGGACAAATCGAAGTAAATGGCAGAGATAGCGCGTGTGTGCGGCCTACCTTTCAGGCGCTTGGCTGTATTCCGAGAGCTCTGGGATGAGAAGACCTTCAGCTTCCACGGCTTCCTCCACGGCTTCCTCCACGGATTGCTCAGCCATCTCTTCCCCAGCTGGTGTGATAGATTGTTGGATTGAGCTTGGGTAGGTCTTCTTCACAAGCAAACTCTTTCTCTTCTGTTTACCAGCCATGGTGACGTTTGTGTCGGAGTCGTGCCCGCAAGAAATGATCTTGATGCTAGATCCAAGAAGTCGCCTTGGAACCCGGATCTCTAGGCTCTGATAAAGAACGCAAATACTCAAGGCTGCGGCGGGGATGGAAAGCTCAGACCAAGAGTGAACTGACACGTTACACATGATCCCTGCAAGCAAGGCTGCGATTGATAGCCGCAGGCGTGCTCTGTACGCAATGCATTCTGGGTGTGCGCTGGCATGCAAAGTGATTGCGGCGTTCCATCCTGCCGGGACGGGGCAGCCAGTCCGAGTGGCGCCACAGCATATATCTACAGCTAGGGAGCCATCCGTATGGCTGTGAGAGCGTCAGTTGATATTCCTGAGACTAGTACCCTGTGAGCGGCACAGCCAACTTGCGGTTGATGTTATCTTTCCTCCTCCAAAAATTGAAACACACTCAGCCTTGGGCGCTTAGCAACTAACGTGAGCGATGAGAATAAATGTTACTGAGCTTTCCAGGGGAAAAGATTTCCTTGCGCGGCTAACTTATTGCATATCAAACCGTTTGGAAATCTGGACCAGAACGACATTAGGAGACAGCCGTATTGAGTTGGTGAGCGAGCAGGTTTTCAAGAGCTCGAGGATCCGTCGTAACATACAGGATCGGAGATGTTGGGATTGCCAGGGACGAATATCTCCATTCGTGGCAGCTCTAGGTTCGCTGTGCGCCAAACGAATCAGGCTGAATCGGAATCCCGCGGATGTTGTTGGCAGCCAGATAAGCGTACCAGAGGCGTAGTCGACTGGCCAATGCTGTAGGCTGTGAAGCCATAACAGCTAGGCTACCATGTCTCTCCAGGCGCCATTTGGCTAACCACTGTGAGTTCTAAAGCATCAAAACCTAGGACACTTTGGAAGCTAGGCCGAGGCTGAATCCGTACCCCGCTGCTTGGTGCCCGCGCCAACTTGCATCGGCCTGCTGCGGCGTCAAGGAAATACGTGCTTGCCATCCAATCAATCCACCACATCGCTGAGATCGATCTAGATTAGTCTCAACTATTGTGCCAATGGTGAGAGCTTGCGGGGGAGGACACGTCATGATAAGTGCCGCCAAACTCCGATCATAGGGCGACAGCCTTGTTGGGCTTCCTTGACCTTCCCAGCACAGCCACTTCACTTCCACATCCATGGTTAGTAGGCGCTCGTGCGAAGCGATGATGATAATGATACGAAATATGGCGGTACTAAAATAGCGCACTGGTAACATAGTTAAATGGCAAGTTTGAGGAGCACGCGAGCCACCGGCCCGAAACCAATTTTCTCTGCTCTGAGCAGGTCACTTATCCTCTTTACGGTTGCTTGTCTCCCGATCTACAGAGACCCAGGGCTCTAATAAAATCTCCTTTCTCTTTGCATTCGGGAACACCATCCTCACCATGACAAAAGTTCCGGTTTCGGAACAACGCCAGATTTTTCTTGCGTGTCGGGCCATCTTCAGCGGTAAAAATGCAGACTTACGCAAGGCCAAGGCTATCCGGACCCGACTCAAGGATCACGAGGGCTCCTTGAGAACGTTAATTCCCAATTACGGGCTCACTCGTGTTCTGTCCGTGGTCAAGCTTTTCTTGGAGAAGGGCCTCTTCCAATCACGTGCCAAGGCCGAGATGCAGTTCCCCGGTCTGTTCGAGCCGTGTCCAGTGCGGCAGACGCAGCATGCAGTACTGGAAAAAGAAGCCTCTCAATCGACCAACAAAGTGCTCGAGGGGATATCGAGCGCGTATGAAACAGAGAGGGGCAAGGAAGAAGGGGAGGTCCCTGCAGAAACCCCAGCCATTGTATCAGTAGATGCTGCCCACGCCCCAGCGGAAAAGCAAGAACAGGAAGACGATTCAGGTATGTACGCACCCTAGAGCGAGCTCATCTTAAGGATAATCGTGTCGGTTCACTTAAACGTGGGTCTTGCAGATCAGACATTGACTACCGAGAGACCGGTCGCTTCGCTTTTTCCTCTTTATCTGCCCTACCATGCTCAGCATCAAATCTTGACTACCGTCCAACAAGTTCTGGAGGAGTGTATATTCGACTTTATGAAAAAGTGGCTCCCCGTCGAACTCGAGAGTCGAGGTTGGGACTGTGCGGCAGCCGTTGAATTGACCAAGGGGACCAGGCTTCTCGCCAAATGGGCCTCGAGACTTCCGGAAGATGCCCTTCGTCCAGCGGACCTCAAGCTGGATTCCATTCTCTTGACGGTCGTGAAAATCCGCCATACCGCCGTACATCGACTCCCGACGACAGCACCGGGGGTTTGTGATTTCGTGGCCATCGCCCAAAAACTGACTGAGAATCTCCGAGATCCAATACGCACTTCACAATTTGAGGATCTTCATCGCGATCTGCAAGATAAGATCAAAATCCTCGAGTTCAATAAGGATGTTCTCGAAGAAAATCAAGCTCGCGAACTCAGACGCATAGAAGCAGAGCGTGAACAATTGAATCAACGGGAGGAGACGCTCAGAGCTAAAACAATCGAGGATGATGGAGAAAACAAACTAATGATGGGCCTTCTGTTACAGGAGACGATGGAACAAATATTCAAGACTGGGGCGGTCGAGTCCGAGACTGGGAGGGTCTGGTATAGTACGGCTGACGAAGCCGTATGCCTTTCAGATCTTGTTCTGGGGTTGCTTCGAGGTGAACTTGCTGAACGAGCTACTGCATTGGGTTTTTGGATGATTGGTATCTTTTGTTTTGTGCCAGTGTTCGCGTGGGTGTTAAGTGTAATAGTTTGATGGACTGAGACGTGGCCGAACATGGGCCGAGATTGAATGAACTGACGGTTGGAGTGCACGGTCGCATTTGTTTTTCTGAAAGACTATGCTCTCGGAAGTTTTCATTAATGGCCTATTTTCGCATGGAACCTGGATGTAGGTAGGTTTTCGGACAAGATGCTTTCCAGTCGCCGAAAGTTATCATTGGGAAGGGTGTTCACGGTATGTCAGTAACCAGCGTCGTGTGGGGTCCTAAGAACATTGTGGAGGATTACAGCCCTGGATTAAACCATGCAGTAACAGAAAAAAAGTTACAGAGGAATATGTAAAAAAAACCACAAAACATACAACAGAAGGGATTCGCTGGTGGTCACCCACCCAACTACTAACCTCCCGGCGTGTGGCTTAAGTACGGCTGAGCGGACGGGAAGCCCTGTTCTCCACACCCTATGGTCGTATGT